CCCCCCACTTGCTCTCTTCCCCAGAGAAGATCAATGTTGCATAAAACGGAGAAACTATTGTTTCCCCCTGATCGTCCTGCAGCGGGGTGGAGAGTAGGGATGAAGCGGAACGAATGCCAGTAAGGGATGTCGAGATAAGGTCTGCAGTCTGATTACACTCTATCTTTACGAGATATATGTACGTACTACTCAGGTATGTTTCTTCTTATGATTGACACTTGGCGGGGGCTGTACAATGTACCTTGTATGTAGTGTACGACATCAGTTGCCAGTTTGGGCGTGTACGTGGTCGATCTGTAGAACGCAATTATGGTTGCCTCCTCGGCATCGTGTGGATGTCGGATAGCGTGCAGAGAACTGGATCTTGGCGGTCGTAGACTCGTTTGTTTCGTGACAATCTACGGAGGATGGTAGTATGTGTCGTTGGGTTTCTGTATGCTGTAAACTGTGTAAAGTTGCGGGCGTTGTGAAAGGTCCTGGCTGAATGTCATGCCCGCCCATAAGTATAACCGATGATCTGACACGTTATTCTCTGGGATGAGGAGTAAGTGCCACCTTGTTTGGTTGATGGTTCGATGCTGTGGTGACGCCTTCAATGAATACTTTAAAAGTAGTTGATTTCATGCTTGTCGACTTTGAAGTGCTCAATAGCTAATGTCGACGTGAGCTAGGCTCCCTCTTTCTCTCCTAAAGTCAGAGTCATTATCTAGCAGCTAAAGCTTAGGGCAGATCCATAGATATAATGACGCGGGTGATTACAAGTATTAAGTCTGTCCATTGTCGCTGGTTGACTGGCATGTACTTATATCCAGACCTAATCTTTGAGCAATGCCGCCCGCAACTCCCGCAACCTCATTAAGATCGAGGTGGAGTTCTCGATATCCAAGCTTATTTTGCAAATAATTGAAATGTAATTATCTTCAAGTTGATGGATACTGACAGAGGTGATATATATCTTACGATATGTTAGCGATGTTGTCATTATATATTTTAGTCAGAGATCTACCTGACGTTCAGCCGACGATATATATTGACGTGATCGCGGACATGCTGGGGCTAGTGACCTTGATTTTCACACATCAAAATCAACATATCCCAATCTATCGCTCTAGACCAAACAGAACAGATCTCAATATCTAGGGATTTGGTGCCCTTTGCTGAAAATGGAGTCCTTTGCTGGCAAGTTATCACCGCACCAATCCCAAAACGGCAATCTAGATAACCAACACAACCTTAAACCAACCCCCTTCCCACATTCTCCCAATCGAGCGGACTAGTAATGCAGCAAGGGGGAGGTAACAATGAGATCATTGAACCAAGATCTGATCAGAAAAGGGCAAAGTAAGCCGAGCAGCCCCATCTATTCAGTGAACCTCGTGAGACAGCACGATCCATCCCTTGCGAGAATGATCAAGTTGCTAGGAGCAACACCCGACATGCCACTGAAATACGGTCATGATATTGGATCCTGGGTCTGACTGCGCACGTGGAGATAGTATCTTGTGTACATTGTATTTTACCAGGAATTGCAGGGAACTGCCGTCCTGCATACCGTAGCTCAAGATTACATTCGATCAGATCGGACCTAATCAGCGGGTTGCCTCATCCCAAAACGGATAAGGAAGTTCAGGACTCCTGGATGAATGACAAGTCTAGAAAGTAATCTTGATGCCCACGGTACAGGGCACCAGTGTACCAGGCATATGTTTCTCAATCGCAAATTTAGCCCGCCATCCCGAGCAGTGTCCCGGCATGAGCACTGCCGGATCGAGACGTTTCAAATCTGATACTGTACTCTGAATCTGCACATCGTCGCTCATGGCAAGATGGAAGCCGCCGACTACTGCATGGAGGGGGACATCGGTTCCGATGAGTTTGAGGGCGTTCTTTGTGGTGTTGACGACGCCGGCGTGGCTGCAGCCTGTGAAGACGACTATTCCTTTTCCTGTGGAAGATGAGATATGCTGAATATGATACACGCGAAACGAGCAGAAATGAGGAATCATGCTTACCTTTGATGTTACAGGCGAGAAAGCGTTCGTCCGCGATGAGTTCATCTGAGAACCAGTCGTTTTCCTCTGGATCATATCGCACTGCGTTCTTGAGACCAGTCTCGTAGGGCGTGAGTCGTGGAATCTCTCCAGAGATCAAGAACATGTCGTCGAGGACCGTGTGTGCCTCATCTGACTTGCTCACGACGGCACCAGCGTCGGCTAGCTCGTCAAAGGTGGGATCTGCCTCGAGAGATATGATGTGTTCTGGCAGAGCGATACCACGATACACTGGTCGATCTGGGTGTAGGTCAACTACCAGATCGTCCGTGCGGCCATGAGTCTGTTTAGCATCTTTGATCATGCGAATAGCTCGACAAAGGCCACCTGTACGAAGTCAGTATGGTTAAGGATGATAACATGTTGATGCGGTCGTGCCGTGGCCAGCATTACCTGAGTGATCTCGATGCCAGTGCGATAATTGGATCACCTCGACCGAAGCAAGATCTGGCCGTAACCGCTTCACATTCCTCTCCCACGCATCTTCTTCAGGACCAGCATCGAAAAGCACGGCATGCTTTGTATCTCCTTTTGTTGCAGTCTACATGATCACGGAGGCACCCACACCATCGGGCTGAGTATCAGCCAGACATTACAAGGATCAAAAGAGCACGTATTCGGCTTACCAACAATATGGACAATCCATGTGCAGAGCAACAGATATCTTCCATCTGCAACTCTCTGCAAGCACCACCACGATCAGTCAGTTTATGCATCGAGTTCAATCCGATGGTGCCCAAATTCCCGGCCACCTGGACGGTATTAGGTGCGGGCGGGGATAGCGGGTCTAGCTCATTATCGATGATGACGATGGCCTCAAGCGAGTCCACTTCTTGGAGATCGAGGAATTTCATTTTTGGAGATTCGACGGGTTGTGAAGATGGGAAGATGGGAGGAGGTGTTTTTCAGGTCAGATTTTGGGCTCTAGCTCTAGCCTTTGGACATAAATACGTCAGCTTGAAACGATTGCCGCGTGGTCCCGATGTACTCCTTCCGTGTCGGATCGCTGCGAGGCTGAATGAGAGAACCTCAATGTTGATTATTCGGTGGTCCGTGGTTGGCGACTTCGTGATGACAACCTGGAGATTGTGTGTCTAGAGGTTCCAGTAGTGGGGCTGGTGATGAACCCCGCGATGTCCACTTCAGATGCGTGTAAGATTGTGGTCAGTGGTTTCGTCAACGTGTGTTCAATCCTGTATATGATATTGACAATTAATCAGCCCGTTAGACAGATCGCCATGTAGAGATCCGAGGATCTAATGTGATCAAGATGCATAAAATCCGGAAGCTCGGCCATCCGGTGGATCCTCCTTGAAGCGCCCCCCGAAAGACTAAAATCAGGGCGACAATCGCCTCCCCTTCCACTCCGCACTCTCTCCACACTACCGCGGGGAATCGAATTCGAGCTCCTTCTCCGTCGACTGACCGACAACGAGCTGGTCAAGAGGCAAAGCATTCATTTTGTCAATCCGCGATCCTACCCCCTTTTCCAGCACGTCCTGAATCCCACCTTCCGCGGTCTCCTTCTACAAGTCTACACGGTCGCCACGATGCGCCTCTCTCTCGATCGCCTCCTCCTTCTCCTCTTCCTCGCCCTCACCCCCGCCAACGCCATCGGCCTCTCATGTATTAAAGTCGCCTCCGCACTAGTCGGCCGGCCGAGCCACTTGTTCGACCTCTTCCAGACCGAAATCTGTGAACGAGGCTGTCAACCGACCATCCCCCACTGGGACCTCTGGACTCGCAACAACAGCTTCGTCCCCGCCGTGCGCAGCCTGATGAAGCGCATGAATGTCCCACACAAAGAAGAGGCATTGCTCAAGATGGGCGACGATGTCGCGACCATCATCAAAGACCAGTGCGGGCCGATGCTGGGTGGACGACACATTTGCTCGGATCCGGTGACACTGGCGGACTTTGGCAATTGCTTTAAGCGCTACTTCTTCAAAGCGTCTCTTAAGCATATTCCCATTCTATTGCCCATGGCTTCGGATGCGGCGTGCAAGGAACAATATCAGTATCTACAGGGGGATGAATTGTGGGATGTGACGATTCCGAATAACATGCGCGAGTATGCGAGCGTGTGCAATCAGTTGGAGTCGGAGTCGGAGTCGATGCCGAGGCAGGAAGTAGAGGAGGAAGAAGTGAAGCATGAGGACTTGTAATTTATTGTTCATATATTCTTTATATATCACCACATATGAGAAACCATTTCGAATCACTTCTCATCTAGTTCTTGCTCGGGATTCCTCATTGGCCCGAGTCCGATTCTCCGAGATCTCCAAACTCCGCGGCGGAGATGCGGATGACGTCCAGATCGATCACATCGAAACTCCGCAACCCGGACTCTTTTCTCTTTCCTTTTCCTTCTCTTTCCAACCACCCTCTTTTGCGCAAAAGATATCTCCTCCGGCTCTCTTTTTCCCACCACCAATTCTGCCTCTACGCACCATGCGCTAATCGCATCCCACCAACTCTTCATGGCGCACGCGACGCTCGTCCGCTCCGGGCGGCTGCCTCTGACACCCCGACCTCTCGGCCTTTGGCGCCCTCTTCCCCGTCGCTCAGTCCACGCAGGCGAATTCCAACCCTTCCTCCCTCCATCACCAAGCTCACTTGGGAAACCCGCCCCCGCAAAGACCTACACCCGGACACGGAAATGGCTGCGGCGACTTTTCTACGCCTCCCTCGCCACTGGGATCGTCTACGGGGTTGACTCGCAATTCTACGCTTCGTCGCTGACAAGAACGGTCCGGACGTTCTCGGTGGGGTTGCTTGTTGCACTGGACTACAAGATCAACTTCCGGCCTCACCCCCCGCTGGCGAGTTCCATTGCGGCCGTCCATGCTCGCAACGCCGAGCGGTTGTCGGATTTGCTGCGTCACAATGGGGGGTTGTACTTGAAGATGGGGCAGGCGATTGCCATGCAGTCTGCAATTTTGCCTCCGGAGTTCCAGGCCATGTTCTCGCGCATGTTTGATGATGCGCCGCAGAACGAATGGAAGGAGGTTGAGAAGGTGATTCGGGAGGACTTTGGCAAGTCTCCCGAAGAGGTATTCGGAGTCTCCTTTGACGGAGAGCCCGGAAAGGGCGTGATGGAACGCAGGGCACGAGCGAGTGCCAGTGTTGCGCAGGTACACTGGGCTCGTTTGCAGGATGGCCGCGAGGTCGCAATCAAGATTCAGAAACATGAAATCGAACAGCAGCTCGTCTGGGATCTGTGGGCATTCAAGTAAGTCTCCGCACTTTGTCTATCAGTGAGTCGTCATTTGGCATTTGAGACTGACTATTTTTATAGAGTGGTTACCTTCATCTACAGCAAGCTGTTTGACATTCCTTTCTACAGCCTGGTGCCTTATATCAGCGAGCGGCTCTCACTGGAGACGGATTTTGAGAATGAGGCAACCAACTCGGAGACCATGGCCCGGCTGATTGCCGCAGAGCCTCGTCTACGTGATCGCGTTTATATCCCCAAAGTATACCGGAAGCTGAGCTCTAGGAGAGTCATGACTGCCGAATGGATTGAAGGCGTGCGGCTCTGGGATAAAGAGTCCATCACTCGTCCGTGGCGTGGTGGCTGGCGGGAGGGAAGTCCTGGATGCCACGGGACCCCGCTGGATTCTGCGAAGAGCACACCCGCACCACAAAATGCCCGACGTGGCCAGGCAGCCAAGCTCAAGCCCGAGCGAAATCACTGGAAGGGCCCGAACAACCGTGGTGGACTAGGCCTCTCTCTGAAAGATGTGATGACCACCATGGTTGACCTCTTCTCCGCACAGATGTTCCTCTTCGGCTGGGTCCACTGCGATCCCCATCCAGGCAACATCTTCATTCGCCGCAAGCCGTCCGGCCAGCCTGAGCTGGTTCTTATCGACCATGGCCTGTACATTCACATGGAGCCCACCTTCCGACACCAATATGCCCGGTTCTGGAAAGCCCTGCTCACCTTTGACAACCGCACACTCAGCGAGATTGCCAAGGGCTGGGGGGTCAACAACGCTGATATCTTCGCATCGGCAACGCTATTACGCCCCTACCGCGGTGGCGACATGTCCACGCAGCGCGGCATCGAAGGACTCAGCAAACGCGAGCGTGCCGAGCGCCATTACGAGATGCAACAAGCCGCCCGCAAAGCAATCCGCGAGATCCTCGGCGACGAGAACAAATGGCCCCGGGAATTGATCTTCATCGGCCGTAACCTGCGCATTGTCCAGGGCAACAATCAGTTCCTGGGCTCACCGGTGAACCGTGTAAAGATCACGGGAATATGGGCATCTCGCGCACTCGTCGATGCACCCGATCTGCCCTTATCCGAGAAGATCCGCAACCTCGGACGACATGTGGTATTCCGCCTCGTCCTGTTTTCTAGTGACGTGTTCTTCTGGTTCACCAAGATCCGGCAATTCCTGAGGCTGGGCGGTGGCATGGAGGATGATATCGAGGCGCAGTTGCAGAATATGGCCAAGGATATGGGTGTGGAGTTGAATCACAATGTGTTTGAGGGATAAGATCCCTCGCGCTATTCGTGTGTTCGTGTTTCGCGGAGATGGTTCGTCGGGTTTGGATTGTTTGTCGGCGTGGGAAGGGCGAGGTGATGGCCCTTGAGGTGAATCTGCGATCTGCTTCTACGATGCTTCCTCTCTACGATCAGAGAGAGGAATGGGATGTTGATTAGACGGGATCAGAACTCCTCTCATAGAAGAATTGGAAAGAATATTGATAGAGGATGTTGCAATCACTCTGGGTATGCAATCTGGAGCGCTATCCTACGATCTAGGAGGCTGTTGCGTAGGACTCGCTAGCGAATCTAAGATTCCCGCTTGCTCTTCATACTAGAAACCAACACAACACGACACGTGGGTCTACTCACCGAGGCTTGTCAAGACTAACACTGCGCAATGCCTGAAAGGTATTCACATTTGACAATTCATACCTCTCCTGGATCAACAAACGTCCGGTGGGTTCTCAAGAGGGTTACCCCGTCGTGATTGGTAGGATTGATCTTCAGGGTTGCAGAACATCCCCACTCCGCGGGAATAATAAGTGAGACCCTTAGGAGACTATGTACATCAAGCTCCACAGACTCCCAAGTGGGTATGTGCAGAAGAGTGAGCTGAGCCCTGTTAGCTGATTGTTACAATCAAGTGGAGTGAGTTTATCCTAGCCTGCAGGGTCCAACCTATATTTCACTCAATTGGGGAGGTAGAGAAAGGTTGACCTGAGGATAAACTGTAGTATACGCAGAATGTCTTGTTAGTCTTTCCTAGAGAAGACTTTTCACGCCCGGTGATGTGTAAGCATCAAGAACATGAGCAGAGTTAGAGGCGAGCGTAGAAACGGACCCTACCAGCGTTCTATCAATCTATAAATGGCGAGCCAGTTCACCCTCAATCATCCAATTTCAAAACACACTCAAGGATCTCAACCAACTATCTAAAGCATCTAATATCCCCACAAAGGTGAGCTCTTAAGTACGTCCTCCATTACATTGTATTCAGAGCAGCTCACTAATATCTCGATCATAGCCAACATCCAAAAATGAAGTTCCTCCCAACTATCGTCCTCCTCGCCTCCGCGGCCGTGGCAAACGCAGAATCTTTCTACGCGTACACTTGCTACGGCTGTGACTGCAACGCATACGAGGCCTTTGGCACCAACATCAAGAACACTTGTACCAACGTCGGAAGCGGTGCTGCTTCGTGGGGTATCAGTACCGGCGCTCGCAGCGGAACTTACTGCACCCTCTTCTCGGAGGAGAATTGCGGTGGCAGTTCCCAGAATGTTGGACACCATACTGGCCAGACTTGGGGATGTACCGACACGCAGATTGGATGGGTGAAGTCTGTTATTTGCTTCGATTGAGCGGCATACTAGCTCGCCTTTGGTGTTACCTTGTTCGGTCAGCGAGCGAGCGGGCTTGGAATTGGCCGGGGTAGATGGTTCCCTATGGAGGGCGTGGAAATTTGGGGAAATCGAGTTAGAGTTGATTTGGATACTTTTTGGTAGATATCACTGTCCTCGCAGATAGTGCAGACGTTCATTAGATTCTAGAGAAAGAAATGCAATCAATATACTGTGACTTGATTAGATGGGTTTGGGGAAATAGTATTAAAACTCTGAGAGGTACCGTTCAGACTGACTAGAGTGTTCCCTGAAGCTTAAGAATCAGTAGTAGAGTGTCTTACTCGGCAATGGGGCTGAGAGACACAGATTGATTTGTTCCCAAGGAAGATCCGAGAGTGGGGTTCTACATATGAGTGGTAGAGCTGATTTCGATCCATCCTGTGAAAACTGTATAGCGTGATACATGAATGCTAGATGATAGCAAGTTACTAAATGAGGAATAACGTTGTGCAATCTCTCACTCGGGCCAAGTTGATGTCTAAACGTCCGTAGAATAGCATATCGAAGCATTCAAAGCTTCTAGCAGGACACATGTATCAGAAGTGTATACCAGTTCTGGGATTGAACTATGGCATCCAAATTAAAGCATTCAAATAGATAGCGCCACGAGGGCCTAGTAGGCATCGTGGAAGCATTCCACATCGTACCTTCCTCTAGACGACACCCTTCTCACCCACAACTCCCATAAACATTCAACCCAGACCCCAGAATATCCTGATGCCCACTCTTCTTCCGATTCAAGGAACTCTGCGTCTCCCTCCCTTCCATCTTCCTCGCCTCCATCTCCTTATCTCCAACAGCCACGTCCCCCTCCCCATCCTCCCTCGCAAAATAAATCCCTTCCACCCCACCCTTCTCCCCCATCAAATCCCCCAACTTTCCCATCCGAGCTAAATACGCAGCACCGGTATCCGCCCAGACTTGATACTCGACGACCTTCAGGTTGCCTTTCCCCCGAGAATCATCACTGGCAGTAGCAGGAGAAGAGGGACTGGCTCCCGCCCTCGCCATGTCCACACCACCACCACTACCAATATCCCCACCTCTCTCCTCCGCAAGCGCAACCCGGTAGATGAACGTCTCTTCCCACCCCTGCCCGGTACGCTTCCACCTAAACCGTGCGCGTCCCCGCAACACAACGGCCATGCAGTCATCATCCACTAACCAGGTCTCTTCGGGCTCGAAGGTCATATTGCTGATGGAGAGGGACTCGGCTAGTAGCTCGAAGTACCGGGCTATACCGTCGGTGCCGGTGAAGGTGCGGCCGAGGAAGGGGGCTAGTTGGAGGAGACCATGTTCGTGGATAAACGGGGGTGGTTCGATTGTGAAGGTGGACAGGATGGTGGATATATAGGCTGGTGATGTAGGGGAGGATGTTAGGGCTGTGAGGAGGGATTGAACTGGGGAGAGGAGAGTTATGCGGGAGATCATTTTGGATGGAGATGTTGTTGTGTTTCTGTTTATTAGGAGATGGTAGGTGCCAATGTAGGTTATTAGATATGGTTTAGTAGTGTCTATGTTTGTCTTGAGAAGATGGAGCTATCGAAGAGTGTAGTTGGATCGGTGGAATGATGCAACTTACATAACCATGACGTTCCGAGGCTACACATACATGGCTCTTGATCACTCTCGGTTTAAGTTTCTTGCACAAGGAGAAAGGTATCAAGATAGATATCTCAATTTATGGCTAAGCCAGTTCGAGAGATATTCTCTCTCGTGCATACTCGGGGAAACAATGGCCCCAGTAATAGCCACGTCAAATCACTTTCCCCCCCAAAGCCCGCACCAAACTCCAGTGCCAGCCTCCATAAAGAAGGCAAGGGTCGCGAAACGCATCAGATAGGAAACTCCATCAAGAGTGACACAAGGAAAAGCAGATACAGAAGACACGTAGAAAGGGTAGCAGAATAAACCCTTCTTTTCCGACGGAAACAAGCACTTGCAGCCTTCTCCGACCAGCAGACCTCGTAGATAGACCCGTAAAGGTATCGAGATCGATAACTTCCACCTCTCATTCCAATCACTGGCGCCAGGACTTGCCACAGTTCACACACGTACAGAACAGAGTCATCGGTTCATCAGCACTGCGAGTCTGCGCCTCGGTGTAGGTCACCTTACGCTGGCCACACTTGCCGCACTGCAAGCTAGTACTGATACTGCGCTCTGGCTGACCCACCATAGCCTTGTCCATGTTCAACTTCTTGATCTTGGCATCGGCTTCGCGTTGCTCTGCCGACCGCAGCTCGTCCGAGGTCATCCGCACGAAATCATCCGGAGTGATCTCGCCTGCGAGCACGCGGGTACGCAAGTTCGGATTCGACTTGTTCTTCAAGTTCTGGAACAGACTGCGAATCTTGGTCCGGTATTGCTCCTTAGTCTCCGGGCCTAGCAGCTTGTATGCCGCATTTTCAACGGCAGATGCCTTGGCGAGCACGGTCTTGGGCGACTCGGTCGAGCCCAGACACAACCCATCGTACATCAATCCCGTGCAGCTGTCGCGCACTCGGTTCCCCGTCACGGCCGTGTCCACTCCATCGGCCTTCCATGTGCGCTTGTCTGGCGGCACGGACAATTTGGACGCCTTATCGGACGGGGTTGCCGCCGCGGGTGTGGATGTGCCAGTACCATTTTGTGCTGGCCGAGGTGAACTCGAGCCACGACTCGCTGCCGATGCGCCGCCCTGCTTCTGTTTGCTGACTTCGACCCGCCACTTTGACACGATCTCACTGGATAGCCGTGCCACCTCGGGGGACTTGTGTTGCTTGAATTTGTTGACAATGATACCGATGCGGGTCTGTCGCAGCAGGTCCTCGGTTGCCTTGACGCCTTGTTGGATCTCCTTGAGCATGTTGAGAATCGTGGGCGCAGGTTCATTCTGCGTGGCGGCCTTGGTCAAGGCTTTCGCCTTGGCCTCAATCTCTTTGGCATCCATGGCCGCGGGCGTGGAGAGGTGGGTGAAAAGAGCCGCTGTCGAGGCTGGTCGTGCAAGTACCGTGTACGATGGTGAAAGAGGAGGTTCAAGCCGGCTCAGCCTGTCTAGTGAAACCGTTAGTGAGATGTTTCAATACCTTCACGGCGTGATATCATTGTCGAAGATTCCGCGGAAGCCCGGTCTTGATCATAGTCAAGCAATCCTGCATGCACAGTCCTGTACTGGCCACCGGGAGGAAGAATGCATCGCGAGAAAGCTCTCTTGAATAATTTTCTTGCGCGCCGCGTCCGGAACACTGTCCAGACCGGAGCAGCCTGCAGTTTATCAAGTGGCACGTGCCCATCTTCCTACTTTGTTCATAGGAGTCGCGGAAGTACTAGGTTATCTGAGAAATGGATCCTCGATATAATGCGCTTCTTGAACGTGTTTGCGACCGCGGGAGAGTGGTGTGTAGGCGAGGGCAGAGAGAAGAGGGGCGCTTTGCGGGGACACTTACCCCAAGAGCACACTCGAGAGTCGTGTGACAAGGTAGCAAAACGAGTGCTTGTGAGTCGACAAAGAAACCAAGTGTCGAGAGAAGAGTCTGTGTCGCACGGGAAGGTTGACAGAATCTTGAGAGGCTAGAGGCGTGGGAAGCTCCGAGGTTCGAATGCCAAGACGAGGCTTCCCAATTCGGTAATTTCTCACTCCATCAACATGGAACTCTACAAGCGGACACGCGATGGGGAATGATACTCTACAAACGAAGCCGGAGAAATAATACTAAGCAAATGGTAATATTCAAGAAAGAGATGGTCGCCAGGCGAGGCTCGGGGTTGTATTCATATCTATATGGAGAACCTTTTGTTCCTCTATCCTGCCTAGACACCAGAGCTCAGAAGGGCTATGCATATGGTAAGGGTGATATCAATGGGGATTATGTGCAGTCATCATCATCAACAGGGTATATGAAGTAAGGGGAAAGTTTTGGAGAGATGGCGCCGGGTCGTCAATCAGAACCTCATCCCGTTGAGGGGTGATGAGCCTGGAAACCGACGAAAACCGCTTCATCCAAAGCAGATCGGAGCGGTGCAGGACGCTGGTAGTGACACCCCAAGACGCAGAGACAATCGACGACACCAAACTCCATCTCTCATGGGGAAAAAAGAAAAATCAAGGGCAGTTCAGTGGTCCAAGCAGATCTACAGACCAGTCTTGCCTAGAGCTTCGGCCAGCTCATCAACATCCTTGTCGGCCTTCTGAGCCACCGGCTCTTGCTCAGCACGATCGGCATCCTCGAGCACCTTCTCAGCCTTGGCCTCGACTTCCTCCTCCTCCTCCTCACTCTCCTCCTCTTCAGAACCCTCCTCCTCGAGCTCATCCAGCTCATCCACACCCCAGCTGTCCTCGGGGTCCTCATCGGTACCGTGCTCCTCCTGACGGGCCTCCAAAAGCTCACGCAGGTCAGCAATGTTGGTATCCTCATCCGAGAAGATGTTGCCGTTCAGTTCCACGCGGCGCAGGCTGGGGAGAGCAGTCTTGGCAGCGTGGGTCAGAGCCTTGACACCGTCGGCCTTGATCTCGTTGTATTGCAGACGCAGAGTCTGAAGCTCGGGGTTCTTGTTGGCGGCCAGAGCCTTGGCAACCTTGACACCACCACGGGCAGAGAGCAGGCAGTCACCAACACCCAGCTCAATCAAAGCAGGCCAACCCTCCAGAACGCTAGCCAACGCAGTGGATCCCACCACGGTGAAAGTGTTGTCCTGCAGATCCAAAACTTCCAGGGCGCTGCAATGGCGCAGGCCGTTCTTGAGCAGATACGAGGTACCCTCCTGGCGAATACCGTTTTGAGTCATCTTGACGGATTTCATGCCAGCAGCATGCTTCTCGTAAGCACGTGCCCACGCCTCCATACTACCATTCTCCAGGCGGTTACGTCCGCAGACGATGCTTTCCAACATAGCGACCTCCTTGCCCTCCTTGCGAGCCTCCTCCTTGCGCTCGGCAAGCTTGCTCAGAGCATCGGCGATCAGGGTACCAGCGGCGGGGCCGAGACCGTTGTTGTTCAGGATAAGGTGGCGGAGGGGGACGTGACGGGAAAGGAAATCGACGAGGGGCGCCTGCGTGTTGAGACCGAAAGCATTGTCGGACAAGTTGACGGTGTGAACGGAGGGGATCTCGAGAAGAGCGTCCAGAAGCGACTTCAAAGCGGGAGGGATCTCGGACAGGAGGCGCGAGGTGAAGATATCGGCGAGCTCGGCAACTTCGAGGCTCTTTTGGGTCGCGAGGACGGTGGCGAGGCGCTCCGATGCACCAACACCCAGGGTGTTACCGCCAAAGCGGATCTCGGTGTAGTCGGTAAACTCAACAAGAGGTTTGATGTGGGCATCAATGTCCTCCGCGGTGTCGAGCTTGAGACCCTTGCCCTCGAGGGAGAAGACCTTTGGAGGGGCCATGGCGGGGTAGTGTGTAGTTCAGGGGAAAACAAAAGAAATTGTGTTGTAGAATTGGAAATGGGACTTGGACGAATATGAACCGTGAGAAGGAAAGAAAGAGCAATGAAGAGCAAGCTCAATGAGTGACAAAAGTCCAGATGTCCAGGAGGGCAGGAGAGGGGGGCAAAAAGGGAAAACACTTAAGGATGTTTTTGTCGATAACAAAAAAAACCCACTACGGTCGGTGGAACGGACCACATGCGCTGGATTATTAATGTTGCGATGAGACCATCGCTGTTGCTCCGACATCTTTCGTTCTCTCGCAAGCCGTTCCTTTTTGACACTCATTCGCTCACGTATTGTCTTTCTACTGCATTGATCAAACCTCCGAAATGTCGTGGCTCTTCGGTTCCTCCAGTGGTAAGCCTGAATACCCTCGTATATGCACACCCGCAGATCCGCTATTCAACGCCTACCGGTGCAATGCGCAAGGGCGAATTGCGCCAATGGACCAAGCAACCTATTCCGCTAACATTTTCCCCTGGAAGACAAAGCTGCCGCTCCTACCGAGCCCAAGGCCCAGCCTGCCCAGACTGAGAAGCCCAAGGTAAGTTCCTCCAGGAGACAGTGTCTGTCATATGAAGCGAAGAGCGAGGACATTGACCAACTCTACCATTTCTTTATAGCCCTGCTGCGTCTGCAAAGACGAGAAGACCGCCCGCGATGACTGCATGCTTTTCTCCAAGTCCGATGACCCCGCCAAGGAGTGCAAGTCCATGATCGAGCAATACAAGGCCTGCATGCTCGGCTATGGCTTCAAGGTCTAGACAGTGGCGGCGTCGATCGTTGGCTTGTTCCATACTTCAACTGTACTATAGCATTTTGGCATCTACTGGGTGGAGTTCTTTTCTTTCATTTGATGGATATCATGGGACCTTACCTATCCTAAGTGGTAGCATAAGACCCCGGACCTACACTGTACTTTATTTCATGTTGGATAGAGAGTAAGAGCAAAATATCATCTCATCTCCTAGAGCACAATCGGATTATCAACGAGATCGTCTGTCAGAGTTTTTCTAGCATCAAAAATTTTCCATGATAATACATTGATGAATGGGGTATCACTGAAGGCGCATGCCTTCCAAGAACTTGCTTACTGCTTCTTCTTTCGGCTTCCCTCCTCGGCTGCCCGAAGGTCGATCTCACGACACTGGGCGATGAGATTCCACATACACCAGAGATAGGCCAGTCCAAATCCGGCCGCACCGATCAAGGCATTGAGAACTACCCATAGATCTGGTTTGCCGGCAGGCGGAGGCACACACGCCTCTAGGATATGCCAGCCAATCATGGCCAAATAGAAGGCCAGATGCAAGAGCTTGCTAAAGATATGCGGCTCAAGGGGGGTCTCCTCAAGCGAAGCCCGGCTGCGAAAGATCTCGAATGAAGTGGGGGGAAGACCCATCAGGTAGGCCCAGAGGAGAGTCATGACAATGTAGGGCAACCGAAGCTCTTCACGCTTCAAAAGCGGATACATGGTCCATGAGCCCAGAATATTAGCCCAGCCGACCCACGCACGGTTCTGTTTGCTTAGCCCACCATCACCAGCCAGGGTAAGGGTCATAGGCAGGAGAGGAAGCAGAACGCTCTTCTCGTGCACTTGGAAGGAGAAGAGGAAGAAGCCCCATGAGACACAAGAAAGAGCAGGAAGGAGAAGAGAGGCCCGGGGGTGGCGGAATATGATGGCACAAGGGACAATGATCGAAGCCAGAGTGGCCCCGAGGGACGCCCGCTGTAGTAGAGAGGCCTCGAAGCGGTGGAGCTTGTAGAACGTGTGGATAGCGCACCAAGCATTAGCCACTTTGTCCTCGAACAGACCACGAGCGAACGGGAACACACGGTGGATAGTTTGCGTGATCTGGAAGAGTACAGCATAAGCTATGGACTTCTTATCGAGAGAAATCGGTAGCGATTGCAGCAACGGAGGCTGTGGCGAGGACGCAAAGAGTTCTCGAGCCTCCGTGCTCGTAGCTCCATACAGAAGCGGGGCAAATAGCAATGCAAATGCGGCGAGGGTTATTAGAGCAATATTGAGGAGCCGAAGGATACGGATGCGGGGGAAGACACAAACGCCCAACAAATAGGCAAACATGACGGGAGCATAGTATAATGCCATCTGCTTGAAGCCCAATGCGCCGACAAAGAAGAGGCAAGCCCAGAGCATCCGTCCGGCCAATATGGCATCCAAGCTGGCAACCATGAGACCTAGCATCACCGTATTGAATTGAAAGTGACCATGATCAATCAAGATAGTGGCCGGTTGGAGGAGGATTGCAACGAGGGCGATCGAGGCGGACCATGCGTGCACTCCATGCATGCGAGTATACCGACGAAGGAAAGTGACGACGGCGGGGACGTATATTAAATATTCGGAGACGAGGACGGTAGCACGCATATAGACCTTCAAGTCCGGGCCCTCGATCCCTCGGGACTCATCTAAGGCGAACCATGTAGGATCAAAGGCCGAACCACTTTGTTAGTTAGCAAAGGCCTTGTTGTAGAAGCTAATCTTCATATATAGAGAACACTTACATCTTGCCGCATAACCAGCTGTGGTATGCAGTCAATGGGGGGTAATCCAGGCCCCAGTACTGCAGATCGTAGAGATACCATTGAGCCATTGGCAGATGGGTGGTAATTTCCATCCAATGCCTTTGCGCCTCGAAGTCACCGTGCATTGGAGAGACATTGAATCCTATACTCCGTTAGACACGAAGCAGTCCATAGAAGAAGTGCAATTTCCATACCAGAGTAACCCCACAGACTGACGGCCCATCGGAACAAGCCAACGGCCATGAGCGTCAAAGGCAGGATCAGCCATTGCGAGACGCCAGCCCGTGCAGCCCAAAGAAAGGAGACCAGGGGAAATGCAGGCAATTGTTTCCCATCTCCGAAATCCACGATCAAGCTATTGTTGGAGCCCGGCGATGTTGGGTTTCTTCTCTTCTTGCGGGGACGGTGCGAGGACGGAGTTGGAGGGGCCATCACGATACTGGCCAGGTGGCTTCAACACGGCCCATTGACCTCAAGAGGCGGAGAGAAAAAAAAAAGGAGAGTCTGCGATACGAAATCAGTCCGGGGGAGGCGGCGAGAAGTTTGATCTCAATGGACGTTCAAAGTATAGAGACCAATGGGACCACGGTGCAGCAGGATCAGTACGGGAGACCACAAGTACCACTGGGTGACATCTCAAGTGCCAGTCGCAGGGCGACTTTACGAGTGGAAGAGGAGTTGCCCGAGGTACCCGCCACGTCTCCACCGAGTGTCCACCGAATTTGCTGGGCAGTGCCTGAGCCTAACGCCCTGGGGAAGGCGGAGAGCTGTTCTGCCGGATGCCGATTTTTTTTTCTGCAGACTTTTTTTCTTATCAAGAGCTTCCCCCAGCCCTCGTATCTCTTTTTTTTTTCTTTCCTTCTTCATCCTCCCCAACCCTTCTACACTCTCTGCTATCACTTCTCCGTGTTAGCATTTCCTCTCTGAAGCATCGTATTAACGCTTCTTATCTCAATAAGTACATTACTCCCTTCCCCTTCCCCCACTAACTGACGCAGCTGCGTGGGTTCCGTACTTTCAAAGTACTTCAACAGACATTTTAAGTGGGCTTTTCACATCGAGGGCTGTGGGCTTCAAAATACTGCACATCTTGTGGGCTCTGTGGGACATTTTACATTCCTCGTGGGTTTCATTTCAGATCAGTTGCGTATCTGTGCCGGTCTCTGTGGGCTTGAACTCTGTCGGTTGCGGGTTACTTGTTGGGCATCTACCAGCTGTGATCAGATCACTCCTGGCTGTTTCTATCTCCTGAGGGTTCATCACATTTCTCCATTCACATTCAAAACCAAGAAAAAAAAAACTTACACGGGTGGCTATTGAGGGATTTGTTGGCTCTGCCGCACAAGAAAAAAAAAAACAAGCAAACAAACTCACTTGATATTCTACCACTGTATGTGGGATGTGAAACAGACCCTAGGGCCTCGTGACACGATTGCTAACATGTTTTCTTCGCTTTAGATCACAATGTCGAAGACCAAGGTTTCCTCCAAGGTTGACAAGAAGGCCACCAAGGCTGTGTCCAAGGTCAAGGACACTGGTGTCACCAAGGCTGCTGCCTCCCCCGCTGCCAAGTCCAAGGTCGCTGCCAAGGAGAGCAAGACTTCCAGCAAGAACAAGAAGAAGGAGCCTACTCCCAGCTCCTCCGAGTCCGAGTCCGACAGCGATGAGGACATGAAGGATGCTTCCTCCTCTTCCGAGAGCGAGAGCGAGGATGAGAAGCCCGTGAAGAAGGCCTCCAAGAAGGTCGAGAAGAAGGAGGAGTCTTCTTCCGAGGAGTCTGACTCTTCTGAGTCCGAGTCCGAGGACGAGAAGCCTGCCCCTAAGAAGGCTGCTAAGAAGGAGGAGTCTTCCTCCGAGTCTGAGTCTGACTCCGAGTCCGAGTCCGAGTCCGAGGATGAGAAGCCTGCCCCCAAGAAGGCTGAGAAGGCCGCTAAGAAGGAGAGCTCCGACTCTTCCGACTCCGAGTCTGAGTCTGAGTCTGAGTCTGAGGATGAGGCTCCCGCTAAGGCTAAGAAGGCCGAGAAGGTATGTCTCAATATTATTATCTAACGCTACCTTATTGCCCGAACATATCACTAACCTTTCTCTTCACAATAGGAGTCCTCCGATTCCGAGTCCGAGTCCGGCTCTGACAGCTCCGACAGCTCCGACTCTGAGTCCGAGGCTGAGGAGAAGCCCTCCAAGAAGCGCAAGGCCGAGGAGGAGCCCGTCGCTGCTGCCAAGAAGTCCAAGACCGAGGATGCCCCGGAGGGTGCTTCCTCCAACCTGTTCGTTGGTAACCTGTCCTGGAACGTTGATGAGGACTGGCTCCAGCGCGAGTTCGCCGAGTTCGGTGAGCTCACTGGCTGCCGTATCGTCACTGACCGTGAATCTGGCCGCTCTCGTGGGTAAGTTCTCATATATCTTTTGTCTCGTATCGTGCATGATTTTCTATCAGACTGCTAATCCTCATTTCCTTCATAGCTTCGGTTACGTCGAGTACTCCAGCGCTGCCGATGCCGCCAAGGCCTTCGAGGCCAAGAAGGGTGCCGAGATCGATGGCCGTACCATCAACCTGGACTACGCCGTTGCCCGCCAGAACAACCAGCAGGAGGGTGGCCGTGAGCGTGCTCAGACCCGTGCCAAGAGCTTCGGTGACTCTACCAGCCCCGAGAGCGACACTCTCTTCGTTGGCAACCTGCCCTTCAGCGCCTCCGAGGATGCTCTCCGTGACGTCTTCGGTGAGCAGGGTACCATCCTCGGTATCCGTCTGCCCACCAACCCCGACGATGGCCGCCCCAAGGGCTTCGGTTACGTCCAGTTCTCCTCCGTTGAGGAGGCTCGTAACGCTCACTCCCAGCTCCAGGGTGTTGACGTTGAGGGCCGTTCTCTCCGTCTGGACTTCAGCACTCCCCGTCCTCCTCGTGAGGGTGGTGGTGGCTTTGGCGGCCGCGGCGGTGGTCGCGGCGGTGGTCGCGGCAGCTTCGGTGGCCGCGGTGGTGGCCGTGGAGGTCGTGGTGGCTTCGGTGGCCGCGGCGGCGGTGGTGGCTTCGGCGGCCAGGGTGGCTACAACAAGGCCAAGGGCAGCATCCCCGAGTTCAAGGGTACCAAGGTCACCTTCTAAGCTCGGAGCTTCCTTGCCTTTGCTTTTTTCTTGCTAACTGACACGATCATCATTTTGCACTTTTTTGCGTGTAATGTGGGCCAGGGGTTTTAAAAAGTTTCTGTATTCTCGATAGTCTCTGCATAGGCTAAATTGTAATTTCATACATTTCTTCATTCAAGTTTCTTGCCAAGCGGTAGTCCATCCTCCTTGTATATTTAGACCAACCCATTAACCTGCTCTTGTGTGATGCAGTCCTCCGGGAACGAAATCGAATACTGCCCATGTTCACCGCCCAGCTTCCCCGCAATTTACCTCTGTTATGGTTTGGCGTCAACGATTGCAGAAGAAGGGATCCCCGGCAAAAGTTTGAACATTTACCCTGTCCAATTCCAGTTAGGTTTCAATCTCCCACATTTAACCTTTATTCCTTACTGACTTCGACATCATTACTTTTTTGATCTTAATTAACTATTAGGTCATCACTTTTTCCTATGTTAACGAACTACTTACCCGCCCTCTCCCCCTCGCATTCATCGGTGGTTTCCGTCACGGGCCACAAATCACCTGTTCCGTCTGCTGATCACCTCATCATCCACTCTTCAACCCACTCACTCTTCACCCCCCCCTTTCTTCGCTGCCACTTATTCAAGTTCTTGGTCTCGACATTTTGTACTTCGTGGGCTCTCGTCTCTTCTCCTCTTGTCTGCCGTTGCTTCAACCCTTGGCTGCAAAGACGACCAAACACGGTAGGGATCATAGGCAGCCAAGGTCCAGGGTTGGGCATCAGCGATGGGGGTGGATCGTCGCATCTCCACTTTGATAAGATAACTTCATTGTCCTCTTCCCCACGCTTGACCGCTCTTGTTCCTCGCACCGGGTGGCCTGACCCCATCATCATTTACTTCCCTTTTATCATCTCCTCTACTTACATACTCACTATCCCCTACTCTACTCCCCTCCACCTCCTCTATCTCTCCTCTCTGTGGCCATGCAACCGAATCACTGCGACCTTCTCGGTCAGGTGCGCGAGCCCAGAGCCGCAAGTCAACTGATGCGCGATGGCCAGCCGCGCGACCAACATGGCCACGCTGGTCAGCCTCGATCGTCTGGTGCGGTACCCATGAGGTCAGAGGGTAGGTTGTAGTTCTTTTATACTCAGTTCCTGCATGAATTTATTTCCGTTGTTTTCCTCCTCCCTGCCGATTCGACTTTCGTCATGTATAAATTGTTTCGCCTCGCCCCTCTATTTCGCAATGTACTCACTACGATATTACATAGACTCTTGGATCGAAGTCTCATCCCAACCCTCCTCCTCATCTCTGTCCTCTGCAGCGACCAACGACGATATCATAACGACGGGCCTCCGAGTGGCACATCGTGAGGCAGGCATGTATCAGCATCGCAGTCGCCGACGGCGCATGCAGCATCTGGCTGCCGTGGCCACCGCACAGGTGGATTACTCGTCGCGGGAGGCTAGTCTGGCAAGTAGCAGCCAGGAGGAGTACGAAGAGAGTGAAAGCGAGTCAGACCCGCCGATGAGCAGCTCGAACGAAGAAATCAACCGTCCCGCTCGGCCCAGTTTGCTACCAATGCCCCCTTCACCTCACTCCGATGACGCCGATAGCGATGATGAAGATGATACATCCACAGCCTTGGGAATGGGGATTAGTCCATCACCATTCGTCCCACAACCCAACGTCTTCTCCCATCCACCTCCAACGTCCGACCCGTCATGGACTCGTCCTACCGAATCTCGACGCTCCCAACCCAGCGTCTTGTCAAACTCCAGCCGGCGCACCGCGATCCGTCGAGAGTCCTACCCCAGCACACGTGGATCTCGTCGATCCCAACAGTCCCAACACAGCCCTTATAACGTGATCTCGCCTTCTCATCACGCCGACCACGACGCCGCGCTCCGCGCTAGTCTCTCTACTCTTTTGTCCTGCGCAGCCGCCGCCCGAGGGCTCCCCAAGACCGACTCTCCCCGCTTGCAAGCAAGTCCCCCGGCCGCAGCTCCACCAGCATCGTTCAGGCTGGTCGGTGAATCTGTCGCGATGGGCGATGAAGACAGCGGCGAGGAAGGCCCGTCCTCCCCCCGGTGCATGGAGACCAGCCCCTCAGTGGGTCCGCCCCGCCGTAGACATCCCACGTCTCCATCCGGCCCAGCCGTGTCCAAAGCAAAACGTCGATCCGCCTCTCCCAAAGACCGCAGCGTTGCCAAGAAGAGCCGGCGAGCTAGCTTGTCCGACTCGGCAGCTCCCGTCAGTCCCACGGTCATGACGTGGGTTATTAGTGCAGGTGTCGTCGTCCTCTTCTCTGCTATCAGCTTCTCGGCGGGATACATGCTTGGCCGGGAAGTTGGACGAACCGAGATGGGCATGATGGGCGAGGGTGGCGTCCCGGGGGCACGATCTTCGGCCGCCTGCGGACAAGAAGCAGTCCGTGGTGGTCTTAAGAGACTGCGATGGGGCACTGCTGCCGCTGGATCAGCAAGTTTGGCCTGAGGAGTTAACTCAAGAACATGGTCCAACCTGACCATGTCAAAGAAATGGCCCGCGATTTAATACGTTGATAACGAGAACTGCTATGACAATGACGGGAGACGATGCCATGAAGGCTATACCCCCCTGCTCTTACCTTTGTTTTTTTTCTCTATTTGTTGATATCCCTTCTTTCCGTTTGATTTCGTGGAGGAACAACAACACTTTTCCAGTCTCACTCTCATTTCTCTCATTTCTCTCACCTTTTCGTATTATTGATGCTCCCCTATGTTGATTCGACAGTCCTGTTTTCAGCAGTAAGTGTGTTCCAGGTATCCGAATACCTGACGAGCTACTGCCTGCCAAAACTTGGGTGATTCGGTTGATCTTGTCGCTGAATGGGGTTTCCCACTCCTGGTGTTCTGGCGTTTGTCATTTTCTTGTATATCGGTTCGGTGATGGTGAGTCGTGGTAGTGATTAAGTTGTTCATGGAGTTGATGTTATCTCGTTGACTTGGAATCTACAACCCTTTTGATCTGACTTCCCTTAGGCTGGTAAGTGGCGTTGTTGTAGAATTGGTAGATTCTTGGATTGGTACTAGAATGGATACGAAGGGAGAGTATACAAAATGATACTAGCAACAACTCTGCCAACATATATTATTGGGCTACCTACCGTCCTTGGGATTTGAGTAATGCATTACAGCGCAGGACTCGAATCTGAATTACACGCTGCATTACCTGGCCACGGTGCGGTCGGTAACGGGGATGCGATGATATTTGTTCCGGGGGTGATGTAATATGGAGATTGAGGGGAGAGCCATGAGGAATTAGTATGGGTATACCGCCGAGGGGATATGTGAGCCGGCCGGATATTGAATGAGGATGCGGAGGGATAAGTGATAGATAAAATGGCTGAACTCCGAAATGCGTGTGTGTGTTTAGGATGTGTGATTCGTATCTAGCAAGCCCATTGCGAGATGGCGTGACTCAGGTCTATCAATCTGCACCGAGACATATCTTACAAACAACTGTGTGATGTGTGAAGGATGCAAGCAACGGGACAGGCCGTGTACGTGTACCTGCTGTAGGCATGCGGATGTCAAGAAGTAGGGCCGCGAGGCTCTCGACTACTTTTCAAAACTTGGCATCATAATTTCCTCATCTTGATAGGTCGCTCACATCCGTTCTTATCAAATGACGCAACCTCAGGATTCATGGTTATTGAAACGAGATAAACCTCTGTAAGCCCGCAGCGTAAACAGGAGGGTTGCACCGCATCTTCAAATGGAGTCTTGAACGGTTTCTGCGGGTATGTAGATCATTGATTAGTCTAGCACATACTACCCCGATGCAGTCTATAGTCTATCAAGATAGGACAAAAGAGCAGGAGTGATAACCCGGAGAAGCGATGAGCGAATAATCAGACGTACAAGGTGCCATGAATATGGTCATCACTGGAGTGGTTCCCTACGGAGTGCATCATGGTAGTCTAAATCCAGGGCTGAATAGTCGGAAACAGAGTTATCTCAAATACCCTGCCTTGATTCGGATATCAATTTTCACCTGCTCTGCATAGTTACTACCCTTTATTGGATCCGCCCTGACGGGGCCGCACTATTGGATCTGCACGGGTCGGCCCTCGCACGTAACCGGGCGCACGGAGTCGGGGGTTGGGGTTCGGGGTTCTCCTGACGAGATATGCGTTGATTTTGATTCTGAACTTTGTGTTCCATGTCTTATATAGAGTCAGTTTAATTTGACACTAACACGAGGGAGGGCATACAATCTTTCTTGTCAAATTGGAGGTTCCCCGGTCCCTAGGCCTGAATAGTATCAGTGCTACCAGTCGTCGCAGCGTTGTAAGACGCGCAGTTCTCGACCGGTATTTCTCTGCACTACCGTATCCTGTCGGTAGTCTCAACTTGATTGCGGTATTATACTCGTAGATCCATATCCATCCCCCCCCCACTGGAATCCTATCTCGTTGTAGATCCCACACCCCCTGGCGGTTCAAACCCGTAACTCGTGGGGGTCTTAAACCTCTTAATTCATTCAATTGATAATTGATGTATCCCACACATCACAAATAATCAACAAACCCCTCATCTCCAGAGATATCACGCAACAACTCTGACGTAGACACACATAGATAGTGCAAGATCTCCCTCATTCCCCCTGATCACGTCTCCATCCGTGCGGCGTGCAAGGACCAACGAGAGTCATGGGGACTCGCGGGGTATTGCTTTTTTTTTTTTGGCTGGTTGGCTGGGGCAGGTAGATGTACGGAGTACATACAGTCACACGGCATGTCGATCATGGTTCCCGGTTTCCGGGTTCGCAGGGTCTCCCCCGTTGGGTTGCTACCGTAGCACTTGCGTGGGGATGGGGCGAGCTAAGTTACTCTGGGCTAGTTGAGTCTGGGGAAGGATCCGCGCTTGGGAGGGATACGGTTCAGGATTGAGGGGTATTCCTGTCGTGTGAGGATGGATGTGTAGGGATGAGTGTTGATTTGTAAGGGAGAGATTTCACTACGTTAGAGGCTCGGATTCACTGTGAGTGAGGACATAGGGTAGGGACGTGACATTGAAGGAACCCTAGGTATTCGAGAGATAATACCGGATGATAGTGTGATCAAGTCAATATGTATGTATTTCATAACCAAGTAGGAGTGAAGAGTCTCCCTTTATTTGCACAACTATATACAGTGTTCCTCGAGGAATGCATCTCCAATCCTGCCCTCCCATTAATGCAAAGCCTAATTCGAGCAATTGCCCATTGCCCAAAGTCAAACTGACAGTATCCCAAATATAATAATCCAAACTCCTCGCTAACACATCGCTATGACACAAGTGACAAATGGACCCAGAATGAGTCCGCCACGAAAAAAAAAAGCAAGGCCACACTCGTACAGTGGCCGAGTGACTCGCAGCCACTGATGAGACAAAACATATGAAAAGCAAAGATTCAAGTCAGGTGTTTCCCCCGCTCGTTGGGGCCTGGAGTGTCCATCACCGGATGAACGGTGCGTAAATCGAGAAAGATTTGTAATTCGAACAGTAGAAGTAAGAAAAATAAAAGGATCGTAGGTCGTGTAACTTTCGAGGGTCGAATGATGGTATCGGAATCGAATGGAATCGAATGAAAAGAAAAAAATGATAGAGAATGGAATGATATCGGATGATCCGATAATTAAGTAGTCGCCCCCGACCGACGACGATTCCTCAATTCCTCACGACTGAGAAAGCGACGTAGTTTTGACAATTTGGAGACGAAGCGACAGGGGATTTCTGCAGGGCCGTTAGTAAAACTTGTAATATCACAAGGAAGTAAAATTGATGAAACGCACCACTACCTCGTCGTGGCGTAAAAGGCGGCTGTTCCAGCGGTTGCGTGGTGTACGCGGAAGCCCAGTAGTCCGTGTGACGGTAGCCGGTGAAGGTGCAGCTGTCCGGGTTGTACTGCGGCTGCAGGGCAGTGACATGCGGGTAGAGCGTTGCGAGCGGAGAGAGGAGCTCGTCTGGGGGCGGCGAGCGTCGACTATCGATGCTGTCGCGGGTAGTCTAAGGGTTTGTCAGGTCGGGCATTCATAGAGAGATTGGGTTGGGGGAGGGGTTTCGGTGTTGTCCGAACGTACATAGAGTTCGTAGTTGGTCTTGTAGATCATTGTGGGCGTCGACGAGTGGAGGGGTATGTATAGAACGGGATGTGGAATGCGGACGGGACGGAGACCGCCGAGACAGAAGAGTCCAAGTCAATCGCGTGGATTGCGACGGTAATGTGCACAGTACGTAGAGCGAGGGATGTAATGGATGCACCGAAGGGTCAATATGGAACAGGGCCAATGCCAATGCAGGCTGTGTTGCGGGCTTTGAAGTATACTAGGTACTAGGATATTAGACCTTGAGAAGTCGGAACTTGCGATGCGGGTTGAAGTGGTTGGGATGCAAGATGCAAGCGCGGCGAAGCTACATTTAAAGAAGCGAGATCGGGTCGAATGGCTATGGGTATGGGCTATGAGGGGCCGTCATCATGGACCCTCAGCCGCAGGCTCCAGAGCGGGGACGGGCAGGGATCTTGGAGTGATTTGCATTTCTGAACGGGGCTAGTCTTTAGTGCCGATAGTGAAATAGGAATAAAATAACTGGAATTGTGGCAGTGGAAAGTGTCAAAGTATCCAGGTCCAGGAACCGGGTCGAGACAAGCGAGATGCGACCATCGAGACATCGAGACATCGAGACGAAGGCCGATGATTGGATGTGCGGAAGGGGGCTCGGGCGTAAGCGTCGATTGGCAGCCGATCTGTCGGAGAGCCCGAGAATGGACGGACGGGGATCAGGGAAGGTTGAATGTCATTATTGGAATGCATGATTTTTGAATTTAGCAAGGACCCCGTACGATTGGTTCATCTTGCTGGTACCTGGTTGTGCAAGTGGGGGCTAATATAGTATCAAGATGACGTCGTGATATGATTGGTGTCTTAGCCGGGCAATACGAGATCTGATCGCATATTGTTAAAAAGTTGAAATCAGGTCAGCCACCTAGGAGATCTAGGTAGGGAATCTCTACGGAGTACAGTGAGAAAGAAGTGAGGATTACTATGGAGATAATAGGCAAGTAGTAAGTAGGGACATCCCTGCCAGAGCTCATCTTCTGGCTTGCAGCCCCCAACATGCTCGTTTTCCCTCATCTCCCCCCCCCCCTTTCCCCCTTGCAGCATTGTGCAGGTCGCCACGTTATCGAGAGCTTTATCGTGGCCGCAACTATGTTTCTCCCACGGGTCCTACGCCACGCTCCGGGATTTGAATTTTGAGTTAGTGATGATCATGAGAATGATGAGGATAATCGGTCCGAGGACACGAAACTAGGCCTGGCATCGTCACGATAGGATTAGGGTTGCCCCAGATCTCTACCATGCAGTGATTATTGTGTTGATGATATGATTTCACTGTGATTTCACTTTCTATTGTTTCTTGCGACGCTGTTCCTGGATCAGGCAATGGCACCATTGTCGTCGTCAACCCCCAAAGTCACCACCTTTGATACAGCCCAGTCCAACTCCGAAGCGACTTTTCAAAAGCCGAGCCCGAGATGAGGTGAGATGTGCGCCCACATCCGTGGGGGAGCAGATTCTTGCCTCGTCAAAGAGTCAAAGTGGGGCGGCGTCAAGAATGTTGCACAGGTCAATCCTCGCGAGGCGCCCCAGAGCAAAGAGTTTAATCTAGAGTCCTTAACATTCCTTCCACTCCCTCGTGCCCCAGTCTCCAGCACGCATAGTTCCAGGTATGCTGCAGCGACCGAGACGGAAATCTAGACTAGCGGCCAGGCCTGACCGGCATGACCAGGTGCCTAACACGAGAAAATGTCACGATAGGGAGATACAGGGTAGAAATGCGACCAGGTCAATGTGTAAATCTGGATGCTTATAGCGAGGGTACTCCGCTTTCTCTGCATGCACCAGCCACGCGAGGCATGACAAGCCAGGGCGGATAGCGAGAGGAGCCAGATTTCGCAAAGAGACGGAGATCCCCCGATCCCCAACCTTCGTCTTCCAAATCATTCCGAAACCTTGATCCTTGGTCATCACTCACTTGTTCACCTTAAACATGATCCTAGTTCATTTAGTACTGGAGTTAGTGGGTGTCCGACCCCGACTATTGGGACGCTAATCGGCTCTGATCTGATGCTGGCGGCTGATTGGTGAGGATCCGGGGGCCATCAACGCTGCTAGAAGTTCAGTGCACAATCTCATTGTCAATGCCCACTAGGGCAGATGGAAGTCTAACTAGGACAAGGATAGCCTTGGGTCAAGAGGAGCGAGAGATGACCAAACTGACCAGAAGGGGAATAGTTCCAGAGATTTAGTCCATCCGGAAGGGGAAAAGATAGCCTTGGAGAGGTTGACATCATCAGGCACAAACACTGCACGGACCATGTACTGCCTCAGCCACACCCCCCTTGCTATTTGGGGATAAGCGCACGAGCCACAAACTCGGCCACGCCGTGGCTAGTGCCTGTGGACCCCGACCGAACCGAGGATCAAAACCGATAGTTTACTAAACACATCCGAAACAAGAAAAAAAAATCATAGTTGACGATCCTCACTTCTTGGAAAGGAAGAAAAAAAAAATTAAAAACCTTGGGCGCCAATAAAAAAAACTGTGGCTCAAGCTGGTCCTGTGGCTTGACCATTTGTCGCCTTACTCGATAGTCTCCTCATGCTCAGATCCACCCGCCGTCAACCCCGAACTAGTCCGCCCTTGATCTTCAAATGTGATCGTGTTTGGCATCACCCACACCGACCCAGATGGATCCCCCTTCCTTTCTTCGGCCTGGCCGTTTCCATGTGTCCGGGGAGCTATAAGGCGTTGGTGACCGCCACCCTGAAGTCAATGTTTTGGTCACTACAGAAGCTTCCCCTCCTCTCTATCCATTATCGATTTGGTCTTGTCATAGCTAAAGCTTAAGCTATACCTAGCTTCAAGTTGAATTTCACTGTGCAGTGACTCGTTATCTTTTTTTCCAACTCATGTCGAGTGCCGACCATGTCACTGAGCATGCAGGGTTCCGGAAGAGAGTACTGGGAAAACTCTCCACGTATGGACCTACACGATCATTGCTCGCGAGAGCAGCATCCTGCTACAAGTATGTTTTTTCCCCCTTAATCTTCAAGCTATTACTCTATTTTTTCCCTTCCTTCGTTGCGTTCTATTTAATCCCGATTCCAATACCATCATGTCATACTATATCTCTATATACCACACTCTCTATATCCATGTCTCTATCACAATCCTTCACCACCATGTATCCCCACTCCCATGACAAGCATTCTGAGACCGCTCTCCCACCCAGGATCCATCCCGCTCGACGCTGAACGCTCCTCCGATAGGCGCGAGCCCCATTCACTCACTCAAGACGAGGGCATGACCGATGCCGAACCGTCTCCGCTCCCCGATACCGAATTCGGCCGCCTCGACACTACGGGCTGGTATCCACACTACAAACAATGCGTCCACTACTTCCTCGAAGCTGGCCAACATCATCCAACCGTCCAATCAATCGCCGCATTCATAAACATCCGTCTACCATTCCAACGCCCGGAAGACCAACAGCAAGCTACATCTGCATCTACTTTTGTTTCTCTACGACCCTACGTCCGCCGCCTCATCATCACCGCGCAAGACTCCCCACCCATTATGACGGCCTTTTTCGGACCGGACTGGCTCGCTGGCGTGGGAGTGCTTTACAAACAAGAGCGCGCAAATTACCTCTTCACAGCCAAGAGTAGTGGTTGGGCCCAAACGAAGGCTGCTTATGATATTCTTCCGGATGAACAGGCGCCGTTTCTACGGCCGCTGCGTGATCCGGAGGAAGAGGAGATTCGCGCGGCGGAGGCTCGGTGGAGTGAGTGGCTTGCTATGGAGGATTGGATGATTGGTGCTAGGAGTCCTTGGTAAGCAAAGACTCGGCGCTTTTTTGGGGGGGGGGGGGGGGGGTTTCTGGTCGGTGGTGATCACCCGCGTGCGAGGGTGAGGTTGGGCCTGAGCTCAACCTGGAATTGACGATGGTCCCCGGTGTCTCGGTTCCTGGGGCTAGTTATGAGACATGACTTTTTGTTTTGATTTTTTTTTTCTATTTTCTATTTTCTATATGTCGCTCTTTTCATTTGCTGGACCTTGATGGCTGTGGCTTCCCCTCTCCTATAGTCATTTTCCTGTGATTTTCTCTTTGTTTTTTTTCTTATTTCCGATCTCGTGACGAACGATCGTGATGTGATGGCTCCAAAAAGGGTTCGGCCTCGTGCTGTCTGGCGTGTTTTCTTCCGGCGTTGCAGATAGTCAAGAAAAACTTTTCTATTTTATTGGCGTTGGATGTTTATACCTCGTGGAAAATACCAGTCATTTGATAATTTCGGAAATTTACCATATACGTAGAAGGCATTGAGCTGTAGACCGACTAGACTGTCGCTTGGTAGCTCTACTCTATACCCGACTGGGGGGACCTCCAGGATCACCAGATTGACGAGTGATCGCCCGTGGATCGCCTGTCAAAATCAATAGTCGCGCACCGCCACAGGCACAGGCCGGCCATGACAAATACCTGCAATGGGCATAGCGTCGACGAAGCAGATCATCTATCTCCAGAGTAGTTAGTGACTGGATGCACAGTATTACTGTACTTAATTTAAAATCAATATATTCCGAGGTCATTTAATCTATATCGTTCATGATTTCAATCTAGCCAAATTGAATCTTGTTTACTATCCCCCATGACTCGGGACCATCCTCGTCTATATTTCCTTGATTTGAATTCCTCTGCTCCGTACTTGGTACGTGTACTACAGCACTGGACTACAGTACTCTCCCCCTTATTAATCGTGCCCGAAACTAGCGTCATTCCATTCTACATTAATTCCGTCAACAGAGTGACATTTCACCCACAATGGATTAGCCTCGTCCAGAGATCGTATCCCTCTCCACTTTTCCCAGGGCCTGACTCATTACATTTCCCAGCCAAGACGTGTCAACCTGTCACGGTGGATTTTTTTGCTTTTATTCTGCTTACTATATTCTCATCACGGGCCTGGCATTATTGCACGCTATACCTTTGTTTTTTCCTTCGTACATCCCGTCGCTCTCCACCAGTCGCTTCGACTCTTCCCTGTCAATAGTTTCATTCTGGAAGTTCCCAATCGCCGGGTTCTGGCGTCGTGACACATCCCACGGCCAGGGAGTCGGGTTCAGCGCCCGCCATAATCAGAATCAGCACTTGAAGCTGAATCACAAGCGCAGAAGAAAAAAACCCCGAACTGCATTGTTTGCCAAAATTAGAGCCAACATTATCCATCCATCATGGCTGAGCCCACACCCCCACCACCCCCGGCAGCATCGTGTTTCTACGAGCACACGCCGCAGTCTATCATCCCCCATCTGGCCAAGCAAATGCCCTACTCAAGCTCGCTCCTCCGACGTATCCAACACACCCTCGCGTATCCCTCACCCACCGCCAAGATCTTAGCAACTTTCCCGCCAGGATCGACCCCTGGATCGTCATCAGCCCCTGAATCCCCTGGCACTGTCCCTGGCCCCGATCCCGATCTCTCCACCCCGTGGCTGGCTGCACAGGTGGATCTCTTCCGCGGCCGCCAGACCCAGATCATCCTCTACTCCAGCCTCGAAGCGGAGGGTACTTCTCTCCCACCGATCGTCCCTGTCACGGGCTCTGGCACCGTCTCCCCGGGCGACCTATCCAGGTACTCGGGTCCAGCCTCAGCTACAGGACCCGCTGTCACTAACGCCAACACTAATGCTAACGCTACCTCGCTTCCTCACGCGAGCACTAGCAATATTGACAATGTCCCTGTTTCTGATCAACCACGATCGAGCCCGAACTACGCCGTGTCCACTCTCACGGCCTCCCCAGCGGTCCTGGCTACCGTCCGCGCCCAATTATTGGCCTTCCTCGCGCATGTCAAGGCCCAGTTCCTGCCCGAATACCTGTCATCCCTGCCAGGCACAAAGTCTGCATCCGAACCTTCGGCGACCTCAGCTTCAGCTTCAGCTTCACCGCTAGCAGCGACGGGCGTCACCCTGATCCCACCACCAGACCCACACGCCTTCCTTTTCGGCTCTCTCCATACAGGTCTCTTCGAGCTCCTGCTGCGATCGGGACAATTCCCTCGCGTGGATGCGGGCGTGAACGCCCCCGTCGATCCCGACCCGCTTCCCGGCGTGCGGGTCCATCGCTTTGATAACCCGCCTTACTACAAGTACTTTTTCACGAGGGCCGTGTTTAGTCCCAGCGCCGCGGGTGAGACAACTCTCAGCACGGAGAACCCATTGCCGGCTGGGTATAGGTATCACGATCGGCGTGGCCGGGTCGGCGTGTTGTCGTCGCAGTTGGATCTCGTGCAGAGTCGAACGCATATCCCCCGGCCCCGCGAACAATTGCAGAGTTTGCCTAGCGTGGCGGTTTACTGCGATGCTCAGTCTTCGGGTGCGAATGTCGCTGGTGAGGAGAGTAGTTCGGGCAAGGATGAGCAGCGGGATGAGATGCCTATTGCATGGGCATTCCTGGGCGTAGACGGTGCCGTGGCGACGTTGCACGTTGAACCCGAGCATCGTGGACGCGGACTGGCGCTTTCTTTGTCCAAGGAGGTTATGCGACGGGGCATGGCCACGGAGGGAGTGTTCGGGGCTGAGAAGGTTGGCCTGGTGGATGGGGAGTTGAGGGGGTTTGTGGAGGATTGGGTTCATGCAGAGGTTGCGGGGTACAATAATGCGAGTAGGAGGGTTATGGAGAAGATTGGGGGGAAGGTTTTGACGACCGTTGTGTGGACTGTCATTGAGCTTCTTGATTGATGAGTTGTGGTGGTTGAGGTTAAATCTAGAATAGACTACGAGAGAATGGAGTAGCATTTAGATTATGTTGGATATAAAGCAGATGTTGATAATAGATCAGATGGAATTGGATTGTTCTATATTTGATTTTTGATGTAATCATCATCTGCTTAGAGGTATGCAGACGGGCCGCTGCCAATTTGGGAAGCCCGTTATATATCGCAATGTCTCGTTCGACGAGATTACCACTGGACCATTAAGCGGTGTTGCGGATGTTAAGCTTGGGCCGGAGAAGGGACTGGGTGATCCAACTTTGTTGTCCTATCGACAGAACTTGACGGCCCGGGGAAATCTTGAGCAACTTACCGGGAGATTTGAAGTATATTGAAGCGCAATAATGAGCGGCTAGATCGCATTTTCCCGGAGAGTCCAGAATGTGGAGGAGTTAATGCGAAAAGTTGGATATACTGGCGCCGCTCGAGCTATGCTTAAGGCTTATTGAGATAGACGCTACAAGTCGAGTTAAATCTGAAGCCTGGGCGCTATCTGCTTCGCACTTCAAACACCTCCTGCAATCTGAGTTTCAGAGGATGGCAAGGTCTACTCCATTTCAGACCAACAATTCCTGACTTTTTACCGCGCGCCAAATACATACATATTTATAGATAATCACGTGAACTCTTCTCCAACGTTAATATCAACTTAAATAGCCTACCATTCCCTTGGAAATTCGAGTTAAATCAAATCCTCTCATCTGTTTTCCAATATAATACAAGAATGTCAAACAACGTGTCCGATAACCTACGGGCTGTGAACGATCGCCTTCTCTGGCCAAAGCCAAAGACAACGCCAAGGAGCGTACTTTCAAACTATTTCAAAGGCCACCTTGAATTCCAAGAGCCGTATCGAGAGCCAAGCCTCTCACTGCACCCTGCGGGAAGAAATGCTGGCGCTGGTTCTGGAGCCTCGAGGCAATCTAATAGGGCTGAGTCGGCTCCTCCCACTGCATCCGCGTCCGCGACAGGCCGACGCGGCGGGGCGAGTGACCCCGCTAAACGCAGTTATCCGAGTCAGGATAATTCGTTGACCAAGAAATCGAAACGGGGCGGTATGTTTCACATGTTGAAAGTTAGGGATAGGAACTCACGATTGGATAGGGCTATAGTATGTAACACGCTAGAGTGCGTGTCGGCCTCGACTCGGCCACATATGGATTATGGAGTTATAGGAGAGGATGGTGATGGTTCTTGCGACTGAGGAATGTGACCGTTATTACTGGCAATTTAGGTAGTTCTATGCCAAGATTTGGTCATTTGTGGGCAACGAGTGCTCAAGTTATGAGGGAAGTGTTTGTGTTTTTTAGTCTGTTTTTGAAAGTCGATGGGATTGCAAGTTTTAAGGTGCTTCTCTTCTAGTTGCTGGGTTTATGTTTGCTGCTCTATGTTTCCAGTCAACTTTTCATTCTTTGATCCAACTGCAGGACTCGGGTCTCAATATCTCAGAACAGCTTCCTCCCATCACGAACTAGATTCTAGCTAATGGGTGTTAAACACTTGATGCACTCTGTGTTTGATGGATTGGATCGGGGGGCAGAGGTAGAAGGATAATATTTGGAATTGGAGGATATGATTTTACTCACTGATTTTCGTTCCAGTCTTTCCTTTCATCCTCAAATTCTTCAATCTCTTTCTCACAGAAAGTTGATAAGCTTCTCACTTGTGCAAAGACATGATCGATTCGAGTTCCGCTAGCATCGTAAAAGACCCCTCGGACCCCTCCCTGACTGTCTTCAATGAGACGATTCAACGTGATAAGTAGCTCAGATAGCTCCCGTATCATTGTGCTCCTCGCCTGCTTATCAAACTCAAACACTGGAGGAGATAGATGTAATTGTTCCGACATATCCCCGAGTCCGGATACCCAAGCGACAATGTCCGTCTGTAAGTCCTTGTTCGTTGTCATTCTATCAATCTCCGGCACAGTCAGCGTTTGGAAGATATCCTCAATCTGACGATTCAATCTGTCGACTGCTGCAGTGCCACTTTTTGGCGGGGAGGTCTGTGGTACAGGGAGCTGGCGGTGCAATGAAACGAAAGCGAGTTGTCGCTTGCGCTCTTCGAGCTGCTTCTCGCCCACGACTCGACGAGACTCATTGATGGATTGAATATTCTCTGGCAATTTGAGGTACTGTCCGCTGTGCCCTATCGTGCGTTCCGATACCGATACTTTTGCTTTATGCGATGCCGCTGCAGGCCGGAAAGGGAGTACCGTGAGAATTCGGGGCGTAGGATTGGGAAGTTGCATGGAGCCATAGACCGACTTTTCGGATCCAGGCGCACCCACTGGGACTTGAATAGGGCCTGGTAGAGCTAGCTTTTCTTGCACCTTTGGTCCGCCATCATGCTTTGGACCTTGCGAGCCGAAGGGAGGCTGGAGTTGTGGTGTGGTCACGTTAGCATATAACGCTTGGAATATTTGAAACGCGTTGTTGTTTAATCGAGACGCTTCTTGCAGCATTTGGTCCAGCTTCTCAGATTGATGTGTGTTGTCTTTCTCAATGCGATTAGTAGCGGACCTGAGCAGAGTTAAATCTCGCCCCGATGGGTCAGGAAGCTCAAACCGGGACTTGCCATATAAAGGTACTCAAGAGTAAATTGATAGAATCGGTATGTGTTTGCAGCTTCGTCCGATATTTACTCAACGAATCTCCGCGTAGATCCCATAGTACCCTCTTCCATTGAATCTTCAATGACGTCTTGGCCGGTCGGGATGATGGCAGTCCAGCGATACTGAGCTGATTGCCAATCACAGGACGTGCGATTTCTGGGGCTGCTTCACGGTATTGGCCTGTGGCATTATCAAGTTCTTCCAATGTCTCAAGACATGATTTGATCATGTACCCCAGCTGCACATGCACTTGCCCTAAATTCTCCTTAGATTTGGCAGAGGCCTTCGCTAGAATGGCTTCATGATCTCTTTGGAGATGGTTGAGGGCACAGTAGAGACCGAAAAGAGTATCCTCGAGCTCTTTCAAATCACGAGCGGCCTTCTTGCGCCCGTCGGTGACGGACGAGAACAGGCGATAAGCGATCTGAGAACAGAGAATGATATCGCCCACTGAGAAGCCAAAAGACATGATGACTCGATAGAATCACTCTAGCTGCAAAATTCGTTGAAGAATAAGCCTCATTTATGGCGCGCCCCAGGAGGGGGGTTTCAAGTGGGATATCTTCTCCAAATCAGCATCAGCAAAACGCAAAGCTTGAATATGAAGGCGGGAGGCCGTCGTGGGCATACTCTGACGCTAGTGAGTCGGGTGAGGTAGACACCCGGGTTGAAACTTTTCACTCAAAAGGTAGGAGATTATAAACGAGGATTATCTTTCATTGGAGTCTTGACCGACCACCTTGTTCTCGATGTCGAGGCGGCTGACAGCTGAAAGCGCCTTGGAACAAAACGGGCAAAGAGCAGCGTAGTTCCAACCAATCACAGCTTTCGTCCCTCGTATTTGGGCAAAGACTCGTTAATTGAGCCCCCTCATATTAATGAACCCTTGATAAAAAGCCCGGACTTCGCTCCCTCAAGTGCTATAGCAATACTTGGAGCAGAACCATCATGACCGCGAAACTACCAGGTGAAGACGAGCGTATAAAAGTCGTGGTGGGCAATTTGAGGAAGAAGGAAAAGGAGAATGGCGATGTCAGTCAGAGAGATGTTCCATTTGAGATCCATGTTACCAGCAACTGTACGCTTCCAGAGCTTTGGCGTGTACTTGAAGAAGGTTGGTTCTTTGCACATCCATTATGTTAAGCTGACTGGCTGACCTCGACATTTATAGAACATGGATATTCTCCACCAGATGGTCTGATACAAACCCGCGATGATCGAGTACGACGCAGATCTGATCTTAAGTCTGTTTTTCATCCATACACAGAGCTTGAGATTGTCAGCGACAAGTCTGCGGCTGATGAAACGCACATATACATCAACGAAGCGCTCCAGGCCGCATCTAATCGCGATCAGGATGTTGTTTTCAATATTGAATATGATGGTAAAGGCCAGACTTCTCTGATAATTGACGATGCTCTTCAACTCGTGTTTCACCGAACTGTGCGCATGCCGGACGATGATCGCCTCCATTCTCTCCCCGCTTCCGTGGGAACCTTTCCTCTCTACAACACCGAGGATTATGCGGACAGACTCCCAGAGAATATTCTCGAGAAAGGAGGACTCTTTTTGCCCATGTGGCAGCGAGAGGCTCTATGGATTGAGCTCAGCCGACCAAAAAGTTCTTACACATCTAGGAGGTCCAATCGAACCTATGCTATCCGAGTCTACGTCGGCCAGATCAATGCGGTTTCAGGAAAGAGCATGATGGAAGAGAGAGCCAATCGGCAGGAACAAGATTACCTTGTCTTCCCCGGGCAGCCGTGGATCGACGGCATCTGCGTAACAACGGGTGTTGTGAGACAGTTTGTCGCCATGCCATGTAAGTGACGGATCGATATCCTTTGAATATGACTCGTGGGTCGCTGATATATGCAGTGGGCTCTGGATACACGGTTGAAGGCCAGAAGACTGGCGAGGAAAAGCACGGAGGACTCCAGATCGAAATTATCCCAGCATACCGCAAGAAGGCACAAAAGTGGCGCGCAGCAGCGGAAGAAGAAGAAGAAGCTCTTCAGGACCCTAGGCTGTACCTTGATGAATCAAAGACTCCAGCCGAGCTTGGACTAGAAGCTGGTTCCAAGGTCTGGGTATATCCTTCGCCCCCCACTTATCGCAAACCAGTGGAGGTTGGTGATTTATACTGGGTCAGAGAGGAATCTGGCCTTGGCGTTGCAAACCTCGAGGTGAGACCTAATGCTCAAACTAGGCACCGGGAAAATCTGACCAGGAGACTTAAAGGCGTTCTACGATGACTATAGACGTTCAGCTTCAAGGTTCATGGGGTCTCGCTCGCAGGTAATGGGCGACTCGCATGATTCAGCCCGGCCAACCTGGTTCAATTGGACCTCCAGACATTCTGGGGTCAATCCTGGTGCTGCTCCAAGCCTTAATCAACAATGCACGGCTGCTACTACCGCGTCTCTGTCTCTGAGCGACGCTTACTTAGGTGATCCCGACAGTCCAAGAATGGCTCCTCCACCAAGCAAAGCGAGGAAGGGTCGTGCCCGGCCCATGGGACTTCCTAGAAATAGCTCTAAACCCGAAAGCAGCCCGCGCCAGGTTTTAAATGTGAAGGCCATGGGTTTGGCGGCTGGAGGAAAATTGGGTACATTTTCTCCATCTTCTATTCAGGAGTTTTACCACTTATTATCCCCTAACCCATGTTTTGAAAGCTGCTAACATGATGCAAAGTCCAGGATATTATTGCTGATCGTAATCCCCCAAATACTTGGAATGTCGACGCCGCTCGTCAGATCAATGTCCACATCCTGGATCCAGTCAGCTGCGAGTCGGTCACGCACATTGTGCCGCCGCCTATTCCAATGAGTGCCTATGAGGCCGTTCTTTCCAAGTTGCCCTTCTTTGTTGTCGAAGAGCAAATTGATAACCGCCTCGAAGGCGGCGATTTCGACAATGTCAAGTCTGTCAGCAAGATGGACGAGACAAAGGGCCTTGTATCCGAGCCTTCACTAGATCCCAACCAGCCAGCTATATGTAGTAGCTGTGAGAAGAGACTGTGTGATTGCGTGTATGTGGCAGTTCCCGAAATGTCTCCTAAATTTTGCCGTTAAGTAATAAGCTAATATGGAGTGTTTCTATCATAGTGTTCGGCCTTGCAATCATCAATTTTGCAACATGTGCATACGAGCAGCAGCACCAGCTATGGAAGGCTCCTTTTCAAGTGTTGTGTGTTGCCCTCGTTGCAATGCAGAGATTTCTCGAGTGGCTGGGTTTGCTGCACCTATGAATTTACCAGGAGAGGAATCGATTCGTGCCAAGATGCCGGTGCGGGTTCTCAAGGTAGATGATGGACGAGTTAAATTTGAATCTATCAGACAGACCAGAATTTGAACAGTAATTTCTGCTGTTGATTGTTCATTGCTGTTTTGTGTTATTGTTGTGGATGTGCTTGTTCTTTACAATGAGGGGCCGATATACTTCCGATCTTTATGAAGCCAACTATCGCAGCTATAGTATCCCATTGAACGGCAAATTGATTTCTCATATAAAACCTGACATCTCAAGCAGTATATACTTTCTCTATATTCTCCTAGCAATCGAATCGTCTCTAATATTCACGTTAAAAGATCTGCTCGCTGTAAGTTCCCCACAGCCGATCCGCCCCAAAAGGGCTTAGCGCTCCGATAATCGGTTGAGCCACAGATAACAGTCGAGTCATACCCAAGAATTGTCTCCTTCCTTCTCTCTACATCTATCTTACCCATAATTTCTTGCCCAATTGATCATTAAAAGCTGCCAAAATGAGCAATTCCAAGGGAGTCGCCGAGAACATGCTCTGGGGAGGTCGTTTCACCCGTGAGTATCACCCTTGATGCCCCGCCTACTTCCACCGCGCTATTTGAACGACTGACTCACGATCAATTGAATTACAGAGGGCCTCGACCCCCTTATGGTCCAATACAACCAGTCTCTTCCCTATGACCGCATCATGTGGAAGCAGGACATCGCCGGCTCAATTGCCTTTGCTCGCGCCAACCTGAAGACCGGTATCCTCACCGCGCATGAATTCGCCGAGATCGAGCGCGGCTTCAAGCAGATCGCTGAGGAGTGGAGCACCAACACCTTCGAGCCCAAGGAGAACGATGAGGATATTCACACTGCTAATGAGCGCCGTCTCAGCGAGATTATTGGCAAGGAGATTGGTGGAAAGTTGCACACCGGTCGCTCGCGTAACGAGCAGGTCGCTACCGATATGCGCCTGTGGCTGCGCGATGAGCTGCGCACCCTGGATACTCAGCTGTCCGACCTGGTCAAGGTCTCCATTGCCCGTGCCGAGAAGGAGATCGATATCATCATGCCCGGTTACACCCACTTGCAGAAGGCCCAGCCCGTCCGCTGGTCTCACTGGATGCTGTCGCACGCAACCGCCTTTGCCAGCGAGCTGCAGCGCCTGCGCGAGGTTATCCGCCGTGTCAACCGGAGCCCGCTCGGCTGCGGTGCCCTCGCTGGTAATTCCTTCAAGATTGACCGTGAGGCCATGGCCAAGGAGCTTGGCTTCGACGATCTGCTGTACAACTCGATGAACACCGTCGGTGACCGTGACTTTGCTATGGAGACCATGCAGTGGGGTAGCTCGTTCATGCTCAAGATCTCTCGCTGGGCCGAGGACTTGATCATCTACAGCAGTCTGGAGTTCGGCTTCGTCCGTCTCTCTGACGCTTACTCCACCGGCTCCTCGCTCATGCCCCAGAAGAAGAACGCGGACAGCCTGGAGCTGCTCCGTGGTAAGTCTGGCCGTGCTTTCGGTCAGATGGCTGGTCTCATGATGACCATCAAGGGTCTGCCTACTACCTACAACAAGGATCTGCAGGAGAGCATTGAGCCGCTGCTCGACCACATCAAGACTGTCAGCGACAGTATCCTGATCGCCACCGGCGTTCTGTCCACCCTGACCACCATCCCCGAGAAGATGACCGCCGCCTTGGCTCCCGAGATGCTAGCTACCGAAATTGCCGACTACCTGGTCCGCAAGGGTGTTCCTTTCCGTGAGGGTCACCACATTTCCGGCCGTGTTGTCCAGCTCGCCGAGCAGACGAACGTCCCCATGGACACGCTGTCTCTGGAGCAGTTGAAGACTGTCGATGCTCGCTTCGATGAGGATGTCCAGGCTTGCCTTGACTACGAGCGTGCTGTCGAGCTGAAGGATGCCATTGGTGGTACCAGCAAGCGGGCTGTCCTCGAACAGACTGCCGTGCTGAAGAAGCTGCTGTAAATATTTTTTAATAAAACAAGTCTATGAGATATGAGCGATATGGACAGTGTTCTAGTTGGACGGATATATGAAGAAAGTATCAGCGTTTCGGGTGTATGTTTTGGCTAGATAAAAATGACATTATTTATTTTCCTCTTCACTGGATTACGACCTTGTATGTCTGTGAAGCGCTTCCAAACAAAGATTATTGTGAGCTATCTGAGGAGAAAAGGAACAGCATAGACCGTGCAACCGTGCAACATTGTCTTCTCATACATCTTCCAAAAGAAACCCCCAATTTCCATCTTCACTCTCTCCTATTAATACCCAATTCAATCGTCCCCGAAGGAGACTTCTCATCCTGCCTCGGCGACACACCCCCAGCAGCATAAGCAGGCGGAGCCTCCCCAATCGGCGAAGCACCAACCTCCTGAGGAACAACCTCAGACACTAAACTCTGCCCACGTACATTTCCTCCCGCAATACTCACTGACCCATTCACCTGCCCAGGACTAGACCCCCTCCTCTGCACCATCTCAAACTCATTTCCACCAAACGTCATAAAACTCATAACATGTTCCTGCCCAGAATCACTCTTCTTACCCCTTTCCGCATGCTCGAGATCTCGCCCCGTCGAGTATCGATCTAGATTTGCGCCCATGACGACTCCGCTCCTAGTAACGACTCTTCGTGCGGTCGTTCGACTCGTGAGCGATGAGCTGCCGTTCTTATCAACCGCTGATCGGGGGCTAGAATCCCTGCTGCCGCTATTCAAGGATGGTGATGATTCCCATGAGCGTCCGGCATTCTGGGCTTGTGCGAGGGGACTTTTGTTACGCTGTCTTCTTTCGGGAGGGATGTTTATCAGTTCGCTTTGTGAATGGCCTGCTAGTTCGGCGCGTTGTCTGTAGAAGCCCGTGTCTGAGAGTTCGGCCGTCTGAGATTCGGCTTCGGAGATACTTCCTGGCTTTTCGTTGGGCGGCGGTGGCATAGGCAGTGGCGATGGCATTCGTAGAGGTGGGAGTCGAACAAATCCGCCTGATGAAGTAGTGAGGACCCCCGAGCTGAGGGTTGAGAATTCTGATGGGTCAGGCGAAAAGGATGAGACATTCAGACTTGAGGCTGCAGTTGAACCGGGAGGCAAGAGATTGGAGTTTGTATTCGAGTTGGCTGGCGCTGAAGTAGTTTGACTGCCATGGGGAGACTCTGTTCGATGTTTAGTTTGCATGTTCCTTGAAAGGATTGAACCATTTCTTCAAATGCTCACCCTTAGTCAGATGAGCCGAATTTGTTTCCGAAAGTGACAGCTCTGTTTTGGAGACAGAGGCCATTTCTCGGTTGTGCAAGGATTTGGTCGATGGAGACCGCCGCAGATGAAAAGTATATGATTTGCCACGTCGCGTTCTCCGTCGCCTGCAGAACCAAAAGAGCAGGATGATGAGCGTCAGAGCGGCAATTGCTCCAGCTATTCCACCGATGATGGGTCCTTTGCTGGACGATCGACTGCCGGTCGACGCAGCCGCAGCTGCTGAAGATGTGGTCGTAGCAGTCGAAGTTGCAGTCGAAGATTTCGTGCTATCGGAGGCTACTGGCGCAGATTTATCAACAGAAGATACTGATGTCGTCGAAGAGGAAGTATGCGAGCTCGCTGTAGAAGGTATAGTAGAGATAGTAGTTGTACTTGAACTCGTAGTCGTACTCGTGCTCGTGCCCTTACTCGAGGTTGTAGATGAAGTAGAGCTCGCGGCACTCGTCAAATGCAAAAGGCTCACATTATCGTCAAAACAGATCCCTGAAGAGCAAGGATCGCTCGCACAGCAGCCGCGAAAATTCCCAGCTGAGCAGATATACCACTGTTGTGAATTTCCGCAAGTCGTATCGTCTCGACGGTCTAGTGCGTCCATCTTGAAGGAAGTAGATCCATGCAGTTGAGGGTATATATCTGCGAACACAATCAGACGTACAGAGTATGATTATGGGATGCGATCCTCCAGAAAGACAGTGTCTTAATGAGGTGGAATCGAGAGAATCCTCGAGAGTCGAGGTAAAGTATAGGTCCTAGATAAGAATATGCCCGCCCATGGCCTTCGCAGAGACTGATGGCAGGGACCGTCTCGATGCAGTAATGTCACATCTTCAAAGATGATCATTTCTTTGTTCTGTCGAGTCCTGCGACCCGGGGTTGTGGTGGCGGAGAGTCCAAGAATAGAAAATTGTGGATGAAGATTGGGTCAGGGCAGACGGTTCTTTGTTTTCGGGACCCTGTCAAGTCCACCAATGCTCTCAAGAACAAGAATACGCTCCTTGGCTGGGTCCTCAAACACGCTAGCGGATCGATAGACAAGAAATAGTACTTCGTATCGTGAAAATCGAAGGAGACGTGCAGGACAGGCAGGCCAAGGCTCTTTGTTCCTCGCGGAGGCCAATGTCTGAACCCAGTATGGAAATCAGAGGAGGCCGATGGGGTTCAAGAGACGACGGAGGATAAGAGGGACGTTCCTTATTTCTAGGGTATAGTCATGTCAGGTGAAGGTCCGATGGGCAACTCACTATCGACAGCCGAACAGCGTGGTGGAGGAGTCTCTCGGTTTGCTTACCGCATGAGATCAAGCAAATAGGAATGTTTCTACAAAGTATGGATAGAGGCACTAGACTGAGAACAGAAAGAAAATTTCAAGTGATATGAGACAAAACTGAGGGAAAAACTCAGTACACCGACTCTTCGCCTGTAGGATAAAGGAAATCAAGAAATATGGCTATACAGGATGGTAAATAACACACAGTCAAATAAGAAACATGCTCTTTTCATGGACTCCTTCCTCGACGCCACGACGAGTCACCAAGGCTCATCAGAATAGTAAGGTATGAAGACCAGGGATTCCTCTGCCGATCGTCTGAAACAAATCCGTGGTATTCTCGCCTCATCTAAGAAAAGACACCCGTTCAGTCACGGGCTTAGTAGACACGCTTGAAGGGAGGAACGGGCTTGCACTCGTTCTCGTCCAGGGTCTTGGCCTCAACGGCACGGTAGCCAAGCTCGACCTTGCCGTGAGCCTCCTTCTGCCAGGTGAGGGTGTGCTTCATCCAGTTCTCGTCGTCACGGTCGGGGAAGTCCTCACGGGCGTGAGCACCACGAGACTCCTTGCGGTTGGAGGCAGCCAGAGCGGTTTGGGTACTATCAAAAAAATTGTTAGCAAAGTTTCCTTTCACGTATCAGTGGTTCAGGGTTGTACATACGCGCAAGTCAGCAGGTTGCGGAGCTCAAGGGTCTCAACAAGATCAGAGTTCCAGATCATGCTGCGATCCTTGGTGCCAACCTGGCCGTACCACTGGTCAATCTCGCTCACACGCTTGACACCCTCGTCCAAGCTCTCCTGGGTACGGAAGACGGAGACATCAGTCTGCATGGCCTTCTGCATGGCGCTGCGGACCTCGTTGGTAGACTTGGGGCCATCGGCGGTACGGGCAAAGTCAAGGTCCTTGATGGACTGAGCACCAGCATCGGAAGCGAGCTCCTTGTGGGGCTTGCCGGGGGATGCAATGTCGCGGACACGGTGGGACACGGCACGACCGAAGACAATCAGATCGAGCAGGGAGTTGGCACCCAGACGGTTGGCACCGTGGACAGACACACAGGCGGCCTCACCGCAGGCGTACAGACCGGGGACAACCTTGTCGTTGCCGTTCTCATCAACGTCGATGACCTCACCGGTGTACTTGGTGGGGATACCACCCATGTTGTAGTGGACGGTGGGGAGGACGGGGATGGGCTGCTTGGTGACATCGACACCGGCAAAGATGGAAGCGGTCTCGGAGATACCGGGCAGACGCTCGTGGAGCAGCTCGGCGGGCAAGTGGCTCAGCTGGAGGTAGATGTGGTCCTTCTCGGGACCGACACCCCGGCCCTCGCGGATCTCAAGGGTCATGGAACGGGACACAACGTCACGAGAAGCCAGATCCTTGGCGGTGGGGGCGTAACGCTCCATGAAACGCTCACCCTCAGAGTTGAGCAGGTAACCACCCTCACCACGAGAACCCTCGGTGATCAGGCAGCCGGCACCGTAGATACCGGTAGGGTGGAACTGGACGAACTCCAGATCCTGGTTGGGGAGACCGGCACGGGCAACCATGGCCATACCGTCACCAGTGCAAGTGTGGGCGGAGGTGCAGCTGAAGTAGGCACGTCCGTAACCACCGGTAGCCAAGACGGTGTGGTGGGCCTTGAAACGGTGCAGAGTACCATCCTCCTGGTTGTAAGCAATGATACCACGGCACTCACCATCCTCCATCAGGAGATCGAGGGCGAAGTACTCGATGAAGTAGTTGGTGTTGTGGCGCAGAGACTGGCCGTAGAGAGTGTGCAGAAGAGCGTGGCCGGTACGATCAGCGGCAGCGCAGCAACGGTAGGCCTGGCCACCCTTACCGTACTCCTTGGACTGACCACCGAAAGCACGCTGGTAGATACGGCCATCCTCGGTACGAGAGAAGGGGCAACCGTAGCCCTCCAGCTCGCGGACGGAGGCGGGAGCCTCACGGGTCATGTAGTGAATCGCATCCTGGTCACCCAGCCAATCCGAACCCTTCACGGTATCGTACATGTGCCATCTCCAGTCATCCTCGTGCATGCTATTGCTCTGGTTAGTTATATGCAACCTTTTCGAGGCAGAGCATATGCCAAAATTCAATTGGAGGAGCAACCTACTTTCCAAGAGCGGCATTGATACCACCCTGAGCGGCGACAGTGTGCGAACGAGTAGGGAAAAGCTTGGAAACACAAGCAGTGTTGAAGCCAGCCTCGGCCAGACCGAAGGCAGCACGCAGACCGGCACCACCGGCACCAACGACAACGGCATCGTACTCGTGATCCTACTCCAGTCAGATTCCGATTCCCATCCACTTATATTCAATGCAGGCGGTTTCTGAGCTTACAATGACGGGGTACTTCTCGGAGATCAAGCCTTCGGCAGCCTTTGCGCGAAGAGGGCCGGGGGTCCAGAGCCGAGCTGCCGAGAGAATGGTTGGTTAGTTGCGGGATTGAAAAGGGATCAATCGGTTGGGCGACGTCAATGCATACCAGCAGGCCGTGAAGAAGAGAAGAGACGTCTCTGATCCCTCAAGATGCGGGAAACCTGAGACCGGAAAGATATTCGTCAGTGATCCATCGCGCCGGTGCCGAAAATCGTTCGCTCGTCGGCTACTCACCTTGTTGGCGGGAGCCAAGCTCCGCGAGCCCAGGAAGCTCATGATGACGGGTCAGAAGAAGGATATTTCGTCTAACCCAAGGAAAAGAGAATAGCACCGGTCGTCGGTGGTAAGTAGGTTGGAGGGGGCAGGTGGAATTGGGGGAACAGTGCTCCTTCCAGGTCGACTGCACTGTGATCGGGTTGCGGTTGGCAGTTTGCGCTGACATAATCACATTCTCACTTGCCGACGGGGAGGACCGGGGCCGAGGCTACCAATCAGATCGCGCGCAATGGAAAGCAGCATCCCAAAGCCTCGGGCAGCCGGTCGCCCGTGATTGGCTCAATGCACGTGACTCGATATTCGTTTTGCCGGCCGTCGTAGTGGAGGATCGGGATGGAACGGCAAGGTGGGTGATGTGCCGAGAGAACCAGCAGAGGACTGGAAATGGAAATACGAACGCCAAGCTTTTTTTTGTCAAGTGCTGGTCTTTTTACTTAATCTGTAAAGATCCTCAACCCCATTTTTCACCATTTCTTGTAAGGGACATATTGATTCGAATACAGCTATGCACGCGAAGTCACATGATACAAAGGTTGTTCGTCATGTGGGTGCAAGCTTATGGGAAACCTTACTTGCTAGCTGGGTTCATCCAGTCAGGTGACCAAACGATGGAAGCTAGTATCGATCACCTCCTTGCTACGGCATGCGATATACGATTCTAAGGAAAACTACTAATTTGGGCACAACAAACCCGTTGATTATAGATTCGTGCACATTGAGAGCTTAAGCTGCAAATGGCAAAATAAGAGATGATCGTACAGCCCATTCTGCCATGCCCATGCAAAGAAGACCAGTCCCTTTAGTTCTAGTTATACTGCATGTACGTCGCCGTGGAGTTGAACTTGAGGTTGCCCTTGATGACCTTCTCCACCGATGCCAAAAAGTCCTTCTCCGTAGCCACCTTTCTCCGCGCCCGAATGGCGAACATACCGGCCTCGGTTGCGACACTGCGCAGCTCCGCACCGGTTGCGTTGGGGCAGAGACGAGAGATCAGTTCCCATCGGATATCCCGCTCGACGGACATGCTCTTAGCGTGAATGCGCAGAATGTTGGCCCGTCCCTCGACATCGGGCAAGGAGAACTCGATCTTACGATCGATACGACCGGGACGCATGAGCGCCGGATCCAGAGTAGAAGGACGGTTAGTGGCGAACATGACCTTGATGTTACCACGGGCATCGAAACCGTCCAGCTGCGTAATCAGCTCAAGCATAGTACGCTGAACTTCGTTATCACCACCAGCACCGTCATCGAAACGAGCACCGCCGACAGCATCGATTTCGTCGAAAAAGATGATGCAAGCCTTCTTCGTGCGGGCCATTTCGAACAACTCACGGACCATCCGAGCACCCTCTCCAACGTATTTCTGCACCAACTCGCTACCAATCACACGAATGAAAGTCGCGTCCGTCCGGTTGGCAACAGCACGGGCACAAAGAGTCTTACCGGTACCAGGAGGTCCGTAGAGCAGAGCACCCTTGGGCGGATCAATACCGAGGTTCACGAATCGCTCTGGCGATAGCAACGGCATCTCGACAACTTCTCGTAGCTTCTCAATCTGCTCTTTGCATCCACCAACATCACCGTATGTAACATCTGGCTTATCTTCGACCGTCATCATCGTCACACTGGGATCGATCTTGGGCGGGAGTGGTAGCATGATCTGGTATTTATTCCGGTCGACACTATACAACGAGGTGTCAGGGCATGCGTTCTTAAAAACCCTCACTAGGAAACGCTGGATTCAAGACTTACCCGACTCGCATGCCTTCCTCGATATCTGTGGGGCTGACACGCTCTCCTAGGTTGACAACGAACTTGGCGATCTGTTTCACGTTGATGACATATTTGCTTTTGTCGGAGTCCTTCTCATCCTGAATAATCTTTGTGCAGCGAGCAACCTGTAGAGGCTGCTCTTCGGCCATCCGTTGTCGGTCGGCGGCGACATCCCAAAGGTGTGGAGGTGCGAGACCGGTGTCGGATTCCTAGGCGCGTTGTGAGTTTCGGGGAAGTCCAAAGAGGTCAGAACAGCTGGCTGCTTAATCACCTTCACGCCGATTTTCTCGTTGACGCTTGCTTGTTTGTCCTTGATATCCTTCTCGAGCTTCTTGAGGGCGTTTGCGTAGGGGGCCGCGCCGTAGGTCTTAAGTACTGCGATGTCACTGAGGAAGACGTCAGCCACAATTCATTATCGCCAACCGGATTCGGTGTCCATCCGGATCGGACATTGTCTAGGAAACTGACCTTTCTGAGAGGGGCGTGATCTTCTTCTCCGGCTCCTCATCATCCGCGAAGTTCTTCTGGTACTTCTCCCAGTTCGAGCCCGTGGCGCTAGGCATGATGCAGGTGTTGACAGCCCAGGGCTGGGGAGCAAGGGCAAGGACAAGGGCGACGAAATCAAAGAAGAGAAGATGTCTAGGTGTAGAAGGAGATTGAGCGCTGTTGAATCTTCAAAAAATTGAAGAGCGACGGGCAGACAGGTAAAACGCGGATGGATGAGTTGGTGATGTAGCAGAGAGCTGCGGTGGCCGAAGCTCAACTCACTAATCAGCGCCAAGCTTCATCACCGCCCCAGAACCTCGCAGAATTTCCCTGTGTGTCCCTCCACCAACACTACCCCGTTCTCCCCTCTTGAATTAATTTACAGGTTCCATTTGGATTTTTGACAATCAAGATGGCGACCACAATGGCTCCGGGAGCCGTTGTTAACACTACCTTCAAGGTACGGCTTGCAAAACACTCATTTGTGTGGGCTAGTTGCTGAACAGCGCATAGGACAAGGAGAAGCCCATGGCGGTGCGGCAATCCAACATTCTCGCAGCTCGGGGTATGTCGATGAAATCTATATGCAAAATGAGGTTGTTGCTAACAATTCATAGCCGTCGCCGATGCCATTAGAACGGTATGCAGCTCTGGAATAATCGAGATCACGGAGATGAGGGGCTAACGGGGAAAATAGTCTTTGGGACCCAGGGGCATGGACAAGATGGTAAGTTGATCACGTTTCATCTACCACGATTAAATACGATGTCTAACGAATTACACAGATCCAAACTGCCAAGGGAAACACCATCATCGTATGCAGCTTGCCTTCCTCATGATTCCTCCGCACCGACTAACCCCCCGCCGCAGACCAACGATGGAAACACTATGCTGCGGGATATGAGTGTTATGCATCCGGCTGCCCGCATGCTGGTCGACCTTAGTGCCGCACAGGACGTTGAGGCTGGTGATGGAACTACATCTGTTGTCGTCATTGCCGGAAGTCTGCTTGGTGCTGCTGAGAAGCTGCTCTCCAAGGGCATTCACCCCACCGTCATCTCCGAGTCCTTCCAGCGCGCCGCTGGCGCCGCCGTCGAGATCCTCCACAACATGTCTCGCCCTATCAACCTCAACGACCGTGCTACCCTCCTTCAAGCCGCCTCGACCTCCCTTTCCTCGAAGATTGTCTCCCAACACTCCAGTCTGCTGGGCCCCATGGCCGTCGACTCCGTGCTGAAGGTTGTAGACCCCAAGACTGCTGAGAATGTTGACCTGCGCAATATCCGAATCGTGAAGAAGGTCGGCGGAACTATTGAGGACAGTGAGATGATTGATGGCCTGGTGTTGAACCAGCCCGTGATCAAGAGCAGCAGTGGCCCCACAAGAATTGAGAAGGCTCGGATAGGTCTCATCCAGTTCCAGCTGAGCCCACCCAAGCCTGACGTACGTAATTTATGTTTGGCTCGATATCCTGAAACAATGAGCTAACCACCCAATGCAGATGGAGAACCAGATCGTTGTGAACGACTACCGCCAGATGGACAAGATCCTGAAGGAGGAGCGTCAGTACCTGTTGAACATGGTCAAGAAGATTCAAAAGACCAAGTGTAATGTGCTGCTGATCCAGAAGTCCATCCTCCGTGACGCCGTCAACGATCTGTCCTTGCACTTCCTCTCCCGTCTGAAGATTCTGGCTATCAAGGATATCGAGCGTGATGAGGTCGAATTCCTGTGCAAGACTCTTGGCTGTAAGCCCGTTGCCAACGTCGACTCTTTCACTGAGGACAAGCTCGGTACTGCCGACCTCGTTGAGGAGGTCCAGGCCTCCGGTGCCCGCTATGTCAAGGTGACCGGCATTAAGCAGCAGACTAGTGCTGTCAACAACCAGACCGTCTCCATTGTTGCCCGCGGTGCTAACAGCCTTATTTTGGACGAGGCTGAGCGTTCGCTCCACGATGCCCTTTGCGTTATTCGCTGCCTGGTTAAGAAGCGTGCTCTGATTGCTGGTGGTGGTGCTCCGGAAGTCGAGGTCGCTCACACGCTCGCAATGCGGGCTCGCGAGCTGACCGGCACCGAGGCTATCTGCTGGAAGGCGTTCGCTGATGCTATGGAGGTCATTCCCACTACCCTTGCAGAGAACGCCGGTCTCAACTCCATCAAGGTTGTGACCGACCTGCGCCACCGTCACGCCCAGGGCCAGCACAACGCTGGTGTCAGCATCCGCAGCGGCGGTGTCAAGGACGACATCACCGAGGAGAACATCCTGCAGCCTCTGCTGGTTAGCACCAGTGCTATTGAGCTGGCTGCTGAGACGGTGAAGATGATCATGAGAATTGACGACATTGCTCTGTCGCGGTAAATGGGTCAACGGCCGCTGCTCTGAGCTGTATGATGAAACGCGATGTGTTCGCGACGAGTAATTACTATCAAAAAAATGGATCCAACTTCGCATAGACCGCATACTGTACTCGGTTGTCCCGTATAGGAGTTCTCCTTTTCTAGTACTTTCAATTGTTCGTCGTGAGACGGTGATTTTCTGTGACTGATCTCACGATTGCTGATCTCCGCTATAGGCAATGATAATCTCTCAGGTTGAGCAAGCTTTCCCCAAAGAGATTCCACAATTCCATAGTTCCATAAGAAGCCCCTCACATACAAGACTACTCATTGTTTGTGTCAACATGTAGCTTTTGGATCTCATGCCCTGGTGCCATCGCTGCCTGGCTGAGTCAGCTTCAGGGGCCGTCAACATCCGCGCAAAGGGCTGATTTGAACCTGGAAGGCTGAATCGATAGCTTACACATATTCTCTTCCTCTACATCATGGGGGCATCTCATCAGGCTATCTATCAAAATGCCCCGTCGTTGTCACACGAAATCCCGAAAAGGATGCGTTCAATGCAAAGAACGACACGTCAAGGTCAGCAACACTAATGGCCGTCACAATTGACTGTTGGGGGCTCAGAACTCGGCTCCAGCCGAACCAATCTACTATAGAAAGTATGACCATGAGGATAGCTAACAGGATCGAACAGTGTGATGAACAACGACCAACTTGCAGTCTCTGCGTGAAGCGGGAGCTAACATGCACCTATGTAACTCCTCCGCCCAGGCGAAAGCCTACCGTAGATCACCAGGAGGAAGCGAAAGCGCGATATGCGTCCGCCACGTCGAGTCCTACTATGGTCTCGCGTCTACCGAGACTCGAGGAGATGAGACTCTTTCACCATGCTTTTATGGTGACCAGTCTCAGTTTTGTCAAAGATGACATTGACCGGGAATTTTGGCAGTCGGTGCTTCCGCGAATTGCGACCAGTCATGACTATGTCATGGATGGGTCCTTAGCGGTTGCTGCGCTTCATTTGGCTTCTTTAGAGCCGGACCGCTCGTCTCACTGGCTTGAGGCTGCGTTGACTTACCAGAATTCCGCAATAGCTGGGTTGAGTCGGCATTTAGCGACTATCAAGCAAAATTATGAGGCGTTGTTCAGTTGCTCCATATTCAATCTGATTTTCGTGACTGCATATCCAGGAATCTACGGTGATGGAAATCCCGTTGAGCCGTTGGAAGAGATTTTGACGATGCGATCGTTCTTGAGCGGTACTGCATTTCTATTCTTGCAAATATATCACGGCGAGGAGAAAACATCCATTGATCCTTGGCTGCGTCGTGACAAGAAGAAATCCCCGGTTTCGAAAGACAGGTATTCAAATCCACTTTTCTCTCTTCGTACTTTTTCATGGCCTGGATACTAACAATCGACAATTTAGTGAGGATCCGAAAATGGTTGAGCTACACAAGTGGGTGTCCAGCAGCTATACTTTTGTCCTACGAAGACTTCCATTATTGATCGGAGCAGGACAACCTTGGAGAAACTTCATTCATTACGCATTACTATCGACAAACTTCAAAATCCTCATCAAGAGATCTACCAAATAACTTATGATCTACTCCTCAAGGCCACTAAAGGCTGGCCCAACGAGGATAGCATATCATGGCCGATTGAGATTGGCGACCCCTTCCTGGACTTGGTAAAACAAGGCGACTGGATGGCTCGCATCATGCTCTTGTTTCACGGGTTGGGTATGCATCTACTGTCAAGAAAGTGGTTTGCTAGGGGCTCAGGAAGGAGGCTGGTCCTCGGTATTTTGCAACCACTTGAGGGGGAAATCCCACCCGAATGGCTGGACATAACCCAGTGGATTAGGGAAGCGGTGGATATCTGATGATAGACATGTATTTCTATGGAGTAGATTTGTGATTTGAAATGGTTGTGGATAGCTATGGTCCAGGATTGTGAGCCTGAGAACAACTAACAGAGTTGTAGAGCATCACCTACCAGCCTGATGTATATATTTGGCTCATGGTTCCATTCGTCTACCTTGAGTAGAATACCCTGAAACCAGACCTGAGGCTCCGAAGAGGACAAAAAAATCCAGGTTTTCCTTCTCCTTATTTGCCAGGAAGGACCCCACGTTGTGATTCCTCGATTCCATTTCGAGGCGCGCGTGCTTACTGCCAAATTGTAGCTTTGGGTGCCGAGTGCCCTTCCAGTGCTAAAGGCTTCGCCCAAAAGCATCCCCCAAGCGTAGCACCAGTTCCTACGCTATTTTTTTGAGGGAGTCTATTGCCACTTGGCTTGAAGCATCTTCCCATGAAAGAAAAGTGCCACTGCTAGGCCGAAAATGGGTCTGAATGGAAAAATGATTTCCCCTTTGGGTACTCAATAGCGGCTTTGTTTGACTGCCTCCGCCCGCTGAGGGATGCGATACACGAGAGGGAAAGGAAAGTAGTCAAGTATTTCCCTCGATCTCACTCTTATAATTTGCCTGGATCCAATCATCTATATTAATATATTGCATCGCTTCGCTCCGCAATAATCTCACGAAGCCGTCTTGAATGTTCTAGTTGTCAATAGTTTGTGGCCCTTCGACTGTACACCTCGGCTCCACAGTTCCGCCGATAAGATCGTCCCCCCGATCGGAAGGTACCTCCCAGCTTGACCGTGAAACACTCGAAACCACTCACGATCATGGGGAAGCTCGACGATGAAGGGGTCCCCGAGGCTGTCCCGCTAACTCGACAGCGGTCGACCTCTTTAGCATCAAACATTTCCTCCGATTCGGGCCTCTCGGTTGCATCCGCAGCCTTCCTCGATGCTCATAAGAGCGAGTTCTCGGCCGGGGTAGATGGAGAGGGGGAAGGACAACGATACCGGGACTTGGAAGATGGGACAGAACCTGGGGTGGACGAGCCATTTCTTCCTTCTAAGAAGTCCAATTCTTCATCCGGCCGTCGCTGGTGGCTGTTCGGTATGCTCATATGCGTGGTCATGGCCAGTGGCTGGATCGTTGCATTCGTCTTCTTCCTCGTACAGGGACGGTCCAATGCAGCGGCGATTTCCTCCCCATCCACGGTGGAAGTGCATGAGCCGGACTCTGCAACCGGTAGTACCAGCTATGGAAAGCCGGTGACACTCGAACAGGTGCTGACGGGCCATTGGTTGCCGCAGTCTCATGCCATCGCGTGGACCCCCGGCTCTAATGGCGAAGATGGGCTGTTGATCGAGCAAGGCGAGCATGGTGACGGATACCTGCGCATTGAAGATATTCGCAGTCGCAAGGCCGGATCGGGGGGCTCTGCTGCTAAAGTCTTGATGCAAAAGTCACATTTCTGGGTTGGCACCCAGTTCGTCATGGCGTCCAAGATCTGGGTGAGCCCCAATCATGAGAAAGTTTTGGTGCTTTCTGATTATGCGTCGAACTGGCGCCATTCGTACTATGGCAGTTATTGGATTTTTGATGTCGCAACCCAGACAGCCGAGGCTTTGGACCCGAATAATCATACCGGTCGCATTCAGCTAGCCTGGTGGTCGCCCGAGTCTGATGCAGTCGTATTTGTTTGGGAGAACAATGTTTATCTGCGACAACTGTCTTCGTCCAAGGCTGTTCCCGTCACAACGGATGGTGGCGAGGAGGTGTTCAACGGTGTTCCGGACTGGGTGTACGAAGAGGAGGTTCTGTCTGGCAACGGAGCCACCTGGTGGTCGCTAGATGGCAAGTACCTTGCAATGTTGCGGACCAATGAAACCGACGTCCCCGAGTATCCCGTTCAGTACTTCCTCCACCGACCCTCAGGCACGGAAGCCCCAGCTGGGCTGGAGAATTACCCGGAGGTGCGGCAGATCAAGTATCCCAAGGCCGGCACTCCCAACCCCATTGTCAATCTTCGGTTTTATGACGTGGAAAAGCATGAACTCTTCTCCATCGCTATGCCAGAAGACTTCGAGGATGACGATAGGATCATTATTGAAGTCGTCTGGGCCCCCGAGGAGAAGGTTCTGATCCGCGAGACCAACCGTGAAAGCGACGTCGTCAAAATATTCTTGGTTGACGCCAAATCGCGGACTGCCAAGCTCGTTCGCTCGACTGACATTGCTGCTTTGGACGGTGGCTGGGTCGAACCCTCTCAGTCGACGTGGATCATTCCCGCCGATCCCAACAATGGTCGACCGGAGGCCGGCTATATCGATACAGTGATTCATGAGGGTTACGATCATCTCGCGTACTTCTCTCCATTGGATAGCGCCGAGCCGGTGATGCTCACTTCAGGAAAGTGGGAAGTCGTCAAAGCACCCACCTCAGTTGAATTGAAGCAGAACTTGGTCTACTTTGTCGCTACCAAAGAGGGACCAACACAACGACATGTATACCAGGTCAAACTCGACGGCTCTGATCTTCGTGCATTGACCGATACTTCGAAGCCAGGCTACTATGGCGTCTCTTTCTCGGACGGAGCCGGATACGCGCTTCTGAGCTATCAAGGACCTGCAGTTCCCTGGCAAGCCGTAGTTAGTACCCAAGACGGCACGATGAAGAAGGAGATTATCATCGAAGAAAATAAGCAACTCGCCGAGAAGGTCGAAGACTTTGCACTTCCTGCAGAGGTATATAGCACGGTGACCATTGATGGATTCGAATTTCAGGTGGTCGAACGGCGACCTCCGCACTTCAACCCGAAGAAGAAGTATCCGGTGCTCTTCCATTTGTATGGAGGACCCGGTTCCCAAACGGTTGACCGCAAGTTCTCAGTCGACTTCCAATCCTACGTTGCCTCCAGCTTGGGGTATATAGTTGTTACCGTGGACGGTCGTGGAACAGGCTTCATCGGTCGCGAGGCTCGGTGTATCGTTCGCGATAACCTGGGTTATTATGAAGCGCGTGACCAAATCGAAACAGCCAAGATATGGGCCAAGAAACCCTATGTTGATGACAGCCGGTTGGCTATTTGGGGCTGGAGCTTTGGTGGTTTCATGACCCTGAAAGTCCTTGAACAGGATGCGGGCCAAACCTTCCAGTATGGCATGGCCGTCGCACCAGTGACGGACTGGAGATTCTACGGTAAGCTCCTTTTGATGCAGCTCATCAACAATGGCCTGACTAACCACTTCAATGTCCAATAGATTCCATCTACACCGAGCGTTATATGCACCGACCCCAGAATAATCCTAGTGGCTACGACAATTCAACAATCAGCGACGTTGCAGCAATGGGCGAGAATACTCGATTCCTCATCATGCATGGTGTGGCTGACGACAATGTCCACTATCAGAACACCCTCACGTTGCTCGACAAACTAAACTTGCAAAACATTGACAACTGGGACATGGTGATGTACCCCGATTCGGATCACAGCATATATTTCCATAATGCACACACCATCGTCTATGAACGTGAGTTTGAACTAAACTCATTAGATGCAACAGACAATGTGCTAACATTCTACTTCAGGCTTGTCGAGCTGGCTCATCAATGCATTCAATGGCGAGTGGCACCGCATTGCCAACCCGAAGCCCGTTGAGTTGTCCTGGAAGCAAGCCAAGCGCTTTGTAGCCAGTAGACTATCTTTTGCACCATAATTTTGTTTTCTTCCCCCCCGCGCCGTAATGGGAGGCGCCATTCCGGGTCAGCATATATTTCATACAGACAATTATCTTACGTATACAATGGAAATTCGGGTTCAAAATATGATTATGTTCAGTTATGACTATAGACGCTGGTATGCGAATGATATGCTATGCAAACGCAGAACGCAGAACAAACTGTAATATAAACAGGGGTAAAAGTCGATGTTTTTTTCGCAAACACATGAATGAAAAAGATGATATGAACAAAATATATGGGGTAACGGGGAATTATGTGCAATGCCTAATGGCTGAAGACTTGACTAGACCGCAAAAAGTCCTCTCGCATGATCGTGCTGACATCCGAGTTGCGATACTGCATGAGATCTTCCCGATGCAGACCACGCACCTGTTCGCGACCGTTGGTCGAGACGGAGCGAGAATACGAGTGCGGCCGGCGCTGTCCTCCCAGAGAGACACGGAAGTTTTGCGGCGGTACAAGACCAGGGGAACGACTGCCATGAGAGCCTCCCGCGGAGAGAATGGAGTGGCGGGGTGCAAAGACGGGGAGACGAGCGTGGGATTCGGTGTCCGTGGAGAAATTGCTGAGACTGAGGGCGGAAATGCTGGAGAAGCCGCGATCGCGGCGGTCCCGCAGTGGGAAGTTGGAGACAGAGCTGTAGACGGTGGACATGTTTGAGGCGGCTGATGACCGCCAGGAGTAGACTGCGCTTGGTGGAATCGTGAGAATTTCCTCGTCTACTGTCGCGGTGCGTTGGACAGCCGCTGCAATATCTGTGGGCTCAACTGGGTCACCAGCGGCGCGGCTGGCCATCATCTTGGCCGACTTGCCGATCCAGAGCATCTGCTCGTGTTCGCGGAGATACCGGTCACCGCTGAAGGACTTCTGGACGATCTTGCGAGTCATCATGCCCAGCTTGCGTCGCTGCTCACTCTTTGCGTACATGCGACGAGTGATGAGGTCCACCTCTTCAGGGGTTGGTGACGAGGAAAGGACCGGGGCAGGCTCGTGGTCATCGCTGTATTGGCTCCATTCTCCGAGCATGGCTAGCATAGAGATTTGGGCCTTTGCGAGAGCCTGGGCATCATTGGGCGCGACCACGGCGCTGAAGCGTGAAAAGTCATCTGGGTCACTCAGCACACGAAGCGAAGCGCCGACGTCCGTACAGACAACGGGGGCTCCAGTGAGAGCTGCTTCACCCAAAGCGAGAGGAAGACCTTCAGAAAGAGAGGAGTTCAGGAAGAGCCATGTGTTCTCGAGGACCTTCATGGGATCGGCCGTTCCTCGCAATGTGACTCTGCCGCGGAGACCCTTGGAAGCGATAATTTCCTGGCATTCAGTGGAGTATGTGGGAGCCTTGTCAATGGCACCGTAGATGTCAAGATGGTAGTCATCGAATTTCCACTGGTTGATGATGATATCGGCAGCTAGCAGTGCAGTTTTGATATCCTTGGCGTACCACACGTGAGAAAGCATGGTCACTGTTGGGCGCTCAGACTTGATTTCCTTCACAGGCGCAAACTTCTGCATGTCGGTGATACCATTAACGACAGGGTCGACCTTGCGGCGGAACGTGTTGCGATGCTCAATCGTTCCTTGGCAAGTGCCAATCTCAACTTCCCAGCCTGGGTTGAAGAAGTCTGCACACGGAAGAATGATATCCGCGTGGTGAAGAGTCAGAACGGAGGTGATTCGCATCAAGCCCAGAAGGGCATTTCGGACGAATGGCGAGAGCTTGCATAGCGCAGACGAGAGACAGAGATTAGTCTCGCGCCAACTGATGGCATGATCCCAGATTTGCAAGGTGCAGTTGCGCTTGATCTTACATACGACACCGTAAGAGGCACTGACACTGTGGTGGGATGCCTGGAAGACATTCGGGATCTTGTCTGGCACAGGGATGGAGAAGATGAAGAGGTAACGGTACCATAGCTCTAGAGCAACGTCGAGAGTCGACAAGGTGGGAAGCTCAGTGTCGAACCATTGAGAAGAAGGGATAGTGTTAGGCATCTCTTGAGTGAGCCAAAGATCCCGCCAGCTCTGCTTGACCATCTCGCTGTTCCAGACTTGCGACCAGTGACGAGACTCCTGGAAGTACGTGTTGAGATTGACCAGGGCTCGAGTTGCCTGGTGAATATCTGCCTTGGAGAGATCAACAGCTCGCGCACCCTTGACAAGGGCTGTGAGGATAGGAATGAAATTCATCTTGATATCGAACTCGCTTGCCGAAGTAACGTTGTCCACCTCGGAATCCAGCTTGTTGCTGAACAGGCCGTGGGTAGGTGTCAAAAAGTCCAAGCCCCAGAGGGGAACCACCTTCAAGGACTGGATGTTCCTCTCTGTCTGGTGCTTGGGAATACCAAAGTCATTCGCAGACTCGCAAATCATATGCCACTTGATGGTCCGCAGCGAGTTGATCATGTCTCGTCGACAGGCAGAGACACCACCACCCTCGTTGGGCCAGGTGCCATTATCAGCAGCTAAAACGTGGAGGTTCTTGTCGGTGTCGGAGCTGACTTCCTTGGACCGTGTGGTGACGACTGCATCACCTCCGGGACCAAAGTTGAAGAAATCACTAATTTTAACGGCGAGGGGGGTCCAGCTGGAGATGTTGTTGTCCAAGTCTGCACTGGCCATGACTGCATCGGCACGAAGCTCCATGTACTTTCTTGCGGCTCTGAGATTTCCCCAATCGCGACTGCGCCAGTAAGGAGACAGGACCTCATCCTTGCGAAGAATGCGATCATCCATCCAGCGAACAATGATGCCGTCGAGATCATTTCGATCCTTCCAGGCCTTCCACATCATAGAGCGAGAACGAGACGTCGACACGGCGAAGCGCTTCTTATTCAATCCAAGAAGACGCGTGAAAAGATTCGAACGCAGGCTATCGACGTAGAAGAAGGGATTGTCGTGCACGAAACTGGTGTAGTTTGGCTTAGCAAGAACTCCCAGGTAGTCGTGTTCGATCATAGGCGGCGTCTGAACCTTCAGTCCGTTGATGGTAGTGAAGATGGTCGGGTGGAACTTGTGATCATACAGCCAGCGACTTTCATACACATCGCCATTTGCCTGTTGCACAAAGGTAGCTTCGGTGACCTTGGTGTGTGGGATCCAACGATGTTCCTTGTCACGATGACGCCGGGGAGGCGCACACCAGGAGACATTGCAAGTAATGTGGGACAGCGAAAACTCAGCGCGAAGCAGTTCATCTCCAAAGCGTGGGTTCTTGCGATAGTGGTACTGGAAGCGGATAAGGTTACCGTCCTTCATGTATGAACCCTTGTCGACAAGACCCTTGGAGTTGTACTGAATGCTTTGAAGGTGGTTCTCGCCCTGGACGCAGCGTCGTCCCAGGGGCATGCGCGGATTCGTTGACTTGCCCAGCTTGAGACCTTTCTTTACCGGTGCTTGGTAGTCATAGTGGTATTCATTGAGCAGTTTGCCGTCCTTGAACTCCTGTTTGATGAGAAGCAGCATCTCGCTCGAATAGCTGCTGACATATTTGAGGGTCCTGGCTTCCTTGTCCTTAGGCTCGGTCTTGTGCTCGCCGGAGTACTGGTAGACTTTGAAGCCTCCATCGGTTTCCTGGTGCCTGAATGCTGTGAAGGTTCCATCAAGTCCTTGTATGATGACTCTGCTTTTCTTGATGTGAATGGTCATTCCCTTAGTCTCTTCCCAAAGTCGCTTGACGTTCTTGCGGCCGTGGAAGAGGAAGAAAGACAGGCCAACGTCTTGCACAATCTTGGCGTAGATCCAGACCATGTTGAGCAGGAACACACTTGGAACGCGAACCACCGTCGGCAGTGTCTTGGAGACGTGATCGAACTCTCTTTGGAATTCAGGATCGGCGATGAGAGCAATGAAGATAAACTTGACAATCGATCCCAGCTTGTGGTAGACATAGCTGAAGGGAGATCTCAACAAAGTCAAGGGCAATGGCATTTTTCGAGGAACGTATGAAATGAATTCAGCAGTCTCTGGCTCTTTGGGAATAGCGGCCTCGCCAGTTCCATAGTGAGAATAGTCAAGGATACTGATCGCCATAGCTGCCCCAAGATTGCACCTCGCAACGTGAACGTCAAGATCGTTGGTGTCAAACTGGCAAAGGCTTTGTTGGAGCCATTGGCGTTGACTGTCCGACAGGCTACAGGGCTGTCCAACGCAGCGGCTCAGGAGAACCTTTCGTACTTCCACAGGTAGCTTGTCCCAGTGGATGTCTGCTTCGAACCCAAGGCACAATTGACGGAGAAGTTCCTTCTTGGCCCACTGCACAACGACAGAAGTGTTGGCCTCTTCGCGCAGTAGCCGGGCCATGGTGTGAGTAACTCCACCTGAGACAATCGCTTCAGCCAGAGCCGCATACTCGTGAGGAACACCCATGACCATCTCGGCGACGGAGTGGACCAGAGTCTCTGCAATGATCTGACAATTGGCACTGATGTCAAGTCGTTCATCGTGCAGGCCTCTCACGCTGATCGCCACCGTTAGTTGATCACCAGTGCTGCAACTCAAAGCCCGGATACCGGGACCCATCGAGCCGTGTGGCACAAGCTCGAGATGGATGTTACCATTCTCCCAAGATGCAAGAGCTTGATCAATAATCTCTTTGGAATTGGGGAAGGCTTCTCCAATTCGAAGTTCTTGGCGGCGAGAAAGAATAACATTCTTGATCTCAATGCCTGGATGGACAGCCGGGTCAACTTTGAAGCGGGAATCGGCAGGGAGAAGCGAGATATTCTCATAGTAGCTTTGAAGTTCTTGCTGAGACCATTCAGGGTCTGCCCATGGCGTGGTGAAGGCATGGAAAGTTCTTCCCAATTCAACGGGAGAATCGACCTTGTGAGGCATGCCCATTTTGGCACTGAAAAGGGACAGAATGGCAACAATCCAAGTGGCCACTCCAAGACCAATTGTCTGAGAGTACAGGAAGCTAGGGAAGCTGACCTTCAGGGCGATGCCAATAGGCAGGCCCACAAGGATACCAATCAGAAGAGGCTTCAGGGCGTGAGGCCCGGTAAAGATCTTGGTGTATTGGTACCAGATCAGACCACTGTAGGCAAGCACGTAAGAGAAGAAGACGATCATAGCTTCTACCGATGACTGGAATGTCCAGATGAGAGCGGTTGAGAGGGCGAGACTCCAGACATGCCACAGCAAAAACCGGAACAGTGTTCGCCAGTAGACCTTTCGACGGAAATGAATGTTCTTCTTCTGCGAAAGACGAATGTCCTTGGCCGACTTGACGGCAGCTGGAGTATTATCACCAATCGCATCGTGCAGCTCCTGGGCCTTAGTGTCGATAAGCACGGCGCCAATAAGATAATAAGCGAGTGCGAAACCAACAGCCATGCGATTCGCATCAGTCAAAGAGGATGTAAGTCCAAGAAGACGGTCACCGCTCAGGAGCTGCACCCACTTGTCGAGAAGGGCAATGATAAAGTACAGGATGCCACAGCCAATCTCCTTGCTTGATTCACGCCAATGAACGAAAGCATTGTGTAAACGAAGGCCTTTCTGTGAGCTGCGCAATACATCAAGGGCAACCTTGGTCTGAATGTTCCATCCAGAGCTGAACGGAATCGGGCGTGGAACATCCGCATAGCGACAGTACCAGTCCAAAAGAAAGTTGGTAGAATCCCAGTCTCGAGCGAGTTCCTTGACCATCTGATCGGTGGTTGCCCTGGAGAAAATTCCACGAGACTTTTCAGCCATGATATCGCTCAAAAGCGCCTCCCGCGCTAGCTTGAGAGCGGCAGGGTCACTCATGGTACCAAAGACTTTCTCATTGTCGTTTCCATGAACGGAGATGTACCACTTGCGGATCTCAGTATCATCGGTGCGTCTAATAGATTGATACCATGTTACCCACTTGGCAGTCGTGGAGCGCAGACTGAGCAGTAGAACACCGATGAAGAGATAGATGACAGCCAAGTAAATAGCCGAATCATTTCCAGCAAAAGTAGTAATGATGGGCGACAAAGAGAGAATTGGAATGCAGAGAATAATGGCCTTGCGGCCCGAGAGGAATGTGGAACCGGGGTAGCTGAAGCTTGCGAGAGAAGCAAAGGTAGAGAAGTAGATGGTCAGGGCAATCAGATAAAGATAGAAAATAATACCCGCCCGAGGGCCTCTGACGCTGGAGATAGCGATGAAGCCAATCAAGCCTCCGGCGACTGTGAATGCAATACCTGCAAGCAGACGAATCAAGACGAACATGTTGGCTGCAGCAAAAGCCATGGAGATGAGGTAGTATGGTCCACCGCATGCGATCCATGTGCCGATAGCACCGGAAAGTAGCAAGGAAATCATCAAGGCCATTGTCGCACTGTCTTGCTCTTGATGCGTCATGTAGGCAGAAAGATAAAGACCTCGTCCGATGAGGGTGAGCAGGATGATGTCAATCAGGGCCGGAATAGCGAAGACACTCAAGAAGGTAAATCGCTGATATGGTCGCATGGTCTTAGCCTTGTCATCGGGATTCACATCTATCTGAGCACCGGCATAGGCTGTGGCCAATTGCGGAGCGCCATCAATCCAGTTTGGAGGTTGGTGCTTGGAATAATAGGCTCGGAACCGATCAGAGAGAAGTTTTCCGAAGACGCTGGGATTGACACCAAAGTATGCTTCACACCGTGAACCCAGAGCGAAGGACTCTGCGAAAGCGGCAGCTTGGTCTGAATGCTGGTTGAACAATGGATTTCTGTCCGTTACCTCGGCATAGATTTCATCGAAAGCACCTTTCCTCGCGGCACAGAAAAGCGACAGGGCCAGCATATCCGCATAGGCATCGACTTGACCTTCTTGCACCAAATCGCAAATTGCAGAAGTGATAATTGCCAGATCGTCCTCGCGGTGTTGCTTCAGTACTCGTGAAAAAACTTCATCGACCTGGTGGAATAGATCCAGAGACGCCGAGAGCGAAGGATAAGAACAGCCTTGCTCCCTGTACCAACCGATGCGCGATCGGATCAGTTCCTCGGGACTTGTTGAACCTTCGAGATACCCGACAGTGTTGAGTTCTTTCAATTGAGCAAATGATGGCGCGTCCACAAGCTGCTGGCGAATATAAGCGCAGATATTCTCCGACAAGTCGCTGTGAGAATCGGTAAGTGACAGATGCTGCAGAAGCAATAGTCGCTCCTCCGGACTAAGAGCGTCGATATCCTGAACGAATCGGCGGGGAAGTTGGGCGTTTGGAACCAAATCCTTGGACCACCTTGCTAGAGCTACTTCCATTTCATAGCAGACATGTCGGGAGAATCCCTTTGCAGATAGGAATGTGTGTAAGACAGTTCCTGCCAGACCCTGGGCATTTTTGGACACGAAGATCTCGACTTTTTCGTCATCTTGCTCGTAGACCGCCCAGAAGCGGCAGTCGGAGGTCTTTCTGAGACCAGAGTCTAGCGCAAGGCTAATCTTCAATGAACCATCTGACGCTAGATCGGCCAAATGTTGAATTGAAGATAGTAGATGCGTATCGTCAAATGATAGACCCAGATTTTCGTGAAAGTTGCGGAGAAGAAGACCAATGCTTTGAACTTTTGTTGGTGGCACAGGGTGTAGAAGTTCCAGGGATTTAAGACGTTGCTGAGATTGAAGAATTTCCGCGAAGGCCATGGGAGTCGGGTCCGATCCAAGAGGGAAGCATCCCATGTTGGTATACTCTTGTCCCGACATGGAGACAGACAACGGGCTGCCCTGTGACTTGACCTGTGCAACCCATTCCGGAGGATCTCTGAGCCGAAGGACGGGGCTTTCTGGTGTCTTGGTCTCACTCTCCTCTGAATCAAGCAAGTTGTCAACAGCCGGAAAAATTGATCCAAGTGATTCCCAGCTAGTTTGGACGCCAGAGATGGTCGAGATTTCGCGATTAGAGCGCCATGTGTCGTGGGTTTTCATAATCTCGGCTTCCTTGAGCCAACCAAAAGCCGGAAGAGGCTCTGTGATTGGAGTGTTCAGATCAGAATCCTTGAGAGAGGCCTCTGGACCAATCCAAGAAATTGCACTGTAGAAGCCGCACCACTGAATGGATCTCCGGACGATGGCGTTTGACAAAGTAACGTCGTTGTTGATAGTCTCCCACGCTAATACCACAAAGTCTCTCATGCATGCCTCGGAGACGAATGCCTTGATTGTCGATTGCAGAGATTCCATCTGGAAGTAGTCGCGCTTTTCACCGTTTGGCATGATGCTAGCATTACGGACGACTAGTCCAGAAATTGCTCCATTCTGTAAAGCCTTTCGGTTTTGCAAGAAAGTGGGTGGTTGTACTTCAACATAAACCGCTAGTCCAAGTGCACTAATTGCCTCGAAGAGCTTCGCATGGATAGAAGGTGTAAATATGCCCTCCCAGTTGGCGAACAGGATTCCGGAGAAGGCGCTGTCGTTGAAGTTGTTGGCAAGGATCCCTTCGATCTTTTCGATTGCGCTCAAGACTGATTCCTTCGACGAATGAATCTGCGCGAGATCAAGCCTACCCAGGACTTGGCTGCGATTGCACTTGAAAATTGCCTCCGCAACGCCATCCTGGAATGGATCCACAATCAACAGATCCCACTGGGCCAGTAGCCTTTCTTGGGATGCAGTTGGCGGCTGATTGAAGCTTCCCAGGTATACTCCAAAGGAAGCGGGCTTTTGCGAATGTGTGGAAGTGTGAACCAAATTGAGTTCTCGGTTCGCCAATTTTTGAAGACATTGGGAGACATTTGAAGGAACTTTGTCCGACAATGGCCGCGACTAAGAAATAAGCACAAGTGTTAGCAATCACGAAGGGAAGTAATCTTTGCAAACCTCAAAATTTCGAATCCAGCTCACCTTATAGTACCTAATGATCTTCACAGTAACAGACCAGAGGATGTTTGCCGCTCCAATGGTAATACACGCCAACAAAACTCCAATCATGAACTGTATATTATCAGCATTCCGTGTACCTCGAAAATCGCGACATCATTTCCAAAGGATCAGAAAAGTAACGGAAGACCTACAAACTGCCACCAGTGGTTTTTCATCCCCTCCCACTTAACGGGGTGAACGGAGAGAATTTTGGCCATCGTGAGGGGTCTGCGGAAAGCAGCAACCCTAGAGGGCGATGGTCAAAAGTAAAGACAAAACGAACGAATGCGCCTAAGCAAGACAAAGCCCGTCAGTCATCGATTTCGCCTTCCTAGTGTGCTTTACAACATCGTCAGGCTTCAATTGCTGACAGAAGTCTTTCGAAGCGAGTGACCAAAGACAAAGTAAGTCCGTAAGACCAGAAACCACGGGGGAGATATGATATGAGGGGGCAGAACAGCCAAAGGTAAAAGGAATGAGCGTTAGAGTTCGAGGCCTAGTTAGCTGGTGGCCAAGACTGACACACGACTGCTGCAAATTGCCTCCACCCTGGAGCAAGCCTGGCCGTATCAGCCGCTCGTAATTTCCTAACGCTTTGAGATTCGTAGAGAAAGAAAGATGGCCCGTGACACCCTGGGTGGATTGGATTGTAAGGCAAAAAGATCCAGACTCAATGGGCAAAAATAGCAAGCCACCCAGAAGTTCTGTTTGCTGCACGCCCGAAAAGGCACTAGGTTATGCACCCAGGATGAACGATGAGACACACAGTGGAGTCGACCGTCGAGCTGCAACTAGCAAGTCCCCGGTGCCATGTGTGTGAGTGGCAATGGGTCCCCAGTCTTTCCATGCGATTCAGTACCGTGGTAGCATTGCAGAATCTGGTGTCTGTGCAGATCAGTCGACGTTGGGCCGTGTCTAACTATACGGTGAATCAAGATTCGCCCTGTCACCCAAGTTTTCAGACTCGTCCCAATAATCTGAAGCAAGCCAATGGTCTACCTCTCTTCCTGGAATGATCTCTTATTTTTCTCTACATCATTTCGTGAGCCCAAATCGGCGCTTGGCCAGAGACACGGGCCAGGACACACTCCACGACAACTTCTGTGCTGGCTTGACCGATAGAGGAATGGTGAAATCTTTGTCGCTACGCGACATCTTTTTTTATTTTTATTTTTTTCACCATGATATTTTCATGCGAATTATATTATTTTTTTTCCTAACCCCTACATAATCTTAGCGCCGGTGCTAGCTGCTAACAAGCAGACTATAGTGAAAAAGCCGAACTTGGTACCAGGATGAACTATTATGCTCGATTTGGAAAGGTGTAGTGGGTGTTTCTATAGGTAATTTTCAATATGCGAATACGAGGGTTATATTTACAGAACCGGTCATACCGTACAATACCAGGCACTACGTATTTGCCATTGAGATCCACCTCATCATGACTTTTCCCCTTCCCCTTGGCCGACTCCACTTTAGTATCTGGACCTGTGTAGAACCCTGGTAGATGCATCCAAAAACCCCGCGCGGGCTGGATCCAGGGCCCCATGAGCCCCAAAGTGGGCAGGGGCTAAGCGGGCCCCTATGCCCTTCCCATCGAACTACAACTCCGTATCCTCTCGGTGCCGAGTATTGGTAGTCCGGTGGATGGTCATGAAATTCGAGGGGTGCTATTCTCGGGCGTTTTTACCAGATAGACAGCGGCTTTCGCGATGTCTCAGGCTGGAAATACTTCACTTTCATTTTTTTCATTATCACTTCCTATTTTAGGCAATTTTTGGCTAATTCTTTTCCGATTTTCCACATGGCTGAGATGCAGCCAAGTGCGAGAATATCACAGAACTCTGCAGGTCCATCCCCACCACGACTGCCTTGACCCTTTGTAACATAGCCAATTGAAATATGAGGAAAAATTTGCTATCCTCAATATCGCCGTCTCTAGACCCCTAACAGGTAGGTTCCGGAACCGACATCCCACAATCCCTTCGGAGAGATCTCGATCTGCCCTATCAATCTCACCCTCCACTCCATAGCACGCCACCTGCAATCCTGATAGAAAGTGCCGAGCAAGCTGACTTGGATGTGGAGATTATCCTTCGTTGAAGCCCGTGGCCTCAGTCAGACCAACCGATAGGTTTTGACAAGCCTGACTCGATCTATCTTTGGTACATAAAGAGCCGATCGGTCATACTTTCCCTTGAAGTCAGATGCAAGCTAGGTTCCTTCGTTCTGCATTTCGCCCCAGTTTTACTGTCACTCGCTTGACGTGCATGGTGCGTTCTATTCTCTCGTTTCTGCATCTGCACCCCTGGTTATCATCAACATGGTGCAACTTCCCCTGTGGGCCTTGAAAATAGGCTGCTTCTACGGCCTTATAACCTGCGACACTCGCCCAGGTGTTTGGCCTGATCACAAGCCTCAAGTTATTTCTTGGGAGCCACCCCGTCATTCTCATACTACTACTACAACTGCCCATACCACCGTCCACACTACTACTGCCCATACCACTACTGCCCACACCACCACTGCCCATACTACTACCACTAGTGTGCCAGAGGTCACTACATCTATTCACTCGTTGACCACCTCTTCCTCTACGTCAATTGCTGTGACTCTTTCTCCTTCGTCTTCCCCTGTTTCTTCTGGAACTAGTGGCATTGTTTCTTCCATTGAGACCGTTTCGCCTACTAGTACCGCAACCCCTTCGACCTTTGCCACTTCCACATCTGTGTCTAGCCCCTCAAGCAGTGCACACCAGAGTTCCTCGGTAGCGAGTTCGTCTTCGAGCTCACCCATCAACTCGCCAAGCTCTACTCCTGGAAGTACCCCAGCGAGCCCCGCTACTTCTCCAAGTGCCACTACAGGTGGAAGCTCTACCTCGAACCCAACTTCGAGTCCCATTGCTTCTTCCAGCTCAGTTGCTTCTTCGAGTCCAGCCAGCTCTACTTCTACCCCTGGAAGCTCTTCAGCTATTGGAAGTTCCTCCAGTACTGGCATTTCTTCCAGCCCTGCAACCTCCTCGAGTCCTGTAGCCTCTTCAAGTCCTGCAAGCTCATCAGCACCTGCAAGCTCATCAGCACCTGCAAGCTCATCAGCACCTGCAAGTTCATCGGTACCTGCAAGCTCCAGCCCTATCAGCTCCTCGACCCCTGTCGGGTCTTCGTCTACCCCTGCATCAAGCCCCACTAGCTCTGTAGCTTCGTCCTCTCCTGTGTCCTCGAGTACCCCCGTCTCCTCAAGCACACCGGTTAGGTCTTCGTCTACCCCTGCATCAAGCCCTGCTAGCTCTGCAGCTTCGTCCTCTCCTGTGTCTTCGAGTACTCCTGTCTCCTCAAGTACACCGGTCATCTCACCAACCATGTCTTCCACCGCTGTCTCAATCTCGGCGAGTGCCTCCGCTACTGCCGTTAGCCATGCCACCATTGCTGGCAACATTCTGGTGATTGCTAGGGACACTGCGTCCGCTGGCGTTGCCTCGTCCGGTCTTAATGCCTATGGTATTCCTTTCACCACCCTGATTGTTCCTCAGTCCGGTGTTACCCTTCCCGCTTTGAACACCAGCACCGGAGGAAACTTTGGTGGTATTGTGGTTGCATCTGAAGTCAGCTATGACTATGGCACGTCTGGTTTCCAGAGTGCCCTGACTACTGACCAGTGGAACCAGCTGTATGCTTACCAGCTTGCCTATGGTGTCCGTATGGTCCAGTATGATGTTTACCCCGGCCCCAACTTCGGTGCTACCGCTGTTGGAGGTGGTTGCTGTAACACTGGCGTCGAACAATTGATCTCTTTCACCGACATTAGCGATTTCCCCACCTCCGGTCTGCGCACTGGAGCTGGTGTGAGCACTGAGGGTCTGTGGCACTACCCGGCTACTATCAGCAACACCACCTCTACCAAGCAGATTGCTTCCTTCGCTGCCAACTCTGTTACCACGTCCGACACCACTGCTGCAGTCATCAACAACTTTGATGGTCGTGAACAGCTGGCTTTCTTCATTGGCTTTGACACCACCTGGAGTGCTACTTCCAACTACCTGCAGCACGCTTGGATTACTTGGATCACTCGCGGTCTATACGCCGGATACCGTCGTGTCAACCTGAATACTCAGATCGACGATATGTTCTTGGAGACCGACATCTACTATCCCAACGGCACTCTTTTCCGTATTCGCACTGAGGATATGGATAACGTTCGTAACTGGGTCACGACCATCAACGCCAAGATGAACGCTGGCAGTACCTACTTCCCCGAAGTTGGCCACAACGGAAACGGCAACATTGAGAACGCATCCAACACCGATGCTGGCTACACTGCCTGCAACGAAGGCGGCATCGAGTATGACTCTCCTGCTGATACCGCCCTCGAGTTCCAGAAGCCTCTGGGTACTGGTACCAACTTGTGGCCCACTTCGCCCACCAGCTACACCTGGACCACTTCCTGCACTCAGCGCGATCCTCTCTTGACCTGGTGGACTACCCCCGCCAACCTCAATAGCTTCGCCTCTCTTTCTCACACTTTCACCCACGAGGAGCAGAACAACGCTACTTACGCCGATATCTACAAGGAGATCAGCTTCAACCAGGCTTGGCTCAAGCAGAATGGTATTGATCAGGGTACCCACTTCACTGCCAACGGTATCATCCCCCCTGCTATTACTGGCCTCCACAACGGCGATGCCCTTCAGGCCTGGTGGGATAACGGCATCAAGAATTGTGTCGGTGACAACACCCGTCCCGTCCTTCTCAACACTCAGAACGCCATGTGGCCCTACTTCACCGTTGTCTCCACTGATGGCTTCGCCGGTATGCAGGTCAACCCTCGCTGGGCGACCCGTATCTATTACAACTGTGACACTCCTGCTTGCACCCTGCAAGAGTGGATCGACACCTCTGCCGGCAGCGGCACCTTCGACGACCTGCTTGCTACCGAGAAGGCCGATACCATGCGCCATCTGTTCGGTCTTCACCACGACGGTTACATGTTCCACCAGGCCAACCTGCGCAACGCCGACGTTGATCCCATCACCATCAACGGTGTCTCTGCCAAGTACTCCATCTTCCAGGCTTGGGTTGAGGTCCAGGTCCAGGAGTTTGTCCGCCTTGTCACGTGGCCTCTCGTTACTCTCAAGCACGCCGACATGTCTGCTCAGTTCCTGGCTCGCTACAACCGTGATGCCTGTGGCTACTCTCTGAGCTACACCACCAACAACGGAAAGATTACCGCTGTCACTGTCTCCGCTACTGGAAACACTTGCAGTGAGACCATCCCGGTGACCTTCCCCACTGCTCCATCCAACACCCAGGGATTCACCACTGAGCAGCTGGGCAGCGACCCCACCACTGTCTGGGTGAAGCTGTCTGGTTCCCCCGTTACCTTCACCCTCTCTACTCCTATTGCTCTGTAAGAGTGGATAAGATTTTGAGTTTGTCTCATGTTTCAATCGCGAAAACGTTTCTTGTTGATTCGGATCTAATTTTAGCTTATGTTATATTTTGTGGATAACTCTTTCCTAGACCTGTCTATATTCGCATTGAGTTTATGGTGGAAAATAATATACTTCAAGCTTGCTTTGTTGATCGAAAACTTTCGAAAACTTTCCCACATCATAAAAAGTAAATCTCCTTGCAGCTAGAATGCACTCAGCATGACTTGCGAATACGAGACGCCACTTGTAGGTTTTCCAAAGCTTAGTCTCAAGTCAAATCATAATGTGATGGCTGGCCTCAATGTGGAAGTGGCGGTCTGGTCAGCAGGCGTCAGCAGGGACAAGGTATAACTCTGCAGGTCCGAAGTATATTCCGTATGCTGTAGAAAGCATGACTTTTCTTGGCATGTCTGTGCTGCTCAGATTGCTGAAAGTCAATTGCATCTATGATGATGATATTACCTTATTACCTTTGAGTTTTGGAAATCGATCAATCTAAATTATACTGAGATTGATTGTTGATAGTGAGCAGGTTGCCCGATTCAAGCATTAAGTAATCGATCAGTTCGGGACGAAGTTTCCATTTTGAGTCTCCTTGATTGCGATCAGATCAACATCTAGATGTTAGATCCGAGTTACCTGTTTTGGATTATGATATTATGATGATGTATAGCATCTCGCTGGCCCGTTTCCTAACATCCACTAACGGCGACGCCGAAGGCCTTCACCCCTCTTCTCGTGAGATTGATGACCGGCCGAAAGACACGGGCTCACTAGGACAATTGGTGCCTAAAGGCGTGGCAATTCGTGATTGTACAACACGAAAGCCGTGCTTCTAGGCGAATGGTCGGCGCGGGGGAGGACGCGGGCGATGACACGAACATCGCCGATGCACCCCAGCCTCGCGCGGCTCAACTAGCGGGACGGCCGAAAGAAACTGGCCACCGTCTTGAATGAGGCTAGTGGAACCCCCCCCTTGGGAGAAAGAGAGGCAGCTCGTGCGAATTCCATTGGCACTCGGATATATTTGCACCCCCCCAGAGTATGTCCAAGGCTGGGCGCTGACCGCGGAATTGCTGCAGGGGTCGAGGCGGGGAAAGTACGAGACTCTACGAGGGGGAAGTTTGGCGAGCTGCTTACTAGCATGACATGGTGACATGGGTTCGGGAACAGGATTCATCCGCGTTTGAATGGAAAGGGAATGGCGTCGGTGAGCTGTCCTCCAGGACGCTGCTATGGTCGATCTTGGCACACTATCGCAATCCTTGGGACGCTCATGTATGCCGTTGTTGTCTCATACCGAGCAAGGACCATTCTTTTTCTTTCTACCGAGTAGCTGTCACTTCAAGGAGCGGGTGTGGCGCTCGGGGAAAACGGATGGGGAGGGTCGAGAACAGTTGCGCACGGCTTACGAGACCCGATTTTTTCGTTCTCTAGTTGCATTTTAGTTCTTACTGCCAATTGAACTACTACTACATAGTTGTATTTTGCTTTTTTTTCTACGGCCAGCAGACCAAGGTCGTGCAGGGGAAGTTTGGGGTGTGTGCAGAGCAATGTGGTGGGGGTATCTAGCAGGAGGCAAAAGCAAGCGAGAACGCAAAGACCACCACCCTCCGAGCCTCATAGCTGTCATAGACTACTAGGATAAAGTGTATCTAACTCAGCCACTTCCAGAGTTTGATTCAGCAGTGTGGCACTAGTGTAGGAAGTATGGAGTACAGTGCTTGTCAATACATCGATTGACCGGGATTCCCGTCCGGGCTTCTCGTCCGGCAAGTCAGGGCTAAAGGCAATTTTTTACTCATGCTTTTGTGAAATAGGCATAGAATGTTCCTGTCAGAAGCCTTGTTAATGGGACTAATCAACAAGGCACTCATGACATTAGCGTGATGTGTGTCTTGAAAGACGGGCAGGGGAGTGGGGGAAGGCGGTATTCCGAGTATATTCGAAATAGTCCCGTACAGGTGTAATATTACAGCCATCCCGTGGTGTTTTGCAAAATTTGCAAGTTCCACTAGCAATTGCGTCGTCATAGCCTTGTCACTAGGGCTTCAAGTTCTGAACCGATCGGGAGCTAAATCGACTAGATCAACTAAAATCAACCCACAGCGGCGGTCCCACCGGATCAACAACCCGCTTTGAAAGTACTCTACTCAAGCGCTTGCCAGCGCATGCATCGCTGGGGGGCTCGGGTCATTGGCAGGGTTCCAGATTTGCCGGCAAGAGGGGCAGGGGCAGCGGATGAGAATCAATCTGATTCTTCAGCAACTTTCAAGTGTTGCAGATTGATCACTCTGGCAGGGACCAGGGACGGCACATCGCTGTCCTGTTAAATTAAAGGTGGGCGCTCGGGGTGTACCGTTTGTCCCTGAAAAGGCTGGCTGAGAAGTGACTGCTCAACTACAGAGTACATGTTCTCCTGTGTAACCCGACTGGCGACTGGCGAAGTGGGTTTCACGCCTCGGTTTTGACCTGGTCGGCTCAAAAGACCTCTGATGGTGTGATGGGTCTTGCCAAGCAGCGGCGGGCACAGGGCCCTATAGTCTTGGCACACAGGGGTAGTGCTCTTGTGGTTGGTGTCTATTCTTATTTTTGTGTCTTGGCAAGTTGGGGCAAAGTTTGCTCCTGTACCGTGGCTCGCCTTTTTTTTTTTCTTTCTTTGTTGGCTTTCGTACACTGCGCAGTGTGGCACATGTCTTTGCCCAAATTTTGGACTGCTCCTAGAACTAATTTTTTTTTCTCGCACAGCAGAACCATGGCTTTGCCCTCCACCATGATCCTATAGTACACTACCGTGCTCCTTGCTGTACTTTACTTCGGATCTAGTAACCTGCAAATAGACTTGAGCTCAACAGACAGTGTAAGCGCTTCGTGTACTTACTTTTTTCATAATGGCTGCCTGATCATCGATCACCCCATTAATGGATAGCCACAATCGCATACCTCGGTAGATCAACATTGGTTCCACCACCTTAATTCCTGCCCTATCCGGTCCGCGAATGGCCGAAATTTTGTCTTCCCCTCCAAGGAGACACCGCTAATCATTGCTGTTTCTTTGAAACTGAGTGCAATCGCTGATTGGATCTGCCAGAAAGAGCTTGCAGCTGTGGCTCAGTCAACTTGGCGCTGATCCCTAGGCTCCCGAGTTTCCGATTCCCTTTTCTCCCTTTCTTGTAGCTACAGTACCACACTTCATACCTATTTCAGGAGTCTTTTGACATACCTAGAGTGTCTTTCCAGGCAGCTAAGGTATCAAATTAGCCTCCACCTGGTAGCATCTGGGGCGCTGCAATTGAGGTTTTTGTTTTAGGTGCGACCGGCCCTTGAGGATCGCCGCAGCCTCAGCCCCAGAACCCTGCGGTCTGGGCCCGCTTTCCCTTAGGACCCTTCTTTTTTTTTCTTTGCTCTTCTGAGCTTAAAGATGCCTATCGCCCACAAGGTTTCTTGAGTTGTTTGATATCTATCGATTTACTCCAGTGATCCACCCCTTGTCTTACATACGACCCCTCATTGATTATGCCAGTCTGCTGCTGACACTGGTCTCGGAATTTCTTTAACCTCCGGCAATCCACAACCTTCATTCTACCTTGACTGCTGCTTCCCCATCATACAAGCATGGATAAGGTGCCAACAAAGACTGGCTGGGCGGCCTGGACCGCCAAAAAGAAGATCTTCGTTGCCTCTATCGTCGCCCTCATCATTGTCGCGATCGGTGTCGGACTCGGCGTTGGCCTGGGTGTCGGCTTGAATAACGGAAGCAGCGGAGAAGGTGAAGGCGAAGGCAGTGGAAGTGGAAGTGGCGGCACTGGCACCGGTGGAAACGGAACGACCAGCGGCAACACAACGGTGAAATGGCAGCCCGCAGTGGGTGTCAAGTGGCAAATCGAGCTTCTGTATGCCCTAAACGATACATCCGTGGACGCTGAAGTCTACGATATCGACCTCTTCGACAACGACAAGTCGACGATCTCGAAGCTTCAGGGCCTTGGTCGCAAGGTCATCTGTTACTTCTCTGCCGGAACGTACGAGAAGTGGCGTTCTGATGCCAGTGACTTCAACTCATCCGACCTGGGCAACAATCTCGCAGATTGGCCCGGTGAGAAATGGGTCGACACCAACTCCAACAACGTGCGCAAGATTATGCAAACCCGCCTGGACTTGGCAGTGACCAAGGGTTGCGATGGCGTTGACCCCGACAACATTGACGCCTATGACAACTCCAACGGTCTCAAGTTGACCGAGGATGACGCGATCAACTACGTAAATTGGCTCGCTGGCCAGGCACACAGCCGCAACCTGTCCGTGGGTCTCAAGAATGGTGGCGCTATCATCGATTCTGTCCTGGACAATATGCAGTGGTCCGTCAATGAGCAATGCTCCCAGTATACCGAGTGCGACACCTATGCGGCCTTCACGGAGGCCAACAAGCCGGTCTTCCACATCGAATACCCCAAAGGCGATAACACCAACAACGATCAGGCTGTCACCATGTCACAAAAGTCGTCGGCTTGCAATGCCGCCAGTGCTGGCAACTTCTCTACTGTCATCAAGAATATGGATCTGGACAACTGGGTAGAATATTGTTGAGGGATGATGTCATGACTCGCAATTTATGTTTTTTTGTACCTGCTTTTGCAACCATTGATCTCCCCGTATTCACATGTACCACAATATGATAGTGTCTGCTCGGCTAATCTTAACCCAACAATCTCCTTAGCTCTGAGGCGCTTTCTATGAGCCAAAGTACTAGAAGAAACCACAGAGACTAAGTTGTCTTGTCGTTCATGAAGTCCAGACTACTCTTGCGCTCAGGGCTCATCGCTAAAGGGAACGCCCAGGCTTCCAGCTCCGCTTCTCTATGCCTCAATTGCCGTGTCGGCTTTCACTCAGCCCCCACGAACTCGCCTTCGAATCGCTTGATCGTTTCAATAAAGGGCAAATTGATGAGGCGCCGGCCACGTCGTTAAGCCATCACAATCCTGAGGGTTCAGCGTCTCGCTTTTGGCAGTAGTCACGATGTGTGGCTGATGAGGTCCAATAAACGAGGTTTTCCCGTAAGCGTGCCCAGCTTCCTAGCGTGACGGCATGCAGAGCTAGTAGCTGTTAGTCCGGAGAACGGTGATAGGAGTGCAGCCCAACCCCGAAAGAAGAGCACAAGGACTTCCGCCTGCCTCCGGCGGCTTAGCCGAAGCGACAACAGGTCTTTTTTTTCTTAGCCCTTGCCAGATTACTGCTCTCGCTTTCAATTCCTTGGATTCGGAGGTCAACGGTTGACTAGTAGCTAGAGCGTCTTGGTGAAGGTAGGTGCACTCGGTAAGCGGAGGACCATCCGAAAGAACATTGCCGATCAAGACGGCAATATATCCGGTGGTGTTGTTGTTCTTGGCACTTCTTGGGATATTCGGGGCCCCACAAGTATAACGAACTTTATTGGCTATGTGTTGCGGAGGTGCTTGTCAAAAAGGCACGGTCGATGACAAATGGGACGGTGCGTGGGTAGCACGCAATAATAGTGAATGGACTCCGTACAGTACGGTCGCTTTGTCAATTTGGTAACATTGGAACCACGGGTGAGCGGAACTTTACCACTTTGTAAACTAGGCTAGAAATTTTCAAGACTCTGCCTGTCTACCGTACAGCCATAAAATTACACCTCAAAAATGCAACTTTGATGGTCCACCAGTGGAATTGGACATATCAGAAATTCTATTTTCAAGAATGGGAATTGAACTCTGATCTCTGGCTCTTGCATGTCGACTTTGTGACTTCAAATTGTCTCAACCAGAAGCCAGCCATCAAAGCTTCACGAGCTGCAGGGGTTAAAGAACACTCCAACCGCCCAAAGTTTACTGAGCGTTACTGAGTGGCGAACGTTTGATCACCGAAGCCATGGCGGTCATAGACTCATTTTGCTAAGCCTCTGGGATCAGATACTTTTCCCACTTCTAATCAGATTTTTTTTCGCCCGCACTAAAAATTCTAGCTAACTACCTAAAGTTGGGGGTCCGAAGAGAAATGGAGTTCTCGCCTCCACTTTTGCGATCGTTTTGCCCCCGAACACGGACACTATTCCAAGATCGGGGATCGGTTAGGAAACTCGAACGCTCTAAGGGCTTTAGCCGCCTCAGATGTGACCCATCATTCTTGCCGCCCCCTCCCGTACTGTACTTTGGAAGAGGTTAAGTGGGTACATAAGAAAAAAGGATCCATCACCTCAGCCAACGAGCGCGAGCGCTAAGATCGTAACCTCGAGTGGCTCCCGAGCAGTTCCCGAGCGGATCTGCCCGGTTCCTGATTTCGAACCATGGCCATCAGTGTTTATTGGTCAACTGGGAAGGGGGCTGGTTGGTGAGTCTTCTTCATACAAACTCCACTTTGACCCCCCATATTATATCAAGACGCCGATTCCTCCCTAAAGAGTCTTGGAGACGGTCCTTATGAAACGACCGAGTACGAGTTTCCTGGCTGAAGCAAGTCGAATCATTAGTTTGTGCGCTATTCCACTTTTCTGCGTTGCCAAGCCGTTCTGGATGAATCGGCTGCGCCATCGAGATCGATCTCGATTTTTTCGGATGGCACTCTCCAGGATATGTTGCCATTCGTCATGTTTCAATTGTGAGTGCTCTTGCCGCCATTTGTGCGTTTTCTAGGTGATCGATTTAGTTGGAACAACTCTCTGCCAACCACGTTTTTGTGTCACGTCAGCACATTGTTTCCAGATCAGTTCCCGGGTTGGGGCGAGCGTGGAATTCCCCTTGAAAGCATGCACACTGCACGATCCTCATGTTGTCCGAATCCCCGAGTAAACGTTTGGAGCTTGCTTGGTGCTTTGCGTTGGTTCACTGAAAATCAGTTCATGCCAAGTGGGCCATATGCGCCTACTCCCCCCTGCGCCAGCCTCTCTATTCTCTGTCCCCCCAGGTAGTGGCTCCATGAGCCACAGAGTTCGGCGGCTCGCTTTCAGAATTTTCAAAGATCGACATGCTTGTTGGCGCTATAGAGTTCCTTTGGCCAAGAGATAGATCGAAAATCCCTAGGGATTTTCACCAGGGTTGCTACTCCTGTCCAACGTACCTGAAGGACACCACGAGGTGGGGGCTTCCGCTTCTTCGTACTGTGGATCAAATGACCAAAAGTTAGAGATGAATTGAGTCCAGGTTGAATTGGGTCTAAGTTTACCAGGTTCGCAGGAAAAATGGAACCATGTATTAACTCAGGATTCGAGTACGCCCGGCTGGGAGGCAAATTCGCATTACAAATATAATTATCATTTTTTTGAAAGCCGAGTTGCTCAAAAATATACGTGCTGTACTAATAACTAACCTGCAATATGTAGCATCTGGTTCCATGGCCGTACCCCCATAACCAACAATTTACATTTCCATTACAGCAAAAACTGTATCAGTCCGTGATAACATGATCCTTTGACTATGACCATTCCTTTCTATGTATGTCGCAAATCCTGTTTCCAATTCGTCTAGGATATCTCGCAAGCTCAGTTTCATCGCAGCGTGGTGCCGACCCGTTATTTTCGGTCTCGGCTGCAAGAACTTCGGAGCAAAATCTTTGTCATGTATCACCGAAATGTCTCAGTCCGTTGAAAGTACAGTGGTTGAAAGTAGGCCGGTCTTGATCGGAGGCAAAAGCGTGCCAAGAGATGCTGATTGCAGGACTACTACGGAGTATCTGTTGATTCGATATCATGTATGTCTTAGCAAAGTCTCGAATTAAGACATCATATTTGCAGCTCAGGTTAATATGTGATCTTGCGACCCCATATGCTGTCTGCTACCATAGAGAGAATAGCTATTTTGGGGTCTCCACGGAGAACCTCATAGCATTGGATACAGCCGTACAGCACACCGTGCATGATCGAGTCGCTTTACCTCGAAAGAAAAATCTGTCAGGCCCTGTTCCAGTAAAGGAAGGTGGTTTGGGGACGCCCAGCTACGAAATCACTGACTCAAAACATGCATACTTGAATCATTGTGACCTGATCCCTACAGTAGAAACAACCGAACAGACCACGTTTTCGAGCGCCGCTTACCATAATTCGAGATTTCACCCCCAAATTGTCAAAGACGAAGCCCAAAATGCAACTCTGACAATCTAACGTGCCTCGGGTATTCCCTGTCTGAGTCAAGGTCTGGTTGTTCCAGCCTTGAACCTTGACTATACTCGGAACCATGGTTGTATCAAGTATGGAACGAGAATGAAAATTACCATAATTACTTACCCGACTCCACTTGACCAAAATAGAACTACATCCGTGCTTTGGGGGTTTTTCTCCTTTGTCGCTATTTCTGAGCTGTGTACGGAGTACATTACATATTTCTATCCGTTTGATTTTCATAGAGCTTTGGCCTCTCACTCTCGGATTCTAATTGCCTGCATCCTCGGTTCTGTAGACTTGGAAGATAATGAGAAGGGGCGGTGAGATTTCTTGATCGTGGCGGGCAATAGCTCGCAAAGCCTATGGAAGGGCAGTTTCTCTTAAAACAATTCTAGCTTGCATACAAGCAAAATGAGAATGCAGAATATATGATACCTCATTACAGGGGAGGGGGGGGTTCAAACGTCACCACAGTGTGAGCCTCAATCTGCCATTAGATCAACAAACTCGGTCCACTTGGACCCAAAGCTAGCATAGTAATCGATGCTAAGATGGGTGATGTAAAGTTCATCGACCACCTTACGGGCATCTTTCACCAAACTGCGTAGTTTAGGACCCTCTTCGGTATCAGGTACCGAGTGGATAACAGCGCACAACTGGGTACGGTTGCTGTCGGGAATAGCCGTGAACAGCTTAGCTCCCTGTCGCTCTTGGAAGCTACTGTATGTCCCTTCGAAGACTACAGTTGAATCGGCCGATGCCAAGTAACGAGAGTCTGGGACGGCTCCAGGGTTGTGCACCACCTATGGATAAGGGTTAGCCACGTGAAGTTCGCTTGGAATGCCCCAATGAAGGAATTCGGAAGTCGATAGGGCTGGTGGTAAGCAAAGCGAAAACGATTCAATCCAAAAAAGGGGGAATAGGAAATTTGGGAGAACCCAAAAAAATGCATGATCGGATGAGAGAGCCATACAGATGGCACAAAAAGTCCCCAGGTATGGAGTGGAAGGAACCATTGGGGGATGTAAGGGGGATGGGGGGGGGCAACAAGTGGAACGATAGTCCGTCATTAAGCAATCGGAAATTAGGAGATTTTTTTGCAACTTACAAAGCCATTGGTGCCAAATCCGTTCAGCTCCTTGACCAGGTCCGTCAGATTCTGTAAATAATTGAGGGATTGGACACTGTATTGCTGGGGTGCTTCATCGAAAAATATACCCCGAACGGCCAAATCCGGGTTGGACGAGTTGGTCGGCCACGCGGCATATGTCTCTATATCCTTGCGCACTAAGGATATGTTGCGCTGGGCATATGAAGTGTGGACATAGCCCAAAAGACGGACATTTGTGTACGATGCGAGAATAGGTACTTCACGAGTATAATTCGCATCGGGCAACGAGTTTGGCCCGGGGCCGTTTCCTGGGTTGATTACGACGGTAAAATTGACATCTGGATAGGCAGCGACCCTAACGGTGTTTTAGCAAAACGACGATTTGTTTCTGCAAAAACAGAATTTTACTCGATTTGATTTAGAGCATTGAAAGAGCAGGGGCCATGCGGGAGGCAAGGTCAACAGCAGCGCGGCACGACATTAACCATGCCATGTATGGGTGGCGGGCTAACCGGCTGCTTGGGTTCGTATATTGGTTTTGAGAATTGGGAAGGTGATCGTGACTTGTGAGGACGGGGGCTGGGCTGAATGAGAAGGGATCATGGAACCTACACATTTTCCAACGGAGTCCACGCTCCCGGAGCAGGGTAGACGTAAAGTGGGACGAATACTTTGGATTGAGGACCCATGCTGTTATTCTTGCGCAGAGTGGTGACGACAACAGCTGGGATGATAGCAGCACAAAGGACAATGAAAACGATTACGGCCAAGAGAATTCGAGCCCACTTGGACTTAAGGCACCCTCGCTTGCTCACGTGCTTTTCTTCGGGACCCATGGTAGACAGTGTCAAATTATGGGAATGCGTACGGAGAATCGATTCGAAGGGGAAAGGTGGTTTGAAATAACGAGAAGTGGATTCTCTAAAGGCAGTTCTATGATCACATCGAGTCTGATGAGTATAAGACAAAAAAAACCTTGCACTCGGTAACCTTTTGTTGTCTTAGGTGGGAAAAAAAGGGAAAAAAAATAAAAGAAAAAGAGAAAAAAGAAAATCACCGGTCTAGCCTTTAGTCTCGTTGCGCCGCCCGGAAATAGACCATGGCGGGTCTCGACCATATGAGATGCAGTGTATGATATTAGATGAGATGTAGCAAGCATTCCATTTGTAGTATGATACGGCCATTAGCCCGAGCTGAGGGTCCTAGACGTACGCTTCACGGTGGAGGCGCTTAGGGCAGTTATTTGGCCCTGGAAAGACGATATTTCAAGGCCTAGCCGCAAGCCTGGCCCACTATCCAAGGACATCCTGCCTGACTGTACTTTGGTCTATCACGAATTCTTCCTCTTGTTCGCCTCTGGATCTTCACCACGCTTTTGATTCCGGGCTTATGCGAGCCCCTTCGGCTTCAATTTTCCCATTTTTACCGGTGCCGAGGCGTCTCTGGTTCCATTTGTTGACCGGGGTATGACACAATAGTTAGAGCTAAACGAACATACTCTGAGGCAACGAGGCCAACCCAGGGTCCTTCTCCCCGGTGTATAAATCTCGCTTTGTGGCTCTCCGGAGGGTCCAGAGCGGATCACGGTCATTGTTTCAAAAACTTATAAAAAGCATAATACTTGGCTCTTCCGCATTTTTTTTGCTTGAGTGACAAGACGTTGACTTCCTTGTTGTCCTTTCTTGTCACCTCATTCAGCCATTGAAGCCCTTGACTGTTCGCATCCAAGCTCACGATGGTCAGTCGTCGACGATCAGATGCTAGCACTCCGGTGGAGAGTGAATCCCCGAGCTCGGTGGACACTCCTGCCACAGAGTCTTCGGTACTGTTCGACAACCTTGACGAGCTGTTGCGAAGACTTCCTCAAGAAAGTCAATATATTCTCGTCACTGGTGGTTTGGGATTCATCGGGAGTCACACCACATTGGAGCTTCTCAAAGCTGGCTATAATGTGATCGTCATCGACAACCTCAGCAACTCTTTCGAAGTCGTGTTTGACCGCATCAATCTTTTGGCTCAGAAGTTCCACGACAAGAATGGATCACCAATGCCATCACTGCGGTTGCATGCCCACGATTATCGTGACACATCAGCCCTTCGAGATCTCCTCCAGGAGTATCGACTTGCCTCGAGGTGGGGAACTCCAAAGTCCAAAATTGCCGGTGTTATTCACTTTGCAGCATACAAGGCTGTAGAGGAGAGCATCAGGCACCCACTAAAGTACTATGCAAACAACGTGAGTGGTTTGATTGACTTTGCATCAACACTTGGGGAATTTGGTATCAAGACATTCATCTTCTCCTCTTCCGCCACCGTTTATGGCACCCTCGCAACTTCGGGTCTTCCTTTGAAAGAGGAGCTCTGTGTACACAGAGAAGAGGTCTGTACAGACCACAAAGGAGAGACGCAACTTGTCCAACCCGGATGTACAGGAATTACCAACCCGTACGGACGCACTAAGTGGATCTGCGAGACTATACTTGCCGATCTTGCTGCATCTGATCCCGAGTGGACTATTGTCGCCCTTCGTTACTTCAACCCTGTGGGTTGTGATTCGTCTGGACTCCTTGGAGAAGACCCGCGACAGGCACCCACCAATCTGCTCCCAGTGGTCGTCAAAGTTATGACCGGGCAGTATGCTGAACTCCAAATGTTTGGAACCGACTGGGACACAACAGATGGCACGGCCGTCCGAGATTTCATCCATGTCACTGACCTCGCTCGAGGACACATCGCCGCGCTCAGCACTGCAAACGAAGGGAAGCTTGCTGAGAACTTCCGAACTTTCAACCTCGGTACAGGATCCGGCAACTCCGTTCTGGATGTGGTCACCACCATGGAGACAGTCATCTCCAAGCCAATTGCTCGGAAGGCGGCAGGTCGCCGCGAGGGTGACGTGGGTTCTTGTGTTGCGGTCGTTGACCGGTCCCAGGTAGAGCTGCAGTGGAAGACCCAGAAGTCCCTCAAGGATGCTTGTGAGGATATTTGCAACTTCCTTAATGTCAGTGGACTGTCTTCATGACCACACTGGGATCCGTCGTTGTCATGGCATTTTTCCCCCCTTTCTTATGTTCCTTATGATTACGCCTGTTCTTAATATTCCCTTCGCAGAACTGGCGGTGACTCGTTAGTGTGGTTTCGGCTGCGTGATGTTTGTTTTTTGATATGAGCATTCTGACTAGAGATGCATTGTATGAGCAATCTTTGATCTGTACTTGTCATTTTTGGAATTGGTGGTCTAGCGCATACATATGTGTCTTCCGTGATCGAGCTATTTGCATCCCATATAAATGTCGTCAAGTTTCATGCACAGATCCAATAATATGGGCCTATAATAAGAGTATAAGCTTAATCGGATGATACTTTTCAGAGTCAAATGGTCCGCCTCTGATCAAAGAACAGCATAGTAGCAATACTTTTGCTCGCTGAAGATCGAAGCTTTGAATTCTTGGCAACCAAGGTATACCTGAGGCATGATTTTTTGAAATAATCACGTGACAATAAAACAAGTAGCTGGAATCGATGATATCTTCAGAATTATTCGACCGATTAAAAGATACCATGAGTATTGGCTGAGTTCAGGGCTAATTCTAGTTTGCCCAGGGGCATCCAAACAAAATTGAATGATCTCTTTGGGTAAGAACCAAAGGAACCGACCTGACTTTACGGCCCATTCACGTGACCAGCTCCGGCTTGGCATCAAATCCGCGCCGCAGTTTTCTGCCATTTCGTGGTGTAATCTGCATTGTCAACTCCACGCAACTGGCTCGTCGAAAAGCCAAGTCGCCTACTCCAGTGCCCAGTGACGAAGCAGGAATCAATTGCTGCCTTTGTATCTGCTCAGAACACAACGATGATTTGCAGAAGCTGCCGGACCACCATGCTGTCTCGCCTACAACAGACGCATGCCGTGTCATGGACCGCCTCAACAGCTGCTCGCCAATTGCCTACTGTGCGCAATCAATTCCGATTCTACAGTGACAAGGCTGCCAACCCTTCCGTCGCTGCCACTCCTCCTCCCTCCTCTCCCCGCCAGCCCGCGGTCGGCGACAACACTACTCCCTCCGCCATCTCCTCCGCGACCCCGGGTGTCTCTCAGCCCTTGAGTACCCCAGAAGGTGTGCACACCGATGCAAAACCCGGCAGTCCTACCAAGCCCGTTGTCGAGCGCCCGCCGAGTAGCTGCCCGGCTGGCACGAAGATGAATGGTTTGAATTATTTCAAGAACAAGCCGGATATTGTTGCCAAGGAAGATTCGGAGTACCCAGACTGGCTCTGGGACCTCCTTGGGGATGCGAGCAAGCAGTCGAAGACCGACAAGGGTGGTGTGGACCCGAGCAGTATGTACTCCTACCCATTTAAGGAGCTGGTTCTTCCATCCTAACATCTCTCTCCTCCCTCACAGCTCTGAATAAGAAGCAACGAAAGCGCTACGAGAAGAAACTGGCTGCTCGTACCGGACCCCTCGCTCCTAAGATCCCCGCCCACCACCACTCTTACGATATCACACCCGCGCCCTACAACCGCGACGCACCCTTGGAAGATACCTTCTCCGACGCCACCGCCGGCCTCGACAAGCGCCAAGAGGTCACCAAGAGCGCCCGAGAGGCGCGACGGAAGGCTATCAAGGAATCCAACTTCCTGCGTGGCTTGTAAAACAACTACTATGGGTCAATTTATCCGTTGCACAGCGTTGTCATATTCTCACTTTTCAAAATGGCTGAGCTGCTTTGCGCAAAGTGGCCATTTAAACTAGGATTGTGGATATCGGACCAAGCAGGACCTTGCAAAGGCTACCGACATGTATTACTATACTGATTTTTTATCCTCAAATGTGCTATATATATATTGAAATGATCTTCGTTACATTATTTGTCATACTGATGGAATGTAAGATCTCACATCATGTAGTCCAAGAGGACTACCACGATGGAAGCTATACCCATATCTTCAAGCAGCGGTCTGAGGAACTGTCCATTCCCTCTCCTCACCCTGGCCATCTATCCAAGGCTCACAAGCCTTCCAAAGAGCCTTGAATTCGCCATTACCAATTGCCATGAGCCGATCGAAAGCTTCCCGGTCAATGCGCTCGAAGAAGGCAAAGTGACAGGCCAAGAACAGGTCTACATACCCGGGGGTCTCGCCCTCGAAGAAGGGCCCCTTCTTGCCCTCTCGACCCCGAAGCATTTTGACCAGTGGACCTGCCTCGATCTCGAGCTTCTTCCACAACTCATCGATAGTCTCTTGATCGGTCGGTCGGATCTCCGAGTAAGGCTTCCCGAAGGACTTCGACCGAGTCTCGATGAAATACTCTTTTCCTCGCGGATCCATATAGTCTGCCACCCTTGGAATGATCAAAGAGCCAATTGCCGGACCCAATCCGCTTGCGATCTTGCTCACGGCTATCAACAGCGCGTAGCTGGCGTCACCACTAGGGAAGAGCGGCCTTGAAGGGAACGCCTTGTCCAGATGCATGACGATTGGCAGCGAGTCCATCATCGCACCGTGGGGGTTCGACGTCACTGTCGACTTATGGATGATTACGGGCAACGTGTAAGGGATTCCAATCTCATTGGGGCCAAGCCCGAGGCCCTTGGTGAGCGGGGCAATATCGGGATACGAGATCCAGCTTTGAGTGTAAGGGATGCCCTTGAAGTTCAAGACTGAGCGGACCTTGAGGGTATTAGGGGACCACGACTTCTGCGCTCCTGATAAATTCGCTTTCTCTTAGCATGTTGTCCGGGGTATCTGAAAAGCGGGGTGGGGCGTGCAGCGTACCTGGAAGTGTGGAGACGATGTCAAAGAACTGAACGGGCTCTGAATTGGCCATGGTTGGAGATGGCTGTCTCGTAGGGTATATGCTGATTGAACTGTTTGATGCTATAAAGTGATAGTCAAGCTTGATTCCAGTCGAGGACTGCAGCGATTCTTATATTCGTATAGCAAGGTCGATCAAGTGGGGGGGGGCCTGGAGGTGGCCCGCTTGGATTTCTCAGCAAGTTTGCAAAAGTCACCGAAGACGGCCAAACTCCCTGAATCGGACATTACGAGGGCATTAATAGGTCCTCTAGTCCCAAGATGACACTTTTTCTCACCGTCCGAAAGCTAAATGGCACCTGACAAATGCTGTTTCATCGGCGTCGTGACGCCGTTCGAACTAATGGGGGTCGCCCCGTTCCCATACTGACGTCGGAAGCCTCAGTCCCAGTGCTAGCTAGTGGAATTGCATGATAGAAGGTGACCCAAAAGCGAAGAGGTTGGCAACGGTTGGATTTGCTGCCAGCTATAAGTGCCAGCTACAAACGGCATGAAGAGCGCAAAGTCTTCAGCTTAGCTAAAAGCCAAGATCTCACCGATGGAGCCACGTCTGCCGCGGAAGTGTGGAGTCGATCATGACGGGACAACGCACGTGTCCACTCCCTTAATTTCTCATCTCACACTTCGTGTTTACCTTTCGAAGTCCTCCTTCTCTTGACTCACGCTGCCTATCCTTCTAACGCCAGAAACCCCGAGTAACGAGGTTGCATTGCGTACGTCAAGCCGCGAAGCGGGGCTTTACGCTATCCAATCGGCACCGGCTCGACGACATCCTTGCAACGGGACATAGTATCGTGTTAGGTAGCCTTATCTCTTTTTGGAGTCGATCATTCTGATAGGCCGAGATGGAAAAAATGGACAGTCTTGTTGAGCGAGCGCGGGACCTCACGCTGCGTCAGATCAAAGAGCATCGTGTGGACAAACTGCACGAGACGGTAGACTCTCATATTCAGAAGATCTACCAAGCCATCTGTGCGTCAGAGGCGTCGAAGAAGGACTTTCTCAACTCGGTTCAAAACGAGTCAGGTCCCAATGGACAGCCAATTACGGAGAGTCTGGCCTCCTTGGACGCCTTTCGAGCGTACATGAAAGATGCCGATTCTAGCGCTGAAACACCTAGGAAAGATCTGGATGTGTCTGCTCCCATCTCGGATTATTTTGTCTCTTCGAGCCATAACACCTACTTGACGGGTAACCAGCTATATAGCGATGCCGCTGCCAGTGCATACACTTCTGTGAGTTGAACATCCTCAGCCACCATCCCATGATTGGTATTAGAGGTGTAGAGGTCTCCTCGAGGTGACGAGCCTACTCACTGGACACGAATGCTCACACCAGATATTATAGGTCCTTCTTCGTGGGTGCCGCTCTGTTGAGATTGATGTCTGGGACGGAGAGCCAAATGAGTCAGACTCGAGTGACAGTGAATCAAGCAGCGATAGCAGCAGCGACTCCGACAATGGAAAGGGCGGGTTGTCGAGTACCAAAATCAAAGAGAAGACCAAGTCCAGAACCGAAGCCATACAGCAGAAATCCAAGGGACTATCAAAATCAGTGTCGACAAGACTGGGCGATGCCCTGCGCCGCAAAACGACCAAGAAGCCCGATCCAACTCCTTCCACGGTTGTGGCAGACGATGCAAAGACCCCCAAGGATGGATTTGTGGTAGAGCCTAGAGTCCTCCATGGACATACGCTGACCAAGGGGACGTCATTCCGTGAGATCTGCTACGCCATCCGTGACAGCGCCTTCGTCAGTAGTGATCTGCCAGTGATTGTCAGCTTTGAAGTGCATTGTTGTTTAGAGCAACAGCAAATTATGGTTGATATCATGCGAGATGCTTGGAAAGGGCTTCTGGTTGAGGTTTCACCTGACCTGGCAGCTGACAAGCTACCAAAGTTGGCTGACCTGAAGAGGAAGATCCTGATTAAAACCAAAAACATTCCCTTAACCACCCCGGAAGCAGGCAATGAAACATCTGAAGCGACTACCCCAGAGGAGCCCGTCCAGGAATTTGTTCACGAACCTGTTCAGGAACCTGTCCAGCAAACTGCTGCCGCTCAGCAGCAAAAACCGGCAAAACCAACCAAGATTCTTGAAGCTCTAGCGAAGATGGCCATTTACACCCGAGCGTATCACTTCAATCATTTCGACCAGCCGGGTTAGTAGCCAACACGAGCGAGACAAGAGCACTGGAAGGGAATACTAACCCTACGGACAGAGGCCAAGGTCCCAGGACATATCTTCTCACTCTCCGAAAGAGCATGCCGTGAGGCTCACCTCAATGATCGCGAAAGACTCTTTGAGCACAACCGCTCATCGCTCATGCGCATTTACCCTTTCGCCTTCCGTGTGAATTCATCAAACCTCGACCCAGCTTTCTGCTGGCGACGAGGTGCTCAACTCGTAGCTCTTAACTGGCAAAACGTGGACAAAGGTATGATGCTTAATCACGGCATGTTCGCCGGCACGGCAGGTTGGGTATTGAAGCCAGACGGATATCGAAGCTCGGAACCTTCTTCCGATCTCATTCACCGTCATACCCTAAACTTGGTTTTGGAGGTCTTTGCTGCACAGAATCTATCATTGCCGCCTGATGGAAGCAAGGAGAAAGGATTCAAACCCTACGTGAACTGCCAACTGCATGTTGAGGAACCCGATGGGCCGGTCGCTGCTGGTCAAGACGATGCCAGCTCCGACTCTGAGAAGAGCAGCTTCCGCCGCTGTACCAAAAGCTCGTCTGGTGTCAACCCCGATTTCAAGGGGCAGAAGCTGGTCTTCCCAACCGTGACAGGGGCGGTGGAGGAGCTAAGTTTCGTTCGGTTCGTACCCCTATTGCTTCGCATGATCTTAAATCACTCCTCATCTACCACGCCTGCTTTACTACCCATTTTCAATTCACTATCCTGCCCTAAGACCACCTTGGTCCTCACCCCCACCCTGAGATTCTTCCTTACTCCCTTTCCTGCATTCACATATCGTTGCATTGTCTCTGTAAAATGCAAGTGGGGGCACCCGTATCACGCAGACCTCTCCCTACATCATTTTGCTTTTTCCCCGGCCCACCAAAAACTGCCATTTCTCAATCAAATCCCAACGGTTTTGTTTCTGCAGAACCTTCCTGCTCGGCATTTCCCTTCCAGGCCACATCTGCATCGTTGCCTCGGAAATAGACGTGCAGCACCGTTCCATTTTCTCCACTACCCTCGTGAAACTGGGGAGATGCATGGCTCAGGATGCAGCTTCCTATGCTAACTCACGTCACTCTGCATCTAGGTTCAAAATCAAGGACGATGAAATCGGCCGTGACTCGTTGGCTGCGTGGGCTTGCATTCGGCTTGATCGATTGCGTGAAGGATATCGATTTGTTCACCTTTACGACTGTACCGGGGAAAAGAGAGGGGGTGTCCTGTTGGTCCGTGTTACGAAGCAGGCTTCGTGATGAGACATGATAGTATGACAGATCATCTTTGGAAAATCCCGAATGCATTGTGCTCGGGATCTGATCGTATGTTCTCTTCTCAGTCTAAGGCATCCATGCTGCGTGTTGCAAAACCTCGCCGGAAGGGCTAATGGGCATAACGGAGTCAGTATTCTAAACGTTGCGTACTCCTTCTGGCGGAAATGTGTCTGTGCCAAGTATCGACTTCAAATTTGTGACTTGATAGCCAGCCACAGAAATGATGCTTTAACTGCACGCTCATATCTTAGAAGACGGTCTTCTGATAGTTATTTTAACATCGGAAAAGCTCCCGTGGCCATAGTTTTAATGCAAACCGGTCCTTCACTATGATTTACAAGTAGATCGGGGTCTATAGGTAGCCGATTGGTGTAAATACCGCTCTAGATGAAGTACAATTGGGCAGATAGACCTATATCAATGCAGGCTCTTCCCGATGTTTTGCTTACATTTTGCCGAGTAGAGAGAAATATTATTTCACGAAAACAGGATGTGGCGATATACCCTAGACTCGGCAGGACGCGTCATGAATAGGGGCTGCTTATTCAGTGGCATCAGACGGTGTTTTGACCCTTTTTATTCCAAGGTCAGGCAGGCTAAGCGCTACTAGGCCTGGGCTCTTTTAAATCGACTTACATTACACCCTGAACATCCACAAGTAAGAATTATATTGAGAAACGTCATTCTGTCGACTGTGCCGATGGTGATTACGGGCTGAGTTATGAAAACACGGGTTGGATCCCTGTGGCCACCAAGTTTAACACCAGCGAGTGGTAGATCAGAGGATCTGTAGCCGATGACAATTTCCTGGATATCAGATATGCGTCTGTCTTGTAGTTCCCTTAGCACTTCCTGATTATCTTCATCCCGATCCGTGAATAATCATGTCGTACATGCTCATTGCATATTAATCTGCTATGTAATTGTTCTGTTATTATTATCTGATATCATGGCGTGCATTCCTGCATTCCTGCCGCAGTGTTCTGCAGGCGTTCTCTCATATCATAGTACCCACACTATAGCACGTGAGATGGGCCGTTGTTAGGTGCATCGTTCATCGCCAAATAGCAAAAATGGAGTCGTTAGACCTAGGTGAACCGATCGCTTACGAAGCGAGAGTTGCAGAGTGATTACTCGACTGGATATGACAATAAGATGCTTGAAGAGCAATCGGAGATCGCGATCATCGAATAATCTTGTTGTACTCGAAGGAAGCGCGAGCTGACCATATCCCGAAGGAGCTCTCTACAGTACTGCTGTGCATGAGGTTCATGTCTGTCGAGTAATATTTTGAGGTCGGAGGGAGATCACATTGATACTGAGGTTTCGAAGTATCTGCGATCAGACAAAATTCCCTCTTGTGGGAACTAATCCCGTTCGTCGACTTGTTGAAGTAAGGAGGTTCCCTACCCATACATACCTAGAGGTCAATCGGTCGATGTACAGCCGATTGTGTGCCAGAAATCCACACGATGAGTCGGGCAAACGGACATGAGGCGAAGTACTATCCCAGGGTGCAGCCTTGTCTGTATGCGGTTATTTGCATAGAGGTCTACCATTGAGGTTCCTGGCCGTCATGCGTCATGCGCAATCACTGTCGGTGTTAGCTTTCATGGGCCGGAAGTTTGAGCCGAAAGTTTCTGTCGGAATAGCACTGACGCAGTTTGAAAAGCACACTCCTCGATGAAGGAAGATATATGCAGAATTGTGAGATAGTCGAATCGCCGATAAGGCCCTTATAACGGGCGGGAAGCGCACAGGAGGCAAGAACGTGGATGACCATGCGCTTGGCGTGACCTTGAATGAGCAATGCAGCCGTGTTGCATGCCCTTTTTGGGGTCCAGAGGCAAACAAGAAAGTTATCCTGCATGATGCGCGCCATCAAGCCACCACTCCGGTGTCATTTCTCTCTGTGGCATGGCCATGCGGTCGGTAGCTTTCAAAATCTGCTTCTTGCCTCAGCCCCCCTCCCCAGCCGCGGGTGATAAGTGGGCCCCATTAGCCACATTTAGAGCTTGGTGATTCAGTGCGAGGGCTAGACAGATCGACTGTAGGTGTGATCGAGTCGAACACATGTAGTTTATGTTGCGACTTGCAACTTTCGAGCAGCTTGAGCCCCACCTCGGATAGTGCTAGGGCCAGTTGGGATGTGAGATCAGCATGCCAAGCAGCAATGCATCAGATGGGTCGACCTTGGTTGGTACATACCCTCTAGTGGAGAAACAGAGACAAGTGCATATCCGGTAAAGGTGATCAGTAAATGCTCCGATGACTGTAGCGTGATAAGGTTGGAGCGAGCGCAGAATGCAATACGATAGGACGGGGAAATGCATGAAGGGATCCAAGTCCATTATCGCATCGCATGCCTGCCAGGCTGAATACGATAATGATTCTCTCGGCTCACGGTCACGGCACTAGCACAAGCAACACCGCAGTCCGGTAGTTGTTCATCTGTTGTATGTAGATCATAATCAAGTCTCCCTTTGTCTGGGGAGAGGAGGGGTTCACGCAGCACTTGCTCTTGACAGCTTGAAATGGAATGCATAACCAGCGACTATTGGCCGGTGGCGGGGCAATTGGCGAGGAAGTGGGCGAACCAGGCCACATAAACCTGACCGATAGACCAATGATCGGACAGAATCGAGTATTTGTGAGCTGTCGCAAGTGATTGGGCCCCTGTCAGAACCGCACAGGCAAATCATCGACGGGCGCTAGGACGCTACTCCAGACTGGGTGCCCCGAGGTTGACCGAGCGTGACCCATTCGGCGATCTGCCCTGGGGTTGCAGGAACGATACGTCAACTTTTGTGAGTGGGCCCAAACTGGTTCAGATTCCTTCCTCGCCGATGGCACGCATTCTGGACTCGTTTTAGGATTTGGAATTCCCTGCGAATCGACACGATCCCATCCGATATCGCAAGGACCAAGCTCCTTTTGGCTTCGCCGATCGCGACGGGGAAGATCATGCCCCGCAGGATGGGAAAATCTATCACGTTAATGCTTGCAGGACAAACAATCGAAGAATGAACTCCTTTAACCCGGACGGCTCGGCAGGAGCCGATTATACAGCGGTGATTGGCTAATAGCAACCAGTGGCGTGAAACCAGCACCGATAGCCCTGGGTGCATCGGCCCTGAATCCCTGCGCAAGGTCAAGCCATCGGCCATGAAAATAGGAGTCGTCAAATGCTCTTGATTGCTTTTGACTGGTCGATCTGTAAAAAAGGTGAAAGCATTCTACATCGTAACACCTGCTGCTGCCCATCAACGGGAACTTCCGAATCCACATCGACGTGATATGCGCGAACTGGAGCTGAACTGAGTTTTTTTGGAGGTGTTTTTTTGGCCCAAACTAATTACCCGATAAGATTTTATTTTCTTTGGGTTGCGATCGTGGGGCATGAGCCGGCTGTCTGTCTTCCACTTTCTGTCGTCGTGCCTTTGTGCCTTATAAGGGGCTTGTCTGTCCGGCTGATTGAAGTGGAAAAGGTTGAATACGCACCAGCCCCGTCCCTGAAGCCCAACTCGAGTTGCCTTGCCCGAAGATTTAATCCCAGCGTCCTTCTACCATTTCTCTTGGGACTGCCACCGACAGAGAGCAACGCTATTGATCCGTATCACTTCTTTTGCTACCATGATGACCAAGTCTTCTCAATGTGGTGCCTCGGGGTGCACTCCCTCCCCCATCGTCAACAAGGTTCGTTTGTGGAACACAAGTTCTATTATTTGTTATGCTTTCTTTGATGTGTGTTTTCTAACATATGCTCCTAGATGCCTGGAGTACGGTGTCCAAACTGTGCTGCTAAGGGCCAGGAGGTTTGGGTCATTCCAGGCAAGAGCTGCCACGTCTGCCATACTCCCTGCGCATGAAGGAGCTATGCTTTTATTCTAAGGCGCACCTAAAGACGGAGAGATCTCCCAAGGCTAGAGTTGCTTTCTTCAAGGAGTTTGGTGGCGTTGAGATGGCGTCCACACAGCATTTCATGTCTTTTTTCGGGGTCCTTGAACGAAGCTTCTTATTGATGAGGCAGGTGACGGTTTGGCTATATGCGCCATGGTCACCGAACATTAACCTGGATTTTGACTTTTGCCTGTGAGCTGCTCACCTGTACACTGATCGGTGAACAGCTCCGGGACCGTGCTACTTTGGACTCATCATGAAATTTGGGATGTAATTGGATAACTGATGACTTGACTCTTGGCCATTGCATTCTATGTACCTTGCAATGACAGAATTCTTATAATAAGCCAACCCATTTTCCTTTTGGAAAGTTTCCTCTTTTAGCAGATATCTCACTTAAAAGAATCCAGACCGATCTAACACGCTATATGCCCATCATTCCTTCTAGAACCACCTGTTCGTACTTTTTTTGGTTGTACTTTTGTTCTGATGTATACTGCACCACGTGATGCGGGGTTGTCATGGTCCGGTGACATCACATTGTGCATTACCAAGCCAGGTCAACATGACAGTGGTCAGAATAGCTTAATATAGCCTCTTTGTGAACCTCCACGATGGCAGAAAAGTATTCCATTGGCACTCGTGCCGAAAGCGAGCGTCTCGTCAGAGGCTGGGGTTTCCAACATGTGTACACCTGGTCAGATGGGAGGTCTGTCTCACTGTTTACAGCTCCCGCTCTTCAACAAACCTACTGACAATCTTAGAAATGGATACTACTCGCCTCATAGTCATGGAGGACTCACGACACATCTGATTCGTCGCGGCTCATTTACAATTACTTATCCCGAAGACAATGTCAATCTGCACAACGGAGAAATCAAGAAAGAGACATTCGGCCCTGGTGAACGAATCGATGTCCCCGCAGGAAAAGTTCATGAAGTCTGGATCGGGGATGAAGGATGCGAGTATGTGATCGGTGAATAGGATTCACTCTGAATAAGTTTCCAAAATGTACATCAAAGCGAGAACTAGAGTCTTTCGAGGACGGGAATTACAAAGATTCGAGTAGAGCAACCTATCGGATTGGAATGTTCATCTCTATTATTTTGGCTCTATGATGAGTACCTATCTAAGCCTGCAATAGTATCGTGATCACTTCTACATCATAATCATACGTAGCTTGACTTTTAATGTAAGAAGCGGAAATCAACTCTGTAAAAAGCATGTCAGCAATGAGGACTTCGGCGAGCGTCAAAAAAGGGCTGATTCTTACCTTTTGTTTCCGAGGTGCTTGTTCTCGACAACATAGCGTTCTCTTTCCTCGCTTGTCATGTTGTCCCAGATGGCAGCGTTTTTCCTATTAGATAATAGTCAGAAACCTGTAAATTTAAACAAACTTGCGGAGAGGCATAAACATACTTGTTGCGCCACACATAGTAGTACTTGGCAATGATAAACATCACCGCACTCCATACAGCAATGGCGATCAGCACCTTATTGCCGGTACGATAGTATGGCTTGTCATTAGCACGGTAGATCTATGACACTCGATTAGTCCAAGCTCTTGTGCTCCTCACTGTCTAGAAGGGTTGAAAACTCACGTTATTTCCAATGATGTTGCTCACTTGCACCATCATATTGTACAATGCCGTGGCAACAGTACGTGTTCTAACAGTACCGGCATTTCGAGACGTGATCGCCACAATGATTGCATGCACGTAAGGCATGCCAAGCAACAGTGTCAACAGAGTCCATCGCGTCCAAGGACCGGCATGGTTGGGAAGCGTTTCAAGAGCGATGAGGAGAGCCACAGCCCAGATCTCGCTTCCAACACCAAGAAGCAGCCGCTGATTGAATCGCTCCGAGATCCAAGTCCACAGCAGCAGATTGAGGATGAAGATAACCGCCGCAGGGATAGTGAGCAGGTTGGTTTGGAAGGTAGTGAAACCCAACGACTTCAGCTGCAGACTGATGTAGCTGCTTGCTGGAACATTTGCGATCATCCAGGTCAGACCGAGGAGGTAAATGACCCACATGTCGTAGTCCTTAAGGGCTTGCCAGAGCATGCGAGGCGTAACAGCCTGGCGGTTGTGCATACCTCCCTTGCTAGGGTCGTCCCGGAGAATACGGTTGACCATGATTTTTTCCTCGTGTTCGGTGAACCATCCCTCCTTACCGCGGAACCTGCCAGCGGTCTGGGTCGGGGATGGTGGCATCCAGAACGCAGCAACAATGCCGATCACACCGGTGATCAAACCTTCGAAGGCAAATAGATATCGCCAGCCTCCCGTACCGTCTGCTTGGCGGATGTGCAGGAAGCCGAAAGCTAGGAAGGCGCTTACAATTGTTGTTGCTTGATAAGCAACCCAGAAGTAACTGAGGCGAATTGGGAGCTCCTTGGACTTATACCAGAAGGAGAGGAAGAGGATCGTATCGGGGATGCTGTGTCGTTATTAGTCTCTCTGGGGCAGGTTCTGGAGTGGGACTATAATCAACGTACAATCCACCCTCGAGCAGACCAAGCAAGGCTCGAAGAACGAAATAGGTAGAGCGGTTCTTGACAAATGCCTGGCAAGCGGCAACCAAACTCCAGGAAACCATTTGAACTGGAATCCAACGGTCGGGTCCAAACCACTTGGAGATTAACTGCGAAGGCAGCTCCGCAAATAGGAAACAAAGCAGGAAAATAGTCTGACCGGTGTTGTAGTCATTTGTGTTCATGCCCAGGTCACCCAGCATGTTATCAGATGTTGCTTGAACCACATTGCCACGATCAAGCTGTAGGGCAAAAAATGTAACACAAGCGAAAGTGCAGATACGCCAGTCAATCTTGAGAAGAAATAAGGTCAGTTCATTTCTTTTCGGTAGGTATCGCTCGCAGAGGGTAATATATCGCATACCTTCTTCACGACAGCCTTTTCTTCCTCTTCGGTCCATTCATATTCCGGATCCCAGCGATGATAGCCTTCATACTCTGGGATAGGCTTGTAGTACCTGGGGTCCTCCGTTGTGTCAAAGGCACAGTCCTTGATGACTCCTCGGCGACCGCCCAAAGATGAGGACGAGTCCGAATCGCTAGTCGAGGAGACTTGAGGCACAGCCTTTGTATCATACTCTTTGTTGGCCGGTATGGCCTCCTTGGTCTCCTCAATTGCCATCTTGAAGAAGAGTTTGGATTAGATATGAGATCTGCATTCACAAGCAATATCCTCCACTGCGAACGCGGTGTTATAAAGGTAAACATTTTGGCGAAGAAGCCATCGCAGTCCTCTAGCACGCCATCCTGTGGCAGACGGAAATTTCCTTTATCTCTGTGATGACCCACTGAGGGGGACATGCCACGAGTCGGCTAGATCTGCTGCAGGTTGTCATAGCTCCCGGCGAGAACAGGAAGGTGTGTAATGGCAGGGCCAGATCGGAAGATTCAGCAACTACCGGGTGCCTGTGGCGTTGCATTTCTACTGCACAGCGGAAGGAACAGAGTCGACCGAAACGACATCAAATGGCTGGCCTGCTTCGGGCTAATGCCGGAACGCGAGGCATACGGGGCGAATGCCGTTGGGTCTGAATTCTTCCAAGAAAATAGCGCGATCAGAAACGCGGAGGCGCCACTTGAAAAAAACCGAAACTCAATTAGCCTACTGAAGTTTTACCATTGATCGTTGATCGTGGCCGAATCACGCAAGACGTGATAAAGTGACGTTAGGCTCGGCGAGTTGTGGGAGGACAAAGAGAACCAACCCGCAGTTCCCATGTTTTTAGCTCGGCCCCACTGGGCCTCGACAGTCTGAGCTACGAGCAACTCATTAACGTTTGAGTGCAAATTTATGCGGATATTGCGCATGTTGAGTTGCTGCGTATTCCGATTGGCACGTCAGCTCCTTTTGATAGGAATGGCCAGGGTTGACCCTGGTCTTTGGACTATATGCTTATCGCCACTGGCTGCCCAAGAACTATAGGAAGGAAGTGCCTGGTCAGGTATACTGGGACTCTTCTTGAATCTGTCGCTGAATGCATTGCCCTCAAGTAGCGTGAGCCAAAATCAGATGTCAGATTCTGTCTGTAAGCAGTCGGCTATCGCTATTCTGTCTTGAAGATCCCAATCAGGTTGTTTAATGCGAATGCGCGGGCTGTCGCTCGCGTTGCGCAAAGACAGTTGCGTATCACGCCATCCGAGGGGTAAATCAACACCAACCAAGACTCTTTGCCAGTTGGTGAAGACTGCTCAGCACCGGTATTATTGAAATACGCAATCCGATAATGCTGTTGAAGTTTTTGTTCAGCATCCTAGAACTCATTTTGGTCGTCGTACATAATCAGATTAGCGACATCCGACTACCATCACGCCATTCACAACCCTCATAACGACCCTATACACCACACGGTCACAATTCCACAGCCAATGCCAGCCTTTTCTTGCCGATCACCCGACAGCCGATATCCCCGGTGTAGCACTCTTAATAGACTCAAATTACGACAGGGTCCCCTTGTTGATCAAACGTCTATCGGACGAAAAGTTCCAACCCCGCACTCATGGCGCAATCCGTAAACCCGGAATCACGGTGCCGGGACAGTGTATATAGACATGATACTCGTCACATATCATAGAACACCTGGAAAAAGCAATAGCAGAGTACTCTGGAATATCATCACGTGGAAATACCGACGTGATATTTACAGTCTGGCAAAAGAACGACGAGGATCAGCCCTATCTCACACTCTATATAAAATGGCCCCGTCGCTTACAGAGACTGTCGCACTCCGCGCTCCAACCTTCTCAGTACCCTCCAAGACTGATGCTGGGCATAATAAGGAGAACTTGATCGGATACAAGTACGAGAAGGAGGCCGAGCTGAAGGGCACGGACAAGCTGCCGCCAGCATCATTCCCAAACTATCTGCCCGTCTGGGACAATGAGACTGAGAGGTAGTGTATACGACCACATTCCCTCAACGGATGATGGACGAAGACTGACTTTTGCATGACAGGTATCCTCCTCTCGAGCACTTTGAGCACTATGATCATGGCAAGGACGCCGATGCCACATTCCCAGACCTGCTACCCAAGGGTCAGGCCGAGGTTGATGATATCACCCCCTTCATCGGCTCAGAGATCCACGGTGTGCAATTGAGCAAGCTGTCCAAGGCTGGCAAGGACCAGCTTGCTCTGTACGTCGCTCAGCGACGTGTCGTCGGTAGGTGACCACATAAACCTGACAAATATCATACCAAAATCGATTGAACAACGACTAACCACGCTCCAATACAGCCTTCCGTGACCAAGACTTCGCCTCCCTCCCTATCCAAGATGCCGTCGAATATGCCGGCTACTTCGGCCGCCATCACGTCCACCAAACCTCCGGTGCACCCAAGGGCTTCCCACAAATCCACCTCGTTTTCCGCGGCGCCGATGACCGCACCGGCGCCAAGTTCCTCGAGCAACGCACCAACACTATCACCTGGCACTCCGACGTGACCTTTGAGAAGCAGCCTCCCGGTACGACCTTCTTGTACGTGCTGGACGGTCCTTCAACCGGCGGCGACACACTCTTCGCCGACATGGTACAGGCGTATAAGCGACTGTCGCCCGAGTTTAGGAAGAGACTGCATGGACTGAAGGCGGTGCATTCGGGAGTTGAGCAGGTCAATGCCAGTCTGAATGGGGGAGGTATTGCCCGTCGTGATCCTATTACCACCGAGCATCCTATTGTTAGGACGCATCCCGTTACGGGGGAGAAAGCGCTCTATGTGAATCCACAGTGTAAGTGATGTCAAGATATGGAATTGTGAGCGGAACGTACTAACAAAATGCTGCAGTTACTCGCTACATTGTCGGGTATAAGAAGGAGGAATCTGATTACCTGCTGAAGTTCTTGTACGACCACATTGCTTTGTCGCAAGACCTTCAGGCTCGGATTCGTTGGAAGGCTGGTACGGTTGTTGTTTGGGATGTGAGTCCAGTAATCACTCCTTTGGGATTCATGATTGAGAAAGCTGACTTGTCTAGAATCGTCTGGCCTGCCACTCCGCCGTCTTCGATTGGGAAGATGGCCAGAGACGACACATCGCCCGTCTCACCCCGCAGGCAGAGCCGCCCTTCGAGACGCCATTTGAAGGCTAGACGGGGTTTTGTGAGGATATTGAATTTGTTGATGCCATATTACTGTCTTGTATTCCCATCTTTCGGGCCCATAGCATCCGGAACCGATTCCCAGAATTCAAGAAGAGCGGTTCGACAAAGAAGATCGTAATTCACATGTTCAAATGTAATCAAATGAATGAGATGAGCCCGTGGCTCTCCGTCTTCAAGTTGCTTGAAGTCGACTGAATCGACTGAGCAGTCCAACTTGCCATTCATTGAATTGTCTTGCCGTCGGAGGTAGCATCTGATTACTACTCTGAAGGGCTTCAGATGTAGCTTGGTACACCATAGAAGGCAATTCGAGCTCCTCCACAGACAATGGCGAAGGATTTCCTATCTCGGGAGCAAGCAGTTTGTCGATTTCCAGCGTCTCCTGGAAAAATACCTTCATGGCTTGTTGGGCGTTGATACTGTGCCCGGAGCTAGAGTTGGAGTATCGGAGATCCGGGTTGAAGACCCAAAGCTGTGACTGGGGGTTAACCTTTGACTGTGCTCCAAGGACAACATAACGTACCAACAAACCGCTTTTTTGGCCACAGTGAACCACAAAACGCCGGGCACTTTCTCTTTCGATGAGTTCGAGCAGCTGTGCAGCGACGATCATCTGTGCGGGATAGCTTTGCCATTGGTCCTCGTCTGATCCAGAACTAGGGACGTTGGTGTTCAGAGAAACGTTGGCTTTGAGGAGTCGCCAGCCTCTTGCCGATGGGTCTTCCATGCCGATGATCGCGTTGCACGTGGCGCATTCCAAAGTCCTCTTGAGTGACTCTTCGGCCGAAGTAGCGCGTGCTTCTTCCGTGTTACCCTGGAACGTACAATGTCAGCTTTTATGGTTCTGGATTGAAAAGAAGAAGAAGATGGATGAATAGTAAATCAAATTTTGATGAAGGTTTCAAATTCGGACTCCAAAGAATTAATTAATGACAAGAAGGCAAGCGCAACGTGGTGTACCTCTTTATAATCATGACGAATCCACTGCTCTGGGAGGGGCTCGAAGAGCCAAATCTATCATTGAAGACGAAGAGGGTGCGTGGAGAAGCCCATCAACCAGAGCGGCAGTTAAAACAACACACGACAGTCAGCAATCGAGGGCGAAATCCATCTGACAAGAGAGGATAACTGCCCTCGCCCACCCTGTAACATGAGCTGATCCACTTTACACCCTAGTCAACAAGCAAACCTGCACATTCATTGATCTAGGGCAATAGTATCGGAGGCCACAACATGGACATGAAATGGTCTCCTTCTGGTTGCCCCTGTCGGGAATATAGCAAAAAGATGAGGGATAACACAATAGAGGGAGGAAGGGGTATTCCAAATCAAAGAGCGAAAAATGTTGGCTACATAGCACCTGGCACATGCGGAAAGCTTACCTTTTTCAGGTTCACACAATCTGCCTCCGAGAGCAAGAACGTGGGTACATCGATCAGGACAGTCCCGGGGATAGCCTCTACACGGCTGGAAGCTCCGAACCCTTTGATTTGGGCGTTCTGGTCTTCCAGCTTGAGAGCTGCGGCGGCGTCGGACTTGGGATTGTCTTCATGGGGATCAGGCTTGTGGCAGTGCCAAAAGTCCATCATTTCTGCCCAGTTTCCACTCGGGAGGTCCTTCCAGAGCCATCCCCGTAGAATAGACTGATCATTCTCCCCGGCTCCATGATGAGGATGAGACTCTCTCAAGAAAGGGGTGCCACATCCACGACATCGAATTCGCGTCGACGAGGCCATATCTGCTGCGGTCCAGGGTACATAGTCATCAATTAGTTCATCCCGGGGTGTAAGTACCGGGTCACCCGGGTCAATGTACATTCTGACTGAGTAGTCATACCCACCACTGGTGGGTTTCCCTGGGCTCGAAGTGGCTGTGTTGATATTCAAGGTCTGCCTTGTGGCGTCGGTGACACGTGCTGGCAGCTTAATAGTTTCTGCCACATGATCAAATGGCTTGGATAGCGAGACAGTGACAGATTTGCATGATTCTGACAGCCGGATCTCCGGTCGGATCCCTTCTAAAACCGGGATTGGGGGAAGTGAAAGGTAGAGGGTGATTTGGCGGATGTTGGGGAGAAGCTCGGCATGCAGGTAGATGGACAGATCTGCATCTTGCGGTCCTGATGCTGTTGACATGTCCACTCCCGGTCGACTCCAGAGTGTGGAGGATGCTCTTAGTCCTCGGGATTCGAAAAGCGTCAGCTCTGATGAATGGGAGGTGCTTGTTCGATGGCTTTGGTTTGGACTTCAAACGCTGCAAACAAATGGCGGGTCACGTGGGCTCCGTTTAGCCCGGTGGTTACTGCCCAGACCCGCACCTCATCGGCGGAGGAGAGCAGCTCCCCAGCGTATCGCTTTGGCATACGTCAAGCACCAGGAAGCCATCTCCGTTTGTTGAACACGCGACCGTGAAAATTATCAATCGGGCTTTGTGACACAAAAGGAAATTCCGTTTCACCGAAGGGCGAACGTAAACAAGATCGTCCTCTCGCGCCGGCTCTAGCTTGGTTATGGATCCGAGGCTCTTCCTAGCTTCGAACTTCTAGAAGATTAGCTTCTGCGTAACCCAATCCTGACATATGACCGACATATAGTCACTAAGGTTGGGTACTCCGAAGATCCCAGCCCAACTTGTACAGGGGGTCACAACCAGGTTGTTACATTAGCGTAAGTTTCGGGTATCGGCCATATCCCGGACCCGGGAGAGCTCATTTCATGGCAAATGCGGGAGATGAGGTAGACGACACGACACGGGCGGTCGTTTTTGACGACAGTCTCTCCCTTTGCGTAACCAACTACCCTGAGAGATCCTCATGAGCCCCGACCTGTTAAATACTCAAAGCCTCTTTATGCCCATGCCCTCTACCATAAGCATAGCCGTCTGTCGTCACTATTCGCAAGTCTGAATCATAAGACTCCTTTTGACTTCGATCTTCAGACATCCTAAAATATGGAATCATTGCAACCGCACAGTCCTTCGTTCTTGGAGGTAATGAGCCCAAATCCCTCCAGGCCGGTTGTTTAAGACTAAGTGGTATGGAATAGGAATCAAGCCAGCAAGGGAGCCCCGACCACCAGGATATACACAATAGCTTCGACGGACTAGTGGAGGAAATCCAGACGTCAAGCGGAAGCCAGCCCGAATCTCGAGCACAAGCCATAAGAGCAGTACAACATTGTCGCTCTTTAGAAGCGATCGTCTCCGAGCTTCTGTGCGAAAAGCAGCGCCTCGAGGAAATGAACCGACAGATGCAGATCGCGCTGTCTCGGGAGCGGAAGGATTACGACCGACTACTTCAACGTTTTGTTGAGCAAGATGTCACGCTATCTTGTTTTCAAAGCGCATTTCCGGCGCTGCAAGAAGGGATGCGTGATCTCCTCGGTGCTTGGGAGAGTATTGGCGCGCCAGGCGTTTATCATACTGCATAAGTGGTTCTGAATTTTGGGTCATTCAAGACTACTCTAATAATGTATTACTTCTATTCTAATAAACGTCTTTACGCCAAAGTGGATCTTTTTTTACTTCACATGGGCCAGATGTATAGCAGTATATACCAGCACTGGGTGGGCTAATGCGTTAATGCCTTCATGACTGTATTTTGGTGCGCTAATAATAATTCTCAAAGACATTGAGATCTCTAAGAATGATGATGGGAGACCACATAAGTAGATAAATATTCAAAGTCTGACGTGTATCATCCGGAATCGTGAGGTCACTCTCTCTGATGCAGGTAGACAAGATCGTGGAACATTCCAGCCGATTAGATGAGCTAATTGGTGGAAATTGATTCGCTATCAAACGCGGGGTCTAGAATAAGAACTTAGAAGGAACTTAACAGTTATCAACAGGATACTCTATTAATAGCGCGCTAACGGTAGATACAAGCCAGTAGTCTTCGACAAGATGGAAGTTCGCAATAGGGTATATTCTATCTTCAATCTATCGCCCCATGCATTATACTCTAACATCTAGGAAAAAACATAAGACGGAACTTGTATCCCCGCCACGCGCTAGGGACCCTCCTCGGTCTCTTCTTACTCCACCTTGCGGTAAAAGTTCCCCAAGTGTTCCCTGATACTCTGCAGCTCCCTCACCCGGGTCTCTTCATTCTCCTTGAGCAAGCGAAGGTGTTCGGTTTTGAGCTCTTTGAATTCATCTTCAAGCTTATGGTGCCATGGGTATAAGACACAAACTTGGAAACAGAGGGCCGAACTGGCGATGACAAAGTTTGTCAGCGAGAAACCGCGCGTGATGATCATGGTGGCTGGACGACTCTTAGTTAGGTCACCCTTAAGTGCATACGATATTTGGAACAATACCTCTGATTCAATTCTACCCGGTAGGTTTTCTGTTTCGATTGTTGGATTCAGAGATTGTGTGTTCTTTTCCGTGCAATATTAATTGTAATGCGAAGTTGGTCGAGTATGCTCTAGAAGTATGCGAGTGGGTCGCCCCTTGAGCGCAGTATCAGGTTTAAGGAGTGTTCGCTCAACGGGCACCTGAGCTTGAACAAAATCGAGACTACTGGAATATATAGCATATTATGACGAAGCCCGATATCTTCCAGTCTATCATCGAACTGGACTCTGGATCTCAGTGACATGCTATGCTCGTTCCTGACCTCGGCGCCAGCAACCCTACGGGAAGCCCCACAACGACCTCTCGGATCCGACGGCGAACCCTGATTCGCCCTCACAAATAATACGGTCATTTCTCGGCCTTCAACATCGACGGCCCGGATTTCTGTCCAGAGAATGAGCTTTAAAGCGGGTCAAACAACGGCGAACTAGACCCCCACGCAAAGGGTTGTCCAATCTGAGCGACCATTAGGATCTAAACATGGATTCAGTTCTCCCAATTAGAGTTGTAGCAGCGCATCCGGAACCAGAGGGCCCCCATTAAACCCCACAATCATCGTTCTTGAAGCCCGGATGAAGGCCCCCTTTCACCAATTTGCCATGTATTAAATACGCAACCCTCAGGATGAAACCTGCGCCCCGGCATTCGCCGCCCTTGAAGTTGCCCACCAAGCCGGAATAGCATCTCCCCTCGGCCGTATATCCTGGCAGGAAACCCCGAGCTTTTTTCCCTTTCCCATCATAAATGTTTTACCGCCAAGTGATCAATACTGGCCGGCACTTCGTTTGTGTAAGCCCAAGAATCAAGATGCCGATCCGAATGTTCAATGACGCTGCTATCAACCCCGTCCCTTGTGAGACGGTGGACAGTCCGCGAAGCTTGAATTATGCAACGAGGACGATCGGTGCGAACTTCATACCGCGCCCGCAGCAGTCAGAGAAACAGATTCTCTGGATAGGCTGCTCGGATAGCGACTGCAAAGAGACAACGATTCTGGACTTTCTTCCCGACGAGATGCTCGAGCATCGCAATCTCGGTAATATGATTATTGATGGAGATCTGTCGTGCGAGACTTCGGTGAAACATGCAGTCGTCGACCTTCGGGTCAAACACATCGTCGTGTGTGGTCATTATGGGTGTGGTATTGTCAAAGCAACGTCGAGAAATGGCCTGCCAGGCCCGTGGTTGAGGTAAGTCCTTTGTCTTTCTGGCCTTTCAATTCTGGGCTCACCTAACGGTTCTAACAGGAAGCTTGATTCCCTCCACGCGAGACATCGGCACGATATCGACCGACTACCCATGATCGAACGGGACAGCGCCTTCGTCGAATTAAATATATTGGAACAATTGCGCTCTTTGCGCAACATCTCCGAAGTGGCTGATGCGACGAGGCGGGGACATTTAGATTTACATGGAATCGTTTACGATCCGACGATTGGGAGGGCGCTTTCAGTGAATGAAGCTGCGGAGGAACCATAATCAGGCTGGAGAGGGGAGGGATTTAATTTCGCGTTATCGTTTTTGTATCGTTTTAATATACCGTTCAATATACCACGCTTGTTTGTTTTCCGGAAACTTGGAAAATCTCCTCTTCATTGCGAAACCCTGTGTTGCCTTCCACCCGTCGTTTGGCAGTGGGTTGATAGCGCTCTTCCCCCGACGATCAAGCACCACCAGACGTCTCCGAGTGACCAGAGCCCGGAGACAAGTGGTAGATTTTCATCACATCCTGTAGCATATTCTCAAAATCAATGTGGAGGTCCCTAAGCAGACCATCCCGTAGATCAAACACCCAGCCATGAACGATCGGATACTTGTTATCACGATAACTCTGTTGGACAGCGGCAGTTTTGATAACATTCCTGCAAGACTCGATCACATTAAGTTCGACCAGGCGATTGTATCGCTTGTTTTCGTCTTCGATCTGGTCCAATTCCTTCTCGTGCAGGCGATACACGTCTCGGATGTTTCGAAGCCAGGGATTCAGCAGGCCCAGGTCGGTCGGTGTCAGGGCAGCTTTGACGCCCCCGCAGTTGTAGTGGCCGCAAACGATGATATGCTTTACGCCTAGGTGTCGTACCGCATAATTCACCACCGACATCACATTGAGGTCGATGTTGGGCACGAGGTTGGCAATGTTGCGGTGAACGAAGACCTCGCCAGCTTCGAGGCCCATGATCTCGTTCGCGGGGACGCGACTGTCGCTGCAGCCGATATATCTAGTAGCCGTTAGCAATTGAAGCGTAGAGGTGGGTGCATGAGGGGGAATTTGGTTCTGATGAGAATGTGACGCTAGGCTCAACCTACAGGTAGTCCGGTGTCTGCCCCGCGGCGAGTTTCTCGAAGAAGGCCGGGTCTTCATCCTTTTTCGTGGATACCCATTTCTGGTTGTTCTCGAAGATAGTCTTGATGGATGGGGGGGTTTGCTGACTCATGTCGATCTCCGGCAATGGGATTGGAAATGTCAGAGACGGTTGATTAGATCTAAAATGGCGTGGGTGAATTGGCGAGTCGAGGCAGGTTCTCGCTAGCAAGTCGTGGGGCACTGATTGTTTCAGCAGGATGTGTATTGGTGAGCTCTGCACGTTTTGAATCGCATTACGGTCACGTATTTTACGGTGGATTATGGACAGCCCGAAATCGGGCGGGGTCGCTCTGATATGACGGAATCACTCCCGATTAGTTACGAGTTGAACAACTCATCATTACATGCTAGACCGCAACAACTTTTAAGTCTGAAAGACTGGTATATTCCTGTAGTCACTGATAGGTATTGAATCAAAGAGCCAGAGGTGGACATAAATCGGAGCTTCAAGTTCCCATACCAGTCTCGAATTACGCCTGTCACAATCGCCCATATTCTTGACATAACTTTGAGAATTTATAATCCCTCCGGAAGAAGCTAGATAACCTGTATATCGGAAGATCAGGTTTGTGATTCTCGAGAGAATGGAGAGAGCTCGGGGAATCTCCTGCAAATGTACCTTTTCTCCGAATGGAGGTTATATTGTACGGCTTCTTCATTAGTCCACACAGACGCAGAGATTCTTATATAGAGCCAAATACTTTACTTGGGACGCTTTGTAAAGAATCTGTCGGGGCCCATTCGAGCTCAGGCTGCCTTAGTTCTTCATCGATCTACCTCTATCCACAACCTGCCTCAAATAGACAAGTGCCGTAAATCGGCGATATCTCCAAGGATCTGATACTACCCTAGGAGAATACGAGGTAAGCGATCATCGGCTAAACCTCATATAACTCAAGTCAACGTCTCAAACTTCAATAGCCAGCCCTCAAAAGACAATCTTGAAGTGAGCGAGACTACTTCCACAAAATGACCCAGTTATCCACTTTCCTATTTCCCATCCGCGAGGTCTCCAACGACCGTATCAAACTCATCCCTTTCAACCCAGACCATCACACCCACGCATTCTTCCGCCTCTCATCCCCCCATCCAGAACTATACACACACATGCCCATGGGTCCCTGGGACTCAGAAGAAGCACTCAAAGCCGAATTCTACTCCCAATCCCAAACACAACTCCTCTCATTCTCAAATCCCACATCACTCGCTTTCGCCATCATCGATAAGACTCGCCCGCCATCTATCGATGACCCCGAGGGTGAACTCGCCGGTACTGTCAGTCTAGTGCGAACATCGGATACACATCTATGTACCGAAATCGGCTTCATTATCATTTTACCACCATTCCAGCGGACGCACGTTGCAAAGAATGCCGTCGGGCTGGCTTTGCAGTATAGTCTTCAAGACCCCCAGATAGGTGGACTTGGTTTGCGTCGGGTCCATTGGCGAACGAGCACGATGAATGTTGCGAGCGCGAGACTCGCGGAGAAGATGGGATTTGAAAGAGTTGGCGTTGTGCCTTGGCATATGAGATTTGTGAAAGGGAAGAAGAGGGCGAAGACTGGTAATGGCAAGTCTTTACCTCCTGGGAGCGATCCTAATGATTTGTGGAGGGATACTATTGATTACAGCCTTTCGTGGGAGCGGTGGGAGAATTTCGCCAGGGAAGAGACTCGGAAACAGATAGCATTGTGACTTATTCTTCGGTGTCGGCTTCTAGGAGACATGATAATCAAAAGTTTCCATGGTGAGATTGTTGATAATTTTGCATAGTATAGCGCGTTTTGTGTGAATTAAACGCCAATAAATACGAACAATGAATATGAAGATGTCAGCTCAGTATTAGACAAAGCCACCCCATCCATGGAACTCATCAGCAAACTTCACAGCCGCCTTCAAGTAGAAGCCATCGTGATCGGCCCAGGTAGATGCACATTCCCGAAGCGCCCTAAGAGCCTTCGCATAATGCGAATCGGTCGAATGTTCTCCCTTGATAGCTTTCTCCGCAGTCCAGGCCCAATCTCTTCCTTTAAGATCGTAGTCACGAATCATGTCCATGTTTAGCTCCGGGCGCAATTGGGCAATGAATGCCGTCATTGTGACAAGCCACCATTGACGGACGAGAGAAATTTGGAACTTGGCGGGAATACAAGGAAGCATCACGCGTACTGCGTGGCTGGTGGTCAGAACGTGAACGAAGAAGAAGTCCCAGTTCTCGCTTGAGTCTTTGTGCGTGGCAACAAGCAGGGCGACGGCAAGCTCCTGGCTCTCACGGAACTGCTCGACTGGGTTTTTGATCTGCCATGCGTTCCAGTGGTCAAGGAGAAGAGATTCATGGTTATCAAACAGCTTTTCGATGTTGTGGTCCCCTGGAGTCGCGAAGATGCCAACGAACTTCTTGTCTGATCGGACTTTTTCGATGATCTCGAATAGTGATGTCGAATGGTAGGATGCCTCGGTTTGTGATAGTACAGGGTCATCAAGGTAATTGTGTATTTTGTTATAGCCGGTCGCCGCCATTCCTAGAGCTTCCATTGCAACTTCGCGGCTAGACGTCTCGTAGGCATAGGCAAGATGGATCAACGGATGACCGACTGATTGTTGAAGTTAATAAGGCAAAAGCTTTTTTAAGGACCGAGAGGATCAACTCACGGTCAGCCATGATAGAATTGAAAACCGGCTCTTCTCCCGAGAATAGATACTCTGCTACGACTTCTTTCCAGTCGTAGCCACACCGAACCAATTCATCTTCAAAGAAATCCACAAAGGCCTTCTGATATCTGTTCGTCACAGTTTAGCAAGTGCGTGATCAGGCAAGCTTAGTAGACACATACTCTCGTCGTCCCAAGTGATCTCTCCAATCTTCCTCTGTTACTTCGGCAGGTGAGTCATCCCATAGCTCCAGCAACTTGGACTCTGATTCGTAGAGCCGAGTGAGATCATCAGCGTCCGCGCCCTGTAGATACGCGGCAGTAAGAAGCTAGAGAGTGAGCCGGTCAGCATGGCCAGCTAACTGAGCTCACTGAGAACATAAAGAACGATCAATTCAAATCTTACATGAGGAGCATGGTTATGGAATTTTCGGTTGTTACATAGAATGGCATGATTGGCATGGTTGAGCTTGAGCAGGTGCTTCAACGTCCTTGCATTCTTTTCCAGTGCGTTCTCAAGGTCAAGGGCCTTGACCGGTGGTAAATCAATAGCTTGCTTCTCACCCCAGGAGAACAGCTTGAAAGATTTGAAGGACGGAACTTGGAACATCGTTGCGTTGGTTCAAGAGTGTTGCTCTGCTCTGTTGTTCGATGGTGGGGAAGTCCAATTTGATCCGAGGTGCGGCTCCCCGCGTTGTGGTACAGACTTATTGAGCGTCGCCAGAAGGCAATTGTTGCGACCCTCGAAATATTAGGGTTCGAGTCAATGGAATTCGTGTCCGCTCGTGTCAAAATCAGCCCATTGTGAGTTCAACGGAGTCTGGGGTCTACTGTGGATTGTTGGGAAAGTGAAGCCTCAGGCAGGCTATCAATGACGTAATACAGTCATTAGAGGACTATCACGTGCCGTTCGCGGAGTATACACATGTTGGTAAATATTTAGAAGGCTATCTCAATGCTAGATGACAGCCAGCAGGTAAATATCTCATTCGCTAAGATTATTGCTATAGAAATTACTTGGGATATCTAAGCCTTTTGTTCAACCACGGGAATCGGTGGCTGGTCCCCATGTTCACCAGAAAGCACTTCCACCTCGATTCGGGGCCCGACATAGTTCTTGCGACCATCGACGATCCAAGTAATGGTGGAAATGACGAAGACAATACCAAAGGCAGCGACACAGTAGTCTAGTTTTGGGTCAGTAGGGAATTGCAGGAAATTTAAGCATAATGGTGCACATACTCATGTTGCTGCCTGTAGCAGGAAGCTCGGGAGGGAAGAGGAAAAGGATGGTCGTCAAGGTGACGTACACCAAAGAGATCTAACAAAAAATTAGTAAATAAAAACAGCAGATATTGCGTGTGTTCGACTTACAATATTCAGAATCCAGCCAAACCAGTTGGGGAGGACAAAGGCCCGCTCGGGAAGGGTGTTGCGCCCACGCAGGCAGTTGATGGCAATGGGAATACCATAGGCAAGGTCAAGCAAGACAACGGATGAAGCGACGATGGCATTGAAAGCACTATTTCAAATTAGTGATAATCTACGCTGGTCAAGAAATGTCCATCTCTTACCTGCTGGAGCCCAGGAAAATAAGGCCGAAAACGATGACAAGCACCAAGTTGAGGATGAGCGAGTTCAGAGGCACCTTCAACTTGGGGTGGACCTTGGAGAAGAAGCGCGAGAACGGGAGACCACCGTCGCGGGCAAAAGCGTAGCACATTCGACTACTAGTCGTCATGATGGCAGTTGTCGCAAACAGCATGCAGACGAGAGGGAAGCTAGACGATGGTTAGTGTGAGAATAAGAACATCTTCGGAAAGTAGCAGCTTACATCAACAAGCAAATAGCGCCAGCGTTGTTCTGGGTGGCGTTCTTCAGGATAGCCAGGAGAGGACCGGCCGAAGACGAGATGATATCGTCAATGTTACCAGCGACGAACAGCAGAACGACGAGGAAAATGGTTCCAGTGACGGTACCGATACCAACACAAGCAATCATGATCTTGGGACCCTCCACTGAGGGGTTGGGGATTTCCTCAATCATGTGAGCCACACCATCCTAAATCTTTGTTAGCTATGCCGCCAAATTGCATGTCGCTAGAGAAACACTTACGAATCCAGTCACACCGAGACCACCTTGCAGCAGCTATCGATTTGTTAGCATGGCAGAACACTAGTTGACTGAGAAGAAACTCACTCCAAGCAGCCAGGCAATGCCATCGGGCCATCCAGTCTCATTGAGAAACTCGCGGAAGACGAAGCTATTCCAGTTAGCTGATATGTACAGCAAAATTCATTGGGTGTTGAGACCTACTCTCCAGAGTTATAGTTCGGTGCGGCACACGCGAGAACCGTAATACAAATAACGGTGAATCCAGTAAGCGACCAGATGACTGACGAATAGTTAGTTGAGGGCTAGAGGTAAAATTCGAACTGTGAACTCACAGGCGGCCTTATTGAAGTGGGGGAGGATTCTGTTCATGAGACTGTTGATCGCAAATCCGACGAGGTTGTAGGCAATGTAGATCAAGAACTGGTGCCAGCGCTGGGCCTCGTACTCCTGAAAGCAGAAAGCAATTAGAGACTAATCCACCGAATAAGCATTCATAGTACCTACCGGGTTCATCAGGGAGATCACGCCCAGAACCAATTGAGACCCAAGCAATCCACCGGTAGCCACCAGAGCCACCCAGCCAGAGCAGTTGACCCAGCCCGTGATCCAGGACAGAATTGGCATCCATCGCTCCCAAGAAACTGCAAGCCGGTTAATCCTCGCTCGTTCCATGGTTAATTCTCCAAGATGGATGAGTACTTACTGACTGTAAAGCAAACTCGGTGTCAGTAAAATGTATCAGCTTATCATACAAAATGGTTATTTTCTACTTACCAGCAACCCAATGGTATTGACCTCCAGCACTATTTATAGCCGTCAGTTATACTGAGAAAATCTAAGCTTGTAACAAAGATCTCAAGGCTCACGTTGGATAGGCAGAAAGGAACTCGGAAAGAGAGGCTGCCATGCACAGATTGCAGATACCGGCAGTCACCAGACCTGTGTGAAATAAAGTCAATATTTTGCTGCAATTTCCTCGAGTTCAGGAGTACGTTACCCCAAACAACGCTCACGCTGCCTCCGGAGGGCAGACTGAGGGATAGACTAGCGGACAACGCAGTCCATGACTGTCGAAGGAGGTGGTTAGTTGTCAATTCTTCATTCTCACCAATCAATATCAGCATGATACGTACGTTGAGAATGGCAAAAGCGAGACCCAGCATCGACCTAGAAAGGACATCCCAAGAATCAGTTCTGCAGTGAGGCTCCAACATGCCCAGAAATGGTACACATACAGCAGTGAGAAATGCCGCTTCAGCTCAGCCTTGTGGCCCATTTGGGCCAACTGGGCATCATCATCGATGTATTTTTCGTCCATAACGACAGATGTTTGCTCTGCAAAGATGTGTGCAGTGCAAGTTGAGAAGGAAAAAGAACGATCCGAGACCTTCACAAAGGAGAGGACGGACGTGGAAACAAATAAGCCGAGTTCGGTATGACGACCAGCCAATTCGAATCTCACCTCCCGCCCGAGTCTCTTTCCGAGTCTCTTTCCATCTCCACGGTCCCCCCGAACAGCCACGACGCGGGGAGTGCAGCAATCATGCGGCTGTTAGGTAATGGATTTGGGGTAATGGGTCACAGCATATCGAAAGAAAGCCAGCCAAGTTGCAGGAAAGTGTCCCGCAATGGTCCAGGGAGGCCCGGTGGAGGCGATAACATACCGGGATCATGACTGGCCCTCAGCGCCGAACCGGCGATTTCGGCCACTCACCGTGGAGGCTCCCCGTCATTGTCGATCAGGGCGATTGACCCAGCGCGGTCCGAGAAAACACGGAATCATGGCAAGCATCGCAAGCCCCAGAGCTTAACCTACCCGCCGAACCTTATTGGGTCTTGCCTCTCAAAGGCGTCCCCACTGGGCGCGGGGGGAAGTCGCCATATTCGGGGCCCATTGACCGGTTTGTTTCACTCAACAACATGGGGAAAAATACTGGGATTTTCTGGAGAAGAAACCACCGTATCCTACTGGAGAGATGAGGACATGATGCTAGCATCGATGACGATGGAGTTTGACTCCCCTCGCCACATATGATGCACAACTTGGTTCGAATAGGAGATGGCTCCTATCTACCTCTAGATGTGACTGGGTCACAGTGGAGCCGTGGGCCACGCCTGGAAAGGAGCTGCTATCTCCCACACAAATCTGACCAAATCTGCCTATGTAACAGATAACGGCGCTTTCTCACCGGGGTAAAAGAGCAGCCTACCAAGGGGACCTCTCATCTTACGGACCGGAATCTACCCGATTCTCGGGCGCTAGACCTGATTCTGTCCCACGCTCCACGGCTAGACTCGGCCACCGTGGACAATTTTGCCCGTAGAACGCGCAAGACCGCGGTGATCAGTTTCTTCTGGAAGGGCTGCCCTCCGATATCTTGGGATAAGCCGTACGCCACAAGCGCCACGCTATGCCACCACCTTCCTGCCAGGGAAAGCCCAAAGCTTATACGCAGACAGCTCAATATGCGGGTTTTTCTGATTGGTCCAGAGTGCTGACACATTCAAATAGGTTTCGAGAAATCAGAAGGAATTATCCCTTAGGGTCACGTCGTTATCGAGCGGTTAGTCAATTGCCATGCTGTGTCCCCTAGTATCGAAGGCGCGCCTGGCGAGGGTAAAAGTAGCGAGCCGGAAGGCCTTTACAAGCCCAATAGCTCGGAACAATCCAAATTTAGTATTCCATAGAGACCAGAAGCCCGCCATATCGAAAGTGATGGTTCCATTCATCCGGCGTTGCTCCGATACCCAGCCCGAAAATACCGGCGAATCTGGCGCATAATCTTCGTCAATACGCAACGGTCGCGGCTAACAAGCCCCAAAAAGACAACAGGAATATAATATAGGGGCATTGACTGGGATACGACTGATAAGCACAAGAACTCTCTTCATTTGGAATACTGCCACTGTACTCTTGACATTTACCCGAACCTTCCGAGCTCAAAAGCTCATCGCGATCTCCAAACGCTCGTGCTCTAACCCACACCCCGGAAAATTTGACCCCACCCCCATGGAGTATCGATTAGTGGTGGTTGGGGTCGGCGATGGTCAGCCAATTGATGCCCATTTCCATCGCCGAGCTCCATCTTCGGAGTCGTTACTGGTGGCTGTGTGTGCAGCACGATAACTGCATGACTTCACGCAGGCATCTAGAGGCAATCGAGTCTCGCTTGGCGATGTCGCTTTGCGCAGGGGAATAGACTTGGCATTATATAATTCCCGGTATTTGATTTGTGTTTGGATGTAGTAGAATTTTCTTATTTGGAAGGGGAAATTCTGGTGGATTATTTGGGTATAAAATGGGGATATCTCAGGGGGGGACCGGTTTCACGAATAATACAGCCAAGAAAGAAAATTATTAGCCTTGAACACTTGGGTGACTCATGACCTAGAAAAGAGCGAGAAGGGCTGCGAAGACTGCAGTGGTGACGCCCACGGAGCTGCCGGTGAGCACATTAGCGGCATTGCTACCAGTCTTGGTAGCTGCTGCAGCACCCGAGCTCGTAGTGGTCCCATTTCCACCACTGGTACCGGTCGTGCTGTTTGAAGCAGTAGACTGCGTGGCGGGGGAATGGGAGTTGAATGCAACCAAATTGGACGTGAAGAGGCTGAGGGCAGCCACCTGATTCTCAATGCCGCCGTCATCGAACACCTGCTCGTACCAGCGAGCACCACAAAGATTCTTCGACGTTCCTCCAGTGCAGGTCTTTGCCGCAGCGGTCGCTGAGCCTTGTAGTAGTGGCAGGATCTTCGGTGAGGTATAAGGGGCGACTACAGTGATCTCCGCAAGACCCTGGATGAAGAAGCCTTTTAAGATCTTCATGCTCGCAGTGCACGTTTTGACAGACTCGCAGGCGACCTCGACCATGATGGTTCCATCATCAGTCATGTAGCCGTGGGTAGGGAAGAATTCGGAGGTCGAGTTCAGGAGACCGTCGAGTCCGGACCTCCACTTGGAGTTTCCATCTGTCTACTTGAGTTTTAGCTGGTGGTCCGGCGCTACCGCTGCCCGTCGTTGATAGGTGGCTTCTTAATGGTCGCAGTTTACTGACTTACCAGATTGTACATGTATGCAGCGCCGGTCATGTAGACACCGTAATTAAAAGACCACTGTAAGCTGCTTTTGGTGGCGCAGTCATCCTCGCAAGAGGTCGAATCATAAATGGTCCAGGTGGCATTGTTCAGCAGCGGGCTGGTGGCACTCCAATCCCAAATCTTCTCTGCCCAGTCGGAATAGGTCTGATTGTTGGAGAAGTGTGCCAGACGAGCAGCGAGTTCGAACAGGCCGCCGTTGGTGATCGCGTTCTTTGTCGCGTAGCCAGACTCGTACGCCCAGATCTGCCAGCGCATGCCACCGTTGCAGTTATCCTCATCCCAGCGACCAATTTGCTCGTTGAACACGTTCTCCGCCAGGGTGATCCAGGACGGCATCGCAGATCGCTGAGGATAACCCATCTCGGCCGCGGTCATGGCAGCGAGGGCCCACATCACTTGGTCATCGTTTCCAAGAGTCTGGCTGTAATTCGAGGGGAAGAAGTCGTCGTCTCCGCGTTGCCAGTACATTCCGTCGCTCACGGCGTCATTGTGGGAAGAGTCACCAGTATAGTACCAGTACCTGATCAAAGCGTCAAACATGACACCACCCTCGAACCAGCTGCGATCCAATTTGCCGGGGATATTCTTCGAGTCTCGCTGGTCGTACAGCGAGATGGTGTTTTTCGCAGCCATGCTCGCAGCATTTTTGATGGATGCTTTCTGACGTTAGCTTGGACCTTGAATGGTGGGATTGGGAACCCAAAAAAAACTCACTCTCATCGTTGACATTCAAGTCGATAGCAGACGCGCTACCAGTCAATAGGGCGACTGCAATAGTCGCCTTCCAATTAACCCCGCGCATGTTGAAGACGTCTGCGTTCCGCACGACCCGGGGAAGCAATGTTTACGAGCCTCAGTGACCGATAGGGGCGAGCCATGTTTTTATGTGTAAGGCCATAAGCCCATAGCGCATTTTAGTGCTAAATTAAATCAGTTGGAGGCTTTTCCGGTCCGAAGAGTGGGGAAAACTGCAATGTCCAAACGCAAACGTTGTCGCGCTCGGTATGGTCGAAACCCCTAAAATCGCGACTGAGGCTCTGCTAGTCAGGTATTTTTGTGGGGAGCAATGCGCAGGCGCGTTTCTGACTGGCTGCGAGGTGAGCCTCTGACCGGGCGTCAGCTCGGTCATCCCCGTTTAGTGCTAGCGATAGGTCCACTTAGGGGCAGGAACTACTGTCTATTGGGTGAATTATTGCCCCTGTCCAGTAATGAAGACGCTAGTGTCATAGCCTCACAGTCGTCCCTGAAGGATTGTTGAAGGCATCTCGGGTTTAAAGATTATAAGACTCTTTGCACTGAGTAGTAATGGTGAGTGTGTCCTGATGTTGAGGTCAAAATATCGAATTCTTGAGCTCTGGGCGAATCATGCAGCGAGTCAGTTGCGTGCCGTAAAGTCGTAGCTCAGTAAACAGCCGGCTTGCTGGCCGTTTCCTTGAAGAAGTTTATTGACGTTGATGGGCCTCTCCTAGCTCTTGCCCACTGTTGCTGAGATCAATTCGATGGGGTCGAGGGATGTCGAGAGGAGAAGAAAGCGTATAGATGAGATGCACAAGACGGACGAGAATGTGAGAACAAGGATGCCCGAGGCGATTCGTCGATCAACCTGATGGTCATCAATAAGATCGACGTTTAGTTGCAGTAACTATCCATAAGTCCCCAAATTATCACGTCAGCCGAGAACCAAACTCAAATAGAGATCATGGAATCCTCCATCTCTGGCCGCCGGCAAACCTCTATTTCGGAGGCTGACCGTCAGCGTGGGGGCCAAACCGAACAAAAACCACCACAACGTCTATCCGGGAACATACATGTAGAGAGAATTGGTATCAAATTTGAGCTAGCACAAAGCGCCAAATCACCAGTTTCTATCCTGCCGCCATGTAAACTTCTTCAATGGATTACAAAATTTCAATCTCTTCTTATACCGCCCCAATAGCTTCCGGACGTCACTTTTTGGCCCGTCAGACTAATGAAGGCGATGATGTTCTATTGGGGGCAGATTATCGACTGGAGATCTCTTCCAGGCCCTGATTTAAAGGCGTCTGGCACCAGGTTTTTCAGTTGGATACACTCGAGTTTCAGCGTACTCGGGCAGTCCGAAATACGCTCATCCACATATCGCCGACTATGGGACTAGCTGCTCGTCAAGCGTGGTCCGCGCGATCGATCGTATCACTCATCAGTCTCGTCGCACTTGTCTTGACGTGTCTCAGATATTATTACCAGGAAAGCCAGGCAGCATGGAATTTTACCGGGGTCATCAATGAGCAGAGGATACATGAACAGCAGGGGGCCTTAAAGGAGCATCAGTTCCAAGAAAGCATTCAAGATATCATGAATGCTACACTCGGGGTACTAGCCGCTGGGAGATATTTCGGTCGCTTTTCATTTCGCTAATTGAAATATAGTTCAACAAAGTTTTGGCCATCAACATGCCGAGCCGGACAGACAAGCGCGACCAATTAGTTCTGGGCTCGTCACTCACCGGCTTTGTGATTGATTTCATCGATGGGGTAGATGCGAAGGGGATTAATCCGAAGACATATCCATATGTCCGTTACCAATAGATCCTGCGGCTCGATCCGATAGACTAACATCTTCATAGAATTGGAACCAGGAGCATTCCGCCACCGAGTATGCCTGTCTTCGGGCGCATCTCAACGCAGCCCAACGGTATGCTTTAAACCAGAAGTATTACTCTTAGTCACTTGGCTAACAGTCTACCAGAATTGTCCAGGAAGGACTACGTACTGCTCTCATACTCGAGGACGATGTTGATTGGGACGTCTCCATCAAGCCCCAACTACAAACTTTCGCACACGCCGTTCGAACCCTCCAAAATACAGTTTACGCTCCGACAGAGTCCCCATACGGTGACGAGTGGGACATTCTATGGCTAGGACACTGTGGTGCCTCGTGCAAGACCGAACAGCCCTTCTACATGATCCCAAATGACCCAACGCTTCCTAAACCAACCCATCTCCCGACCTATTATCATGGCCCGCCTGAGAATGTGAGACCAGACAGCACCCGACTTGTATGCACACTACAAGATGCCGCCTGCACACCTGCATATGCCATGAGCTACCGTGGTGCCCAGCGTATCCTCGCCGCACTCTCCGTGAACCCGTCCGGCTTCGCCGATAAGGTACAGACCGGCGACCAGATCGACCTTGAGCTTGGTCGCATGTGTAAGAGTGGCTTACTCAAATGCTTTGCGCCGTACCCGGCTTTGGCAGGAACATATCGATCTGCTGGGCTGTCCTCTAAGGGCACTGATCAGAGTGGGCATGACCGTGCCGCTCAAATAGAGCCTGCTACCAGCTGGGGTCTGGTCTACAGTACCATGCTTAATATCAAGCACATTTTGCAAGGCGAGCGGGTTGTCCATTCCACATGGTCTGATGTTGATCATCCTGTTATCAACCCGGAGGATATACATTTCGAAAGCGGGTATATCTATTCCTGTCGACCGGAACACGATTCAAATCCAGTTTCGACGACCGAAAAGGAAGTCGTCAATGAATCTGTCTTTGCAGATGAAGCGAGTTTCACAGATGAGCCATAACCGATTAGAGGACCGCGTGCAACGAGAGAGGCGAAGTTCAAAGATCCAGAGTGAACCAATTGTGGTGCATGAAGTTTAAATATACCCATTTGTACTATATTTCCATATGAAAATGCCATCAGGTTATACAAAATTTTCTTTGCTTCGAGTTTGATGATACCTGAAAAGACCCTGAGCGGGTATACCTACGGCGGACGATAGAAGCAAGTTGCTCAAACCCCATTTCATTAGGCAGAAAGACGGGCAGAATATTTAGCTAAGGTCAACTACTGGAGACCTGGTTTTTTCTATACGCCCGTTAAGCGTAGGCCTGGTAACGTGGACCGTCTGGGAAACCCTCTAGAAGACCGTCCAGAAGACCGTCATGGAAACTATCTAGGAAACCGTCTAGGGACCCCTTAGGTCTCTTCGAGAAAGGCATAAATTACCTAGACCGATTTCTCCTTAAGCGCTAGGGCTATAGTCTCCTCCTTATATGGATCGAGAGGGATTCGAGGTCTGATCTTGTAGGGGCGAAGTCCCTACGCCGGCGATAGGTGCAGAGATATTGCTAGGGGCGAGATCTATTGATTCATGCTGTCGTTTCGAATCTGCCTACATTGCCTGATTAGGATGGCTGTATAGGCCTTAGGAATAAGGCCTCAGGGCAAAGGCGGTTAATAAGCGGTAGACAATTTTACTGAAATAGGGTTTTGAGCAACTTGCTTCTATCGGCCGCCGTAGTATACCGCGCAGTATCTGCAGACCCTGACCCCTCGAGGCGCAAAGGCGGCGCTCTGTGGCTGTCCGTGGTGCATTTCATAAAAACGGTTCGAGTTTGTGCTTTTGGCAGGGAGAAAGAACATCGCACTGGTGGAAAGTCGACGATCTAAAAATTCCAGCCCCGGACAGCCATTCAGTCTTCTTTTTTGACTAACTTTGCGTGTAAAAACCTGACTGGCCATGTTTTGCGGCTATTGCCTAGCGTCTGTCGGCTGCACCGGCATTGGCCCGGAGATCCACCAAGTTTGTCCGGCGTGGCTCGCGCTAGGGACAAAAGCCTCTGGGCCTGATGAAAAGTTTTAGCGAGACACCCCTCAATTTTTGGTTCTTGATCTTTTGCCTTCAATATATTACATTTGATCGCGGTAGTACAATTTGAGCAGTCTCAAGTTTTGACAAAGAGACGATAAACGCGTGATAAAGGAGTTCGCGATTGTTTATCAACTGAACGAGTCAGGGATATGAGGGACCCCTTGAACATACGGAGATAATGTCCACTCCAGGAAACCTCAGGGCCCGGGCATAACCAAGCTATTATTGTATTCTGATTTGTGGCTCGTAGCGGGGCTCAAACACAACGTTGGCTCAATCCCTCGCGGTTCACACCATTCTAGGCAAAGTATTGGCTGCGTTCCTGGATTCCAGCCAATCAGAGCAGCCCAGCGAGATGAGTGGCTTGGATCGCGTGGAAGCTTCACCTGTTAGCGCTTCTGTTCCAGAGACAATAATAGGGGTCTGAGGGTCTTACGCGAGGGTTCAAGAGGGAAACATTGACATGCGGCTGAATGGACGGGTCTTTCCTCGTGATTTATTAGGTAGCTGCGAGCACGTTCTTGTTCTTTCTCGTCAAAAAATCTCCTACCACTCCGCTATCTACACCACCCCTCCCAGTATAAAGCTATACTATCGCGCACCTCGCCAGAGCAACACCCACATCATGCGCCTCTCCGTATTCCTCGCTTCGGCACTTGCTGCCCTCGTCGCCGCCGACAGCAGCACTACCACCACCATGGGCATCGTTTACCCAGACTGGACCATCCTCATCCCCCGCTACGAAAGCACGGCCGCCAGCGTCGCCGGAATCAACGCGCTCGCCACGACATACCAAGTTAAATGCCTAGACGGCGCAGACAAACTCAGCTGCGACATCAAGACTCCCTGGACCATCATCCAAGGACCCGCCACCGCGAGTTTCACCGGTGTCTACACGGCCAGTGCTAGCGGGAAGGATGGGATTACCGTGACGCGGGAGTGGAAATGCGATTTGAAGTCTTATACCGAGTCTGCTTCTTGCACTGTGAGCTATTCGGCGACCGGCACGGTTGATGGCACCACGTATTCTACCTCGACTACGACTTCGAATAAGAATATGCCTACGAATGAGTTGGCGACGGCTGGGATCCTTGTTACTGGTGGTATTGCGTCTTTCACTGCTTCCCAGGCGACTCAGACTCCGTCCGGTGCTGCGGCTGCTCCGTTCAAGGCGATGGTTACTGGTGCGCCGCTTGGAGCTGCCGCTGCTATTGTCATTGCTGGTATGCTTTAAGTGGACAGGGGTATTCTCTGGGATTGGAACTTTGAATTTGTATATAATGTCTGATAATGAACGGCCATCTTGGGAACTGGAATTTGATTTGGGGTCATATTTACAGCGACTTGGGATTTGTGAGCTGATGAATATAATATAGTTTATTAATCTTTGGGAAATTTCATCCGATCACTGAATATAGTAGGCTACGGAGGCTGCTTTGATGGCACAAGTCTTATAGATCATGTCTGATCGCTAATTCTGGGCCAGGGATTACTTTTACATAATTAGGTGGACGAACATGCGTCGCAAGTATGAGATTATCAAAGTACTCTGTTCGGACGAAACATGGTTCAAGTAAATCAAATGACCTAAGCTGAAAGTTCATACCTCTTGTCCTGGGCAAATCAATTACAAACCTTCCGTCGGGATACCCCCGCCGTTGAATTCTTGCTGTGCCCGATTGACATGTTCCACATGCAACTATTAACCTTGGATGAGGGGGATATTCCCCTGAATGGATACTAGTTATTTCATCAGTCAAGATTCTCTTCCATAAACCATTACCGTAGCATTCTCTATGTAGATATGAACATAGCTCATATATCACTTCGTACACATCAGCTGTACCTGAATTATCCCGATAACAACCACGATAACAAAGTGGGTCTTATCTCTAATCTAAGGATTTTCCTAAAAAGGCAAAAACCGAGGCACAATCCTGACCGGCGATTTGCCAACGCGTCAATATTCTTCCCAACGACCCACTCACTGCAAAGGCATTGGCCAAGAAAATATCTACGGAGTACGAGGATCACCCCAACGCGCTGCCGCCGACGGCGCACTGCCTAATGGAGACTTTTTTCTCCTTCGTATCCGGGGTCCAGCAGAACAGCAATCATTCATATAAAGCGAGGCAACCAGGAACTCGGAGTCAACGAGAATCACATAAACACCACTTTTCTTTCAAGACAGGACGAAACCGTCTCCCAAGTCAACATCGCAGAAGCCTCTATTACCCGCGCACATTATTGAATAAAGCTAGCTAGCTACATCTCACACCTCTTCTCCTGTCACCCATCCACCACCAAACCCCGCAGACACAATGCCACCCAAACCCATTCCATTCCCAGGCTTCACCCCACTATCAGATCGAATCTACCTGCGCAATGGCAACCCAAATACCACCAACCCACCACCACCAAACCACCCAACAACGATCATAATCTTCGGCTGGGGCGACGGCATGCCCAAACACGTCTCCAAATACGCCGACGGCTTCCACGACCTGTACCCCTCTACCCGCATCCTAGTCGCAATTTCCAAAACCCTGCACGCCTCGAACCAGCCCCTCCCCGACCGCATCCAAGCAATGATGCCCATCATCGACACCGTCTTCCCCACCCCCACGGGTGACGGCGGTGCCCCCGAGCGCGTCCTGCTACACGCCATGTCCAACACGGGCGGGATCTTCGTCGCCGCCGCGATGGCGGCGTACCAAGAGCGTCACGGCAAAGATCAAACCATGCCGCACGAGCTTCTAGTTTGCGACTCCACGCCCGGCGGGCTCGTGTTCTCCGCGCAGGTGGGCCGGTGGTCTCGCGCGATGGCGGTGGGGACGGCAAAGTTCTTACCGTGGCCGTTTATCGTGACGCAAGCGTTGTGGTGGGTGTTTCTGTGGGCGAACTATTTGTTCGAGAAGATGCGGGGGTCGGAGCCGTCGGGGGTTTGGGCGAATCGGGTTATGAATGAGGAAAATGTGACGAGTAGGGCGGCTAGTAGGTTGTATTTGTATTCGAAGGAGGATGAGATTATTGGGTTTGAGGATTTGGAGGAGAACGTGGCTGGTGTGAAGATGTTGGGGTATCGGGCTGTGGATTTGGAGTTGTTTGAGGGTTCGCCGCATGTTGGACATATGAGGTTGCATCCGGAGCAGTATTGGAATAGGATTTCTGGCTGTTGGGAGGCTGCGGTGGCTGCGCAATGAGCTGAGAAAGCATACAAGCTGGATTGGCCTGGGTGGTAGTGATGCGGTCTTTACATGGCGTTAGAAGAAGGATTAATCTGTACATAATCATATCGAATAGACTGGCGTGGGTAATTGAGATAACCTGTTTTAGTGTAGTAGATATCTAGAACCTGAAGCAAGACCGTAACTTGAAAGCTCAAGGCTGGACATTGATGAGCGCGAGAAGGAAAAGATAAAAGCTACCTGTCGAGTAATCATATGTCGCCTCCCAGTTGAAATTGCCAGCATTCAGAAAATCATCTTTACCTCGAAATTGCATACAGATCTTTCGGAATCGCCCACCCATGCGCGATGCAAGCCCGAGTGTACGCAGAAATCGCCTCGCCAACGGAGTAATCATAATTCCGACCAGGCGCCAGCCGTGCGGGGTGATCCTTGGTACTGATTGCAAGGCGTACTTGCAGCAAAAGGCTTTCAATCGAGTTGGCGGCCGACCAGCCCGAGTTGGTGAGCAGTTCCATGCATATGGCTCCTCCAGCCGTGACGTGGCCGCCGCCGCCGAGGGCAAACTCGAGGAACCGTGGGCGAATCACTCGCACGAAGGGGGGATCCATCGGGAAGTTAGGTGGGAAGCGAACTTCGAGAACGACGCTGGTGAGGTTGGCAGCCTTGAGATCCTTTGCAAGGGGAATGGTTTGATCGAAGGTGTGCAGTTCCACGATCCATTGATAGACCGTTCTGATCAGAGATGGATCCACGTACCATCCCAGCTCATCAAGTGGTTCCTTTTCTTGAATCTTGAGGGTTGTCTGAAGATGTCGCTGAAGAAGCGCAGTAGCTGCGCTAGTCGCGTAGGCAGGTGGTGAAATCAGAGACAAGGATGCCTCTTGCAATGTGCCCGGAATGAAGTCCGTTTTGGGGGCGGTCGCGACTTTCTTACTCTTGGAAGAAACACTCCCCAGCTCTTGCTCGGCATCAGACAGAAGGATCATGAGATCTTCAATGTCAGTTGAAACACTGGCCGTGTCATCAAGATAGCTGGTGTTCCTCGGTGTACCCCTAGAAGTTCGTTTCTTCTTTCTGTGTGATTTACCGGGCGATGCGGTCACGGGCGATGCGGTCAAAGCCTCTCGTCGCTTGCTGCTGAAAGCGGACATGGGAATCTGAATAACTTTTCCACTAAGACCAAGTACCTTATACTTGGGATCCTGGGCGTAGAGCATAGGTGGCTCAGTCTGCACATCCGCTCCGAGGAAGGCAGGAGTGTTTCCCACTTGCACGAAAAGGTACCGGGGTTGAATCCAATCAAGATGTTGGACCACATAATGCGGAGATGTTGCCACGAATTGGGCCGGGTTGTTGACAATTTCATTCAAGGAGATCATAGACTGGATTTTCAGCTTGCTTTGAGCCCAGCTATGAGAAGACCCGGCGCGGAATGCATAACCTGCTGATGTCCCGTAATGATTCGATAGATACACCCCATTCCCAAAAGCACGCCCATGTGCAATATCTTTGAAGTGCAGGCCTTCTCGGAGAATGCTATGCCAGTTATGCAATGGACTGCCATGCCAGGCAAATATGGTAGGGTATGCCGTCTTGGTACGCATGGCATGCTGGTTGACGGCTTCCATAAATCGATGCTCTTTGTCAGGCGCCCCTTGAACCAGTCGAAACTGAATGAATCCTTTCATGTCGGACACAAGATCATTCTCTTGCGGGCCATCCTGCAAGATGCAGGATCGATTGGAGGCCACGATCCAGCGAAGTAAATCCAGGGCAGCGGGGCTTACCATGTCGTGCCAGGAAGATAGCAACTTGCCCGAATCATTACGACCCAGAAAAGTTTGCATGGCATCAATATCGGGAAGATTGTCTAGCAGCATGATGATAGTGCTCTGTTTCTTTTTTTCAGGCAGCATATCAAAGTTCATGTCGTAGATGACATACTGCACCGGTATGAAAGCCGCATACTTCCCGAGCTCATCTTCTTGCAGCTGCACACCATGGGAAACTGGGCGTGAGAGAGCGACGTGTCCCGAGGTCTCCCAGACATTCAGTACTCGGGAATGCCATACGGTCCTAATTTCTCCTGTCATAGGCTTCGCCGGGTTGAGAATGGCAATCCAGTTGCCCTCCTTGACCCGGGGGGCACAATTATGGGAGAGCTCCATTTTTCTCGTTGATAGTGTGGCTTCGTGGCATAAGACGGCCGTCTCATCGCTATCTTTGGTACTCATAGTCTGAGGTGAAACCCCCGGTTGACCAAATCGATCAACCGGCTGAGAAGGTAGTGTGCCGACCGCCGTCGCACAGGGAACATTGAGTCCAAGGCCGTTCGGAAAATCCGACAGACGACCAGATTTGGCCCGTTCATAGGCTAATGAAATCAGCATATCAACAACATATGGCTGAGTGCGGATCTCGTATTCCAGACTAGGTCCCATGCCCAGGGTCATGTACTGAAATAGGCAAAGTCCGTTTGAGCACACGTAAGGCTTCAGCGCCTCGAAACTGTCATGAGTCTTGCAATGACAGACGAGACAAAACTCGGTGCATTTGACAAAGTGACGTAGAAGAAAATGCTCGGCTACGAGAGGGAACGAGATGTTTGCTGAAGATAAACCCATGTCGGCCATATGATCTGCATGCAGGAAATTGGGAGCAGGCGTTATCCAGGTGTCCTCCACCGCGAACTCTGGCGACCTGGCATCATCCGGACCGATAAACTTCCCTTGAGCAGCTTGAAAGAACAACTCTGCTCCGGTCCACGTGAAACCGTATCTTAAGCGAAGCCTTGCGATATGAAGGAATCGCTCATTGAGGAGCTTATCCAGTGAGGCCCCAATAAACAGTTCGCGGAGTGGGTCGCTGTCCTTGATTTCTACCATTTGTGGCAAGTTATGAGAACTGACCGTCTCTTGGAAAGCGCTGATGGTGCTCGTGAGCGAAGGTTTGTAGGAATCGCAGAGTCCAACTCGCATCTGTATCTTTGAATCACCGCCCAGGTTCAGATCCTCCATAGTCTGGTATCGGCCGTAGCGGATCAGGAGGATCAAGTAATCAGCAGGTCGCACGTTCCATGCCCTCATGGCCTCTTCCGATAAACCCATTCGGGCGATACGTATGGCCACGGACACGACGATGGGGCCAGTGGGATCGCCATGATAACCCACCTTGAGCCCCGCAAGCTTCACGGCTCGCAGGTCACGGCGGATTGCATCATGGAATTTGGTAGAGCTTTGAGTCGAGGACAAGAAGCTATCCTCGTCCTCTGTCCAGTCGGACGGTTCCAAGTCGTCCTCAAATTCCTGGTCACTTGGGATTGCGAGGTCGCCCACATCGTCGAAAGACTGCGGGGTAGAGCCCTGGAGTGCGCCCGAAACGACCAAATCCAAGGTCGATAGCACATCATGGATTGATAGGCCTTCTGACTGAGGGACGATCTCGTCGACAGCTTTCGTGATCTCGGCAGGGACATTGTCGGAAGTGGAGTAAACAAAGAAGCTGTGGTTGGAAGGGTAATCATGGGGATCTGCGGCTGATTAGTAGATGAAAGACCCACCTCTGCCGAGCTATTGTGGAACTCATGGAAACGTACCAGCGACGATGGCTTCGAAGTGAAAGCTCTCCCCTTCTACGGGGTCTGTGTAAGTGAAGGAAATCGATCCATCACCTTCACCAGCTCTGACACGTGTGAGGTGTGGGAATCGACCCGGGCTCTTGGCTTCGTTCAGATCCCTCTGGAAGTCTTTAGTCGGCATGGCGATCAATGGGATCTGGGGAGACTGAGAAGGGAATCAAAGCCTTGGCAAGAACATGGATTTCAACAAGAGAGATTCTCAAAAAGTTTACCGAGAGATGGGCAGAGGGAGAATTAAAGAGGATGGAGTGAGGTGGAGGAAGAGTGCAAATGTAAGAGGAAGCCGAGGTGTAAGATATTGAGAGATTGAGGCTGTCCGCGCAACGGTGACGAGCATACAATCATCGGGTGCACTAATGGAGATGTTTTGGGTCGTTTGTATCTACGTTTGGACGGGCCGTGGCTGAACACAATTTCGCCCGTTTTGAGAGACATCCACGTCAATTTAGGGCAAGTACCAATACATAAGGGCATAAAGATCCAGGTTTCTTGTTGCATCCTTTGGCCCCGATTACAGGTAAGTCCCGTAAAGAGTTGACCAATCTAGGCTATTTACAGCGCTGCGGTCTACTCTTCCAAAGCGATCATTTTGAGTCTGTCAACTCTCCGATTTTAATCTTGTCGCCGAGTTTGTTAACGGGTTTAAGGTTGGACCCGCGCCAAAGTCCTATCGAGTCCATGGATTTACTCATTCTGGATCCGCAGTCAATACCTATGATATACTTTGGTCCATGGAACTTACTAGGAATTTGTTGATAAGATGTAAAAAGCATAAGAAAATAGCTCTTGAGTAAGTTGAAGCTTCGTTCATTCAGTACTTATCCGCCAAGACTTTATACTTGGCGACTTGTACGGAGTACAGTAGGACGAAAAGACATTTTCGTAGAGATTTGATATAGATTCAAGGTCCAGTATCCCTGGATAATATTGATACAGCCACTATACACCACCAAATATACAACCAAAAGAAAACGCCCACATCCAGAATCCCACCAAAATCATATGCAAATGCAAAACCCACCTCCTCCCCAGCTCAAATGAACAACGAACTATTTGGCGACAACGTATCCAATCCAGACTCCCCCACCAAGACAGGGAAAATCCTTCGAATCCGATCCTCCAAAAGCGCCTCCTCCGCCTCCCAGCGCTTTACCTCCTCGTCCTTGACCTGCGAGCCACGACCGCCGAACCAGGACTTCGATTGGCCGGAGCTCTTACCCTCGGCTTGCTCCTTGTGTGCCTGCGCAACGCGCGTAGAGACCATCGTCTTCCAGTTCTCGAGACCGACCTTGAGACACTGCGCACAGCGCGTGCGTGCGGGTTTGTCCTCGGGACCGGTGAGTTCGAGCATGGTTGACTCGGCGATCTCGACGGCGTCGCGGGTCCATGCGAGACCGTGCTCGCGGGACGAGGACGCATACAGGATCTCGCCGATGTAGGTCATCAGGCCGGCTTCGTCGCAGGCCGAGGCTGGGGTTCGGAAGGGAGGAGTGTCTCCCGATGGGAGGGCGGGAGGATATTCGGCTGGGTTGAAGAGTTTCTTGAGGGATGTGACGAATCCAGTGATGGGATCGTTTGAGGCCCGCGGTGGTGCGGGTAGGGAGAAAGAGGGTGAAGAGCCGTAAGTCGGGGCAGTGGGGAGACTGCGTCTCGCCTTGAGGACGGATGTGAAGAGGGAGAGTGCAGTGGGCAGATTACCCTGACGAGCATTGTGAACTGCAAGCGCGGTCGAGACGCGAAGGATGTTCTCAGAAGGCAGATCGGAACCGTTATTCTTCAGAACGCCCGTCGCAAGGTCTACGACCTTACTGGCATCCCCGTCAAGTCCTCCCGCTGCAATATCCAGCGCCCACGTGTACATATCGCCCGCCGTACGACCCAGCCCCTTAAAATCAAGCCAATCCGCATACGCAAGCGCTGCATCAAGCTTCTGCCTCGTATCAAAGCCCTTGGTCGTCAGAACCTTCATATAAAAGGTCTCCGGTGGCGGGGACGCAGGCTCGCAATCCTCTTCCTGCGGGACCTTCTTCTGACCCGCAGGCATCGGCTTGGGCCGCGGGTTTGAAGGACCAACGACATACTCGGCCGGCGCGGAAATCTTCTGCTTGCGATCCGTCAACCACCCGTCCAAGTTCTCCGCAGCCTTGGCCGCGCCCATGAGAGCCTGGAAGTAGCCACGGCGCCAGTGCTCGCTCTTCGCAGAGACATCGAGGCCCGTGTGTCCGACGCCTTCGACGAAGATACCGCCTTCCTCTTGCTCGACGATCCCCTTGCCTTCGCCGTCCGTGTTCTCCAGGCGCTCCAGCAGTTCACGGAAATACCCTGCGACCATGGGCCAATTGGTCATTAGCTTGCCGATTTGCTCCGGATGCATCATAGCCTGGGCGGTGCGTAGACACCAACGACTCTTCCACGTCCATTCATCCGGCGTAGGCCACTCATGCTCGATATCTTCTTGGTAAAGACCGAGCTTGATGATCTGGAATAGGACCAAGATAGCATAAAACGAGAGACCAATCTTCAAGCCCCGAGAAAGACGCTGTTTGAAATGTGCACGGCTTTCGGTAGAAATTAAACGCCCAAAGTGCTGGCGCAGGTGGATGGAGAGCGGTGGGAGAGAGCGAGTCGGTGTCAATGGTGATAGGAAGGGTAGTTGAGGGCGGCCTGGCGGTGGGGAGAGAAGTAGTCGGCTGCGGTGGGTGAATGGTTGAAGCCTAACCTTTGGACCGGGTGTCCGCAGTGGAAGCACCGGTCGAAGGTGGCCTGGTATTCGACCTATGGCTGTGCGTGGAGGCAGCATCATTGGGTGCTGGATGGAAGATCGAGAGGGTCATTGACGAAGTTCATTGAAAGACTTACCTTTCCAGTTTGCATTGTTTGCATGCTCTACTGCCAAGAAAATGCGGGGTCGGCAGGCCGAATACGGAGTACGGAGTATACTCTGCAGCATTGAAGACTCCCGAATATCTGAAGAAGCTCAATCTGCGCTATACCGCACCATCGTAAGAATTCCAAAGGATTTGTGGTTTAAAGCTTAATTCTAACATCTAATTGGGGGAATCCAATTGCAATTAAAAAGCAAATAGACATCTCTATGGGAAATAAAGCTCCAAAAGGGAAATAAAAGGGAAAAAAGTAACAAGATCCATCAATCAATCATCCAGCAATGCATTTCAATAATTTACTGCTGGGCCTTCTCGAAGTAGCCCTCGCTCTCGAGCACGAGGATAATCTCGTGGACGATGCTACGAACGGACTGCTTGGAGGCGTCGACAACGAGGTCAGCCTTCTCAGGAGCCTCGTAGGGGTCATCGACACCGGTGAAGCCCTTGATCTCGCCACGACGAGCGCTGGCATAGATACCACGCTTGTCGGTCTTCTCGCAGTACTCGAGGGGAGTAGCGACGTGGACGAGGAAGAAGTTGCCAGCCTGGGAGACGGCGTCACGGGCGTACTTCCGCGAGACCTCGTAGGGGGCGATGGGGGCGGCGATGACGGCGGCACCGGCACGGGTCAGCTCGGAGGCGACGAAAGCAATGCGCTGGATGTTGGTGTGGCGGTCCTCGCGGGTGAAGCCCAGCTCGGAGGAGAGCTCGTGGCGAACGGTGTCACCCAGCAGCAGGGAGACGGAGCGACCACCCTGCTGGTTCAGGGTAACCTGGAGAGCACGGGCAATGGCGTCCTTGCCGGAGTTCATGTAACCAGTCAGGAAGATGGTGAAACCCTGGGCGTTGCGAGGGGGGTTGGACTCGCGCAGGATCTTGACAACCTCGGGGTAGGAGAACCACTCGGGGATGTGGGCGCCGGTGCGCAGACGGCGGCGCAGCTCGGTACCGGAGATGTTCAGGGTCTTGACACCCTGGGGAACCTGGTCGACGGGGCGGTACTCGTCGGTGTCGGGCAGGTAAGTGACCATCTGGAACTCGACAACCTCGATACCGAGCTCATCCTTGTACTTCTCGACGGCGTGCTGGGCATCGTACGGGCCGTAGAAGTCGACACCCTTGGAGTTACTACCGGGACCAGCGTGGTCACGGCCGACAATGAAGTGAGTGGCACCGTGGTTCTTACGGATGATAGCGTGCCAGATGGCCTCACGGGGACCACCCATACGCATGGCCAGGCCGAGCAGACCCAGAACGGCCATGCCGTTGGGGTAGCGGGGGAGGAGGGCCTCGTAAGCGCGGACACGGGTGAAGTGGTCAATGTCACCGGGCTTGGTCAGACCGACGACGGGGTGAATCAGGACATTGGCCTGGCGGGAGCGAGCGGCACGGACGGTCAGCTCACGGTGAGCACGGTGCATGGGGTTACGAGTCTGGAAAGCGACGACGCGGGACCAGCCCAGCTTGTCGAAGTGGACGCGCAGCTCAGCGGGAGTGTCTATTGAGAGCGGTTCACGTTAGTATTTCCGCTATCTTAAATGGTCGATATGCTTGGCAGGAAATTCCTAATTGGAATATTTCAGACCAATTGATCCGGGGAGAGGGGAACATACAGCGCAGACCGACATAGTCGTAGTGGTTGAGCTTGTTGACAGCCTCGACCTTGCCACCAATGTACAGCTCCTTGATCGTCTGGTTCAAGTAAACGATAGCGGGGTGCTCGGGGTCACCACCGAAGACGAGCTCGCCCTCCTTGGTCCTATTGTCAGGGGGAAAAGAATACGTCAGCAATCAGACCCACTAAAAAAAGCACGCGCCGCCCGTGGCTGCCCTCATTGCGTAAGGAAATCGAGACATGCGACCGCGGACGTCAATGCCAATGACACTGCCAATGCCAGTCAATGTAGAAGGGGGAAAAGAGCGATCTAAACCCTTGTCCCCAATATCTAACAAAGTTTCATCTGGCGGGCCCGATGATAACCATTCTGCACGCCGAGCGTTGCAAGTTGTACCAGGATAATTGCGGGGATCGGCAGTCTGCGAGCGGACCTCCGAACGAGCCAGGAAAAGAAAAAAAGCAGCAACCGCAATCCCGACAAAAATCCCGGACATTGGCAAGAGACTTTGGCGATTGGCGAGAACGGGAAGAATAGGTAGGGAAATAATTGAAACTCACTTGTCGGGCCGGTAGATATCGTCAATGGTCAGGATGGCCAGGTTGCGGTCATCACGGAAATCGCGCAGAGTAATGCGGGCACCGGCCTTGAGCTTGTTCTCGTCGACGACCTGCTGGGTGACGTCGAGGGTAATGGGCATAGAGAAGACATTTCCATCGGCGAGACGGCAGTCCTGGCAGACACTGTCAAGGGGGAAAAAAAGTATTAGCTGATTTATTCGGGTGGTGAATAGCAATAGAGGTCCAGTGCCCATTCCAATGGCATCATCTTCTTGGTCTTGAGGGGGTGGTGGGACATACCGGTCATAGTCGGCCTGGTTCATGAAACCTGCGCGAGATCGGCGTTAGCCAATTTACATTTTACTTGTTAACCCCTCCATTCATCTCCGCCCGCGCCGCGCTTTCTCCGAGAAATAAATTTCCCAACGTAGAACGGGTGAATGGGCACGAAAAAAAAAAAAGCAAAGTTATGGAGGGGTAGTCGATGACAAATCGAGTCAATTGGACTTGGCGCAACTTACCCTCGAGAGGAGAGAAACCACCGTTCATGATCAGCTCGAGATCGCAGAGCTGGCGCTCGGTGAGGACGACGGCGGGGAGGGTCTCGGCCTCGGCGGCGAGCTGGTCGTGGCGGGGAGCATCGCGAGCGAGCAGGTCCTTCAGGACACCACCGTGAGGAGCGTTGGCCATGATGTGATATGGAAGATGGAGGGGAGGGTATAGAAGAAGGGAATTGGCAGTGGTAGAATGATCAACAAGAAAGGAAACTTTTGTGAGATCGTCCCCGAAAAGAGATAATACACAACCGTGGCAAGAAACACGGGGAGGATGAAAAGATGAGAGGGATGAGAGAGAAGAGAAGAAGGAACAAGGAACAAGGAACGAGTAAGTCGAAGAAAGCGAAGAACACGGGTCCCAGGGCCCTTAAAGGTGGTACACTGAGCACGACAACGCAGAGAAGGCTTCCACGCATTCCACCCCACCTCTACGCTCGCGGATTACCATACGGGGGGGCAGCATAGCCATACACCGTGTACGGAGTACACTCACCCACATACGTACCCTCTTTTTCCCTCCCCGAAGATCCCAGGATTCCGCAGGGCCCTGGACCACGCAGTCGTCAACGGTGGAGCATCCAAAGTCTTGGCCGGCTCCATTTCATCCAGCCAGAAGGCCCGCTGCCGGGGAACCCAGGGCACCGCGACGATTATCAAATCTCATAACCAAGGCCCTCCGTTTCGAATTGACGTCGGATAAGAAATCCTCATAGCCAAGGGGGCTCGTTATCTTGCGGGTGATCGAGGTTTCAGCATCGTATGATGATGCTGGATCTACTCCGTGCATCTGTGGATTCCATGCTGCATAGTTTATCCGTAGTCAACACGTATACTTCAATCACAGCTACTACAACTACCTCCAATCCAGGCCCGTACTCGTTTATGGCGGGGATTTTCAGGGGGCGGCATTTCTCCGAGCGGAGTTCGTCATATGGTCCTGAAGTACGTACTGCACTGCGCCAGGATCTGATGGCAATTCAATCATTCAGGGGGGGAAAGGGGGAACATTGAACGTCTTCAAAATCTACAGAAGTATGGACTGGTGATATCTATAACTTTATTTTACAGCCCCGTATACCGTACGAAAGTTTCATAGAACAACCATGCGACTGCCGAAATAACGTGATTGTAAAAATTTAAAAATTGCCCCCAAATGCCGACTCGGTGCCTCTCACGTGACCATCACGCAAGCTGCACCCCGAATGTCGTGATTGACGTTGCTCAAAGAGGAATAGTGCGGCTTGGCCGGTCAGGGCACTTGGCAAGTTCCAGGCAGCGGATGTCCGGTCGGTCTTGACTCTTTGGGTATGCGACTTTGAAGGTAGACGATTTCGGAAAAAGCTTGTTATGGGTTGGTAAACATGTGGTGGAGATGAGATTGAGATGAAGAATTGAATATCGCTCTGCAGTATCAGTACATGGATTTAGTATCTCGGTGTATCTCCTTTTGGAGATACGCTCTACATTCAATATGTACGGGTGTACGAAGTAGATATTGCACGCCCTCGAACATAGTAGTACTACAGAGAAACACTGAATATGACTTGCAAATATTCGGCTGGGTGCCCACGCCCTGACTCCGTTGCATTATAACCGTAATGTACACCGATCACGGGGTCCATCGGCGATATATCCGAGTCCAAAATCGAGTGTCGAGTTTGACTCCCAAGTCCAAGCGCCATGTAGTCCTACACTATATACAAGTTTCCCAAATTTCCAATCCACTCAAACAACCATCACAGAGTAATATAGTCATACCCTTAAAATGTATGTTGCAGTGCGTCTCAGCAACGCAGCTCAGCCAACCACCGTTCCATTCTGCAGTGTGATAGTCTTCTTCTCAAAGTCCAGCCCATACAATCCCATCAGCTCCAGCGTCGGATGCGTGGCGTTCGCATACGAATCAGCTAGGTACGTCTCGATCTGGCCCTCGGCCCACATTGCAGACGTCAAGGAACCGGTCTTCTGTAGAATATACAGAACTGCTACCTGCGAGAACTCGACGACTTCCGTGGGCACGCCGGTGTCAGTGCTGTCGGCGCTGCTAGCGCTGCTGGTGGTGTTGGTCGAATTGGCGGCGATGGCCGTCGCCATGGCCGTAGTGGCGGTGCTGGTCGCACTGGTTGTCGATGAACCGCTGTTATCGTAGAGGATCCCGTTCGAGGTGGCCACTGCCCGCGGAGCTAGGACTGGGGTGGGTTCGGTTGAGTCGAGTGCAGATAACGGGGTGCCCTTCGCGTCTGCGAACTGGGGCAGGTCCACGGGAAGGGAGACGGCGCGGCGGGTGTTGCTGCTGCTGCTGCTGCTGGTGGCAGTCTGCACGTCAAAGGTGACGAGCGCGTTTTCAGTCTTGCAGGAGACGTTGTTCATGCTGAACAGAGCCATGATAGTCACCGAGTCCAGCGTGATGTTGAATTTACTCGACGACGCACTGAACACGTCTGGCAGGTCACTACCCATCGTGGCCTTCTTGTTATCATTCACCTCCGACGTAACGCAGCTGCTGTCCCCAGCCACGGTGCATTGTGAGCCCGTGTACCCGTCCGAGCACACGCACGAGCACTCAGAGCCACTGGAAACGCTCACGCCGCCGTTTTGACAGGGGTTTGTGCTTGCGCAGGAACCTGAGGTGCTGTGGTTCTGCTTCGGCACTACGACGAGGAAGATCGGGAGCAGGATGGCTAGCACCACGATGATGAAGAAAAGGATGCACAGCAAGATGAACCATTTGCGGGGCATGCCACAACATTTCCGCGCAGGCTTTTTGACATTCGGGTCCTCGTCGTGGGAGTGGAGGGGCTCCACATTGCGCAAACCGGATCGACCGAAGAATACCGGCCATGAGCTGCGGCCTTCTGGCGTCTGCAGGCCTGGTCGAGGGAAGGAGGTGAGGATATCGGTGATAGAACCGGAACCGCGTCGGCGGCCTGGCTCACCTGGAGAGGGGAAGGTCAGTATGTTTCATGATTGAAGTGGTGCGGTTCAATGCGTAGGTCGAGACTTACCTAATGCAGCTTTAAAGTCGGCATCTGTGGCCAGCATATCACATCGGCTGGCAGTCTTCCCCCGGTCGAGATTCGAAGCTAGCTTGGTTGCGCGTCGAATCAGATCAGATAGGCTAGACAGACTACCACGCGCCTCGGCATCGCGGACAGCACTCATGTCCAAGCGAGGAGGCTTCTTGCCGCCAGGTCGCTTGTCACTCATGGTCGGTGCGGCCTTGGGCAGAACCTCAAGCTCCTTCTCCACAGCTGAATCGTAGGCCGGGTGATCGTGCTGCTGCGCGAACCGTGGTTTCTCAGGGTCAACGCAGGACTCGTCCGAGCCCGTTGAAGTAGACATCCGGCGCCCCGTGGTGGGAGCACGAAGCACTTGGCTGACTGCAGTGCCGATTGCAAGACCGCCAGCTGCCGCGGCGATTGATTGCTGCCGAGTATACTCCTCCTGGGGGTTGGAAGATGGCACGTCGGGGATAGTATCAACCTCCGAGTTGGGGTTCGACCTCATGATTGTGCGCATCGTCGGTTTGCCGCGCTTGCCGAGACTGGCGTTTCGGACAAGGGTAACATCCTCTACTTGGTGATGATGGTTGTTGTTTTCATCATCCGATGGATCATCCAGATACGCGCCTAAGATTTCTGACTCGGGTGGACCAGAACCCCAGCTGGATGGAATCACGCGACTGGAAGCTAGCGAACCGAGAGTTTGGCGGGGATTTGAGAGCTCTTCAGGGATAGGAGAAACGGCGGATTTGCGAAGATGGGATGGTGGTAAAAGACCTGCAACAGGTTGCCGAGAGTTCCCTTGCGGGTAAGGCGGTTCAGGGAGTGGAATCGGCGGTACATCGGGGACAGAAGACGAGCCGGAAGCAGTCGAGTGACGGTGGAATAGCTCGTCTGTGGCGATTGAGATGCGAGGGGTCAAATCCAGGGTACTGGTTGGGCTTGCGGGACCGTCATTTGTAGATGGGCGCGGCTGCTGTTGGTGTTGTATGTACAGTGGTTTGGGGTGCGAGAAAGAACGAGCTGGCAGAATGGGGTAGACCGAGCTCGTCTCGGAGTCTACACCACTCCGTACAGAGTAAATTGAGGGAGAAGGGATTTGCGAAGGAACCTCACTAGGACGCGGCGGTCGTGAGGGAGGAGGACCTTGAGGGATCAGAAATCTAGGGTGCTGAGGATTCAGAGGCTGAGGCTGCAGCGGACGAGGAGGTAGACCCGACTCGGGAAGAGGCCATTGCGTCTGGTGGGCGAGATTTCTAGCAGCGGGAGATGGTCCAGATCCTGACGACGGGGGAGGCCGGGGCATAGGCGCCGGTACTGGGACTGTTGGCGAGGATCGAGTTGGACGAACACCCGCTTCCAGCAACTCTCTCGCTCTCTTGACGGACCCTTTGCGATCGGGCCCTTTCGAGGAATCGGGGCTGGGCCCACCACTTCCAGGGGGTCTGGTACTCATTTGATCTGATTTCTCGTTATTCGACAAAGCGAGCTAAGAATTATGCTGCGGGGTGTCGTATCGAGGAGTTCAGACGAGAGAATAGGGCTTTTCGTGGCATCAAGTGAAAACGCAAAAGATCTTTTCTGGTCAGAAAGAGTTTCTCTAGTGATGCCCCAAGAGTAAACGCAGTGAGAAATTCGAAAGAGTCGATACCCTGATCGAGAAAGAAACGAAGGTAGATGCGAAGATACGAAACGAGAGAATGGAGATGCGATATATCGAAGCAGCGGAAGCTCTGCAGCGAAAGCCTTGTCGAGTGATAATCGAATGCGAATAAGGCAGAAATCGCGATCGAGCAGGCAAGCTTGGAAACCACGAGAGTCCAGGCTAGCAATCCAAAGTGAAAAAGAAAAAAAAGAATGGAAGGGCATTCAATGCCTCTGTTATCAAAGTTAGAATCTTCTTCGAGTAGTGAACAAGGCAATGTATTCGGTTCCCATCTACTTTGGGATGAAAGGCTTACCACAAGTCAACGATGGAGGACTATGTCACGATAGAACGAGGGGAAGAAAACAGTGTCGCTGGTATCAAACCGGCGATGTTTCGAGCGGGGGCCTGGTGAAGGGGTGTTATTCATTGTTTGCTAACGTACGTACAAAGTACCCTGGGTCTATCCGGAGACACGTAGGAGTGCCCGAGTAGAGAGCAGGTTCGGGAGGAGGGGGGAATCGCTATCACCAACTTACAGTAAAGCACCGAACCAGAAAGGAGAAGAGCCTCAAGCTCCTCGAAGGAAAAAGAGAGCGACGCGCAGAGAAAGCAAGAGAAGAAAGAGAGAGAGAAAGAGAGGCGTGGAACCAGTCGACCGGTAGACCAGACCAGGACTCGTCACTACTACAGTACGGAGTCGTCTGCGACTGTAGACCCCAGAGTCACGGCACGCCACTCGAGAGCTCATCCACAAGAGAAAAAGAAAGAGTAACCCGAATGGCCCGCCTGACACAAAAACTCGTCTAGTTCAAGCCTCAATTAGATTAGTTCCTTCAATTTCCCACGAGGCGCCGCAACGCCGGTGGAGTCTCGCAACCAGAACTCCAAGCCTCCGTCCCGCTGCTCTGAGGTCGGCCCAGTTTAATATCGCCAGATATTAAAATGGCCGGTCCGAGTCCTCGTATCTGCTGTGAATGTGGCATTAAACACGTGAACCTTCTGATCATTCGGCAGTCTATCAGCATGGAAAGGAACTTGTCCAAGGTGTGTGTCCATCTTCGCTCAACATATCACCGTGAACAAGAAACACCTCCGACTAAGCCCCTTCCCAACCCCTCCCATTCTCGCATTCTCGCATTCTGATGGGTGCATTTTGGATAGTCCGTCCCTAGTCCCACCCCCGGGGTGAGTTTCAGGTCGCTTCGCAAGACGATAGCTCTCAGGCTTTCGGCAGGGGCTAGCACGGTTAGCAGAGAGCCCAGCCAGACCGGACGGCAGACCGGTATGGATCAGAGAAAGAAACGAGACCCTGGGTCGAATCGGAGGAGCGCATCGGGTAATTTCATGGGGTCCTGAGGGCCGAGCCCAAGATCAAGCGAATGGACGTCCCGGATGTGAATCTCGAGGGCGTTGCACGGTTGCACGGTCGCACCAGTGGGGTGCGTTCCAGGAGTTAGTCTCCGACGCTACGTCTCACATTTAAGAGGGGGGCCCTTCGCTTAATATTCGTTCCTTTAAAGAATCTGGGACTTTTGTTTACTTGAAAGCTTGGGTAGGATGATTCTCTATGATCATTAATCGTGCTCTGAGATCCATATACCACGGTCGGGGAGCAAGGATGCGACCTGAGATTCTTATAGGTATCAAGCATTAAGCATTACACTAACACCTCGTTCAATACATTCGCTGCAACACTCAGCGCCTGCTTAATCTTCAACGCCACGGCTTGAACTCTCTCCCTTGGATGGCGTCGGAGCTGGTCATTTCGGGAAAGAGTCGGGACTGAAACATGGGAACTCGCTAACGGCCGCCTACTTTTACCTGGCCATAATTCTATTCTCTTCCTCTTTTTTGACATTCATATGGAGAACAATCCCTATCTATACCGAGAAAGGGGTCCTTGGCTAGAGCGGCCCGAGTTCTTTTTATAGAGACAAACCCTTGCCATGACGCAGCTTCTATGACCTCGCGTGACTAGTCTACGGAGCATACGGAGTATTTTATATGCAGTCCCTCCCCGTTCACCCACCGTTCGTGACAGCGTGGACTCCGTGGAGCCCTCGGGCTTGATAGGAGTTTCTTCAGCACCTTAAGCGGGTCACACTGCAGGATTGCCAACCTGCCCGGAAATGAGACTACACTAAGCAATATTGTTCAATCTGTTAGGGGGCTGGACGCAGCTCATCCAACTAATGCACCGACCGCTAAGGAGTTATTGTTCTTAAAGTACGGAGTATACAGGATAGAAAGGCTCCGAAAAAAGGCCGCCTTGTCGCAATCGCGGCAGTGATGGGCAACCTCAAATTTGAGTCACCCAAGCTCTACGACTGACTATTCAGTACTGGTTGCCTTGGAATTGCTGCTCCCCAGCTTGGTCCGAACCTGGGTAATCTTCTGTTCTAACGCGCGCATTTCCACAATTGTGCCCACCAAATTGGGCACTTGGGTTTGTATAGCTTCCGTAAAGGACTTTTGGGCGGTGCGAAGAGACGGCGGCACTAGGATGCCGTACCAGTAGATCGGGTCGTTGGAGCGGAACTTCTTGCGAACTTTCTTGGTCTCTTTCGGTGCTGGAGGTTCCGCATCTGGATCTTGAGAAACTGGAGTGTCGGTTTCGCTTGCAGGGGCGGTCGTGCCGGTCATTGATACCTCGGGCTCTGTAGCTTCTGTCGAGGGTTCGTCCTTTGCGTCTGTCTCGGCATCGTCGGGATGCTCTTCGGCCGGACGGTTATCAACCTTCTCTAGGCTGAATTTGTATTCGAATTCGCCCGAGGAACGGCTATCGACATCATTCTGCTCCTCTGTCGTATGTTCGGTATCATCCACTTCAGATTGCGCATGAATAGATCTGTAAAATCAGGACCAATTAACGTCTATCCAATGGACTGAGTATCCGTAAATTTTGCTCACATCTTGCGGGTAGCTTTCATCCGCTCATCATAATAGTCCGCACCATATCGTCGGCCGGGAGGACAAGTGTAGTTTGCATGGGCCAAAGAAAGAAAGCCCTACCCGAAGCGTTAGCATCATGCCATATCGGGGCCAAGCCCCCGGGAACACAACAAGAGTCTTACCGAAGATAACTGCTTCGACAATCCTGACTGCAACTCCTGCTGTCGATCCAGCAGATGCAAATACCGCCCCAGCAGGACATCCAACGAATCCAACAGCTCTGACGAAGCTTCCGCGGGCTTTGGGACATGGTCGGGGGCTTCCGAGCCTGGACGTGACGGCGGTGGCGTTGGAATCTGGGCCATGATATGATGGTAAATAGGCAGTATGGGATTGCTCAACTTCGATCAGTCAAGCTGTGCAGGCTAACACGTTGACGCAGCTGTTGGGTGTGGGGAGCGACTGCGATTGAAGCAGAAGAAACGTGGAGCGCAGAAGCTCGGCCCCGGTAACTCCGTCATTGGCCCTCCGAAACGCAAAAGAATTTCCCGCCCTGCGCATCGTCCGGGGAACATAACTCTCGCTGCCCTTCGCCACTCCGTGTCTCCCAAGCCCGAAAGTGGTCTGCTCTCTATCAGATATCGATCTGGTTATTATCGGCTTGATTTGAGCATATTCGCTTGATTCCACAGCGCTGCGTGACTCCGCGGGAATCCTGAACCGCCACCTCCGTTGACACCGTTGATGCCCGTGATTGCGCACTCAACCTTGTAACATCCGAGCCTCGATCGGTGATTCTTGACTCAACCTTTCAAGTTTATCGTCCGCCAATCCTCTTCGTCGATCATCATGTCCGTGGCCAACTTGCAACGCGATACCGCCTTCCAGGTGCGGTCTTTGGTACGTCTTGTCGGACTGAGATATTGGCTATCTCCAAGGCTGTCCTCCCCAACCCCTCCAGAGCCTCCGGAGGGTACACATATCTTTGTTCTAGGAAGTTAATCCGGTCTTTGGTACCGTATAGTTCCGCTCTCTGCTCCGCCAATCGTCCCAGTTCTCCAACTTCAACTTCCGCGACTACGCCCGCCGCAAGACGAGAGACTCGTTCCGCGAGCACAAGAACGAGACCGAAGAACGTCGGATACAGGAATTGATCCAAGATGGCTTGAAGAACCTGCGCTTGCTGAAGGTGAGTGGTTGGGTTCATGTGTTGGGGTTGCCGTGAGGGCTTTCCTTGGTGGATTGGTGAGGGCCACTCAGACGTGCGCTACACCTGATATCCAAGGAACTCATCTCGCTCAAGCCTCAAGATACCTTTTCACATGCTTCGGGTCCGAGAGGCTGATTTATCTTACAGAGGCAAACGGTCATCAGCCAGTTCTACCAGTTGGACAAGTTGGTGGTGGAGGGTCAGAAGACTGTAAGCGCTTCCATCTAATTCCCCACATTCAATCCGCTCGGCTAAGCCATCATTCAGGGCAAGGAGACAGGAGACAAGGGGGGCATTGTCCGCCAGAAGGACACTGGGTATGTTCCATCGTCTACTTAACCTGGAAGACCGAACTTCTCCCTGCCTTGCAACTGCTTACACTGCAACAGCTGGGACTAGTCTATCAATTGACTGATCAAAGTGGAATATCTGTATGGAAGCGACTGGAGGAACTGCTCTTATCACATCGCGTTGGGCGAATAGTCGACATACGTTGGCCAGCACAGTTGAACCGGATTCGTTTTTCTCTGTATTTATAGTGTGGGCGCAGCCACTGTGGGCAAATCCAGTTCTCCCAAGAACTCAAATAGAGAATCTCCTGTTCTACATTTGCAATGCTTGTAATTTCCAGCACCACCAGTGTCGCACGTTGTCCATCGCATGGCTGCTTTACGCAGTCTGATATATCATCACGTGATTCTATACGGGGGCGGAGAGTCTGCAAAGCAACGCGACGGGATCAATGCTACGCTCCGCTCCGCTCATCTCTACTTTACAGCTCTCCACACTATCGCGCCCTTGAGTTGGTCGTAATTCGCTCTACGAGCGCAATTCATCGGCTCTGGAAGTACGTCAGGAACTGTAGGGCCGCTAATTATGCCATCTACTGTACGTTCATTGTTTGATGACCATCCCAGTCCCTGTCCTGTCCGTCCACAAGCTATCCCAAGGCCAGTGGATACTTGAGAACCGGAAACCCATTCAATTGACATAACCTTCCGTGCTAAACCTCCATGCAGTTCAGAGCCTCGCGCTCAGGGCGACACCTTGAAAACGCCAACCGTTCCCGAACTGGCCAAATCGACCACGATGTCTTCGAAGGCTTGCCCGTCCGCCGATGGTCGCGCCAGCCACACACCGTCTCCCAAATACCTAAAGGTGAAGACTCCGAGCTAGGCGAAGGCCTCGGTGGAACCAATGCGCTGCCCGAACTACCCATGCCACGAGACAGCCAACTTCTACCAGCCATGAGTCGTGCACTTTTGCGCGCCGCGCGCGCAGGCTGCATCTACATCCGCCCGACTGGTCGAGCGGCTGAAAATGAGAAGGAGGAAGGAACGGATGGGGAGGACCAAGGTGCAACGGCTCATATGGCAGACCGCAGCTTCACGAGCCGCAAGTGGACAACCCTACCGAAGCATTTGGAGCCTGCGGAGGTGGAATTCCTGGCCAAGAGACGGCCTGGGCTGGTCTCGTTGTATGGCAATGGCGCGGAGGGTGGCGCGATGCCGGGTCCCATGCGGAAGACGAAGATCAAGCGGACTGATCCTGAGAATGGCAGCATCTCCATCTACGAGGTGTGGGTGCCAGAGGGACATCGCATTGAGGGCGAGATTACCGGGGACGTGCAGACTATCGTTGAGCAAAGTGAAGTCCCTGTGACGGCGGAGACGCCCGCTCCAGGAACGGTCGTTGAGGGTGTGGGTGTCGTCAATGCGGAAGGTGTAGTCGTTGCTGAGGCTGGCTCGGCCGCTGTCATGACTCCTCCAAAGCGGCGACCACCCCCTCCCAAGCGCAAGGGTAAAGGCATTGGCAAGGGCCGGAAGAAGAAGGTCATGTTTGCACCCGGTGAAGGAGCTGATGCTGCAACTGTACACGGAGTCGCTTCTGCTGATGGGGCCATTGCCGGCGCCAAGGAGGGAGAGGATCCCTCGCGGATGTCTGTGGACCAATCTGGTCAAGAAGAGGATGAGGATGATGGTGAAGAAGGCGATGAGAGCGACGAGGGGGACGAGTCCATGATGGATGCAAAGACCCCAGAGACACCACAGGCTCCGCCGAGTACTGAGCTTGTCGAGCAACCTACAGCCGAGACCCCCGCCGAACAATCAAAGGATGTCGAGATGGCTGATGCTCTTCCTGATACACAACCTCCCGTTTCAGAGCCGGCCGTCGCTAGCGAGGAGCCTTTCCTTCAGCCACCGACGGCATTGTTGGTGCATGCTGAGACCCCACAAACAGCCGCTGAGGTCTCTGCATCTGTAACGCTCGCTCCTCCTGCCGAAGAAACTAAGCCCTCCAGCGAGCAGCTTGGCCAGAGTGCATCATTAGAGTCACCTGCTCCCACGGAGTCCGTGACGCCCGCAATCCCATCAACAACCGAACCCACCCCCAAGGAAGAATCACAAGCCCCGGAGCCTGCCAGAGAGGAGAAACCTGCTGAGGAGACCGCCGATTTCACGCCAGTCGAGATCAAGCCAGAGCCAACGCCACAACCTGCCGAAGAGATTCTCCCAGCTCCCGTCACCGCAAGCCCTGAAAAGCGCGAAGAAACACCATCAGAACCTCCCAAGCAGCCAGAATTAGAGCAGCCTATTGGGGAAGTGCCAGTAGCACACCCCGAGCCAGTAACGGATGAATCAGCCCAACCCCCGATTGAGGAGCCAAAACCCGCAGTTGAGCCGGTTCCAGCTCCCGAGATCACGGAAGCTGAACAGGCTCCAGCTGCTCTTGATGCCGTTCCCGTGCTAGCAGAGATCAAGGAAGACATTGAAATGGGCGAGGCGCTTCCCACAGAGGAACCAACCGCAGCCCAGCCTCCTGTCGAAGAACCTTCTCCTAGGCCAGCTGCGCCGGTTGAGACCGAGCCTGAAGCTAAGCCTGAGCCTGAGCCTGAACCTGAACCCGCCACAGCTCAAGTATCCGAACCTCCCGTGCTAGACACGAATGCACCCGCGGTCCCTGAGCCAACACCCGTATCAGAGCCTCAGCCCGAGGAGCCGCTGGCACCATTGCCAACTCCGATTACCGAACCTACCCCTACAGCTGAGCCCGAAACAGTCTCTGGCACCGAGCCCGTAACGGAAGAGCCCAAGTCTGGGGCTGAGAGTGCAGCTGAGGAGAAGAAAGACGAGCCAGAGCCCGCCCCCGAGGCACCTGCATCTGAGTCTTCGTAATGTTCTTGTTGCCCCCTGTAGACCGATAATTTATCTGGTTTTCCTACCCGTGTACACTGAAGGCAGATGTCATCGTCTGCTTTTGGAATTTTTTCTTGTTTGTCGATCAGTGATGTACCTATTTGGATTCTTTTGCGGGCTGGCTGGCGTATGAGTCTGGAGTTTATCAATTACTTATGATCACATTTTGTGTTATTTTTGAGTCCTACTTTATATATCTGCCCCATTTCCAAAGATATATCGTCGGTATAGTACGGGGATTAATGCGGCCGGCAAGCAGACAATTGTGGACTTGGTATGGCCGGGAGATTCCTCACGGTCTAGCGAGCGGAGAGCCAGTCAAACTAAGAGAGAAGGCTTGTGCATGAGTAGACATCACTTCTTCTTTCCTCTTCAATCAATACTCAACCGTACCTGGTCCCCTCCACATTCCACTCTTTCCAGCTTCCTTTATATATATACCGAATTTGGGTGCATTTATATCTATGTATCTACCACGGTACAACAGTGCTGTGGTCTTGTAACCGTTCGCACCCCAAAGGCATAGCCAACTTCATCGAAGACACCTCAAGTGCACTTATCTGGTCTGGTGACGAGCCTATATTCACGAATAGATTGAGAGAAATGGTGGGTGTGCCGCCTCCACCCCCCCCCCCAGCCAGACAGACAGTAGGGGTGAAGCAAGCTAAACGGTCTCTATCCAGGGTCGGCCGGGGTTCCTATTATACTGGGGAGATAGAAATACAGGTGAAACCTTTTTACCTTGGAGGCTTGTGAATGAGACTGAAGAAGGGCTTTCTGTTGGTGTCTTTGGTCGCGGCGTTTCTTCGAATCGCTTCTACCTAGGGCTGTGACAGGTATATGAGGACGTTGCAGAAGACATATCGGCATGGTTGAAGTCTAGTTGCAAAGATGCGCATCGCGAAGGACTTAATAAAGACTGGGGTTTACCAGCCCAAAGATGTTGAATTTTTACGCCAATCTGCACCAATTAGGTAGTACCTACAGCACAAGGCCAGGTTTTGTCAACGCCTGACCGACTCAGCATGGCCTATCTGCAACCGCACACAACAGTACAATCACCCTGCTCACCTCAATCATTCCGCTGTCGAGCCCGGAGCAAAGCAAAAGGATCGTCCTTACAGACATGACTGCATACAAGGACATAGAAGCAGAAGAACATTATAAGGAAAGAAGAAAAAGAGAACACAATATCAATTCGAGAGGAAGATTGAAATCAAGAGCCACGACGCAAGCACAGCGCCATTTCGGGAGCCGAGAAACAAGATGCCAGAAGGGGAATTAGCTAATAAGAGAAAAAAGGGAAGGGAAGGGGACAGTGAAGAGGCTACATTGCCCAAGGGCAACGTGTTGCGAAACGTTATGGTGTACAAAGCATTAAGAAAAGGGCACAGATCCAACTGTATAATCAGGCAGTCGATTCCATCAAGACAGATATCCTCGACTTGGAATCTGGAGTCTGGATTCGAGACCAGAAAAGCCGCGAGATAGAGCAGCAGGCCATGGAAGCGCGGGGTACCGTAGATGATAACCGCGTTGAAGGTAAATGAAGTAACGGAGCCGAATCTTCCATATCATCATATAGCAGTCGAAGGACATGACTGAGAGACTTGCAAGACATACTCTAGGCCTTCTTCCCCGTCACAGTGCGAACAACGCTTTTCGCGGCCTTTTTTACACTGCCCGTCAAAGTCTTCTTCGTCTTAGGACCAGCGGCTGTGCTCGACTTTCTGGCTTTAGAGATGGGCATCCGAGCTTTGACCGGGCTCTTACTGAGTGCCTTCCTTCCGGCAGGCTTGCGAGGAGACTTCACCTCGGTCTTCTTACCCTTGGCAGGTGACTTCCTGGGAGAAGGGCGACTGGTACCCTTGGCACGCGCCAGGATCTTCTTCTTGGTCTCGGGGGACGGCCGCTTAAGCAGCGAAGATCCCTTCACTGACGAGGCAGCCGTAGCCTTTGTCGGTTTCGCCTTTGAACGGGGTTCCATTTGAACCGCAGCTTTGACCCTTGACGCGGCCTTGACCTTTGGTAATTTGACATTCTTGGCAGCTTTTCCCCGACTTGAGGCCGCCGAAGCCTTGGTCGGTTTTTTGGTCGCAGCTTTTCCGCGCGAGGTGGCCTTGGCCATGACCTTCTTCACTCCGGCCTTGATCGACTTGGGGGTGAGCAGCTTGCGCTTCTTCGCCTTCTGCGAGGTCGTGCTCTGCGCATCGGCTATCTTTCGCTTTTTGCCGATGACCTTCTTGGTCACAGCCTGTGCCTTCTCCTCTAGTTTGGCTCGCTGGTCTTTATCCTTGGGCCGCGGACCAAGAATGCCTCGGCAGTTGTCTGATCCGCAGCGACACTGCTGAACATTCTTGTTGGAGTATGGACTGATCGATTTGTAAGTCATAATCCCAACCGAAAATCAGAAGAGGTAGAGGTTACTCACTCAAAGTTGTAATCGTAGCTCAGTTCCTGCCCAGTCATGATGCCACGATCGCCAGCGAAGAGTGCCATGCGGGGCTTGCCAGCGACAGTCCACTTTTCCATACGACAATTAGGCTCACAAGAGTGGTTGACAAAGCGCGCAATGGATCCCCGAGTAGCGTCAATGATCATGTTTTGATCAAAGTACATCAGATAGTAGCACTGTAACAGGCGCGTCAATATCCGGCTACAATAGTGCCAGTGAAAGGACACTCACCTCATTATTCTTGTACACTGATCGCATCCTCCTCTCACACTCGAACTGTGTGATAATCTCACCCGTATACTCAACAATAATCTGGTTCGGTTCAAAGGTACGGTTACTCCGTACACCATACCCCCGATCGGCCGTCTTGATCACCTCGACACCAATATTATACTTGCCTCCAGCCTTAGTTCTGTGCTTGAGCTCGTTGAAATTTCGGTTCCCACACTCCGGACCGAGTCTGCAGGTGCCACTGTCGCACTCGTAAAACATGTAACGGTTTTGACAGTTTTCGTCGCAGCCGGTCTCCTCCTCGCACATGCAAGTAGACAGCTCCAGCTTTTTGTTTGCTTTCCATTCGCTAGCAGCATCTCCGACGAATACATCTAATATACTGGTAAGCTCCATCCTAACCGAGTTGATCATGGACAATGTGACAACTTACTTTTGTTTGTCTTTCGCCATTCATCCGGCTTTGGTTGACCTGGTGGGAGCGGCGAGAAAATGTCAAATGGTAACACGTAATCTCTGCCATTGTTGACTATGCGGGACCCAGTGAACATGGGCATGGGAAGGAGGCGTCGTTGCGTGGGACCAGTCGTGGTCTTTGCAGAGTTCTTGCTGCGACGCTGCTTAGGAGGCGAGTCGGAGGGCTCTTGCCCAGTGTATAACCCATGAGTTAACCACCGCTTGGGCCTGTATCGAGGTGGGGGAGCTGGCGCAGCGGGCTCTTCTGAAGGAGTCTTGGTTTCTTCTTCACGCAATTTGGACAGATCACTCTCAGAGACACGGCGCTTCTTCGCGGCAGGTTCGGATACTGGAGCAGATACATCTTCCTTGACAGGAACGGTTCGAGGCCGAAGGCTGGCACGTCGACCAATTTCCTTGCCCTTATCGCTTAAACCTCGCGAGCGCTTGCCCAAAACACTGTTGGCGCGGCCCAATAACTCGGACGCTTTTTCCACAATACTCAAGCGAGTTGACCGGCGCACAGAACCTCCAGAATTGCTCTTAGGCGTTCCTTTCGCCTTTGGTGTCTGTGCATCTTCGGCCAGGGCCTTTTCCACGCGCTTTCGCAAAGTTCGCTGTTGAAGCGAAGTAGCCATATCCTCAACCTTTGGTTCCTGCGAAGACTTCGAAACTGGTGTGTCGGGAGCCATTGGGTGGGAGTCGGTCGTAGTCGTGTCGTCTTCGGCGAGTGTCGTGCCGGTAAAGAGGGATGATTCCATCACGGCGATACTATGACGCGCCGAGGAGCGAGTTCGCTTTGCCTGGGCAAGACTGTCGACATATGCCTGGCTAGTTGAGGCAGCAGTCTCCTCGTTCTCGACGGGTGTAGCCTCCAGAGTCTCTGCCGCCTGCAACGATGCGCGTGCTACACGTGTTGACCTTCGGCGGGGCGCGGGTTTCTCCTCGGCTAACGCGTTTTCATTATTACTCGAAGTCTCGGAACGGCTGTTCTCTGGTGTAAGAAGTTGTTCGGGTACGTCGAGGCTCATTGTGTCGTCGGGCTGGTCGTGTGTAGGAAGGTCGGTGATCGCGGTAGTCGCGGACGCGGAGACCTGGGTGGATAGGCGCGCCATGATGGGAAAGAGTTGCCGATATCCGGCGAATCCCAGTTCTATAAGAGCAGACAACCGTCTAACCTCGAGATGGATGCCGATGGCGCGGAGTTATGGGAGGGTCTTCGGTGGTATCAGGGGTGGTGAAGGTAGGAGGATCAGCAGCCGCGCGCTTCTTATCAATTTAGGGCGATGCGGATGTCTGACGCGTGCAACATCAGCAGTCAAATGTGGTTTCAACCAGCACGAGTAAATATTGAGAATGTTGTCAATTGAGATCCCAAGGTATAATATGAAAGGGGAGAAAGAAGCGGCATATACCACGACAGTCTGAAGTGCCTCGATGTGGAATGTCAAAACTCCCTCATAACTTTCCATCCCCGCAGGACGAATTCTACGCGTGATTTTTTGTGAGTTATGCAGAATTAAATTCTATCCAACTGGGTCACTTTGACTCTGGTGACCCATTCTATAATTCCGTAAACATGTAGAAAGTATGGAACATAAGAGACAAGAAAGGGAAAAAAAATCATAGATATGAGTATGGTTGTTTCAGTGATAATTCAACAGTGTAAGGGCTCCGAGGATAAGCAGAAGATTATCGTGAGCAAAAGACCCGAGCAAAGAGAAGCAAGGATGATGTTGAGAGTAACGGATGGGCGAGAGAGCAAAATTATGATCAGCCTGTGTGAAACGGTCACAATGACTCGAAGAGGTGGATGAAGTAGGAAATTCCAGAGAATGTCAAGGGCAGCAGGGTAGTACAATCCGCCGAATAAGATCAACGTAAAAGAAAACATAACACGAAGGGTATGGAAGGTAGGTTGTAAATAGTGAGCAATTAGAAAGCCGTAGATAGAGAATATTCCCGAGATTAGTAGGAAGGTGGACTTAGATGCCCTGAAATGAATGATCATGTCGTCGTTTTCACGGGTCGTTAGCACGGAAATTGAGGCAAAAATGCAAGAAACACTTTTTTTCTCCGTCGAGTGAGAGATTGGTGGTGTATGCATTTACTAGTCCTGCCGATGAGGGCCAACATTTTGCATCTCAATTCCCGTCTGAGACTCAACGTCGCGAGGAAGGTACTTGCGCTTTTGCATGGCATAACGCTGGTCCCCTTCGTGATAGGGGCGCTTGAATTGCATGTAGGTGGGTGGGCGAGGTCGACCCAGAACGGCAATCCAGTTGGTCAGAGCATTGCCTTGAGTAAACGGCCGATGACGATCCTGCTTTTGAAACTTGTGGGAATTGAGATACTCTCTCGTAGTCTCCCCACGGCCAACCAAGAACAGGTGGTATGCCCACAACGAGGTCGGGTAAGGCACCGCAATGATGCCGTAGATAACCATTGCCCATGGTACGCGCCACTTGGAGATAGCCGACCCAAAAGAAATTCCTTCACGGTTCATATAGAGCAGAATGTGTGCAAGACTGGCTCCGATCAAAAAGAGAGAGAGAATCGTACACGAGCTCACAAAGGCAAAGAAGTAGCGGTAGTTGCGCCGGCCAACGCAATTATTCAGCCAGACACAGTGGTGGTCGAGTGTCTCCACACAGTTGTCACAGACACGACAGTGGTAGCAGCGAGGAGGACGCCAGATAGCACAGGTTTTGCAGTATTTGACAGGTACGTCCATGGCAGCGACATCAGACGTGGCCAGTTTGACCATGACCCAGTCGTTTGTGGGAGGGCCAACGGCCAATGGATCGTCAGATCTATCCATCGGAGGCATCGGGTGAACATTCCGCGGCATAATTCCCGGATCGACCACGGAGGCATGCACAAATGAGGAGAAGCAGATATAAAAGACATATGCGAACAAGATGGGGATGGCTGGAGAGACATTGTTCCACAGCCAGGGAGCTGAGAATGCAAAGAACAAGGCCGACGGAATAACCACCAAGAAACCCGTTGCGATGTTGATAGGCTTATCCCTTGAGTTGAGGAATCGGCCACCAAAACAGAAGAGTGTATTGCCGACGAAGTACTCCCAATTCTTGCCTAGATTAGCCCGTGGCAACTCCTTCTTGACATCCATTGGCCCCGGAGATGAGCCGGCAGAAGAAAGTCGCTCATGGCCTCGGGCATCATGATTGTTATGATGGTTGTTATGTGCGGAGGCCTTGTTCTGCAATGACAGGAAAGACAAGGGTGACTTCGGAGGCACCTCTTGAGCATGATGTCCAGTATAATTCGCGCCGAGGTTCAAGTGGCCAGGGCGAGGCTTGTCCATTTGATCCCGATCACGAAGGAGCCTGACACTTTCACCCAAGCTTCGAATCGTAGTGTTACCAGTGGGGCTAGCATTGGAGGTGTTTCGGTCGGGAATGATGGGGTCTGTGAACTCTGTGCCCCGTGATGGTGGAACTTCCATATCCACCTGGGGGAGTGAACCTTGTTGAAGCGTGCTGTTTGAAATCAAGCTCCGCCGATTTTGACTCGTTTGATCGTTCCAATCATCGGTTGAAGATACCGTCCCCTTGGTCATTGGCCGTCCTCCTCGGTGTGCCTGCAGTCGCTGCGAGCTCATCGGCCGAAAGAACGCTTGAGCCGTTAGGGACGGAATGTGCGTTCTACTCAACCGGCTCCCCGAGCTACCAGGTCTCTGACTGGATGCAGCTATCGAGCTACGGGGCGGAGGCGGTGCACGTCTAGAGACGGAGGGACGAGGTTGGACCGAAGGTGGTGGCGATGCATAGGACGGCGAGGGCTCTCCATCTTCCGAGGCCATATCCGTCACTCGGGATGAAATCCCGCCAACGGATGGAGCTCGAGGGATTCCCAGCACATGCTGATGTGTGGAGGATCGGTTCGCATCGTAGCTATCGGGGCGGTCTGGAGAGTTCGCCATGGTTTGAAAGAACGAAGGTGTTTGGCTATGCTAGGAGACGGTGCGCGCTAGCATGTTTCTTCCCAGCAAGTTGTTCTAGATAAGGATAGCAGTGTAGCGAATCGTCGAGCTTAGTCGTAAGCTTCACGATAACTCGGCGGCGGATTCAAGGAGCGGGAGAGCGAGGGTAAAAGGAGCGACGAGCGAGTGAGTCACTGTTGTGATGAGAGACTGGACGATTGATTCAAGGCCCTAGAGCAATAATTAGCAAGGAGCTCCAAGCTACTTCATTGGGGAACAGTCAATTCCACGCGTCGCGACCTCAAAATCTGGGGTTCCAGATCCAGCCCCTGATCGGGAAATCGCCATATGGACCGCAAACCCACCTGTAGCATTGACGGAGGTCCTAAGGTGAATTCCGAAAATCCAAAACAAGTCGAGGGAGGCCAATTACATTACAGCCCACAGAAACAACCGTAGCAGACGTCTGCCCGAGTGAGAAGCAACACGGGAGCAGCAAACCAGAAGTCAGAACCACAAAAACGAAGGCCCGTTGCGCATCCGCAAATTGCTAGAAACGGCGGATGAGTCAGCCATTGAGGCGGGTAGGTCACATGACCTGGCAACATCATTCGATGCTCACGATTCTCTCCCACCAACCCCGTCTCCAGTTCTCCGCGAATTCCAACTCCACGCACGACCAGCTGCAAGCATGTCTTCGATCGCTGCCATGGCTTCCCGCCGGGCTCTGGCTCGCCAGCCCATCTTCCGCGCTCCCCCGCGCCGCTTCATGTCCTCCAAGGTTGAGGAGGCCAGCCTCGACAAGGCCCCCAAGAAGGACCCTGAGCTCTACGTACGGCCTTCGAACTGCCATTGATTTCTATTCGACCTTTCAATCTAATAATTATGTGTTCAGGTTCTGCTCGGTGTCATGTCCGGTGCTTTCCTGCTCGCTGGCTGGTGAATAAACCCCCTCCCACAACTATTACCCGACAGCCGCGCTCCATGTGACACTACACCCACTCCCTGCGAAAGCTTTCCACCGAGAAAGGAGATGACGCGTTCATTGGAGCTCAAGCTTGTCGACTATGAAGATTCGATTGGCTAATTGGTGGTGTTTTGCGATATCAGGTACTTCGGCAGCAAGCCCACCTCCGTCAACTCCGAGAGCAACGTCCGCATCGGCGAGTCCGCCATGCCCTGGCACGCCGAGGCTGGCGATGGCAAGGTCTACAAGTACCAGTACCACCCCCACGGCGACAAGAACCAGCCCCTCCGCGCTGCCCCCAGCGCCATGAACACCGTCATTGTTCCCAACGTCACCCTCCCCGAGGTATGCCGCTCCAATTCCCTCGTCGGCCAAGTCGCGATTCCTATACTTCTCACGTCTACAATTTCTGGACGCTTTCGCTTCTAATCTCGGCAGTTCTGCCCAAACATGTCTTTTCCAAGATGCTGACCATTTCGTGCTTGCTTATAGGACCTCCACGAGAAGTTCAACAAGTACGGCAAGGAGGAGTGGGACTACTAAACGGCTTTTTCGAAGCCTTTTAAAAGATGGTGCGAGAGCGAATGGTCACTTAGACGTAAGTGACTGGCTGCTGTATACTACAGTTATGGTGACGAAGGGGGAGGGTTGTTGGTGGGCTTGCCATTGCGATTATCGAAGATTTGTGCATAGTATCCGTTGTTCAGATAAAGAGTCAATTGGAAACCGGTCTCTTCATTTCATTTGTCATCTGTGATCCCATTTCTCCTGTCCAGTCTTCGTGTCTCTACGCTGCATGTTCTGATAGTGGCCTGACCAGGAGGGTCGAGCTTTTCGGGAACTCTCGGGAGGATCCACTTTGCCCCGAAGCTACAATGCTGGGAAGGCTATTGGACCATTGCGATAATAGAAACGCTCATATCACAATTGATGTTGTGCAGCACTTTAAAAGCAACTAATCACGACGATGAGATAAAGGAATAGCTATAAGGTTTCATGATACATAGTGTGAAGTTTTTCCAGTCCCCTCTTATATTTTAGCATCCCCGACCTTGAAGCAAATTGCTTATTTAGTAGCTTCAAAACCCTCACTGGCAGGTTTGGCTTCGGGGGACTCCGAGCTCTCCACGGAGCGGACGTTGCCTTCTGCAACTGAGGCAGGGGTCTCGGGTGGAACCGAGTCCTCGGGCTTTCCGGAGCCGGTCTCAGGGTTCTGTCCCTCGACATCCGGATGTGGGGGAGCAAGCTGACCATCCACGATGGGGATCTCTTGAGCGTGCTCAAGCTTGGAGCGGGACTCATATCGGGTCTCAAATTTGACTTTGCCCTCCGCGCGAAGCGAAGCGACTACATCCTCGGGGAGAACGTTGCCATGCTGGTCGCGATACTCAACACGGGCCACGGAACCGGAGAGCTTGGGCTGGGTTACGGCAGCCTGATCTTCCGGCTGTTGTTGCTGGGAAATCTCGGCGGCAGGTGCTTGTTCTTGCTGCTGGTGGTCCCCAAGATTGTGGATCTGGGCTTGCTCAGTCGGAACGATTTTCATGAAGTTGTCCACATCAGTGACATATTGGCTCAGCTGTTGGTGAAAGTTCGTGTCAGCCAGGTTGATCGTCGTTTCAGTTCTAATATCCTCGGCGTGGAGGCTTCCACTCCGGTACACTTACGTCGGTGTGAAAGGTGTTGCAGTCGAAATCCCAGCCATCCAGAAGCTTGACCTTCTGGCAGGCACTCTGGGTCCAGGGGTTGCCGTAAATCAAAGGAGTGTAAAGGGTGAAAACTGCAATGCTGAGGATCAGGAATCCGGCCATCAGGACCTTGCCAATGGCGGGCCTCGATGCCAGTCCAAGGCTCTTGATACGGTTGGTGATGAAGTCAAATTCTTGGCAGAGAACCATAATGGCGAAGTAGAGAGCGGGCAGGTAGTGGTGCAGGAAGAGCTGGCGGGCCATGAGGAAAAAGGGGAAGTAGTGGAAGAACCATCCAAGAACGCTGGTGCCGACCTCGTAGTCGAATCGCTTGAACGAGATGTGACGATAGTCATTGCAGCTGCGCTGCCAGCGGATAACCGCGATAGCCTTGAAAAGGAAGTAGATGCCAATAGCAGCGGTGGAAGACCACCAAATAAGTGGGTTACCCAGAAGGTAGATCTGGCGGTTGTCCTTACCCCAGAAGTTGATACCACGGAGAAGAGTGGGCCACGAAGGAGGGCGAGAGTCCCAGGCATGCGACTCCACCAAGCCGGCGTTGGTAGTCCACATGACCTTCTGCAGCTCCCAGAACTTGCCCAAGAAGCCGGGGTTGCGGTAGTTGACCTTCTCAGCATCCGCGGGCATCATGGGGTGAGTGTTAGACTCGATATACCAAATGCTGTTTGGTAGAGTACCACCACGAGCGCAGGTGACCTCTTGCTGCTCGAAGCCCCACTCGGGAAGCTTGACCTTGTGGGAGAAAAGAACACATCCAGTCATGACGTGCACCAGCTTGAACTTGGTCTGAATGGTGCGCACTCGCTTCTTGGCTTCGGCACCCTCGGAGAGAGATTTCACAATCTCAATCTTGAATAGGTCATTGGCATCACCGGGGAATCCTTCATATCCGTAGGCAGAGACCTCGAACTGCCAGTCTGCCTCAGTCACGGGTGGGCGTTCGTCGTGGGAGTGGACGCGTCGGTGGGTAAGCTCATGGTAGAGGCGCACAACGGCTCCATCCTCGATGAAGCTCACGGACGAGTTGTCCCAGGCAAAGGGGCCTTCGATTTCACCATAGGGGCCTAGGGGCTGAGTCTGGTTCTCCATGATGAAAACATTGTTCTCGTCCTTGTGCGGATAAAGAGTAATCTGCTGCTGCTTGCTACCGGTGGGGTACATGTGATTGTGCGAGTGCAAGTAGCCACCCTGGGTGTTGTGGTGACGAATGCTGACACGGGAGCCGAAAGAAACATCCGCTGGCACATCTTGCATGGACTTGGAGTTCAAGGTAGCCTGGAACTCGGACGACATGAAACCATCACCTTCACCGGGGTTGACAAGGCAGAGGAAGTGGATACCAAACATGGCCATATAGAAACCAAGGGGAATAACGATCAGACAGAAGACACGGGAGAAGAAGTGCTTGAACCACAATCGCTAATCCATCAATGTTAGCACCCCAATCAAAATCAACATATCCTTAGCGTTAAGAACATACCGGAGTCACAGTCTTAGAGTCACCGAGCACGACCCAAAGCTGGAGGACCGTGAGGGACCCAACCCAGGCCATGGTGAAGAGACCAACCCACTTGACGCTGAGAGTAGCTCCAAGGGAAACACCCGTAGCGGCTAGCCAGAACCACCATGCGCCCTTGAAAGCAGCGGCGGGTCCCAATTCCTGCTGGTTTGTGAAGCAGCTGAAGGTCAACGCAGTCAGAGCAGTGAAGAATATGAGGGGCGAGTCCAACAGGATCAGGCGAGATTGGGTGGTCAGCGCGTTATCTACACTTTTAGTTAGCTGTGTCTGAAGGGTGGATATTGCATCACTTCAAGAACCCACCAAAGATCACAAGCCCAGCACCCATGACAGCGGTCGAAGTTCGGCAGCCAGTCGCCTTAAGGGTCAGGAACATCAAGGAGACCGTGAGAACGCCGAGAATAGCGGGCAGCATTCGCATTGCCACGTACGGCACGCCAGGCTCGATGTAGTCCTTGCCGATATCCTTGAAGTCAAAGTTTCCGTCAAAGCCGGCCAGCCAGCCAGCCAGCGTGATCAACAGCTTGGCGAGAGGGGGGTGGACATCCATGAAAAACTTTCCCTTGATGTACTTGCTTGCGAAGCCACCGAAACTGGAAACACAGAGCGTTAGCCTCCATTTTCGGCCAATGAAATTGATTTGGCGACGGAACATACTGTACTTCATCGAACACAACACTGCTGGGCTGGTAAATGCGGAACAAGCGGACAGCGGCCGCAATCAATGTCACCAGCACGAGCAGTTTGTAGTCGGAGGCGGGGAGGTTGAGAATGTCATTGTCTCGCACACCGTCCGAGGCGTAGCTAGCAATCTTTGCAGGCTTCGCACCCTTAGGGTTCGGTGAGCGACTGCGAGAGCGCCGACCACGGCTCTGCGGCCGTACGGCCAATGTATCCTTCGATTTCTGGCCCATTATGGTTGCAGGTTTTATCCGCGGAGACGTGACGGACGAGGGTCAAGGGGGATGGGCGGAACAGGTGAGAATCGAACGATGGAATAAGGTCAAAAAAGTGAATGAAGCTATAAGACTAGTGGGGTCGTGAGTGAGTCGCCAAATTAGAGGAATCGAATCCAGAGGGCGCAATAGCTATTGAAAGCTGCTATGACGAAGCTCTCAACAGCGCGCAGCTCTTCACCACAACAGCAATGGTGGGATCGAGATTAATGATTGTAGACAGTGAAGAGAAACGTCCCCATCACAGGGCAAGAAAAAAGAAAAAGAAAAAGAGGCCGAAGAGAGTGTCGAGAAGAATGGACGGAAGCGTGCAGAGGTCCGTCTTGAGGCCAGATCGACGAGCGGAGCGGGCAAAGAGAGACAAACCACAACGTGAGAGAGCGCTAAACGGCCCCTTAGATTTCAGCCCCAAGACCCTCGGCTGATATCGGCCCATTGGGGGCCATCATACAGGCCCTTTGATGTTTTATAAATTACTCCAGTACACTTAAAGGACTACGCGGAGGGTATTACAGTGTGTTCAAGCCATCATATTGAAAACTAATGCTGCATCCCCACGCCTCAATGTATAGAACTGTCCATATATGAAAGCGGAGCAGGCAAGAAGTGTGCCCAAACTCGCCGCACGCGGGAAAGTTGCACCGCCACATCACGGGCCCAGAACTGTGGCTGATAAGTCACAGCTAGTGTGGCGGATGCAGTGGCGTAGTCAGCACTTCATTGAGCCCGGAGGTCGGGAAAAGGTACTCTATCTCTGTCTCGCTCCAGTCGCAACTTCATCCACCAGCCATGGAGTCGTCGAATGGAAACACTCCCCTCCCGGAGGACATGACCAAGTGTCCGGAGGGTCTTGTCCTTCCTCCTAAAGATATTCGAGGTTCGTCCGGTACCTTTGGCACGCGAGAGAATGCTGCTAACCATGTTTTCCAGCGATCGTCGAAAAGACCGCGGGCTATGTCGCGCGTAATGGGTCCGTCTTTGAAGGTGAAGAGACCTACGATCATCCCTCAGATTAATCGCAGGCTAACTCTGAAATTTTCCTACCCAGATCGTGTCCGTGAAAAGGAAAAGAATAACCCTAAATTCTCCTTCCTGAACGCCGGCGACGCCTACGAGCCTTTCTATCAGTGGCGCCTCACCGAGATCAAGGAGGGTCGTGGAACCGCAGTCTCAGCAGGACGGCCTGGCGAAGCTGTTGCTGCCGCTGAGCCCGAGAAGCCCAGGGGACCCCCAGAACCCCCCGCGTTTCATTTCTCTGCGCGCATGCCTATCATCAATGCGCAGGATCTAGAAGTGGTCAAGCTTACAGCGCTTTACGTCGCCAAACGAGGAAAGTCCTTCATGACCGCATTGTCACAGCGTGAGGCTCGGAATTTTCAATTCGACTTCCTCCGGCCCCAACACAGTCTCTACCAATTCTTCACTCGCCTAGTTGATCAGTACACCATCTTGCTGCGACCCGAAGGCATTGACGACGCCACCACCCAGCAGAAGCGCATCGCCGAGCTTGAACACAACGTCAAGAACAAATATCATATCCTGGAGCGCGCAAACCAACGGGCGGAGTGGGTGAAGTTCCAAGAGCAGCAGAAGCAACAAAAGGAGGAACAAGAAGAACAAGAACGTATCGAGTATGCCCAGATCGATTGGCACGATTTTGTGGTGGTCGAGACGGTCTTGTTCACGGAAAGTGACGACCAAGCAGAGCTCCCACCGCCAACTTCTCTCACAGACTTGCAATCCGCCTCCTTGGAGCAAAAAGCAGCCATGTCCCTCAACCCGCTGCGCATCGAAGAGGCCATGCCCACCGACCTCGACAACCCAACCTACTATAACGCCTACCCAGCCCAGCCCGAACCTTCTTATCCCGTCCCACAGCCCTCCGTCTCCCCCTACCAGGCCCAAGCAGCCGCCCCATACCCGCCCCCCGCCATGGAGTATGGCGGGCAGTACCCCCCGCAACCAGAGGTACCGCAAGCCCGCACAGAGTCGCCAGTACCTGTACCGGGTCAACCCCCAATGCGCATTCGCTCAGACTACGTGCCCCGAGCCCAGGCCCGTCGCCAACAAGCCGCGGGTGCCACCGCACTCTGTCCGAACTGCCACCAGCAAATCCCCGTCGCCGAATTGGAGCATCACATGCGTGTGGAGCTCCTCGACCCGCGGTGGAAGGAACAACGCGCCAAGGCCGAATCTCGCAGTGCCACGACCAACCTGTCTACTGTCGACGTCGTCAACAACCTCAAGCGGCTTGCTAGCCAGCGTAGCGATGTTTTTGACGCCTCGCTTGCGCCCGATCCCGAGGAGGAAGCGCGCCGCAAGCGCATGGCTATGGGCGCTGCTCCAGATGGTACCCTTCCCCCTGGAGTGTCAGCGCCGCCAGGCCCGGCTGTTGGCCCTGGGGGTGTGCCCCGACCTCAGAATACGAATATTGAGGACCAGATTCGGCATTTCCACCAACTTGCCAAGCAATGATCTGATATTTAGATTGGGCAATTTGACGACCACTGAAATTTAGCTCGTCAGCTAGAACGTGGTCCTTGGCACGGTGTTTTTAATGCCTTTTTCTCTTCACGTATTGGTTTGCATCTGGAGTCTCGGGGTGTACTCTTTCTTATACGTCTTTGCGACTATTCGGGGTGGAGAATGGATATGCTCCTTTGTACCATAGCTTTACCATTTCTAACGCTACTATCAGAATTTTGTCTCTGATGAGCGTAATTATCAGGTCTTGACATTGGGTCCAACTTGCTCTTCAGATCGATCCGCCTTCGAACTCTGACTAGTAGTTCAAAAAGACCGGCTTTAAACAGGAACTATGGAGTAGTCGGTTACAATTGATACCAAGTTGATTCCGCTAGCTACCTACGGACAATACCATAGTCATAGAACTGGGAAGTACAAGCCCAGTCAAGTGTAACGTAAACGCGTGAAGGTGGGATGCTTGAACTCGATAACAGACTACCCGGCCAACACAGTTAGTGGCAAAGCGGCGCTATAATATCTCAGACAGCCGGCGCAGATCACAATCCGGCTGAAGTTTGTAATTCCATGGTGGCTGGGTATCTATGAACATCGTGATATACAAATTCTTGTAGAGCAGGCTGGTCTGCCTCGGGCAAACTGCAGTGGATGGCCACTAATCAATTCGCACCACGAGACATGAACCATAAGCCTGTATCTATTTGGCCTCCCTGGCCTTGCGAGTCTCCTCCTTCTTCCGCCGCCTATCCTTCTTCTGCTGTCTGCGCTCCGCCTTGGTAGCCTTGCGACTCGACGTCTTGCCACTCTCACTCCGGTGCATAGTCTTGTCTTCCTTTGACTTCTTATTCTTCTTCTTTTCGTCGTTGTCGAATTGGATGAACTCCTCGCCTGTTTTGAACTCCTCGGCCGCGTCATCTGCCTCCATTTCTTCGTCGGAAGAGTGGGCCTCGGCACTGGACTGGGCAGTAGATGGCCCAGCGCTGGAGACAGCCTCAGTTTGAGCTGGTGAGTCCTGTACAGGCATAGAAGCAGCCTTCTTAGCGAGCATGGCGGCTTTAATCTGAGCGCGTGCCCGCTCTCTGGCTTCCCGTTCTGCTCGCTCCAGATCGATCTTATCGTTGCCAGCCTGTTCACGTTCATTAAAATGCTGTTGTTTTCATATGTAGATCGTATCACGATATTGCTCACCAGGCCATGCTTAATGAAGCGCCCCGCAGCTGCCTTATCGAGGACCATAGGGCGCTGCTCAGGTTCAGTTTCCAACGCCTTGATCTTGTCGAAATATTGCTTGACGCGGGTGATTTCCCGAAAAACCGGGTGCTGCTTTGCTTGCACGCCACGGAGTCGTAGATAAGCTGCGAAAACAATTAGTAGATCTCTTTGATGACGGTTGCATCAACCCAACTTACAGAATATTAATGCTTCGAGGGCGTAGGTTATCAGCACGTGAAGTTTGGCCTTGTCCATAATGGGCATATTCTTCGACATTTTGTTCAAAGAGCCAGCCAACAGCGGCTCCAGGACATCCTGCAAGTCATCTACATTGTCATCCAGCTGCTCCAGCAGCGGTAGCAAATTTGCGGCATCCATGGTGTTGTAGATGTTGGTGTCGACGAAAAGTGCAGCAGGAAAAATTAAGACCGGTGCAAATGAGGCGGTGGGTCGGGCGGTGGAGATCAGCGGGTCCGATCATTCGCGCATGCCGCTACTGCATTCAATATTTCCTCGGCGCGCAACGAACTGAACTATCTGGTCAACGTGAGGAGCTCGAGGCTCGATTCGACGATAGGGGAGACAAAATGCCAATTTGAAAACACTGCGATCAATTAGATACCTGACGAACCGGGTTTTCTTTCGAGCAGAACTTCCTTCCATCACCGTTCGATACGTCGCTCGGGGAGACATCTTCCCCGAAACACCTTCAAAGTGGTTCTACAAATATTGGGGCGCCGCCCGCTATGGCGAGGCGGACTGATCAATTTTTGCATTCAAGGACGAGTACAATTATGTGGAGGACCTACAACAAGATATATGTCGACATGGGTGCAAGATGTTGAAGATATCTCTCGCGAGACCAAAACGCCCGGTCTCACGGGGCGAGTGCACATCATCGGTCTCGGAAATGCAGGAACATTCATTGCCCACTCGCTTGCGTCACGACAGTCACCACCTCCAATTACCCTCCTTATGCACCAAGCCTCATTCTACCATGCGTTTCGGCGGAAGAAGCGGAGCTTGGCTGTTAACTACAACGGCCTCGACGATAACAGAACGGGCTTCGATGTCGAAGTTTTGCATGATAAAGTGTGGCACAGGATACCTTCAAAGGAGGAGCAACTCGAAGCCGACGAGAATTCTGATATTCTCGAGGGTGAAGAGGCTGTGCCTGAGGAGGAAGGTCATATCGAATGTTTGATCGTCTGTTGCAAGTCATATATGACCGAGAAAGTTATCAGAGGGGTCCGCCACCGACTGAGCCCCGATTCAACTATACTTTTCATTCAGAATGGACTGGGCATTATCGAGAAGCTCAACAAAGAGATATTCCCGGATGAGAAGAGTCGGCCGCACTATATGCAAGGCGTGCTCAGCCACGGTCTGAAGAAACAAGACTCTTACAGGGTTGGCCACGTGAACGTTGGGTCCTTAGTCCTCAGCCCAGTGGTCACTGGTCAAACCCCGCTTATCGAAGCCGAGAAGGACACACACTGGGCTCCTACAACAAAGTACCTCCTCCGCCTTTTGACCCTCACGCCTTCGCTTGTCGCCACTGCCGACACGCCCGCTGGCCTTTTGCAATACCAGCTGGAAAGACTGGCCGTTGGTTGCGTTCTCAGCTCTCTCGGTGCGATTCACGATTGCAAGAATCGCGAACTTCTGTACAACTTTCCAGTCTCTCGCACCATGCGACTGCTTCTCTTGGAGATCTCTAGTGTGATCTGCGCTCTTCCCGAGTTGCGTGGCATCCCAGGAATTGAGGATCGGTTTTCGCCAGAGCGTCTGCGCAGACTGATCCTCAACGTTGCCTCGAACCGCCCCGAAGACACTAGCTCTATCCGCAACGATTTACATTACCAGCGAAACACGGAAATTGATTTCTTGAACGGATGGATTGTAAAGCGTGGCGAGGAGCTAGGCATGAAATGCGTGCTGAACTACATGGTTCAGCAGCTGGTGCTGAGCAGGATGTATATCATCAATCACAGGGAGGCCAGCGCAGTCCCGATCGACCTTGACAATGTCATTCTCTCTGGTGACAAGGGAAAATATGCTTAAGGCATACGGGGTACTTCGATCCTTGTGCTCTAGCAGCATCGTTTCTATTCTTCGTGAACATATTCCCTTTTCTCACAGCTGGAGGGTAACCAAGCCTCCTCATTACAGGTCAATGGCCTTTAGCGCGCTTTCGCAGATCTCCTTGATCTGGCCCCATCGCCGCAACAGCGTCTCCGCCTTTTGGCGATGAGCTTGCACCACAGCATCTGATTGCATCGTCGACCGCAACGACTCCATAGTTGCATCCGCCTCGGCAGCATATGTTTGAATCCATCCTTTGATGATGGTTTCCGACTTCTTCTCATCTACCCCCTCGGTCGAGCCTTCGAGAACGTGGTTCCTCCAATCCTCTTCGTTCATGTACACTAGAGCTGCCGCGACTTCGGTGCGGTAGCAGACCCCTTGGGAAATCAGTTGGTAGTTACTGGCAAAATAATTAGCGGGAACTTGAATATACCAAACATTGGATATAACAAACTGGAAAGATTCGAAGAATATCTGATCACTTACCCGTAGTATTGATTCAGCCACAGCTCCTCTTGCTTGTCGGCGGTGTTGAGATCACGGAAGATAATATCGTCAAGGTAAAGGCAGTCAGAGTCATTTTTCTCCAAGAAGAACCCGTCTGGAGATGCGCATTGCCGTTAGCTTAATCTAACCAAAACATGTATTGGTGCCTCACATTCTGCCAACAGGAAGTCATTCGGGTGTCCACCATAGCTCATGTACACCTCATCGCCCTCTTCATAGTCTTCTGTTGCTCGCAGGGTGTATCCATCTGGATCGAATTTGACATCACACTGATTTCATAGGTCAACGGCACCTCCTTGTGATGAAACCTTCCAAAAAAAAGACGGTGGGGGAAATGACATACCTCAACATCCGAATGATTGAAGTAATCCGCAAAGGGCAACATGGCCATAGCATCATTCCTGTCTTCAGGCGGTTCCTGACCCTCACCAACCCAATAGAAACTTCTTGTATTAAGGATAAGCCAATGATACGAGAAAGACCGCCAATCAGTATCAGGCAGTGCAGTGGTAACATCTGTCCACGCCTTTCCTAGGCGAACTTCCTGGCCCAGAAGAAGATTCCGGTGCTCGCTCTCATACTGCTTGAAGGGGTTCCCCTTGTCAACCGAGTTCCACCGCCCAGAGATACAAGGAGTCAGGAAGTTAGATTGGCTTGTAGAACCGTTGTCTTGGCTCTCTGCCTCACTGTCAGGCCAAGGAAGACCACCAAGGACTCGGGGCCACAGAAGTGGCAGGCTGTCTTCAAAATCTTGACGTGTCGGCCAAGCTTTACGCCATAGTTCGTAGTCTGCCAGCTCTTCCTCACTTCCATGGGTAAAGTAGGCCGCCAGGATAGTCTGCACCGCAGAGCCTTCGGGGAACTGGTCCTTGAATGAGGAAGGGATTTTTTCCATTGTCAGGATCACGCTGGTGGGGACTTGAACAACGGCTTCTCCTTTCTTTGGTTAGAAAGTTTCATCAGCTTTGATATTCATCGGATGTCTTTGTTGGCGAGGATGAGGTTCCAACCTTGATTTTTCGAGTGGCTATCATTCCCAGTCCTCGACCTGGGAAACGGGCTGGAGCGACGCCAAAGGCCTCAACTCCGCGTTCCATGGCCCATGCTGTAAAGGCATCCTGGTCCTCGCCGGGCCACCACTCTGGTCGTGACATCTTGATAGGGTAATTGCTTTTTATCAAGGGACGAGGTAAACCTTGTCCAGGTTAGCAGATGTAGCAAGGGCGGGGCTTGGTGAATACGAACAGTGGGCAATTTTAAATTGATTGAGTATGCTATGATGATTTGAGCGTGATGTTATTGGAAAAAACTGGTCATAATGCAGGAATGGAGTTAATACCGAGTCCTTCACTTCTTCACGGTAATAATAGGTTTTGCCGATCAACAAGTGAGGGCTGGCCGATGTGGAGCACCTATCTGTTATCGATAAGAAATCTTTATCGCCGATTACGGCAGCCCAGAGCGTCCATTGCCGCCCTCTTCCCGGATATCAGACCACTCCATTGCTCTACAGTAGCAGGATCCTCGCTGGTATATCGGGTCCAAGAACATATCATGTCGGTTCTGGGGAGGCGCGGAGCTTGCGAGCTTCGAGCTTTGGCTACTTGCAGCTCGCCATATATCGCGAGCTCTTTTCGGCCCTTCTCCATTCTCAATCGGCCACAGCCAAGTTATCCCGGCCATGTCCCATTGACTACTATCGAGCGTGGTGCTCTGGCTGTTGGTTCAGCAATTGGGTCTTTGATTAACCCACGAAGAGCAGGTATGCTCACACCCTCCCAGCTGAGGACTAGAAGATCCATGGTCATATTCGTGCCATGGGCAGCTCCCGACTCTCCTAGATCTACAAATCATCGAATTAAACTAATCTCCCCACTCCAGACCTAATTGCAGCTCTCGGCGAGGCCACCGCAACTCCTTACTTTATTTACCGTCTCCGAGATGCAATGCTCTCCGATCCAACAGGTCGACGTATTCTCCGCGATCGACCCCGCATCACCTCCGAAACTCTCCAAATGTCCTATCTCCGCACACTCCCCGAGAACTCCGTCGGCCGCACATACGCTACTTGGCTCGACCGAGAGGGCGTGTCCCCAGATACTCGCGACAATGTCCAGTATATCGATGACGAAGAATGCGCCTACGTTATGCAGCGGTACCGTGAGTGCCACGACTTTTACCACGCAGTGACGGGGCTGCCGATCTTCGTGGAGGGCGAGCTTGCGCTGAAGGCGCTGGAGTTCTTGAATACACTTCTGCCCATGACCGGTCTGAGTCTGTTCGCGTTTATTCGAATGAAGCCTGCTGAGAAGGAGCGCTTTTTGACGTTACATTTGCCGTGGGCGGTGCGCAGCGGACTGGATAGCAAGGAGTTGATCAATGTTTATTGGGAAGAGGTGTTGGAGAAAGACGTGGACGAGCTCCGGGCTGAACTCCATATCGAGCGACCGCCGGATTTGAGGGAGATTCGGAAAATGATTCGGCAACAGCAGAAGCGGGAAAAGGAGAGACAGCAGCAGATGTCGAGCTAAGGGACTGTGCTTGCGTCACGTTGCAAGGTTCTTCTGCCCTAAGATGAATGTGTATGATTATAGTTTTGTAGAGAATATCCCCCAATACCAAATGAAACGACAGTATCACCTAGAAAGAGAATTTCAACCCGTCCGGGACGAGAAAACAGACCGCAAACGCCGGAGATATATTTTGAGCAGGACCCGGTCAAGGTAATCCACAATGGGATAAGAAAAAAATAGGGAATAATCCAAACACTCAAACACAGGAAAATGGACTAAGGCTAAGCGCGAATCACGACTATCACTCGGCTCTTCTACAGATCGAGCAAATCATCATCGTCATCCCAGCCGCCTTTACGCCGGCTAATCACAATCTTGTGTTCCTCCTCTTCCTTGCGCTGGTTTTCTGCCACGGCGTTCAGGAGCTCCTTCAGCTGTTCCTCGGTCACCTTTTGACGGATCTGGCCGGTCTGGGCTAGCATCATAAGTCGATTCTCGATGTCGACGGCACGAGACTCCTTAACGAGGCGGATGCGGCCGAGACGATCGGCAGCGGCGGGGTCGAGAATTTGGCTCATGATGGCGGCACGGCGGTCAGCTGTGATAGCAATGGGTGTTAGTTTGTCATGTGAATCATACGAGTTGTATTATATGCGGATGTAAAACCAAGCAAAGTGAGGAGGGACTCGAGGAGCTTGCGCCGCTCGAGTCTTGCGGGGAGACTGGAGGTTGTGGTCACCTACATTCGGCTTGCCTGGACGGTTACCAATCTATTAGTCTCTTTGTAGTCTGCAAAAACCGCAGGCCCGGCAACATACCTCCTCTGATCTTCCTGGCCACCTTCTTGGCTAGGCCCTCCGCGCTGGCCACCCTGCTGCTGCTGCTGCTGGAGCTGTGCAAGGCGAGCTCGCCTGATCTACGCGATTGTCAGAAGGTGAGCTGTGGTGGTCACGGGGAGATGATGCAGACCTCTTCGAGCTCTGCGTCAGCCATGGTATCAATCAGTGCACGTGGATTTGTGCTTGAAGTATAAAGCCGACAGTTGGTTTACTGGAGGGGATCGTTAAAGGCGTGGATGAAGATTGAATTGGAACGAACCCCACTTGTTCCGCCTGAGGCTGCCGCGCGGGGGCGTCATCCCATAGTACATCTACTGCACAGTGTACATGAGACTGTGATTCTAGTTTTCATGACGACTACGTTGTACATGTATATCACTTCATAGAAGAAATTGATTCATGTCATATGCCCTCTTCTGAGCTATTACTCCATGGGATACCTGGGCACCAATACTGGCTTGCCGATTGTCAGAGAACCTGGGCGACCTGTGCTCAAGTACCTAAAGATTTTCAGGGCCGGACGTTTTTGTAATAAAACCAATGGGTAAATACGAATATAAAAATCAATACATCATACTCCATATGGCGTTATCCAGAAATATACTATCATATCTGAGATCAAGCAGTGGGACTTCACTTCCCAGCTACACGATCTAATTGACTTGGATGGTGAAACGCCGCGGCGTAAGACTTTAACCCGATTGGGGACCTGACACAAGACGCGTCCGAGGTAAGCATTTATCATTTCACTAGTTGGACTGTGAGTGGTTCTGCCGAGCAAGGCCATGTGCGGCGCCTCCGCTCGGCTGGGGAACCGTCCAGAGTTCTTTGTACAGTTCGTACAGTCCATGCTCTGTCCTCGTAGTGTTGTTGGGCCAGCTGGGCGCGGCCTATGCAGCCTGATCGTCCTAATTACCCGACCAACAAGGGAACGATGGACAGTGCGCGAGATCGGCTGCCAGCTTCCGGCCTAGTCGCCACAGAATACGGAGATGTAATGTCCTAGAGACTCACTAGTATCGATCAGGCAGAACCTTAGCTTCTTAGGCTCTCGGGTGGCCAAAAATGCCGATTGCTCTCCCGCCTGGAACTGGTGGAATGGAAGAATATCAGCATGAATCTTGAACAGATACAAATGACTCCAGTATATCAATATCTGTATTGATCAATTAGATATTTATTTAGTTTCTTCATAGCCATCTGCAGTGTCCAAAAAGAAACAAACAGGATTCGTCACTCTGCACGTTCGCGGGCCGATCACCTGCTTCCGGTGTGATAACATGACTAAGCGCCCTGGTTCGCCTCACGCTGCGACCCCCCGATCTCTTCTTCGCCTCTTGCTCGCCATCGGTGGAGATAACACCCACCGGAGTCTTGAACTTGCCTATTCTCTTTCTCTACAATCCTTTTGTCGGTCCTTTTCGCTCTCGTCCACCTCTCCCTCCTCGACCGGCGTCGTCCGGCCTACCAAGAATCTAAACCTCCCCGATCCGAACGCTTGCGGGGGGTTTGCCTCTACTCTTCGATCCTTTGCTTCCACTCAGTGAATGGCTTCGGAGACTCAGTATATTTCAGAGTGCCTTTGGGTGTGATATCGATTGTGGTGACAATAGGAGAAAAAGACCCGGCTACCACAACCTACATTCCTTCAGCGCCGTTTACGTCACTCAACATGGCCGAGTAAGTCCTCCGAACGAAAGGCGATGCCGATGCGACGTGGTTGCTGATCCGACATGCCAGTTTAATTGCCTTTCAAACATACCATCATAGTAATCTGCTCCCGCCTTCCTCTACCATGATCCCGCGACACGCTCACAAGCGGTCTCTGTCCTCCGAGCATCGGGCTCTTTCCCCCGACAGGACCGTAACTAAAGCCAAGTCCACGACCAATCTCTCCGACGCCGTTAATCAACAGCCTTCCAAATTCGAAGAAAACAACTTCAATACCTTGCGAGACCCGCGATTGGTCATTCCCTCGGAAGTTTCATCTTCATCGTCATCGTCTCACCACCCCGACTTGAGCAATGAAGTGGCCGCCCTCAGCGTGAAGCTGATTCAAGCGATCAACAATCAGACCACTTTGGATGATAATCTAGTTGCCACGCGACAAGAACTGGAGACCGCATTAGGGAAAATCAAGGCCCTAGAGTTTCAGAATGAGAAATACCGAAAGGACATTGCCGAGAAAGTCTATATCAAGAAAGCCGATGCAGATATTGAGCTCATGCGTTTAAGGGGTCTTCTTGCAGAGGAGTGTGCTCAGCGTTCGAATGCGGAAAAGGCCAAGAAGTCAATCGAACAGGAGCTGGAGACTCTCACTGCCGATCTCTTCGAGGAAGCGAACAAGGTATGTCATCTTGTATTTGCAAGTGTTTACGCTTGCCCGGAGGAGCCGGAACTGACTGTGTTCTAGATGGTTGCTTCAGCTCAGATTGAGCGCGAAGCGGTCGAGCGAAAGAACGAGCAATTGCGCTCACAGATCAAAGACACAGAATCGCTTCTCGCATCGCATCAAGATCAACTAGCAGAGCTCAAATCGGTCTTGCAAGGAATGCACCTCGCCCGAGATGACTTGGATCTCCGTACCAACGCCTCCACCGCGCCTCCATCTCCGGCCGGTCCCTCACAACTTTCAGGAACCTCCAAGCAAGAACTCGAGTTCGAAAACGCTGCTACACCCGTTTGCAATCCCGAGGAGTTGATTCCCGGGCCGACTTGCAACTTCCCCGACATGATCCGCTTGGTGTGCCGGACTGATCTGCAGGCCTACGACGAATTCAAAGAGTTGATGACGCTTCCACGGAGCTCGAAGCCGCCAAGTCGGGCGGGCAGCGGTTCTTACGCTGGCCTGAACGTCATGAGCTTGGCGAGCTTTGCGACTGGCGGATCCGCCTCGGCCACTTCCTCACCTACAAAGGGCATGACCCATTCCCCGAATGGGAGCCTCTCCTCGCAGACTGGCTCGCATATCCCATTGAAGGAAACACGTTTCTACAAGCGTGTGCTCATGGAAGATATCGAGCCGACTTTGCGACTCGATCTTGCCCCTGGTATTTCGTGGCTTACCCGACGTACGGTTCTGAGTGGTATCTGTGAAGGTACTCTTGTTGTGGAGCCCATTCCCCCTGCGAGCAAGAAGCTCGAGTTCCCTTGCTCTGTTTGTGGCGAACGCAGGCCCGGTGAGCAGACCGAACGCACGCACCGGTTCCGAACCTCGGATAGTGAAACGGCCCAGCGGTACTCTCTGTGCATTCATTGTCTGGAACGCGTCCGTTCATGCTGTGAATTCACTGGTTACCTGCGCCTGATCCTTGATGGCCATCTTCGCGCGGGCGATGTCGATGAGGAGAAAGAGATTTGGGAAGAGACCATTCGTTTACGGGAACGCATGTTCTGGTCTCGCATCGCAGGTGGCATCGTTCCATTGGTCACTGCGCCCGTCGAGTCGCGATCGGAGCCAGAAATTGCAGAGAAGAGCATCAGTGTCCCCATTGATCACCATCTACACCCGGCAGATGACGCCATCGTGGACCTGCAGCCTGTGGATGTATCGCCAATGTCGGAGATTCCTCATATTGCCCATCCTGTACATCCCGAAACTCTTATCCGAGATCACGAAGTGGCGACGCCTTCGACATCTGAAATCCCCCACCTTGATCGGGATGGTGTTGAGGACTCTGCTGATGAAGCGCTACAAAGACGCGGCTCCGTTGGCTCCGATGTTAGTGTATATGAAGAGGCTAATGCGGAAGTCGCTGACGGCAGTGAGAAGGCTGTCATAGAGCAGCTTTCGACTACCCTTGAAAACGAAGACACCGAGGCGAGCTCTGAAACCGTGACTCCTGCTATTGAGCCGCACACACCCACCCAAGAGCAAGAGCCTGAAGTCAAGGCAGATATCACGGAGCCTGTCGTCCAGCCCCCGACGCCCACTCATGAAGTCGAAAGCACCGAAGCCAAGGTCGACGGCGTGGAAAATATTGCTGCGCAAGCATCATCTACGCCCGACCAAGAAAAGAACGAAGCCAACGGCCAAAGCAGCTCATAAGCTGTATCGATCTTTTCCCTAGGATCAACATGAGTACGACGATCACACGGCTAGCCCGGTGTTTCATGACCTATCTGACGCATTGCCTGCATACTCCATCAAAGACGCTGATAGACACACATTTCTTTTCTTTCGTCGACGCTGCATACCCCCTTTAATTCTTCATGTCATTTCAACCCCTCGAATGATGCACTTTGCATCTATCTCATTTTCATTCTTCTCGATATCCCCTTTGATATTCAGCAGCGCACCTTTTCTCTATACCTGTATTATTACCTCAAACTTCGCATTCGCATCATTATTCTTATCATGTATACATACTAATGTTGCTTCTTCTTCATCGTCGATGCTTTGCTGTCTCGTTTTGGATCCAGAGGCTTGTTGAGTTCGTTTTTTCTTCTATATCCCTTGGTGTGGTGTGGATTTCTGGTTCGGAAGTCTTTGAGATGGCCAGGCAGTTGAGATAGAGAAATTTAGTTTTCACTTTGTGTGATCTACTTCCAACCGTTTCGTTTGTTCTTAGGATAACGCTTTTGGTAAGCTCAACATTATTCATTTGAGAAGGGTTCGATTTAAGGATAATACGGCTACTTTGTCATGGTGCTAGTACGGCAATGCTCAACATTTTCTGTCAGTAACATAAGCATCAGGCATAGCCAGGCTTCAGCTCTTTTTCGCCATGTAAAACATCCAACAGTTTCCTTCACCCTTCACGGCTTCGCGCTCCAATGTCCATAGAAGTCCGGTCCACGTGACAGTGTTCGTTGCCACCGCCAGGGGACAGCCAATCAGAACTCGGCAAATTTCCATCGGAGTTTGCCTTTTGGCCCCGACTGACTCAGCCATTTCTAGCTTCTTCCGAGTCTCCACCCCATACTTTTATCTACTCAATTCCTCCCTCTTCCTCCTGTTCACGTATACACTGTCACTCACACGTACACACAACCCACACACTTCAAAATGCCTCGCCAACAACGCCGTGCCGCTCCCACCCCTGCGCGTAGCGCTCCCACTCGCCCTACCGCGGCCCCTGCCCGGCCTGCCGCGCCTGCTCCCCAGCAGTCGCAGCCTCACTCAACCGCCGCCTATCCCCACCAGGCCGCTCCTCCTATGCAGCACGCCGCTCCCGTCCAGCAGAGCTCTGGCGGTGGCTTCCTGAGCCAGGTTGCCTCGACCGCTGCGTAAGTCTTTCCTGCCGAGCCTCCATGACCCCGAATCCCGAACCTCGGGAAGTATCTCCTCATCCGAGAAAATCCGGGGTTGGGGACCTTTTCCTCCACCAGGCTATTAGAAGATCTTGGCGCTAATGTTGATTGTTTTGTGTTATAGTGGTGTCGCTGCCGGTCACGTCGCTGCTACCGGTATCAGTAACGCTCTGGGCTGGGGCTCTAGCTCCCACGCTGCCCCCGCTGAGCAGGCTGCTCCCGCTCAGAACCAGGCTATGGACAACGGTCTGTGGCAGAGCAACGCCACCCAGCAGTCCTGGGAGACCCCAGCTTGCGAGACTGACATCCGCAACTTCCGCCGGTGCATGGACGAGAACAAGGGTGATATGTCTATCTGTGGTTGGTACATGGATCAGCTGGTACGTGTCGAGATCATATTTACCCACCTCCCCTGGATCTACGAAGGAGGTTATACTTGGCTTAGATGATGGATTGCTAACAACTTCTACAGAAGGCTTGCCAGGCTGCTGCTAAGCCCTACTAAGCGTTTTCTCCAGCCAAGGGCTGGAAAATGGGCTGAAGGGGGGTCTCTTGATTACGGCCGTGCTATCTTCGTTTCCTTTACTTTTATTTAAAATACGTGAGCGGGTTCTTATGGGATCGCTCTTTGGATGTAATCATCTTGCATTGCGACTTTGATATCGCCCTCTGTACTCTATACCATCTCTCCTCGTTATTGAAATCAAATCATTATTCGTGGTCTGCACCCCTGAGCTGATGGCAGAAATTGTCCACTCGGGGGCAGAACATGGAACAAACGAAGAATCTCTTGACATTATATGGATCTTAAGGTACTTGCGTAAGCTCCAAGGAAGAAGTTGGAGAACAAGGCCCACGGCAACGAGTATGGCCGCTTTTCCTACTACTCAGGCCCCGAAAACCGACTTCTGTTCATGACACAATACTCCATAAAGCTATTCATATTGAAACTCGAAACTCGCCAAAAACACCTGTGCAAAGAGAAAAGACCAGAACATGAGTAAAAGCGCTTGCCGAATCCGTGATCCACTGTCGAGCCTCTCATACATCTCTCTCCAATATCAAACTCAATCCGGCTGAAAGTTCAACTAGAAGAATAACAATCAGCAGAAGCTCAACGCAAGCCTTGTTCAACATGAAGGACTCACCTGATTCCCGTTGTAAAATTGGCTATCATCACGTTCATTCTGCTGATCACGTAGCGTTCGAATGTTCAATCCACCCGTTCGTGGCCGTCGAGTATTCTCACTTGGCGGAGGACTAGGCGTCGAAGGCTGCCTATTATTTTCCGGTGCGCTAGATCCATACCCAATGAACGAGCCAACCAGGCTGGTAGCCGAGCTTGCAACCGACGAAACTACATTGTAGACGGCAGAAATACCACGCGCGGGTAAGCTAGCTGCCGCGGAGGTATAAGCCTCCGTGTACGAAGCAACAGGGACCATGACCAGGGTTGCAGTAGAATCGAGGCCGATGTTTTGGAGAGCCTGGGATTCTTCGGCAACAGAGAGCGTGCGGCTGGGTAGGGGGGTGAGGATATGTTTAAGATTGTAGGGTCGTTTGTCGTCTGTCATTTGCTCGTCTAGCCATTGACGAACGTCGTTGCGTATTGTTTGGGTCGGGGTGAAACTTGATCTGATGGAACGACCGTCGAATAATCGTACTTGGAGTCGATACTGGCTGGGAGGTCCCCTTGGAGCTGGCGGTTGAGGTTTCGGCTCCTCATGTTCAACTGTAGGCGGCGGGGGCTTGCTGATTGCTGGCTTGGTTGATTTCTGAGAGGTTGTGGCAGTCTTCTCTAATACCTGGGCCGGTTTCGTCTCCTTATCCTTTCTCGCTGGCTTGGGCTTTGTAGGGGTGGGCTTTGCCGTTTCCTGCTTGGCTGATTGTTTCGTCGGCTTTGCGCTTTCTTGGGTTCGTTGTGGAGCAGATGTACTTTGTGATGGCCGCCTGTAGGCCGGGGCATTAGGGGTGGCGAGTGGCGTAGTAGTCGGGTAGGAAGAAGAAGGAACGGTATTCAAAGCGGGTATGCCGGCTTGTAGTTGCTGAGAAGGAACGGGAGTAGGAGCTTTCTGTTCTCCCAGTACTGCGAGAATCCGGCTCTTGAACTCGTCCCTCGAGACGCCGGGTAGCAGATACTCCTCCATCTTGCCATTCCTGCGGGGAAAACAATTAGCTCTGCGCAATGTACAATGAGCAAGCTCTCTTCATCATAAATCACATACTTGATAGCAATTAGAGCGGGGAACTCGGCGATGGGACAGAATGAGCTCAGAAACCCGGCTTCCTGGGTTCCAGCAGTCAGGCGCAACAACACTGACTTGTCGCTGAGAGCTTGCGCAACCTAAAGAGTAGTTGGCATCAAAATCCAAGTCCGAAGGTCCTCTTGAGCTATGAACATACCTCATTGTCTGAAAAGTACTCTTGCTCCCAAGTCGAGCTCAACGGGGCATCATCTGGGCATCGGACGCGGTCAGACGTGGCTGGAACCTCAGGATGCGGGGAGATACCGACCTCGAACGAAACAAACAACCGCCTTTGCCTCCCTCATGGCGACAGCAATGCCCTCCTGCAATGATCCTTCGTAGAATATCGTCATGATCGCACACCACTGACTAGCAGGTTCTTTGCTGTGCTATGTTGTCAAAGGTTCAAAACCGGATTGGAGCGTAGCTGGAGATACTGCGGAGAAGCAGCTCGGGGAAGCCGGAGAGTGACCGCCTCCGCTGCCGAACGCCAAATTCGCGACCGCCGCTCACTTTGTCTTTTCTTGCCTACGCCGAGTCCCAATTACGCACCAAACGGGAACTTTCTCGAGTCGAGTATGCGGTCGTTGTTTTCAGTCCTTCAAAGGACTGCTCCAGCAACCTGGGCAGCTCCAGTACGCGCTGCGCAGAGTAGCGCCCCTGCGTGGAAGGTGGACTCTATCTGCACGAGATGCCGTCTACAGCAGAAGCGCCAATTCTCGAAATCGCGCCAGTTGACCGAGAGTTTGCTGAATGTCGACCACCCAGCAAAACTCGTGCGAGTCAATCAGAAACATGGGCCCGGCTTGATTATCCTGGGTCAGTGGTATTCACCTGCGGCGTTGAGGCAACGCTAACTTATGATCTTTCTTTTATACAGCTCTGATCCCGATCATCGCGTTTGGCCTGGGCACCTGGCAAGTCCAGCGCTTGGACCGAAAGACAAAGATGATTGCCAAGTTTGAGGACCGTCTGATCAAGCCTCCACTTCCGCTGCCGCCGCGAATTGACCCCGATGCGATTGCCGACTTTGATTACCGCCGTGTCTACGCTACCGGCCACTTCCGTCACGACAAGGAGATGCTGGTTGGACCTCGCATGAACGAGGGTGAAGATGGTTTCCTCGTTGTGACGCCTCTGGAGCGTGGTGATGGCCAAAGTACTGTTCTGGTCAACCGGGGGTGGATCTCTCGCAAGTTGATGAATCAGAAGTCCCGGCCGGAGGGACTGCCACTAGGAGAAATTACTGTGGAAGGATTGCTACGCGAGCCATGGAAGAAGAATATGTTCACGCCAGAGAACAAGCCCGAGGAGGGCAAGTTTTACTTCCCTGATATTGAGCAAATGGCTGAGTTGGCGGGCAGTCAGCCCGTTTGGATTGAAGAGACTATGGGTAAGATATATATGATCATCGGACTATTTCGACATGCAGCTGACCCTGATCCCAGTGCCTGATCTGCTTGAGACCTATGATCGTATCGCCAAGGGACGGCCCCTTGGTCGCGCCGCAGAAGTCAACTTGAGGAACAACCACGCACAGTACATTTTCACATGGTACGTCGAGCTCACTCGGAAAGATGGCCTCTCCTGTGATTGAACATCCACTAATAGCGTCGCAGGTACGGCTTATCCCTAGCCACGTCCATCATGCTGTGGATGGTGGTGCGCAAGAAGCCCAATGATGCACTGCGTCGGGTGCGCCAGAACCGCAATTGGGCATAGACTGCAGATAGTCATCTTTTGCATTTTCCATTGGCGTTTCTGGGGTTTGTATGAGTATTTTTGTGCGTTGGTCTCAGAGCATTCATGGAGGCATGGCCAGCCTCATATCTTGTTGTAGCTCCTTGGGCAGATGCTTCTGAGCTAGGGAGAATACCGTTGTCGAGCTGTTGATATGACGTTGCCTGAGAATGTTAGCATGGCTCAAGGATGCTGGACTCGGTGCGGTATACCTCTTCATCAAGGTGGTCACATCACTCTCGTCGATGGTTTTACGACCGGCGTGCTTGGAATACGCGGCCAAATCCTGGCTGACTTGTTCAAAGTACCATGAGGATGCCTGCTCGATGGCGGCTAGCGCAGCTTTGTTGATCTTTGCTTTGGAACCAGCTCCCGTGCGGGCGAATTGACTGGCCAACTTCTTGACCACTCCAGCAGGTAAATTTGGCACCGGGATTCCATGACGGGAGAGCTTCTTCTGCTTTCCCTGTGTGGGGAGCCCGTCGTCCCGCAGGCCACCTCCAATGATGCCAGGGCTTTGGCTCGGAGATGCTGCTGCTGGGAAGTCAAGGCCAAAGCCAAAGTCGCCAGCTGCGTCATTGTCGTTGTCCGATGGCGTAGCAGGTCCCGGCTGGATATCGCCCGCAGATAGTTCAAATCCGTCCGTGTAGCCGTCATCCCCTTCCAATGGACTTTCATTCATGGGGTTTGCATTCGGAGATGGGAAGTCCATGTCGAAATGGAACCCGCGCAACTCCTCGGTCTCTCCACTATTTGTCAAATGTTAGCCTCATATGTACCATAACTGTTTCGTATACACTTACCCTCTGTCAAATTCACCTCCACTGATCATGGTATCATCTCCAAAACCGTCATCAATTATGATGCCAGTTTCTTCCCCAGCATCAGAATCACTCTCTAGTTGGGTCTCCCCAAAGTCCTCACTCACTCGTAGATCACGACGCATAATTGCGAGTTGTTCTTGATCTCGGATAGCAAGATCCCTTCGAGGAAATTCCACAGACTTATCATCGTCGTCAAAGGGGATTGACAAGCGGGGTGGGGGTATATCAGGACTGCCTTCTTCGCTGCCCTCTGTACTTCCTTGCATAGGAAGAGAAACCCGTGGGCGCTCCAATTCGGGCTCATTGTCCAGCGCTTCGATCTCATCTATCGGCTCCTCCACGTCCTTTACTTCCTCTTGAGGCGATGATTGAATCGGTTTTGAGACGGGTGCAAGCGCTAGTATCACCAAGGTTTGTCAGCTAAACAAAAAACATCAATGCAACCACTCCCATGGAAATGCACATACTTCTTCCAAGGTTCCTCAATATATCAAGGGTAGTCTCGCGCTGAACTCGCCCACTCCGTCGGCGATCGCGACCAGGTGTATTTGCGGCCCGTTGCTGTCGGGCGCGAAGTCCATAGGGAGTTGATGGTGCCATGGAAGGTCTTCCCCGAGGCGTGAACCGGGAAATCGATCTTTGCGCAGACGGCGTAGTTGTCGTGACCAAGCGACTGGGTGTGAGCGGGTAGCGCGTATGACTCGGGAGGCGCTGGAGCTGTGAAGGTCTTTTAGCCATGCCATCCATCACATAATCAGGCTATTGACTTACCCCGGTCAATGTGGTCTCTCCAGAGGGAGTATTCGTCTCGGCCCCCGAGATGCCCATGGGCCGGCGGTTTCGCGGGTTGGGAGTTGACATCTCCGCGTTTGCAAAATGAACAGCTACTGAAACATAAATCTTCGGCCCCCGGGTAGATCTCGAACTTGTGATAAATCTGCAGGGGAGACAGAAAACTAGGTAGAGACCTCGCTGGATGATGAATTGCGGAGCTGAATGAGCGCGTCTTGCAATAACAATGCGGGCCCTCGTATGATTGGCCACATCTTATCGATAAGCCATGCTTAATCAGCCGCATTGATCGGGACTTTTTTTTTGCGACGCTGGACTTGAATATCTTGAACGGTGCCAATCGAGCTTAAAGTTTCTCTTGGTCACGGTGATACAGTGCCATCACACAATATGACTGAAGCAGATGTCCCGAAGGGGCTTTCGGCCAAGCTTGACAAGAAGCGCAAGCGCCAGGCCGAGGAATCGACCAAGCAAGACAAGCCCGAAGCTGCGCCTGCAGTAGCTTCGGCCGCCGGAGGAGATGAATCGAACAAGAAGAAGTGCAAGAAGAACAAGAATAAGAAGCAGCCTGAACAGGATGCGACAACGCAAGAACGCAAGGGTGGTGTTGACGAGTCTATCGGCAAGATGGATGGGCGGTTGTTGGCCGATTACTTTGCTCAGCGGGCGCAAAAGCTCGATAAAGAGCTTTCAGCGGTGGAACTAGGTGATATTTCAGTGCCAGGTGTGTATCAATCCTCACAGCTTATCTATCATTTGCCATCTGGGTCACTAACTGGTGCAGATTCTGCTTTCCTCGACACTACATCATTTTCCGACTCCAGGACTTTGGACAAGCTCCCCGATTTCCTCAAGGCATTCAGCCCGAAGGGTGCCGACCTTTCAAAGGCATCAGAGAAGAAGGGTACACCTCATACACTGGTTGTTTCTGCTGCTGCGCTCAGAGCCGCGGACGTTGTTAGGTATGCGCAATGGATACATGGCCCACCAGTCCACCCACGCATTCATTGGTGCTGACAATTGGATGATATAGGGCGCTTCGAGGATTCCAGACGAAGGAAGCAATTGTCGGAAAATTGTTTGCCAAACATATCAAGTTGGAGGAAGCGAAGCAGTTCCTTGAACGTGCACGGTACGCTATTTCAATATTTTCGGCTGCGCAAAACGGGCTTTTTCTAACGGATTTCTTAGGACTGGAATTGGCGCTGGGACACCGACCAGGATATCTGATTTGATCGAGTGTGGTACGTATGCTACTCTGGATAGTGACCTGGTTGCATGTACTAATATCATTGTTTAGGTTCGCTTAAGGTGGACGAGATAGAGCGCATTGTCATTGATGGATCACACATCGACCAGAAGCAGCGCGGTATCTTCGACATGAAGGAGACCCATTTCCCACTGTTGAAACTATTGACTCGACCGGAGCTGCGCGATCGTTACGGCGCTTCAAAGAAGAAGGTGCAGATCCTGGTGTTCTGATTTCCTTTGCATGATTTTTCTTCAACAAAACATTCCATAGGGTGGGGCGTTCGCTTGATTTTGGTATTGAATGACAATGTATTTCAATTTCATCAGCCGAGTTTTCATCACTCAAGTCTTGAGCGTAGAGACTCAGTGCCACCTCGACTAGCGAAGTAAGGCGGTAACCAGTGGGGAAGGTAAGGACACTGACTCGGTCTCGATGAATGTCGATCAATCTGGAGTACAAAGCCAGAGAAGAGTGGACTGGGCTCGTGTCGAAGCTCTTGCATCCCAGCAATGGTTTCATATCCTACGATATGCAGCAATGTAATGTCGTGCGAGGGATGGTAGTGATATGATTGGAAAGAAACCGCGACAGCCCACTACTCAGTCTTCAAGTCCATAAGATGACGAGGAAATTAAGTATGATAATAGGCCATTGAACTAATGATTCTATCACTTCGCACACAGATTTCACATTGTATTTAGTTCCCTCCGAGCGTCACGCTTTGGCCGCCTCTGGAAATACATTTCGTTATACAAGGCTTGCAGCCAGATGAGGATTATTCTCTGCATTATTGAGAACTCTGGGAATTCAAGTAGATAGAAAACAATATGAAATATACGAATAGCAAGTACATGCATATCAGAAGTAGAGAATTGGCAGGTCATTCCTCCAGACAACAGATTACCCGATCAGGCAAGAGTGCAATGCGACCTCACCGCCTCGGAAGTCTCCGGCAGAATGTAAATTTCTCCCGAGTCTCCGCCCAAATTTTTTTGGAGCGGAGCTTTCCAATAAATTACCATATTTCGATCATTTATTCTGTCCTGTGCTTTTGCCGAGAATCATTTGGGCTGCAAATAGGCCTAACTCAACTGAAACCTGAATTTTCGACTCTATCTACGACCAATTCAAAATGGGCGACAAGCGCAAGCTCGCCGAGGACACCCCGGTCGACGAGGTCGCTCCCGAAGGCAAGAAGATGAAGAAGGAGAAGAAGGACAAGAAGGAGAAGAAGGAGAAACGCAAGGCCGAGAAGGAGGTCGAGGCCGTCTCCGAGATCACCGCGGAGGAGAAGAAGAAGGAAAAGAAGGAAAAGAAGGAGAAGAAGGAGAAGAAGGACAAGAGCGAGAAGAAGGAAAAGAGCGAGAAGAAGGAGAAGCGCAGCGCTGACAAGGCCGATCTCGACGACGAGGCTAAGGCTGCGAAGAAGGCCGCGAAGAAAGCCAAGCACGACAAGAAGAAGGGTTCCAAGGAAGAGGCCGCTACTCAAGAAGAGTCTACGACGAATGAAGAGGAGATGGACGTTGATGCTGAGGCTGAGAACAACGAGGTTCAGCAGAAGAGCTCCCGTTTCATCTGTTTCGTCGGTATGTCTATGCATGGCATTTCTTTTGAATTGCTCTATACCCATGGTTATGAATTGACATGCTAATCACAATTGTCTCGCAGGAAACCTACCCTACTCCGCAACCAATGAGTCCCTCAGCAAGCACTTTGAGAAGAACCCACCAGCCTCAATCCGCGTCGCAACCAAGAAAGAAGCCCCAACTAAATGCCGCGGTTTCGCCTTCATCGAGTTCGACAACTACGACCGCATGAAGACCTGCCTCAAGCTATACCACCATTCCATGTTCGACGACGGCAAGTACCCGCCTCGCCGGATGAACGTTGAATTGACGTGAGTATCACCTCTCTCTACCCTCTTACCCTCTCTACTCTCTCATGTTCTTCAATTCCGAAGTGAAATTAGCTAACAGGATGAATAATACAGTGCCGGCGGCGGTGGATCCAACTCCGAGCACCGCAAGGCCAAGATCCAAGCTAAGAACGAGAAACTCAACGAGGAGCGCCAGCGTCTCGCCAAGGATATTAAGAAAGACAAGAAGAAGCACGACAAGGCTAAGCCCGCTGGCGCCGAGGTCTCCGGCGCGAATGCCGTTGCCGTGCCCGAGGATGATCGGTTCGCCGGTATGCACCCCAGTCGTCGGGGCCGGATCTAGATATTCCTCTACCCCTGGTCGTCGATGGTTTGATGCCGTCAAGGCTCTGGTCTTTGCTATTTGTTTTTAGGTTTTTTTATTGTTTTGTCTTGTACATCTTGGGATGGGACTGGAAAAGTCTGTGGCTTTTTATGATTTGATAGAAGATACCACTTGCTTGGCTTCTGTGCATAGTGAAATGCGATATTATGAGCATATAAGCATGATAGCTTACTCGATTCAAGTTCCAAGTTTTGGGTTTCTTGCGTGCGCGATTGCACCATATTCGGTAGACGATAGATCATACGTTTTGACTTTCAAGTGTGGGGTACAGATGCAATCGGTGAGCGAGGAGAATAGACACAAATTTTTACAGACTGCCTAGCTCTAAGAATATCAACAGGCCCCGAACGAATAACGTGAAGTGCAACTCGCAAGGGTCCAGCCAAAGATCCTTCCCAAAGACTTGGAACCACCGTACTGAGAGCCATGGCCATGAACGAGATCTCCCACGGAAGCGGAGGGCATGCCCCGTAAGGAACAGAAGAAAAAACAAGTCAGAATAAAATGAAAATGGGGGGGAAAAAAACGAGTCAATGGATTCATCAATCAAGCAAGGCCCAAAGAAAAGCCTCTGGCTACCCGGACGCCGTATTAACTATAGTATTATTCGTTATAGCATACGCAAAAAGGAGGGTGGTGGTCCCCATGCACAAAGCACCGCTACAAGATCATGCATTTGTTCTTCCTCCCGGACTTTGCGAGGGGACGGGGGTTAAGAACGGCTCTATGATGGGGAAAGGGGTTAGCTCTGTATTTGCAAGCCTGCGGGCGACCAACAATGTCTTTGGTGGAAAGAGTCGCGGAGATGTGCAGTGCAAGGGCTAGTAGCTTACCGGATAGCCTCGTCAAAGACGCTCTTCAGGTTGCGCTGGGTCAGGGCCGAGCATTCGAGGTACTTATGTGCTCGAATCTCCTTGGCGACGGCCAAGGCCTGTTCGTACGAGACGGCCTCCATCTTTCGGGCGCGCAGGGCTTCGATTGTTGCGCGGTCATCGCGCAGGTCGAGCTTGGTGCCGACCAGGATAATGGGGACACTGGGTGCGTGATGTTCGATTTCTGGGAACCACTGTAGAGAAGACAATAGTCAGTCGTATGATTCGCGTAAAGCGTTTGTAGGTGTTGAATTTCAAAGCGCGGAGAGATCGATTGAACAAGCGACAAAGCTGTGCAGATCGGCGCCGTGGCTTCGGTCGTACCTTGGCTTTCACGTTATCGAAGGATGGCGGGCTGACGATGGAGAAACAGATCAGGAAGACGTCGGTTTGAGGGTAGGATAGCGGTCTGAGGCGGTCGTAATCTTCTTGTCCGGCGGTATCCCAGAGTCCCAAGCTGATCGGCCGGCCGTCAACCATCACACTGGCCGTGTAGTTGTCAAAGCTGTAGCGGGGACATCAGTAAGGGTATGGATTTCCTCCAGGAGGGAGGGGAAGGGGGCTGGGGGTTGAGGAGAGACGGACACGGTCGGAATGTATTCGCCCGGGAAAGCATTCGTCGTGTACGAGATGAGAAGACATGTCTGTAGAGAATCGAGAATCGCATGTCAATGAGAGGAGTTCCACTATATTCGCTGCAATTGTGTTTCGATCGGGAGGGACGACGATAGCAGATGGGGAGTTCGGGGCCAGGACATGTTCCGGGGGAGCGCATCGCTGTAAATACTGACTTTGCCGACAGCACCATCACCAGTCACCACGCACTAGAAGAGATCTCATGTTAGCCGAGGGCAGTCCCATGTAACCCCAGATTATCACAAGCAATTGCTAACCTTGAGCGATTGAGTAGCCTGACCCGTCGCCATGGTTGTGTGAAGTTATTTACAGCGAGACAAGAAAAAGGGGGCCGATAAGGGGGGCGGTCCGAATGACAATCGATAACGGCAATGGAAAACCCCCGAAGGCGCCAGGAGGGGGGTGGTGGAGGAAGAAGAAAAAGAGGAGAAAAGAGGTTGACGATTGGGATGTTCCTGGAGGCAAGTGAGCTTCAGGAGAGTTGAATTTGGGGAAAGCAGCAAGATTGGAGCTAGGGGCAAAAGGAAAGAGGGGGGAAAGGGTTAGGGGTGGAGAACCCAGAAGATCGGATTCAAGCAAAATGGAGGGGCTGAGCTCACCCGAGAAAGCCTCCAAAAAAGGCCTGGAGACGGAGAAGTTGGAGGAGGAAGAATGGAATTGAGGATGCGAGAAGGGGTCTAGAGTATATGGAGAGAGAAGAGGACAGAGGCGAAAAGAAAAGTGGTACCGTAGTCAAAGTCATTCGACCAAAGCAGGATTCAGGGTAAGCATCGTGTCTTGACAGAAAGCGCCAAGTTCAAGAGACGCAAGCTGATCGTTTGAATTGGTTTGAAGGCAATCGTTTGGATGGAGTCGGGTCCCCACTCCCATAGTGATCTCCTCCTTGAACACGCCCATTCGCTCGGGCGATGAAGACTATATAATCCAACCAACTATCGCTAATTGAAGACAAGATCAATTATCATTGACACTCAACTTCCCTTAGCCAATGTCCCAACTCCCCCTATACTACCTACCATGTGTCTGATCCCCCCGACTAGCGGTGCTAAGTTGACATCCGTTGGCTAGCATGGCTCCGGGCCAGATTCCCCCCCTGCACCAATCGCATATCCATTCAATCACGGGCAGCTTCAAGGCGCCTGCACCGCGCCGGTTTGGAGTCCCACGCGAGTGTGATAGGGTGATCCCTCGTTCGTCTTTGCGCCCACGAACCGCCTGTCAAAACCTATTTATATGTCTCGCACGGACTCTCTTATCAAATTATCGTGGAGTTCGCCTCGTTCGGTTATTTTTTTCTGACAGGACGGAGTAGACAAGTCTACTCTGGTCAAATTAACAAGGCGTTTTAGGAAATCCGTATTTGGTAGATTGCAAGTATATTCTCCATCAAAGTACTCTCGACTTGGTTACCACAGAACCCAGAGATCTGATACATCGACTTCGAATCGAGACAGAAACGGCAAAGTAGGCCCTCATCAGGAAGATCTTCTAGATAAAAACGGCTTTCTCTCTCTCTCTCTCTCTCTCTCTCTCTCTCTCTCTCTATCTCTGTCTTCTGTCTCTACAGCCGCGACACTCCCCGCGCGCCATTCAAGAATGCGCCTGCCCGCATCTCTGCAGGCTTCGCCATCAATCCTGGCAATTTAGAGGCAAACTCGCGGAAGTAGGAGCTCTTCGTATGCGCCTTGATGGCCGCTTGGTCCTTGTACCTGAAGGGGAAACCGTTCGTTAGGAATTTCTGGCTTGGTCGTATCCTATAGTAGAGCGGGTAGATATGCCGAGGCACGACGGGAGGGAAAGAGGGATTAGGATAAGATCAAGGGAGAGGGTGTAATGGGGCAAAAAGGGGTCAATGATATATCTATGGAAGCCTTTGGGATAGACTGACCTCTCAATAATGACAATCTCGTTCTTGTCTTGGACTTTGATGGCGTAGTATACCAGGGTACCGGGCTCATGTTCCTGTACTTTCTTGACGACTTCGGTGACGAGGGCGGCAACCTATGGTAAACAGATCAGATCAGATTGCACTCTAGACGTGTGTGATATCAAGTGAATCGGACCTCTTCGAATTTCTCCGGCTTGGGGTAGAGGACGGCGGCGACGTTGATTTCGGACATGGTAGCTAGTATTTAATAGTTAGTTGCGGGAAGTTGTTTTGAGTGTGCTTATTCACGGCGACTGACTGGAATAAGTATTATTGGCAAAAAGAACCCGTTTAGAATGAAAAGAGACTAGAAGGGGCTCCTCGTCGAGTAGTTAAGTTATTTGGATGAATTATAAAGCAGATCCCTTAACCGGCAACCTCGGCCAAAAGCGAGTGGGTCCCTCCGAAGATGATAAGGTGATCAGATCGGGTTCTCCAGATTTTCTCCTCTTTTCTGCTGCGCGTCGGGGAATTATTGAAACATGACAGATCTAGTCTCTGTAGGGAGGGGTATTATGTACTGTAACTCAATCAAAAACCTCTGATTAATCTTGTAGATCCCGTATGTCCAATATAGATTCGATACTCTCTGTAGCCACACCCCCGCCTGCCTAATTAGAAAGAACCGCGACATTGCTCCACATTCTTTTTGAAGGGAGCTACTGTAGGTCTTGAAACACGGACAATGCGCCCGCCATAACCTTAATCACGGTTCCATCCATAAATGATAGTCTGCAAGCAAGCGCATCGTGGAAGACTTGCCCAGTCTGTCTGGAGACTATAGTACCAATTCGAAGGATCGAAGGAATACAGTGGTTGAACATGGACAGAATCTGATTAATTGGACTTGCATAGAGTGGAAATATTTGTCTTTGGCGACGAAGATGACTTGTATTATGCACGACATTGGCGTTCTCACTCAGGAGCTACATAGGGGCAGTGTCATCCTCGAAATCTTGTCAAGCGTTTCTCATTTACTTCGAGTGCTTCCATTTGGCAGGTTTAACCGATGTTTATGGAGAGAATAGGTCGATGACCCTGAGCATCTAGTCATTTCTACCAGGAATCATCACAAAGAATGGTTGAATGTAGCTGCTCATAGCCTCATGAACGTCATTTCCTGACTACTTTTGGCATACTCCGATCGAGAAAGAGTCTATAAGAGTGTTTGAAATGGACACTGGAAAAGCATAGAAGACAACCCGGAGCCAGTGCAACAATATACTACAGTACAGGGTATGGAGTTGAACTAAGATTTCCAAGTCCACAAATTGCTTGGCCATTATGGAGACTACATGGACTTTGGTGTAGAATTTCCTTACTCATTTCACCACTAGTGTGTACTAAAGAAACATCGAAGCCAACTTCCATCGCGGGGATGAGCGGATTGTGGCTGGAGTTGGATTACGTCTTCCGCCTCCAGCCAGGAACGGACGGTCGGGTGCCCAACGTCCCTGACGAACCTCTACCCACTTCAACTTATATAGAACTGGATCCAACCACAGATCCGAATCCATCAAAGGACAGAGAGGCACGGGGTACCAGTGAACCACACAGCACGGTCGGCACACCAAAAAAAGGCAGGCTCCAGCATTCCAAGTCGGTCCCGCCGCAACGCTGGGACGACTGACCTCATTGATCGCCCCAAGTGCCTCCCCACTGCCAAGCAATCGGTTTCCGGTGTCACTCGATAATAATAGCTCCAACCTGTGGTGGCTTTGTGGCTTGTGAATTTCCCTTCCCTCCTCCCATATCCCCTCATTATCCCTCCCCTTGAGAGAGAAGCTCAGTGTCAACAATGTCCGACACGGCCCTTCCTGAACCAACTGCGCTCCCTGCGCTATCCGATGCGCCTCCATCGAGTGCCGGTCACTCCTCCGGCACGGCAGCCGTCGACCAGCCGCCGCCACAGGCTGCCATTTCCGATGAGCTCAAGGCTCGTTTGGACAAAGTGATATATTCCGAGGTGAGTGCCAATGGTGCCCAGGGGCAAACGACCGCAGTCGCGCGGCAATCAAGAGTCATGTCCCTTATGCTAACGGTGTGGGTTTTCGCATGCAGATTGGTATTACTACTCTCCTTGCTCGATTGAAGCAGAGCGTGGCCTCTGCTAGGGTACGTCGTTGTTGATAACACCGATAACGCCTCCTGTCAAAACAGAATTAGATGCGCTAATGCGCCCATAACAGGATTTCTCATCCTTCCTGAAGAAACGAGGCTCCCTTGAGGAGGAGCATGCTCAGGGGTTGCGGAAGCTCTCTCGCGCCGTCAACGATGCTGCGCAACGAACCGAGAACCGACAGGGCACTTACAGCTCCAGCTATAAAGATATACACCACCTGCAAGAGCGCATGGCTGATCATGGCCTGCAATTCTCCGTTTCTCTCCAGCAGATGGCCGATGACCTGCACGAGCTGTCGACTAGAATTGAACGTGGTCGCAAGCAGTGGAAACAGACTGGATTAGCCGCGGAGAAAAAGGTCATTGATGCTGAAGCCCAGGCTGAAAAGGCAAAGGCCAAATACGAGTCATTGGCAGAGCAGTACGATCGTGTTCGAACGGGTGATAAGACTGGTGGAAAGTTTGGCTTGAAGGGTCACAAGTCGGCAGCTCAGCATGAAGAGGATCTTCTGCGCAAAGTTCAGAATGCTGATAGTGACTATGCAGCCAAGGTTCTAGCGGCTCAAGCAGAGCGCAAAGAATTGGTGTCTACCCACCGGCCACAGGCAGTGCACAATCTTCAGCAGTTGATTGCCGAGTGTGACTCCGGGTTGACCCTGCAACAGCAAAAGTTTGGTAAGTTAGGGAAGCTCTCATGGAATGCCTACCAATCGTTGCTTGGTCAGTTGGGTGGACAATGAGCTAATACATTGCAGCTACCTTCAGCGAGAAGCTGCTCCTTGGTCAGGGTCTCTGTGTCAGTCCTATGAAGACGGAGAATGGAGCCCCAGTCCCGAAGAGTCTGGCCGAGGTGGTGCGCCAGGTTGACAATCAGAGGGACTTCCAGGAATTCATCCTCAGCCACGCCGGGAACCCCGGCGCCGTCAGCGGGCCAGAAGTTCAATATGAGCGCCATCCGACCCTAGGCGGCGGCGGCGCAGCCGCAGCACCGGCCGCAGGCCCGCCTTCCCAGACGAGCACACAAGCTAAACGACAATCTACCTTGCCACCGACCTTCTCTCAACCTAACATCGCTTCTCCTGCTAGTCAACCACCCCAGAGTAGCACAGATCGTTTCCAACCCCTTCCATACCCAACACAGGGAGAGCCTATCTCAGCGCCTCCTTCACAGCCCCCTTATCCCGCCTCCGGCCTCCCAGCTCACGAACCAGCGCCAGCTCCCGTTCACGCTCCAGCGCCGATGATGGGTGGTTCCGCTCCATTGATGCAGGGTCCCCCTCCGATGGACCGGGCTGCTCTGCAGTCCAACCTGCCGCCGCTGAAGCCCGTGTTCGGCGTGACCTTGAATGACCTGTATGCTCGTGATGGAACCGCGGTGCCTTTCATCGTCTACCAGTGCTTCCAGGCCGTGGAGCTGTTTGGTCTCGAGACCGAGGGCATCTACCGACTGTCCGGCAGTGCCAACCACATCAACCATATGAAGGCGGTCTTCGACAACGGTCAGTCCAACTTGTCCATAGTTGTCTTATTGGTATCGTTACTAATCAATGATGGATCTAGACGCATCTAAGGTTGACTTTACCAGCCCGGAGAACTTCTACCATGATGTCAATAGTGTTGCAGGTCTGGTGAAGCAGTTCTTCCGTGACTTGCCCGAGCCGCTGTTCACGTCGCAGTTCTACTCCCAGTTCATCGATGCTGCTCGTAAGCTCAAGTGTTCTGCCGCTTCTCGTGCGTGAAACTGACAAGATAACTCTACAGGCATCGAGGACGATACCCAGCGCCGCGACTCGTGCCACGCGCTCATCAACAGCCTGCCAGATGCCCACTACGCTACTCTGCGGGCAGTAATTCTGGTAAGACGACCTCTCACCTCTCATAAGAAACGAGCCATACTGACAGTCATGCAGCATCTGAACAAGGTGCAGGAGCACTACACTTCGAACCGGATGAATGCCGGCAACCTGGCCATCTGCTTCGGGTAAGTACCTACAGGGCCCTCCTTACCGGCTATTCAGAGCGAGCTAACACTGTGATAGACCGACTCTAATGGGCGCTAACTCGGGCGGCAACATCGCCGACGCCGGTTGGCAAGTCCGAGTGATTGAAACGATCCTCAACAACACCTTCCAGATATTCGATGATGACTAGATTATTCATCTAATCCTCATATGATGATCAAACATACTTTTCCTTAGGGTCATCGTCTCTTCTCGCGCCGTGATATCCAAAAACCGGGTTCACCTTCTAGTTTTCTGTTCTACGAACCTACCCATCTGATTTTTGGATCTTCCCTCCACTCGATTCCCAATTCCCGTTTGATACCGTCCTCGTCGTCGCGTGTCCCCTTGCGCCTGAAATAGCATGTGTCTTTGTCGCTCGTCCTTTGGCCCCCGCTCATAGGATCGACATTGAAATAAGACCCTTGTTTTTCTTTTTGCCTCTGTACATAGAATCCGTTTTTTCTCTGCATGTGGCGCTCGAGCCTGTGCAGGACTAGCTTAGTTCCCCCTTTCGTCATGTCGAATTTACGATGGCCCTAATTACTGCGGTCTTTTTCTTGGTTGATTTGTAGTTTCCAAATATTAGAGGAGTTACCTCCGTAGGCAACATCGGCATACCAATTTATTGTCAAAGAGAGAGGGCGAGGGGCTAACATGAAGATAGAGGCGAACACAACGGTGTGTATCTCTGACACGCCCGTTTACTGTCCATGAACTAACCTCATAACATCATTGATTCGATGATTGAGACGAGGTATACGAATCAGGTCTAGCTCATCGGAAATAGCGAGAACAGTAGGTTCAATATGACTATAATACATGAATTGGTAGATGCTCTATATGACTGGCTAGATATGACAAATTCATAAATGAACACAAATAAAACGCCCCAGGCAACATTAGACCGCGATCAAAGTTGCCAATCCCATCTCCATCAGGGACACACCACGGACAGTACCCGGAGATGAGACAATTGATAACCGTTAACACAATGTGGAGAAAAAGAAGTAAGATGTTGTTGTTGTTGTTGTCAAAAAGCCAATTTCTGCAAGTTACCCAATCTAGAAGCGACCACCCGATCCCATGTTCTTCATGGCTTCAAGACGGTCCAAGGCAGACAGGCCCGGGGCAAAGGCTGGGTCGGTGTTCAGGGTATGCATATCGGTTTCCCGGGTCGTACCCCAGATTTGCCAGTCAGAGTACTTGCCGTGCCAGATGAGCTGCTGGATGACGACGTACTCGACGCAGTCCTGTACCTTGGCGGCGGGGACGACCTCGTTGGGGGCGTTTCGGCCGATAGTGGTCTTGGTCATGGATTGTCTGGACGCCAGGCGGACGACGATCTGGCGGATACCGGAGTTTGGCATGTCGGGGATTTTGACGGCGCGGTCTGCCATGACGCGTGCGCCGCTGAACTTGTTGCCGACCAGATCCCAGGTCACCTTTTCGTTGGTGGGGCGGCTCTGGACTTGGCTGGTGAGTTTTTGGGCGAGCTTCTCGCAGCAGATGCGCCGGAGTTCATTAGTGTTTCCCCTGGTTGGTCTTATTAGAAGAGGTGGACGGGATCATGGAGGGTGTGTCTCGTTGGGGGGTTGAAGGCTTACTCGGCAAGGTTGGTGTACATCTGGGTGTACAAGGACTTGGCAATTGATCGTCGGGGCACGCTGTGGAAGATCTTGAAGAAGGGAAGAGCGAGTGGTCCGATATGAGGCTTTTGCAATTGGGATGAGATAAAGGGAACGTTGTTTAGGTCCTTCTTGCAGTAAACCAAAACACTGTCTTCTAAGTTAGCCAACCGGACATTTCCAATACCTATACGTTTGCCACCAATGTCCGACTCTCCAGTCTTCGAACAATGCAAGAGGCAGCAGCATATCCACCCGAACAAGAATGTGCACCAACCTGGCGTAATTCTGGAAAACGCTCTTCAACCAAGTCCATTCCATCCGGAGCCGGTCCCGCGGTTCCTGGAAGATCGAAGGCAGGTCCCTCCACATCGGCTTAACAAAAGTACCCGGCAAAAGACCGATATCATTCGGTAGCTGGTGCTTCATAACATCCTTTGCGCGGGATTTCATCGACGGTTGTGCCGGGCTGGCGGGCTTGAAGTTTTGCGTTCGGTAGGCCCATCGTTGCGCCGCCGCCGAAAAGGCACGGCACTGCTGTTGCTGCGAGCCGGAGGCGAAGGACTGGGCGATTAAGGAAGCTGGGCGGGCTTTAGGGACAATGCTGCCCGCAGGAAGACGCAGTGAAGACGCCATTGCGAGCTGCGACTCGGAGTCGAAGATGTATATCTTAATCGCATCTGGGCGGAGAGCGAGAATCCTGGAAAATCCGCGGATGGTCACGTGCTGTCTCCGCGATTTCGCGGGTCCAATTCGTCGATTATGGGAAGCTCGTCGACAGCGAAGGCCCTCGCTGAAACACCACAAACTCACACTCTCTCCACTCCTCATTCAAGATCTTGCAAGGTCTTGAACAGTGGATTGTTAGAATTTCGGGATTTGACGGTTCATATCCCTCTGCTCTTCTCACCCGAGCATTCTTGACTCCGTCTCCACGGTTTTGAAATCATCCACCGATAGGGGATTCGGACTCGCCCAACTCGACACGCCCCCTCGCCCGTGCTTGAAACAAACCAACAACTCGGTCTATTTTTCCCCCCCCTCTCTACGCAACACTCACCCACCATCCTACTTCTCTCCAAGGGTTTGCGCGGCGGCCGCATATGCCGCGACCAGGTCTAAAGGCTGGCTCCTCTCCGTAATGCCTCTCCACCACCATACTCACCCCCCGCCCAAACAATCAACCCACCAGACTTGAATCTCGCGCTTGAAGCGCGAATCTCGCCCGAGCTCCTCCGACTACCCGTGGCCTCATTGCAGGGCCAATTTCTTAAAGAAGTGGCGTCTCACACGACACAGCCCGCCGTCCCGCCGTCCCCGACCTCCGATACCTCTCACACCCCACTCGGCAGTGATGCTGGCCAGACTGCGTCTTCACCGCTGCATCCGCGAGTAGCGGTTATCTTGGGTGTTGACCGCAGGTGGTACATACCGCTCCTGGTATGCCGGGCTCTGAGCACGCTGCCTGCGGCGTGGTGGGGGCTGCGATGTGCGTTTACCTTTTTGGCCGAGCTGTTGCATATCAGGCCGGGGATGGGCCGGGAGGGCTGGGCGGCAGCCATTGTCGGGAGTGTGGGACAGGAATGGGATGTTGAAAGGAGGTTTAGGGTTACGGAGGTTGCGCTAGCGATTATGTGGGTATGTAGAATGCCCGTCGATGTTGATGGCCATTGAGTTGGAGGCATGAGCTAACTTTCTGTGATCGACAGTGCTGTGCATCCGCATATCTTTCTTATTTCTTTGCTGATTGTATGATGTCTCGATGGTGGGTGTCTTCTACCTCTACCCTCGATCTCAATTGGTAACTGACCTCCTCTCTTTCTTGCAGGCTTTTGAATTACACCCCACCTGCCGTTGTAATCCGACTTTTGACAACGAACGGGTTAATTGCATATATCACTTCTTGGGTTCTCTACCTTTCCGGTGCATCCTCCGATCCACGCCTTCTTCTACCTGCGTGGATCTCTATCACAACCGTACGCAACACCCTGATCCACCAACATGACACCCCGAGGAAACCCCAAGCTTCATATCTAACCTTCACTCTTACCAAAACAGACCCTAACATTCGTCTACCACGCCACACAAAACCACGCAACAATTAAACGCGAAACAGCAGCCTCTCTACTCGTCGTTTCCGTCGCCAGTTTCCTAAGCATGTCCTCCCTCCTCCTCCAACTCCATCTAACCCGCGAAAACGAACCCGAAGTCCCCGTCTTCGTCATCACCCGTAAACTATGGGACTGGGCCGTTGCAATATTCCTACGCATGCGAGTCGCAGATGGTCGAGCCGTCGGCGAACTTTAACTTCTCACCTTTCACCTCTTTACCTTCTTCTATTGACTTCACCTTGCCCCCCACCCCTTTTACCCAACATTTGCTGGCGCTATTTATATCTATCTATCTTCTTCTTCTACAACTACTTTCCGGGAGTTACATTGCTATTACTTTTCCTTGGCTCCCTCTTTTTGGCTTCCTTTATCTATCCATTACTTGTGAAATGGAATTGCTGCAGACCTATCCGGTGTGTCTGTGACTTAAACTTCCAAGAGAAAGCGGAGTATGGAAACCAGGCTGGATTTTCTTTGTACATTTTCGGATCTGATCTCTCATCCGATGCTTTGCTTGGATCTGGGGGAGTCCTGGTCAACTTCCTAGCACCTTACCCCCTTGTCTTCTTTTTGTCATATTCATCGATCTTCGATAGATCTAATTCCATTGCTTCAATTCCCCGTGAAATACGTCCAACCCTGTACGACAAAGCCTTCGAGAATGCGAATGACTCCAACGTCAATCTGCTAGCTTGAGTTACGATACTTTACAAATTAATACGAGTGCTAGAATTGCGGCGCGGTAAATCCATGAGCAAATCAAGTTTCTTCGATTCCAAGACAATACTGGCAGACATGCAAGTAAGATGCATGAAAAGAGCGAGAAAAGTAAGAAGAATAGGGAAGACGGTAGAGACCGACAAGCCGAGCGCAACCAGCAACAGAGCACACCCCGTATTCAAAATGACTGGATCTCCTCGATCAGCACCCAGCTACTCGGTCCGAATCCTTGGTTCAGATAGGAACCTGATCGGACCAGTGACAGGGAGCTCTCGCTCCAGAACAGCAGAATAAGAAAAGGAAGAAAAAAAAAACATCAAGCACACACACGCGCAGGGTTGATGAAACGCGAAAAATAACATCGAATAGAATGAGAAAAAAGCATCGTCTGTCAATGCAGATATGGGTATCTACCAACGCCTCGTTCCGTCATGATCCCGTTCTTGGATAAGAATAAAAGTCGAGAAGGAAATGAACCACGCTTAACCCTATCGATCATGCTGAATTGAATCGCCGAGGATATCAGGGGTTGGAAAGCGGGGAAAGCGTGTCATAGCTTCGACAAAGGCCCACGTCTAATACGCCAGGCACATAGTGGTAGGGGGACAGAAAGCAAGAGATTTGACCAATGGGTTGGGGCCGGCTTAGAGCACGGCCGGCGGTTTAGAGGGGACACATGGCGTGCTTCCTATTCCCACCGCTCACAGGGCAACATAGACTGGGAAGAAGGGACCGGAACAAGGCATGGTGACGGGATTAGAACCCATGGACCTGGAAAATTAGGTTAGAGAATGACCTGTATATGATATCGAAGAATGAGACATACCTTGATGGTCTTAGCATCAAGCTCGAGGCCTTCCTTCTTGTCGGTCAAGAACTCCTGGACATCCTTACGCTGATCTCCCTGAAGCTGAATCACCTCTCCCATCTCAGTGTCAGCGACGATGGTGCCATTGCAAGCTGGACGATCGTTAGTTTCTGTTTCGGGTGGACCGACATCGCGGTAGCGATTAGTGTAGAAGGGGGATAAGATAACATACCGAACTTCTTCTTGATGACCTTCAAGATCTTCTTCTGGTCAAACTTCTTGGGAAGACCCTGAACAGTAGTCAGAGTCTTACGACCATTGCGCTCTATATGACAACAGGTTAGCATGTGGTTCAAGTACTTTCTCTTGGCGGGCTCCGTCTTGGCACCGACATGCCCGACCGTGACGATCAGCGACCGCGGGGTAGGATCTGTGTGACATACGCTGAATCCGTATATGGATGTAGTTCTGAGACTGTTTAGTCTCGCCGGTGTCTTCGTCGGCTTCGGCGAAGGGGTCTGTGAGACAAACAAAGATAACATGTCAGCCTTGATCCAATACTAAATCTCTACCCCGCCGTGGCACTCCACGGTGAGGCTGAGCCACGAGACTTCTCAGACAGAGCAGCCCAACGTCACAGTCAACATTCGGCAAACCCATCTCTGGAGACAGAATGAAGACTATGGCGAAGGGACTAGCCTGGTTGGGCGGTGTTGCGTGGGTGTTCGAGGCATGCTCACGCGCCGACAGGAGAGGGGGGCAGGTGGCGACTCACCGAAGGTCTTGAGGTTTTCGATGGACATAAACTCGGCGTAAGTCCTTGACGGCTTAGAAGGGTTTTTTTGGTAAGAGAGCGAAGGGGGGAGATTCAATATCTCTGTAAAGAGGAGTGGTCGGAGCGTGAGGAGAGTGAAGAGTCGGAGTAAACTGGTTGAGGGTCGGAGAAGAATGAGAAGGAAGAGGGTGTCAAAGCCTTTTGAGGCCTGTGGGGGGAAGGCGGTGTGTGACTAAGCGACCCTTCTACGTTTCTTGACTTGAATCTCGAAAGTTTACGACTGGCAGGGATCAGTACGACTAATTATAGAATTTTGTAGAAATAAGGAGAATCAAGGAGCTCATAACCTGGAAGATTTACAGGACGGTCAGAACGAATTGGGGAATAAGGGCGCAAGATACTGGGAGTCCCGGACACGGACAATGTTCCACCCCCTTCGACGTCTTCTCACCTGCAGCACTACCACGAGTGTTTGTGTGGGGGCATAGGCAGTGCTAGAAAGATACGACAATAGGAATCGCACGATCATTTCCCTAAAGTATTATTACACGAAGAAAATTCACTCGAATATCGGTACAAAACGAGCCAACGATTGTGCACGTATACCACAAGTAGGTAGCGTCGGTCGAGGGCCATTGCCCGTATCTCAAGTCAAGACTCGGCTGCATACAAAAAAGAGATACAGAGGTATTAGGCTCGTTGTATTGGTAGTAAAAGGTATCACAAGAGAAGAGGTGGCTTAGGGCGAGGGCGAAGGAGCTGGGGGAGCAGCGGCGGTGCCCTTGGCGATCTGCGGAGGCAGGAACATGGGGAAGTAGGTCTGTAAGGAACGGTCAGAGAACTGGTAGAGAGAGCGGGCGGGAGTGTATAGGTGGCGTATGAGAGTGAATGTACGTACAACGACCAGCGCCATCACTAAAGAAAGACCGCAATGATTAGTTAGGATACGACACGAGGACTTGACGAGGAGAAAGATGGTTCAGCACGTACGGGACATGAAGACCGACATGTAAGCTGGGGTGGCAGCAGTCTTCTTCTGCTCGGGGGACTCGGCGAGCCAGGTCTGAAGCGAAAAGACAAAGGAGACCCTAAGGAGGCATGGTTAACGGGATCAGGGACCAGCCACTTGAAGCATTTCACATACCAGCCGATCATTCTGTATCGCAGTTATCGTTAACGCGATTTTTCTGTGGCCGGTCAATTGGACTTTCGAAGCTCACCTGTTCCGCATGAACATCTAGATATGATCGCACGTCAGCTAAAAAGGATCCCCACGAGCGCAAGATCGCATTCACATACCGCGGCCATGGGCATCGTGCTCGACATAGTACCTATCGCAGAGAAATGTCAGAAAACCATAACCCTATTGTATCTGCGAAGACCCTAGGATCTCGCATAGGCTGCTTGGAGTAGTCGCGTACTGGACATGTCGGCATCGTTGGCGCTCTTGGGCGGGTCGACGTAGGGGATCGCTGCGGCGTCATTCAAGGTTAGCCAGATGGGATTCGAATGGGATCCTAGCAATTGACAGATTAACTCACCAAGATCCGCGCGCCGCATATCCTTGTTTGACGCCATGACTGGAGCTGTGGGACTGATAGTGGTGAACGGGGGAAGGAGAAGGTCACAGAGCGGCAATCCCCAAATGCCAAGACCGGTTGCCCGCTTGGGCTAGACTCGACGCATGGGGAACTCCGAAGAACGGAATCGTGGGGGGAGGAGGAGATAGGAGAATAGGCCAGAGTATTCAAATTTGAGAATTTTCAAGATAACTTATCTAGTGTTCAAGCTACCTGTCGGTTAAGAATTGTCGTGGAGTTTACTGATCAGTACTGCAGCCTATGTTACGAAATCGGATTTACGAGTTTCAACAATCCCAAGATCCGCTCAAATCTGGGGAGGATCTTTGATCACACGGGGGGTCGGTGAGCGTGGAACTCGAATTCCCTGGGTCATTTTAAGCCAGCCATGTCATGTAGATCGTGGATCAATGCACGATCTTGTCGACCGTCTCCTCGCAGGCTTACATTACAGCAGCATGTACGGAGTACGGATGTACAGATGTGCAGAGGTACCAACGCACGAGCACAAAGAAAAGCGATAGGTAACCCAACCCAACCCAGATCTAGTTAGGATACACCACTGAGTGATCCAGACAGAATCAGGCCTTCTGTGATCCGATCCTTCTCCTTGCATTTGGCATGGGCCAAGACAGACACGGCACACCGCATGAGATGCCGGGTTGGTTGGCGACCACATCGCCAACTGGCCCGGCATCTCCGACGGCAATGGCCCCGGTAGGGTTTTCCGATGGGAAGGCTGGGATGGAGCCACAAGATAGGGAGATCAACGGATAAATCCAAGATTCACCGTACGATGAAGCCGCCCATCACGTGTAGTGATCACGGAGGGTGGGCCCATACGGAATGTGGACGAGCCTGGGCATAATAAGAGGGAAAGGAGTGTAGTACTACGGAGTACAGTCGAGGTACTGTAGTTTGTATTGTGCTCCGCATGGAGTATTGTATGTCCGCGGTCAAGGATTGATTCGCCCGCTCAACTAGGGCAAGCAAATCCTGTGATAAGCGAGCGCTCCTTCCGGTATCTGAGGATAACTGCAGCTGCATCGGGGAAGGGGGGGCGTAAGCTGAGGAAAAGTATACTCTGTCTGCCCAGTGCCCACGGACCATAAGTCGAAGGACCTAGCGACTGGGAGACGTCCCTAATGGCCGCCGGTCGGGAACTTTTCTGTACTAGGTAGTTGGATGATTGCTTGGTGCTTAGTCTTCGGACACGGGGGGAACTCGATCGGGCTTGCGTGCTGAGAATATGGGTATCATGTTTTGGTGGAGTGATGGCGAAATCTGAGCGGATGATTTGGTAAATAGATCGTGAAGCGGTGATGACGAGACTCCACAGTATAATAAATAATGAGTTTGTTGCGTAAATTATGAAATACATAGCTAAGTCAATTTTGGTTCTCCTTAAGTTTGTATTTCCTATGAGCGATGGACCATTAGACTATAAAGCCTTGTCGGAGTCCAACCTCTCGTTCTGGGAGACAAAAGCCTGTTCGGGAAGGGAGATGCGACGGTGTTTGAGGATACCCACTTTGGGGAGGGATTCACTTACTCCGGGCTCTATACTTTCAATCAGATCTGCTTCTTTCTAATGGACTACGGAGTAGCTTATGACAAGAGAGGTTAACGAGGGTAAGTATACTTAATTGATCGCTATCCTCGTGTGACCGTCGGGTGTTGGGTAAAAGGAGTGCTACCCTATCCGACAATGCGAGCATACCTATCGGTCTATCTACGGAGGAAGAAGGAAAGAAAATGACAAAAAAAGCAACTCAGGTCGGAGCCCGTATGTATGGTGGGAATAATTGGCCTGATTTATCAAAGACTGAAGAGTATCGGTCGGAAGAACACTGGATTCTTCAAAAGCCGTCGGTCAGGAGTGCCACGAAACCCACCGCGGTCTGACTGTTCCGACGAGAGATTGGAGTAGTAGTTCCAAAAAGGGATACGCAATGTTGACACATTAATAACATTATTCCCAATCCACTGGCTAGTGAACTGGACCCGCCCACAAGCGCGATAGTTCCGCGATCACTCGATCCCAAAGGGGGACCGGGGACAGATTGATTAAGTTCGGCCTTTGAAAGGACAGTCATGATATATACAGATTCTATCAATCATAAAAATTGGCCATAGCTGAGAAAGGAAGGGCGGAGAGAGAGGGGGAGGGGGAGTCCGGAATTACCGTGGAAAGTCAACCGTTCGAGGGTTCCCCCGGTCCTAACATGCCATCCTAAATTAGGTCTATCTGCAGACAAGGATTGCCAGATGCAGACGAGGTGGTCTAATAAAGGTCCATCAGACCATAGAGACAGTAGCTCACTTTTACAGCCTCAGCTATGCAATCCCAGGAACATGTACAGTAGAACCATACCGTCCAGCGCATGCGATTCCGCCCGCCGATCCCGAGGTGGATCCTCCGGTGGACTTGGACTGGTGGACTGGTGGACTGAAAGTGTGGACGGTGGACGGAGACTGACGGACTCTCGTGACTTACGTTATCGCGACCCATCTCGTCCCATAAACACCCTCTTCCCGATAACGTCCCTTTCTTCCGATCTGAACCTTGAATCTTGGAACCCCCTCAACTCGATTTCTCGACTTCCCTGCATTACTCTCGCCCTATACTATACCATTGAACCTCAACCACCCATTCCGTCCCTTTGACTCCACCTTCGGCCTGTACCCGTGCCGCTTGCCGCCCAGCATTTTGCCTGGTTCGCCCCGTTGCCCGAAGCATTCTGACCTATCCACCCTCGACCGATGTCGTGAATTTAGATCCTAGTCCCAAATCGGCTCATTCACCATTTTAAATACATGTTATCGAGTCTATAGCTGCCGACATCACATCATCTTGCCTTTGCGGCCCTGCCCCCCCTTTCGAACCCATTCAAATGATACCCTTCGGCCGACTTTGTACACCATGAGCCTAAGATGATCCCCCATTCTTCCGCCGGCCAACCCTGGGGCCACCCGATGCGCACCCTCAATGGAGGCCCCGGACGGGTTGACCTGGCTCAAATGGCCGGCCAGTACGATTCGCCATCGGTCTCTTCGCAACATTCCATATCGCATTCGCAATTACAGTCGCAACCGCTGCCGCCGCCACAGCCGCCCATCCGCCAAACACCCGTGGTGGACTTGACAGCTGGCGGATTCGAGTCGCACGATCGAGAGCCCCCGCCAAAACGACCGAGACTGGATGTATCGAGTGGATCGAATTTGGGTGAGGCCGGCTCGACAATGAATAGTGTTGAACCGCGGAGCACGCCGAGCAGCGCTGGTTCGCGGCCGCAGCTTTCGTGGCGTGGTCGACCACTATGGTCTTTCCAGGCTGTCATATCGGAGATTCCTGGAAGCGAGAACCGCGGGGATGGTGCGACGGCTTCGAAGCCATCGTCGCCACCTCCGTTTCCCGCGCAGCCGTGGACTAATGTTCGGCCAGAGCGTCAGGGCAATGCAGATTCGAAGTCTCGCGATCCATCTCCAGTCAAGAAAGTTTCTACAACGCCATATCGTATTGAGACGCCTTCTGCGGCTCCAATTATCAAGGGAGATAGTAAGTTGACCGATTCGCACCTTGCATCTCTGTTGGATGCTGCCATGACGGCTTGCTAACATGCATATCAGAAGTCGCCGGTTTCGCCCCGTGGACTGGAAATCACCCGGAAGATATATTGAACGAGCAGACAGCGAAACAAGGTTATTATGATCGTACTCAGGTCTCCCAAAATGAATCCAACACCGCGCGCCCGGCTTTGTACGCGCAGCTCAAGCACCGTACGGGCCTGCAGATGCTTTCGTCCGTATTCACTGCGGCCCTCGAGAAACGCCAGAATCACAACGCTGTTCACGCTCCATCGACTTTCAAACCACCGCCACGAGTCACGCTGACCGATAATAAGCGAGAAGCGTGGCTTCGCGATCTTGCCAACTCGGCCGTACCCTTGCGCCGATTAAGCCGAACCATTCCCCACGGTATTCGTGGCAAGGTGCTGCTGGATCAGTGCCTGGGTAAATGGATTCCGGTGGCTCGAGCCGTTTGGCTTGCAAAGTGTGTAGGTGCCAACGAGATTCGTGCGTTCAAGCGCAAAGGCACCAGCGGCGCTTTGGCAGTGGGTCTAGAGGCGAAGTGGGTTCGTGAATGGACTACCAACGTTCAACAATTCGTCGAGGGAGTCTTTAGTGTGCCCAAATCGAATGACTGGAAAGCTAAGATGACCTACGCCGTGGGATTGACTGCTCGACTCTTCTTCGAAAACCTCCTCGACCACGATCATTTCCTGGAATGGTTCTTGGCATCATTCGAAGCGGCTTCCTTAGCTACCGTGCCTGTCTGGCTGCTGATGCTTGGTATATACTGGAACAACCTCATGCGATATCGACGACGAGGACGACGACTAGCGGAAATTCTACTTGAAAAGCTAAGACAGGTCACCGCCGCCAAACTCGACCCCTTGCAACCTCTCCTTGATCGCTTAACTCGTTTCGTCAAAAAGTTGGTTCACGAACATACTTCATCCATGATTCTGCCAAATTCATGGGACACGTATAAAGATCAAGTCTCCTCATGCCTCAATCTCTCTAATAAAGTCGACCGGGCCCTGTTCCAAAATATTGCGGAACGAAATGCCCGAGTACAGCGACCTCGACACCCTAAACAATCCGCTCAGCGTTCTCCCCATCAACGCATCATCCGTCTTCTCGACTCTATTCGCTCCGCCCACGACATTACCGCAGTTTCTTCTGCTTGCCTAGATACCATCGATGATCGGGCCATTCTCGTTTCAAAACTGCTAGAATGGCTTGCCACACCGTTCCGTCATGGCATCTCCCGCATCTATGTCGGCGTCCGTCTGCTACGGAAGTGGAAGGCATCCGGGGTTGATGTCGACGAGCATATCCTTTCCTTCCTTACGCACGCCGATATTAATGAGAAGCTCAATATGGATAATGTTTATCATGCCATCTCCGAGCTTGTCAGGTCACAGACATTCTCGGTTGGCCGGTACCTGCAATGGTTGATGGCAAAGGGTGTGACGAATCGTCAGCCCGATGACACTCTGTCAGCCATCGAAACTCCCGGCGACATCGGATTAATAGCACAAATTCCCGTTGGCCGCCTCCCTGAACACGTTGGCAATCTGCGCAAAACTTTGATGGCGCGTACTGGATTCTCTGTCTCGGAAGAGGGCGAAACGGTTGCCAACATCAAGATCTTGATCTGCCATCGCCTCCCGGGCCTCTTTCGTTCAGCGATGTTGTTGGATACATCGCTCAAATCGTTACCGCAGAATATGACATGGGCTGTGAAGGCTGAGATTGCCCAGTGGCTTCGTCGCGGTGTTGTTGAGCATACCCGTATGAAAGCTAATAATTTGCGAGCTATGCTTCCAGGTGAACTCGGTCATTCCATATCTGCGCTCACATCCGAAGAGTTTTACATCGTTCGTGATATCCTTGAGACTATCGGTGACATCTCTATATTGGCAGATGTGCTCAAGGTTGTGTCGAGCTCTAATGATAGCACTGTTCTCGCATCCGTTGCAGACACTACCAATTGTCATTTTGACTCGTTGTCTGTTATTGGCGCAACGATGGACCTGTTTCGCAAATTGGTCGATGCGTATGCCGGCATCAAACGCTATGGCATGCCCAGCCTGGATTTGATGTTTTCACTCATTGAGCTTGGCCTTCGGATTCCAAACGAACTCAACACTGTCGCCATCCTTCGTCAAGATCTCTCACGCATGGAAAACAAATCTGTTGTCGCTGCTTGTTCGCCTGTTTCGGACCATATCCCGGATAGCTTCGGCGAAGCCGATCCCCTCTTCCGCGAAAAGCTTGATCAGCTCTTGCTCTTGGGCAATGTTATGGATGAGCCCACCCTAGACACCATTTTCAACATGCTGGCAAAGCATTTGGAAACCGGCGAAGGCAAGACGAAGCTGTCGGCCAATGATACCTGTAGATATCTAGCGCAGTTGCGGTCCTTCCAGCCCAAACATTTCGATATGATTCTCGCCCGTTGGGTTTGTGGACACCTCAGGTCATCCGATCGGACAATACTGCTTCGCATTCTTCCACCACTCATTGGAGTTGGATGCGTGACTATTCGGTCATTCCTATCACTCGCCAAGAGACTGTCAAATTCCGTTAACTCTATCCCAAACGCCGCAGATCTGCCCGCCGATCTAGTTGAACTTCTTGTTCTCCACGACGAGGATGGCAGATACCTCGATCTCGTTTCCTACCGATTCCAACTCGCCCAGCAAGAATTCATATCCAGGAACACCGAGCAGGCTTTGGAAATTGTCTGTGACGCCGCTGCCTGCCTCAAAACTGATGACCAGAAACCGGCTCTCAGGTATATCAATTTGGAGACGTCCATGGTGACGCTATTGCGGGAGTTGTTTGTGCGAAACCCCGAATGCGCGAGTAGATATTGCTTGCAAAAGATCGGTGATCAGTCCCCGGCCGCAATATTGGTTTTCCAAAAAGCCCTCGACCTTTTACTTGGGGTAGACTCGCAGAAAGCTAATGATTCTGTCATTTCGGAAGTCGAGAAGCTTGCCAATACAACCGACGACTTTTCGCTTCCGCTCTGTCAGTTGAAGCTCCAGGTTTTGTTCCATGCCGACTCTGCAAATGAAGATCGAAGCAACCTTGTGGATGCAATGTTCAAGACTGTCGTGGCTGATTCGCGTGCGCACAAACTCCACTGGATTGATCTTGTTGCTTTGATGAGTCCCGATGCGGTGCGCCAGATTCGGGAACGGGCCGAGAAAGAGTTCTTTGCGATTCCGCTTCTTGAAGAGCCGGTGACCTCGCAGAGTATCACCTCTTTGGAAAATGCAAAGTTGTATCTCACAATCATTGAAGAGCTTGCCAGCAGCATCTCCGATTCCGGGACGCCATCGATTGCGCCGCTTCTTGTGGAGAAGATGGATCTACTTCTGCACAAGATTATCACCTTGCAGTCTGGTCTCAACAATTCTGATGAGAATCGCACCGCCACATCGGCCGGTCAAGGACGCACGACCTTTGAGCGGTCTCTAGCCTTCTGGTTCTCAGCTCTGCTGCGGATGGTAGTCATCCATCGCGCCTCGTTCATCCAGCCGTCGCCCACGCTGAAAATTGGCTCCTCTCACGAGCAGTCCCGCCTTCTCATATCAATCTTCTGCATTGCACTATCCCGTCTTCCGGGCGACGTGCTCCGCCACTTCCCAGGCGCAGACTACTTCCCCCGTCAAGGCGCCGTAGAAGACTGCCGCCCCTGCCCAGGAATCCTACTGCAGACGCATGCATTAGATGTGGCCGCCTCGCTCATCGATATCTTCCCCGACGAGATCCGACATCAATGCGCTCGCTTCCTAAAGGAGAGGTGCCCGCCCTTTGTACCCCTTCAGAACGACTCGCGTTTTCTCTACCTCCTCGGTCCCATGTCCGATTCCCACCCGTCCAGTATCCTCCAGTCGGCATCCGCCCCTTCTCCCGCGGGATCTGCATCCACGCCAACCCCGACATCCGCCAATTTCCCTGCCGCTGGCGCTGCAGCCCAGCCCACGCCATCCAGTCAATGTGGCGTACTTTCCGAGAACGCGAATTGCATAGCAAATCGACTGCGCCTTCAGAGCCGGGGCCGGATTGTCGGTCCGTATCCGATTCGCCCGTGGGAGTTGCTTGAAGACGCGGCACCCTTCGTGGGCGTTAACGACACTGCGGTGAATCTGGGCTATTTCGACGCGAGACGCGTTCGTGTCTAGACCGAGTTCGGATTTGAGTTGCAGGTTCACGCTGTGCGATGATCTACAATTAAACCCCATAATTCCCTTCATCCGTTATACCTCTTATCCTTTTTGCATCTATACCGATTATGTCCATTGGTCCTTCAACCACACCAATTTCTCATATTGTCACACATCCTATGCCTTTTATCTTCCTTTCATCAAACAAGCATCGACCTTGGGTAACGACAAATACATGTTTACGAGTCAAAATATTCATCAGTCTTGTCTTGTCTTGTCTTTCATGTCGCCATTTGGACCATCCTGGTCTGGCCCACCAAGGTCGGGTTATTCTGCCTGTGGCTCGAACGCTTTGCCTTACCTTGCCCTAGCATTCGGGGTATTTTCATTCTGTTGATTTAAGGTTCTCATGGTGTCACGTCATACTCGCATCGAGATGCATGGGGTTATCGGCCTTTTATTTTTGACTTGGTTTTGTATATACAGTTTCCGAGGCGTGTGTTTTCTGTATTTCTGCTTCCTATCCATATCCATATCCATATACGGGCGTTGTTCGGGCCTGGGATTGCAATTAAAATCAAATCTGTTTCTGATTTCTCGGCATTCATGCTGTTTTCTATCTGTCTTCTTCGCGCGTGTCTCTGGTTCATTGAAGGCCGTAAACTGTACAATATTGCACCTCCCCAAGTATGTAACAACATCTAACCCAGTCAACCCCCACACATACTGACAGGCTTTAGTTCATCTCGTGTGAACCCCAACCCCAACCACCCTCGATATCCCGTCAAAAAAACAGCCGCCTAAGTACAGCTATCACTCCCCGAAACAAACGTGCCATCCGAATTCTCACACCCACACACCCCCGTATTCGGATCCTTAATACACCCAGTCCCATACCCACTGCTAGTTCCCTGCGAACCCCAGTAAAACACCCAATAGTCCGAGTCGGCCTCTAGCTCAGAGTATGTCGGTGCGGTGCAGGTGTACGCACTACATGTTCCGTACGGAGCGCCGTGGTACGAGTCGTATTGGTGGTCCGTCTCGAAGACGGCGAAGGTCTGGGTCCCGGAGACGCGGGTGTTGTGGGAGCATTCGGCGGCTTGGATTGCTTTGGAAACCTTTGAGGCTGTGGATGTGCAAAGGAGGAAATGGGGGCGTTAGCATGACGGGTCGATTTAGGTGGATTAGGTGGACTTGGTAGATATGGTAGAATTGTTGAGGGAGGCAGGGCAGGGGGAGGGATGGGTTTGGCGTACCGCTGCAGTTCAGACTCTTGGGTTTGTAGCCCTTTGTGTTGGAGGTTGCCGGGTCGAGGGTGGCCGTCACGATGGCCGGGGCAGCCAGGAGGGCGAGGATACTGGTGAAGTGCATTTTTGGGGTTTGAATTCTAGACGGATTGTAGTTGTGAAAGGATTTTTGGTAGAATTGATGGGATTAGGCTGGTATTTATAAAAATATTCCGAGCTCATTGAGAAAGCTATGTATGTACTATCCGATTCCCTCCCTCCGACACCGGGCTGTGTGAGCCGGGGAAATACTTTAATCGGTATGGGATTAAATGAATAGTATTCGTACTCAGGGGGATTCAAATGGATATGGCAAAGTCCAGACCCGTAATAAGCATGTTTTGTTTCGGGATGCCAATCTTGAAACAATGATGGAGGATCTCCGATCTCCACTCTTGATGATCCACTGGCCGGGGCTGGGTTAAGCTTGTAGTTCGGACAATAATTGAGTTATTTACAGTAGAGTAGTTAATTAGCCTTTTGGGTTTTAATATGTCCTTCCTCACAGTTCTGGAACTTGTTAGACTAGCGGTGAATCAGAAAAGTCTATCTCCCCACACGCATATTCTATTGCTGGCCCCCAGAATCGGGACATATTAGCGTCAACGTCAGCGTTTCATAGAAAATGATCTTGTTTGAAATTGTCTCCCTCGATTCCCCGAGTCCATAGTACCACCCCTGCATGGACATGGTAGTTGGCTGGAGGCGTGTCTAGGTTATGATCGACAGCTAGTAGGGTGTGGATAGCAGGAGGGCACGTGTAGCTTGTATATTCCCCATATGGCAGAGTTGTGATACTTTGGATGTTCCGCGTGGATTAAAGTGGACTGATGTATATGCAGGTCTTGCTTTTTGGAAGTATAGGATAAGATATCCCAGAAACACGGTATCATAATGTCAGCGATAACAGGAAGACGTAATGTAATGCCAAGAACACTTTCAACTGATTTTTGAGTCTAGGACTATCTATACTCCGGTGGCTGCTGATAGCTACCAAATGGGCATTTTACACGAGTTCGTTGACTCTCTCGAGAATTTCCATTCTCGAATTTAGTATTTGCTTGTTCCACACTGAGGTTTTTGTACATTATGATTCCTGCCCCAGGATGAGACTCTCTCCTACTTGTTCGCCAAAGAACCAGAACAAAAGACACACGCGTTGATCCTGTTCCGGGCGTGATTGAGTATCAGAAAAGCATAAAGCACCACCCAAAGGGGTCCCGCATATCTTTTTCATGCCCACAACAGCCCGTAGCCGCATGTCGGACTTGGGAGTCGCATTATATCGCCAGGCTCGAACATGTACTTACACACTTGCGGCATGGATTTTGTACGCCCATAGGGAGCGTTTTAGCACCGAAACATTAAATCAGATATTCCATGAGACCGGCAGTGCGAACGGTGTCGTGTAGCCATGCCGAATTTCCTGGCAAACTCCTCTGTGTCCGCAACTACCAGCGAAAAATGCCACGATTCCGACCAGCTTGCAGTGTTTTATTCAAAAGCGAAGTTCTCTGATGCACAGTTTGCGAGATTTAGGGCACCTCACAATCCATATAGACAGATCCAGATGTTCCTGCTGCTGTGTTTCCGGGTTTCAAATTATCAGAGCTCAGTGTCTTTATATTCACTCGGGTTCACTCCCATTTTGGCGAGAAGAAAGTTGAGAATCACTGGGGAATCGCGCGATGTAAACCATGCTTAGGGCTCCGAGAATAGAATGCTGGTTAGCAAGGGTACTTTCTGATCTTGGTCCGGGGAGTGGATAGTGCACTGTGCCTATTCCTGAGAGCGGGTAATTTCCTCGCGAGCATAATCTGGCTGTACAAAATCTGGCAGATATCAGAATCAGTAGAGTCCAGGTCAATCACGAAATGACTCAGGGAAGGGGTAAGTTCAAGAAAGACAAACAATAACGAATCCAAAACCATGCCATAACCCGGTCATAGTGGCCCCAGTTACCTTCCGAATTGCCGTGCACAAGCGGAATAGACCAAGCATCCAACTAGTCTTCAAGTGATTGCTTCAAGCACTCAACCACAGCAGTGTATCCGCAGAATATGCATCTCCATGATCAAATCCAAGAGAATGCCAAAGATACACACTCTCCATCAAGATAGCCCGGACACTAAGGTGGGCACCAGCATTCACCAACGCCGCGACTCAAGCATGGGTGCAGGTAATATGTATCAGAAAGCCACCTGCATAGTCTTGTCCTAGCGGTATACAATCATCATTAAAGGTTACGAATCCCTGACCTTAGACAGGCCTTTATCTTACAGCTCGATAGAATACATGATATCAAATCACTAGGGAAAAAAAGTCACATTGGACGAAATCGACTCTCAAAGTCTCAGCCACCACGAACGAAAACCAGCTCGAACGGAACGGAGAGGGATCCCGAAGAAACAAGAATCAGAAGAACGAAACCCAGAAGAAACAAGGCCCAGAAGAGAACGGAAGCAGAAGGGAAAAAGCCGAGACAAAACGAAGAAATGAAAACAAATTGAAAACCACTAGCTTCGAAAGCTCAAGTTGCCCTGAACAGTAGATCGAGATGCCATCCAAGTCTTTTCCGGCTTGGACGGACTTCACGGAGCAGTTGCGAGCCACAGATCCATTCTGTGAAACACTGGGATCAGTGCCAGTCTTGGGCTGGCGACTATCTTTCTTCGCATTCAGAGCCTGCTTCTCCTTTTTCTGCCTTTTTCTTCATTTCATCCTCGATGAACTGAATCACCTCCTGCAGCTGCTCTTCACTCAAGTTTAATGCCTTGTCGATGTCAAGATGACGCACGTGCTCCTCAATGCTGAGGGTCCGTGAGATGGCATCATCGGGCTTTGGGGTAGGAGATGCGCAGGTTCGGCTGGAACTGGTGCTGGCGATAGAGTTGCTGGGACTCGGTGGCTTGGAGCCCTCCATGGGGGTGTTTGTGGCCCAAATGACGGTCTTCTTGCTCTTCTCCGAGTCGGAAAGAGGAGCCAAGCCGATGCTTGAGCCCAAGCGGAATCCAGTGGCGGACACGGAGCGAGAACGAGATCCAGAGTGGGACTGGGAGCGGGATCGAGATGGAGATTGGGAGCGGGATCGACGAAGATATTGAGAGAGAGTGCGGGAGCGAGATCGAGAGCGAGGTTCAGCTTCAGTGGCAGAATCATTGTCAGTCATCTCTTGAACAGACATGACGATGTCGTTGCCGGTGGCAGTCTTCTCAGAGGCAGCCTTGAGGTCCTCTTCTTCCTCGTCATCGTCGTGATAGACACGGATGAGACGGGGGGCCTTCTCGGGAGTCTTGGGGTTCAATGGAACTCCTGCCACAGTGTCGTTCTCGGAAGCCTGCTCGACCAGCTTCTTGTCTGAGACTTCATTTACTTTGACGTGAGGCTGATTCACCGGGCTTGGTACCTTGTGAGGGCCGAAGCGTTGGTCGGTGATGTTGGGAGGGGAGTGGGCAAAGCCTCCATGTCCAGGAAAGGGCTCGCCATAAACCATGTGGTCGACAGGACCGACAGGGGGAAAGTACCCATTTGGGTGACCATTCATGCCAGGGGGAGGGTGAACGGGGCCATAGTTAGGGACGAATCCGGAAGGGTAGTAAGGCCCGGGTGGTGGAGGATAATGAGGCTGACCGCAGACGAGGTAGGCCGGGTCCATGGGGGGAGGACCAAAGGCATCAGGAGGTGTGTGAGGGCCCATGTAGCTCGGAGGGCCACAGAAGGGAGGGCCATTGAAAAAGGGAGGAGATGCGGCGTAGGGATGGGGGCCAGGAGGAGCAGGAAAAGCGTAATGAGGATTGAAGAGTGACGGGTGCAACTCATGGCTGTTGAAGGTTACCCCATTCATTGTGAATGTTGGGTTGGAGAAGCTTCCGGGGCGGGGAGGCAGGTTCTCATTGCTCATCTGAGAGTGACGAACCTTTGGGAAGCCACCGTGATATCCGTTCCGGTGGTTGAAGTTGCCATTACCGTTGCGGTGCTGGCGGGAGTTGTTGTTTCGCTGGAAGTTTCCAGCACGAGAGGAGAAACGCCCATTGTAGGGCTTGGAGCGAGGGACCCCGTTGCCGGGGCCCTGAACGGAGCCCTGAAGGAGCGGGCTGCCGTCCATGTCGAGCAAGTGAAGGTAGTACTTGTCGTCTTTTTGGAAGTACTGGGAGTGAGGGGTGAGAATTGGTTCAAAGTATGTGGAGGGGAGGTGTGGAGGAGAGAAGGGGAGAGGAGAGAGGAGAAGGAAGAAGAAATAAAAGGACGAGGGAGAGGAAGAGAGGCAGAGGCAGAGGAAGAAACGCCCAGGCAGACAAGATGAGGCAGAAGGTGAAGGTGAGAGGGAAAAAGAGAAAGTGAGAGAAAGAAACCGGAAGATCGTACCTTGATAGCGTCTCGACAATCATCAACGAAAGCAAACGTCACTTTGGCAACGTCCGTCCAAACCTGATATCCCGTCTGCTGCTGCTCGATGGTGTAGACTTCCAGAGAGCCACGACCATCCAGAGCAGTCAGCACGTCTTGCGCCGTCACGGGCTGAAGAGAGCGAAGCCCAAGACAAGCGGTTCCTGCCACTGAGGATTAATTCAATTCACGGGGGGAGATTGAAGCAGAGGACATTACATACTTCGTCCTTTAGCTCGTTCGATTCTCAACAGTCGATCATGAAGAACGGTGGATTGGTCGCTAGCGAGGGCTGCACTGGCATCCTCCACACGCTATAGAGCACGATGTTAGAAAGGAAAGACTCTTTTGTATATCCCCATTGGAACAGCATAATGCACGCTTACTTCAAACTGCACAAAGGCACCGGGCAATCCCTTCTTTTTGTCCTGCTTGATCTTTACATGACAAGCACCAAATTGTGTAAATTCCGACTTCAAGTCTTCAGCCAGCGTCTCGGTGGGGACTTTGGTAGATAGACTGTGATATCCGTTAGTAGAATAACTGGTAGCATATTCAGATAGACTCATAGCTCACTTTCCAACAAAAATACACGCCTCGGGAGGGAACAAGCCCTGGGCATTCTTCGCCGAAGGCTCCTCCTGCAGCCGATCCCCGCGAGGGCACTTGGCCTCTCCATTTGGAACCACGAGTTGGATGGTCATTCTGGAGTATGTATCAGAGGGTGGAACAAAGCGTAATGAGCGGGTATAGCTATGTTTGTAGGGTGATCACAGCGAGGTTAGATGTTTAGAAGAATGAATGTATGCACATGGACGACGGGAAATGAAGAGATTGAAAGGACTACGAAGAGGAGGAGAAATCCCCCCGATTTTTTCCCCTCTACCACATTGGACTTTCTTCTCCGCAACAAATTGAGAACCGTGATCCCATGGGGTTACGACTAAGCCTCATTCTCTGGAGCAAAGCTTGGGAAATACTCGAGCAAACCATGGCTAGTTTCGGGGCTTGACAATCAGACCTCCGATGGTTTGACTCAGAACCAAACCCTATTTGGCACACTCGGAGCCGGACAAGAGTGATGGAAGCATCATATTTGTTTCTCATGACTCGCTTCTCCCAGGCAGAAGCTCCAGGTTGACTGGAAGCTTGGATACTTCGCGGCCTGAACAGCCTCCATGGGTCTTGTATAACATGATCACCGAGATTGTCCGGTTTACAGCCAGTATGCAAGGCGGAAGATTCATTTTTGGGTTCCTGCAAATTGGCTGAGCAAGGTTTCATTCGGCCAGTTCGATTGCTATCATGACGTTCAAGGTGCGTAAGGTACGGATTGCTTGGGTGGGGGTAGGCAGAGTGATGTTAGAGATTGGACAGCAATCCAGTACGCCGAGAAAGTAATAGACTGGGATCACCCTTTCCAGTCTCCATCTGTTGAATGGGGATGTAAGTTTGTTCGGCCGTCCGTAAGAGGTGAGCCGCCTGCTGCTTCGGTGCCGATGCCCGATGGAGGCATGGAATGACCAGCACAAATCCCGAAAAGGGTAATTTGGCAAGGGTCGTTGTTTGAAGCAAAGGAGCAAGTAGAAATGAAGCACTAAAAATAAAATTAGAAGGTTTTACTTTAACAATCTAGCAGTTGGAATGGAATAAGACCGAAAATAAAGATGTTGACATACGGTCACCATCATACTAAGTTCATGGATCAAACCCTAAGTGCAGAGACGCCACATGCTGTGCCTGGATATATTTTCACAACGCACTCGGTTTCTGAGCAAGACCTGCAGGTTTATGCCTAGGTCGGAATGAAATTGGCCCGTTACTGACTGTATCATACGATCTGAAATTATTAAACTGTCAAGCATCAAGCTCGCCCGATGACGATGTTCCAGTTGTCTGTCTAGGGCTTTGGATATTCTACTTTTCTGGCGGCTTTTCCAACCCTTTTCTAGTCAATACTAGCACTTTATTCTGTTTATTTGTTGTCCATGTTTTAGCTTGAGGATTTGGTCACTCTACATGCTCCCTGGCATATAACAAATACCTCACGGTTGGAACAGGGTTGGATACAAGCTCCAAGCAGCGCACGAATCGGTTATCTTATCGCGGCAGATCGGCGCGCAAGTCTTCACGCCACCTCGGGACGCCGACATCATCCCAAATCATCGCCAAGCAAGCTCCAGCTCCTCCCTCCTCCACCTCCCATCCTCCTCCAGATCATACTCGCTTAGATTAGCGATGATTCCGACACGGAGCTTGGCTGCCCAGGGCGGCTTCTTCAAGCGGAGTGCCGAAGAATTCAGCCGTCTCTCCAAGATAGGTCGGTGTCGCGCTCTATTTCTCCCCGTTTGGTCATCCAGCAAGCTAATCGCGCAACGTCTACAATCTATAGCTTGGAACACCGAAGCCCTTCATACCCCGACCAAGCCCTATGTCCTCTTGGACTTTGAAGATCCGTCCTCGGTCGAGGGCTGCAAGACCATGGCTGACCGCGCCGTCGGCGGATTCAGCACTGCGAGCCTGGACTTCGAGCCCGCGGATCCCGCATCGAATACCCCTGCACATGCGCGCTTCCACGGCAGCATCTCCACCAAGCTGCCGTCGAACTGGCGCGTCGAGAGAACCGGTAAGTTTTCCGGCGTTGCGTCAAAGAAGCTCAAAACAGGGGACCAGAAGTACTGATCACTTTGGGCTTTAATGAATAGGCTACGCTGCATTCCGCAATCGAGACCGCGGCTTCTGGCTCTTCGGCCGTCTTTTCTGGGACGTTGATCCCTACGCTTACCTTGCCCTCCGCATAAAGTCCGACGGTCGTCGGTATACCGTGAATATCCAGACCGACTCGATTGTGGAGACCGACATCCACCAACACAGATTGTACACCCGGCACCACCGCGTCCACGGTCAAACACCCATGCAACAAGCCATACGCTCCAGATCTACGGAAGAATCCGGCGCTGAAGAAGAGCTGTATCCGCGAGGTGTTCCCGACGCTTTGTCCGATTTCCCGCCCGAATCGACTATCATCTCCTCATCCTCTAGCGCTACGACCTCCGGAACGACGGGGTGGGAGACCGTCTTCTTGCCGTTCAATTCATTTGTTCGGACGAATCATGGATACGTGATGGAACCACAGACGTGTCTGCTTCGGTCGCGGGTGAAGAGTATTGGAATTGGTCTGACGGACCGTATCGAGGGACCGTTTGATCTGCGTATCCACAAGATTTGGGCGACGAATGGTATGGGGGAAGCTGATATTGAGGAGGAGCGGCGGATTTGTGGTGCAGATGCGTTGCCTATTGACGAGGGTGTTCGGACTGCTTGGACGAATAAGCAGGCGTCGAAGGAGGAGGAGGAGGGTCAGAAGAGCTCTACGACGAAAGAGAAGGGTCTGAAGGGATTGAAATCGGAATGGGATGAGTAATTTGTCTGGGCACGCTCCCCTCAAACCGTTTGTATATTATCTTGCTACGTATGTTTCCGGTGTTCGGGACACTCGAACATGTAACAATCATTGGACATTCATGAATCCATTTTAATTCCCTCGTCCTCGGCTCCAGTTCATAAAGACATACACAGATCCGTACCCTCTTCTAAGTAACACAACTTCATGATACATAATAACATTCCAGATTCTCGCTCTAGTTACCACCAGTAAGCTTCTCCCAAGCCTCCTTGTACTTCTCAGCAGTCTTCTGCACAACCTCATCGCTCATACGGACACCCTCCTTGCCCTTCAGACCCTCCGAGACCAGCCAATCACGCAGGTACTGCTTGTCAAAGCTCGACTGGCCCTGACCAACAACGTACGAGTCCTTGGGCCAGAAGCGGGACGAGTCGGGGGTCAAGACCTCGTCAGCGAGGACGACCTCGTTCGTCTCCTCGTCAACACCGAATTCGAACTTGGTGTCGGCGATGATGACGCCCCGCTCGAGGGCATAGGCGTGTGCAGCCTTGTACAGCTGCACAGCCAGCGAGGCAATGGTAGAAGCGTAGGGCTCGCCGACGATAGCGGTAGCTGTTCATACTCCGTGGTTAGCTTCACTCCTCTTGGAATACTTTGTTAGTACACGCAAACGTACCCTGGTCAGGATGGATGTTCTCGTCGTGCTCGCCCAACTCGGCCTTGGTGCTGGGGGTGTAGATAGGTCCATCGGGGAAGGCCTCGCTCTCCTTCAGACCCGCGGGGACCTTGATGCCGTGCACGGTACCGGACTTCTGGTACTCTTTCCAGGCAGAGCCGGTGATGTATCCACGGACGATAGCCTCGATAGGAAGAATGCGGAGCTTGCGCACCTGCATGCTACGGTTCTGCAGCTTGGGACGAAGCGATTCGGGGATCTGGGGAGGAAGGTCGAGGGTGATGAAGTGGGTGCGGAGAGTAGGAATGGCCTCAGTAAGGATCTGGAACCAGATCTTGGTGCAGAGAGTGAGCAATACACCCTTGTTAGGAACGCCCTATTCATATCCAAACGGTAAGCGATTGAACGATCGTGGTGGGAGTCACATCTTAGCCTCGTACGTTCTCCATGATCACATCGTAGGCGGAGATGCGATCACTAGCAACGAAGAGCAGGGTCTTCTCGTCAACCTCGTACAGGTCGCGCACCTTACCCCGGGCAACGAGGGGGAGAGCGCCCTGGAGGTCAAAGGTCGTTACAGCTTCCGCCATGGTGAAATCGAGTCAATTGGGAGTTAAATGAGAGAAAAGAAGAGCCAATGCGTCATTCGCGGGATACATTTTTTGGCGGGGCATCGCCGATCGCGGCCTCGCAGCCTCAGGCAGTTATCGCGGACTTATCAACATTAAACATTCAACTCCGAAACGCGCCCAGAACACGTCCAGAGCCCTCGGGATTCAAAAGCAGCTGGGTGGTCCCGGAAAATGGGCCAGTCTTCGCCGAAATGACGCGCTACCTGACACCGTGGAGGATCTCTCTGTTGTGCCTGATAACAGTGTACACCGATGGGCTCGTGCCCAATTCATCCGCCATCGATGTGCTCTCCTTCCTGACCGCGGGCCTATTCCCTTTAGATCCCGCCGATAAGCAATGGGAGAAACACTACCTACCACGCATCACCGAGATCGAGGAGGTGCTGTCGGGCCATGAATCGTCCGTGCCGGGCCGATCACTTTGGGATATGTTTCTGAAGAAGATCTGGTCACTGGACTCGCTTGATGCGCTGGAGGTGTTTTTCAACGAAGACCTACCCTCGTTGCTCACAAAGACACGTGAGCAGTTAATACAGGATCGAGATAATGGCCTTGCACCAGAGAATGAGGGAATGCGATTGTCTTGGAGCTCGCCGCTGGGCGCGTTCGTGCGCAGGGCATATTTGGAATACACGAGATTGCAATTCCATGATTCGGTGACGCTGTGGTCTGCGTTTGTGAAGTATCGGTTGCCGACGTACAACATGTGGGCGAGGAGGAATGCCTCGGATAAGCATGCCCCCATCGACATTAATCTGCAATTGCATGGCTTCAATTCCAGTGCCCACCTGACGCATGTGGTGTATGGCAGTGTCGAGGACGAGGACGAGTATGAGGGCTTGGTCAGTGCTAAGGATGCGGAGCGGTTGATTGAGTTCCAGGTTGGGGAGCTGCAACGTATGTATTATAATGGTCTGGATATGTGCTTTTTTCAAATACTGATGGCATGTAGGACTGGGTGGCAGAGTTCCCGAGGGGATGAGAGCGCAACTCAAGCGTATCATGACCTCCGATTCAAACGCTCCAGTACTCATGTACTATCTTGAGTGAGCAAACCCACCCATAACTCCATGTCTTGGACGAATTTTGGCTAAGAAGCTGCAGATATCTCGACGCCTGGCGAGCTGGCGACTATACATCAGCATTCGACAACCTCCACCGATATTTCGACTATACCATGCACAGCAACTCCGATAGAAGCGCCTATCAGTTTGCGCTCCTGAACCTGGCCATCATCCAGGCGGACTTTGAATGCTTTAGCGAAGCTATCTCTGCCGTGCAAGAAGCCGTCGCTATCGCTCGCGAGTCTCACGACATGAACTGCCTCAACTTCTGTATGAGCTGGCTGTACCACTTTGGCAAGGCATTCCCAGAGCAGATGCGGGAGGTACAGAACAGCGGAATGTTGGGTGATGAAAAAGAAGGCCTCGCGTTCCTGAAGGCCAAGTCGAAGGAGGCGGAAATGTGGTCACTCATGAGCACAACCTTGCTCAGCGAGGCTAAGCTGGAGATGCAGCAGGTGGGTTCTCGACGGTCATCATTTGCGAATCTGCGATATGGTGCTAACAACTCCCAGGGAGAGAGTCTCGCTACAATCGTCGAATCATTTGTTCGAGCATCCCATATCAACGTTACTAAGGGCCTTGCGAATCCCACCGGCGCGTACATATTGCTACAGAGCGCCATGTATGCTCGGATAGGTATAGTTTTACAGATTGATGCCACCCTGGAATTGAAGCTGACCACCTACTTGCAGGCGCCACCCATCTCGCTTGGTTAGACACCGAAGTCTTCCGCGAATGTTACGTGGAGGGTCATCCATACGAGGACTTTGTGAAGCTCACATACAGAAACTGCCAATTTGTAAGTCTTGGATTTCTATTACTCCCTCAATGCAGGAGCTAATCCGGCATAAACAGCTGGCACAAAAGGGGAATTACAAGGAAGCTTTTACTCGCATGAATAAGGTCGAACCAGAAAAACTACGAGCCTTCAAATACAACAACACATGGACGTACTATTCCGGCCTCCTCCAACTAAGACGGCAAATCAACCGGTGAACAGTCCCATTTTCCTATTCCCCATCATTCACCTGCTAACATCCCCCAGCGACGATAAGGTAGCCGTCGAGCACATCCTCGCCCAACTACAAGCCATCCAACTCCTCGACTTCGACATGCGCCTCCTTCTCGCCTTCCACACCATCGAATTCACCCTCCGCCAAGGCGACACGGGCCGCGCCCTACGCATGGTCGAACAAGCCGCAAACTCCATGCAACCCGAAAACTTCGACGTCCACTCCCAAATCAAACTCCTCTGCCTGAAAGCCCTCGTCCTCGAAAAATCCGGTCATCCACAACGCGGCTTCTCCCTAGCCATGCGCGCCGCAAGCATCGCCCACCGCTCAAAGGTCCTCCTCGATCTATGGGAAGCCATCTGCACTCTAGCAGCTGTCCTGCTATCATTGCGCGAGTTTGAGGCCACCGCCGAGCTAGTCGAGAGCATCATGCCGCAGATCCTCGAAGCGGAGGACTCTGCTCTGACGGCGCGTGCGTATTCGCTGCTCGTTGATGCGAATATGGGCGTTGCGGGGGAATTGTGGTCTCGTGAGGGACTGGAACGGACGTTGGCTCGGAAAGAGTACGTTAATCGTGCGCTGGGCTATATTGACTCGGCGTACGATGCGTACGAGGAGATTGAGGATATTCTGGGCCAGACGGAGATGATGGCCAAGAAGGCTACCGTGATGCATTTGACGGGCGATCCGGTCTTGGCTAATGATTATGCGGCGAAGTATTTGGATCTACGGAAGCGACGAGGTGCGGAGATCTGATGGTGTTCTGTATGATTGGTTCGTGATATGATTATTGGTTAAGAGGCGAACTTGGTTTGTTATGACATGCGCTGGCGTATCTTAGAGGTTGGATTTGCAATGAATGACATGCCCGTCTAACAACGATCCAGATGTTTTCTGCACTATGTGTTTAACTCGGGAAGGTCGGCATGTAAGCTAGAACATCGTGCACAAGCAACTCGTACACTCGGCACAGCACATTGTGTGGACACATATTCCGGAAACACAACAGCCCTACAAATTTACACCACAGCCCGACCACCACTTGTACGAGAGCCTAAACCAGTCAATTCTGACCTAGACAGATACTCAACAAAGCAAAAGAGTAAGAAGGATAGAATACGACAAGCTTCACTTCATTCCATCAAATGGGTCTCTCCGGAACACATCTGCGATAGATATACATTTGAACTGTGCACTCAAGACCAAAGAAACGATCTCCCAAACACGCATTGAGGCTCGCGCGCGAGATTTTGGTGGGTTATTGTTGGTTGGAGAGCGATTGGCTTAGGTAGCCTTGTCCTTGTTGTGGTAGTTGACATCGGAGTTCCAGCTGTGTGGGTGTTAGCGGTGGTTCTTGCGGAGAGGCCAGCAATGACCTGGGACCGGGTCTGGTGAGGTGATGAGAGGGGAGAGAGGGGTTGGATATGTGCAGGCACGAGCTTGACGAGGGTCGTGGCATGCGCCCAGGTCGAAACTTGTGTGTCGTGAAAGTGCGGATTGGAAACTTACAAGATGGTCTGCAGAAAGGATTGGTTAGCAATCATATCTTTAATAGCTCGATTGGCGGAGTGTAGGTTTGACTCACCTTGTCACCATCGCCCCAGGGGAAGTTCTTGGAGCGGATGTTCTGGTAGGGGTACTCGGTGCGCTCCTCGAGAGGAGGCATGTGGTCCCAGTGCTCCCAGTGCTCGTTCCACAGGTTGTAGGCGTTAAGGCCACCACCGATCAGGCAGGGGATGACAGCACTATACGCATTGTTATTAGTAGTGTCCTATGTGGCTCGCCGCACAAGGATTCGAGTCCGCCGTTCCGCCGAGAAAAACACATACAAGATCGACAGCTTGCGCCACAGGTCTGCAGAGCCATTGAGTCAGTACGAAGCACTTGTGGATATTCCAAGCCAGGTAAAGCAGTATTCCAGCTGTCACAGGTTCAATTGGGATCTTCACGCACCGCTGGTGGAGGCGGCGTGGTGCTTGACGGCAGCACGCTCACGGTTGAACTCGTTGTCGACAATCCAAGAGGGCTTGGCCTCGGCAGAGTTGAAGCGGCGCTGGGCGACCGCGCGGGCCTGCTGGGAGGCACGCTGGGTGAAGCGGGCGATGTTGCGCTGGGCGAACATGGTGGGTGGTTGTGGGGGGTGCAGGTGGTTTGCTGGAGGGGAGAGGAGGTCGAAGCAGGTCGTACGTTGAAATCCGAGCCGCTTTAGTGGACTCCCGTGATCCCCCGGCTTATGTAACCTGATGTCACTCCACCATCACGTGACACCGAATCGACAGCAGTGTGAGAGCTTCGTCAAGCTGGGGGGGACGTCGATATTGCTTTCGACGCGTCCCATTTGGTGGAAGTTCTCTCGCTGCAAGTGCTGCAGGATATGAGCCGTTGCTGCGTGCCAGTCACCGGCCATGGGGCTTCGCATCACGACGTGGAATGGTGAGTGGCTTGTCTCTGGTCGGCAGGAGTGGGCTTTGGCTGTGAATATTGGTGCTGACTAGGTCTCGCAGTTAATGGGATTCGGTAAGTAGAGTTCCTGCAGAGAAGTCAATCTCAAGGCTAAATGAGTGGTCAAGGAACCCATTCTCGTACGAGCCATGGAGAGGGACTCGAACCTTTGAGGTCAATTTTCCAAGTGTATTTCCACAGAATGCCTTCACTGACGAAATCATAGTCGATGTTCGATATCCTAGAATCGGATATCGTGGTATTACAAGAGACCAAAATCCAACGAAAAGATCTCCGAGATGATATGGTCCTGGTCCCGGGATGGGACTGCTATTTCAGCCTGCCCAGGGTTAAGAAAGGCGCGTGCAGCTATGTCGCTATGCGTCCCGACAAGAGCTAATAGCCAGCAGGATACTCTGGGGTCGTGATATATACACGCAATGCGACATGCGCGCCAATAAGAGCTGAAGAAGGCATTGTCGGTGTTCTTTGCCCACCCAATTCATCAGTCCCTTTCCGAGATCTCCCAGACGACCAGCAGATTGGCGGGTATCCGACTCTCGAGCAGCTTAGAAGACCGGCTGCTGTCCCGGAAGATCCTGATTCAAATGATGAAGAAGATGAGGAGAGACTAACCGAAGAGCCGGTTGATCCAGCAATTCTGGACTCGGAAGGGCGGTGCGTCGTCCTCGAATTCCCGGCCTTTGTCCTCATTGGCGTATATTGTCCTGCGAATCGTGACGAAAGCCGCGATACATTCCGGCTCGGCTTCCTGAATGCCCTCGACGCTCGAATTCGAAACCTGGTCGCGATGGGGAAGCGAGTGTTCGTGACTGGCGACATCAACATTGCGAAGCAGGCCATTGACTCCGCGCATGCTCTCGAAGCCATACGCAAGAACACTGCAACGGAGGACACGTATATCTCCGTGCAATCCAGGAGGCTATTCAATCAGCTACTGGACGACGGGAAGATCGTTGGGCCTCGCGAAGAAGGCAGGGAAAAGCCTGTGATGTACGATATATGCAGGTCCTTCCACCCTGACCGGGCTGGGATGTATACTTGCTGGGACACAAGGCTCAACACCCGGCCGGGCAATTTTGGGGCGCGTATCGACTATGTCCTCTGTAGCCTCGACATGAAGGACTGGTTTGTGGACTCCAACATCCAAGAGGGCTTGATGGTAAGTTTGTAGGCTCGCGTTGTTGTCGGATATTCCCTGACTCTGTGATTATTAGGGGTCGGACCATTGCCCTGTTTACGCCGTCTTCAAGGACAAAGTATCTCTCGACGGAGAAACGGTACACATTCGGGATATTATGAACCCACCAGGCGCGTTTGAAAATGGCGAGCGCCGGCGCGAATACTCGTCCCAGTGGATACTACCAGGATCTGGACGCCTGTTACCCGAGTTCGATGTCGACAAGCGTCGCAGCATCAAGGACATGTTCGCGCGAAAGCCAGCTCCTAGCCTTTCTCGCTCGTCCTCCACGGCCAGTGGCCTGGACAAGACGACCATGGTCCTAGACGCAGAATCTACCGAATCACAGACACCCGCACTGAGCGAAAAGCCTCCCATCCCACCAATCTCCTGTCATAGTCAGCCCTCGGATACCCTGTCCCGCAAACGATCACAGCCGCCTCCAGCGACTTCCGTTAAGCGCTCCAAGTCCTCGGCCACGCCTGCATCAACCGCCACAGCGGGTCAAAAAACACTTAAAGGCTTCTTCAAGCCTAAGTCCGTCGAAGGCAGCGCATCCACCAAGCTCAATACAGAACCGCCAAATTCCAGCATCCAGCCGAGCTACGACGGATCATCGTCCCCTACAAAGACCAGTGCGAAATCAACTCTTGTCTCTAAAACCGTAGGAGCGACCTCGCATCCTTTCGAATCCACCACCGATACCCAGATCTCTACAGCAGAGACACGCTCTACGCAATCCTCACCCAGCAAGTTCCAAACAGACATCGTCATCGACCCCATCGTCAGCAAAGAAGACTGGAACAAGCTCTTCACCAAGAAAGCCCCTCCCCGTTGCGACAGCCACCAAGAACCCTGCATCAGCTTGACGACGAAGAAACCGGGCATGAACCGCGGCCGCGCATTCTGGATCTGCCCGCGGCCTCTCGGTCCCAGCGGCGAGAAGGAGAAGGGTACACAATGGCGTTGCCCGACGTTCATCTGGGCCAGCGATTGGAACTCGGCTTCGCAAGGAGAGTGATAGAACATGTACACCGTCTGCTATTCTACCAGATACCATTTCCGTAGCCAATGTATCTCAATTTTCCATTAATCCTGCGTGCGTCCATTCTATCACGTAGGGCTAGGCTGGTGGAGTGCCTCAGGTCGCTCAGGCAACTTCGTTGAGGCACCGAGGCCGCTGTTTGGTGCGAGCGACTGTATCCAAGCAACGAAGGTAGGGTGGGGCTGCTTCCTAGATTAATATTGGAGCCTGTATGAAGTGGGACGTGCGAGCTGGGGGAATGACATTTAGAACAAGTATCGCGGTACTCGATCATGGCGAAGCCTGGCTACGAGAGGATGTTGGGAGACATGAATAAGATGGAAGGAGCGCGGAGGCCCCCTTTGTTTACGTTTTCCTATGGGATCACATGCCATCACCCAGAATGGCGATACGGCTGCTGCCTAAAGCGGGGGGGGGCTGGTCAGCATGTGTCGAGGGTTTGTCTTGAGGGCATCGAGATACATACAAATTAAGGTGCGTGGGGGTGCGGGGGTACTTACCCGCTTCGAAAGTGGGTCCAGGTGTGGGTCCACATCCCCATTGACACCCCAAAAGGGTAGTGGTTGCCTGGGGGGAATGATGTTTGCTTTGGGGAAAGAAAGGGGGGAGGCTGGTAGAGGATGTACCTGGGGAGGGGCGGTGGGTGGAAGGTGCAACGAGGGTATGGTCGGTCGATGCTCGCGGGCATTTTGCTCTACTATGGGGGATTTCGGGGGACTTTGCAACAGAATGGGGTTCAATACTATATTTTTGTGGCCAATTAATTAAATTTACCTATTTAGAGTGCTGACCAGTAATTTTAAAGTATTCATAAGTGCTGCAAAGCGGGTCCCGTTATGCTGGGCATTCGATGCCATATGGCAATGTCGATTCCCCGGATCTGCATGGCGGCGGCCCCTCCATGTGGGGTACCACGTTACACTACTTCAAATTAGCCCCAACATGAACAAGCTTAAATTCAAGTCAATATTTAGTATTGTCAGGTAATATCGTTGATTACTCAATTCAATATGAAAGAATAAAAGATTGGTGCAGTTCTGCTTATTCTCGTACTGTGAATCAGGGGGAGCCTGTCAAGGGTGGATGGAGGCCGGCATTACGCGGTCATAGTGGTGTGGCAACGGCCTCCCTCAAGTCGTGCCGGTTGACATTAACAGACCCAAGGCTGGAAGGCAGTACAGTAGAGAATGACTCAGGCGGTCAATCTTTCAAATCTTTCCCCCATTGTTTGCCCAAATCTTCCCCACCCAAACACATCTCCAAAATCCTTCGCTCTCATTGGCTAGCTCAAACGACACTAGTGAACAAAGCGATTTCCAGCACCATCTGCTCCCATTTAAATATTTCCTTCCCTACCCTCGATCTCTCCTCTTCTCTTTCTCCTCACCCCTCTCCAATCTCCCGACCTTACCTCATCTCTGCCTTCCTTACCACTCTCCATTCTTTAACCCTTCCGTTTCACCTCGTCATCATAATGCAAAACACGGCCGCGTTCCACCCTCCTGTACTTATCTACGAGGGTTGGAACAAGACCAGATTTGGCTCCGATGTGATCTACTCGCACCCCAATTTGAAGTTCTCCTCGCTTCCAGAGGGCTTTTTTGTCAATATGTCCGAGCGGGACAGGGCGCTTGAGCTCACTTGGCTACATGGCCTCGCGAATCTGGACAACACCAACAGCGAAATCATTATTCCCGCCACTGCTTACGGTAAATGGGGAAAAGACTTGCTTAAAAATCTCGCCTCTCGCCTTGAGTAAGTATGCGTTCAATACTGGCCGACATTACGCTTACATTCGATGATAGAGCCCACCTCAAGAAGACCGTTACATACATTCAAGATCCCACCATTGATGCTTGGCGCATTGGCTCTGTGGATTCCTTCCACAAGAGCATGATCATGCTACCTGATGACCCTTTTGCCGACGAGGATGACCCTGATGCCCTCATGGATACCCAAGTCGAGGACGGGATCACCGCCGCGATGAAACGAGGAGTTTCCGTTCCGCTTGCCTCCCCTCGTGTCCCCCGCCCCCCCAACTCGTTCATTCTCTACCGCCAGCATCATCACCACAAGGTTACTGCTGAGAACCCCGGTGTCCGAAATACTGAAATTTGTGAGTCGCACCTGAGCCATTCTACCATGACAGTACTAACCCACGCAGCCCGTATCATTGCTCAAATGTGGCACGGCGAGGGTGCTGCGGTTCGAGCCCGTTTCAAGGACCTTGCCGAGGAAAAGAAGCGGCTTCATTCCCAGGCGCATCCCAATTATCAGTACGCTCCACGACGTCCAGGCGAAAAATTGCGCCGCCAGTCTCCCCGCATTCGCGCCAGCTCTGTCCCATTCTTCAACCAGACAGCTGCTGGTCAAGCTCGTCTCAAGAATGCCGAAGAGAACGACGACGGTTGGATTGATGTCGATGGTGACTGCATTGACATTTTCGATGAGCTGGGTCTAATGTACGGTCCAAGTGCCCTCCCTCCAATCCCAAGCTATGACAGCCCTGACTTTCACGCCATTGTGGACATGCAATGTGGTGAACGGGTTGGTTTGCAGACTGTCCACTATGAGAATCTGGATGGCACTGAATTCGAACCGGGTTTCCCAATGGATACCTTGCTCGCTCTTCCAGGCGCTTAGAGAAGTCTATTTGACTTGGAAATCCATGAGATGAGGAATTGACGACATCAACAAAGCCCCGGTGTGTCCAACTTACCCCGCGGTTACAAATTCTTACAGTCTTTCTTACTCCTATGATCACCTTCTAATGTTGTTCGACTCCGATGACTCTTTTCGATACACCGCCGCCCGCGTCGTCTCTGCCTCCATGGATTTCGCACCATCTGTGTTTTTGGCGGGCTGTTTTCCTTTGTGTTTTCTTTCTTTTCCCGTCCGGCGTTACATCTGTCGGGGGAACGGAGCAAACCCTTTCGATTAATACTTCAGATGGGTTTCATGAAAGATGTTGTGTCTGGAAAGTGGGAAGCCGTTCTTCGGAATGAGTACCTGCCAGACATTGGAAATCATTCTTGATTCCCTTAGAAAATCCAAAGAAAAGGGTTCAAAAACTTAAAATCTTCCTTTTTCCTTTCCCTTGTAGAGACTTGTAGGACTTGCTTACTATGTAATTTTCTAGTCTCGAACCTTGGAGTATTCTGTGCGATTTCTTTGAGTATGGGAGTGTGACTGTAGAACATCATCAGTGTAGATGCGGACCTGGGATTGGCTCTGCATGAAAGCCGTGAGCGTGCATGACGTGGATGACTCGTATACTCGGGCTTCGGAGATTACAGTTTCAGTGTCTACGTCGAGGATTTGGGGCATTCTTTGTTATAAACGGGAGCTGTGCGGTGCGACTGAGGACAGTGGTTGATGGGATTCTTTGTTCGACGTTGATGCCAAGACGGCCGATCAGCGGGACGGTGGATCCGGTGGATCCAGTGGAGACGGGGTTCATGCAGCCACCGGAAAGGCGCTTGGCTATTTCCGATCCGCGGCTTGCAGGGGTTCGGCTGACGGCATAGACTGTGCGTCAAGTGGGCTTAAGGCTTGAGAACTCAGGGTCCAAGGTTGGGCCGGGGGTCTACGGAATGGAGAGCAGGGTTTTGGGGCTTGCTGTATGGACTTGGGGAGTTGGTTGGCATTGGTCGGGATGTGGAGGAGGCCGAGCGTGGGGATATGGGTGGTCGCACAACGAACGTGGTCAGGGGCTCCGGGCACGGGCGTAAGTTTGTAAGACTGACTCGGAGAGTTCGGGATACGAGGTCATGAGTGGTACAAGATAAGGGGGTCGTCGCAGGAGCTTCATGCACAGGGTGTTGCTGGATGGAGTATACGAAGAGTATAGCCAAGGGGAGACTAAATGTGAAGAGAGACCTGCATACTTTTCGCTAATCACTCAAGACGAGAGCTACTGAAAAGCAGATGGAGTGAACACCATTTGGAGACGGGAACAGATACGGCTCAAGAAGAATTCCAGGATATACACAGTTGGGGATGACAAAGCCAAGCACAAGAGACAGTTGGTAAACGAGTAGAAGTAATGGGAAGAGACACGACTATTCCTCCTGGTATGAAATCTTGCGCATCTCACCGAGGCGTGTGCGGGCGCGGGCAAGGCTGTTTTCGAGTTGCAGAATCTCGACCTGTAAGACAAGCAAATGGTTAGCAAGTGGTCAGAACAGGGATGAAAGGGCGATGGGAGGGTGGTGTGGATGCCCAAAGGCGATGAAGAGGGCAAGAAAACGCGTAGAACAAAACAAAAACATACCTGTTGCTCCATCTCGCGAACCTTGAACTCGTGCGAGCTCAGTTTCGCGTAGTTCTCCGCATCAGTGTCTCCACCGTGCTTCTCCTTGATGATATCCTGCACCTGTCGCACTAGAGCGCGGCATGCGGCACCAACAGCCTTGCTGGCGCCTTCGAGGCGATCCTGAGTCTTGCTCATAAAGGTAGCCTTAACACGGCTGGCAGCAACGAGCTGGGCGGTACTAGCGGCGACATCGTTGGAAGCGACAATGAGCTGTTCGGGAGAGTTGCGGCCAGAGATGACACCGTCCGCAGTCTCGATCAAGGTGTTGGTGGACGTGGCGACAGCCTTGGCCGCAGAGATCAGACCCTCGGTCCAGCGGTTGTTCTTCTTATAGAAGGCAGTGCGTGTCGAGCTGCCACGGCCCTCGCGAACAATCTCTTGCTGCGACTCTGTGGCGGCCTTGATCAGCTCGGCGATGGCGTTGGTCACGGCAATGGCCGCTGCCAAAATGGCATCGTTGATGCGCAGCTCATACGTCGAGTAGCCATCACGGGGCTTGTTCTTGAGCTTGGCCAAGCGCTGGGCGGCGGCGTCGATGGCATCGGCCGCCTTGAGCAGTTCCTGGTCGACCAGGTCGCCCAGATCACCGTTGGTGGCGATCTTGCTGCTCTTGGGCTGGAAGGACTCCACCATCTTCGACAGAGCTTGCAGGTCTCGCTGAACCTCCAGGTTGTTGTTGATGACCACATCGGTCTTCTGCAAGGGCTCCATGCCCTCGAGGCGGAATGACTGCAGGCCCCGGAAGAACCGCACAGTGGCCTGGGCCGACTTGCGAGCGGCGTTGAACAGCTGATCGGAGCCCTTATCGTCATTAGCGAATCGAGACAGACCCTTGGTGTTGCTCAGAGTGTCGGCAATGGAGCCCGAGAACACGGACACGGTGCGAATAATCTCGGCGTGGGGACTGTTGGGACCATCGGCGATAAAGTTGTTGAAGGCAGTCGAGAACTCGGTCGCAGAAGCCGAAGCCTTCTCGATCTGTGACAGGACATAAGGTGGGGAAGCATTCTGGTTACCAGCTTGCATGGATGAGTCTAGTTCATAAAGGGCATCATCCACGCGCTGCACACCGGTCTGCAGCACAGAGTCGATGATATCGTTGATCTTGGCTACAGTGCCGTGGAGCACCGTGTCAATCTGGCTGTCCAAAGCATGGTCGACATCGCCTTGGCTCTGCAGAAGAGTAATCATCGGTTAGTACCACAAACATGATCCCGAGTTCAGATCACTACTTACCAGCCTCAGCTCCTCGAGTTCCATCAAAGCCTGCTCCATGCCGGACTTGTAGACCTCAATCTCCTCATCCTTCTCGAGGAGAGCCAGATCATGGTCCTCCGAGCGCTCGTTGGTGCGGCTCGAGATCTCCTCAAGAGCCCGAGTTTTGTTCTACACACATGTCAACACAAGAAAGCCCACATGTACCACAGATGGCGAATACTTACCCGAAGAGCCTCCTCGAGATCAGCCATCTCGCGGTTGTACTTAGACAGCATAGAGGAAATCTCCGTGCCCTTTGAGCGCTCGGCATTCTCAGCACGCTCCAGAGCCATACGGAGCTCCCGCTTAACCTTCTCCAACTCATCCTTATTGGTACCAGTCACACGGTCCCTGTCGTGAAGAGCACGGTCGCGCTCCCGGATCATATCAGCCAGCTCCAGGTTCTTGGTCTTGAGCTCACGTTCCAGCTTCTCACGGCGATCGATAGCCTCCTGCGCAGAGGCAGCCTTGAGCTTCAAGCTCTTGGTGGTCTGCAGAAGATCCAGATGCTCCTGTCGCAGTTGAGAGTACAGCTTGGCCAAGGCCTCGTACTTGGTTCGCCAAGTGTTGACTTGTTCCTGCAGAGCCCGGATCTGCTCGTCCTTGGAGGCATTTTGCATGTTCAAGTTGGAGTTCAGCTGGTTCATCTGCTCCTCCAGATCCTTGACACGGCGGTCGTACTGTTGCAGCATGAGCTGATCACGCTCGTATTGGGCACGGGCGTTCAAGTTCTCCTGCTCCAGTTCAGCGAGGCGGCCCTGGGTCTGTGTCGAGTACTGATCCCGAAGAAGCTGTTCCTGCGCCAGACGTTGCTGCTCGGCTTGGAGGCGCTGCTGCTCTTCAAAGTCGCGCTGAGCCTGCTGCTGAGCAAGCATCTGCTGCCGTTGCTGATCATCCCATTGCTGCTGCAGGCGGGATTGCTCTGCCTCGTATTCTTCTTGCTGACGCTTGGCCTCGTTGGTCCAGAAGTCACTGATAGGCTCTGGCTCGGCAGCCACCTTGGGTGGAGGCGAAGGTTGATGCTCGACTTCCTTCGTCGGACGCTTGGGAAGAGCTGGGCGATCCTCGTCCTCACCAAGAAGGCTTGGCGGGTCCTGTGGCAACTTGGGGATGGTGATCAGACTAGTCAAGTAGCGCAGGTTGGAGCATTCGTAGTAGAACCGAACGAGACGGTGATGCTGGGCATCGTAACGGGACCGGAGAGGCTCCAGGGCTTCATCATCTCCAGTTGCTATCGAATTGTTAGCGCTGATGTCCTCAAAGCCATATCAATCAATCATTGGCGGCCATACTTGTGTGCATTGCGCGCAGCATGCTCGTGATGAACTTGTAGATACCGTAGCTCTCCTGCACGAGCGGGACCAACGCAGAAATTCGGCATTCATTGTTAGTTCCCGACTGGAAATGCGAGAAGATCAACTTTTGGAAACCATCGATCTGGTCCTGTAGGGTCATGAGGTCGGTGATCGTCTCGTATCTATGCCTCCGTCAGCGGCCCATCTTTCCAGCCCAGGAACGCGGAACTGTGCGTACCCCTCATTCGGATCATTGATCGTCTTCAAGCTGATGTATTCCTCGTACTCGAACAGGCCTGTATCCGTCAGCAACCTCATACTTCCCATCTCACGTCCAATCGTCCAGTGTCGGCGTACCATTGAATTCGGGGTGGTTGCGGTGGAAGTTCAGCTTGGACTCGAGGAAGAAGACGTATTCGCGAATAAGCGGCGCATATCCTATCCCAGCATTGTCAACATTCATATCCACCATCTACGCGCATCTCCCCCTCGCGAAGACCAACAACGCCACCTTACGAGGGACACGCCATACCTCGAACTCCGTCTCCTCCGACACCTCTCATCAAGCTATCAATCCAATTGGAATGCTGCTGTGCCTCGCGCACGACAATAGGGTGGCCCTCTTGGAGAACCTTGTGGATCGTGATGAGCGCCTTGAACGTCTGAACCTCGTCGGCGAGGACAGGCTGCCTACAACGAGGAAGGACAAATGTCAGCCAAATACTCCAGAACTAACCTCCCCTTCCCATTCACTCCCACCCGCAACCCAAAATACGTACACTTTCATGCCCGCCCAGAAGGCGGCCGATGACTTGTGGTCCCACGTGTACACAATACAGCTCCGCACATGCTTCCCTACAAACCATCAAAGGATATCAGTCGACTCGAACGACCACCGAATTCAGACGCAAATCGATCGCCGCAGCGAGCCAATCGAAAGCATATTGGGGGGAGACGTACGTTTAGGCGCGGTTTCCTCTATCGCAAGCCGAACAGTTAGCCTTCTCTCCAGCTCTTCTCCTGACGGAATCCCCGGGAACCAAGGTCACTCACCAATGCTAGTAGCCTTTCGGATATTGATGGCCAGATCGGCCTCGGTCCTGCGCGATTGAAGTTATTCACCTGCATCTCGCAAGGCGACAAGGGGAGGGGGTAAAGGGGAAGTCCCCGCCTTACCGACTCATGGTGGCAGTTGTGTGATGCGGGACGCGGATTGCGGACTCAGGGGAGAACCAGGATAGGTGAAGGGGGCGTGGTTCACGGGCAGATCCCGAGTCCGGACAGCGCAGATAGGGCCCAAGTTGAAGCTGGCGCCGACCAGGGTGTGGAGTGAAAGAGGGCGTGGACTTTGAAGTTCGTAGAATCCACTGCACGTGGAGCGCAATGACGTTGGGGAAAGCTGGCGCCTGTCAGTCTTGGCGACGCCTAAGCCTCTCGGGTTCCTCCCAGGCATCCCATCCCTTGGCCCAATCGCCCTAGCCCTCCTACAATTATGCACCTTGGCTCGTGGGATGGATGCGATGCCGCGTAATACTTCTGCTCACAGCAGGCAGCAGAAATTCTGACGAACCAATCCGTGCATAGTTGCTTTTTTTTGTTACAGAGTGCAAGCCCTACGAGAGGAAGGTCATCAATACACCGAGCACTATACATAAGTTAGCTGGATACTCGAAGTTTTAGAGAACCCGAATTCTGGGCGTAGAAATTCAGTCTTGCAACTGCTTCAAGCCATAATTGCGTACTAGGCTAGATATACTTGATCTCCTGATGTTCATTCTCACTCCGACCACGAAGAGTGGATTTGAACTGGCGCAATGTTCAGAAAGGTCTCGCCACTTTCCAGAGTAGACCGTAAGTTGGGATTCACGGGTGTTATTCGTTGAGCACTACATCTACTTGACTTTTATCCTCGGAGACGAGAGAAACTCACAGTTGCTCATCCAGTCTTCCAACTTACGAGACTAATATTCGTAAAAGCACTGAATGATATTCGTAATTTAGAACATTTCCAATAGTGCATTGCTGGTCTAATGGTCTCATTATCCCCCTCTATCTTGTTAAGAGTTTACGATACTAACTTGGATATACGCATAGGCCAAGTCGCAGAGACTGAAGTCCGGCTTCGTGGCGATATACAATAAAATTATCATTCGCCGCAAGGCGGATAGTAATGGCCATAGATTCTGGAGAACTCTGCTGTGATTTTCTACAGCGACCCACTAAGCTTATCGGAAATCCAACACCCATTTCCCTTTCTCAGAGTTGATATCACGTCGCACTGTGAAGCCAAGCGGACCCGGGTTGACAGATTACTCTGGGGACCCAAGACCAAGACTGGATCGAGTGGACAGCTGTCACGAAGATGGCAAAGACTCGACATCTTGTCCATCCTCGTCGTCCCATTTCAGATCAGCTCCCGAGGTATCGTCTTTGGAAGATGTCTCGCTCTCCAGAATAGACGGCGCGGTCGAAGTCTCGTCAGATCCCAGCTCGCCAGCAGCTGGGCTGTCTGGTGCAGAGTCATGTGGCGCTTGAACGACTAGCAGATCGTCGGTCGTATTATCGGTGTGGATTTGTTCGGGAATGGGTTTCCGGCGAGGCAAAGGCGGAGGGGGGACAGGTCGAGGACCATTCGTGTTGGATTTCCTGCGAGGTAGAGGGGGAGGGGGGACAGGTCGAGTCTCGTTTGTGCTGGGCTTTTCCGGTAAAACTGACGGAGCTCCCACAGGCTTGCGTTTGGGCAAAGTCCCCGAACCCCGCTTCAAAGCGTACTTGTCTGGCCGTGGCAGAGGCGCTCCGGGTGGAGGATGGGGATGGCCACGGCCGATGGGCTCGTTGAGAGGCGCTTTCGGAGTCTGGGTTGTCTCCTCGGAGTTCAACTCGCCCTTGCCAAACACACTCCAACTCCATTTCTTCGCCGCCGCAGTTGCTGATCCAATAGTCATGTTCCCCAGAGGCTTCTCGTCAGATTGCATGTTCGGCGTGAGCGATTTGGTCAAAGTCTCAATGGTGCTACGCCGCCGGGGCTTATCGTTACCAAGGGAAGTCATTGAGCTTCCTCGAGAGTTCCGCGGTCCAGACAAGGAGTTATTGTCAAAACGAGCAGACGAGGGACTTTGAATGACACGGTCGCTGTAAAAGCTGAGACCATCAATGGAATCTGCAATGGAGGATCCTCGGCTATGCACCGCATTCTCTGGCATCATAATGCCTCCAGTGGGCGGAGAGTTACTCGGTGTCCGATTCGGAGAAGCAGGCGGCGAGCGTTTTGAGATTTCAATCATGGCGCTGGCGGCACTGTTCTTCTCTTCACCCTTGGGCTCCGTCACCACTTGATTGGCATTGTCTGTCGTAACCACCGGGTCCGCAGCGTGGGAAAAGGTCTGTGATCGAATGGCACGGGGTAGCGGCATGCTTTCGGATCTCTCGATGCCGGTAGCAGCAGCGACTGCAATGGTTGGTATGTCGGAAACAGATGGCTTCAAGCCCTTGCGAGATCTAACCTTGGCTTTGGTAGGATTCGACTCGGGAAGCACAGGCATGCTCATTGTCCGGTCGTCTTTCAACTTGAGAGCTTCCAGTGGCGATTCTCCAGGAAGACTTGTTGGCGTCGCCGGTGGATCACCCGATTCATCAGGAATATCCACCTGGGGTTCGGGTTCAGGAGTCTCTCGCTGCCAGATACCTCCACGGAAGGCCTGGCCATGGGTATCCATGAATGGCACATCATCCCAGAACGGCAGAACAATGCTTTCGGCCACCACTTCTCGGATCTTACTCTCGATAGTGCGCAGAATGGGGCTGAAGGTGATCTGCTTCGAGCTGACTATAGGTTGCACGTCCATCTCAATCTTAGGCATGGTCTCAAAGGACATCCAGAATCGATTGCTAGGAGAAGGCTTGAAACGGACCAGTAGATGGCCCTCCAGCTTCTTCAATACCACGGCCAGTACGATATCGACCTCTCTTGCTTTGAATCGCTGGCCTAGATCAATACGCACCGTGGCGGAGATCTCCACCCGGAAATTTCCCGAGTATTGAACGTCTGCCTCGATGCAGCAATTGCCATCAACCGTCAAGTCCTTTAACCGGGGATTCGTGATAAATGGAGCACCTTCCCCCATATCTATCCTCTGCAGGCCAACCTTGCTGATGAAGTTCGGCTTGTTCACACGCGATATCTTCTTGGCAATCTTGCTTCGCACAAACTCTTCCAGCTCCGGCGTTCGGTACAAGGCCAGGAACAGACGACCAAAGAAAGCATTGATCCATCTTGTCTGCAATTGCTCCTCCGAAGAATGCAGGCGCTGGACCAACGAAACGATATGCTTCGTCTCAAACTCCTGGCGCTTTGGTGGTCGGTCCGCCGAATCCCAGAGCTTAGACTGATTGCGAAGCATTGCAAGATAGAAATCCTCCTTCTCCGACAGGTTCTCTGAAAACAAAAAGAACGGTGGGGTTGGACCTCCAAGGTCTCCGAGCGAATCCAGTCGCCGCGAGAGACAGATGGCGTTCCGCTTGATCCACAGCTCGCCTTCTGGTATATCGCCTTCGCCGCTGTGAATGGTAACGTCGTGATGAGCGAGCGAGATGACATAGCGAACTTCGACTTGATTTGCATCGTCGTAAAGCATTAGATGGCCATGTCTTGTGGCAGCGCCAACCATAGTCAGTACATCGTTCAGCTGGACTACGAGATCACAACCTCCAAGGAATGCTCACCGAAGGACAATGTAGAACACATTCCGCGCACGTTTGATATTCTTCCCATTCGATTTCGCCGGCTCAATACTAGGCGCTTGCTTCCTGTCGAACAAACTCCGGTACATAGCCTGATAGACGCTGGGGCTTTCGGCGGCAACCACCTCCCCTGCAGGCGTCGTTCTCTCCGGAGGCTTTCCATTTACTCCACCAGGGACATATTCACGACAGACAGCAAAGTATCCAGTGGCGACTTCGGAATCATGAGTGCGGTGGAACTTCTCAGCTAGCTGGTCAGTCCCAGACTTCAAGCTATGCTCATCGTCAATAGGCTGACGGAGCCCATCGGGAGGTCGTTCGTACGGTTGATCCGGAGAAGGCGCGTTTGGAAGGGTCAGATAGGCGTAGAGAACAATCAGCGAAAGGACCAAGGGGATGAATGTGAGGCCCCCGAAGACGTATACAACGAGGAAGCTGCCGAGCGAACCCATCGGGAACCAGTCGATTGGGAGTAATCGATCAAAGCGGGAGGCCCCGTAGCTCCATAATTCGAGGGATACCTACGTCCCGATAATAGAGAGAAAGCTTGTGAGAGACAATGAGAGACCGGCTCTTGAAGAAAAACCAAAAACGAGTGCGTTGAAGGAGGCGCTAGACAGATAGCGCGGGCTGAGGAGAGAGCAATCAGGAAGTGGAGTTGCAGCTTCCCAAGCACGCCGGGATGACGGAGGTGCTGAGGGTCTGGTGATCATTAGATTACAGTTTGGTTTTGGTATTCTGTGTATTTATTCGTTTATTTGGTGTAGTTTCCTACGTAAATACGGTGTACTGCGTAATCATAACGTAAGGGTACCCGCCCTGCCCCGCAGGATCCGACCAGCTGTCAGGAACGCCAGCCCTGCAGAGGAGAACTTTGATATTCGGAGGTCTGCAGCTACTGCCATGCAATCGTCATTAGAATATTCTGGAAATTGAGATCCACCCAGTCGTTACTATCTAGGTCTAAAGCTGCGCATCGGAAAATAATTCTAGGTATACACGTGGTACTTTCAAAGTCGAAAGTAGCCAGAACAAAGGGGTGTTCAACAGATCGAGAAAAAGGGCAAAGATATGTTTACAAATAGTACAAGAGAGATCTTCCTCGTTACTTCCGTCGCTTCATGGTCTTTTCGGCCATCTCGATCAGTCCAGCCTTGGCATCGCTGTCGGGGAAGTCACTGATGGCGGCCACGGCCTTGTCGGCGTAGTCTTGGGCCAGGGCACGGGTTTGCTCGACACCATTGCTGTGGTAGACAAGCTCACGAGCCTAAGATGGAATTAGTACCAGGTCTTCCAAGAGAATGCGAATCGTTCAAACATAAGGAGAATACTTACCCGTTGGATATCACCCTCTCTACTGAACTTACGGCCAACCATAGGACCAAGTTCAGGGTTGCTCTTCCACGCGAATAAGAGCGGAGCAGTAGCCAGTCCCAACTCCAAATCGGCACCGGCGGGCTTGCCCAACTCAGCCGCCGTGATAGTATAATCCAGCATGTCATCGACCAACTGGAAGGCAAGACCAAGATTACGACCATAGGAGTAAGCAGCCTCGACGACCTCCGGTGCACTGCAACCCAAAACCGCAGCGGAGCGGCAGGACTTGCTAATAAGACTGGCGGTCTTCAAATAGGTCTTCTGCAGGTAGTACTCCACGGTATTGTTGGTGTACACAGGCTTGGCCTCGTCCTTGGCAGTGTTCTTCAACTGCATAAACTCGCCCTGCACCAGGTTGTTGATCACAGTTGCCATGAGCTCAATGACTTGCGGATCTAGCAGACGGGCCAGTGCCACGGACGCCCGACCCAGCAGGAAATCACCAGCCAACACTGCCATCTTATTTCCAAACTCAATATTCGCCGAGGCGCTGCCACGGCGGGTCTCCGCATTATCAATTACATCGTCATGGAGGAGAGAGGCGGTATGAATAAGTTCCGTAATCTCGGCCAGCCGGCGCTGGTTCGGCAGGATGTTGTCGTCGCCAATAAAGCCATTCTGGACTTCGACAGGCTTGGGTACGACGGGATCGGTGTCTGGGTTTGCATCCTCGAGGATGGAGAGCGGGCTGAGAGAGATATCGACTGGTTTGGTGTTTGGCGTTCTGGTCAGGTCTTTGCGCGGATCGACTGCCGTGGCTTGGGACATGAGCAAAACCAGCAATGGCCGCATATGTTTTCCCTCGCTGCGAGTATAGTACTTGGCCACCTTATCCAGCGCTGGGTGGCCGGATCCTAGTAATTGGCGAATATTATTACTCAAAAACTTCAATTCCTTTCCCACAATTCGCAATGGGTCAACCGAAACGCCCGGAGGTGCTTTGGGCAGGCCCTTGAAGATGGCCTGGGCCGCGGTGGCAGCGGCGCCGAATGGGGAGGCATCGTGCCGGCGGCCAGGGCGGTATTTGCGAGATTGGATGAAGGACTGGCTCAAATGGAGGTCATCACGAAGGCATTGGGAGCAAACGGAGGTTGGGGAAGTCCGTGTAATGGTCAGCCCGGCGGCCGAAAGTGTGCGAGCCCGCATGCTCAGAGCAGGGCAGGACTCTTATAATAGGTCAATTCGGCAGTATCCAGAAGGGGAGCATAGATAGATCAGAGAAATCGCCCAATCCGAATGCAGGTGGAAAGTGATCGAGGTAGGTTTGAGGTCTAGAAGAAACAACCTTGCGGCCGGAAGATTTCGAGCTCGGGACAGCACGGACCACGCGCAACCCCGACTTGCAGCTCCGCCCAGAGAACCCAGCGATAAGCCATCGGACATGTATAACATTGAGATGTGCAGATGTCTTGGAAGCGGACCTGAGTGAAATGAGGCTTGGAAAATGGTAAGCTTGAGGATATGCTGATTACTATCTTAAGCACATGCCAACACACTTGTACTATCGATATGTACTCTCTAATCTCCATATAAAAGCAGCCATTTGCAGGTTCCAGCATTATAGGCTGAGTATTTCCTACTTACTACAGGCGCTGTCCATCGTAAATCGCCCTATTGACTTGTGAATGCTGTATTTAGAAGAACAAAATCCCAGGCGCAGGCAAGTAGCACAAACCTAAGGATCTACCATCCATACTCTGCAAAAGAGCAACTCGAGAATCTACAAAGTCCCAAGGAAATGAGAGAGAAAAAAATAATTTCAGTATGAAAGACACGGAAAAAATCGCGCCGGCCGTCTCGGTCCCACACATTCCCCCACCTCGTACACATTCAACAGGATAGGAAGAGCGAGATCGCACACGATTAACACATAAGTTGAAGGCCACTACGAAAGATAGCAGCCCATGCATGGGGCCAGCGCGACAAGGAACGAAATGCTGTATGAATTACCAAAGCCCACTCCGTCTTTAAATGGCATCGAAATCACCGCCAGCATCCTCATCATCCATGTCTCCTTCCTGAATCTCCTTGGCAAGCTCCCGCTCCCGCTCGCGAGCTTCCTGGGCACTCTTCAGCTCCAGACGGTGCTGGTTCATCGGGAATCGCATGGCCTATAGAGGAGAAAAGAAGGGCAAGATTAGCAACCATCCAACACAATCAACATTCGGTTTGAGAAACGGTGATATACCTTGACACTCTCGTCGTGGAGAGCCAGACAAGCGCGGATGCGCTCGTGGAAAGCCTCGCCGGGTTCCCGGGTGGCATAAATGTCACCGACCTCCTTGCTCTTCATGTAACCGTGCTCGTGATCCAACGTGGCCTCGATGACACCGTCTCGGATAGCCTTTGCAACAATGTACTCGGCGGACTCCTCGCTATCCAGACCCAGGCGAAGACAGATATCCCGCAGGGAGATGCGAGAGTAAGACAAGGACATCATGCGAATACCAGTCTTGATCACGTTCTGGCGCAGACGAAGAATCAGAGTGTAGGTGCCATCCTTGCGGAAGGTTGAGCTGTGGGTGTTGACAATGTTCAAGAAACCATCCAGGTCGCCAACACTGACCGCCTGGGCGAGCAGGAAGTATGGGTGCATAGCCTTCTCCAGAGCTGGTTGGCGGAAGATGGCACGATCAGGAATATCACCCATGAGCAGCTCAACCACCACAAGGAGCTTATGAGAGGCCTGGTAGAATCCACGAGCGACATTGCTGGTAGGAGACTTGCGGGTGGCACCAATCAAATGGCTGTGAGCCTCGGTGTACTGCAGTTGAATGGCACGGATCCGGCCCAGATAGTATAGGTATCGGGCAATTTGGTTGTTCGAGGCGGCAGCGGGGAAACGGTTGTGCGAGATCAAAAGATCCGCTTGGGTGATGTGGGAGGTGGAAAGGTAGTTGCGGAGAAGCAGGGTCATGACAGTGGCCTGCGTATCCACGTCCTTCCGCAGGACGGCGGTCCGCAGCGCAGCCAGTAATGGCTGTCGGATACTAGTCACGGTAGCTGCAGGCGAGGGGGGAAGTGGAGCAATCTGCTCGAAGAAGAGAGAGTAATAAAAGTACACACGAGCTGCAAGGGAATCCAGTGTCCGGCGGTTGACGGAGCGTAGACGCTCGATCAGCTCAATCGAGAACTTGGCACCCTTCTGAATCTGTCGCTGGTCGAACAAGTAAATCTGCACCAAGATGGCCAAGTATATGTCGACCTCGGGTAGGATCTCCTTAGGGCCAGCCTTGGCCTTATCCGAGTCCACCTCCATCTTTGAGCTCGAAGGGACATTCTCGAAGGCATCAACCTGGTCAATGGCACCAAGCAGGAATGATGCTGCCGAGCTGGAAGCAGGGTATGTGTCCACAATCACATCGGCGAGGACCTCGGGGGTGATGTATTTCCGCATCGACGATATCGACCGCAGGACGCGAAGGGTAAATCGGGGATCGAAGTGGGCGACGGCTCGCTCGAGCAAAGTGAAGTTGGCCTTGATGTCTGCAATAAGAACGAAAACGGAGTATTCGCAATCAGCAAGTGTATATCTCAAGGAGATGGATTCCTGCCTTCAGTTTGAAAAGCAGCAACGTGTCAAACCAACCTTGAATTGCCTTGGTCGTTGGGTCGACCTCAGGCTCGGCCTTCTCCGCATCATCGTCCTCCGCACCCTCCATCGTCACATCCTCCTCCTTATCCTGACCGGGCTTGCCGGATGATCTGGAACCCTTGGTCGGAGGCACTACAACAGTCATCTTCTCGTCACCATTCCGTCCCTTACTCGAGTTGAAGGAGGATGTAGGCGCACCTGCCGTATCCTCGCCCATCTCCACATCCTCGGATCCATTCACACCATTCTCTGCCGACTTTGATCCATTCACGTGAGACTGGTCATCCTCCCCCATTCCGGTATTCGATGCGCCCTTGGCGGCGCCTTTCTTTTCCGGGGCCGACTTGGCCTTGCTGGCGGCGGCACGGGTCGTGGGCGCGGCTTTGTCTTTAGCACTCGAGCTCTGAGAGTTCGAGCGGGCCTTCTCACCGTTAGCAGATGAAGAAGTATCGGACTTGTTGTTTGATCGTAGAGAACGCCTCTCGGCAGGCATCTTTCTCAAGCTGTTAAGAGCTCAGCTGAGCAAGCACCGAAGCTTCAAGAAGTAAGGGGATGAAAAGTGATATAGACCACGAAACGAGAATCAAAAGCAGAAGGGTAAGGTTCGACGGACCGAACAGCCTAGGAAGAAGGAAATGATGGGGTAAAACAGGCAAGGCGAGTGAGTGATGAAGTGGATGGGTGATGTGATGTCAAGAGACGAGGATGGGCGCAAGACAGCAATGCTTAGTCAGGGGAAGCTTACCTAACACATGAAAGCAGATTAGACCATGATGCCAGGAACATACCATCGAACTTCCGAATCCAAAGCTGGGGAAAGCCGGAATTTCTTCTCTCCTCTTTTTTTCCCGAAGTCACTGAGCAGGCAATAGTGGTAATTGTTGGAATATGCTGATCGCAATACTGCGCAGCAAGTCAATCTTCAAGTATTGCTTATCCGCCGCGTTTCGACTAGTAGGTAGCTATAGATAACTAGGATACCTCATCGCGGTTTACTTTGAGTTATTATTGTTTTGGTGAGCTAGGGACCGGGAAGATAGTCTTAAAGATGTTAGATCATGATGCCTAAACTATATTATTGGACTTCTGATATACCATAAGACTAGCTAACGTAATTACCAGCTACCCCTGGCCACCCCATAACACTATACTAAAGACACTATTTCTCAACTTCATATCTTAACAACTAAAGCTGTTTATATAGTCTGAGAAATCATACTGCTATACCGAATATATTCATTAGGTCGAGAAGTATTCTAGGGCATAACAATCTTGATGAATGTATCTACATCGCTGGGTGGGAGCGTATTTTTGGTAATAGCAGTAATTAATTGTCTTCTATATATTTTGTCTGCACTAAGGCTTTATAACGCTAAGAAGGAAGTTACAGTATCGTAAAACTATGCAGCAATGTATTCTCGTGGCTGGTATATTAAGACTAACAAAAAATTGTCTAAAAGTTAGTATTGTGTTTTACGAATGGCCAGTGGCTGACCAATTTGGTCTTGTCTCCCAAAGCTCCACTCACCCAGCAACAGTTGACTTGGCGCCTGAGGCAGAAACCGAGCTTGATCAACAGGGCCAAAACAACACCGCGGGGACTATTGCGCCGTAGAGATTACAACTGCAACAACACAACCATGCCGCTACTCGATTCCCACCTGGAGCAAATTGCTCTTTCATCAAGTGCTATTGCTGACCTACCGTCCGTTATCCTCTCATTTTCCTGATATATCTTCGTCCATTGGCTCATGAAACATTTACACACAGCTTCCCTCCACCCCGCATCTTCACGAACGCGCTACTAGGCTCGCACGATATCACCGCCTTGATTCGCGATACTGAGGTCCATGAAAGAGCACTTTTTCATGTAGATCCTTCGGCGCAGGCTCAAGGCGCCCAACGACGTGCCACCCGGCGCGGGACGACATTCCCTGCAGAGTCCGAGACCGAATCTATGGCTAGCCGTATCTACTCCGCCCGGAACAACCGCAACCAGTCGGCCGTTGCTCGAGTTTTGGGCTCCGATATGATGGAAGAAATCAAGCGGTCAGCAGGCACATCCTCCAGAGGACCACGAGGAGAAGTCAACGTTGAAGTCTTGCTCCGAGGAGCAGAGATTCTCTGCAATGTCTAGTAAGTCTGCCGCACCACCTCCAAGACCCCCCGCTCTAACCGATTGGAAGTCCTGTTCAAGGTGCACAGGAGAAGATCGCCAATTTGCGCTACCGCCATGAGATGATTGCCGAATCGATTGCGCGACTAGAAGACCGTGTCGCTGCCAATACCGCCGAGCTGGAGCAGATGCGCCACTCATACGGAGACGATGAGAATGACTATGCCTCCATGCCAGCCCCACAACCAGATGCTCCCAACGTAACCGATGAGGACATTGAACGCGAACTGGCTGAAATTAGAGAACTGGAGCGGAGGAAACGTGCGCTAGAGGCGCGAGTCACTGGCATGGACCGCGATCTTGGTGGGCTCATGGGCTGACAAGTATCATGATTATGCTCTCTATTGAAAAGACTGTATAAGACTTTTATTCATCGGCTGCCCCTTGAGCACTTGACTCTGGGGATGAAATGAGCACAGGTCATCTGGGTGGTATCCCAAGGGGTACACACCGATCGTGTTGTCAGCTTTCTCGGGGCTCCTCGGCTCCTCCCCATGATTCTTCGTCCACTGGACAGTATGGAATGTGCAATACTGTCAGCACTTATAGGCTTGCTTCGATGACGACCAGGAGGGATGACTTGATCCCCCACGCAGCGTCATGACTTTCTGAGCAAGCACGTTCTCTGTCAGTACACCCCCGGTGCTACAGAATCAGCGTTGGATTGCTTGGTGCAAAGAGGTCGGGGAGTGGGTGTCTGGCTGTTCAGAAGTGTGCCTAATAGGAGGTCCTCTCTCCAATGGGCCCTACAATTGCCTCGAACAGCTTTTGCATGAGGCATACTTGGCTAAATTTATTGGAGGATAGTGTATTTGTTTCCACTCAAAATACTCTTTTTTCCTCAGAACCAACTACCTATAACACTAGTAGGTTTTTGAAGTAGTTAATGTACTGTCACTCTTCATTCCACTAGATTCTATGCCACGGCCTCAAGATATGGGCGTTCTGTATAGCTTTAGGTTGTGGTAAAGTAACGACAAAAATATTTTTCCTGAGTGACCGAATAGATTTTGTAACAAGAATCAACTCGCATGATTTCAATGCGTTAAATACGTTAGATCCAGGCGTATAATATTGGGTGACAAACGGAAGCACAAACGGAAGTACATGCTTTCGCGAATCGCGATGATGAGGCACGCGGGCGGATGCCAAGACTGACCTCCCGACCTCATCCTTCTAGCCCAAATTCCACCCTACCATCAGTCCCAGTCATCCAGGCTTCGTCCGACCCCTCTGTGTGGTAAGGAAGAGAGTTTCGTCGTATCTTCTATTTTTGTACCTTCAAGTCAGACGAAAACTCCGATCGAACTACACCAGCCCCTCCCGTCCTCGATCCATTGCGCCCGCCCTCGCGCCGATTCCTTAGCCCATCTCTGTGGCCACCGATATGGAAGGCGCTCAGGGCCAGCCAGGCCAGCAGCCACCTCAGCAGCCCATGGTGCAACCACAGCAGCACTCCAACTTGATTCGGACCGACCAAGTACAGAAACTCCCGCACCTGAATGATCAGCAGAAGGCCCAGCACACACAGCTGGTGCGCAACCTATGGGAAGCCCTCAACACCCGCGATCCACAGAGCCATGAATACCAGACTGCGCATGTGAAGCTGTCGCAGCTATCACAGAACTTGATGAAGGGCATGCGGATGTTCCAGCAGAACCGACAACAGGCGATTCAGCAGCATCAAGCAGCCGCTGCCGCGGCGCAACAGCAACAGGGCCAGCCCCAGCAGGGTCAGCCCGTTCAGCGTACTCAGTCCAACAACCCGCAAAACCTTACTCAGCTACTCCCCCAGATCCAGGCAAAAGTCAGCGCACTGAACTTCTACCTCCCTCCGAACGTGACCCAGGAGCAGCTCCAAAACTGGATCCCCGAGGCTCGGCTTCGATATGGCATCGCACTTCAGAAGCAGGAGGTTGGGCGGGCTCGAATTGCAGACTTGCGCCAGCAGTTTGCGCAGCGACAGGGTCAAGGCAATATGACTCAGGATGAAATGCAAGAGTTCAAGAATCGACAGCTCGCGGCGGAAAAGCTTTTCCGGGAAGGTAGCGAATTCTTGACTAAGTTCAAGGAGCAGCAAGAAAGCTTTAAGGCACAGGCCCAGCCTGGTCAGCAAATGAGTCAACAGCAAGGACAGATGGCCAGCGCACCTTCAACACAACAGCCTGGGATTACCACAGGAGGAGCAGCGAATGTGCCCGCGCCGCAAGCCGCACCTCCAAACCAGGCCGGTGTTGCGCCAAATGCTATGCCTGGCCAGGCTCCAACTCCAGCAGCCCACACTATCAACTCGGCTGTCAATGCGGCTCGTAACCAGGCAGGGCAAGCAATGTCGCCGTCGACTTCGCAGCCAGGGCAAGTACCTCCCGCATCCTCGGCAGGCGCGACCCCGGCGCCTTCCAATGCGCAACCACCAATGCAGCGACCTCAGCCACCATCACAACAAGGAACGCCTGGCGCGCATGTCAACTTTAGTCAAACACCCAACGCGGACGGATCAACACCCACCCCGACTGGACCACCACAACCTATGAGCCAAGGCCCTCCTCGGCCTCTCTCACAACAAGCGGCGATGCAGCAAGCTGCCAACTACAACACCAACCAAGGTCAGCAGCAAAACCAGCAAGTGAATCAAGCCGCAAACAACCAGCAGGCTCACCCCACCGGCTACCTTGCCAATCGTTCAACAGACACTCCCAATCGCAGCATCAACATGGTCATCCCCAAGAATCTGAACGTCTCTACCCCGGAGCCCGTCCCCATGCCTGGCTCTCGCCCCACCTTTTCTGGTGGCCCCAGCCACAACCAGATGGGTGTGATGGGCCAGCCAGCCATCCAGAAGCACCCAGGATACGTGCTGGAAGGTGAAGGCCAGCACGTCCTCAGCAAGAAGATGCTCGACATCCTCGTTCGCCAGGTCACCGGCGGCGGCGAGGGCGAGATGCTGTCCCCTGACGCAGAAGAGGTAAGAACCGACCCTCAACTGAGTCTGAGGCGAGAGTAAGCCCAATCCAGAACAAAGGCTAACCTCAATCCACAGTTCATGCTCCAAATGGCCGATGACTTTGTCGATGACGTGGTCACCCAAGCCTGCCGCCTGGCCAAGCTGCGTCCCTCCTCGACCCTCGAGCTTCGCGACATCCAGCTCGTTCTGGAGCGCAACTACAACATGCGCATCTCTGGATTCGCAACCGACGACCTCCGCACCGTCAAGAAGCCCCAGCCCACTCAGGGCTGGCTGCAGAAGATGTCCGCCATCCAGGCCGCCAAGGTCACCCAGGGTCGGTCTGAGTGAGTGCATGCTCCCAACCACGATAACAGTCACACCGAAGATTTAAACAATGTTGCCACTTCCTTTCCCCCTCCTGCTTCTCTCAAACCCGCCCGCCTTCCTTTTTCCTATCTTCGTTTTGCTGGTCAACATTGTTTACGGGTGGTTGCGTGCGAATCATCTCCATTTCCATTCTCGAGAAGTCCAAGGCGTTCACATCAGGCAGACTAGGTTTGGGTCGTCGTATCACACGGTTTTCCTCTTTCTTCGCTTCCTTCCAAATGGGTTTCTCGGTTCTTGCTCGGTTCGACTACGGTGAACTTTTGAGATACCTTTTTTGCTTTGTGTTTGATGGGGCGGAAGGAGCGAATGGCGTTGTTTTGTCCTTTTTCACTTTGTTTTTCTAGGATGGGTTTCAAAATCTGAGAATCTAGGGAATGGAGATACATAGTAATAACATGGTCTCTATGTGGTAAAGTAACTTTGATCAATTCACAATACATGAATCGTAAGCAATATGTTTTCTATGCTAGTCTACCCAGGCAACACTAGGACTGTCTCACAGGTTCTACAAAACTCTACACCAAGCAAGAACCCACAACGAAGAAAGCGCCACGTTCAAATCTAGTATGATTCTAACCGTATCCAATCCGTCTCGATGTCTGCCGCAGATAAGCACATCACGGTTTCTCTAACGGGGCAACAGCACCCTTGAAAGCTGGACCGTGTCCAGCTTAAGCGGTGCGCTCAACACGTACCCATGGGTACGAACAAGGACGAGGACAAGCAAAGTCAAGAGGCATGAACAAAAAGAAAAGTGGTATAGTGAATTGATACAGGGTATGGAGTAAAGCTTGTCTCACAGGAAGATAGACTCAAGCAAAAAGGATAATACGAGAAAGAAGAAGGAAAGCCTACCAGGAATGGAAGGGTTGAAAAAGAAAATAGGGAAAGGAAAGGTTTGGATGTGGAAGACCACTAAATGGAGGAGTAGTAAGGAGAAGAGAAAAAAGAAGGACCGCGATAGAGCGGGTTTTGCCGCGAAGGGGCTGGAGTGAAAGACGGATGTTGAGACTGAGAGAGATTGCTCAATTGAAAATGCAAAACACTTAAGACAGGGCAAGACGGTAGGAAAAGTGAGATAGGAAAGACGTGACAGCGACTGTCGGCATGTGATGTGATATATGGAGAGAACGTGGTTGATGGATATGCCGGGTGAATCGGACATTCCATGATAATGACAGTGAGGTGGGGGGATTCGTTGGTGGTACAAGGTGAGTCTTGGAATCAAGTACGAGACAGTGTGATAATGCAGGTGCACGGGTCAAAGAGATAGCGGCAGTGGAATGAGGTACAGGAAACAAGAAACCGAGTTGATCTTGAATCCCTTTTCGTACTGGCTGCGTACCACTCGACACAGAATGGAGACCGCATGAGATAGATAACACGGGATAGACAGACGGAGATGGGAGACGCTCAACAACAGGAAATATACACACGTCACTCGTGAACATCAGCGCCTCTTGAGGGAAACGCACTGGTTGCAAGTAGATCAATTGAGAGGGCAGAGCAGAGCACAGCACAGCATGGACAAGCAGATAACAAGGGATAGGGGGGGGGGGGGGGGGGGGGGGGAATAGCGACCCGTAAGTGGCTCATGCAGCGATGGAGAGACGGATTTGAGACGGGGATAGGAGGGAATAAGAGGGAAAACACAACGGGTCTATCGAGCAACATTGGGATATCTCGCTGAATTGGAAACAAAAAAACAAGACGAGAGGCGGAAAAAACATGGAATGCATCGCTTGCGAGAACTGGATCGCTGACACTTCACTGGACAAGGCACAAGGCTCGTGAGGGGAAAAGAGGGATTATCGCTGGCGCTTACTGGCGAGGTAATTTTCGCCCCGGTCGATTTCCTTGCCCTTGGTAGAGGTGGCTGGACGCTCGTCGATTGGCAGGGAAGGTAGATCCTTATCCGACAATCGACGGCCCTGTCGGCTGTGCGAGCTGTGACCGCCAACGCTGCTTGCTTCGCCAGCTTCCTCGACGATAGGCAAGGTAGAGGTTGGGCCTGGACCGGCTGCATCGGCAGGATCCCAAGCGGTAGCCAAAGTGCGAGGGTGGGTGACCGACACATCCTTCGCCGCCTCCTTCTCGGCTGCCTGCATCGTGCGCTCCACAGAGGAAGACCGGGATTGATGTTTCTCATTCAAGACCACTGCAGACGCCTGCGACTCACGTCGTCGCTCGGCCTCCTCCTTGGACATGGTGATGCCCTTGACAAAGTTCACGAATCGATCTCCATAGCTCTCTGGCGGAATCGGAGAGATTTGGTTTCGATCGTGGGAAAGGCCCTTGAAGAAGTTCTCGATCTTCTTGACCATACCGTAGTGCGTCAGGCAGTCAATGATGCCGAGGTAGTAGATCTCGTCGCCAAAGGTGCCGTCCTCGTGGGTGGCGCGGAACCCGCCGTCGTCAGAGTAGAATTTCAGATTCTTCTTTCGAGAATCGAGGACCTCCTCTGGCATCTTCGCTGCGGCTTTGTCCAAGGGCACCGGTCGCTCACGCTTGATCAGCATGCGCAATTCACGGGCCTTGCGTTCGTTCTCGAGTTTCGACGGCGTTCGCATGAGCATGTTGCCCTTGGCCTCTTCCTCACGATCACCGCCAGGCTGGAAGACTTGAAGCGTCTTGTCACGGAGTTTCTCTTCGTTGCCGCGCTCCACGTCGTGGATGCCAACAAGCAGTGAATAGTCCATGATCTTGAGCTTCTTAAGCAGCTCCACGTCCTTGGTCAATTGCTCGATAAAGTCGAATCGCCTTTCGGGTCCACATTGCAGATGACGATCTCTGCGCAACCAGTTCAGATCCTTCATAGTCGCCCGAGGGTTTCGCTCCAGATCAGACTCCTGCAAATCACGACCGATAGTCGAGCCCTTCAAATCAAATGTCTGGTGAATATCGCGGTGCGGGGGGAATAAGTTGTTCATGACAACGAAGTGGATCTTGCGGCCGTACGCCATCTTCACTCGGTGCAGACCGTAGAACTGCGAGATCAAGGTGTTGGGATTCTCTTGTACGTGCTTGTAGTACAGTGGCAAAATCTTCCGCAGAAGTTTGTGCTCAGAATGGTGGATAGTCTTGATGATGTACTTGTAGTCGCGCGAAAAGTAGAAGAAACTGCCACTCTTTCCGGGCGAGCCTAATTCAGACAGGATGTACTTGCTGGTCAGAGACATCAGGTAGTCGGCAGGATCGAGGTTGAACTTGGCACGCAGGTGACGGAACACCCAGGGCGCGTAGTCCTTGAATTTGAAGTCGTATTTTGCGGAGGGAATCAATTCGTTGCCAGTACTATCAGCGGTCAGTCATGAGTATTACAGGAGAGTATCACAGGATTTCGGGATAGGTGCGGCCATACATGTCAAAGGAGAACTTGTGCTTAGCTTCAAAGTCTGCGGGTGTCAGTTCCCGGTCCATCTTGGCATTAATCCGAGAGACTGTAAACCGAATACCAGTCAACATGTTGTATGCAGTGACATAGTTGACATGGTTCTGGTCGACTTTGGTACCGACAATCACTCGTTCGTCGTCGTCGTCCTCGCGTCGTCGCCGTGAAGCTCGTTTTTGTTTGATGGCTTCCGCCCAGCGCGCCGCTTCCTCATCCGGTACCGCCTCATCCACGGGTTCTGACTGTGTTCTTGTTGTCCGTCGGATCAGGCTGAATGACGTTCTGCGCGGTCCGGCCGAGGTGGGGGAGAGTCGGCCGCTGGCGAATGCAGTATCTTCGCCTTGATCCCGACTGTTCCGCCGACCACTTGGTGCTCTTGGAACTTGTAGCGAGTGTCGATGCCGCATACTGGATTGTTGTGATTCTGGCATAAGGGTGTTGTCTGGAGATGAGGGAGCCGGGGGGGAAGAGTATCGGTGATGGCTGGGTTTCGGGCCCGGGGTCAATCGATCCGGGTCTGGAGAGTGACGACCGGTGTCATCGGAATTGGGAATCTGCAGTAGCGATGTCGATGGGCTGGTAGCCCGATCTGAAACTGAGGGTTCATCTGCGGAAGGGCGGTGAGAGTCACCATTCATCATCGTCTTTCCCGGGGCAGATCGGTGGCTCCAGGTCGTAGGGCCACCATTGACCTGTTGGTTTGAAGCTGGCGCTATCGTGGAGCCGGCTCCAGGCCCAGCATCTGATGGTTTTCGATCTAACATGGCCGGTGACCGGCCAGAGTCTCGGGGATCCCTAACCGAGCCATTGCCCAGCGAGTGCATGCTGCCGTCCTTGGAGTGCGGCAGGTCGCGCGTATAGGAGCCGATGCTGGACCGGGTGCCATTCAGAGAATATGCGCTACCGTTCTTTAGATTGGTGATCACTGGGCGATCGTTCGGGTGAGCGTCGTGGTTAGCGTCGCCGTTGGGCCAGTTGGTCCACAGGAAAGTGTTTCCGACGGAGCTTTTGTCGTGCGACTTGCGATGCGTAGAATCGAACGAGCGGGGGGTTTGGGTTGTCGTGGTGGTTGCCGTAGCCGTCTGGTAGGATTCACTCGAGAAAGACGGCATGGTTTTCTTTATGCCAAAGGTGCAAGAGCGTGGAGAGATTTCTTCACGACACGGGGGTGACGTGAGCTCTGCGTGGGCCGGCAACCCAAAGTGACGGCAATGGCCCTTATTGGTGGAGGGGCCCTAAAAAAGTTGCGAACCGGACCGCGAGCCAGCGGATCAGAACGGGAGGAAAGAGCAGGAGGAGGAGGTGAAGTTGGACGACCCGTGTCGGGGTAAGAGTTGATCTCAACCGGAGATGGCGGCCAGGCCAGGGCGTGGCAAGATGGAGGGTTTTCAACGGATAAACATGATCGGGTTCACGGAGAGGCTCGAGCGTTTCGGAAGAGCGAAGACAGCACAAGAATGAAATTGGCGCAAGAGAGAAGAGACTTTAGTGGGGAGGAAGTTGTTGTTGACGATGAGGAAGGGGAAGCTGAAGTTGGGAAGTCGGGTGGCTTGGTTGGAGTGCTGAGGATTGAGGATTGAGGGTTGTCGGGGAGAGGGAGAGAAAAGAACCGGGGCCCAGGGGACCGTAATTACGTTGCACCTCTCGTACGGAGTCTCCATACAACTCTTTACCCTCTTTACCACCACCACGGGGTTTCCGTGCTCCACTGTTCAGCTGGGCTGCGGCGTCAACGAAGTAATATTACTGTACTCCATACAGTACTAGACTCCGTTTTTCGTACTGATTTGAGCACGTTATTTGGACGAATACTGGTACAAGCCTACCAGGTGGCTGACAATATTAGGTTTGGTTCGATAAACACCGACATAGAGCCATACAAAATGGTTTCCAGCCTATGGCATACCTACATTGTCACTAGGACACCCTAAAGCAGGGGTCTATCCCATTCTATCTTCGGTTCCAGATGCGACCGAGCCAAAAGAAAGACCAATACTGACAGTATGTACCCAATGCACGGGTTCCCTGTCGCCGACTCCCCCTACTTATGCACATTGCGTTGTGCAACGAATCCACCCACAGGCCCTGACCACTCAGCAAGCGCATGAGGGTTTGGGGGGGAACAAGTAGAGGCAATTGGGCCCCTCCAAACACCTGCAGCCAGGTTTTCTCGGTGACGTATTGATAGCATAGACCTCCATTTCTAACTGGAGTAGGGCCAACATGCAAATTCGCCATATAGCTACTCTGGAGTCTACTCATGGTGTGCTGCACCAACGTCTATCCCAAATCCCAAAGAGGGATCGTGTCCTAGGTGTGGATAGGGTAAGAAACTAAGGTGCCTGACCCGAAGAGTGGCGCAGCAGCCTTAGCCTCCTCGCGACGAGATTCGAAAGGAGTATCCTTGCGAAATGATGTCCTTGAACTATTGAAATTTTAAGTAACAATCCTCATCTTGTAAGACGGGTTCTGAAACGGTATTCTGTTCTGGGGGAACAGCCACGACAATTCCCTTTCTACCATATTCTATATTGGAAGACCCCCGGAAAAAGCAACTAAAGTTCGGTTCGTAAACGCAATCCGAAGCCCCTCTCGCTGAAAAATAATCCGACAGCCTTAAATTGCATCACGATCACGTGCCCCGCAGACTCACATCGGCAGCCCAAAATAGTTCTAGTCCGAAGTCTGCTTGTTCACCTGACAACCTCCGTAAATTTTTTGAGATAAGACTACTTTAGCTACTCAGCACTAAGAAAATTCCCCGATACTGTCTTCATCTCCGGCTTCTAGAATGACTTACTCGGAGTCCATGGATGTTGTACACACTAGGGTAGTGTACCGAGCAGGAATTCCGCCCCTGACTATACTCAACTTGGGCACTTTATTCCAAAAATACCTTCCCCTACTCCACATTTAATATCCGTATACAGTAACGATGCTATTAGGGAGTTGAGGATCGAATAGATGAACCTACGAGGAAAGAGGACGAGCAGGAGCCACTTACAGATCATCAAACGGAGACTACACTTTATCCCACCTTGTCGGTAGAGCCTGTCCAATGCTATCTAGTCACTGTCATTATCCACCCTTACAGCATACTCCTTCGACATGCAAAGCCAACAGCGTTTTAACTACGCCCTCAACACCCTCCGTAAGCATATCAACCCCTAAGAACCCTAAGCCATCGATCTGGAATATAACCTTCACTTTATTTCCATCTCCTCTAAATGTACTGCATTATACAACCAAAATGACACCCCGTAGTCACGAAGTCCTCCAGAAGTCTACCAGGATCAGCAACGAGGAAACTCCACCAATAAAACCTGTAACCCTCCAACAATTACCGTACAGATAAGCGAAAACATAGACAGCACATTCTCAGTGCCACATATGTAGAGGGGCTGCTTATCACAGCGAGAGTTGAAACCCGCCAAGCTCTGGCGGTGATTAGCCCAGGGTGATCAGGTGATTCAACTCAACCTGAGTGGATTGTAGAGTATGTACAGACCGTATTGTACGGGGGAACTTCAGACTAGAGGCCATCAGTGCTCACCATCATCCAAACCTCCTCAATTCTCCAAAGAGGGTCGAATCTAGGGACGGTATTTCAAACGAATGATCTTGGTTCATTGATTTTAACTACGGAATGACTACCACGGACCCTCGAGAACCAGTACTATTATCCTGATTCAGATCCTCCTTTGTCATCTATCCATCACGTGTATCGACATCACACACACCTACACAAGCAACACAAGGCACGAAGCACGGTTCAAAAGAGATTCCAATTCGAACAGTCTCCCAAAGATCCCGAACTGAAGTGATTCAAAACACTCAGATTCGATAGAGAGCAAGTGGAAACAAGAGAAAAAAAAAAGAGAACATTGAAACCAAAAAAAAAACGATTTCCCCATTGAGCACAGCCCGCCGCAAGACGCCATCCCTTCGACTTTGGAGTGTACAAAGACAAAGCCCATCATAACGAAGATATTCCCAGAAAACAAGCACGAGGGTAAAAAAAAAAAAAAGAAAAAGAAAAAAAAAAGGTGTGACAAAAGAAAGACCATCAAAATAATCAAGGCTATCCATAGCCAGAGCCAGAGGTAGGGTCGAGCCACCAAGATTGAAGCTTGTCAGAAGATGGCGGAAAAGAAATTACAGCGGAAGAGAAGAAAGCACCGTAAGGAATCAAATCGCCCTCCCGAAAAACAAAAAGCGCACGTGAGAAATGGGAGGACTGAATCGAGTCAAGAAAAAAGGACGCGATAATGATCCTCTATTTCTTAGGGGTGGCGCGCTTCTTGGTGGCGGGCTTGGGAGCCGCTGTGGTCTTGGTGACTCGGCCAGACTTGGTCTTGCCAATGACCTTGGGCTGCTCAACGATCGCCGGAGCCTAGAGCAAGAAAGATTAGTGGTTGGAAGGGTTAATTGGGGAAAGGTCGGCGTCACGGTTGGTGGTGAGTTCGGACAGGGCAGTAGGGCTACATACGGCAGTGGTCGTGGTCTTGCGGGCCTTACCAGAGTTGGCCTTGGGCTTGGCAGCAGTGGTCTTCTTGGTGGCGGTAGCCTTCTTAGTAGCAGAGGCCTTGGGGGTAGTGGCCGCCTTAGTCGCAGTCTTCTTGGGAGCAGAGGTAGTCTTCTTGGTGGCAGTGGCAGTGGCCTTGGCGGCAGGCTTCTATTCAACATGTGAGTAATAAGGCGACGATGATATATTTGCGCCAGCGAGCTAGAGATTGCTTACCTTGGCAGTGGTGGCCTTCTTAGCAGCAGGCTTAGCGGCGGGCTTGGGGGCAGCCTCCTTCTTAGCCAGCTTCACGGGACCAGAGGGACCTAAAGATAGGACGCGTCAGCAAACGATCATAACATGGTAAAGGACAAGCAAATCCCCGCGCACTATTACAAGATCAAAGACATTCACACGGAGGAAAAACCTCGTCTGATAACATGTAATGCGCGCAGGGGATCAGCCATAATCAATTGATAACTTACCCTTAGGCTGAGTGAACTCGCCCTTCTCAACGCCAGCCTTGATGGCCTTGTTGAACTGGGCATCGAAAGTGGCCTGAGACGCGACGTTGATCTTGTTGTTCGCCGACACGTACTTCTTAATGGCCTGACGGCTATAATGGGGGCAGTTGAGTCAGTACATGATCACTTAGAAAATAAAAAAAAATCATCACGCGCTAGTCCAAGCTCCGGGAGGCGACCCAGAACGGCGCGCCGACGAGATTTTGCGCACAGCAGCAAACACGTACCTAGAACCATTGCGCTCTTTCAGCTATTGACAGAAAGGTCAGTAAACAATGCAAAAGAAGAAATAAAGCCATCCCTATGGATGTGGTGGCTGGATGCAAGCCTCGGACCGGACGTGTCACGGTCGGGCGCGCGACCCGAGATCACAACAAGCCGGGCGGCAGCGGTGATCTACTCACGTTGACAATAGCATCCTTGATCATATCTATATGAATGGAATCAGCAGACATTCGCGACACGAACGATATGCAATTTATTTTTACGCGATGGGAGAGGCGTGCAGGATCAGAAGAAACATACCACGGTAGGAAGCGTGAGCCGGAGCGGCGGCCTTCTTGGTCACGCTGGTAGCTTTCTTGGGAGGCATGGTGGAAGATGGAGAAGTTATTGCGTGTAATGTAGATTGGAGAGATGGAAGGATGTTTAGGCAGCAAGACCTAGACGAATAAAAATTGAAAAGTGGGTGAGTGGTGGGAGGAAGGAAAAGAGGAAGAAGAAGCAGCAAGCGGAAGGGTGGGAAGAGCAGCGGGGCATCCGCGATTTATAGGCGGCTGGTGTTGACACAAGATCACCTACCACACCCCCGGGCGCCTCTTTCGCATCGCACGGGTCGTTTTCCCTTCGCGTCCTGATGGTTCATACTCTTATCATAGTGCTTGTTATGATTGCTACTGCTACCTATTGCTTTTCTCTTCCTTTTCATTTACAGTTATTGAATCCGTTCTCTGCTCGTGCTCTGGTTTCTTTTCTACTGCCGAGCTCGCCTTGCGAATTGGTTGGCGGCACGCATTCCCCCAGATGGCAGGCGCAAAGAGACGAGGGGGGCACTCCATTCTCGCGCCTTTAAGAACGATCGAGTGTTTCGATCTGTCGTCCGCACTAGCTCTTCACCGTACAGATGTATATGTGCCTTCTCTATCCTCTGCGAAGTAGTTTCTAGTCTGTCCCCAATGACCAGAAATCGCGCACTCTATCTGCTAACCCAATCAGCCGTATGTACTTTGCAGCACGATGGACCAACTCTATATTCTCTCCTATAAGTTAGTAGATCGCCTTGTCCCCCATGATCGCCAAGGGGCCGCTGGTCTTCTTTTTTTTTCTCTCCCTCTAGAGCTTAATATGGCATAGATACATTCCACTGGAACCGGAGGGGATCAACCTGCCCGTGGAAATCCTTTCCGTCTACATGTAATACTGGAGGCAAGGCAAATGAAATCCAGATCTTCCTCCTGTGTAAACCTAAAAAGAAGGACAGCCGAGAACAGTTGTCCACCAGGAGTAAGGTGGTCACTATTCGTTTCTATTCCGAATCATGCCTGGGATACGTAGGTACCCAACGGTAATTCGATTAATCGGGTCAAATGTTTAGAGTGGCACACCAATAATCACGCTTTAAACAGCTATAAAGTATGAATTTAGTACATATATGCTCTAGACTTTCTGCGGTCTTGATATACTTCCCAGATGCGTCCGATGTTGAAGCTTCCTCCTTGCGTGTGCCTTCAGGACCTGCAGCCGTCACGAGGCACATGCGTTGGCACCCCCGCGAACTGGGAGAAAAAAAGCCTGGGCCACTTGGTCCATGGTACGCCGGTGTGACTCGATGATGTCGTGACTCGGACAGGTAGTACTGAGCCACTGGATTTGTGATTGGGGATACGGACGACTCCCGGAGTTTTATCTGATGTCGGGGTTGTCTTGCGGAAGTTGCTGTGACTTGCTCTAACCCTAACTTGCTGCCTTCCTTCTGACCGCTTGCTCTGCTCTCCCCGTGATCTTCATCCACCTCTTTTAGCAACGCGATCACGATTATGGAAGGCATAATTTTAGACCTGATGGTGCTAGCTAGGCTATCTTTAAGTAATAATGATTGAAATATGACGTTATATTCTCTATGCTAGCCACTATCTGTATGAACGGAGCTTTGTGGCCGTGTGGCAAGTGAAGAACATCACGGAGGGGTAGCCGGATATATATCTCGACAGACAACCAGGCAGCGCTACGAATCGGCATGCTGCTCCCCCTTAAATCACTAGATCAATCATCTTGAACCAATCAAATCAACGATCAACGTGTAATCACCGTTATTCTCCACTGATCGCTGCAACTGCTCACGCATCCACAAGGCGCCTCGGGCCAGCGATTGATCTGGCGTCGGTCTTGAATCAACCCAACTACCAGCGCTACGGTCTACGAGCTACCAACACCCCCAAATTACAGATATTCTAAATCACCGTATATTTACAGGTAAATCAACACTATTGAATGGAGTTCCCCCATCCTGTCCCAAGTCAAGGCCGGGAATCAACCCGTAAGCACGCAGTGAGGGGGAGATCACGATGCCCGATCTGGCTGCTCACCCGCATCGAATCAAGGGACTCGAAAGATGAACGACTGATCCTACACTACACAGTGATAGTTTGACGTCTCCAAATAGACAAAAGGTTGCCCATGAATGACAACAATACAAATTGATAGTCTTTAAATCATTTACAACATTTGATGATGAGATCACTGGTGCATTGTTCACAACCCCATCCTCGAGCTGATCTCGCTTAGCCCGGCTCGATGTATACAACTGCACCACATTGAACTCCACCCTCATGACCACCACCACGGCTGTATATAATCAAAATCATGTAATTCAAAGAAGAAATGACTAATTTATATGTACTTCATCATTTTTGTACAATACACGGACCCGTAGGGGCAAGGATCAGTCACAAGAGTGAGCATCTTTTGTACCACGCCGAAGAAGTGATATTCTGATCCTACGAGCACGATCATGAATAGACATATGTGGTATTTGCAGGTAGATAAGAAATTGCAAGAACTACCTATTCATCTGAAAAATATTTGGAAATTTCGCAGGTATGAGATGCTAGACTCCATGCCATGGATCAGGGTGATCGGGGAGGCCGGATGGAATCACTCGCGGGCCAGTGTCCACCCCCGACCAAGATCATCAAAAAAGCACCACCACGGAGGGAAAAGGAAAACCGATTTAACTCCAACGCCTAGCTCATAGAAAGACCGATAAAATAGAAAAACGAAGATTTTATCCGCCTGGACAAGGGGGACGCTGGTGAGACAGACATCCTTGCCGAGAAGAAATGGCACCCGCATCGCAGCCCCCAAGTCGAAAATCATCAATCGAGAACAGAGAAATTAATTCGCACCACGAGGCTTAGCCTTGGCCTCCTTCTTTGCCTTGGCCTCGTCCTTCTTGCGCTTCTTCTGCTCCTGCAGCTTCTCGTCATGTTTCCGCTTGAGATTAGCCTTCTCCGTATCCGTGCGTGCGACCGGCTTGAAGAAGCCCTCCAACCGGGACTGCTGCGCACTCTTGAGGTTCTTGGTCAAGCGTGCAGCGCCATTACGCACGCGGTCCTCGTTGAAACCCTTGTCCGTCACTAGGAATTGCACCAGAGCCTCCACGTCCGGCGCCTCCCACTTGAAGTCGCAGGCTGGGTCGTTCGCGTCGCGCACGTCCGGGTTGGCGAATAGCTCACGCGCGTCCTGGTATGGCCAGTCTTCGGGGATCACGTATTTCTTCTTCGGGTCGTTGTTCATGAACTCGGTGACCTTTTCGAGACTGCCATGTTCGCGGATAAGGGCGAGTGCCGTGCTTGGGCCCACCTTGGGGATGGGCTCGAGATAGTCACAGCCGAGGAGGATGCAGAGGTCAATGAACTGCAGTAGTCGAATTCATGGTCAGGTTAGCACTTTGGACAGAAGTTTTCATGTGGGACAATTATTGGGGTCGCATTTAAAGCATACCTGCTTGCGGTCCATGTCAAGCCCTTCCATCGCCTTGCTCAGGTGAATCTCTTGAATAGGCTCCTTCCGCTGCTCACTAAACGTCAAGTGGCGCAGCAGAATCGGTGCCTCGAAACACAGGGTATCCATGTCCTCAGACGCAGCAGCATAGACCTTGCCCGCGCGCGCCAGTACGGCGCACTGTGCCTCTGCCTCGGTCGGCGCATCGATGTAGGGAATGCCCATCAGCTTCAACAGCTTCTTGCACTCGGCATTGTGCTCGCGGGTTACCCGCACCGTCCGCCGCGAGAACTTTTCGACTTCCTCTGCGGTACCGGTCTCCTTGGCTTCCTCATGTGCCTCAGTTGCTTCCGCCTTGCGTGCGCCTCGCTTGGCCAATTCGCCGGACTTGAGCTTGGGCGGGGCACCGTCGAAGACGTAGAGAGGCTTGATACCGTTGTCGACCATACGCAGGGTTCTGTAGAACATGCCCATCAGGTGCGACGTTGTCTCGCCAGACTCACTCATGAGCTGCTGGCCTTCGGATCGCACTGCGATTAGGAAACTGTAGATGCTCATGGATCTGGGCTGGGTTAGAGGAGCTGGTTCGTGGGACTATCGCATCGTAGATTGTAGACGTACGCATCCTAAGTCGTACTCAAAAGTCAGTCATTTCTGGTGTCAGATAATTTGATTTTCTTCCTGGAACTCGACTCACAATTGCGACCTTGCGGCCGAAGTGATTCTTGATCTCCCCCGTCTTGATCGCGTCGGGGGCATTTTCGGAGATGACTTGGTAGAGATCTGGTACTCGTTCAGCAGAGATTCGGAAATGTGATTCATGGTTCAAACTCACTCTTAATACCCATCTTGGCAGATTGTTGGGCGATTGCCGGTTAAAGTCGAGAGTTGCACGGGACGCAGGTCTTAAGCTACCGGACCTTCCTACCACGAGAGTGACGCGCTTGGTCTTCACACGCGCGCCGCCAATTTAACCTGATCTGGCCTAGGGCATTGATTACATGATCATAGTATACTCCACTGCTCAACGAGTACTTCCACGTGACCGGCGCCGAACCAGGCCTACTGCTGCCTCAGGCCAATATTTTATCGGTCGAGAACCGGAGCCCCCCAACCCCGCCTTTCTGCTTTCCCCGGAGTCTGCTTTGCGGGATGAGGTGCAACTTTCCAGCATGAAGCGGAATCGCATCCATTTCGAGGCTAATGGGGACGCGTCGTCCCCCTCGCCGCAAGGGGGCTTCACACCGGAGGATCAACGGCAGGCGCATGTCCCGAAGATCTCTCGGAGGATACGCGCATGCACGGAATGCAAAAAGCACAAGGTTCGCTGTGATATGAAGACGGGCGAGTCGACATGCTCGCGGTGTCGGCGAATGGGTCTGGAGTGTGTGGTCAATAAGAGCCTCCAGACGTTGCTGGAGGATGAGGCCGAGTGAGTTAGTCCTAATTTCCCATGCGTTTCTGGAAACTATTTCTGCGGAATGCTGTGTATCACTGCGAAAACAATGCTAATGTAATTGTTTGGTGGATTCTAGTTGGAAGACAATGATTGAGTTGGCGATGACCGATCTGCTCAGGAAGTCACAGCTCCCGGAACTTTCATACTATCAGGTCGGCGGCGGATCGATCGAAACGCCTTCGAAGAAACGGGGCCGCAAAGATTCGACGGTGTCGGTGGATGAACCTGGCCATTCCTTGGGGAATCACAGCAAGAATCAATCGGCAGATACTACGGCAGGCAGGTTGACGGGATCTAGCTCGTCGAGTTATGCCGTTTCTCAACCACAGCCGCAATACAAGATCGATCGTGAGGAGACAAGTGCGACTTCACTCGTGACGGCTCCCATGGGAAGTCTATACGAGGTAACACAGTTGAGTGAGAACCGTGAGAATTCGCCGAGCGAGGATTATGCGCCGGACCAGGCATTGGTGACGGATTTCATTTCGCGCGGCGTGGTTGATCTCCAGGAGGCCGAGGAACTGTTCTACCACTTCGATCAGGTACTCAACAGGTACCTCTGGGACGGAGCTTTGCTGGCACATAAGGATTTGACGTCTGCTCGGAGATCATCCTCTATGCTGTCCGCTGCCATTCTTGCTGTAACGGCGCTTCACCTGCCTAGCAAGGAGCGAACCTTCGATACTTGCTACACAGAGTTTGCAAAACTGGCATCCGAATCTATGCTTGGACATCACCATACCATGGATGACATTCGGGCACTTTGTATCGGGGCTTTTTGGCTTGCAGACGTGAGCTGGAAGCTCTCGGGCTATGCCGTTCGCATTGCGACCGAGCGCAATTTGCATCAATTCTTCCGCAAAGCTGTACAGGGCTCTCCTGAACACAAGGAGCAAGCTAGATTATGGTACCTTCTATACGTATGCTTTTATGATTATACTCACTATCTGTTCTAGATTGCTGACTTACACCAGACCCTCGAACATCACTTCTCCATCGCCTACGGCCGACCTCCCATCATTCACGAAGACCCAGCCATCGCACAACACAATACATTCACGCAATCACCCACGATATCACAAGGAGATCTAAGGCTACACAGCCAGGTTGATCTGTTCATTGTCCTCACCCGTATATATTTTGCATTCGGTCCTGACGTGGACCTCGAAGTCCCCGAGAGCGAATTCCCAAAGATCGACCAGTATGACCAGGAACTAGGAGATTGGAAATCAGCATGGCTACCGCGTCTCGGTATGTTACTTAGATCATTGGGTTGAAGCATGTGCTAACTCGACATTAGCTGGGAGCCGGCACGTTGGTGCATATCCATACAAAGCCGTCTACATGCACTACCACTTTTCTCGACTGCAGTTGTATTCAGTCGCCCTCCGAACATATCATTCTTCTACCTCCTCCAAAGTGATGTCGCCCGAGCGCAGGAAACGTGCCAACATTGCCATTGAATCATCGATTGCCACCCTGCAGGTAGTTCTAGATGAGCGAGACATCCAGCGTGCTCTGGTCGGTGTGCCGCTGTACCTCCACAGTATGATTACCTTTGCGGCGGTGTTCCTTTTGAAAATAGCCGTCAAATCATGCTCCAACGGGCCGAACCAGTGCGGTCAGGGTTCAAGTACCTCTATCTCTTCAGCCGGCCTGATCATTGACATTCCTTACGTGCGTGTCTTGGTTGGGCGCATCGTCGATGTGATGGTGTCCTGTAGCCAGCGAGCCAGCGAGCGTCATCTAAGCCATCACATTGCTCGCGGTCTACGAAAGATGCTCACTGGCCTCGAAGAGTGGGAGAAGCGGAACAGCACCCAGCAGTCAGGCGCGCCCACTCCCCAGTCAGAGGGCTCCTCGCTCTTCAAACCTGTCATTATCCCTGGAGCCCAAATGCTCGGCGAGCGAGACATCATACTGAACCATCCGCCTCCGTTGTTGGGCGTGGCACCACTATCCGCCGAACGTCGCAATGGGTTCGATTCGGGTCTTGGGCTGGCCAAGCACGAGCCGGGGCTTTCAGAAGGCTCGATGGACCCTATGATGGCGGATCTGTGGGGATTTGATGAAGAGTATTTCCCCACAGGCGTTTTTGATTTCCTGCAGAGCCAGATGCCAGCGTAATGGGGAGCTGTATAGCGGCATGCTGGCTGGCACTGCGCCTCTCTTCTTGGAGAATGTTTTTTCTACTACCCCCCTTGCACATAATCACAAGTATCGGTCCCGGATAACCACAATTGTCTAATGAATATAGGCGAATACATACTCTAGAAATATATATCCTATCAGGGCTCAGTCCCACTTATTTGCTTCCCCCCGCATGTACCTACCCTAGGTGTACTGGTCTGGAAACCCACCAGTGTCCCTCCGTATGCCGAGCCTACCAAGTACAGAAAAGCACACAAGCACACAAGCACCGAGAAACTCCGAGCCGGGACACAGACGACGGTGCCAGGTCACACCAGACTTAAGCTATTTATCGAATCGCCTAGTGTAATACCAGCCCAGCCCCGATTGGAGCTCGGCGCGAACGACCCCAGATTCTTGCCGCACTGCGTAGCGCTCGGTGATTTCCAGGCCCCAGAATTGCCGAGGTTCTCCGGCGGCTAGCGCATATTTGATTGAGCTCTCCCCCGCAACAAATCGATTGATAACCTCGTTGCAAACTACTTTCTCCGCACTCCTCTTTTTCAATTTCCTTCCTGCTTATACTATTGTTTTTCTTGTTAAATGATGAATCGCTCTCTTCTGCGTGCAGCTGCGCGCTCGCTTCAGGCTGGTCGTGCCGTCGCTGGTCGTCCCGTCGCTGGTCGGCGGTATGCTTCCTCGGCGGTGTTTAACTGGGAGGACCCCCTCGCTGCGGAGGAGCTGTACACGGCAGAGGAGTTGGCTATTCAAGATACTGCCCGACAGTATTGTCAAGAGCGACTGATGCCTCGTATTTTGGGCGAGTACTTCCCAATGATTGACTATCATTGTGTTCGTTTGGCATTGAAACTAACAATGACTTCGCATGTATAGAGGCCTACCGCAACGAAGACTATGACCGCAAGATTCTGGAGGAGATGGGCGAGCTCGGCCTGCTGGGCGCTTCCATTGAGGGATACGAGTGTGCCGGCGTGAGCACCGTGGCCTCGGGCCTGATTACCAAGGAGGTCGAGCGCGTGGACTCAGGATACCGATCAGGCATGTCAGTGCAGAGCTCATTGGCGATGACGGGGATCTACGAATTCGGCACAGAGGAGCAGAAGCAAAGATTCCTTCCTGGTCTGGCCAAGGGCAAGCTGGCTGGTTGTTTCGGTCTGACCGAGCCAAATCACGGCTCCGACCCTGGCTCCATGGAAACTGTGGCCCGCGAGCACCCGACACAGAAGGGCACCTACCTATTGTCCGGCAGCAAGACCTGGATCACCAACTCGCCCATTGCGGATCTGGCGCTGGTCTGGGCCAAGCTGGAGACAACGGGCAAGATTAAGGGATTCATCGTTGAGCGCTCGCGCTGCCCACCGGGTACCTTCGAGACCCCTGCTATTAAGAATAAGAGCGCCCTGCGTGCGTCCATCACTGGCATGATTCAGATGGATAACTGCCCCGTTCCGGCGGAGAATATGTTCCCCGATGTCGAGGGCCTGACGGGGCCGTTCACTTGCCTGAACAGTGCTCGTCTGGGAATTGCGTTTGGCAGCATGGGTGCCCTGGAGGACTGTCTTGCCCGTGCTCGGGAGTACAGTCTCGAGCGCAAGCAGTTCAAGGGTAACCCACTGGCTAAGTATCAGCTTGTCCAGAAGAAGCTGGCCGATGCGGCAACGGATGCTGCTTATGGCACGTTGGCTGCGGTTCAAGTGGCTCGTCTCAAAGATGCTGGGAAGGCTACGCCCGAAATGATTTCTATGATCAAGCGCCAGAACTGCGACCGAGCTTTGGCCAACTCACGGATGTATGTTTTCGTTTTCGCCTGTTTCAGGTGTCATTCGTTGCCTGGTCTCGAAACGAGATGCTAACAGTATGATGCTTGACAGTCTCCAAGAAATTTTTGGTGGTAATGCTGCCAGCGACGAGTACCACATTGGTCGCCATGTGGCCAATCTCTTTGTGGTGCAGACCTACGAGGGCCAGAGCGATATTCACGGTATGTGGTTGCCATCCATGCCCAATCTAGAGGCCGCTTTCTTTGGGCCGAAAGCTGATTGTTTTCTTTTTCCTTAGCTTTGATCCTGGGCCGGGCGATTACCGGCAAGCAGGCCTTTGTTTGAAGTGGCATTTGGTCATATTGTACGACTTATTGCATTACTTTTCCCTGTACTCAGGGCTATAAACTTGTATAGAATCTTCCTAGCATGGGAGAAATCGGAGCGCGGATGCCTTCCCCATCAGGACAAGGCCAGCGCCGCACCCGCACGTGACATCATCGTGGGGCTAAAAATTCAGAAATTTGAGGCATCATCTTTTGGATATGAAAGCACATATGATGAAGCAGAATATATGATGCGTAAATCCAACTTCTGACGAGTATGAAAGACCAGTTATACATATCGTAGATTACGTCCCGTAAAACACCGAATACGGACCAAAACCCGTTCGAGACCAGCCCTACGAGGGGTGCTGGTGAAAAATACAAGACTGGGCGGGATGTGTCATTGTGTGGCGCGTATTGGTAATACCCATCAGACACCCGCCCGCCCACTTTCCCCCTCTTTCTTCTTCTTTCTCTTCTTCTTTTCCACACAAAGACGTAACCGTACGTGGAAACGCCTGACTGATCCAGTCTCCCCTCCTCGCTGACCATCCTTTCTCTCCCGCTCCAGTCTTCCCATCCTCTCCCATACAACCTCATCGTCGCCATGGCTCTTAAGCGCATTAACAAGGAACTCACTGATCTCGGCCGGTAAGGATCTGTCCATCACCCACCACCCGTAACCAGAGCCCCCCTCTACGGGGCATCACACGAATGACGAGAGACTGACAATTTTCTTCGTGGTATAGGGATCCCCCGTCCTCCTGCTCTGCCGGCCCCGTTGGAGATGATTTGGTATGATTCTCTGTCGTTCTTCGTCCCCTCGTTCTTGACGGTCGCTCGGTGCCAAGTGCAGCCTTATCGTGCCGCGGGGCTGAAACAAGACCCCCCAACACGCGGATAATCGGATTGATCGAGGGTTGACATGATGAATATGATGACGATGACATGTACTGACCAATGTCTTCTTTTACCCTTTACAGTTCCACTGGCAAGCAACTATCATGGGTCCCGTAAGTCGATTCATTCTATTCCTTGACACGGCTGGCTGCGGAGGGGCTGTGGAGGGGCTATGCAGCCGTCACCAAAAAGTCCTTCCACAGCGTTCCCAAACAAAGAGAGCCTGCCGATTATGGTTCTTTGCATCATTTCATACTAACATGCTATGCTATAGACCGACTCGCCATACTCTGGAGGTGTCTTCTTCCTCACCATCCACTTCCCTACGGACTACCCCTTCAAGCCGCCCAAGGTCAACTTCACCACCCGCATCTACCACCCCAACATCAACTCCAACGGCAGCATCTGCCTGGACATCTTGAGGGACCAATGGAGCCCTGCTCTCACCATCTCTAAAGGTGCGTCGAAACTCATGTCCGCCGAGTCAATACAATTTGCCACACTCGACGCCCCAACAACGAGCCTCGTTACTAACTACGTATCGCTTTAGTCCTGCTCTCCATCTGCTCGATGCTCACAGACCCCAACCCGGATGACCCGTTGGTGCCCGAGATCGCGCACGTTTACAAGTCGGACCGCCCACGGTACGAGGCGACGGCTCGCGAATGGACACGCAAGTACGCTATTTGATCGGCAATTATTCAATAAATCTGCCCTCCTCCTTCCTTCCGCGCGACCATGACTCGAGTCTGAACCCTTGTCGCCTCTGCATCCTCTTTTTTATTACTTCGTTAGATTCATATCCGCGAAGCCTGGCGTACCGTGGTCGTAGAAACTTTGTGATGGTTCCAAATTCGTCTTCGCCGCTGTTTTATGTTTCTCTCATGTCTCGTGTTTCATGCGCGCGCACCGCTTTGCTACGTTTAAACCCATTTTTTGCGTGTCTCTCGTCTGTGTGTGTTAGTTAACTGGGACATGGCATCTTCCAACGATCATTATGACCAAAATCCTCCTGCATATGGCATTTTTTTCCCTCACCCCTCGGAGCTTCGGGGGGTGTTGTGGCTTCCATGAGACTTTTCCTACGATTCGTCTGCTTTTTTTCTATTCCTATTTGAAAAGAACCAAAAAAAAGGAACCGGAACATTCACGGGAAAAAAAGTCCCTCCGTTTCTTCGGTGATAATTGCTCGGAGGAATTTGCTGGAGTGAATCGTTGGGACGCTGAATGCTGAGATTGAATCGACAAAGTGATATGAATGATGATCTGGAGAGCTTCGGTGGAGTTGGGTTTCATGTCTGGTTATGCTGGATTAGGCTGGCAGAGGGGGGCTGTTACGATTTTCTTTCTTGTCGTCGATAGCAACTACTAGCACAATCCAGGCAGGCCCGTCTCTGTGTGATGAACAACGTTCCTCGTAGATCGCAATTGGTCCTTTTCCATGTGAATAGCTGACAAGATATTTTTGGCGTGATCATGCGCAGAAAGAATTCAAAAGGGTTATCAAAGGGGAAGATTGACCGTGATTAGTGTAAAAAGTAATCTACGTCGAGAAATCTCTTAGTTTAAGACTGAGAGGGTAATTGTCGCAAATCGAAGCGAAGCATATCAATGATTGAAATGACGATGCGACTTCCGGCTTGTCCCGGCTACCATTGCGTTGACCCAACGCTGGATAGCAGACCCAGATTTACATCACGTCATGGCTGGGTTATTTGCCATTGGTGACTTTGGAGAGAACTCCAAGATGCTGAAGTATTTTGCCTGTAGCATAGTATGTTACGTTGATGCAACTACGATCGGACGGATTAAACATGTCGATCGACAGACTACACTCAGCAGACAAACAAGTGGTACACGCTTGTATAGTGCTCTCAGATGTAGACTCTACTCGGGGGATCCGTCCTTGATTAATAGGCTAGCAATGTGAACATATGACTTTAAAACCGAGTGCGCTACCTTAAAAAGTCCGGCTGTAGTTGCATCGTACTTGGGAGTCTAATAAAATCTCGGGAGTGGTCTGTCCCACTTTTCCATCTGTGACCTAAACGAATAATGGTGTTGGTCCTCCGGGTGCAGGCGGTCCTCATGTCCTCCATGAGCTGACGGCTAATAGGATCATACCGAATCAACCGTGGTTTATTTAGCTATGGCTTGGATGTGAATTATCTTGTCTAATTGGGCTGTCCATTCTCGGATCAGTCACGAATTTACAACCTAAACAAGCTGCCCAGGCGGGACCTATAACCTGGCCTCGGAAAGTCCCTTTCAAAAGCATAAGCTCCCTCTTCAGAGAATCCCTTTTTGATTCTGTCGACCACGGAGAAGATGGCCATAAGCTTGGCTTTGAGAAATTGTTCATAAGGATCGGATTGCCGAAGAAGGCGTGGTAAATATCGTAGTTTCTTTCCCGGTGCCGTCTTTGCCACCCAATCGGATAGTCCTCCAACCAACTCAGCAGTTGTCTGGGTGTTGACAAAGGACCGCCGAGGTAGGGCCTTGCATAAGAGTGCAACAAATGGGTGACCACAGTTTCGCCAAAAGCTCTTCGTAGCCTGTCACCGCCGAGTAAGCTGGGGCACGTTACCTATCCACCCCAAAGGGAACTGGACATGATGGCGTTCGTGGCGGATGTCTCGTCGCGGACTTAAATTTCATCTCATTATGCAGTGTCTACGCAGACAAAGCAATTATTTTTCACCTAGCTGACGGAGGGATTAGTGATCTAGTTGTTTTGAACGCACCTTGGCTGCTTCAATTAACTGACGTACTCAACCACAGATTGGCCGTTGCCACCACTATTAGTAAGAGAAAATAGATCAGATTAACAGACTCTAGGCCCAGAGACTTTTCAAGGGCAACCACTCATTTCTAATTATCATTTCTAATTATCATCTCTAATTATCATCATGATGTCACAAGATGAGGCCATATTTGATATCATACCGTGTCAATGGAGTATATATACGCCCATCATCTCGAGTGAATGGAGTCGACACATACGGGCATTTCTGTAGATTACCCTCATCATGAAGCAATGGGTTGTGCAAGACAAAGAACATGGGCTTGACGGTCTGGTCTTTCAAAAGGATGCGCCCATGCCAAAAGTCGGCGAATATGAGGTGTTGGTCAAAATAGAGGCGGCATCGCTGAATTATCGCGACTTGATCATTCCGCAGGTATCTTATCGATCAGGAATGCGAGGGCCGACGCTAATATCTTCGTGTCGATAGGGACTGTACCCCTTCCCTACCACTCTCCCAGTGGTCCCCGGATCTGACGGGGCGGGTGAGGTTGTCGCGGTCGGCCCCAAAGTCGTCGAGTTCCAGAAAGGCGACAAAGTAGCTACTCTGTTTAATCAGGGCCACCAGTACGGCGATGTTGATATTCCAGCCACCAAGACCGGTCTCGGTGGTGTGATTGACGGCACTCTGCGCGAGTACGGTGTCTTCGAAGAAAAGGGCCTTGTGAAGGCTCCCGTGAACCTTAACCCTGTGGAGAGCAGCACTCTTACCTGCGCTGCCGTGACCAGCTGGAACGCACTATATGGCATCAGGCCCCTAAAGCCTGGTCAGAGTGTGCTGGTCCAGGGAACGGGTGGTGTGAGCATCTTCGGTCTGCAGGTATGTATTACCTCCCCATCAAGAAAGAGAGCTCGTTCCAACTTTGCCGTATATAGTTCGCCAAAGCTGCTGGTGCGACCGTAATTGCTACCACATCCTCCGCAAAGAAAGCAGAGAGGCTGAAGAAGCTCGGTGCCGATCATATCATCAACTACAAGACGGATCCTAACTGGGGCGAGACTGCTCGCAAATTGACACCCGGCGAGGCCGGCGTGGATCACATTATTGAAGTTGGAGGCACGGGAACGCTAGAGCAGAGCTTCAAGTGCATCAAGTTCGAAGGCGTGATTAGCGTCATTGGTTTCCTGGGCGGTGTCGACCCCAAGGGTCAGCCCAGTATCCTGGATACCCTGAGTTCCATCTGCACCGTGCGTGGTGTTTATGTGGGTAGCAAGGCCATGATGAGGGACATGGTGCGGGCGATCGAGGCCAATGACATTCACCCAGTGGTGGACGAGAAGGTCTTTAGCCTGGATCAGACGCGGGATGCATATGATTACATGGTGAGTGGGCTCTTTCGTGATGGATGTATTCAGACGCTGACACAACCTCATGTAGTGGGCGCAGAAGCACTTTGGGAAGGTGGCTGTCAAGATCGCTTAAGTAGTGGTTGACGCTGTCTGACAGGGGGATTCCGTCAAAGACCAGAAACCTCACGCACCCCGGAGGGCGGAGGGAGATTCGGTAATGGATATTGACTGTATAGGCGTCTCGGAAGTACATGCAGTCTCTACCAAAAGTATTTTTCCAACTCTGCTGGGATAAATGTCCCTACACTAAAAAACCGACCCAGATCCTAATGAGGGATTGGAGGCAAACATCACATCTGTAACGAACCAATCATAATTGAAAGTACTTGAGACATATCGAAATTACCAGGTTGCGAGCTGAGTACTGTAGGATCTGTTACCTTCTATACATAACCCACCGTGGCTACGCGAGGAGTCGCGCGAACTGGTGCAACCTTAACCCACACCTTGTTTACAACGCGTTATTGGCCCTTCTCTCTTTTTTCCTCTCAATTTGAAATGCTAGCCATCATCGTGTCTACAATTACATCTAACGAACTGTGTGTTTTCATGTGGACCAGAAGAGGGAGACTCTTTCAAAGGCTTCAAACCCATCCTGACGAGGCCTTGCACCTAGTAGAAGACTTTTCGACTTTTGCAATGAGCGGCTACAAGTGGCTGTAGAATCAAATAGGCTCTTACATCGCCCTGAATCGTCTAGATACATGATGTGCGTTAATCTCGTCGAATTTCGAAGCTGAAAGATCTCCCAATAGTGATCCAGCCCTTTGGAGAAAGATCAAGAGTAGCAGGGTCAATCCACTCTAGCCATCGATACTTGACATGTTAGCAGAGTGCAAAGGTAAGGTAGTCAGTCCATCAACTCAAGGCGCTAGCATAGAACGGAAGTAGTTACAACCTAACTAGTCGGTAGATATGGTATCTCCTTGCACCGTGCCAATGCGTTTTCGGGCAACTCCAGCTTGCCCATTCCTTCGGTCCGTTGGTTCCATGGGCATGTGTATGGTGGACGACAAGGGGGCAAGTGGCGTTTTACATGATTCCAACGGCAGAATCCCGTACTCAGCCACATTACTGCCGAGAAACATGGTAAAATAGTCAACCAAAAAAGCACATCTAATTTGACCAATCAGGACCCAGTTCTGATGTAGGGCTAGGTGGTATTCAAGGCGGTATGTAAAACGCCACTTACCCTCGCTGTCCCTTATCGTCCTCCGTAGCATGTGGCTTAAGTGATGAAATTACACCCAACCTGCTTGCTATTCCAAGACTACGCATCCGCAACGGCGTTGCTAAATCCTTCGAATAATGTTACTCCAACGAATGCAAAGCTGCTGACACGACGATTAGTCTGCTCATAGCATGCCATGTGGCTCGAATTCTCTCCAGTCCAAGAGGTATCCTGCTAGGCTGCCGTGTGCAGCATGCCTTTCGTATCGACTACGGCAGTTATTGTGGGTAAACTCTGATTGACGTTTATATGGCTTCCCTCTGACTCCTTTCAGGCCGTCGAGTGGACATTACTTGGAATTTGCCTCTGTTTCATCCTCGCTCTTGTCTACCTTCGGCTACATCTTGAGCACAAGAGGTTCATCCTTGGCGACTACTTTGCTTGCCTTGCATTCTTATGCGGCGTTTGTGAAGCAGCATTTGACCTTGAACTTAGGAGGATAAGATGGTTGAGTCCATCAAACCTGTGGTCCGATTTCGAGTCAAATGTGAACAGCTCGTCATCAACGCAAAAGGTTGGCTTACATGCGCAGACGTTCTAATCACGGTGCTAAACTCTCATTAGTTGGTGTTCGCCTCTTGGTTTCCGTTGCTTACTATACTATACCTCAATAAAGCGGCTTTGCTTTCTTATCTTTTTTATATATTCCCGTCAACTTTGGGGGATATATACTACCCGCTTTGGGCAGTCACGATCTACTCCGGTCTAGCATATATTACATCGATTTTGCTAGTGTTTCTAGGTTGTCTGCCCCATCAAAGTGGAAAGTACGTAAAGCCAGCCCTATCCCTTTTCATGGCACCAAAATAACATGTCTCAGCTACAACTTCACCTTCTGTGGCATATACAGAACATACGTTCTTTGGACTGTCACATGGGCCCTTCACTTCTCCTCCGATATTTTCATATTCATTGTACCGCTTATGGTACTAAGACATCTACGACTGAGCTGGAAGAAAAAGATAGGCTTGTACGCAACATTCGGGTGCGGTGTTTTCAGCATCAGCGCCTGCCTTGTGCGCTTTCTCATTGTTCAAATCACATATCCAGAAGTGTCGACGACAACCATTGAAATTTGGTGTGCCCTTGATGCCTATTTCGGGCTTATAGTTGCGTGTCTTCCGGCTCTTCGCCCATACCTTAACCTGAGGTAGCGATATTTTCAATGAACTGCTCCTAATATTGGCCACCGGAAGAACTTTCTCGAGGGGACCTCGGCGTCAGTCGGCCACTTTCCAGTCACAAATTTATCGTTCCCCTGGATGGATTGCCTTGGGAACATAAGGTTCTTCAAGATACTGAATCTCTTCCGGCGTCAGCTTGACTTGGACACTCGCAACAGCTTCATCGATGCGATCCTTAGTGTTCAACCCGACGATAGGGTACTCGCTGGGGTGACTCAGTGACCATGCGATTGCAACTTGTGCCATACTGATTCCCTTCTTGCAAGCCAATTCTTCCACACGGTCAATAATAGCTTTGTCGGACTCGGACTCGCGGGCACGAACGAGAATATTTAGCCCAACATCGGTGGTTTCGCGCAAGGTAGAGCGAGACGCCCACGGTCTGGCGAGGGCTCCACGAGCGATGGGAGACCAAGGGATAAGAGACACGCCGCTGTCAAGGCAGTAAGGGATCATTTCACGTTCCTCTTCACGGGCAATGAGATTGTGGTAGTTCTGCATGGAGATGAACTTGTGCCAGCCATTGCGGATGGCAATGTTTTGTAGGGTCTGGAACTCCCAAGCGGCCATCTACAAGAAAGACAGATATCAGTGCTGGCTTACTTAGATTGTTGAGGGTAAGGCATACCGAACTAGCGCCTATATAGCGGACCTTGCCGCTCTCAACGACGTCATTCAGCGCCCTCATGATCTCCTCGCGCGGTGTCTCACGATCAAGTCGGTGGATTTGAAGCACATCAATGTAAGTTCCCAGGCGCTCAACACTCGCATCAACGGCCTCCAAGATGTGTCTGCGCGAAAGACCGACGCGGTTCAAGAACTCGCCCGCGTTCTGTCTCCCGGTCTCGAGAGGGGGTGGAAAGGTCCCCGATTCGTCGACACCAAAGTAACATTTGGTCAAAATTACCACTCGGGAACGGGGGATGTTGTATTTCTTCAGAGCCTTTCCCACAATTTCTTCGGATTTGCCATAGGAGTACATATCGGCCTGGTAAGAATCGGTTAGCACTCGCGTATTTGCTCCCGCATTCATCTTCTTACAGTGTCCCAGGTTCTGATGCCTTTCTTGTAGGCGTGTTCAAGAAGTGGAAGGGATTCTTCTTCATTCAGCACCCAACCCTGCCATTCTGGAGCACCGTATCCCATGGCACCCAGTATCACCTTGGAGACCTTGAGGCCCGAATCCCCCAGTCTGTGTCATATTGTCACTGCAGGTCAGCAATTGGATCTTTAGAAGTCCTTGAAAAGTACTTGAGTCAATAATAACAAGGTGGGTGCGAGAACCCTACCGTGCGTATTCCATTTGTCCAGCTATTGTAGTGCTGGTCCGCGAGAATTGTGATAGACTTGTGACGTAGAATGCTTCAAGGGTCATAAAATATGAAGACAAAAGAGAACTACAGGCAGAAGGTGAGGGCGAGAAGCCTCTTTATGCTCATCTCTCACTGATTTCACGGTGTTAAGTGATGGCCAGCCTGACACGCCTAGGACGGAGTTAACTGATTAAGTCCGGATGGCCAGCCATGCTGGATGATATCTCGAACAGACTGCACAGGTGCGGCGAATGAGGAGTCTTGATTTACCAGTCAAGCTCATTTTGAGTCCACTTAGTCACAGCAATACTGCCAGTCATATTTTCCGTAACGGAGTTAATAGAGAGCAGCTACCAGGTATAGCGAATTGTTAATTCTGCTACGCGATAGTAATATTCGATGGATAATAGGGGTTTCCTTACGGATAATAAGTTGATTTAAATTACAAGAGCTTTTCTATGGGTAAAAAGAGTATGAGGATGCAACCTTTGCAACCCACTCCCAGGGCAACGTAATAACAGGCCCAACCCTCAACGCGGGTGGCCCTCCGGACACATGACGACTCGCCCACCCAACATCGGTGCTTAAATCCATCACACGTCGAGTTGAACTGCCCAGACTTGCCAATAGCAAGTAATTAGGCGGTACATTCGTCCTTGAAGTCGGTGGGGATATATTTCTTGACAAACGTTGCCAGTGTATCCAGCGGACACGCTGAGAAGTCACAGGCCAAGTCAGGGTGTGCTGGCACAACCATTCCCTCATAAAACATTCTCACCACCTGCTGTCCGTTGGCTTTTTGCCACAACTCGATTATGACATTCGAGCCGAATGGTGGCCACGGCAGATCCGGATCCGCCACGACGGACAGGAACATGTCCAAGCTGGCATCGTGTGCTGAATAGACTTCCAATTTAGTGCTGCGATCGGACAGAGAGGTCAAAATATCCGCCAGCCAGGCACCGACACTCAACCGCTTTACCTGCTCAGCGGACGGGTTCTGACGGAAGAGATTGTGATACGCGCTGGTGCCTGGGATCACTGCCGTTTGGATGTCTTCCGAAGTCAGATCGCCCTTCAATCCAAGGCCATGGCAGTAGGTGGCCGATGCTGAGTCGTACAACGCTGCTGTGGTGTTATAGCCGGCCAAGCCCGTGGTGTTATAAGCTTTCACAAGCTTGTCCTGAAGAGCCGTGTATGGCGCGAGAGTTGCTTTATAGGCCGAAGAGGAATAGTACGCAGTTGTCAACTCAGCAAGCTTAGGGCAAGCGCTTGAGGGAGAGATCATCGTCTCGATTCCGCTCGGCTTGACATGCATAGTCAAAATATCCCCTGGAAGCCTGGTATGAAGAGGGTAGAGGCCGTTCATCAAATTTTCGACAGATTCTCGGGTACGCCTATTTTTCAGGGAGGTTAATTTTGGGAGTAGGCATGATTACACAGCTGTCATAACTAACCAAATGTAGGTGTGGCTGATCTTGAAGCCAGGATCCATCTTCTTCGGCAGGAAGCCGAGATCGTCGACGTAGGTCGAGCGAAGTGTTTTTCCGAGCTTCTGCAATTGCTCAGAGCCGAATGTCGTCAATTCTCCTAGAGGCTGTCAGCTATGTTAAGGTTTTACCGAGGCTCTCACGATATAACTCACCCAGATCACAGTTTCCTTGCCACATTGTATATGCAAAAGCACCATCGATAGTCGCCATCTCTTTCATGAAGGGTGATCTGTTGTCTGAGATCTTATTGCCCTTGTTCATGAAAACAACCTCGTCTGGATCTCCGCACTGGTACCATTGTGTTGTGTCACCTGGAACAGGCGACGATGCCGGGGATCGGCCTCCATGACGATGCCTATGGCTTGACGTTAGCACAGGGAACATATACGGCACAGACCCATAGCACTTGCATCACTTGTAGCTTGACCATATGCGCATCGTGGAGTGGGCTCCATCTTGCACCAATGTTGCGGCCTATTGACCGATTTGTTGGTGTCAGCAGACAGTACATATAACAAACACGATAATATGTTTCAAGGAACATACTTACCCTGACAATAATTGTATTGTTGCCAAAAGGGGGTTGTAGTTGCAGAATGACTGCCCCCTATGATATTGGTATTTGCAGCTCCTTGATCATGGCCCTGGATTGGAGATCCAGTGGCCACATTGGCCGCGATCAAAACTTCAAGTAGAAATGTCCAACGCGCGTGCATTTTGACCAAAGTAATTACAACATGCAGAGAAGTAAAGTCATATTGATCTTGACATGCCTCGCTATTTATGTATCTGAAAATCAAACACGATTGCACACAAAAGGAAAGGCCGGTTGAAGACCATGGTCGATATAGTTAGTCACACGTGCACAAAACAGTAGCGCGGACTGGCTGTTGTTGAAGCTTGCCATCGCTTAATAGATTGATACAAGTTAGATAGACGATCGAACGATCCACGTGGACAAGATTATTCGCTCTCCGTCATGCCGACGTCTCCATCTCCCCATATCCTGAGTCAGTTAGAAAGCGGGTCTCGGCAAATGCAGGGTTCGAGGGTGCAATCAAGGGCATTCAAATTAAGTGGGTCCGGGGGGTTCGCTTTTCCGGGAGATAACGGCAGCTGGGCCGTAACCTGGGGACTAGACCTAATCCCAGCAGGAAAAGTCAGCACGCGAATCGACAAAGTATTGGATGCAAGGTAAAGTGGATCGGTTGGTCATGTTGATGATAGACGATAGGAACGTGTGAAAAGAGATGGAAAAAACAAATGTTGTGTGGTCTCAGCTATGGAGGGGGAGGAACAGTGAACAGCCGCGGAAAGAGAATATGGGTCAGGTGACATAAACAATCGAAGTAGACACGCAGTTATAACTATCCGAGATCAGATCTATTATTGCTCTTCGGACATTGATCCAGGCTACTTGGAATGGGAATAATATCTAGGAACAACATCTTCAAAGATTTTCTACCCGATTTATGGTCGGTTCCTTTTGGCACACGCCGTCTCTTCCACACGTGATGGACCTAAATCTCGTATTCCGCCAGATTGGGGCCACTGGCCACCTAGACTCAAGTTTTTCCTTTCACTGACTCTCACTGAAGAAGGTACTCAACATGGGCCGCTGGTGGGGACTGCCGCTTCCCCCAGAGATCGTTCTGGAACTATTTGAGTATTTGGAACCCTCAGATGTCGTGGCTCTCGCGCAAGCCGCGGAGGCATTCGCCCAGCTCGCTGTCTCAGCGTTTTCATCTTGTCTCCGCGAACATGGACGAACGATATTATTTTCTGCAGTCACATGTGGACATACAAGCATTGTCAAGCATTATCTGAAAGCAGGAGCCGATCCCTGCGTCGCTGATGATAAGGGAAACACGCCGCTGCACTGGGCCACTGCTTTCGGCCATTATAACGTGGCGACTTTACTCGTTGATGTGGGGGCCGATATCAATGCACGTCATGAGAATGGACTTAGTCCGCTGGATTATGCCATTATAACGGGATATGATCGCGTTGTGGAGGTTCTTCTGAATAAAGGAGCCACCATTACGGACGTAAGGATCGGCCAGTCTCAAAGGACGACTCTACATGCGGCTGCTATCAAGGGATACAGCCGGATTACAGAGATGCTGCTAAGCCACCGAGCTCCTATTGATGTCAAGGATGCCCATGGTCATACGCCTCTTCATTTGGCTGTTTCGGAAGGGCATCTTGAGATAGTTCGGGCACTGCTTTGCGCTGGGGCAACCGTTGACATTCAAGATGAGTTAGGCGACTCACCACTACACCTCGCTGCCGGCAACGGTTATATTTCTATCGTACAGGAGCTTCTGAATAGAGGAGCAGACCCTTCTCTGCAAGGTCACGAAAATGCTACGCCATTGCACCGGGCATCTTTACTGGGATTTGTTGACGTTGTCCAGTGTCTCCTAAAAGCTGGGGCGAATGTGTCTGCTCAAAGCTTAGATGGACAGATCCCTCTTCATCAAGCCAGTGGTGCCGGTGAGATCGCAACCGTGCGGCTGCTCCTAGATGCCGGAAGCGGTCCTTCAATTCCAGATGAGAGTGGGGCCACGCCACTACATTTCGCCGTCCTTTCGGGGAAAGCAACAATCGCTGACATGCTAATAAACGCTGGAGCGCATGTCGATAGCGTAAATGACAAGGAACAGACCCCCTTGCACTGGGCAGCAAAAGGACATGAAGAGATGGTCCCCACTTTGCTAAATCACAAGGCTGATGTACATGCTCTTAGCTATACAGGGTGGACTCCGCTACATTGGGCAGCTAATGAGGGCCATGTTGGTATAACGATAGCTTTACTGGAAGCCGGGGCCTTCGACCAGTTTCAAAATCAATATGGGGAATCGGCGCTGCACTTGGCCTCTCAAAATGGCCATGAAGCTGTCGTTCACTTGCTTATCCAACAAGGCAGCAATCCGCACCTTACCGATCATAAACTTCGTACAGCGCTGCATCATACAGCTGCGGAAGGACATGAGGACACGGCAAAATTGTTGCTCAGTACCAAAGTCAGATCAGACGTCAGAGATATCGATGGTCGGACTCCGTTGTACTATGCAGTACTCCATGGGCATGTGACGATCGCGAATATGCTTCTTGACCGTGGTACCACCCTTGATGAGACCGTCAAGGAAGCCTTTCTAGAGGCTGCAGAAGCTGGGCACGAATTGATGATTCGACTTCTCATCGTACATGGAATTGACATGTCGTTCAATGATTCAAGCGGTTATACGGCGTTGCACCGAGCCGTTCTGGGGAGTCAAATCAAAGTTCTTGAGCTTCTTCTCAGTAAAGATGCTGATAGGTTTGCCCGGGACAACGAGGGAAAGACGGCATTGCATCTTGCTGCCCAGGAGGGCGAGGACGAAATCGCCAAGATTCTTTTGAGAGATAATGGAATTAGGAATCTGCTGGATTATAATGGCTGGACGGCTCTGCATTGCGCGGTTGACAACGGACATGAAAACACCGTCCGGACTCTCTTAGATGCTGGTGTCGATCCTGGTATTCATTCCTTCGACGCATGCACGCCGCTTGATCTAGCAGAAGTCGGAGATCTAGAAATAATGACGCAGACGTTGCGAGAGGCATTAGCGGCGAGAAACAGATAAACTGTGGGTGGCGCGCCTCCATGAGAAATTTCAGTGCATTCAATCGTGTTGAGGACCCAGTTCATTACCATCGTCCTGCTGACTGATCCAAATTGATTGGCTATCGGTATCCTTCTCCCCCCGCATTAGCGTCGTTGCATAAGAGTCTTGTTACACTTCGGTAGTTAGACTTTCCTCAGTTATTCGGGGAAGCTTCGATGTCCCTTCAGTAGAGGGTGTAGAACGAGTGTTTAGCGCTATTGCTCCTACGTGGTTAAAGACGAAGAAACAGAATTTATAAAATTATACTCAACGATTTAAGGTAGAGGCCCGTCAATCAGGTCGGAGAAAGGAACCAAGTCAAATTGTTCGGAGATGTTCAAGACTGTTTCTTGAGGGGCAAAAGCCTCTCCATGACGCTCATATATGTACAGCTTTGCGGTTCAAAACACGAAGGAGACGTATCCTGGAAAAGGCGGAGAAATACGGTAGGATGCGAGATAGGCGAGATCTTCATGCAGGGACTCTCCCTGCAGATACTCACTACGGTATTAATGATGAAACCTTGGCGAGATATTACCGTCAGCGCAAGGCCTAAGGCATCAGCATGTGAATAACCTTATGTCAAGATATTATAACAGAGCTCTTCGATTGCGGTTATTACTATAGGAGCGAGCCCTTCACTCCTGTAGCCCTACTATAGTCAAGAGGAGGGTAGGAGAGTAAGAAGGAAATCTTAGCCGAGGAGTTCAGGATATTTGGGTTAGGAATAGAGGGCTTCAGGACGTTCGGGTGAAGGGCCCTGAAGGGGCTGAAGGGTAAATCGGCAAGGGCAGATTTCCTAGCGAAGAACAAAAACGGGTGGACAAAAAACATACAACAGCCAGGATTCGCATGTGGTCACCCACCATACTACTAACTGGCCGGCGTGTGGCTTAAGTACGGCTGAGCGGACGGGAAGCCCTGTTCTCCACACCCTATGGTCGTATGTGCTTGAGTAAGACTCACAATATATTTTATGGTTTACGATTGAAGGTATTCAACCACACCACGCTAGCGTCGTGTAACCGGGAGTGAGGTGTGAGTGCATAATAGACAGGCTGAGAATCCGGGTGAGCACGGGTGAATAACTCTACGTCGCGCGATTACTGCACCGACCTTCTCATCTGAGGTCAAATACAGCATATTAGTTTACTTCAAGGGGTGTCTTAAATAATGCATGCTAACTAGTCAACTAACTAACAAGTTCTCTAAGATATAGCCAAGAATCTTATCTTAAGCTCAACTGTAGAGAACGTGCCGTACACACTTATTCCATCGTCGTTCTTAAAGGGAAGAAATAATCCCTAGGCTAACTCTGCTAGGGGTGCCAGTGCTTGGATGTAAAACGCTTGACATTTTGTCTTGAATACGCTTATTGATGTTACTCAATATATGGCTTTGTCCAATTATTCCGTATCTTTACTGACTTTATTCCCGCGTCCCTTTAAGAGATAACTTCAGAGAGGGGGGCGCCCACCAGCCATGAGATCCGCCATCATTCTCTGATACGCAGGCTTCCTATCAAATGGAATATCGTCGGGCTCAGTCAGGCGCCTGAAATCATATTCTCCGCCTTTACCAGCCGCTTCGAGGGCTAGATATCCAGGCGCATAAAATTCAATATCTTTCTCGAACTTTTCACGGTCGCAGGATATCGTATGGGGAGTGGGTGGGCCGTTCGGTTCAGCCACTGATACTAGAATATCAACGATAGGTAGGTCTATATCTATACTATTTCCACCGCTGCGTTAGTATAAGATAGAAACTTATAGTGAGCTGAAAATGGGAAAGCGTAAGGTGGAACGTACGGCCGGTATTGATATCCGTGACCACCTGGTCTCTCACGTATCTCTTGCACACCTGCTCTCCCAAGTAAAAAGGGATCATTTGCGAAATGATACATATTAAAAGGACGCAGGGAAACTGAGTCCTTAATCGTCCCATCACTATCAAATTCGACGACTGCGAAACGACCACTTTTCAAACCCTCCTCATTAACTATCATAAAGTATCGTTCATGAGGACGATAGATTACGGTTCCAGAGCGGGTCATTAGGATACTTGGAAAATAGGCATTCTCAAGGCAATACCAGGGAAGAAAATCTTCAACTGAACAGGTACTTGTAGTTTCTGGGTTTAGAACCGCCGCTGTGGGGATAACATTGTCGAAAGGGAGACAGTGCCCCGATTCAATATCGTAACGATAAAACAGAATCGCCAGTTTGACCCATTGCGCGCGGTTCACGGGATGCGACTCATCAATTGATGCAATGGAAATAACATGTCTCGTTTCACAAGGCTGATGTGTATCAGACATATATTCTTGTACCTCAGGGGGGTATTTAAGCTCGTTGCCCGAGGCGCGGTCTTGGAACGACTATGATTGCGTCAATTTCAATGTCCGTTCAATAAACGCTTGAAAATAATAAGGTTTGTCTAATATCACGAAAACTTTGCGACTCGGAAGCCCATTTTTGGACTAGGGCACGGCGCTGGCGTAGCTCGTATTCCTTGTCGTCGTTGGTATTGGCCCGGTCGCGTGGAACCCAGCTTTCTTGGACGAAAAGTAGTCAGCCTTTGACTTCTTCCCTGAGCTCGTCTTGGGATAGATCTGCTTTGGGATGATGTTTGATCTCGCGGGGAATGCCCCGGGCCAGTGGAATGCTGACATTGAGCTGTTTGAGTGTTGGGTCCTCTATATGGAGGAAGAAGTAGTTTGGAGAGAATAGGAGTGGTTATAGTTAGCCCGGTCTGGTGGCTTGTTTACATAACCCGTAAGCGAGTACGAAACTGCACTCTAGCGCGCATGTGCTTGCTAATTTTGGGATAAACAAAACCTATGAAGTGCGTTCAAAAGGGTAAGAACATGATGAGGCGGTCACAATCAAATTAGATTCTTCAAGAGAACGCGGCAGTAAGCATCTGGCTGAGTCTCACATACGCGCATGTAAGACTCCGCGACTGGGCTACTCAAAGTTAGGTACCTTGAATTTGCTCCACATCGCTAGGGAGACGAATCGTAGCCCATCATAGCATCAAGGAACTTCTTTAGAAGCGCACTGCAACAGACAAACCATCGTCAGGATTTACGCTGGTCGAACGCCCAGTTCTTAATTTATCAGCTCTATCTTCAGGTAGCATACTGCAAACGGAGATGTATTCTAGACGGACGTGATGCTGGCCTCGATTTTACTTTTGGCTACGAAGTAGGTAATACGCATTTAATCGAACTTCTGGAACTTTTCCCGACCGAGAAAGATTCCATATCCAATCAGCTAGGTCCCTTCTCAAAGCTGAGAAACGATGATGCTTACATCATCATAGAAATTGGACTGCACTGCATGAATAAGCAGCCATGGCCAACTTGGCAGTCCGAATAGGATTGAGGATAGATTACTGCGGCGTAAAAATGGGAGACTTTTGATTGGCTTAGTAGACTTGCGCTGCAGCATAATCAATAATTTCAAGTCTCTTCTTTATATTCTGCGGTCATTCCGATAATGGGCAAGCAGGGGCTTGGTTGTGGCACCGCCGATTTGAATTGAGAGGTGTAATGGCTGCAGAGATTCATCGGTGACTCCGAGATATGATGACCACAACTTCAGAGGCACTGCCATGAAGCTGAAAATCCTGATCAACATAAAAGGTCGGGGTTCCTCGTACAGTTGTTGCTCCAACCTCAAGCGAAAAAAACGAAATACAAAACTTGAAGTAGAAAGAATCTTTCCCATCTTACCTTCGACTCTGTTCCAATGGGCTACCTCGGTCAAATTTTCGTACGAAATTTTAACCAACAGAGTTTGGCGCATGCTAATTGAATGAAATAGGCCGTCATTCAGGACGCCCCAGGTCAACAGCCTGGCAACACGATCCGAGTCGTTGATAATAACGGCGCAGATATAAATGGTGGATTTGATGGAAAGTATGTCCTACCACAGCAAATGGCCATCATCCATATGTAAAGTTCTTCTGCTAATTGAAATTCTATAGATTTATCTGGCTTGTCGCAGATTTCCACGATAACAAGCCAAGTGCGATCTCGCAAATTCGAATTGACATTCAGGATGAGCAGGATAATGGCCGCCAGGATCTTGCAGCTGGAACAGGAGGGAAATTCCGCTATTTGGCTTGGAGAACTGATGGCAACGAAAAGATCACCGAGGTTCAGCTTCTTCGCCGCCAGAGCCCAGTCAGCTGGGAGACTCTGAGGGACTTGGGATTCGAGGGTATGTCAAATGACATCAATGCAGGCCGAGGTGGTGATTTCTTGCATCTTGTGTGGAAATATTGAGATCGCTAGCTGTCCTAGTCCAGCATCAATGTGACCTAGAGGGATGCAACTAGGCTCGATATCTTTTTACGACAGATTTTTGAGCTTGCAAAGTCAAGTGTCATAACATGGCATAGCTCAAGGCATCTGGAGAGGTTCGGTATGATTATGATAGAACAAAGGAAACCCGAAATGAGATATGGATCGATGCAGACTATCACCTACTTCCACATAAAGCCAAAAAGCCAAAGAGGTCGTCAAAATACTTGCGCCTGATCGCGCCCATGCACCTACAAATAATACAGACTTCTAAAGTCGAGATGGCTCATTGTTTTCGGCTTGCAGTATACAAGCTTAGAACCGTATTCAATTGAATAGGTATTTCTCAAACAGGAACTCCACTCTAGTGAGCTCGAACAAACGACGTGATGCCCACTGCCGCCACCCCGCTCGTTCGTGACCGTTTATGCAATTCCAATTCACTCGGCAATGGTTATGAAGCTGATCCAGACCTAGTAATTGATCTAGCAATTCATCTACTAGTTTTCTTTTCTCTCTGAAATAAACGCGTGCTCATCTGAGGGTGCATTTAAGACCACGTCCGGCAAGGATAACGTACTACGCTATCAAACTGTATTTCACAAGGCAAAGGAAGCGACCGGAGAAAGCAAGCCCACCAAGCAAAATAGACGGCACTTGATTAGTTTTATGACCAGAAAGCTCATCCGAATGATTGACAGAGAAATTCAAGCCCCCGACGATGTACCATAACCGCTTTTGGACCTCCTACCGTGTACCCACTTAGGGAACCCCAGCCCGCAGTGGAAGCCGCCTTGAATATAGCGATCAACACCCGAAAAAGAAAGACCAGAATCGGGCTAAACGGAAGAAAGTTAGCGTAGTCGATTACTAGTCCAATTCTAGAATGACAGGGAATCTGGCCAGCAACAATCGCCCCTGAAGAAAACCTTGTTCGCAAGTTTTTGGCACGACTGGCTGTCAGCCATAATGACTCCATACTACTCTGGCCTGGAATAGACCAATCACCGAAGACTGATGTGGGTCTCCGTTGCAGATCAACAGGGATGGCAGGCGAACCCTGCAGGGTACAAATTAAACTATCGATGATCGTTCGGGATTGCTGCTTGAAACAGGTTAGACTCGAGCTGTCGGCGAGTGGAGCCCCCTCCGCAAAGCCCACGAGCGAGAGTCTCCCAACGGCCGCGGCATAACAACTTCGACGGATTCCAACGGTCGTCAACGGCGTTTAGCGAGAGTGGAGAGTGGAGAGAATGTCAGAATGGACGATCAGAACTCCAGTGTTTCAGGGGTGAACCAGATTTCATCGTGATATAAAAGACTGCATGGAATCCCGGCATGTCGGTTTCATCACTCAGTCGCGGTCATTCTTTATTTTGAATATGATTCTTCCTCATTTGCTCGGCCTTTTGGCCGCCACTGCTGGCGTTGCCAAGGCCGTCAATATCACCGGTTACGAGTATGTCGTGGTTGGTTCCGGTGCTGGCGGTGGTCCTCTGGCAGCTCGTCTTGCTTTGGCTGGCCACAAGACTCTGTTGCTCGAAGCTGGTGATGACCAGGGTGAAACCTATAACTACACCATCCCTGCCTACTCGGCCAGAGCTTCCGAGGATGAGAAGCTTGCATGGAACTTCTTCGTTCACCACTATGCCGACGACGAGCGCCAGGCTCGCGATTTCAAGACCACCTACAAAACGCCTAGCGGTGAACTGTATACTGGCCTGAACCCTCCCAAGGACTCGAAAATGATGGGAACCCTCTACCCTCGTACTGGTATGTGTCAGGCCTCTGAATGGGAGAATAATACCGGGATTTCTAATTTGTTTCTTCAATCAACATAGGTACTCTGGGAGGATGTACTGCCCACAACGCTCTGATTGCCGTCTACCCCCACCAGTCTGACTTTGAATACATCTCAACCCTGACTGGTGACAGCTCTTGGTCGCCTGATAATATGCGCAAGTACTTTGCCAAGTTGGAGAAGAACAGCTACCTGCTACCCGGCATGGAGGGTCATGGTTACGATGGCTGGCTCCACACTGAGACCGCTCCCCTGAGCATTGTCCTGGAGGACCCCCAGCTTCTCAGCATGCTTACCGGTGGTGCTTTTGCTCTTGGTAACTTGACCGATAATGTCATCAACATTGCCACCCTGCTGGCCGGCGATGCCAATGCTGATACGACCACCCGTGATACCGTCTCTGGCTACTATCAAATCCCCATCTCGACCAACGACGCTCACCGGAACGGTGCTCGTGAATTCATCATAGCCGTGCGGGACGCTAAGAATGCTGATGGCACCAAGAAGTACCCTCTCGATGTTCGCATGAACACCCATGTTACAAAGGTCACTTTCGATGAGACCGTTAACCCTCCCCGTGCTACTGGTGTCAAGTTCCTTGATGGTCAGCACCTCTACAAGGCTAGTCCCTTGTCGAAGACCGCCTCTGCCGGTATCCCAGGTTTTGCTTCTGCTTCCCGTGAGGTCATCGTTGCCGGTGGTGTGTACAACTCGCCTCAGATTCTCAAGCTGAGTGGTATCGGCCCCGCCAAGGAGCTGAAGAAGTTTGGTATCAAGGTCATCAAGGATCTTCCCGGTGTTGGCACCAACCTCCAGGACCACTACGAAATTTCCGTCCAGGGCAAAATCGAGGAGGACTTCTCCTGCTTGAACGGCTGCACCTTCAGCATCCACGACGAGGCCGACCCCTGCATTAACAGATGGGAGACACCCGTCCTCGGTGACCATGGTATCTACTCGTCTCCCGGCCTTGCCGCTACCATGTTATACAAGAGCTCCGTGACTGCCGACGATAGCTTCGACATCTTCTGCTTTGGTGGCCCCGTCAACTTCCGTGGCTACTTCCCCGACTACAGCATCAACGCCACCGATGAGCACAACTGGTTCACCTGGGCTATCCTCAAGGCTCACCCCCGTAACACCGCCGGTACCGTTACCCTGCAGTCTGCCAATCCCCTCGACGTCCCTAAGATCACCTTTAACTACTTCGACACCGGCGTTGGTGACTACGATGCCGATCTCACTGCTCTCTACGAAGCTATCGAGCTCGCCCGTGACGCCTTCAAGCGCCAGCTCGTCAACATCACCGAGGTTCTCCCCGGTGCCGCTGTTACTTCCAAGGAAGATGTCGAGACCTATGTCAAGGATAGTGCCTGGGGTCACCACGCCTCTTGCACTTGCCCCATCGGTGCTGACGATGACCCCATGGCCGTGTTGGACTCCAAGTTCCGTGTCCGTGGCGTCTCTGGTCTTCGAGTCGTTGATGCTTCCGTTTACCCTAAGATCCCGGGTACTTTCACGGCCGTGTCTACCTATATGGTTGCCGAGAAGGCAGCTGACGAGATTCTGAGCGCGCTTGCTGCTAGCTCTTGATGTAGACAATTTCATTGAAGCATGAGGCTGCGGGATTTGTGAATGTATATACGCGTTTGGGGTATTCATGATGTGGCATTTTCTCACAATGTACTTTTAATAAATAATTCAAAAAATATCAAACAAGACTAAATGAATTAAAGATATGTATAGAAATGTCTACGGAAAGGTCACGTAGATTATGGCCTAGTTGCAAAGAAACGCTGTTTCGCTCTTACCACCGGTACTTTCATAGTTCTTTTTCCTCTTCAGAAACCTCGGCAATACATGTTCTTGCCGGAATCGTGACTACGATTGAAAAAAAATTGCCATAATCAGGTTCATCACTGGGCATGATCAATAACTTTTTACCTCCGGTCTCGTATATCAAGGAGATGTGGACAAGGGCCGCCTGAGGCGTAGATTCCTGGTTCAACACCTTCTTTTCGGAGACAAAGGGACCGACACTTAACAGATTGCCGTGATGGTGATGGTCATGACTCTGCGGCGGGAATCACTCAAGTCACGGCACAGGCGAAGTTGACCGAGGATTCGCGTACTGAGCATGGAGTGTGATGGCCTCGAAGTGCTCGTGAAGGAATTGAATTCGCCCGTGGCTTGCGGCTGTAGTGGTGCTAAGTGGATGGTAAATGCCCTTGTGGACTTTTATTTGCCTTGTGAGAGGAAATGAAACGATGTGGCCAAGTTCAGTACATGCGCATGAACAGTAGAGAAAACGCTGATACTGATGAAGATTCTATCTCATATCACATAAAACATAACGCGGGTGAATGAAATGCACTTAGGCAAGGAAAGCCTGCAGCTTCGCCTTATCCAAGATCTCCGCCTCGATCAAGCGCGCGGTCTCGCGGACCTCTCCTTTGACGCGCTGATAGCGTACCAAGGCCGGCACGTTGTTGACCTTCCACTGAGTGCGGTAGACGTTCTTGGGCTCTTTCCACCTGGTGACAAGATCAGCAATTGCACGACTGAGAATTTAACATGTATTCTGGCACGTACTTCAATTTGTCTCCAACCGAGACAATGGCTACAGTTGGCGCATCGGGATCCGCAAAGGCAGCATTGATATGCGGCAGCGCGGCACGAACATCAGGGCACCAGGGTTGCTTGGTGATGGGATCATCTCCGGAGATGAAAGCAATGAAGAGCTTGGCGTTGAGGTCCTCGGACAATTCAAGGCGTTTCGCAGAAGCCGGCAGGGTGAAGTTCTTGATGATAGGCATTTCGGCGGCTCGTGTGGAGATGGAAAAGGGATGTCGATTTTGGTGTTGATTGAGTAAAATTGTGGTGATAGGTGTCCTCAAGTGTCCCCTGGAATCTAAAAAGTGCGAGATCTTATGCGGTATGAGTTTTCGGAGAAAATGATGCCATTCCAGTGCTTTGTTGGTTGATCGGCGATTCGGAGGTTTCGTGGAAAGTGGAAATTCTGCAACCCGCGGGTACGCCAGACAATAGCGGCTATAAGGGAAATGCACATTGCGTCGGGCATAATTCGTAACTGTATATAGACACTTTCAATACATCTTGTTACATATAATGTTCATGGAATTTTTTGATAATAAAAGATAAGTGCCTCTGTGTCACGTTAGAAGAATTTACAGTATGATATCCATTTTCAAGTAGTTTTTCTTCTCTTGTAATGTTTGTTATCAGTGTTGTGTACACAAGGTGAGTATTCCTAATGACCGCTATCAGCCGCGTATGCAGGGGCGGCTCGGCGGAGTCGGGCCTAAGCTGCACTATTAGCACATACCGAGAACCTGTGGTGTCAACACCGAAAGTAGGGATTCAGAGGCTACAGACGTCAAAATTCCCGGTCGTTACTATTGAGATGGCGTCAATCTCAGATTGCTCTATTCTGTCCCGCTTATTGATTCAAACATTCCACGTCATAGTCGCTACCCGTACTCCGGACCTAGGGTTCCAAGCACGGCTCAAGTCCTATTTACCACCGTAATCTAGAACTGCCGCTTGCAAGAATGTCATGAAACATCAAAATTATCGAATTTATGAATCACTCAATCTTTTGTCTCATTTTCACAGCCATGTCACGCGGTAGAAGGCATGGGAGATAAATATTCGGTTAAATACGCTAGATCCATTGGTGGGCCCGTGAAAGAAGATAAGTGGCCTCTTTGACCACCAGAGACCTTTAGAAATTATGTGCTCAATTGATAGTGTGTATTTTTGAGTGGATGGTGATTGCATGCCCGTATTTGAGAGGCTTAAAGCAGTTGAAGAGGATATGATTTTGCTTTTTTGTAGCCTATTTTAATCTGTCGGGTCCTTCTACAGGTGTATATAAGGAACGTGAGGTCCACCTCATTGCCAAATATTCTACAGTTCTTAGAAATATATCAAACGTCTTCATATTTTACCAATATCTAGACAACCTCTAGTGTTTCTTCTTCATACTAACTCGGATCAATGGAAACTAGTGTAAGTTGCGCGTAAAATCCCAAATCTAGCCTGTAGGGTAAAGACACTCGATGGTGAATTCTCCAATTTTGCAACTTATTCTGCTAATTAGCTCTCTACCAATACTGGCTTTATAATCATCCCGCAATTTCATGGGATAGATACTTTGGCTAGTGGAGCCATTTCAGATTTTCAGAAAGTCCATCCAGCTGCGAAAGATACTCTTCACGGAGCAACCCACTATACCTTTTATCGCGGCATATAATTAGAACGCCCAGAGTCTAGTGGGGATCTCGTATTCAAAAACACGAGATAGAATGATAGTATCTATCCTGATTAGTGCAATCGTTAAACTAGACCTCGTATTATTTTAGCGCGACGCCTCGCTCGGGATCAACGTCAGTAATGTCAGGAACAGAGGAGGCCAAAGTCAGAGGTATAAATCTTCCTCATTGCACCCGGCTATTGCTTTCCTCGGCAATATCTCTTTTCTTCTCACTCCCACGATCTGGCTTCTGATACAATCGCAAACTCAAAATGTCCTCACCAGACGGCCTTGTCCCTATCATCATCAATCTTGCAGGTCAAACTAGAATCAATGAAGTGGTTCTAGCAGATGAAAATATTGAATCCTTTGAGATTCTCGCCGCCGGATTCTACCAAAGCCTGCGCCCCAATATCCCCGAGTTTTACTTGGAACAGGGCGAGCGAACTATCACCAAGATGTGGGTGGAATGGAATCAAGGAGGCGCCAACTTCCTTCCCATGGAGACGGAGATTACTGAGGTCAATCTCCGTGCAGTCCTCCGGTTGCTCTCTGTGCGACGAGGCGTTGACATGATCCGCGTGTGGCTGAATGAGATTGATTGAACTTGAGTAAGTGTTAGAGAACACATACATAAGTGATGGAATTTCCGTCTGACCTTTGCCAGTCTCTAGTTCTTTTTCATCTCTGTCTGAAGAGATAAATCTCTCGACGAGATTACTCGTCGACCTGAGAAGGTTCGTTCGGTGCTGAATCTAGTAGAATTGGTGTATTTTACAGTGTGTCCGTCTCGATGTGAGGAACTATATTCGTTATGGAGATTGGGCAGATTCAGGTCTTTTACAGTCTAGAAATGAATTAATGGTGAATCGAGTCAACCTAGAAGATTGTATTGCAAAAGATGCCAATAATAGACCTTTAAGGAGGCACCCTAAAAACTCGAGGTACGTTTTGTCTTGAATAAACGTGAGCGCAGAGAGCTGTCAAGTTTACTCGGATTAGCGACTGATCAACATGCAGAGAAAATGGATGGCTGAACTCTATTCACCAAGTCCTACCTAATTGGGAAATATCGCGTGTTCAAATGCCGAGGGGGCACTGAGCATCTTCTATTTCCCGTTGACGTCCCGATACGCTTATTGTCCGTAGCCCAAGGTCTCAGATAGTCCAGAATACTTCCAGGTCATGAAGTGGCACATCTGATTGAGTGAGTTGGACGGATTGCCAATACGTAGTGGCCAATACGATGAGAAAGAAGATATAGAGAAGGAGCAAAAAGAACAGATCGAAGCTAAGACTAATACATGGAACGGCCAGGGTAGCGGTTTTATGTCAAAAATACCAATTACAAATTACATGCTTGAAGAGCACAGTTTGAATCAAGAATGAAAACTCTGGATATTCATGCCTCTTAGGCAATATACGATTCTCTATTATCATGACAGTCTCCTCGTAATATCCACACTAGACATTCAACATCTATTGGTAGACATGATCATTACTCCAATTGTGAGCTCAGCGGCAAATCCCGACTCGACCGCCCAACATACACTCTCTTAGGCGACTCCGTAACTCGCCAGTTTTGCGCCTCGATATCCCAGTTGCTCAAATCACGGCGCGTCAATGTAGTCCGGAATGTTGAGCTCTGACCGGGCAGCAGATAAAACCTGTCAAAGTTTCTCAACTGACGAGGCGGGTTGTCACCCCCGAGATCTACGTAAAGCTGGACGACCTCGTCGCCGGCCACGTCGCCAGTGTTTTTGATCTGCGCGGTGACCTCATAAAGTTCATCGTAGAGCATGTTGTTTCCACCACTGGCCACTGGGTCTCCAGCGGGGTTGAGAGGTTGAGGGGAGCCATCACGCGCGTGGGGTGGGATAAAGTCTGTACGACCGTATTCGGGATCCTTGGAGGCAGCGCGGAGGGAGACAGTGCTGTTGAGGTAGGGATAAATGAAGGTTTTGATGTACTTGTATGCAGCAGGGAACTTGTAGGTATTCAGGTCCTGGCTAGGTGGCTGTCCGATGGAAGGTGCTTGAGCACCGGTGCCGGTCGTGGGACTGTATGGTTGAACATACTTCTTCACAACACGGAGGTCAGAGTATTCGAAGGTGGTATAGGAGAGGCCGAATCCAAATTCGTAAATTGGCTCGATACCAGCTTTGTCGAAATGGCGGTAGTCGAGGAAGATGCCCTCGGTGAAATCCTGCTGAGGCGCACGCTGGCCGTTGTTGGGCTCGTACATTATATCGGTGCCATAGTCCTCTCGACTTTTGGCCCAGGTGAACGGAGTGCGGCCGGCAGGGTTAACATTGCCCCAAAGGATATCCACGAGAGCATTGCCAGATTCTTCACCTGGCATCCCTGCCCAGACAATAGCTGTGATGTTCGGGTGCTCATATATACCATTTAGCAACACTGGTCCGACAGAGTGGAGAACAACGATTGTGTTGTTGCACCGCGAGCTGACGGTGCTAATCACTTGATCGGCATTTTGCCAGAGGGTCAGGTTGTTGCGGTCACCCCAGTTATTGTCGACAGTGATGTAGCCTTCACCAGAATCGGCATTTGCAAACACGATACAGGTTGCATCAGGCTGTGAGACAAGCGACAAGATAGCATTGTCGTCATAGTTATCAAAAATACTCTCGTACCGACCCCCGTATTCGAGAACCTTTGACTGAATAGCAGTGTCAGGAGTGACCAAGTAAGGGAACTCGGTAGACCCTGAACCCCATCCCATTGCGAGAGTGCCTTGGTCACATCCTCGGTCTGCGCAGCCGTTAGGGCCCTTGGGGTTTGGCCCAGCATCCTGGCCAACGACGGCCACGAACTTGGGCTGCTTCAGAGGGAGAGCATGAAAGTTATTTTTCAGCAGAACTGTACCCTTCGCGGCAGTCTCGCGAATGAGCATATTGTGGTCGCTGCGAACATCGACATGCCAGTTGACCTGCTCGTAATCTTCCTTGCTATAAGCATATTTATATCCGTAGGTGTCATGGGTCCAGGCATTGAAGTTGACATCTGGTTGATCCTCAATAGTAAGGCCAACTTTGAAGTATGCAGCCATAATTCGCATCGCCATGTCATCCAGGCGCCATTCGGGAACTGTGCCATTCAAAATTGCAATGGTGAGGTTGGAGCCCCAGAAGCTCAAGCCAGAATCAAATTCGGTATCACCCGGCATACTCATATCAAGTCCAGCTAGCGCCGATGACACTCCAGAGTGGTGAGCACCCCAATCGCTCATGACAAAGCCTTGGAAGCCCAATTCGCTCTTGAGGAGCTTGTTGAGAGTCTGACTGTTTTGGCATCCGTAGGAGTTGTTGATCTGAGAGTATGAGCACATGAAAGAACCCACACCAGCGCGAACGGCATCAGCAAATGGCCACAAGTATAGCTCATGCATAGCACGGTCGTCGATATTTGATGAAATAGTATCGGAAATAGTGTATCCGTGACCCGCAGCTTCACCCACTTGACGGAAGTGCTCCTGCTCGTTTCCAATATAATGTTTAGCGCAAGCAATCACTCCAGTATCCTGCATGCCCTTGATTGTCTCAGCCATGGCTATACCGGTCAAGACAGGATCAGGGGAGAATCCTTCCCAGTTGCGGCCGCCCTCGGGGATGCGACCAAGAGGGCCGGCAACAGGGCCCAATTGAATTGTGATACCCTTAGCCTTGTGTTCCTGTGCCATGGCTTGGCCTCGTTGATAAAGAATTGAGCGGTCAAATGTTGCGGCGGCCATTTGGCTAGATGTGAAAGCGGAGGAATAATCTGCGAACCGAACACCCTGTGGTGAATCCTGGGTACAAAATCCTTTGAATCCGAGACGAGGAATTGATCCAGTGTTTCCTACACACGGCCCATTTTCCCAGCTTCAAAAAGTCAGTGGCTCGTCGCACCGTGACCCAGAAGCAGTCGGAGAGACTTACCCAACACCGGTGGTCAGATTTATTTTCTCCAAGATAGTGAGTTGCGAGACAAAATCTTGAGCTTTCTGATATGCGGCCTCCCAGCCCTCGGCGTGAGGATTCATCCAGGGCGACGGGTAGAACGGTTCTGAGAACGATTCTATGGCTTGGGGCCCGTGCAGAGATCCGGGCTGTATGTAAAACAATTAGTCAAGTCAAAGCACGTCCATGAGCAAGATAAAACAAACCTCGTGCTTCTGTATGGGCTGCGCAATGGCAGCAACCTGGCTCGCCCATGAGGCGAAAGCCAGAAAGATTGTAGAACCCTGCATTTTCAGGCACTGGGCTGTTGTCGACGGAGAGTTAAGCCGCCCTCAAGACCCGTGGGTGCGTTCAATATATTAAGTGCCAACAAGCGGGGGCACGCGCAGGGCAGCCACTGTGATCCCATCACATTCTTATATCGCGTCGAGAAGTTTCGCGTCCTGGGTCACGTTGCCCAAGGGCGGAGTAGGGTGTGTCCACGTACCCCGGTGGGTTTTTGTTGGAGGGGCCCTTGGAAGCCATCTTATTGGTCTTACGCCTTGCTGCTTGGAAGGAGCTTGGACCCTTCATACCTCATAGCGAGGGCTCTCATTCGCGATAACAATAAGAAGGCGAGAGTCAATCGTTGACAGTTCGTGCTTGCTCGAGACATCATGATCGTCTCCCAGCGGAGCCGTCTTAGTGATACACCATATGCATTTCAGTTGAGCAGTCAACTAGTTCGGCGGATCTGTTGTTCTGTTATGCTGGATCGTTTAGCGATGGCGCAAGGTATGCAGATAGCCATCCCTTGTGTATCCCTGCCAAGAATGGTGCCTCGCAGTGCTGACAGGTACGGGCATGGAAATCATCTGATGACCGTACGCAATTCAATATCAAGGGACAGTCGCTGTAATCTTAGGTAGCTCCATCGGCGGTATGCTCTCCACTGGGGTGAGAATCGTGAAGATGGGGATGTCCCTGAAGGTGCTGTAATACGGCAGATGTTCCGCTCGAGGCTTGGATGCGCAGGATTGATGTTTTTTCCTGAAAGCCCATCTATTCGAGTTAACATTTTGTAAGTTGTTTGTTTCAATACTAGGGGCAGATGGTGTTCTCGCATGGATCTAACCTTGAAATTTCGATGTTCAAGTAGTAGATACCCAGTGTCAACAGAGGAGGTTAGGATTGTCGATGCTCATTGGTTGTGTAGTGGAAATGTGGGGACGGCCCCAGATGCAAACAGCTCAAACAAATGTACCAATATCAGAGTAGCTTATTACCAGGAAGCTCGAGAGCATATGAAAGTATATCAAAGACCGAAATAATTAGTTTTGTCGAAAGTAGAGGGAGAAGACGTGAAGAAAATCAAAAAAAATCAGGTCTGGCTCAAGTGGAAGCATGTCAAGCTTCCTGGGTAAGAAGATCGAAGAAGGGCCCATTGGGGTATGAAGGAGACGAGAAAGCAGGTCTGAATAGCTTCATGGAGCAAATCTGGAGTGGGCAGCGATGTTATACATCGAATATCCAGAAAAGGCAGGCACCTGCCTAAAAGCGCCCTCTGGACGATCCTTAGGTCAGTTCCAGAAGTTTGCAATCACCCAGAACCACCCGTGTCCAAGCGGCAACGCTTCTCCACGGGGTGCTTTAAGATACGCTCTACTGCGGTGTTTTCTTCGGAAGGCGTCGGTTCGAACCCCCGGCGTGCTTTACCGGGTTGCCGAGGTGAAGCGATACTACTTGACTCAGGTAGACGAGAGCCCTCCCCAGAGGAAGGAGATGCGCAGGAGGTTTGGGGCCCTTTGGGGATTTTTTTTTTCTTTTATCACATTCATGAATTAGTTATCATGTTTATTTCTTTTGGATGTGTTCTGCTTTGGGGCTATTCAGTAGATGGTGGTGGCGAGGGTCCGCTGCATACAATCCAAATCTGGGGCCCCGCAGTTTGATATCTCCACCACCTTATTTAGTGATCCACCCCACTCAATATAAATTACAATCTGTGAATGCATGGAAGTACTGTCTCTTAATCTGGTAATGCATTTACAGTATATGTCTTATTCAATCTGAGCCATTTTAGCTTCCAAATCTCAATCATATTTTCGAGTAGACATAGCTGCCATCGTCACATTATGGACATAAATAGAGACCATATCCTCAGGACGACGAAAGGACAATCAAACAATCGGTTCGGCAGGCTTGACATTATTGTAAGTCTATAAGATGTTAGTCATAGTTCACGGTTTTCGGACTTACAATTCACACTTACAACGGATCCTATAAGCTTGTTCGCATCCTTTGCAGTACCACTAACATTACCCGCAACAACGCCTCCGTTGTTGGTAATGTTACGATTGTCGACATTGCCTTGGGTGATAACAATGCTCTGTTCAACAGTCAGTGACTTGACAGTAAGACAACGTGTACCAAAGCAAAACAGACCTGTGCATCCAATCCCCTGACCCTTCCCTCGATCAAATCCTGAGCCTTATCAATCTCCTTGATCCACTGACACAACTTCCCCACAACATTCTTGTAATCCGCGCTATCCTCATCACGAAACTTGCACATGGCAATATGATCCTTTGAGATTGAAAGAGCATCAACACCCAACCAGCTAGCCGACTCCTTGGGCACAATCTTCCCAATCTTGAACCCGCCTTTATAGAGCGACTCGTCTTCAAAGAAACAGGCAACTTCGAGGAAGGGCTTGGTTCGCGAGCGATCCCGCTCCTTCAAGAACTTTGCAAAAGTTTCGTTGATACTTATCAGCTTGGCGGAGCATTCTTCGAGATCGTGGATGTTTTGACTAGCCGTAGTCTTGAAGTAGGACAATATGTCTGCGGCAAAACGACCATATTTTGCCTTGGCGGAGCCGTGGAATGGGGTTCCAAGAAAGAGGGTGCCAATAGTTCTGTCGGCGATTTCTTTGGCGGCTTCGTCGGTGCCGTGGGGTCGGGCAAGGGCATTGGCAACTACAAGGCCGCCTAAACTGTGTGCGACGAAGATGATGGGACGATCGGTCTAGATTTGGTGAGCTTGTTAGGACGTTCCAGGGGATTTGAACAATGATACGCACAGTATTGGTCTTGCCTCGCAGACCGACTAAAGCATGCAGCAAAGACGACGAGTAGTTGTCGATTGTCAAATCGGTCGAAATGCCCTTCGCATTATCGGGTGGGAAGAAATATGCAAAGTCGGAGTTATATCCGAAAGACAAGATTCGTGCCGTTGGACAATCTGTGGGCAGGAGAGTCTTGGGCCAGAACTGGGAGACTTCCTTTTTCTTGTATGTCCCTAAGTTACTCGAATGTAATTAATATGTGCCCTTTCGGAAGTCATAGTACAAACTAGAGCTATCTTGTGTTCTTCGGTTACTTTCGTGTATCAAATCACTTACATGTGTCGACTCTATCTCCGGAAAGGCCATGAACAAAGACGATACTACAATTGTTGTCAATTGAATTCCTGACAGCGGCACTAGAGTGACGTACTCTACTTTACCATCTTCCTTTGGATCAAAGAGAGGATCCCCAAGTCCTTCTCTAATAGGGCCGGTAGAGCCTGTATCTTTAGATCCAGTCATATTGGGTGATATTGGCAAGAGACTAAAGTCAAAATAACACTGAATTTAGCAAAAGCTTCTTCACTGAAAATTATTTATGGGGAAAATAGTCAAGTAGGCTCTCATAGAGCTGCATTTATGAGTTTCTTCCCTCTCAGCCGTAATTCATGCTGGAATAATGACGCACGCTATCATGCAACTCCTCACAAGGCGTTTTTATCAGCAGCTGCAACCGATGTGTAGGAAATCTACAATTGGCCGCCATCCCATCCAAACCTCGTGGCAGCCTGCACCTCAGCCCACCAAACATCCCCTCATCCTCAACGAGACCAAGCCCAACCAATGTCAATGCCACATTAGCGATGCACGTATCTGCAGGATAGCCGTGTGGCTTACGCAGGAAGGAATCAGCGAGGATTGATAGGCGCCCGGGCTTAGGGGCGGCAGGCTTACGGTCAGCTGCACGGTGATATGGATGCAGGAAGCGTACCCTGCGCCCGGGTTGTCCTTTTAGGAGCGATCGACCATACACGATCAGCCAGGAAAATTGAGGCGATGACGGTACTTGCGTTCTGTTGTTTTCCCAGTGGTTCCAGCTGAGCCTCAAGACCCTCGGTCGCGACTTACATCGACTCAAGGCAATCATTCCATCCCTGTTGACCGTCAACCACGATGGCTAGTTCATACTTTTGTATGAGCAATCAGTCGATGATAGCTTTCTTCTTGAGCCTCAATATATCTTGATGGACGAGGGAGAAAGCGGACCTTGTCACGCTCTCCCTCGGGTCCAACCTCGATCCATCGCATGGCAGACCCGCCGACCCCTCCCCACACCCCCTCCGGCTCGTCGAAAGGCACGTCAAATGTGAACCAGGGGAATGTGGACAATCGTAATATCCCGAACAATGGAGGAGTCGTAACTGGAAATGTCAACGGGTTTAACACCATAGTCGGTAATCTTTGACCCTAATGAGTACCTGCTTCATATAGTTACTGATCAGGCCAGGAACACTTAATCTAACCGTTGATTCGGCTGCTGAACTCACTAACAATATTCAAACTTTTACCGCTCGGGTCGCTACGGCTGCGGAGAGGCTGAAGGATGTTGAAACCAGAATTCGTGCGACGGCTCAGCTTCTGGGAAGCATTCGCGACTTGGTGATTGCGCGAGCAGCGAAGGAAGATATCAACATCGACCGAGAATTCCGTGTTCAGAGTAGCGATGGAACAGGAACTGGAAGCGGTATTCCATCAAATGAGGGCACGACAGGTGGAAATGCAGCTGGTGGAGGTACCAGAGGGGGCATTCAGCCCGGACAATCTCCAGGAGGAAGTGCAAACGATCCAGGGCCAACTGTCTTGGAGAGACCTTGTTTTCGCGACTTGGTGAATGCGACGAAAAGTGCGGCGGACCGATTTGAGCGCATCAACACCAAGATCCAAGAGGCTTTCAACACGATCGAGCCTATGCGACGAGGACGACCCAAGATTGAACTAAGCGATGACGATCGGACAAAGTTCTTTCTGACGGAGAGGGACATTGATGATATGGAAAGACATATCGAAAGTCACAAGTTGGAGGTCCATATTGCCTTGACTGCCTTTGAAGCGACGATGTAAGTTTACATCGAGGTAATGCTCGTTCCTCGATGGGTGGAAGAGCGTTTGGCTGACATCGATCCGCAGGGACGACAAGCGTTCCGAGGCTATCCAATTAGTGGTTCTGGAAATGTTCAAAGAAATCAAGAGAATTGGAGAGTACTTCTTTAATCGCAGCCGTGGACCTCCAGAAACGACTCGAGACCCAATTGGACCGAGACCACATTATCGAGACCCAAGATTCGAGCCATACCACTACCAACAGCCGTATCAATATAACCAGTACCAACAACCATATCAATATATACGACCATTCGTCTTTCCCGACCTATCCAGATTGACATCCCTTTATCTGGGTTGGACATTTACCAAAGGCCGGCCACCATATGTCCACATCAATACCACATCCACGCAACCCTCGTGGCGATGGGCTGTCTGCAGCCAAATGGCCCTTTCAACCGAAGAGCTGTTCCTGAAAGTTCTGGCCCAAACTACCAGACGCTCCAAGCTCCGGCGTTCGATTCAAGACGACTGCAAAGACCTGTTGAAAACGAGTGTTCAAAGGCTGCTGGTAGACAATTTGCTGCGGGAACAGAATGAGAATTTGGCCATGCAACATCCGGCTTTGGAGTTGAAGTTGGCAGGCTTGTCTTGTAAAACACGGAGGACTGGCTTTTTCAGTCATGAGACCAAGAGTATCGATATCATCTTGAAGACGGAATGGGCTCCTGGTCTTCCGCCGCATGATTCGTGGCCACCGGGTGGTGGTGGTGGTCCACCTCCGCCACCTCCTCCTGGATTCGATGCTTATGGCCCTGGTAGGCCCCTTGGAGGGGGAGGAGGAGGAGGAGGAGGGGGAGGATGGGGCGGAAAGGGTGGTGGTGGCAGTGGCCCTGGACATCCTCCAGGCGGAGGCGATGGAGGCACCTTCTATCAGCATGGCCCTAGTGGCACCAGGCCATCTTCTTCCAAGAAACACCCAAAAAGAGTCCATCATCCACCTCCACACACAGCACCATCCAAGTCCGCACCCGAGATAGTCTCGCGCGAACCACGAATGTACGTCGTCAGAAAGAAAACCAAAGGCAAGGCCGCTGCCTCAGACAGCGAAAGCAGCCGCCGAGTATTCATCCGAGATAAAAATGGCAATCTAACGGTCCACCCTGAACATCACCGTCCGACAAGCTCTCATACTGATCACATCGAGGGACCGTCAATATCAGCTCAGTTCGATCATGGCCCCCCTCTACCACCACTGCTTCGTCCATATGAAAGCTTCTACGACTCCCAAGTGCGGATGGAATACGTGCCTGGTATTTCCCATCAAACACGTGCCCACCCACCACGCCCAGTCGCTGAAACGGTATACTCCGCTTCGTCTTCCTCCTACTCCTCGGACAGCGAGCATCGCGAGTACTACAGAATGCCACCCCCACCACCAGCAACAAGCATGCAAGTCTCAGTCCAGGGGATGACCCGCGAACAAGAAAAGAAAGTCATCGAAGAAATATTCGCCGAATGGGAAGACGGCGTAAGCATCCAACCAACCAGAAGACCAAACACCGCCCACCAAGACTCTCGACACAAATTGGACAAAGAGCACGAATCCAGAATGTCCAGATCATCCGCTGTAGTCCCGCAAATCGGCCCTACACGCCGAATGATGATGGAAGTCGAACACGAAGCTCAAAAGCAAGAGATCATTGAAGAAAAGATCCGCGAGAGACATCGACTCGGGGAACCGTCTTATCTGCACACGCGTGAACCACGTCCCAGGCGCACACGCAGCCGCTCGTATGAGAGAGCGCCGGGACGAAGGAGGCCGGGAGTGAAGATCGGTCTGGACGGAGGCGGGGATCCGTACCCGGCGTATGGAATGGATTGGCAGTTCGCTGATGAGGAGCGGTATCGTCGTCCTTTCGCCGAGCCTGGATATGATGTACCCGGGCCGTCGAGGCGGTATGGAGCACCGGGGCCGGAAGTACGGGCTGCTGGAGAGAGACAGTATATGCACATTCATGGGGCAGAGCCGCGGGTGTATGTACCAGCGCCATCTGAGAGACGGAGAGAGTATGGTAGTGTGCCATACGTAGAGCCCAGTGATTTGGTAGTGGAGGATTCTATGTCTGAGAGGGTGAGAGTAATGTCTCCTCGGAGGAGGGAGAGGAGGCGAGAACGTTCTCGTGTAGTTTTGGAGCCAGGACCAGAACCATCTTCTGAAGAACGTGGTAGGAGGAGGATTGAGAGGAGGAGTCCTGGTGGGAGCTTGTATGATTCGGATGAGAGGGAAATGGCTTCAACCTACAGCGATTGAATGGTGTGGACGAATGGGATGGTCGAAGCTTGCTTTCTATGTGATACCCAGAATTTAGTGTATGTATAGTTTAAAATGGTTCGAAGAGAAGTATATGCGGTTGAATTGTATCGATCTATATATGCAATTTCCATGATCATGCAAAGTATTATAGCGGGAAAAAGGCCCCGCAACATCTGTCGTGTAAGCTGAATATCTGAAACAAGTGTCGGGGGTGGAAGATGGATGAGAGAAAAAGAGAACAACAATCTCAATGCCATGCAGCATAGCAAAAGAACCACGAAAGAAAGAGAAGGGTCAAGGAAGAAGGGAGGAGAAGAGAACAGAAAAGGGTAAAAAAGAAGGAAGAAGGAAGATGAAAAAGACCCGTCCAGATATGCAATGTTCTATGATGCAAGCACCATGCACCCCAATCACTCAAACCACAACCTCACCCCCCCTGCGACTCCCAACCTTACTAGACCCAATGGCCTTAACAGTCCTCTGCGACGACCTCGACACCTGGCTCACACTATCCGCCGGTCTCACGGGCTCCTCAAACTTCGACTTGGACGAATGCCTGGACGCCTTGGAATGCGAACGCGAACGCGAATGCTTCGAATGTCTCGAGTGATGCGAGTGATGCGAATGACTTGACCGTCCCGAGCGACTCCCACCAACCTGGCTAATCGAGTCATCAGGAGTAACGTTCGAGTCCACATCAACATCAATAACGCTCTCCGGGAGGAGCACATGGCGAGCCGAGACGTGCGATTTAGGCGCCTGGCTGTGTGCAGGGCCGTAGAAGGAGTCTGCCGAGGATCCAGCCGGCAGGGGGATGTTGCGAGCGGATACGACGGATTTCTCGGATCGGGGCATGGCGCTGTAAACAGAGCCGGTGCCGGCGGGTAAGGGGATATTTCGTGCTGAGCGGGTTGACGAGGCTGTGCTGGCGGCACCGGCGTCGGGCTTGGACTGCGAATGAGATTTCACAGTGTGAACGCTGTGCGAGGATGATGCACGATATACGAGTCGAGTGTGCTCCGAGTACCCATCATCGGTACTATGGCGACGCTGTATAGCTGCTGCCTTGATTGTGGAGGCGGAGTGTACGCTGCCGGCGCGCGGCTTGTCGGCGGCATAGCTGCTGATAAAGGTACTGGGGTTGCATGGGTAGCGCTGCTGCGCGGCGTTGCTGGCGGGTGGGTACTCGATTGCGCGGAGCGGAAGGTTCTCTGGGATAGAGAAAACGCTGCCACCGTCCGAGGCGCGACGACCGTAGTCGTCTTGGTAAAACTCGGTAGCCTCGTAGATAGTGCTGGCTCGCGGGTTCTTGGACGTGACGCTCCGCGACTTGGAGGAGCGGGCAGCAGAGGCAGAAGTATAGACACTGCGCGGTGGAGGGGCTTCGATAGCGCGAAGGATGGGTTGCCCTTGCGATCTTGCTTCTGAAAACTGCGACGCGGCCGCGGCCATCAATTGTGGAATTTCAGGTGCGTATTGTTGCTGAAATTGCTGTGTCTGATGCTGGGGTGAGGGTGCCTCTTTGGATTCAGATGTCGTCGATTGCGAGTCGCCTTTCACCATGGCATAGGCAACGGCAGCACCGGCAGCGGCGCCAATGAGTGTACCAATGATAGTTTTGGCGGCTTTGCTACCATCATCGGCCTTCTGGACTGGTGGTGGACCATAGGCTAGGGCCGATCCCGTCGACTTTTGAGAGATCACAGTCGGAGCGGGCGCGGCCTTTTCGATGGCGCTTGGTGCTTTTGATATTGCACGCGACTTGGCTGCTTCTGACTTGGGCGGTGCGACGCTGACAGCCTTTGATACCACCGAGCGGTTCTCCAGTAAAGCTATTGTCGGGCCTCCAGCTTCTGATGCGACGACTGAGCCGCCGGGACGGTAGACTGCCTCGATGCTATTTCCGTCAAAGTCGATCACGGCAGCGCTGTGGTAGCCGGACACCGAGTCGCGGGTTCGTGGCTCGCCATGAAATCTTCCGCCGGCTTGGATGGCCAGGTGAAAGAATGCAGTGACGGCATCTTTAGAAGGCGCAGGGAATGCTACATGTGCTGCGCTGGGTAGAATGCTGATAAGGCTGATATTAGCAAGCTATAACTTTAGGTGGGCCGGACCCCGCAATCCTAGATCAGGCGCTCACATACCCAGGCTTCTGCTCCGTGATCCAGAAATCCGCCGGCTCTCCCTGCTTCTGTCCAAAGCCAATATAGTCATCATGTCGGCCGATAAATTGGTATCCCAGAGGCTGAAGGCAGGAGAGGAAGAACGAGGTGGAGGTGGGGAGATGCGAGACGGTCAGGGTCAGATGGGAGACGGGCATGTCGAGAAGTTGGTAGGAAAGTATCAAGCCAGCACCTAGAATGGACAGGCTTGAAATGTGAAGCTGGAATACTTGCTTGCAAGTACAAGTGTAGAAGAAAGAAGAAAAAAAGAATCCCTGCACCTCGAAGTAAGGATTGAATATATACGGTGAAGCAGAGAGGAGTATAAGAGACCGCAACTGTGACACACCAGTCACGACACCGCGAATACTGGAAAAAAGGGGAAAGTCTCCATTTCCAGAAAAAGAACTCCAATTGGAAAGTAGCTAGAAAGAAAGCTAGTGGTAGCTTTGCTGGTTGTCAATACAGTAATCCACCCTTCTGCCCAAAAAGAGCCCTCCACTAATCGCCCGAGTCGCCGTCCGCGCTGGCCACCGCAGTCGTCCGAGAAAGGCAAGCCCCCAGCCTAACCGGGCTCCAGCATTTACAGTACAGTAGTAGTACTGCGTGCACTGGTACAGGATTTTAATGTGGGACCCTGACCTGGGCAGGCTGGCCCTGGACTGGTCGAGGCGGTCATGCACGAGAAAAGCCCGTGGAGGGCGGAAAAAGTGGACGGTGGATCACCGAAGGCAATGACTGGCTTGCGGAAGGAGCCAAATCAAGAGCCGGCTTCTCGTTCCGCCAGGGCAAGAGAACAATAGTGCTCTGCGCTATGGTTAGTTGGAAAAACTCGTGTATCAAGCAAGATCACTAGTCCTTCTACCCGATCGAGCGATCTGCACCGGGAAAGCGAGTTGGTGAAACGCCTGCCCCGCGCGGACTGGCTGTCAGGACATCGCGGCGTGAGGCGACAGGCGAGAGGCGGCCGCCAGGCTCGGGCCTTGTTGGCCGTACCGTCGACGATGGTAGAAGTTAATTGTAGATCCTCATCCCAACTTCCTGCAAGTTGCTCATCCAGGAGGTGGTCCAGGTCCAGGTCCAGCTCTTTGTAACACTCCAACAAGGGCGCCCAACCAACCAACCGACGAGGCAAAACCCAAATCCAAAGGCCCAAAACAGATCCGATTGAATCAAGTCACATCCTGTCCCGACTATCGAGACTTAGACCCTGCGAGCTTCACCTACACCAGTAGGTTCGCTATTCCGAACACCAGCGGGGCCTTCGCTCGGAGCCTAGGGTGGCCAAGTCAGCGCGGGGACAACATCCAACAGTGGAGCTTGGCAGAGGGGAGCAGAAATGCGTGGATGAGTACGAGTGGGCAGTATAACTGGGCATGTTCTCGTGTTCTCGTGCTGGGAGCAAAATGGACAAATCAAGAGACTGAGAATTGCTTTGGGTGGGTTTCTGTCGGTGGAGACGGTGGAAATGTGCATTGGCCATTGAAACGGCGGGTTGGCGATGGAGAAAGGACTTGTCGGGTGCGGAAGTCGGTCGACAGGCTTGACCGCTACTGTACTGAGTACTGAGTGCTGGGCTACAGGAATACGGCTGGTCAAAATTTGCTAATTTGGTAGTTAATAAGAGGATATTTAAAGTCGAGTCATCAGTAATGTTCTATATTGTAGCGATTTTATTGGTTGCTACAGTACAGGCGGTTCTATCAGAAGCTAACTTCGCATTGATCGTGACTCGGTCTATGTGGATTCGGGAATAAGTACAGTCAGACTAGAAGTGCGCCCTGGGCAGGTATGCAGAAAAATAGTATGAGGCTGGTCCCTTAATTCCATTACAACATATTTCCCTCGACTATACTCCGCTACTTATACTCCGTACACCGTATACTACAATTTATTAGAGTCTTACAAACAATGATTTGTCCGGAGACAAAATGCGCTCTTACGATTAGCAGGTGCTCCGTTGGTACCGATTTCGGTATATCTTTATGCTGTAGACTTGAGCGGGCCTTTGTGCAGGTGTAGGGTCAAAGTGAGGCGGACGCTAATTGCATGCCACGTCGAGGACAACCGTCCGTACATGCTACTAGCCGCTGACCCTATCACAGTCTGTTGTTTGTATAACGAACTACGTAGCTACTACTTAGACCTCACGTGCTGACGTACGTACAAACGTCTCAATGCTGGTTACCAGATCCTACCAGAGAGGCCATATTCAAACTCGAGAGGGCACTGCTACCTCCCACGGGTCACGAGGACGCAGTCTACTCACGAGGACGCAGTCTACTCACGAGGACGCAGTCTACTCACGAGCACGAAGTCTACGAGACGTCTTCCGACATCCAACCTCGCATGTGATGCAAAATCTTCAATACAAGAGTAGGAAAATAGTAACTGTATTCAAACACAATATGTGCCTAATCTCAGAAAGCCTTGTCGAGCAACAGGCTCCCGATATAATTTGCTGTTCACTTTTCTGGTCTCATCGCCACAGTCGAAGAGAAAGAGCTGCGCTGCGGAAAGAGAGGCTTTGAACGCTAGGGCTCTGGATCAGGACTGGATCGGCGAAAAGGAACCAAATGCCATCCAGTCCGAGTGTCTCGTTTTTGTTGGTTTTTTCTGGTCTTATCTTGGAGATTTTGTCCCAATGTCACGGTGCTTTTCTGATCAAGCTCAAGAAAGTTTGGGGCCAACAATGGCAACAAACCCCTAAGAAAAGCTCTCCCCCAAACTCAATTTCAGGGCAAAAGGGGATCCCAATTCAGAAGAACAATTTGATATGATGTAATGCGACATCGCTGGCTAGGCCGTCCCGTCAAGACGTGTTTCCTCACGGGGTAATCAAGAGATCGGTCAAAAACACAAGTAGAGAATAGAACATAGAATCAACGGAGGAGAATGAGACCGAGAGAGGAACGACAGCCAGCCAAAGGTAGGAAATAAACAAAACAAAAAGATAGAGAGGTATTTGTTTTCTTTCAATGTCGCATTTGTGTCGAAATTGCTCCCCCAGAATCGGGGCTCCCCCATCGGCCAGTCGATCCAAGTCAAGACAAATCACGAAACACTCAAACTCAACAGAACCCGCCCGTGGTTCAGTCCCCCATCGCAAAGGAAATTCGTGGCGGTCATGGGCAATGCGGAGATGATGCCGGAAATCTGCGAACGGCAAGGCTCGAGGTGACGCGCGCGTGGCGCTGCGCGATTTTGATTTTCCTCGATAGCCTCACTCACAGAATATCCCACACCTCCTCGGCGGCGTGGCAGAACTTGCTGCAAGCCACACTGGCACTCAGACTATAGTTGCTGATGGAGATGGTGTCGTCCTTGAAGGAGTCGGCAAAGTCGTCGTGACCCTTGGCCATGGCACCGACGAAGATGGCGATACTCTCGTTGGGGCCTAGAGATTCAATGTAGTCCTTGGTGCGGACGACGGGGGCCTCAAAACTCATGGTCACCTTGCGACAGTTCGGGGGCAGGTGGTCGGTGATGGGGTTCTTGATAACCTTGAGCAGCTTCTCTTGGGAGTTGGTCGAGCGAATGGACAGGCGGTGCAGCAATTGGACCATCAGACCGGCGAAACGCTTGAATGTACGGGGAATGCGCACGGAGGGGTTGACCTCGATGAGGACACCCTTGGCGGTGTGGATGAAAATTTGCAGGCGGCCAGCCTTGTTGACGGGGGAATCGAGGAGGGTGAGAAGGCACTATAATTGTAGGAGAGGATGTGTTAGAATAGGTTTTAAGAACGAAAAAAAAAAGAAACCGAGTCTCCACATCACGCGACATTCGAGGAGCGGACCTAGGATCCATACCTGGTGAGTGATATCCGGGCGAGCCTCGCTGATATCCCGGTTCATCTTACGCATAATACCAATATGCTCGTCGCTGTTCAACAGAGAATATTTCTCATCCTTGGCTCCCGCACGTCCGCTAGAGGCCCGGTAGGTCTCCAGACTGGCATTTGAGAGAATGACGATCAAACGCTGGGTGTCCTTGTCGTGCGACGGAATAGGTGCATGCTGCTCGGCCACGAGTTGCGGCAGCTCGGGCGGCGGGCACGACTGGGTCCCTGGCAAGTGTATGTCGTTAGCGGGTTGCACACTTGCGCCTGCGGGCTGGGCCTTCCGGGCATGAGGAGGAGAATTAGGAGATGACTGCTGCGGCCGCTGGTGATGGTGATGGTGTTGCTGCTGGCCGGGCTGGAATGGAATGGCGGCGGCAAAAAGTTTCGACGGACTCAGTTGCACAGACTCGGCTTCATCGTCCTTTGAGACTGGCTTGTGCGAGTCTGCAGGGTCTGCGTGGAGGATCTGACTAGCAGAGTCCATGGTGCAAGATTCCTTCGTCGCGGGGAAGAAATGATTGGGGGAAAAGAGGGTAAAGAGCGGGAGATGTTTTTTGTGCAGGGAGAGGTGTAATGAAAAAAAAATTCCAAATAGCACAGAGAAGAAGGGATCACTAACTCGCACGCTTTCGCTTTCCTGCCACTTGTTCGGCTTCCGACATGATTTGGGGAGAGTTGATGAGGTGAAGGTTTGGAGAAATTGTCGAAGAGATTTTTGGAGGGTCCGCGCTGTCGGACGTTCCGCGGGTCAGAAGCGGGCCCGAAGGATTCTGGAGCAACTTTGGACGTCGAACTGGCGGATTGATTCACGTTGATCTGGCCTCGGTGTTTTGTTGTGATTTTGGATTTTTTCGAGCTGAAAACCTCGATGATGGATCACACGCCCATTATGTACGTATGTACGGTATGCCTAAGAGCCAAGAATGACAGGCCTTTCCCCTCTTCTTTACATAAGTCCGGGCCAAAGAAACTCCATAATAATCCCCGATCGGGGACTTTTCCAAGCTAGGGCAGGATAGTAGCTTACGGGTTTGTTCGCTGATGGGCCTGTCAATGTGGTCTTACTGTCGGGGACTACACCGGACCGACTTCGGTGAAGATCCCCTCAATGGGATGCAGTCGGATTCCGATCACCGAGCATATTTCCGCACGCTACTGCAAATCTACTGCACCATACTCGAGGCGACTAGCTCCTGCTGGTAGTGACAGAGAGTGAAGAAAAGAGAAAGAGCGGACAGACTCGACTCTAGCAGCCCCCAGTTCAGCTATATAGTCAGCCATACCCTTCGTACTCTTTAATTGCCTCTCTCCAGCTTTTCCGAGAGCAGACCAGTCCTCGGTCCTGGAGCATGCCATCCCGCATTGGCGATGCGCCATATGGAACCAATCTGCTGCACGACAGTCGATCTTCAGCTCAGCCTTCACACCATGCCCACCGTTCTGACCTCAAGAGGTAGAAGCGAGAGACCCATCAAACGTGATCTGTATGATCGAAGCATCCAGAATGTCTCGGTAAGATCCAGGCATTGGCCCCCATTCTGAGGTGATACGGACGAACAATCAGCATCGAGCTCCATAACCTTCCCAACGGTCCAATGGAATGCATTGACCCTGCAGTGCTGACACCCAGATCGTCTTCCCCTCGAATCAAGCTCAAGTCCCCCACTTGGCAGCGGGTGCCTGTCATTGCTCTTGGTTCTTCGGGGCGATCTGGCTCGCCATTATCTGGTCTGACGAAGCAATGGAACCCCGGTGCTTCGACTAGGGTAGCAGCATGGGAGGTGCATCCCGGCGTCTGGCCCATGACGAATCGAATCAATAGCTCCATGGCATGCCCTGTAGAGTGCATCGATTCGCCACCCAAGTACCCCCCCCCGTGCTTCTGAAACTTAATGCTGTGCAAGCATACCCCCGGATCTCCGCGGTGGCCGGGGTTAAAAGGGGGAAGCGCAGACCAAAATTCGATGGGAGGGCACTGCCAGCCTCTTGAGTGTCTGCCCCTCTTCGTAACAAGAGTAACAAGAGGCAGGAGAGACTAAGGAGACAGCTTGACTGGGAGAGTTTCGTAACGAGTAGGCAAAAGGTCAGAAACCAATCAGTGTGCTGGATTCCGTGATCTTGCCCAGAGCTGTCTGGCCCGGATCCAATCAGCAGTGACAGACACGAGACGCCTCCCCGATTAAACCTCCGGTTTCTTCCTGGAGGAAAATAGGAGTAGGCGCCGTCCGGAGCCCCGGTGTGTCGTGAGGGCCTGACATTTAGAGATCAGACCTCGACCCCAGACTTCCAGACTTGAAGGCTAGATTGGAGGAGCTGTCGAGGTGATTGATGATGGTGAGGTTGGTTAATTTGGAGGACTACCATTGGGCGGGCTGGGAGATGCAACGGCGCTTCCTTGCACGATGCAACACGGGAACATCCCAACACCAACTGGCTGGGCTGAGGCGTTCTTGGGGGGGCGGAGGGAGGGGGTTTCTGTTAGGCCTCTGGCTGTGTTAGAGGCTTAGGAGTCTTGGTCTCTCTCTACCTCGCCCTTGGTCAGATAGCCTCGTCCGTTTGTGGAAAACAGTCAGACTTGTCAGAATAGCCCTGTCTAGCCTCCACTGAACGTCCAACTATGGAATTGTCATCGAACAAGACCAAGCCGAACGGAGAATAGAATGGGGCTCAATCCAGTTTGATCACCTCCATGGTGGCCTTACACACGTAGTCGCCATCATTGGCCCATATAAGATCAGCTCGGTCGTGTTTTGGATTGTCTACGAGATGAGCGGGCTGCCGGTCTCCTTGTTGGTTGGGGGCCCATCCTTAAGGCTGGATAACTCTCCCCAAAGCTCGCTGATTGCCCGAGCGAAACGAACCAACAAGGAAGAAATGAACAAATCAGCGACTTGGGCAAATCAGCATTCAGGGTGGATGGTTCCTGGGGCACGAAAGGGGGGGCGCAAAAAGGAGGTCCCACCGAACATACCAGAGCGACGGGAATTTACAGCCATAGAGAATAATGGAGAGAAATTATGCCAACACTGCCAACCATGACTCCAACCATGACTCCAACCATGACTCCAACCAGGAGCAAAATGAAGACCGTCGAAATGACTGCCTGGAGCAGAGAGGGTCGTGGGAAAAGCAATAAGACGATGACAGGCAGCAGTTGGGACTCCAAGCAATTATTCCTTGAAAAAAGTATTAAGTATTCTTCCAAAGAATAGCAGCCAGTAGCTTTTCATCATCTTGCATACTCGTCACCATTCTATGACTATACCGTTTAATCTCTCATGCTGGGAGCGCTCCTCTCATCCTGCTCGTTCCGGTGGCGACTCTGTCTTATTAAACTTATTAAACGCCCCATCACAGCTCGTGTGGGCTCCTGTTGATCGCCCCGATTATTAAACTATCACTGTCCCTGCTTCATCCGTATCTTGCTTTTCTCTCTTCTCATCCTGGCCGACTCTTGCCCTCCGACCAGTCTTGATAACTGCTCCCCAGCAAGGGATACTCCAGAGTAAGTGGCTGACCAGTGGAACTCCCAAACCTGACCTAAACAATATGACCTAAACCAGTTAGCGCCACGCGTGCAGTGGAACCCGACGATCCGCCTATGTAAACTGGCAAAAACCCCCCCGTTGGAAAATAAACACCTTCTCCCCTCCCCCTCACGAAAGATCAGACTTCCAGGGAGATGCCGTGGACAGTCACCAATTCTTTTAAGCGGTACGTGATTCTCCCACTCTCGCGACGCCGTCCAGCGCTAACTCCCCTCCCCCTTTTCTCCAGAGGCCTGATGAAAACATACGGAAGACCGACATGGCGCGTCTATGACGATGAACGGGCCGCGAAAAAAAGACGCGTCCAAGATGAGTCTGATGAGGCAGAAACCAACCTTCAGTATGCGATTCGCGAGTCATCCGCAGCCGTCCTATCCAGTCCCTCGCGCCGCAACTCGGTCGTCTTGTCCGAAGGAACCCTCGACGATATCGACGATCTTACCACTCCTCCGTCCTCGCCACCGCCGCGGTTGACTCCTCCCCCCGCCAACACCCGCAAGCCAACATTTGCCTTTCTCAAGCGCAAGCACAAGGAGGCCGCCGCCGGATCTCCTCTGACGGAAGTCAACTCCAATAGTGTGCGCTCCTCAGCAGACCCGCCCAAGCAGCAGCAACAACAGCAGTTCCATGCGCATCCACCACCTCCCCCACAACCACAAAAGACAACGCCAAAGCAGCCCGCGCTGCGTCAGATGCAGATTGACCTAGGCAGCGAGGTGCGCAAGACGTGTGCGACATGCGGGATGGAGTACATCCCCTCAAATACGGAAGATTCGGCTTTGCATAAGAAATTCCACGAAATGAACTCGACGGGCGTCGACCTCGGCAAGGCTTTTATGCGCGCCAATGCGTCGCGCTGGGTTTACGAAGCTACCCGTTTCGAGGAGGGTTACGTGGTGATTGTCGACCGCAAGGCCACGCCCAGTGCCAAGAACCAGGCCAAAAAGGTACTCGAAGTGGTCAATAAGGAGCTTTCGTCGCCAGAGATTGAGGATGAGGTACTCTGGAGCCAGGCCGAACCTCCAAAACACCTACATACCGATCATACCGAGGAAAAGGTCGATCGATACCGAGTGTTTCTGCATATGAAGGACAGTCGCTGCGTGGGGCTATGTCTAACGGAGCGCATCTGGGAGGCGCGCCCGGTGATTCAGGGGGAAGCCAATGGACACGCGAATGGCTCCTCAGTGTCCGTCAAGGACGAGATTCATCCTGCGATTGTTGGAGTCTCCCGAATTTGGACGTCGGGCGCATCGCGAAGAAAGGGCATTGCCTTGGATTTGTTGGATTGCGTGGTCAGCAATTTCATCTACGGCATGGAGATCCCCAAGAATAAGATTGCGTTCAGCCAGCCTACGGAGAGTGGCAAGAAGCTAGCTCATAAATTCTTCGAGGAGGATGAGACGTGGCACGTGTATAACGAGCGGTGATAGGACTGACCAAACATCGCAAAGGAGACCTGTTGGAAGATTTGGGATGTGAGAAGCATGGCATTCATTGTATGGGCAATTTGGGGAGGTTGAGGGGGTCTTTATTTTTCCTGGTCTTTTTTCTTCTTCTGATCTTTACAACCTGATCTTGATATTCTTACTGGGATTATTTGTTTTTCATACGGCACACGGATGGAGGGGATTTTTATTCTGGGCTTCTGGTTGGACTAGGGCTTGTTTGTTTTTTTTCTGGTTGGTTCGTCTCATTGTTTCTTTGCGTTCTTATAGCATTGTACCATACGTATATACACGCCCCGGGTTGTCTCGGTCAAGCCAAGAAGTCATTTCGTTTTGCGATTTCGATTGATAATTATCTATTTTTGCGATCTTTTGATCGAATCTCCTAGTCCATTCCGAGTAGCCACGGTTGGCCCTGTGACAATGACAAGGGTTGGATTCGCGACTGCAGCCTTTCGGCGCTCCCGGACACTCTCGGAGAGGGGGCGGATGGGATAAGAAGCGCGGGGATCCTCCCCTCCTCCTAACCTTTTCTTCCACGAGACTGAGAGCGAGAGAGAGAGAAGACGCCCTCTCCGTCGCGATGTCAGGTTTCAATCCCTTCCGCGCCAGAAATCTAGATGGTAAGTCGAACGAGCCCATTTCCTTTTTCCCTTTGTCAATCCGCCACGTCCCGATAAGGCACGACTATGGGGAGTCCCCATTCGAGCATCATTTTCCCTATCCTGCAGCGGTTTTATCGGACCGCCATCGACGAGCACAAATTCTGATACACTTGTCGGAAACAGGGAGTTCCGCCGGTGCCACGGGATCACCCTTAATTGCCGACAATGCGTCGCTAGACCTATTCTCCAAGCCAGCTCCCTCAGTGCCTACCCAGCTGCCCAACGGTTACCCCAAGAAGCCCGGGTTATCATTGGAGCTCGAAACCGATGACTCGACTTCATCAGACGAACAGTCTGTGGACCCGTTCAATCCCGACCCTTCCGTGAGCGACATTGACAACGACCCTGGCCACGATGACTACACTCAGCGGAGCAGCTCCACGAGCTCGACGCTCAATGATCGCCCCCGAGATTTCTTTGGGTCTTCTCCACATCCAGCTCCATCCGCCGATGGGTCGACGGCCACCTCGTCATTTAACTTACCATTTGTACCTGCTACTACACAAAGCATACGGTCAGGATCAGAGGCTGGGCTGGGCTCGGGCTCAGGCTCAAGCACACCGCAAGAAATCGTCCCACCACCAGGGACTCGCGATGGGGCCCAGACACAAACATTTCGATCTCCACCGGAGCCAGGCACCAGTACATCTCCGTCAAGTCGGTCCAACAAAGAAAAGAAGCCACCACCTCCCCCGCGCAGTCATCATGGCAAACGAATCACCACTGCTACGAACACTACGGCCGGCACTAGTGGCAATGCCACTTCCTCGTCCTCTTACACCTCACCACCCCGATCTACTAACCGCCTCTCATACCATGCCCCATCCCCAGAGAGCCAGATATCTACTCGCCGGTCCGGCACCCCTAATGCCGGCTCGACAAGCCAGGCTCCGGGATCAGACTACTTCACCTTCTCGGTCTCTCCGGAAGACCAGCAGCGAGCACGAGCACGAGCACCGAACTCGACCAATCCAGGCGAGTCCGTCCACCGCAGTGCCTCTCAACACTCCCAGCACAAACGCCCTCCTACACCCCCTCTAAGTCGCCGACATAGCCAGATGCGACGATCCAAGTCCACACAGTCCAAGACAAGCGGCAGTCGTCTAACCATGTCCTCCCTTGATTCCGAGAGCACGGATAGCTCACAACCTCCTAGCCCGGGTCTGTCCACCCGCTCCTTGGCTTCCTCTATACCAGATCGCAAGCGCCTCAGCATGCCACCACCTTCCTCCAGGTCCATGGAGAGGGAGATGGAAACACGTGCTATGCCTGGGCATTCCCTACCACCAGACTCCTTATCATCACCTCCCTCAACATCCAGATCAAATCCTCCCCCGTCCGGTCGCCGTACCTCTTCGCACAGCAGTATACTGTCCGGTGGCTTGTCCTCCGCTGTGGCACCTCCACCTCCGCCACCTCCGCGCCGTGCGCGGGACTCTAGTTCCCGTAGTAGCGAGGGGAGGCCAGTGTCACAGGTCATCGGGGTGGAGGAAGCACCGTTGCCGCAGCCATCTAATGCTCAGGATATCTTGGCTGATCTGTCACGGCTGCAGAAGGAGGTGGATGATCTGCGTGGACATTATGAGAGCCGCAAGGTTAGTCAATGATCCGGGGGCTTGGGCGGGTCTGGGCCTGGGCCGGCGGGTGTCTGGTAGTCGCTTGTATGAATGAACGAATCTACATTGAACTCTCTGTATGACATGGGGCTTTCTATATTCTAATTTCTTGTCTTTTGGCATATTAACAGACTACGCCGTGTAGTCAATTCTCTTTAACAACCGCTCGGGTTTTAGTTGTTCGACGATAGCCCAGCCATTTAAGGAGAGTAGTCCCACTAGCTTCACTCTGATTGGCTCATCCTGCAGCCCGACATGACGTCGCCGCAAAAGGCCCAACGGGTCCTTTTGCTCCCCGCAATTTCCGTCGTCTTTTGACTTTGGGTCGCTTTCATAAATCGTCCTCACATCACACCCCGTACACCACAAGTTCTCTTGAACGACATCGCAAGCTTTGCGATATCTGCTCTTTGGCCTAGATTCGGTGGTCAAATTCAGACTCAACCTCAGACACAGCTCTCAAGATTCATCGAACGGGAGATAGATCGAATCAACCGGCACGATGACCACGCCTACTCTGATCAACCTCCCCCCTCCTCCTTCTGACCCCGTCACACCCTCGGATATGGGCCCGTAAGGATACCCCCTCTTCCTCTCATTCCCCCAATTCCTCTCTCCCGTCAACCATACTATAAGCCCTGCATCTACACCGAGCTAACAAATGATTCAGCGGCACCCCCAATTCCGGCACAACCTCCCTCTCAGCGCTCTCCACCACCGCCATCAAAGATGGCCACCAGGGTGCTCCCTTCCCACATCATCGCGGCCACGCCCATCAATCCTCAACCTCCTCCACAAACACCCTTGAAGCCGAGCGCGCGGATCGCATCTCCCGCCTCGCAGGCCTCGAGCGCGTCGCAACCGCCCGCGCCGGCGGCGGCAACTACCCACCCAGTCATATCCCACCCGCTCACATCCCAGGCTACTTCGACAGCCATGCGTTTAAGGAACGCAGCACCGTCGGCAGTGCCAGTGCAACCGGTAGCGTCGGCCACACGACTTGGGCATCGGGCAGCGAGGCATTCTCCGCAGACAAAATGAGCGAGGACGTCGACGTAGATGACCGCGATAGCGTGGGGAATGTCAGCGATGAAGGGAATGCCAGTCTGGTCGGCTTTGGCGAGGGCGCTAATAGTACCATCTCGGGACCGACGAGTCGGCCCCCTGTGCTGAATCGAATGTCCTCCGGTGGTGCCCGACCAACAAGTATGGGCACCGCCGGGGTGAACCCGAATGTGGGTCGTCCCAATGCGTTGGCTAGCTATGTTCAGCAACAGCAGCAACAGTATGGCGCTGGGTATGGCGCTGCGGACAGTTCGATCGTCTCTTCTAGTCTTGCGGGTTCGATTACGCCCGAGCCTGTTCCCGAGGATGCGCGAATGGTCAACGGGATGACCTTTGATGAAGATGTTATCGATACTACTGTTCGCACACCACGATTGGCTACGCCGAATCCCACTTCGGGCGGGTTTGATACGGGGCATGAGTAGGGGTCCTTGCGGGTGTGAATTGCTCTGAGCTGAATAGCCATAAATTGGGTTAACGAGAGAAGGGGGCCAGACACGGAGGAACTCAGGTGGTGATTTCGTTGGTTCTTTTGATCACACTTCGAAAATGCTATGTGGTGGAGTTCTGAGATTTCCTTCGTTGTTTCTTATTTCTTGTTTACTGTTCTTTTTCTATTCTCTACTGGATTGCCGGTTGACTCGGTTCGGATGTATTTCTATGGGAGAAGCCAGGTGGACATGGACGAGGGCTTGGGTGGCACGGGAACTGGGCCTTGTATGGGGCAGGATATGAATGACATGTATGTGATATGATAATTTTTCAGCGCAGCTATCAACTACTTTTGTTTTCTTCCAAATAAGTGGCTTTGACTAGTATATCTGGAACAAGATGGGGAGCCGGCGCGAGTGGCGTCGTAGATGTACGTTCTCGACACAGAAGAACAAGATGGTAAACCTCGACTTGTCATATAGACAAGATGCCAATCTTTATAGAATATCAACGGACAGGCTTGTTCGTTCCCTCAATAAAAGGGTACTCTATAGTCTGTAGACCGCGGTAGATCTAGGGTGGCGTGTATCGATCACGTGGAAAGTACAACAGGACAACACGCAAGATCAATTCTATATAATCTCTTGAAAGAGCAGCTCAGTTAACCACGTAAACAATAATAGGCGAGCTCACATTTCTCCAAATATATGCAAACATGTAGCCATCAACCCCCCTTACCCAAGTGCTTCGGCCCAGCCCGTAACGGCCAGCATGACGGCATGCCGCCTCCGACAGGGCCCCCCAATGAGCGCGCCCGCGCCAAAACCCGAATTTTCATCTCTTTCATCCGTTTCCACCTTTCCCATCCCCCACTCCTCCCATAACCACCTCAACTCCCCTCCCTCCACACACTCCCCCCCTTCTCCCTCGCCTCTTCGGACTCCGCCCCGCCCCCTGCTGGCATTGACTTGTCTAGCAATCCGACAGAGAGAAAAAGACTCCGACCAACGTCTTTTCCCCCACCCACCGCTACGTGAATCTCCGCCACTTGCCTCGCTTCGCCGCGCAATTGAGTTTCGCAACTCCAAGTCGAATCCTGCACGCTCCGTTTGTGACTGCCTCATCAAATTCTCATCTTGTCGCCGTATCTTCGCTGGTTTTTCTATCGTGCTCAACGCCGGTAGTCTTCCTTTCCACAACACTCTCGTCTCGTTCACACGGGAAGAGTTTCTCGTGAGGCTCCGATCACATACGCCGACACCACTGCCTGGGTGATTCCCTAAACCACTCTACGCTACGTACACGGGTGCTTACTCGTATACGAGATCTTTGAGCTGGTTATCTGCTTCCTGAGTGGAACGGAAATCTAGATCTTTCTATCTTTACGTGTTTCATACTCGATCCTACAAGCCAACTTCAAGATGGCGGCTCCTACACAGCTTGCTTGTATGTTTACCCCCTCCCTGCTCCTCCTCCTCCATTTCTCTTATTCCATCGCGGTCAATGAACTGGTCGGATGGAATAGTGGAATGGCAGCTTTGTTTATCTGGTTGGGCATTTAAGCTGATTTGGCGCTAGACCGAACCCTCAAGGGAATCGGCATCATGGATGCTGCCCCCGTTTATGAGCCTCTGCCGGGATTTACACGGTATGATTAATACTTGCAATGGTTGAAAGATAAGACGTGTGGCTTTGCTGACTCGTGTTTTTGGCCTCGTCTAGACCTGAGGGAAACCTCCGTTGCGGTGCTTACTCGCCGTGCGGCCGTTACTACGCATGGGCGTCGCCTGACAAGTAAGCATACCTGTTCAGCCCTATGACTCCTTTGATTTGGAAATCTAACGCATCGACCACCTGGTGATAGGGTCACCATTGTGGATGCCTCGGTTGGCCACACTGTCTCGACCATTCTCGCCGAAAACGTGTTTGAGCTGGGCTTCTCGCCCCTCGGCACCTACGTGATCACCTGGCAACGACCTACCAAGGATGCCAACGGCGATGCTACGAAGAACCTCAAGGTCTGGCGCGCGGTCGAGGCCGGAGACGAGCACTCGGTCGTGGGCCAGTTTGTTCAGAAGTCGCAGACCGGCTGGAACTTGCAATATACCCCCGATGAGAAGCTGTGTGCCCGCGTCGTGACCAACGAGGTCCAGTTCTACCAGAGTGACAACCTGTCGTCTGTATGGAATAAGCTACGTGTGGAGGGCGTGGCGGACTTTGCGCTCTCGCCCGGTCAGACCCAGTCCATTGCGGTCTTTATTCCCGAGCGTAAGGGTCAGCCCGCTGCCGTCAAGGTGTTCATCGTGCCGCAGTTCGGCGCTCCCGTCTCCCAGAAGAGCTTCTTCAAGGGTGACAAGGTCCAGTTGAAGTGGAACTCGTCCGGTACCACCTTGATTGTGCTTGCGCAGACTGAGGTCGATAAGACTGGTAAGAGCTACTACGGTGAGACTACGCTGTATTTGCTCAGTGCCAGTGGTGCCTTTGATTCTCGAATTGATCTCGGTATGTGGATTCCTTGGAAAGCTTTTCATCTTTACTACTTGGGCAGACAAGCTAATAGGAACGCTCGTACTTTACAGACAAAGAAGGCCCCATTCATGACGTGAGTTGGAACCCCAACTCCAAGGAGTTTGGTGTTGTCTATGGCTACATGCCCGCCAAGACCACCATCTTCAATGTGCGTGGCAAGCCCACGCACAACTTCCCTCTGAGCCCACGGAATACCATCCTGTTTTCGCCTCACGGGCGATTCGTCCTGGTTGCCGGATTCGGTAACCTGGCTGGTCAGATGGATCTGTACGATATGGAGAGGAACTTCCACAAGATCGCCACCGTGGAAGCCTCCAACGCCAGCGTGTGCAGCTGGTCCCCCGATGGCCAGTACATTCTGACTGCCACCACCAGCCCTCGCCTGCGTGTCGACAACGGTATTCGTATCTGGCACGTTAGCGGCAGCCTTGTGTACAACGAGGAGATGACCGAGCTCTACGATGTCTTCTGGCGCCCCCAGAGCATCGTCCAGCACCCGCTGGGTGACCCCTTTACCAAGCTGCCCGTGCCGCACCCCTCTGCCACCGCGTACTTGGCCACCCGCAAAGCTCCCGTCAAGCCCGCTGGTGCCTATCGTCCCCCCGGTGCCCGTGGTCAATTGACCCCTCTTGCCTTCAAGCGTGAAGACCAGGGAGGTGCCGCCTTCGTCCGCGAGGGCGTCCCTGGCGCTGGTGCCGCCGGCGTCAATGGCTTCGGCAAGCCCCGCCGCCGTGAGATTCCCGGTGCTGAGCCCGCCGAGGAGTACCTGCCCCCAGGTGCCGCGCCTGGCGGGGGTGTCGCACTCCCTCATGGCGCCGACAACGAGAAGCTCTCTAAGTCCGCTGCCAAGAACAAGAAGAAGCGCGAGGCCGCGAAGAAGGCTCGTGAGGACGGCGAGAACGCTCCCCCCGCCAATGCCCCTACCGGCCCAAGCCCGAACCGTAGCCGTGGCAAGAACAACGGCTCCCCTGTGAACGGCTCCAACAAGGCTGCCCCCGCCCCCGTTCCTGCTCCTGCGCCTGCGCCTGCTCCTGCTGCTGGCCCCGCGGCCGTCGTGGACCAGTCTGCACAGGATAAGAAGATCCGTGGTCTTCTCAAGAAGATCCGCGCTATCGATGAGCTGAAGATGCGCCTAGCCGGCGGTGAGAAGCTGGAGGATACCCAGATGAAGAAGATTCAGACCGAGGATGCTGTCCGCAAGGAGCTCGAGGCCGTTGGATTCAACGGTTAGAGTATCTTGTGGTTGCACTTGAGTCTTAAGATCGGTTCACGTGGTGCTGGTGCTGGTGCTGGTTGTATGGTCTGGAAGCTGGGTTGTGCATTGGCGTGGCTGTGTTATACGACTTGTGTAGAGTGCTTTCTCTTCTCTTGCATACACCCTTGTCGTCCGGGCCTATATAGGTGCCTGAAAATAGAAAATTACATCCAGATTCATTGAAATTCCTGGTATTTCGTAGATCTAACCTGTGTATACATCGTGAAATCAAAGACCTGTGTCTCTGATTGGTTTGCTAGACGAGCCTCAAAACACATATTGATTTCCAAAAGTCATGGAGAACGATAGGGTTCAGGTGAACTATTGGCCTCGTCTCGCCAACTTGTCTTCCGAGAAGAGGAGGATTTATTAAAAGTGCAACATATCGCAATAACCTCCAAAAGTACAACACGAGAATCACAATATCCATCAACCTACTACCTAGCGAGCCAAGCATGCTCAAACCGCACAGAGATATGCTAATTTGAAGAATTGATCCTTGTACATCGGCAACCCATACATTGGATCATTCTATTAGACCAACATATATAAGGATAAATATGATAATGTCCCATCGCCGCCAATTCACGCACCATATTCAACAACCCGGCCCGTTCCCCGTGACTACCACCCACGCCCCACCGATGTAGATAGGCGCCCCAAGCGGACAGATCGGCAGGAATCCGGGAGGATAGCCAGAGAGAGCAGGTGAATCCGGGGGAAATCAAATACAGGCGCCGCGACATAACGTGTATATCGCGAGGACGTAGGTCCCATGGCTTGAAGCGTGAAGCGTGAAGCTTCGCTGCAGATTGATGGTTGGTAGGTTTGATATATCGCATCCGATACAGAGCTTATTCAGTTCCGAAGAAAAGAATTTCAAGGCATGGACCTCGCCTTGCGCTCCACCTTACAGCGCGAATGGGTCTGTGTGGGTTCCTAGGAGAAGAAGAAAGATGGGGGTAAGCTGGAGAATGAAATGGGTGAGAAATAGGTTAATATGGTATTTTTTTCCCCCGTTGTTGGTGCGTGGGTATCGTCTATTGCGGTCTGATCCCCCCTTTTGCCAGATTTAGGTGAAGATGCGAGCTCGCTTCACCGGGCTGGCGCTCACGCGTAGAGTCCCGGCGCCGCTTGCCATGCCGTTCAAGAGACGGCCCATACCCTCCACGTCCAATTCGCCCCGGCGCAGCATCATCTGATCTGCTTCTGCGTCTACTTCTTGCTTCGTGACTTGGGTTGTTGCGGCGATGTCTTCGGACTCGGTCAACCGGGGAGCGAGAATGACGATCTGGTGCTCGGCGGCCACGAGGATATCGAATTTCTGTGGCTCGGCGGCGCGAGAACGGCGTGTCGGTGCGGGTAGATGACCGATTGCTTGGAAGTTCTCTCCCATCAAGTTAACGACTTGGAATGGGGTCACGCGGCATCGGTTCGACGCGTCAAAGGTGCCGGTTGTCTTCACTGCATTACGCCAGAGAGACAACAGGCTTGGAATCACGGCGCTGTGCTGGCCATGACGTAGCAGAATCGATTCGTCGGGCAACTCGTGGGATACGTTGGTCTGCCAGACGGAGATCTGGCCCCGAAGAGAGGGACTGGCGGCAGTTGTCGATCCCTTGAGAAGGGTATCCTCACGCACCCGCCTCGTAGACGGAGTCATCGGGGCGAATCGAGATCGCTGCTCCGCGTCCGACTGAGTGCTGGTCAAGGGAGCCACGATACGACCACTGACCGCATATATAGTCAAGGATCCTCCGGTCACACCTTGCACATTTGACTGGCGGTGCAGTGGGCCCTTTGTCGTTCCCGGGCCAGCACCCTCGATATCCCAGACCCCCCATTCGCCATCTGCCAGGAGAACCATGATGGCCCGGCCACCCAGGACCCAGTCGGCATCTATGATAGTCTTGCGCCGAGTCAGGCCAGTCGGCCCTTGCTCAAAGCCTGGGTACAAACTGATGAGCCATCGACCCTCGGTGTCGAGAGTTTCGTATTCGTCCTGGGTGTTTGACCCCCGTCGCCCACTCTTGGAAGTGGCTTTCTGAATTGAGAAGCACGAGTAGACTTTCACGCAGCCACTGTGGAACGCCACTAATAGGCTCGAATGACGTACGGAAGGGTACGAAGATGGGTTGAAAGCAATGGTCTGAGCGGGTGATGGCAAAACCCGCCGTTGAGAGACCAGATCCTCTTCTACCAGCCTATAGAGCACCGATCCCCCAGAAAGCTCTTCTGAAAGGGGAACACGATGGATCAAGAGGGCACCTGATCCCTCTGCCGAGTGTGTGGCAACCAAAAGGTCCCACTTTCCAGATCCTTCAACCCGGCTTCGTGACTTTCGACGGTCTTGCTCATCCTCAGACTCCTGGCAACTGAACGTCAAAGAGACACCCCTTGGGATATCTTGGTGAGTCACGCCTCCATTAAGTGTGACCTTTTGAATCTTCCAACTCTTTGAATCCTTTTGAGCCGGATGAGGTGGCACAAGCGGCAAAGTCACAATCCGAGTTGACAGATCTGAGCAAACTGCAGCCACGAAAATTGTGTCCTTCGCGACGGTTGGGAAAGGATCAAGAGGCGAACGCGCCTCTTCAGGAAGCAAGCGGGGAACTGCCACGTCGAGAACACGGCTTCCCAAGGGGATGTCAATCTGACGCAAAATCGGCTCGAACGGAAACGCAGGATCGACTTCGGACTCCTCTGTAACAAAATCATAGGTAGGCTCTTCTTGAGATGTGGGCGCCGCGGCTGCGTCTTCTTCGTCTGAATCGATGATCATTACAGCATCATCGCCATCGTTCTTTGCGCTTTTCGCATGCGTCGAGGGTGCGGTCTCCTTCAATGCCGAAAATTCCCTTCCTCCTCTCCATACAATCTTCAGACCAGTCTCGTAGCCATAAACAATGATAGAGGAGCCGTTAGGTGACCGCAAGGGGTAGGCTTGGGCAGCATGGATGCGATGGGGGAGTCGGTAGCTAAGTATTCATCGCGGTCATATTAGCCTCGAAAAAGGGCACCACAGCGGAGGAAACCTGGGGAGATGCGATACCAAAGTTGTAAGCCATCATCTCTGGGCCGCACGAGCGGCTCAACTGGAAATGAGGGCATCGCGCAAACGGTCTGACGGCGCGTGAGCGATTCCTTCGGGGCACAAGCGCGCCGGATGGCACGACGGAATTAAATGACAAGCTCGATCTCGGTGATTTGGCCTAGGCAGTCCAAAGATCTCAGAGGAATCGCTAGTAATGAAACAGAAGTTGCGCTGGGATAAAGGTGGTGGTGGTGGCTGTTGAGTGGAGGAGAAGTCAAAGTTAAGTTGTTTTGGTCCGCAACAAAAGAAAGTCGGCCGGGTTGATCTCACTCCGCGTTCCTGCGCGTCTTCTCAAACTTCCAACACCGCAACGCCCTCGACATGCCGTACAGGCAGCGCGTCCTAGATTAATCTTGAATTCGAACATGGGTACGGCCCTGTTTCAGCAGCTTGCGCCGTCGGAAGACTATTTATGAAGGCGCATTACGACCACAAGCTCGGCTGCTAAGCTACTATTATTCTCCCCACCATGGCCACCACCCGTTCGCTCGGCTTGCACGAGCCTTCCGCCGTCTCATACCTCGTTACGGAAGGATTCCTACCATCAGACCCCTCGGAAGATCAATACAAATGGACAACGTGTGTGGACGAGAATGGTACGACCGGACCGGTGGATGACGAGCTGGTTTGGACAAAGCATTGTGTGGTATGGTCTCGTGCGGGTGTGGTCAAACGAGTATTTCGATTGGACCCAGAGAAGGAGGATATTCGACATGCGCTATTCACTCAATTTGCCGTAGGGCATGTCAAGCGTTCTGTACATGGAGGGACCGCCGCCACGGCTTCGAATCGGTATCACACGACTGGCACCGCAACAACTGTGCGGACAGGAGGACAAAAAAAGCGAAATGGAGGCAACTTGACACTGCCAAGCTCGGGATCAACATTGAATTTGCATGGCGATGCTCGAGTTGCAATAGTAGCTCCGCAGCTACCCAGCGAGAAGCTGTCTCGAGCTCTAGTTGTGGTCCTCAAATCCCAAGCACACATCTTCTTCGTCACAGGAAACAGCCACACCATTCCCCTGCCATTTGAAGTCGAATCCGTGTTTGCCACTCCTCGCGGACTTCTCTTTCAAAGAAAAATACCCAGCGAGGTCCCAAGACCTCAGAATCTAAATGCGCCTCCCAATTCTTTCATGACCGCTGCCTCGTTATTTGATCCAGGTGCATCGCAGTCTTCTGGAATACCTCGGCCACTTCCTAACAAAGGAAAAAGACTATCATTGAAGCTGCCCTCGCTCCATAGTTCTACATGGGGTCCAGATTCCAATGCCAATTCCGACCTCCCTCGAGTGTTTTCACTCGTGGACCCTCATTCGGAAATGGGCTTGGTAGTAACATCTCCAGCGTCGCGGGGCTTTCAGAGCAGTATCAGCAGTGCCACGAGGCGTCGACCATCGGGTCTGGATGTTCTAGATCCTGCCGATGAGATTGTATACATTTCCCCAAAAGACGAGCTGTCAAGCCCCGGGCAACGAGAGACAAATGGCCCATTGATTCTAGTTCTTACGATGAACACCAACACTGGACTATACACAGTCTGGACTGCAAGATACAGGGAGGATGATACTGATGGGTCGACTCAAGACAAGTCTCGCCGGCACACTGAAGGCACTCGTTCCAAAAGGCGAAGCTCGCATTTCGGAATGAACACTGGTGCAACCACACCAGCTGCTCGTCCACCTGCAGGTCGCGAAAGCTTCGGGCCGTGGACTGAAAACTGGGCCTCTTCTCAGCAACCTGAAAGCAAAGCTGACGCTGAGGATGACTTGGTCTCAAGGGTTGCCCAGGATTTTGGAGACGTCGGTGTGCCTCTCAAAACATCTCGGCGAGTTAGCTCTCTGCTCGCCCGGACGGATCTCGCCACCAGTCAAGATCGTATTATCTTCTCCGACCTTGCCACGGGTAGCCAATCCAATGCCGCGCCTCATCATGGCGGACTTCGACAGTCTATCGGAGCTGCAAGTGCCCGAGGGAGCTTTGGTTTTAACCCCCGTGCCTCTCTCCCTCCCGCAACAGGCTCTGTCTACAGCACTGCGGGAAGTTTCACGGATGCTCCGGTGGATAGGCTACTGGAAGAGCTCAACAGCGGTGGTCTATCTGAAGGATTCGACAACATTGCTCTTCGTGAATCAGCTTCGGGCTTGCCAGAAGAGCTTTTACTCTCCAAAGTAGAAAGTTTCTCTGCTATGTTTTCTGGCAGTTTCCGCGGATCTATCCAGCACGTATCCTCTCGCCATCTGAGAGTCTGCACGCTAGCTTCTTCAGAGTATACCAGTGCTCAGAATGGAAATGTCAGATCTGTGGCAGTCTGTATTGTGGATCAAGACTCACGAAACATGACGATTATGAACCTGAGAGCAGAGCGAGTGGCTACTTCCAAAAGCCGAAAGGTGGCCAAAAAGACCAAAACAGCAGAAAGACGTCCGTTGCTGGTTCATGCAACTGGTGTCCAACACATTCCCAACGTTTGGGATGCATGCAGTGTCACTGATGGTGACATTTCGCGGATTCTGACGTTGACTGTCCTTGAAAATGGCCAGCAAGAATTGTCTCTGCAGACTCTTTGGGGTAGCCCGGCCAAGATCGATATTCCTCGTCCACTGCAGCTTTTTGAGCCCCACGGAGTCTCCGCCAACAAGCTTGTGAACCGCCCGAGAGAAAGCGGCGTCAATCGAGTGATGGCAGATCCCGATCTCGTTTTCAACGCATTTGACCATAGTTGCTCGCGAGGAAAGGTCGACTTGATTGATACGAAAAAGCAGCGCCATAGACTGCAAATTCGCATGGAACCTCGCAATGAACTTGTCAAGAAATGCCTCAAGATCTGCATGTTTGTTCTTCGTGATGCCGAGAAAGCCGGAGATGGGATGCTGGTGGCCTGGTGGGAGGTTATTAAGTGGCTTCAAGGGAGGGAGGATGTCGAACACGATATTGAGTGGACTGCTATGGTCATTATCCTTTTCTCTCTGGCTGTGCCCTTCATTAAACAACCTCCACCTCAGACTCCAGCTAGACGAACGCGCCGAAAGAGGGGTCTTCTGCGGTCGAGCAGCGGCAGCTATATTGACTCGGAAAGCTGGGAAGCCATGCTTGACCTGGAGTCAGGGGCATCCGGAGTTGTCGCGCCGTGGATGAATAGCAGTGCTTGGGGCTGGATTGTTGAACAAGATGCAATCGCAGACCTGACATTGCGGGAAGCATCCCGTGCGCCAAAGAATGAACAGCCAAATGCAAGCCGATCAACTTATCGCCACAATTCTTATCTGCTTCGATGTCTCTCTCTAAGTCGCGAGTTCCTACAGAGCCCCATGGGATCAAGAGCGACGGGTCGTGACGGGTATCTGCCCATTTCCGGAGCATTTACCGAGAACACTAGATGCACAGCATTAGGTACAATCCTCGTCGGCCTCCATCTCCTACGAGAAGAGCAGAAACTTTCCACATCCGACACCGAAGAGTCTCAGCAGCCGTTGGGCCTGCTCGCCCCTATCCTTGCACAGCTGGGTGGTTGGTTAGGCTGGGAGTCCTGGAAATGGAGTGAGGACTCCTACTTTGGGACCGAGATGGCCAGTATGGAACGCTGGCAGTTTGAAGATACCCGTATCACTCAGCTCAATGTCCCTGCTGAACCATTTCCACCTCCATCTATCTTTGCTTACCTCCTGGAAGCTACGCGCCAATCCCCATCGCCATTCCTCACCCTCCTGGATATTGTCAACGCTTCGGACCGGGCCCCTAGGAAGGGCCGAATGTGGAAAGAGTGTTTCAGCATCACGCCCAGATCGCTTGCATTGACCGGCTTCTTAACTGACGTTCGCCGTGTATCGATACCTTTGGAAAAGATTCAACTCCTTCATCGCTGGGGATTAACCAAAAGTATTATCGACACGTTCCCTGAAGGAGTCAGCGCCCCGTTGTACGAGGCCGTGATGCAATGCCAAAATGAGGCATCGACCTCGTGGGATGCCACACTTCTAGAGCTCATTGACCGAGAAGATCTGTACATGTCAATGAACCCAGTGCAGGCGAAATCATTTGCCCCACCCCAACAACCAGTAGTCTCGCATGACGCTCTACGTGACTTTCACCACATCAGCATTTCCGCATTGGAAGCTGATGCCACCAACGCCTTCGAGGCCTCCGCCGAGGCTGATCGCCACTCTGTAACTAAACTTGTCTTCCGCGAGGACAAGCGTTACATAGAGGCAACCCGACTCTTGAATCAGTCAAAAGCACCCGTGGCAGACTGTGTCCCCGAGCCAGAGTGGACAGATTCCGACCTCCTTGAAGCTCAAAAGGAAATTGTGCAGCTTGTATCGTTCCGCACACTGTCCACGCCTGCAGGTCGTGGTATGCTCATGTTCAGTGGCCGCCTGCCGTTACTGACAGAAAAGCTCCCCATCCCGTCCTTCTCTTTGCAGTGCGTGATGAAGCCATCCAATGTCACCGTGAGTGCTGAAAGAAGCGCGTTCACCGAGGAGAAGGTGTGCTGGGCCTTTTTCCACAACGGCGTTTCTACCGGGTTGGCTATCTCCAAGGCATCCAAAGGAATTGACACTTCGTGGATCCTGTTCAACAAGCCCGAGGAGCTTACCAATCGACATGCTGGTTTCTTGCTCGCCCTCGGTCTGAATGGTCACCTCAAGAATTTGGCCAAATGGGTCGCTTTCAAGTATTTGACTCCCAAGCATACCATGACCTCTATTGGTCTTCTGCTGGGTCTTTCTGCCTCCTACTTGGGTACTATGGACACCTTGATCACTCGGCTTCTTTCTGTTCATGTCTCGAGGATGCTACCGATGGGTGCCGCTGAGCTGAACTTGTCATCTATGACTCAAACTGCCGGTATCATGGGAATTGGTTTGCTCTACTGCGGTTCCCAACACCGGCGCATGAGTGAGGTCATGCTGTCAGAGATTGAGTGCACCGAACAGGATGAGCAGTCCGGATCTCAGGAAGACTTGCGAGATGAAGGATACCGCCTGGCTGCAGGATTTGCCCTGGGTATTATCAATCTCGCCAAGGGCAAGGATCTGCGTGGCATGCGGGACATGCACATTGTTGAACGCTTGCTGTCAATCGCCGTGGGCACTAAACACGTCGATCTCGCCCATGTGCTGGATCGGGCCACTGCTGGTGCGACAATTGCGCTGGCTATCATATTCATGAAGACCAACGATCAGGTCCTGGCTCAAAAGATCGATATCCCCGATACTACCGTGCGCTTTGACTATGTCCGCCCAGATCTCTTCCTTCTGCGGACCCTGGCCCGCCACCTCATCATGTGGGATAGCATCAAGCCGGAGATCAAGTGGATCAATGCCAGTCTACCAAAAGTATACCAACGACGGGCCCGTCTCGGAGGCGTGACCCAATTGCGGAGTGAGGACATGCCTTTCTTCAACATCATCGCCGGTCTCTGCTTTGCTTTGGGTCTTCGATTTGCCGGCTCGGGTAACGCTCAAGCCCGCGATCTTCTGCTCTTCTACCTGGACCAGTTCATTCGCATCTCCCGTCTTCCGGTGCTCAACTATGATGCCAGGCTTGCACGTAACTCAGTTAGGAACTGTCAAGATATCGTGTCTTTGTCTGCAGCAGCCGTCATGGCTGGCACCGGTGATCTGGCTTTGTTCCGGCGACTGCGTGCTCTTCATGGAAGAGTCGATGCCGATACACCCTACGGTAGCCACATGGCCGCGCATATGGCCATCGGCATGCTCTTCCTTGGTGGCGGCAGCTATACCCTGGGCACCTCCGACTTGGGTGTGGCGGCACTTCTGTGCGCCTTCTATCCCATCTTCCCTACCACCGTGCTCGACAACAAATGCCATCTCCAAGCCTTCCGTCATCTCTGGGTGCTTGCAGCAGAGCCACGTTGCCTCGTGCCTCGAGACCTCGACACCCGCCGACCCATCTCTATCCCTATCACCATTACTTCGGACCGCGGGTCTTCACGTACCCTCACTGCGCCCTGCCTTCTCCCTGATCCAAGTGAAATAACCCGTATTGAGGTCCGTGGCCCCGATCATTGGCCTCTCGTGCTGGACTTTAGCCAAGACGATACCCTTCGCAATAAGTTCCGCCGGGGCAATCCATCCGTCTACCTGCGCCGCAAGGCTACCTACAGTCCCTCGGGTGCCTCCACTTCTATCTTCGCCTCAACCCTCACCGGTCTCAGTGAAGCCCAGGATATCCTCCCGTCATCTGCAGCCGTAGGCGCAAACCCAGCCAAGGGCCTCCCGCCTTCGACATGGACAAGTCACACTGCGCTACTCTCTGGCTCGCTGGACGCCGCCGCAACACCCTCCCAGTCTCCTTGGGACTGGATATTCGCCCTCCCGTCTCTCCAAGGACTTGATATCCGCGAACGCTCACTCGTACTACCCTCATCTTTCCCCACTCCCTCAACCCGCATCAGCACGCAGCTCATCACTGCGCCGCCATGGCTCCGTACCTCTGCCGTCGACACCCGACTTGCTCTTGCCCATACCGTCCGTAACATCATCCAAGCTGCTCGCGGCCGCGGCGCAGACCCGGACGAAGTACGCGACCGCGTCTGGCAACTTCGTCTTCTGTTTGATTGGCTAGATCGTGTACAGGCTGGTGATGAACGAGAAACATTGGCTGCCGGGCAGCAGCCGCAGAGCCAGAACCAGACGTCTGGATTGTGGTTGAGGAGGGATTTCGTGGAGGAGGCCAAGTGGCAGATTTGGGGGGTGCAGAGTGAGGATACCGGTGAGACGGTGATTGGTGTTCCCTGAGCATAGGGATTGTGGTGGTTATGGGTAGGTAGACTTGGTATGATTTGATGACGGGCGGTGACTCGATTATTCTTCATGTGTTGTATGTAGTCTTGCTTTGCTGTGGTACAAGCGTGTTTTGTATGATATGATATCCATGATAATACATGCAACTTTACCTTTGTAAATAGTCGGTAACAGTAAAGATGAAACCGAGATTGATCGTTTCATAGTATATGAATATTGACTTATATGTCTAAGCTGTCATTGAACGTACTATCGAGGTCGAGTCTGGCCCGGCCTAAGGAGTCCTCGATCTCCTCCTCCACCCTTCTGCCATAACCATACGCTTTCCATCGCCCAAGCAGCTGCACTCGCATGCCGTCCAATTCCCGATGCAACAGGCAGGACCGGACGATCCGTTTCACCCTCCTTCTTCTCGTTACCGTTCTCACTCTCGACCTCCTCCTTCTTTTCGTTATCTCCCTTTCCACGAATGCGGTCCTGTCCGGAAACACCCTCTGCTTCGGCCAACATGCCTCCCACAATCCCCTCCTTCTCAATACAAAACCATAGACCCTCAGATAATTGACCCCCGCGTTCCCCAAATTCTCCCTTTCCCAGTCGGAACAATATCCGACCCATGACCTGCCATGCTATGCACCGCTGAGCTGCGAACGTAGACCGCGACAGGATCGCCAGTTCCGGAATCGTATACCCCGCTGCCTGCGGATCATTGCCATGATGATGCAAACCCAGCGTGGTAGGTAACGCCAGCGAAGTCGAAGGTCCTAGGATCGTTCCGCGCAGCGAGAACCGAATCTCGGAGGGAGACATCGAGACCGCGCTGCTAGCGGGGTGATACGGGGAAATCGAATCGGGGTCTTCGGCGTCACTGGATGGGGGGCGTAGCCAGGAGAGGGCTGCAGGGTCGGTAGTCATTTCGGGGAAGTAGTGGGATTGAAGGTCTGTGAGGAAATCTGGGGATGATGGGTCTAAGACTGGCATGGGTTGTTTTGGGCGGGGGAAGTGGAAGGTTTCAATGACGGAGGGGTCCATGATGGGGGGTTTTTCGGAGGCGGGTAGGAGGTCTTTTGGGAGGTGGGTTGGGGCACGGTCGTCGCTAGCGGACGATTTTGATGGAGTGGAGGGTTTTGGTGAGACTGGTACTCGAGCTGTGGTTGACGCTGGGGGTGGGATGTCAAAGGAGACTGATTTCCGGGGCTTTGATGCGGCTGGTGCTTCCTCTGTCGGCGCCGGTGCCGGTGCCGGTGTGGATGTAGACTCGGCAGTCTCGAGAGTAGTTTTTTCGTCTTCGTCAATCCGAGCTCGTCGCAGGAATCGTTCGAGCAGACCCGGATCCATCGATTCCATCAGCTCTTCCCGCTCCTGCTTAATCTGTGCCTCCGACATGGACGCCAGATGGCGTTTGTTCTCCTCTCCGATAGTGCGCTTGTCATCCTGGACCGTGGGTGGAGCGTTCAATGAAGCAGGAGGCACGCTCGCTGCTTCTTTCTGCTCGGCTCGACGCTCTTTAAAGGAGGGTGTCTTATTGCGACGGCGGTGCGCGGGGAACCCGGTGGAAGAGGCGGACGACGGCGGTGCCGGGGCAGGCGGTGTGGCGGCAGTGGGCTCTCGTTCACGAATCTCACCGATCAGAGAGAAGGGCGATGGAACGGGATCACTTGGGACAGTAATAGTATCATCGTCCAGGTCGACGACGAACCGTTCGCCTCGAAACGCCATGGTTGTTGTGGACGGGTTGGAAGAGAAAAAGATAGGAAGTTATGTCAGCGCGGGGCCTGCGGCTCAAAAGGCTAAAACGGGGTTGCAGAGACTAACCTAATATGGTTAGTGGAAGATGAGCGGGAGGTCTAGTCCGAAAGAGGAAGTGGTTTACTTGCCGAAGTGGATTTGCATATTCTTTGGGCACTCTCGACGGGGGGAGACTATCGACTATTTTGGTAGAAAGATCCAAGTACTGGAGTTGTTATGGAGGTGGACAGTCGGAGGCAGAGAACAATTTGTCATTTGTGAGACTGATAACATGTCAGATTATCCCTGGGGCCATTTGACAAGGCACGTTTTGGCCGGGCCTGGGTCACTGTACTCCGTACCCGGCTGATCTGATCTCTCTCATGATAGAGTCGGAAAGGGGATATGATCCAATTTCAGATACAGTATATATAGCTTAGAATGAGTAGTGAGGATTTTAGGGGCTATAGAGTAGAAAAGGACCCTATCCGGGTTCTCTGGACGAAGCGAGGTATATCTCCGCGGTCTCGGACTAGCAGTAGTAGATTCAAACGCGCCGGGGAATCTCCACTAACGCCAGATCCGCGCGCATCGGAGACATGGGAACTGCATCAGTATCCAGTCTTGCGTAGACGGAGGGACTGGACTGGGACAGGATCGGATGGGCGATAGCTGTGCCCGTACTTTGTATATACTTTGATGGCATCGAATATCAGGAGCTATCTGGTCTGATATCAGATCCAATGATACAATCAGTACATCCTGCAGGACTCTATCAACCCGGAAATCCTCCCAGCAGATACAAATCCAACTTGGAACTCCAACACTAACGCTCTGTTCCTTTTTTCCCCTTTCCTGGCCCTTTTCCTTTTCCTTTTCCCTCCTCAATCCCTTCCTTCTTCCTCTTTTCTCTTTCCTTCTCTCTCTCCTCCTCCTCTCCTCTTCTAATTCCATCCCCCCTCCCTTCATTTTCATCTCCTCCTCTTGTTTTCTCGGCCCGAATCATCTGGCCATCTTAACCGGTTCTATTTTCGTGTTCCTGTCTCCGCATCCGCACCGTTTCATCTCTCCCCATTCGATCGATCCTGAGTTTCTTATTTTCGTGATTTTCCCCCCGACTTTTCTTCTGGTGATACCACCAACTTTGGCAACCTGAACCTGCCAACGCATCCACCCTCCACGCCCTCCAGTGGGAGGACTTCGATGCGTATTCCCTAATTCAAAACTTCATCCACTGGAACTCCATACATCTTGCCTCAATTTCTCATTGACTACTGCCATGTCCACGGAGGAATCAGGCATGCCGAAAGAAGAAGTGCCGCCCGTAGAGGTGGTTGGGTCCAGACGTGCCTCTGCAGCCAGACGGTCGCGTCGCAAGAAGGACGACGATACCACCACTTCTGCCACCAATACCCCCGACACTCGAGCCAAGAAGAAGGAAGACAAGGAGAAGGAAAAAGAAAAAGAAAAACCCACTCGTGCCCCTCGTCGTCCTCGTGAAAAGTCCTCCGCAACGGCTGCTTCACGAAAGAAGCCAAAGCTGGAGCAATCGGGTGACGAGGCCACGGGCCCTGCTGTTGTTGTTGCTGCTGCTGCTGCTGCTGCTGCTGCTACTCCCACGCCAACGCCCACGCCCGCAGCTGCTCCTCCTTCAGCTCCAACGCCTCCTGCGCCGACTCCTCCAGCTCCGGCCGATCCCAGTCCCCCTCCACAGACAGCTCCAACTCCCCCTCAACCGACACCTGCTGCTTCTTACAAGCTCAGCCCGCGCCCCTCTCCCGCGGACCCTCGTTACACTATTACACAAGACTACCCGTCGCGACCACAATCACAACCTCCGCCCCTCCAACCGAGCCAAGCACCCCCAGTGCCCGCACCGGCTCCAACGCCCGCTCCTCCGCGCACCAGTGGTCGCAATTTCGACCCAATTCGCTCGGCGTTCGATAACCCCTCGCCAGCGCCAGCTTATAGTCCTCCGCAGACTGTTTCGCCGCGCGCTAGTTACCGCGCCAGTGCTTCTCCTGCGATTTCCAGCATCATTGACCCTCCGTCCCACACACAACCCACCTATCCTCACCCACCTCGCTCCTCCTCCGCTCATGTCTCGGCCGTTTCCTCCCCGGCGCCGCCTCCTATGGCGCATACACCTACCCACCCTGCCCTAGCTCCCTCGCCCATTCCTGCCTCACCCTCTCACGGAGCTGTTCACACCCCTCAACAGCTGTCGCATACTACCTCTCACTATCCTCTTTATAGCGAGCAGCGTCCGTTTCCTTCGCAGCCACCTCAACTCGAGCTCTCGCCACCAGCCTTGCAACAGCAACCGCCGGCGCAATCGCAATCCAATGTCCCAGCTCAAGGGCCTGTCGAGCCTCCAGCTCAAGCGGCCACCCCCCAGCGGCCGACTCAGCAGCCAGATGCTATGGAAATTGACTCGAAGGAGCCAGCGGCATCAGCCAAGAAAGAAAAGGGCACGGCTACTGCCCCCTCTTCGAAACCAGCCTCTCCCAAACCCGCTCGCGCAGCCAAGGAACCACCTAAGATCCCACAAGGATCAGGGCTGATCACGAATGCGCTCTTTGGTGGAGTCGATGAATCTTCCAAGTCCGACACGCGCACCGTCCCGAATATCATCGTACATGTGCCTTTGCAAAAGGGTAACCAGATCGTCAATTTTGCGCAGCTGGCGGAAGAGCAGTATGGCTTCGCAGCACTGCATCCTCGCTTAGCTGCGCACAAGGAGCGTCTCGCGCGTGTAGCCGCTGCTGGCGCCGCACTCGAGCGTAATGATAAGGGTCTCAAGGGTATCTCGGCCGGCGAGAGCGCGGATGAGGATCTGAGTCTTGATGTCGATCGCGACAGTGATCTAGATGGCGATATTTCTATGGGCGGTGCGGGCACTGGCACCAATGGTGTCCAGTCGGAGGCGAGCGAGGGAAAGAAGAAGCGCCGTAAGAAGGTTGAGGAGTATGATCGCGATGATCCCTTCGTTGACGACAGTGAGATGGCGTGGCAGGAACAGGCTGCCGCTAGTAAAGACGGGTTTTTCGTCTATAGTGGTCCCCTTGTGCCCGAGGGCGAGAAGGTCCAGGTGGAACGGTACGTACTGCAATTCTCCTTGGCCACGTATCGACATCAACATGTATACTAATTTCTCCTCAGTGCGGACGGTACAATCAAACGTGGCCGAGGCCGTGGCAGAGGAACAGGTCGAGCTCGCTCCCTCGCTTCCCACCCCCACGTTCCAATCGCCGCTGCAGTCCCCATCTCTCAGGAGACGGGCCTGCCATTGCGAGGACCTGGCTCACGTGGTGGAACCTCACGCCGCGGCCGAGGTGCAAAGAAAGCCGACGCCTCGGAGAAACACACCGATCGCTCTGGCACATCAGCCTCGACAACCCACGAAGGTCGAGGTGGACGTGGTGGCGGTGCGGCAGCAGGTCGTGGCGGTTCGTCCTCTCGTGGTGGGAAGAGTTCCGTGCTGTCGATGCTGGACATCGCACCCGCTCCCGGGCCACAAGCTCCTACGGGAAATCTTGCGCCAGCACCGGGTCCGAGTCCACTTGCTGGACCAGAACTAGTCATGAAATGAGCGTGCCGAGTGTGCTGGGTCATTCATCATTCGATTCACGTTGTGTCTGTGGTCTGGTTGGGGTTTATATTGTGCCGGGCGTGTGTCTTTTCTATTTTTTTTTCTTTTATTTCTACCTGGTATCTCGCTTCCCTTGCTTCTTCATCAATAATGGCTGGCTGGGCGTCAAGTGTGATCATATCTGCGTTATTGACCCGTGCTTTTCCCGGTACACGATTTGGAATATCACCGTGTCTCTGGGGGTTACTTTATCTTGCTCTATATGTTCTATTCGAGCTCTGTGAGGTGGAAGTCGGAACTATCCAGGTTCAGGACTTGGACTTATGGGGCTGCATTCATTTGCGTTTGTATCTATATGAGAACCTCTCTCATACACGTATTCAATGTCTGATGTCTGATGAGAATCTTTTGGAGTCATGTAGATGGGATTTCCGTTTTTAGCGTGGAAGTAGACTTGCATAGATGGAACCTGGCACAGCCCCTCTACATCTCCCTCTCTGTCGACAGAATGGGTTCGCAGAAGGGGAGCATGAATCGGGGCCTAGATTACTGGCACGACAACCCCGAACTCGGTTGGTTGCCTTTTCCTCGATACGCATGAATCTTAGTGCCCCAGAGAAGGTCGATCGAAATCACTAAGGAATGTATCGTTTCAACTAGTCGTCAAACCCTGGTATGTATCAGGGTATGCCGAGAAGAATCGTTTTACGTCCCAGGGAGACCTGAAATGTTACCTGCAGTCCCCGCTGCCAACTTCCCACGCTCGAAACCTTTTGTCAGTTGAGATGTTTGCTATAGGTTTGATTCAAAGCAAGGATGTCAAGAAGGATATTGATTCTTGGCTATGCTCTTTGCTGGGCTGATAAGTAGGCAAGGCTTAATTGCAGTCTGACTGTACAGGACATCGCGACATGTATCGTGTACTCTGTCAATCAATCCTGCGTGTTGTATCTCTGGCTGCACATTCAAAATATAATATATTAGTTGTTCCATATAGTCATTTCGTGACTTCATGTCAAAGGATATCTATACAAACCGTGATCAAGCTCTCGAGTTTTCACCTGCTTTAGTCATTCTTCAACCTGATTCCTCCTCTATTCTTCCTGCTTGAGCTTCCCTGTTTAATCGTAAAGTATCGAGATAGTACGTAGTAGTCTAAAAGGCTGAGAATCTTGTCATCGTCGTGGTGACAACTTGGTTATCCTAGGCCCAAAGAGGCTACGCTTCGGCCCCCACCAAGTCACACGAAGCAATGCTTGGTGATGATAATGTATGTGACTTGCGACTTGCGACTTGATCAGTGATTCCCTTCGGCACCCACCTTTTCCCTATGGAAAGAAAAGACGCGCGCCATGGCCGAGGAACCGCAGCTTAGTTCCATCCAAGAGCGGATCGCCGCTCTCAAGCGGTCCCAGACAGGCGAAGCCCCTCAGTCACCCCCATTCCTTCGCCCACCCACCGAGCGCAGCAGTTCGGCCAACGGCAGTCTCTCGTATAATGTGAATGGCTCTGCGCTGAATGGCGCATTGATCCAAAGAGCTCCTCGACCGACTCAGACGCCATCTGCACAGCCAGAAGTGAGAGCCAAAAAGACACCGCCGCCTTTGCCGACACGCAGGGCTGATCGCCCGCCGCCTCGTCTACCTACGCGCCCAGATCTTCCAGCACAATCAGAGCCCCCTGAGCGAGCGCAGCCTCCTTCGGACCCCGAAGTTCGCCCTAGGTTACCGCCTCGCCGACCTACGGATCCATCGCGAAAACGATCGCAAGAGTCTGTCGTGTCTGGTTCATCTCACTCGACGTCTGTACCAAGTCTTAGGCACGCCGCTTCGACGACATCTCTGAGTTCCAATGGCACCGGTCGGATCAAAGCCCCAGCCTGGGGTCAAACCGAATTACCCGTGCTGCCTCCCAGGCGACCACAGGAAGACCTCAAGCCACTCCCGCGTTCCGAGTCTAGCTCGAATTCCATGGTTAGCGGGTTGACCTCGAAACTATCAGCCTTGCGGGGGAAGATGCCTAGATCATCTTCGTCTCCGTCCTCGTCAGCCCAATCTAGTTCACCTTCACATCCATCGGCTGGAGATTCGTCACTTAGGCCTCAAATTCCCCCACACCGGCCGCCCGCGGCACAGACAGAACCAATTGAACCAAATGGGGATGCCGAAGAATACAGGCCCAGCCTACCAATTCGAAGGCTCCCCCCTCCTTCAACTGCTGATAGTATGAAAGATGCCCGCCAGGCTGGATTCGGTGGCTCCAAAAAGAGCCCAGGCATTCCACCGAGGCCAGGTAGTACACCAAGTGTGAATGGAGCTTCGAGTGGAGGGCCACCACCAGTACCCCATGGATCACGTCCAAGTGGCTATTCGCCCCCTGACACTTCGGGACGAGGCAAGGTGTCCAATATTGACAAGTGAGTGATATGCCCCTTGGATGGAGCAAGAAGTTGCCGTATCGATTCTATATGTTCTAACGCTAACGTAACTGCACAGTCCTCAAACCTTCAAAGTGCTCATATCCTCCGGTCCAGTCCTCGTTGATTTCTATGCAACCTACTGCGGACCTTGCAAGCAAGTGGCCCCTAAGATCAGTGCTCTCGCCGAGAACTATCAAAATGTCCGGTTCCTCCAGGTCGATATCGAGGTCATGAAAACAGTCGCTCGGCAATATCAAGTAACGGCGATGCCTACTTTCGTTCTGATGCAGGACGGTGAGGAGGATAAGCGCGTTATCGGCGGAAATGTGTGGGAGCTTGAGCAGTGGCTTAAGACAACACCCGGTGCCCCTGCTGCACCTACACACGGGTTGGTGTGCAATGCTGACAAGTGAGCAAACTTTCCTTTTCCATATATGGAGCGAAGCGAACGGGTTCCGGTTCTCGAACATGTCCCCCGAGATTTTCTAACTTTTCACAAACAGCCCTAACGTCTTCGCGACTCTCATCGCTTCCGGTTCTGTCCTCGTTGACTTCTATGCGACTTATTGCGGCCCTTGCAAGGAGGTTGCCCCTAAGATCGGTGCCCTGAGCGAGAAGTACCAGAACGTTCGGTTCCTTCAGGTTGATATAGATTCAGCCAAGGCGACTGCGATGGAATACCAAATTACCTCCATGCCCACCTTCATCCTAATGAGGGATGGCAGGGAAGACAAGCGAATCATTGGTGCAAATGTCTGGGAACTGGAGCAGTGGCTTCGGTCGCAGCCTGCATGAATACTCTAGAATAAACTCTCACATGATGCTGCACGACAAACTTCGTCACCCGCCCTAACAAGGGTGACTGTGGAAGATATTCTACCCATTGCTCCCAGGAGCACCGGAAGAGAGCAGGTAGCAGTGCGGTTACCGTCGGAGGATCTCAATTCACCGGAGAGGCAGAATGAGGTCGAATGATCAGTCTGAGCGTTGGAGCGATCAGGTTGCTCAGGGCGGCGAGGTGACTTCTTGACTCCATTCTGTGCTCCGGGAGCCGATCCCGCATTTCCCGGGGCCGGTAGTTTTACCGTCACCAAGATTACATACGCACTAGCGATATTATAACGAAGATTTATGTAATAGGGGAGCTTCAACCGGCGTCTGAAGTGGCCATTCCGGCAGCCGATTTACCATGAATAAGCGTTAAAAGTGTAGTTTCATCAAAAGACTTGAATTTATGTACGCCGGTTCATGCAGAAACATATCTGAGCAAGAGAAGAAAAGGAACAGATGAAGTAGAGTAGGAGGGAAAAGGAAGAAAGAAATGTGAGTAGAAAGGGGCACGGTCGTGGTTGTCGTTGCCATGAATCGAGTCAAATCATCGGAAGAAAGGGAGAAAAGAGAAAGGTGATGAAGTTAAAAAAGAGTCCACACAGGCTGGGGTAATAGAAGTGAACAAAGGCAATGAAATGGGAAGAAAAAAGAATGCTGTAAAACCCAAAAGTAGAGGAATTGGAAAGGTACTCAGCCTGCGCTGTCGTTCCTTCCCGTACAGAGGTGCCAGGGATAGGAAAGTTGAGGCCAAATAGGCTACCCAGGAACAATAGATATGAGGAGAACCAGGCGATGGTCTGGATCAAAATAGATAGTATCTGGTCTTGAGACAAACCAAAAGGGGAATAACCAAAGAGATAAACGGGCGCAAAAAATTCATGTGCATATGCAAACCACATTCTGTTCGGATCATCGCCATAATTTTCATTTCAAGAGGATGGCATATCGGCATCAAGTCTTCACTATGACTCTCATCTCTCACGATGATGGCATTTGACCGGGATAGCCGCGCCAACTTCCACCGGCCGAGACAGGTGGAGGGGGAGGGGCATGTGAGGGCGGAGGAGCAGCTCGAATAGGCAGCGTGGTTGAAGTCAAATTAGTGCGAGACTTGGCATTGTGTGAGCTTACAGAGCGCGGGCTCATAAAAGGTCGAGATGGAGCCTCGACGGCGGAAACGGGGTCACCGAGATGACGCATTGGGCGACGGCCGTACCGGGCTTCATCGTCCTTGGTCTCAAGAGAGAGATGTTCCAGAGACTGAATCGTGGGGGATTGTGTGGAGCGAGAGTGAGGGTTGGAGTAGTAGTGGTGTTGTTGAGCCTGTGCCTGCGGGGCGTAGTGACGGTTGGGAGTTGGGTAGTCGTTGGCAATGTTCAAGGGAATTTCACCCGAGGAGGGATGATAAGGCGATTGTGCTTGCGGGTAAGATTGCAATTGAGGAGTGCGCGAGGATTTGCTGATGGGCGCGGGCTTGGGGGCAGGCGGAGGAGGTGCGGCCAAGGGTACCGGTGATGAGGAATTTGATATGGAATTGGTGGTCTCCTTGAGCGACTTGGGAGCTGGGGGTGCTAGGTAGGACTTGCGATTATGCCGCTCCATCATGCTGATGGCCCAATCCTGCAGGTCCACTGGGGTGCGCTTGGCTGCTTGCAAGAAGGCATCCTTGTCCTGTATGGGGTGAGAAAAAGTTGTTAGCTCGAGATGTCTTATAGTGTTTTTGGGGACATTTTGCACGTACGTAAAGCTCCCGTGGTGTTGGTCGTTCCTCAGGCTTCTTCAGAAGACACTTGCCAACAAAGTCATGCAGAATGGGCGGGAAAGCGTCACTCTTAGGCAGCTTAGGAGCGGACTCGTGAACGATCTGCTGGAGTAGATCCAAAATACCCATAGGACCGGCACTGGCCCGGTCTCCGGCAGCGGAGTCGGAAGTGTCGAATGGGAAACGTCCAACGGCCAACTCCATCACCGTCAAACCCACACTCCACACATCCGAGCGGACCGTATAGGCACCTCCCTGAATTCGCTCGGGGGCCATGTAGGTGGAGGTACCGACAAAGGTATCGGCGATAGAATTGTTAACCGTCTCACTTGCAACACCGAAATCGCAAAGCTTGATTTGGCCACGCGAGTTGACCACAACGTTAGATGGTTTGATGTCGCGATGCATAATGCGATGGGTTTCATATAGGTAAACAAGACCAGCAAGCACTGACTCGGTGATCTTACCAAGAACATCCACTCGAATGGGACCGAAATCCTTGGAGATACGATCAAGAGATCTAATCAAGTGCATATCACGTTAGTCACTCAAGTTGCTTCCTCTTTTCCTTTCATTCATCGTCTCCGACCTACCCGCAATCCATATATTCCATGCACAGGACAATGTCTCCGGCCTCATTCTGGAAGGCACCGTAGAAGGTCACAATATGTGGCGAGTTACATTCATGTCCTACTCGAAGTTCTCGTAGAATCTGTTTCCGCACGTTCTCTTTGGCGTCGACTCGGATGACCTGAGAAGGTGAGATTAGTTCAGGGCTTCAGCGTACGTCCCATAGGCAGGAGGGTTATCTGCCCACCTTTCGAGCCATCACAACTTTGGTCGACGCGTGCATCACTTTCGAGACGGTACCGCCATTACCAGCGCCGAGCTCCTTCAGCGTCACCAAGTCCTCACTCCGCAGATCCAACCGGAATTCCAACCCAATCTCTAGGGTATCTGTGCGGTTGCTGTCGACATTTCCAATGGCACCTGGGACCTGGGCGTCGCCATCGGAAGGGTTTGAAGTCGCTTTGGGGGCTGCATTGAGGGCAAGGCCTTTGACGTTCTTTCGTTTCAACGTCCGAGCCTTGAACTGATCCGCCATGACGCTGAGAAGGGGGGAGATGGATTTGCCGCTGGTTTGAGAGATCTGGAACACGAGGGAGTTCGAACGAGAGTATCAAAATATGGAGAAAAGGGGTAAGAAGCGACAAAGCAGCCGACAAGAGGCAAGACCAGGGCCAGGCGAGCACGCTGATGGGAGAAGAAAGAAGCGCGAAGCTAAGCGGCGGGGAACCCGATATCACCTTGCGATGTGTGCTTGGCGGCGCTGATTGGGCCTTACGGGCGCATCGACTGCACCAACAACACCGAAGGATGCCGGTCGGCGGCAAAAGGTGAGATATCACGGGGAGGGAGAGGATGGAGAGCGGTTGGGCGTCGAAGTTCAGGGGAAGTCGAATTATTGAGAGACGCCAAAAAAGATGTTGATGGTCCTGTGTCTCTACTCTTAGTGAAACACAGGTGTTGCTGCTGCTCCACTAGTCTTTACCCCATAGGACTCTGAAGGGAAAATTCCTCGCAGAATACTTTGTATTCATTTGGACATTGTTAGATATCTTATATAGTCAGACAAGTATATCATGCTTTTGTCTTTATCAATCCCTGCTAGTTGACCAGTTCCTATGGGAAAGTTCAGTTAACTAATGTGAGTTGACCAGTTGAACGCTGAGGATGCCTGTTCCTTGAGGCCATGGCTGATGCCCATCACGTGCTCGGTGTTCACCAGCCACAATGTCCTCTCCTTTGAGACTAGCTTTTTATCAGCCACATAAGGCAGCTCCCACTGGCCAATCACCGCCACCGCGTCCTCCCTCGCCGACGGTCGTGGTCCGGTCCTTTCTTCTCTTGCTCGACTCTCTGTTGCCCCCCAACTCAACCTGTATTCTATCTCCCTGAGTCGGGTACTGCTGGGTGCTAGATCGGCTGCTCATCGCAAATCTCCCCCTTTCCTCTCCGCAGGCCCACTATTCTACTCTCCGCCGAGCAGAAGGACCTTTCCGATCAGCCACGATGAGTCTCCGCGACCTGGTCGAGGGTGAGGCCCTGCTAGACGATGAGGAGAATGACGAGGAGGTCTCCGGAGACTATGACGAGGATCGCCGCGACGGACCGAGCAATGAGCGCCACTATGATGACTCGAGCGAAGAGGACGAAGACGAAGACGACGATGAAGACGCCGCGCGCGCCGTAAGTATTGCTTGCGTCTCTTTCGCCGATAATTCTCAGCGCAACTGACCCGTCATGAACATTCATAGGTCCGCGAAGGCTTTATCGTTGACGAAGATGAAGAGATCGAGGAGCGCACCAAGCGCAGGTCCGAGAAGAAACGGCCACGTGCTCGCGAAGAGGAACATCTCGATGAGGAAGATCTGGAATTGATTGGCGAGCATGTCCCTGGTCTGAGCCGGGGCACAACGTCTGATGTACGATATCTCAAAGCTTCCACTTCCATTGGGCTCTACTCTGTCATCAATCGGTAGATGACGGCCGGGCGGGAAACCCAACACGATGGTGGATATCTTTGCTAACAATGATTCGGCGCAAACAGCAATCCAAATTCAAACGCCTAAAGCGAGGCCGAGATCGCGACCACCGCGGACCGTCCCAAGGCATCGACGACATGTTCAATTCCGACGACGAGGAGGAAGCGGCGCCGCAGTATAGCCGGCCCAGCCACCGCGGTGGACGGAGACACGATGAGATGGACGATTTCATTGAGGAAGACACATTCTCCGACGAGGAGGCCCAACGTGAACGTGATGACCTCGAAGTTGCGGCCCCCGTCCGAGCAACCGTGCCAGGTCTAGGAGCGACGGAGGCAGCGGGTCTAGATGAGAATGCGGTTGAAGATCTGCGCGCTGCCTTTGGTGATGGCGAGGACTACAGATTTGCTTTGGATATTGAAGAGCAGGAAGATGAAGAGAAGCAAGACGAGGATCGCCATCTCGACCTGAAGGACATCTTCGAGCCGTCCCAGTTGGCGGAGAAGATGTTGACGGAAGACGACAACCAGATCCGTCTTCGGGATGAGCCCGAACGCCACCAGATTGCTCGTGAGCCGTATCGCCATGTCACTTTGACGGAGGACCAATTCCGCGAGGAGGCCTTGTGGATTTCTCAACTCATGTTGCTAAAGAAGCGCATCGAGCCCGAGTTACGTGAGCCATTCCAACGGTCAGTGGCCAAGATGCTCGAGTTTTTGATCACAGACGATTACGAAGTTCCTTTCATCTTCCAGCATCGCAAGGACTACATGATTCACGCGGTCAAGGAGCCGCTCAATGGGGCCAATCCCGACGACGAATCTGCCCAGTACAACATCCGCGCCGAGAAACTGCTGAACATGACCGATCTGTGGGATATTTTTGACTACGACCTCAAGTTCCGTGCGCTGGTCGACAAGCGCAACACTATTCAAAAGTCTTACGACAGTTTGCAAAGTCTTGCCAATGTCAATGACGCCATTGTGGACGATCTATTGGTTGCAGCCACTTCTATGGAGGAGCTTCAGGATGTGCAGGACTACATCCATTTCCAATATGCTTCTCAGCTTCGCGACCTGTCCGCAATTAATGGCGATGCCAATGGAGAAACCCAGCGACGCAAGGCCAGCAGCAAGACTTTCTTCGAAAGAGTCCGAAATGGAAATGCATACAACCTTGTTCGCGCTTTCGGCCTCACTGCTGATGCCTTCGCACAGAATGCCTCGAAGGAGGGCCGCCGACAATATACCGAGGATCCCAGTGAGCGACCAGAGGAGTTGGCTGATCAATTCGTGGATACGGACTTCTCCAACTCTGATCAGGTTCTCAAGGCCGCCAAGTCTATGTTTGCCGAGGAACTCGTGGTGAGCCCCAAAATGCGCAAGGTCATCCGGCAGGCATACTACATGAATGGCGTCGTCGACTGCTTCCGCACTGAAAAGGGTTTGCGCCGAATTGACGAGCAACACCCATACTACGAATTTAAGTACTTGCGGAACCAGCAGCTCAGCGACATTGCGCGTCGCCCTGAAATGTTCCTGCGGATGCTCAAGGCCGAAGAAGAAAACCTGGTGGAAGTGAAGGTTCGCTTTGAGAATTTCGACCAGTTCAAGCAGCGCATGTATGCCGACATTGAGTCCGATAACTACTCGGAAGTTGCGGATGCATGGAACCGTCTCCGTCGGGATGTGCTGGATCTGGCGCTCGGCAAACTGGAGCGTTTGATCAATCGCAGCGTGAAGGAGAACATTCGACAAGAGTGTGAGAACCATGTAGCGAAGGAGTGCCGTGAGGCGTTCTCGCAACGGTTGGACCAGGCTCCTTACAAGCCAAAGGGTATGGTTCTGGGCACAGTACCACGGGTTCTCACCTTGTCTATTGGAACTGGCGTTATGGGCCGAGACCCCATCCACTGGGCCTACATTGAGGAAGATGGCCGTGTTCTCGAGAACGGCAAATTTTCGGATCTATCGGTGGGAGATCAGACCCGCAGCATTAAGGATGGCGCGGATGTACGTGCTCTCTTGGACTTGATCGACCGCCGCAAGCCCGATGTTCTCGGTGTCTCCGGTATGACACCGGAGACTCGGCGCCTTTATAAGATTCTGACCGAGTTCGTCGATCTAAAAGACGTTCGAGGAGCGCCTTACACCGATGATCATGACGAAGAAATAAGCGACCGCCTCGAGGTCGTCATCGTCAATGATGAGGTTGCTCGGTTGTACCACAACAGCCCTCGAGCCCAGAATGACAACCCCGGCTTTGGGCCGTTGACCCATTACTGTGTGGCGCTAGGCCGGTATCTACAGAGCCCTCTCAAGGAATATGCCTCATTGGGCCGCGATATTGTCTCTATTCAATTTAAGCCTGGTCAGCAGCTGGTGTCTCAGGAGCTTCTAATCAAGCAGCTCGAGACGGCTCTGGTCGATATGGTCAACTTGGTCGGTGTAGATCTGAACGACGCGGTCAATGACCCCTTGACTGCGAATCTCGTTCCATACGTTTGTGGTCTCGGCGAGCGAAAGGCGGCTCACCTGCTGAAGATTGTCAACATGAATGGGGGCGTTGTGAACAACCGTCAGGAGCTGTTGGGTTTCAACGTACAGTACCCGGCCATGTCTCCTCAAGTATGGAGCAACTGTGCCAGCTTCCTCTTCATTGACTTCGAGAGTGTTGATTCGGATGCGGACCCGCTGGACAACACCCGTGTGCATCCTGAAGATTACGATATCGCTCGCAAAATGGCTGCCGATGCTCTTGAGCTAGATGAGGAAGATATCAAGGCTGAGACGGACGAGAACGGTGCTGGTGCCATTGTGCGCAAACTGTTCCGTGAGGATCAACAAGACCGTGTCAACGATCTCATCCTGGAAGAGTATGCCGAGCAATTGGAGAAGAACCTCAACCAGCGCAAACGTGCCACTCTCGAAACGATCCGCGCAGAATTGCAACAGCCCTACGAGGAGCTCCGCAAACAATTTGTTTTCCTGAGTACCGATGATGTTTTCACTATGCTGACCGGTGAGACACCCGAGTCTCTCAAGGCCGGTATGGTGGTCCCCATTGCACTCAAGCGAGTGTTCGAGGACCATATTGATGCGAAGCTGGACTGTGGAATCGATGCGCTGGTCGCAGAGACCGAACTTGGGTTGCCCTACGACCTTCCCGTGCGCAATGTCTACACGCCTCACCAGACGGTTCCCGCCAAGATCATCTTCCTGAACCGCAAGAGTTTCACTTGCAATGTTTCTCTGCGTGAGGACCAGGTCACCAATCCCGTTCGCAACGTCCCTGATCATGGCTTTGGTGATTGGGATGAGGCGCAAGAGCGCAAGGACCGCGATTCCATGCAAGCGAAGGAGCAGCAGAGTGGACAGGCCATGCGTGTGATCAAGCATCCGCTCTTCAAGCCCTTCAACTCCACCCAGGCGGAGGAGTACTTGGGCTCTCGCAGCCGTGGTGATGTCGTTATCCGTCCCTCGTCTCGTGGCCCTGATCATCTGGCTGTCACTTGGAAGGTGGCGCAAGGCGTGTACCAGCATATCGACGTTCTCGAGCTGGATAAGGAAAACGAGTTCTCGGTGGGTCGTGTGTTGCGCGTTGGCGGCAAGTACAGCTACAGTGATCTCGACGACCTCATTGTCAACCACGTCAAGGCGATGGCGAAGAAGGTCGACGAGATGGTGCTGAATGAGAAGTACAAGGAGGTCAGCAAGGCCGAGACCGGTGAGTATTTTTTTTTATTTCCATCCCCGCTTCTAGCGCGTCGGAGAATACTTCATACTAACTGCCCTTCCCAGACCAATGGCTCGAGACTTATACCAAGGCCAACCCTCGTCGCTCGGCTTATGCTTTCTGTATCAACCCCAAATACCCCGGCTACTTCTTCCTTTGTTTCAAGGCGGGTGAGCACTCGCGTCTCCAGAATTGGCCCGTCAAGGTGATCCCCCAGGGTTACGAACTGCAGAAGAACCCATACCCGGACATGCAAGCCCTGTGCAATGGGTTCAAGTTGATGTTCAGCAACATGCAACGCCGGAGATAAACGAGGAAGACGACCGCCTGTACAGTGTACCATTTTCAATCTCGATTTTTTTTTTTCTTTTTTCGATGCCCTTTCTGTCAGCTTTGGGAGTGGGTTTTTGAGGGGGAAAAAATTAGGAAAAAGCGCTTCAAGGAAAGAAACAAAACATCAGATCGGCATATTAGCACTTTTTCTACTTGGGTTCGATCTTCTTGGATGTCTCTGCCTCTCCCCCACGGAACCCTTCTGTCACCCTTTTATCTGTTCTGTCTCGTTCTCTGCCTTTAATCTGATACACCTTCTGGTCGTTTGGGGGGAGGGGAGCATTGGGCATTTCTGTAACCATTAGGAAGTTTTACCAAATACGAGCATTTTTGCACGGGATATCTAATTAGTATAGAGTAGAGTGAATGTATCATGTCAATGGGTATAACTAGCGGAATACCAGTAACTTCAACAATATTCGGTTGGTCATCACTGGTTTGTAAGGGACTAGCGCGGGGCATCCCATGGATCCCTACCGGGGAAGCATGAGCAACGACGATCGTTGTAGTCAGAAACTAGACAATGGACTACAGAGTACATGTGAACCAACGATTGGCCTCGGGACTGGCCCATCTGGACCGTTCCGACGAGCCCGCTGAATTGGCTGATGTCCGAATGTTTTCATCTTTTCCCATACACTTGTGTCTATTTAAGTCGGCTAGCATATTATATTTGTTTTGGCATTTCGGAGTCCTGTGTCTTTCCCTGTTCTGTCCCGCCCCTTCATTGTTCCACTTGCTTCCCCCTCAGCCGCAACTCCACCGGACCGCGACGGCTGTTCCTCGCGGAGCTCTTCTTGACACCCTTTCTCTTTATCGGCGCAATCATGGCGGCAATGGAGGAGCTGGAGATCCATAGCAAGGTAGGAAGCAATCACAATCGGTCCGCCTCGGACGTGGGCGCAAGCTAATCCCAATCGTTCTCTTGCCAACAGTCGTACTTCGTACGATGGATCAACGTCAGCGCCAACCATACCATCTCCTGGAGTATTCAACCGCACAAGAAGTCGGTGAACTTTGGAATCTTCAAGCACCCCGGCCAGTCCAGTCTGAGCTCTCATCTGCCCGCCTCCGATTCCCAAAGCACCGACTCGACCGAGAACCTCCCCGCTACGGCCGCCAACGCGGGCGCCTCCCGGAACCAACAGTCCACCGTCATTGAGAAGCTGACAGCCATTGGTCTCAAGTCGATCAAGTGGATTGGCAAGTGTGAGGCGGATCGGATCTCCCAGGGTACTTACGATGTACCGGCCAGCGAGGCGGGTAATTACGCGCTCGTTTTCGACAATACCTTTTCCAAACAGATCTCCAAGACCGTCACCCTCGTGCTCTTGACCTACCCGACCGGTCTGCAACCGCATGGATCTGCGCCACCGTCCATTGCACGCTCTCACGGGGGTGGCTCGTCCGATTCCCTACCCCAGCCGCGATCGCGCCGCCGCGGAAATAGCAAATCCACGCTGAGCGCGCAAGTGTCGGACTCGTCGGTGCACACGGGTTTGCTGCAGAAGCGTCGGCGGAAGAGACACCAAGGCTGGGCTCGTCGATTCTTCTCGTTGGATTTTACCTCGTCAACCCTGTCGTATTATCATGACCCGAACTCGTCTGCACTACGCGGTGCTATTCCGCTCTCGCTGGCGGCGGTGGCTACTAACGAAAAATCGCGCGAGATTTCTATCGACTCGGGGACAGAGATCTGGCATCTCCGTGCGAGCAACGATCAAGACTTTGCGTCTTGGAAAAGCGCGTTGGAAAAGGCTTCGTCGAAGGACGCGCCGAGCCAGAAGGAACTATCCGTTATTGGACGCCCACCACAGCTTCGCCTGACTACGTCGGGACACCCCTCGCCGGAGGAGGACGCTGAGTGGGCGCACGTTGAGAGATTGGTTAGCAAGATCTCTGGTTCACGAGACGCAGTGCGCCGTCTGGCCAGGGATACTGATCCCAAGTATATTGTATCTCCTTCTCCGTCTCCCATGGAGCCACGAGGTCGCGGCCGTTCGCCGAGTCCCGGCCCTACTGGGCAAGATGGACTCGGTGCAGACTCCAAGCGGCCGTTCTGGAAGCGCAAGACCAGCGGGAACTCGCAGACTGGCGCGAAACGGCCGCCCGGTCCAGAGCAGAGCAATTCCAGCTCGTCCCAGCTAGTTGTGCCTAAACCAGACGGCACTGGCAGACCTGCAAGTATTGCTAGTCATGCGGATGGCATGGATGGGATTCATGATAATTTGATGGCTGTGCTGCGCGATCTGGATCACGCGGTGTCGGAGTTCTCAACGCTGGTTGCTGAGAGCAAACAGCGCCGACACCCGCCACGGTCTGCTATCATTCCTCGGAAGAGTATGGAGTCGGATATCTCGCAGGAATTCTTTGATGCTCCGGATGGAGGTGCGGCATCACCGCTCTTGACTATCCAGGACAGCGACGAAGAGGCCAGGGACGCCGCCGAGAACGTAGAAGATGACGCTCCTTCAGACAGCGAGGATGAGACCGAGGCTACGACTCCGCACGACAGCAGTAGCTCGTCTCCCTTGTTCCCTGCTCGTCCGAAATCTCTCGCTCCGTTACCTCTTGACAAGGTTCGTCGCCGTCAGAACATCACGGCACCGACGGTCCTGCCTCCCAGTTTGATCGGGTTCCTACGCAAGAACGTCGGCAAGGATCTGTCTACGATATCCATGCCAGTCTCTGCAAATGAGCCTCTGTCTTTGCTCCAGCGAGCGGCAGAGATCATGGAATACTCTTCACTCCTCGATCAGGCAGCCCAAGTCTCCGACCCCGTCGAACGACTCATGTATGTGACCGCCTTCGCCCTCTCCTCGCTATCGAGCAACCGCGTCCGCGAGCGTTCCATCCGCAAACCCTTCAATCCCATGCTCGGTGAAACCTACGAGCTTATCCGCGAAGACCAAGGCTTCCGCTTCATCGCAGAAAAGGTCTCCCATCGACCCGTTCAACTTGCCTTTCAAGCCGACAGCCGTGAATGGAGTCTAGCCCAGTCCCCGATGCCCAGCCAGAAATTCTGGGGTAAATCCGCCGAAATCACGACAGAGGGACGCGTGCGTATCACTCTACACGCCACCGGCGAACGCTTCAGCTGGACGCCCGCAACCTCGTTCCTACGCAACATCATCGCCGGCGAGAAATACGTCGAGCCCGTCGGTGAACTAGCCGTTGCCAATGAAACAACCGGCCACCGCTCTATCTCCACCTTTAAAGCCGGCGGCATGTTCTCTGGCCGCAGCGAAGAAGTCACTACCCGCGCCGTCGACTCGTATAATCAGCCCATCTCCCTGGGTCTAGCGGGTACATGGCCCGCCTCTCTAAGTCTCACCCGCGATGGCAGTCCCTCCGGCAAACCCATCTGGACGGCGGGTCCCTTGGTGCCCAGTGCACCCAAGCACTACGGTCTTACAGCGTTTGCTGCAGCCCTGAACGAAATTACATCTATTGAAGAGGGCCGTCTACCAGTAACAGACTCCCGGTTGCGGCCTGACCAGCGCGCTTTGGAAGAAGGTGACCTCGATCGTGCGGAGGAAGTCAAAGTCCAACTTGAAGAGGGTCAACGTGCGCGTAGACGGGAAATGGAAGCTGCCGGTGAGGATTGGACACCCCGGTGGTTTACGAAGGTGAGTGAGGATTCGGATGGGGAGGTTGTGTGGCGGTTGAAGGGTGGGAAGGATGGGTATTGGGATGAGCGGGCCAAGGGTAGTTGGAATGGTGTTGTGCCTGTTTTTGAGAGTTGATTGGACAGGACTGGGATGTTGTATATGATTTTGTTTTGGGTGTTATTCCCCCCATTCTTGGATCTTGGATATTTGGTGTCGGTGAGGAAGAGCGGGCTGTGGGAGAAGGGATTGTACAGAAACATGGATTCTGGATTCCTCTTGGACCCTTCCTTGGTGAGGGTGAGGGTGTTTAGCCCTGACCGGTTCTATGCTAGAGCATCTAGAGTATAGTGATGGTTCTATAGAATATATCTCTCCACTTGATCATTGACTTCTGCTGGTCGGTATCTTTAATTGGCATTTGTAAATAGACTTCTATTCGACCCGGAAGAAGCTGTGGTTGAATCAGCACCCTATAATGGTCACCATGTGGACTGTGAATGGTACCCACGTAGACAGACATCCATCTTCATCTTCATAAACCTATAAAGATACAGTTCAATCCGATCTACCTTGTATTCTCTCGGTCGGCACTTAACTAGCGTTCAATCACGGGCCACAGTTCACAGTTAAACTGACACTGCTGTATGTCAATGATTTTTTATCCCGATCATCAATGGCGTCACAGGCTCTAACTTTGCATGAAATAGTGCTTAACAAAAATCAAACCAAGCTCCTTGCAAGATTCGAACTTGCGTTTTGGGAAGACTAATGGAAAGGAAAATATCAAAATCCCACGTGATAACCAACTACACGAAAGGAGCGACATAGAAGACATACAGAGGTGTATAGCTTTAGCTTCATGGGCTAGGTACGGGTAGCGAGCTAGGTATGCAAGAAAAGAACCTTCAACTCGGTCACTACATAACGCTAGTAATGGACATTGGACAAAGTTAAGATAAAAATAAAACATTCAGATGGACAGATTGTTTTGTTTTCATTTTCCTCGCCAAGAAGAACTATCTTAAAACAAAAAGACAAAAAGAAATGGTATGAGCTCCATCCAGGGTTCGAACCTGGGACTTGAGAAGATCGATGCTATCGGAGATAGGATGTAATCAAAATCTCACGTGCTAGACCACTACACTAATAGAGCTGCTTGATTGGATGTCTGGTGAACTGAATGGGCTGTATACTACGTTTTTTGTGGGCTTGGTGAGTAGCGCCTGCGCAGACTCCGGATCCTTGTACTTCTGTGAAGTACCAGAGACGAGCATATACTATTTCATGTGATACTGCCCTCAGGGCAATATCACAGGTGGTTTTCTATTTAGCTTAGTTATTGATTGTTGTGTTCATTCGGCGTTAAAATAAGGGCACGTGTAGAGGACTTGCGGTCGAAATATATTCTCACCACGAGGCAAGCCGCCCTTACAGATCAGCAAGTAACATCCCGAGGTGTGCGAGTCTCCTCCTCTCCGTCATGGAACCAGGTGGAGAGTAAGCACGGTAGCAATATTGATATTTCCTTCCTTTATAATCAAATCAAAATCTAACGCTTGAACTTTTATTGGCAGAGAACAATATTGTCTCCATTATGTTCATTGAATCCCATACTTGCGTTCGGCATAAACAAGAGCTCCCCCACTTCGGCCTCACCATCACAAAAAAGAACAGAAATAACCACAGGAGTTCAATCGAACGAGTCATTGGAGTGGGGCCACTGTATGTAACACTGTATTGAATTCCTCCGCGCAGAGTAGAGATAGACATGCTGTAGACCAGTTGCTGTATCAAAAAAAAAAGTCAAACGAACAGACATCCTCTCCCGCGAGACACACAATTGAAAAGCAGATCCTCATTCCATATCCGCATCATCATCAGAATTAGCAGCCCAGCGCTTGGAATTGCGCATTCTTGCCGCTCTCCTGGCCGTCTGACGATCCCCCGACCCGCTAGCCTCGGCCATTGTACGCATCATGACCGGCAAATTCTCCAGCACAGCCCTATTGCCCTGGAAATAATGCTCGGCAAAGCCACCTTGCAAGATCCGACGTAGTGACTGCAATCGCACCCACTTCCACCACCGATCAATACTCATGACTCCGTGGCGACCAATTTTGACCGTCAACGTACTGCCGTAGTGCCGGTTGGTGTCCTGGTCGATGGCCATGTTATACCGCGGCCCGCGACGGGGATTCTCGACAGTGGTCAAGATCGAGGCGAAGTTTCCATGCAGCGACTTCTTGTCTCGTTTGCTGATGCGCTTCGAGTGAATGGTCGCTAGACTGGCAAGCTGGCGCTCTAGCTCGGGGGTGTTGTGGTAGGCGTTGTACCGCTTGATCAGCTTGGGCCCGCTAGTAAGATGGATGTTGGCATGTTCATCGCCCTCGTCTTCTTCCTCGCTATCCTCGTCGTCATCATCCTCTTGAGGTGTGTAACTCTTTTCATACAGGAGAGCGATGTTCTCACCCGCGGCGATCTGAACACCCGAGTCGCCACTGTCGAGCTGGTCGATGAAGATTTGGACTGCTTCTTCACTCTCGCTTTCAAAGTCATCGACTTCCGAGAGGAGGAAACCCCAGACATGCAGGGCAGCGGTAACGCTGGTTGGGTCGTCAGCCGCGTCGATGGACTGTCCGTCCGAAGCGATGATATCCAAAAGGAAAGTCATCTGCTCGAGGATGCCTTCCTCGCCTGCGCCGCCGAAATTCGTACATGCGCCGAGACAGTAAATTGCAGCCGCTTTGACCGCATTCGAAGTCGAATCGCGGATGGAGCGGGTGAGCAGTGGCTCGGCATTCTCGTAGATCTTATCATCACACGAGGTAATTACCAGCAGCTCAATCGCACGAAGAGCCAAGGTTGTCTCGCGAGTGCTAGACTCGCTGCGAACGCTTCGGGCGAATGCACTCAGCAGATCGGTGATGTGCGGGCGAGTCTCTTCCTCGGCATAGTGATACTTGGTCAGACGGCAGAATGCAGCGAGAGCTTCTTCGCGGCCTTGAACGCTGCTTCGCTTGCGATCAAGAATCTCCGCCATGCGATCGGCCAGCTCCTGGGGCCAATCGACATTATCTGTCTCGGGATTCTCGTCGTCGAGAGAGCCGATACTATAGTTTGGAAGTGGTTAGTGCTAGTCCGATCAGAACAAAAATACCTGGTGACATCATCCCGCCACGGGTGGGACCATGAGGGATGAACTTGAAATGCACAAAAAATGAAAAAGCGAGACATAAATGAAGCAAACGGATGATGGAAGAGACCTCAGACTCACCTCAGAGCTGTATCATCGGAGAGAAAGCCTGAGTCCTCATCATCGGACCCCTGGCGACTCGCATTTTGCGAGGACTGGCGAGAGGTTTGCTTGGAGCTTGCGCGGGAGTTGATGCGGGAGGCTTCTCGAGAAGCAGCCTTCCGCGAGACGGTCTTGCCGCTCTCGAAAATTTGGCGACGAAGATCGGGCATGGTGATCAAAAGAGATGAGAGGTTGGTAGCGTTAAGGTTCGAGAGGTTGAGAGAGAGGTAGAAGTTTGAGAGAGGGTTTGAGCCTCGAGCTCGAGAGTGGTGAAAGTGAGAAAGTAAGAGAGGATGAAATCAGGTGGCGAATTTATCCTATTGGAATGGAGCTCTGACGAAAGGAAATCTGGTGATGGAGAGAATAAGATTGTACATCGTCTTGCAGGAGAAACATGGGGTGGTCTCGAGGGATGAGAGAGGATGAAAGAGGAAAAGAAAAGAACGAAAGCGAGAGGAAAGATCAAAGGGCCCAAGGCAGGCCTGGCAGAGAGCACGACTGCCAATAATGGACAAGATGATTAATGGATGTAGAGTTACAAGGCTTACCATACTTTACTTTACTTGATACAGATGTACAGCGACTGTAATCAGTATAGTCCGTACCAGAAGTAGCAAAGTAGCTTTACTTAGTCCCGGCAGAAACCGCGGTTTCACCAGTTGTCCCGTGTATTCCACCGTATTGACCGCCAGTGCGGGGATCACAAGCCTAAACTATAAAATGCCTCGTTCCAGAGAATCGATTACCCTATGATACTTACAATGATCTGCATGGGATATGGCAAGCATTATCTGATCGGGAGATTTTAAGGTGGATGGTTCATGAATTAGTCGTAATCAACCGAGTCTTTGTTTTTCTTGAGGGGTATCACCGACACCGTCGTAATCATACAATCGACGAGCAAAGCATTGAATCACTTAAAGGCCAGCGCCTACCTGACCTGTTTAACGACCAACTCCAAAATGCGCCGTGATTTGGCACCCTCCAAGTATTCCCGTCCCTCATGCCGCGTTTCCTCATCTTCATCATCATCATCGCCCACCTCTAGATCCACCTGCAAACTAGCCTCGTAGGCATCCATGACCGTCTCCTCGTCCACGCGGACACCTCCTTGTACTAGGACCTGGATACACTGTGCCAGCCGAGCAATTTCCCGGCGAGTCTGTGGTGGAATCTCATCATTCTGGCTGGAGTAAATCGATGTGGAAACCATCTCTTCCATGCGCGTGATAGATACGTTCTCCGTAGCCGACGAGGCCGCAGCTGCACCATCGGCATGCTTCGAAATCCAAATGTATCCGTTCACTCCAAGAATGACGTCCACGTCACCACCCCCATTATGTGTGTTAACCGTCCACACCTGTCGCCGTGATCGCACAACACCACCCATTCCACTGCCAGCTCCAGGCCGCAAGGACCCAGCACCCACACCGCCCTTCGTGGTAGAGCTAGATGCCCCGCTACCACCGGTTCCCGTCACGGCGAGGAAGACACCATTACGCAGCTTGCCATACTTCAGCGAGCGAGTGTGAAGCGAAGCCGAGCCGTCTTGGTGCACGCTCTGTACTTCTGCAACGACCAGGTCGCCCTCGCTGAAGAAGGTCCGGATCTGCAGCTCGTCGGAGCTCGTTCGTCGGCGAAGGATTCCACCGGGCAAGTTGATGGCGGAGAGAGGGAGTTGGGCGAGGAGTGGAGCGGCGACATCCACCTTCCAGCGCTTAGACTGGACTTCGACAATGCGGCCCACGACGAGATCACCAATCTCGGGTGTGTAGCGGGCGCGTAGGGGGTGGACGGAGAGGAGCTTGTTGGTTTTCTGAACTGTACCGGCGACAGTGGCGATAATAGAGGTTGAGAGGGGGGTCATGTATGTGCCGTGGCCTCTGCGAATGGGTTAGCTCTGTTGTAGAAACTCCAGTATCTAGATTGACGTGGCCAAGATCTAGCTTAGAAGGGGCGATCGCAAGCTGCAAAGCGGCCAAAAATTCCCTGCGCTGGGTTTGGACTACTAACCTCATCCATTGCGGATCGTCTGTAACCACTTCACCTGGTGTGACGACGCCTGTCGACACGGTCTCATTTCCTATGCGGGCCCGCTTCTGTGCCCGCACGCCGCTCATTTCAACGTCTTCGTCTGAGTCGACGGACATGGAATCGTCTGACTCTTCATGGCGAGGAACGATATCCTCCACAACAGGAGGAAGAATTATGATTCCCATCGTGTAGGGTTGTGTGTCGAATGGAGGGAAAATGTGCCTCGGAGAAGATTTGAAGGTGCTGGATATGGTCCGAGACTTTCTTGTATTCACGTGACCGCCCCATACCCACTATGAGGCCCAAGTCTATGCTAAGGGTAGGAGTTGAACTTCGAATTGAATTGGACTCTTGACTTAAGAAAAGATAGAAGAAATAATATGGAAACAGCGGCGATGTGACAGAGAAGATAGGGAGTATAGCTATTCGGAACTTCATTGACTTCATTCAATATTTCTAGTACCTGCAGTCTAGGGGAGGTACACATGATTGATGATAGCAGCAGACGTTTCCCTCGATGGCCAATCCTTCGTCGTGTATAGCTTATTAATTGCTATGACATTTTGCTGGTACTACTTCTATAGCAGTTTAGATAGGGATTGGACTATTTCCTTCCACTATTGAATGTTCACAATTGAGATTTGAGGATTCCGTTGTCCAAGACACTCCTCCGTTGAGATTCATATCGTATACCCAGTCCAGTAAAAAGGCCAATGCAAAAGCCATATTAATACATCAAAATCGAGAATGGTAGAAAAAGAGAGATATCACCATCAGCTGATGATGTTTTCTTATGCCTTCTTGGCACTGCGACTGGCCGCAGTAGGCTCATCCTTCTTTTTCTTTGAACGGTTGTTGCCGCCTTTGGGCCTGTACCCGGCGTCCTCATCACGCTTGCGCTTGTTCTTCGGCGTAGGCTCCAATTCCATACCATCCTCATCCAAGACCTCCTCTTCCTTGCGCTGCGCAGGGGCCCGCTTCGACGAGCGCGCGTTAGACGGGCGTGACGTAGACTTCTCCGATGCGGCCTCGTGCTCCTGCAGGGCCTGCGGTTGATTGCGCCGCAGCCAGTTATATACTGACGCGGGGTTCCGCAGCACGGCCTCTCGCTCTCGCTCGGCAAATGTGGGTGGGTCGGGGATACGCGCGAGTTGCGATATAGCCGTCTCATCTCCCAGTTTGGCATCCAGTGCGAGGTAGTACTCCGTCTCACGCTCGGGCGTGAGATAACCGAGTGTGCGTCTGACGCCATTGGATCCTTGTTCTTGTTCTGGAGCACTGGCTGCGGTGTGGGGGATTTGAATCAATTTACGGTACTGCATGGCTGGAGCAAACTCTTTGTTCCGCTTCACGCTCTCTTCCACCTGTCGATAGGCACTGGCAGAGAGGTTGCCGTTGGCTAATTCAGATTTGGCCTCGTTTAATGCGGTTCGGGCGAGACTCGCGTCAGTGATCAGGGGCGCGATCTCTTGCTCGGCGGGTGGAAGGAAAGCGCCGTCGTCGGGCATGGTCAAGTCGTATCGAATGGATGGGGACACATGGATACTGTTATTGAATTCGAGGAGGATTTCGAGCAATTGGCTGCAGCTGCATTAGCACTCGACTCAAATGAATCCAACACAGCGACACGAGGTGCAGCTTACTCGTTCTGTTCTTGAATACGCTTGGAGAGGTCTTCGATGCGGAGCTCTTCGCGGATCAAAGCCTCACTTTCCAGCTCTTGCTTGGTGAATTTCATCTTCAGCTTGGCGTATTTTTTCCTAGAGGTCACGGTTTAGCCAGAGGTTTCAGCCATCAAAGGTGTCAGAACGTCGTACTTGAAGGAGTGCACCGACTGCTTAGCAGGGGTAGCTTCAGGGGCATCGGGCAAAGTCTCCAAGGCGTGCTTGGAATCGGTCGTTTCGTCTGCCATGGTGAGAAATGGATCGTAGATGGCAAGATGGAAGCTGTCGGGAGGAGACGAGATAGCTAGGGTTTTGAGGGAAAGGAAGGGCCGGGACAAGTTGCAGGGCGCGCGCCAAGCACGGCTGTCAGGCTTGCGCGACTAGTGTCTCCCGGCCGCCGTAAAAAATTGATTAGCGGCGACCCGGAGATCTCTGTAAAAGTCTCGAGTCCGCAATTTCTTTTTCTTGGTGAACCGTTCAAAATTCTTGACGAATTCTCTGACAAATTTCCACTGGTGTGAATTTTGCCGAGAAAAGAAAAGCCACCATGACTGAAGTCGTTGACCCCTGCCAGAAGAAGCGCAAGCTTCAAGACGGCCCCGAACTCGAGATCGATATTTCCGCGCCGGAGCCGCCATCGAAAAAGGCCCTCCGAAAGGCAAAGAAGGAAAAGAAACCTGACGGGGAGGCCAAGGATACCGACAAACCTAAGACTGAGAAGACCGAATCTAAAGACGCAGCCGACTCGGAAGCCAAGCGCTCTCAGTATGGAGTCTGGATCGGAAATTTGTCCTTCAACACCACCAAGGACGACCTGCGCCAATTCTTCATCGATAACTGCTCTTTCACCAATGATGCGATTACACGAGTGCACATGCCCAAGGGCGCCGAGAAATTCGGGCGTTTTCAGAACAAGGGCTTTGCCTACGTCGACTTTTCCACCGAGAAGGCTCTGGAAGAGGCAATTGGCCTGAGCGAGCAATTGCTTACCGGTCGCCGCGTGCTGATCAAAAATGCGAACAGCTTCGAAGGTCGGCCCGAAAAGACCGCGGAGCAGGCTAACGCTGCCACGGCCAAGCCCGGCCATCCTCCCTCCAAGCGCATCTTCGTGGGCAACCTCAGCTTTGACGTTACCAAAGAGTCTCTCGAGGAGAACTTCGCCCGATGTGGAACAGTGACCAACGTGCATATGGCGACCTTCCAGGACACAGGAAAATGCAAGGGGTATGCTTGGGTGGAGTTTGAAGAAATTTCGTCCGCGGAAGCAGCGGTGAGAGGCTTCGTGATGGAGAAGGAGGAAGATGAAGAGGAAGAGGAAGAGGAGTCCAGCGACAGCTCCGACTCGGATGAAGAGAGCAAGAAGCCAAAGAAGAAGTCCAAGAAGAAGTCGAAGAAGCCTTACCAGCGCCGAATTTGGGTGAATCAGCTTCTGGGCCGCCGGATGAGAATGGAGTTTGCCGAGGATGCGACAACGCGATACAAGAAGCGCTTTGGCAAGGATGGCGAAGGAAGGAAGAATGACCAACCAGCAATCACCGAGGAGGGTGCGGAGCGATCTGAGCAGCAGCCCCGAGTTCGCAAGCAAAGGCGGGCATCCATTGACGAGTCACGATACTCCAAGGAGACTGTGCAACGACTCAGTGGTGCCATCGTTGAAGCCCAGGGCAAGAAGGTCACCTTTGACTAAATGTGTGACTAGCATTTCTTGCCCTTTCCGCTGGACCATCACATTTTACGACTTGGGCTCGTTAAAAATGGTTTCATTATGTATTTGTTATGCTGGTTCATTGAAGTTCTTCTCCAGGCGTCTTAAGAGATGTGTTTAGAGACTCTATAAAGCAACGATTTGCTATGCGGTGTACAGTTCTGTTGACGTGGCATCGATAATTATCACGGTTTCATTAGGGCTACTTATTGGGCTCACAGATACCCTTCGCTAAAAAAAAAGAACTTGTGTTTTATTGTGTGTATGTATGAAGTTGTTCATCCTTCTATGCGCCTTAAAGCGTTATCAATCAAGGGTGTCGCATGCGCTAGTAAAATCACGATCCACAGCCGCATTTGTTTCGAAAACGGGTACATCAACCTGCATGAGCCGTATTGTAGGTTCCGGTCATACTTCAAGAAACAAAAAGGCACGATTGGGCTCACTCTGAGATCGTTCTGTAGAAACAAAGCAGCTTTGTTTTGTTTAAGGAAAATAAGATGAAATGTGGAGATCTAGACTGGTCGGGCAGAAGCCCCTCACCGCCCTAAGCTAGCCTGTTTGGGGGTGACGTCTCTTTGCGATGTCATGCCCTTTCGTGGAATATCTGCTTCGCATCTCGTCCGGCCTGCATCTCCTTCTCTCATCCCCTTGCTCTTTCCCTTCTCTCTACTTCATCATTCTGGTGAGGCATCTTTTGAATCCATATCCTTCAATCCCTTCCCTGGGATCCCGTCATTTGATTATCACCTTGCTGCTACACCCACTACACTTCGCCGCACTGCCTTCTTGCTCATCCCTTCCTGGTTGGCTGGCCCTGACGCCAACTCAGCACCAGCAGGGCTGATCTTCGACCTCTTCAAGGCCTCCCCACTCAAATCAAGACCATGGCTCCCGCTCGACGCCACATCGGGGCAAGCCGTAGGAAGAGACGGGAAGATGAGGGCGAGGACGAGGGTTCACAGGTTGGGGAGCTGGACGATGACTCCTTGAGTGAGGGCTCGGTCGGCAGTCACCAGGAAGATGAAGATGCCGATGGAGAAGTTAGCGAAAGCGACGGAGAAGCTTCGACCTCGCTGGACACGGACAAGCTCAACGGGCGAAAGACCAACGGCCGGAACCCGAATCAGCCAGAACAACGCAGCTCTACAACCCCCAGAAAGCCCGGACTGAAGATGACTGTCTCCGACACGGAAGCGATGCTGAACGGACTGAAACTCTCTGATGATGGTGATGAGATCAGCTTCGACCAGATGGAGGAGCAGCGAGACCTTCAGACGGGCCGGACACCGTCTGCTCCGCCCACGGAACCGAAACGGGAGACGCTCGCCTCGAGGAAGCGCCGAGAGCATGAGAAATACGTGAAGGAGCGGGATCAGAACCCGGCCTTTGTGCCCACTCGAGGAAGTTTCTTCTTACATGACAAGCGGACGTCCGAGGCCGGATCGAATAGCCACCGTCCCTTCAACAAGGGAAAGTCTAGGCCCGTCGGTCTCATCGTGGATGGAAATTCTCGCAAGTACGGGCTAACCAGCTTCATTCATGATCTGAGTGGAAACTCTGCTGATATGTTTTTTTATTAGAAATTCTACCTCCAAGCCTGACGCAAGCGAAGGACAGTGGACGCATGACCTTCATGAGACAGTGGCCGGAGAGAACCCGGCACCCAAGCAGGTGTCCACCACAGCTGGATCATATCCATCGATTCAGAATGTCCCGACCGCCCCTCGATCTGACCCTCCAAATCGTTCGTTTTCCAGCACTACCTTAATCGGCAATGTACCCGTGGTTGTCTTCCTGCCGGGCATGACACAGCCCAAGTCATTCCCCGCAGTGCCCAAAAAGCAGCATACTCGTCTTCCCCAACATCGTCCTCCCTTGCGCCGCGACAAACCGGTGCGAATCTCGCTTCCTGGTCAGCCTCCTCGTTACATATTCCCTTCTATTGAGCGTTCCTTCATCTTTATTCCCCGTGCATTGCGACCGAACCAACAAGGCTACCGAGGCCGGGGCCGAGGCGGTGGTTTCTATCCTGGCCGACGACCCAGCTATTACAATACCTACACTCCTAGCGTTCTCAGTGTCAGCAGACGGTCCTCGCTTGGAATGTCGGTCTCCCAAGATGGCTATCCCTCACCGGCAGGTTCGGTGTACTCGCGGCCGGCCATGGTTGTTCCCGATGTTAGCAAGCCCGTCGTCCGCCTGCCTCCTCCGCCGCGTCCTCCCGTTGGCATGCCCCCGACCGGGCCTGGCGCTGGAATGCCCCCGGGAGCTATGCCACCTATGCAATTCCCACACTTTGCCTATCGTGAAAGTCGCCCGGCACCTATCCCGATGCACCAACCTCGTCCCCAAAAGGCTGTCTCCGTGGCCGATATCGAGAGCCCGGCCAGCTTCCCATTTAACCCGCCTCAGCCTCAGCAAGAACAACCATTCCACCACCAGGTTCCCATGCCCGTTGCGGGGCCTGGTCAAGAGCAGATGGTGCAGGGTCCACCGAGCCAGCCTTCAGGAACTCCGCTTTCGCAAATTCCCGAGCGGGCAATCCACGCCCAGCCGTTCCAACCATACGGCTACCAACCGCCGGGCTATTACCCAGGCTACCCTCCTGGTGCCATGTATTATCCCGGATCTGGCCCTGAGTATGCCCCGTACAATGGACCGATGGGACCTGGCGTTTCGATGCCCAATTTCCCTCCAAGTCAACAACCTATGCCGTACGTTGTTCCCTCCTCCTCGTCGGGAGAGCAGCCTTCGCAGCCTGGTACCGTTGCTCATGAATCGGGTGGTACGGTGTACTTCTACGATGCCAACCAGATGTACCCCGGCGCCAATTACGGGGGTCAAGGTCCGGGGCAGGGGCCTGGGGGAGTGGTGGGGATGGGAGGCATGATGACGCCTCCTGGTACTACGTATTTCTATCCACAACCGCCTGGAACTGGGGGAGGCATGTACTATGGACCCCAGTGATTGGACTGATCTCACTGATCTGGACTGGTTTCAGTTTGCTGATGGATGACACGTCTTTTCGTTTTCTTTCCAAGTCCTTTTTTTTTTTTTTTTCTTGCGCTCTGTTCCTTCTTGTTTCTCCCTTCCTTTTTTTTATTTTCTTGGTGCCTCCTCCGTCTTCTGTTCCCCTTAATCTTTTCTTCTTTCCTTTTTCATTCTTCATTTTTTGGTTTCTTCTTTCTGATATCTTTCTCTTTTCTTTGCCCGTCCTGTTAGACTTGGATTATTCGGATGCATTTGAGCGTTCTTCCCCCTCCCTCATTTTTCATGTCCCCCCGCAAAACCCGCCCAGCTCCTCCTTCCCCTCCCTCATCTCTCTTTGACCACTTTGCATGATCTAGGCCCCTGTTGCATGACCTCATTTCTTTCGCTCCCGATGACACGGGGCTACGAAATACCAACAAAAAGTATCCTACACCTTGCAGTTCACTCGTGTGCCTGTCCAAAGTAATCTTGTAATTCTACGATCAGGTAGTCCAAATAGTGACAGTATATACATACATAGGTGGGGGGAGGATACTTCTGTACAGTAAACATATTTGAGGTACTGTACTTCCGGAGCACGTACACTGCGTGACTGCTTACCCCAATGAATCAGTGGAGAATCCCCCTCGCGTGTCGTCGTTACGGACAGTCCGAATCTCGTACCAGACCAGTAAAAGCGTGACCCCCGCCAGACTGGCCTTACCTAATCTTACACCGCCCACTGGCAGCTGACCTTCCCCCCATCCGTTCCAACCGCTTCTTCTGCCTGCTCGGATCCGTCAGTTTCCCTCGACCGTGCTCGTCTTCCTTTCTTAATATTCCTGACTCTTCGATTTTCTTCATCCTCTTTTCATCATCCCTCTGCTTCCATCCCCCTCTGCCGTACCGTGCATCCCCCTTTCCCCCCCACGTATCGAAACGTTGCTTGCCTCGGCTTTCTTAAAGATTCCTTATCTCCCTCCTAGTGCCCTGTACTTCTCACCTCCACATCCTCTTCCCTCATCACCTGCGTCATGGCTACTCCAGCCCTCCCATCACACCCAGGTCCAGATCATCAAGTCTCTGTCAAGGTTCTTTACAACGACAGCAACCGCCGCTTCAAATTACCTCTGAAAGACCTCCAGGCTCAGGTCCTGCCCCAGAAGGTAAGCTATCTTGTCTCCACTCAAGCTCCGACCGGACCCCCAGTCCGCTCCCCGTCCCCTTATCTCCATGATCCGCTCGGTGATCGCCGTGATCGATCACTCGATGGTGATTGATACGCCCACTTGGCCTGTATCGATACAATATCGCCTCCAACACTAAAAATTTAGAGCCGTTTGTGGTTGCTTGTTGACTAATTGATGCCTTGGGTTTAGCTCCGCTTGCTTCTCGGCGTTCCGGCAAATGTCAACGTCATCTTCGAACGCTATTCCGACAGCGCCGGTAACTACATTCGCCTAGACGAAGCCAACCCCTCCGTTTACAAACAACTCTACCGTGCTGCCAAAGCAAAGTCCAAGCTTCGTATTAAGGCTACCGTGGTCGAGACCTCGGTGTCGGCACCTTCAGACTTCTCCATCCCGGATCAGTCGTCCTCTCAAAGCCCTCCCCGATACAGTTACCTTGAGACCGTTCTCAGCTCCCCCATCCCCATGGCTCATCCCGAGTCCCTCCCGACCACCTCTGAGCTGGCAACTACCTCGCCCGAGGTTGATGCCTTCCCGCCTCAGTCGATGCAGACATCCGTTCAACCTCCTCGCTACCGGGACTTTGAGGCTGAAGACAAGATCCGTTTCCCAGTTATCTCTCACAGCTCCCCCACCGGCATGTTCTGCATTGACTGCAACAACTGTGGTCGATCTATTGCCAACGAGCACTATCACTGCAGTATCTGCGAATATGGTGACTACGACCTATGCCCACGATGCATCGAGGTCGGTGCGTCGTGCCGTAGCGATGGCCACTGGCTGATTAAGCGGATGGTGGTGAACGGTGTCGTGACCAACAGCACTACCGAGACGATTCCCCCTCGTCAGGCTCAGGCCCAAACTGAGGTCAAGGCCCAGGATACCCCCGAGCTTACCGAACAGGTTACTCCCGTGCAGGAGGAGGAAGAGATCAAGCCTCAGATCGCAGTGTGCCCGGCTTACGAGCCCCCCACCTCTGAACAGGTTCAGGAGATGGAGGCCTCCCTCAACGCTGGCTTTACGACCCAGTCTGATGTCGCTGTTCATGGCGAGGAGCAGCCTATGTGCAATGGATGCTGCCGTGGTATGTTATAATCTATCTTTCATTCCCTAATACCAAGGACAGCGCTAACGTACAACAATAGAGGTCGACGAGAGCAACCTTGTGCGTTGCAATGACTGCGAGGATTATGATCTCTGCCTTCGTTGTCTGCTGCGCAACAAGCATGGCCACCACCCTGCCCACACCTTCTCCCTTGGCTCGGACCGCAACTTCTGCTTGAAGAACCTCATCATGTCTCGCTGCCTGCCCGGCCGTCAGTTCAAGCACGCTGCTATTTGTGATGGATGTGAGAAGGTAAGATGCTCGCTTGCCCATGAGATTTTACTCCATTCTGTCAGAGCACATGCTGACTACTTCCAGCGCATTATCGGTACCCGCCACAAGTGCCTGTCCTGCCCCGACTGGGACTACTGTACCAGCTGCGTCCAGAAGGCCCACCAAAACCACCCTGGCCACCGCTTCGCCCCTATTTACGAAGCTATTGGTGAGCAGTCTCGCGACTCCGAGGTCCACTTTGGTATATTCTGTGATGGCCCGCTGTGCAAGGATAAGCCTGCTCAGAGCTACATCACTGGAGTTCGATACAAGTGTGCCGTCTGTGACGACGTTGATTTCTGTGCGAGCTGCGAGGCCCATCCCAACCACCAGCACAACCGCACCCACCCCCTGGTCAAGTTTAAGACTCCCGTCCGCACTGTCACGGTCAGCACTATTACCGAGGATGAGACAGTCTCTGGTCGACTTTCTCTGGGTGACCAGCCTCGTAGTACTTTTGACTCACCCTCCGCTGCTCTGCATGAGAATGCCGAGGAGAAGAAGCCCGTTGTCGTGGAGCAGGCTCCCGTAGAGGTGGAAGCCACCAAGCCCGAGCCAAATTGGCCTGCTCCTCACTCCCCCGTCCCTGCCGTTGAGGCACCCGAGGCTACCAACGAACAAGATTCGGATAACTACAAGGCTTACTTTGTTCGCGATGCTATCGCTGATGGTACTAAGCTGCCTCCCAACACGATTTTCCGCCAGACCTGGACTCTCTTCAACCCTGGCCCTCTTGCCTGGCCAGCTGGTAGTGACGTCCGCTTCGTCGGTGGAGACACCATGTTCAATGTTGACACTAGCCACCCGTCGAGCGTCGAGTCTATCCGCTGTGCGATGGAGAGCAACAAGCTCACTGCTCCTCTGGGCCCCGGACAGAGCGCCGACTTCAGCGTGACCCTTCGGACCCCTCGCCGTGAGGGCACTGCGATCTCGTACTGGCGTCTGAAGCTCCCCAACGGTATCCCAATTGGTCACCGATTGTGGTGCGATATTCAGGTGCAAGGGGTTGTGTCCCCTGCCCCCTCGATCGCCGAGCCGACCACGACCGTCGTCGAGGAGCTGACCGAGGCCGAGTCTTCTTCTGGCAGCACTGAACCTTCCGGTAGCGGCATGATCTTCCCTAAGCTCGAGAAGGAATCTCCCGAGTCTAGTCTTCACGAAGCCGTGTCTTCCCCCCGCCAGGCCCCGACTCTGTCGACCGCTTCGGAGGGAGATATCTTGGAGGATGTGGAGAGTCTTGCTTTGGACGAGGCCTCTACCGACGCTGGCTTCCTGACCGATGAAGAGTATGATGTCCTGGATGCTAGTGACCAGGAGTTCTTGGAGGCCAAGCAATCTATTCACTAGATTACTCGCCTCGCCCACGATTTGTACCACAGGCTTTGCCTGGCTTTATGACACGATATGGAATTGGGAATTTGCAAGCTGGAAGGTTTCGGAACTGCTCTCTTTTTTCTTTTTTTTCTTATTTCTTATTCTCAAACCCCAAACATACAAGCTTGGCCACTTCTGCCATGGTCAGCATTGATAATGACTTTACTATCTTTTCTTTGATCTTTGGAACTTGACCTTTCGATTCTTACTCTTTTTTTTTTCATTTTTGGATCGCCCGGCTCCTAACCATCTAGCTCTGCTTCGGGGGTTTCGACTTGACCAGTTCACGTGTCTTGACGCTGCTCCAGCTCCAGCTGCCATCAGAAAAGATCATCTCCACTGCACCACGCCTTGCTTCAGATAGTCAAATGCATTACTTGCTCTTTTCAACCTACTCTGACTTGTAATCAGCCAACACGTTAGTCTTGACCCAACCCGTCCACGTCCGTGGGGGTGTATCGGACCCGCTCCGACCCCACAGTTTCCCCGCGTAGCCAGCGATGACGAAGTTGCCGTAGCACGGGAAGAAGACCGAGGCAACTCTCTCTGGCTCGACTCCTCACCATCGCGTTAAGGCGTACCGTCAGCGGGAAGTGCAAATTTAAAGTCAAGGTCCCCGCTTAGCCCGAAGCATCTTCTGCCCCTTTTCCTTCCTTTGCTGCATCACTATTCACTACTTGCTGACCGTCCCAGCCAATCCCGTATTCGATTCTTTCTCCCTCATCCAGGCTACGGCATCACCCACGCCGCAATGGGACTCTTGAGTTCGGCCTTCTTAGGCCTATTTGCCATTCTGGTGGCCGTCCTGGGCCCAGCGGTGATCCATATGATCAGAATCTGCGGGCCTTTCCAAACCCCCCATCCGACGGTACTGGGCGCAGGCCAGGGTCCTATCGTCATTGAGGATACCGTTCATTGCGAAGACTTGCACTATCATCGCCCAGCCAATTTGCTGTTCACGGCATGCGAAGACGTGAAAGATATCCGCTTCGGCTGGTTCCCCGGTCTGGGCCATTTGGATGCTAAAGCCGTGGGCCAGGGATCTATCCACGTCGTCGATCCAAAGGTGAGAGGTACCTTGAGTATCTTCTTCAAGATGCCAAGGTCCAGCCTATACAAGAGCAATATACTGACAAAGCTCTATCCATCAATGCCAGACCTTCAAATCTACTCGGTTGGCCTTTGAAAACTTCAATGGACCCTTCGTTACTCATGGCATCGACGTCATTGAAGATCCCCAAGACTCGGCTGCAGTCTACATCTTCGCCATCAATCACCTACCCAACCCAGAGTTCACCCCTGACTCCCCCGACATCTCCGCAGCACGTTCTCAGATTGAGCTGTTCCACCACATCCTACACTCAACGACAGTAGAACACGTGCGCTCTATCCAACACCCACTCATCCAAACACCCAACGACATCTACGCCGCCAGCCCGACCTCCTTCTACGTAACAAACGACCACTTCTACCGCTCCGGCTTTTTGCGACTCGTCGAAGATATCTGGCCCTCCGCAAAATGGTCCGACATCGTCCACGTCCATCTCGAACAACTCCACAACGTCCCCTCCGCCACGGCATCACTGACAGCCTCGATCGCCCACGAGGGACTGTGGAATAACAACGGTCTCGGCCACGCCCGCTCCGATTCCGAGGTCGTCATTTCCAGCGCGGTAGGCGGGGAGTTGTACCTTGCGACGCGTGAGAATAACAACACGTTGACCGTGCGCGATACGATCGTGTTCGACACGGTCACTGATAACCCCAGTTATTACGTGGATCCGTACAAGAGTGATCTCCACGATGCGAGCGGGTTCGTTGTTGCGGGTATTTCGCAGAGCTTTTACCTCCCGCAGACGGGACGGGATCCGAATGCTTTAGATCCCGTTCAGGTCTGGTATGCGAAGGAGGAGAAGGGTGGATCTGGGACACGGGGAAAGGGGAATGGGTGGGAGAAGAGGTTGTTGTTTGAGGATGATGGGCGGAGAATTCGGACTGCTAGTTCGGCGGTTTTGGTTCCTGTTGACAGCGCAGAGGGTAAGGAGGGGATGAAGAAGGCTTGGTTGTTTGTGACCGGGTTCTTGTCGGAGAGTATGATTGCCGTGTTGGTTGAGTTGTAGATTGGGATGGGTTGTTTCTGTCACCCCGCTTATAACTCAACTCAAGTACGGCGGAGTATAGGGGGGAGAGGGCCACGACCCTGAATTTCTTCAAAGACCATTTAGCGCTTTTCTTCCGCCCTAAGTATATTTTCATACGTACTATATTACAAGGAGTTCAACGTAGAGAGAATTTAGAAAACCGTCTAGGAGACCGTCTAGAAACTACTTAGGAATCTATCTAGGAAACTATATAGGAGATTATATCTATAAATCGCCATCTTATTAGATTATTTTAAGGACTAGTTCGATGGTATTATCGCTAAGGAGTCGATTGTAATATTTATCAAATTGGTAGGATTATGTAGGAAGTTTGGGCCGAAAGAGGATTTAGTATTAGTTTAGAGAGAAATTATTGGGGAATTAGAGAGAATTTAATATCAGATTACGGATTGTATCTCTCCAGTAATCTCATCAGTCACTTAATCCGAATCAATTTCAATCGCTTCGATATACGTAGAATGTATAGGGGAAAGGATGCCTAAGAGATTCTGCCGATTCTTGACTTACGGACAAAGGGTTATTATGGCCTTCTCCTCCCCATGGTCCGCGGTACTCAAGCTAATTCAAGTCACTTTAGCCACTGAATGCACAAGTGGTCCATACCGCGGTCTTCGAAAGCAGCCAGATGCGCTCTTCCGTACTCCCTCCCAGCTTCTTCCTAGAGTCACCGTGGAGGTAGGATGGAGCGAGTCCTACAATGACCTACTCGGTGATATGAACAAGCTACTCTTGTTGGTGGGAATGGGGATATTAAGATCGTCCGAAGTATACAAATCAGACTGTGAGCGGCATCCTCGAGCTCTACAGACTCGATCCACAAGGCATGCCAAGACGCTGTCAGAGTGAAATCATCTTTCCTATGCCCGCCGGCGATCCTCTCTAGCAGCTGGAGATCAAACGACGCGACCTTTAACTTGTCCCGCCCGGTCGCAATCCTGACGAAGCCTTTCCCTTGGACATTCATTCACCAACTACGGTATATGGTTTAGGAAGATTTGGGAATAGAGGGATACATACCTGCTTAGGGGTGCGAGAAGAAGATTGCATCGGCTGCGACGAGGCAGTCTTGGAGTTCGAACGATCTCAACAACCCCGGGACGCCCAGCCAGCGTCCGACAACGCCTAGTACACCACTCTCTCTTTCCATCCTTGCGGCTCCAAACATTCCTACCTCGTTCATTCAGCTTTAACCTCATTCTGAACAGCCCAACAGATATTCCTTCCCGTACTAACATAACTACACCCGAACCATTTTCCCTCTTTCCTACACTTTCACTTTACCCTCACCAGTTCCTCACTACATCTCTCACTTTACACATATTCTCAACCTATATCAGTTCAGTCGGTTCCGATCTCCTTAAGCTAAATCTCTATCCTTCTCGCCACAATAACTCATCTACCTTCCTAGCTCTAACCTATAACTCACTAAGATAGCTAGCGCTAAAAAGACCATAAGCGACGGGAAACAGCCTAAGCCGCTACCCCGTCCTACCGATATATTGCTGGCTCTAAACGAAACCTTCGACGAAAAATAGCTCGGCCGTTCCTTAAAAGACGATAAGAAGGAGCTTACGCTCAACCGACTACGCTGGACCGAGGCGCGAGGACCTTACATTTGCGAAGAAGGAACCCAACGCTAAGGAGCTTGAACGGTTCCCTCTCTACGACAAGTTCGAGCTTGTCGACGGTCAAGTCAAGCTGCCGGATACTAAGTGCGTTATGCTCACGGACGATATCGTTTACGCAGCCATGAAACACCATACCCAGGACACACGCTCGAAATATAGGGGGGGTATGGGATAGAAGCGGCGAGCTGAAGAACCTCGTCAGTGTCACAAGTCTTGAAATGGCATCCATTTTATTTCTCTGCATATTGTGAGGAGCCCACCAACATACCTCGATTTGTAGACTCTGGCCCATGGGTTTGGAGCCGCCACTCGAGCATTCTGGAGAAGTTCCAATGGGACAACTCTCCCGAATAAACTATTGAATCAGATCAGCTAAGGCATCTCCTTATACGGATACTGAACACACGCACTATGCTGATTGAAAGCAGGTCGATCGAGTAATGATCCCCCAGAACAGCATCGTTTGAATTACCATCTGATTGATCCTGTCCCTGTCCCCGATCCAATCCTTCTGCAATTTGCTTGAGGGCACTCAGTTCAAATGAAATAACCCGATGACATATGTGATGATCTGCTTCATTTGAAGCTCGTTGGCCCGCCGTTCTGAAGGCTCTCCATTTCTGCCACGAAGGTGAATCGCCAAATTTTTCTGAAAGAGGACTAAGAACTGTAGAGAAACACTCACGCTGGGTTATCTCGTCTCAATACTGGCACTTGCCAGCGGCTTGAACTCTCGAATCCGCATTTCCCTGACGCTCTCGGCAACGACTACAAGGATTGCTGCCTCCACCTTGAGAGTTGGGCTCAAACTGTGCAAAGATATCTTGGGCTGTGGAACGTTGAAGGTTGACTTGTAATTTAAGTTGGTGACTATCGTTAGCGATTAGTTCCGGCACACTCGGCCAGATGGACGTTCTTATTCAAACTCTTGCTCTGCATTCTTATGTCCGTCCGATATTTTACCCTCGAGGACACAGTTTCGATTTGCCCTAAATCAAAAATCCTCTTAGGGTTCCATAATGTCGAAACCTCGATAAAGCCTAGGAATCATCCTCTCAGTCACGAGTCGAGAGACAGACCAAGACACTATGTGTAGGCTATTGAGAGAAATTCTATAAGAAATTTAAAATATCACAAATATATGAGAATGTTGATTGTATTTGGCTGTTCCATTTGTCTTATCTCAGAATTCAGACTCCTGAGTTGCTACTGTATGTATCTAGCAAATTTGAATGAAATCTCTCTGCGAGAAGCTTCCCAGTCAAATAGACCTTAGGGCTTGCAGCTAGCTTGATAAGTTCTGAGCAGACTGCAGAATTTGAAATAGTTGGCCCCAGGACATTTCCACTCACTCCGGACTCTGGGTACATGTCATCTTTGCGAAATTGTGTCTCGGATTCGATTTCTCTTTGCCTCCTCGATATCTGCTTATTGCTGATCTACCCTGTCTGATGGTCTATCCCGAGGCGTGTTCATAGTAGCAAACTATGACTCGGCAAACTTCTCTTATCCCTTTGACATCATGGAGGGGATCCTGTATCTCTTAGTTTTATCATCTCTTCTTTTCTTTTCTACCTCAATATGCCTTCTAATTATGAGACCACCCTTATCCCTATCCTCACCTGCCCTGAGCCCTAGGCAAAGTGAAAGAAGACATGAATGCTAAGCTATTATCTGAAAGGCTCTCGCATTATATATGTTTCTTGATTACGATCAAATCTTGGAAAGTAGTAAGTCAATGACTACATGAGTTTCAACGGGCATTATCCAAAATGTTATTCGCACTACCCATTTCTACTGCGATCGAGACCTCTGTTTGAACGCATGAACTGCATTTACTACCATAAAACGTCACAATTTTACTCTACCCAGACTGCTAGATCAAGTGGAATAGGTAGAATACTGTCATCAGTTCACTTGTAAAAGAAGTTGTCTTGGGGTAGCAGAGACTACATTGATTCAATCTAGATAATATGTAAATTTGACATTATATATACAGATAGACGGATGCCGTTTTAAGGCGAATCGATATCTTTCAACCAAATAGGTCCATCTAGCAAGTATAAGCAATGATGGTTTTGTTCTTAATTCCTCGACCAGCCAATATATCTCTATAAACACAAATATGCACCCTAAGACTCCCAAAAGTATATAATTCAATCTAACTCAACCGAACGAACAAAGGCATATCTCCAATAACCAAAGTCTCTGCACTTGCACACATCACCTACGTAAGTAGCCACTCTCTAGACCTGATTCCGGTCTAAATGGGTCTAGTCAGCGACCTTCGTGTAAAGCATACGGTTTACCCAGTCCAACAATCGAAGCATGAACGACATGAAACCAAAAATTGATAATTATCATGACAACCAAAATACATCCAAGTACAATAATCACACGGTATAGTATTTCTTTACCGCAGCAGGAAACTGGAAATTCCGCTTCTTGCCCCTTCCGAGACCCTACGTCCCGAGTTCCGGATTCATGCATCCAAAATCTTGACTCGAGCAGAGTCTGCCAGGTGTGGAGCTAGCCGCATTGCCGATATCAGTTTGGACATCGGACCACCGTATTACAGAATCACAGATGTACAGTACGTATGGTACATACAGTGTGCCCAGGAAGGGGCACGAGAACACTTCTCGAAGGACCCGCCGGGTGGGACAGTGTGTGGCAGGGGATCTGGATAAGTCGGCCCGTCCGGGGTGGATTGCGTGAATTTTTGGTTTGAGTTGGTTTAGGTTTGGGGCCACGAGAATGGGTCGGGATGGATGTGTTTTGTGGTGGGTTTGAACTGTGCACGTTTCCTAGTACATACCCTAGATATGTAGGATTAGCGGATTTCGGAGGTGATCATTGGAATAGATTGCGGTCTATCACGATAGATCTACGTGGGAGATGGTTGATTCCGGTTTCGATGGTGTTTAATGAAATCAGGTTTCTGTAGACATAGTTCGACTAGTTGTAAGATCTACGTTGTGTTGCCATGATGGTGATTCGTGGATACTGTGGTTTATTCCAGTTTCAATGGTATTCAGTTACATTCGAAGTGTTGATCAACTAGTTTGTCAGATCCTGGGAGGTGAGGGTCTGTATGGAGTACTTTAACTATGTACTACTAAGCGGAACCTCGGCATGTGCTCTCTGTATGGCAGGAAAATTTCATTGATTATTGTACATTCCGTTGTGGATCCAGTATATGTACGGAGGCTGAACCGTGCAGTACAATGACAAGCAGGAGACCTGGATATAGTTAAGCGGCCATTACCAATATACAACCTTGGAAATAGTCTATAGCATACCCCACCTGAAAATTTCCTTCCAATTTACTTGGCGTGGCTGGTGAATCACTGTTTTACAAGTTACCAGCCTTTCCAAACCCCCGAGCTGGACCCGCCGAGTCTCGCAGGGCGGGCTGCCGAAACGAAAGATCCGCGGATCGGGTTGAGGTCACGGAGATAACAGCGCAACTCGGCTCGGCACGGCGGGATTCGCCCACCAGAGTCGGGTGCCGAGGTTACAGAGGCAGATGGACATGAGGTGGCAAGATGTTTGTACCCCATGGTCTGGTCTAGATCTAAGACATCGAATTGCCGCTGACATTATACAGAAGTACATGTTCGGAAAAGGTTATCGATGCGAGTGAGTAAACTGGGAGGAATAGTGTCATATTCCCGTAATAGAACGAAGTCAACCCACAAACTTCAGCTTCTATTAAGTTTTTCCATCGGACGAGTCGGCGATCTCTCGGTCCAAGCTCGGCATCTCAAAGATACTGCTCTAAGAAACTTAGAGAGTACAGAACTGTTCGTACGGCATCCTTTTTCACTTTCCGCTTCACTCCTTCCACGCCTTGTACACATTCTTACAACCAAACACCTGCCCCTTCTTCAACAGAACCATATTCCGCCACTCGGGCTCATTAATCGCATTCACATACCGACTCGGTTCCACACAGAAGCCTGACCCCTCAGTCTGCGCCGGCCGACCGTCAATCTCGGGGATATTAATGTACTTGCCCGTGTAGAACTGGAACGCCGGCTCGGTGCTGTGCACTTCCAGATGCAGGCCGGTACTACGGTGGTTGAACTGTGCGAGACGGCGCAGGGGCAAGCTACGCGTGTCGAGAGGGATCTTGGTTGGGTCGGTTTCCATGACGAAGACGTCGTCGATGTGTGGGCCTGTCGCGGCGAGTGTGAAGGGGGTTGTTACGTCGCGGGGGAACTTCGCGATACCTCCCGTTGGAATGCCGGTGTCGTCCAAGGGGAGATAGTCTGCGGTAGCGAGTTCTGCGGTTGTACCGGTGATGGTGGGACCGTCGCCGATATTGAAGTAGCTGGTGGGTGAGTGTCAGCTTGGATGTTGAGTGTAAAGAAGTGTAGGGCAGGTGGTACACACCTGTGGTTTGTGATGTTGACGACTGTCTCTTCGACTTCATCGCCGACAAATTCGACTTCGTACTCGGCTGTCAAGACGGTGGTCGCTTCGCCCTCCTTGCTGGCCGTGTACCACACGCGCACCTCAAGGGTTCCGGGGTATCCCTCCTCGCCGTGCTTGCAAAGGTACTTGAATAGGAGGGCATCGCTACCATGGCGCTGGACTTTATGTGGGCCATCGAAGACGCGCTTGCCCCAGCCCGTAGGGCCGCCGTGCAAGGCATTGGGACCATTGTTCTTGGCCAATTGGATTGATTGTTCGTTCAGGTCATTGATCACGCCGTTCTTGATACGGTTGGCCACGCGGCCAATGGTCGCGCCGTAATGTGCAGTGTTGTACTTGACATATTGGTCCTGCGTGGGGAAGCCAAGCACGATGTTGTGGCCACCGACGCGGAATTCTTGGATGATAGCGCCGAGAGGCAGGAAAGTGAATTCGGCCTGTTCGGGGGCAGACATGGCGCTGGTGCTATTGGTGTTATTTAACGGACGGTGGTAGTGATTGCGATGGAGATTTTATCAACGTCAAAGTAGAGATAAAGGTGAATATGAAATACTTATGTTGGAGGGGGTTTCCGGAGAAATTGTGGGATGGCCGGGCTGGCATGACGTTGGAACCCCGCAATAAGCACGGAGTTGCTCAGCGGGGGGTAAATGCCAAAATCTTCGAGCCACTTTTAGGCTAAAGGGAAGGTGCTGGGTGAATTGTTGGTGTGCTCGAGGTAGAGAAGCCGTCTATTTGAGAGCTTGGTATTCTTCCGTGAGAAGGCCTGGCGTTTCTCTCTTAGCCTAAGGTACAATCCGTCAGGTAGAACTAACCTTAAGCTGTCCTGAAGCTGTGCTCAAGCTGGTTAGCGTCATTGGTTATAAGGGGATCTCCTTTCCAGTTGTAGACACCTGGTTTAGCAGGCCACAATAAGGTTTTGGGGCGTCCTCAGGCACGAGCATCTCACAATGTATAAGCGGCAACGGAAGCAACTTTTCAGCCTCCGCGGACCCTCCGTTTCTCCAGGCCACATGCACAGAAACTATCTAACTTTCGAGACTAGCGATGACTTGGCATGCGAGCACTAGCCAGTGCTCTCGCAGATCAAACATCGCCGTCATCAACATAGTGGGGATGATCTCTTACAATACGATAACTCCTCGATCCGCGTTGGTCGTGGTCGTGTCTCGTCTCTGACCGGGAGGAGGCCACGCCAGCATCCGGCGTCGGAGAGAACGGGGTTCCGGATGCCGAAATGCTCTACCCCGGACTTGGTCCGCTAGCGACCGAGTTCCCGGCCAACGGCCATCAGGCATTGGGAATGCCGTAGCTTCTGTATTGACCGGTCTGGTCTGGTCTGGCCTGGCCTGCTCCTTATTCAGATGCCTAGCACAGCCAGCCTTGGAACAAAGCCAAAAGAATCCAAAACAAGAAAACCTTGGGGGCGGTGCTACCCCTGAATCTCAAACTCAGCGGCCCAAACTTCAAACGAGGCTGGAGAGGTATACGTAACGTGGGATGGACATGCTTCCGTGTCGTTATTGGATCTATACCCTGAAACTAGCAATGGGGACGGGGTAGACTATGTCAAAGAGGGGAACTATCTCGCGGCAAGTGGGATTTTGCCCAAATTAGTGCTCCATACACTTGGAGAGGGGGGACGCGAGCAACTGCCTCAAATGATCTGCAGAATGGAACGCGCAGCGTTGCAGCCACAGTACCGAGTACAGTAATAATGTCAAAGTTGAACGTGTATCCACATAAGGTTTGCTTCGTGGCTCAGCGCTCAACCCAATATTGTGCCTAATTCTGGGATCGTGATGCTTGGCCGCCAAGGGAGTGCATAATGGACTGCGAATCAGAGTCGGTATTTGATCACATAAAAAAGTGTAGCGTAACCCTCACTTCATTCATACTGTAATGACGAGACAGGGTCTGAGGGTACACCGAGTACATATGTACATACTTCATACTGCAGCTAAGAGCTGCTCACAGACTTTTTCTTACAAATTAACACGCTCGATCCTCTTGGGTTTTTAATCAGCTTTTGCTGACTACAGCAGACAAACACAGTTCACGACACGGTCAACCTGTCATCTGTATGTTCTCAAACTTCGCATTACTAGGGCTCGAGTTGGTTAGTCTTTCGCGGAGCATTTGTCCCAAATCGGTAAGTCGGCATCTCGGCGACTTTCATCCGTTGGACGCACGATGAGCGAGCGGAGAAGTAAAAAAGGGTTCGAAAAACTCTCCCGTTCGGGCATACAGCTCGCTCACGTAAGGGGAAATGCAGTAGAACACGCCCGAGAAGATTGAAAGAAAAAGTCAAGACGGAGAAGTGTGGATCCAAAATTGATTGTAAATCCACCATAAGGCGATAGAGACACAGATAGTACATGTAGTAGAGAGCCGCTATCATCTTTAGGGGATCTCGGTATTGCTGATTTGCGGTTTATTTGCATAGCGTACGGAGCATAGAATACTCCGACCGCTCGGTCGGTATCCACAGCGCGAATCAAATTCCGCTTACTCAAGCTGTTGGAATTTTGACACGCAGATTGTTGAAATCGCATTGATCAAGTGTCATGTAATATACGACACGATACTGCAGGAGTATACGACAATCAGCCAAAGCTCCAGCTCCAACCAGCAAGGATTATGGAACAAAGTTTGGTAACTACCTACAGTACGTACATGGTCTCGGATACTGCTTGACGCACTCTAGCTATACGAAGACTACTCTTTACGGTAGGTGCATGGGTACATTAGCTCAGAAGCTCACCGATGGAAGAACAAAGGGAGAAAACTCAAATTGTATGATCCTCGTATAGGCTGGATGGACTTAAGGCGACGGTCTCGCGCGAAGGCTTATGTCCGAGCTGACGACTGGGCCAGCACAGCGGACACTCGGTCCAGCCTCGTTGGTTAGTGGACTCATCTCCATGCGCGTCCAATCTGACTGACAGTATATGGTAGAGTATAATTATATAGACACAGAAACAACGTCCCTCGGTCTTCAGTAATTAGGTAGGGAATGAGCAGAATTGGATCGATAAGGCATACCAAGAGATGAGCCACCGCCCTGATACGTGTACAACGGTGTGCTGAGTAGTGAGGTCAGAAGTACCTGTACTTGAAGAACGGTACTGTACTGAAAGTGTTCGTTACATCCGTAAAATTTATGATGTGTAATCGGTAGTCAGTAATTTATAATCGAGTATCGGGGATCCATAATCCAATTTATTAATCCACAACCCGTCATCCATTAAATTCTCGAAGATGACAGATGACGGCGCATGAATCATTCTGGAAGCCGCATTAGTCAGGTGGAGCGATCTGATCGGCACCTAGCTCCGGCGTTGCAACTGTGAACTGGACGTGCCATTGATTTCCATCCTAAAACTGTACCCTGAAAATGCAATTCGAAGCTGGGGATGGGATCTAGGCCTAAATCTGGGTCAGGGCTTTGGGGCTGTAGGGAGAAGGAAGAAAAAAAGAATGATGTCACGAATTGCCTGTATGACATGCAATGCACTGCACTCCAGTACTTTGTATTAGCGTGACGAGATATCTTGTAGAGAAGGGAGATTTCAAGATAATAGAAAATCCAGTGGATTCGTCAAGAATTTAAACCAACAAGAAGTGAAAAAGAAGAAAGGAGTAAACGCCGTGATAACCCCGTTTTAACCGAAACTCCAGTTTGAAAAAAGAGACCAGGACCAAAACCAAATCCCCTCCGAGCCCAACACTGTACAGGATGATTAGGATCGCAATTGCTCAAGTCCAATCCACCGAACAAAAGAAGATAAAGTGTACAGAAAGTGTATGAGGGATAATAGCCCCATAAACCAACTGTGTAGAAGAAATCCCCGAAGAAAGGGGGAGGGAAGAGAGAACATGTATGATATACATGCATCACGTCATACGGCGTTAAGGGTGTGAAGACGAACAGCTCTTGTTGCTGCTGCTCAAGCAGATGCAGGAGGTAAACCTGCAAAAGCTAGTTTGCTTTGCTTGTCATTAGATCGAAGTGATCTCCGTCGGATTCGGATTCAAAAACTCCTTGAAATCGTCATAATCGGACGGCACACAATTCATAGGCATCTGACGATGAAACATAGGCGAAGGAATCGGCTCCTCAAAGTTGAAATTCGCATAATCCGCCGAACTCATCAAATCCATCTCATCGAACGGATTGAACCCCCCGTTATTCCCGGGCCACTGCGGCGCACCCTGCAACGCAAGCGGATTGACAACGCCCTGCATCGACAGCGCATATTGCGACTGCGGCGTGGGCGCGGTGCTCATCGTGGTGTGGGGCTCGACCTTGATCTGTTGTTGTATGGGGACAGCCCTGCTATTGGGGCTGTAGGTTGGTGGTGTTGGGGGCATGGTTTGCTGCGAGTGTGAGGAGAGAGCATCTGAGGAGAAACGGGATCGGGCGACGGGGCTGTGTGGGCTATCGGTTGAGCCGTCGGTGGAATCTTGACGGGTCATACCGTTGCGCCAGAGGTCGTGTTGCATAACTTCGGGATTTTCTTCGAAGCGTTCGCCCTTGGAGTGGTCGAGGGCGCCCAGGCGGGTGAGGAGGTCGTGGGTGAGTGGATGACCGTTGGGTTCGGGCACGAGGAGGTCGCCTGGCCAACCTTCGCCTTCGGTGCTGCGGCGGTATAGCTCTTGGAGGCCGTGGACGAGCCATGCTTGTTGTTGCTCGAGCATTTCAACGTATCTGGAAGGAGTTGGATGATTAGCCCAAGTTGATCCTATGTATGTTGTGTTGTTTGCCATATGCTCACCCCTTGGGGTACACTTTATCATGGGCCTTCTTTCGCTCGCCAAAGACACAGATAGCATTGTCTGCCCGACAGCGCGAGCATGGGCTGCTTCCATCACACTTGGGGCCCGGTCAGTTTTTGGGCTGTTTTCTTGTCGGCATGCCTTTGTCATTGTTACATACCTTGGATTTCTTTAAACGACAGCGATCGCAAGCTTTGCATACGCGCTTGCGAACATTATCCGAGTGCGAGTGATCGGACGATGGTGTTGATTGTCGAGCAGCCATGGTGTGTGTTGTATGTATGTGTGGAGGGGAAGGAGGGGTGTGGATGAGTCCAGAAGACGGGGAGGAATAGAGAGAGGAAGACGTATGAAGCGGATGAATGAAAGCAAGTCCACAAGAAAGAAGACGAGTGTGCCGTAGTAGAGTGGTGACTTCGGCTTTTTTGTCTTTTTCCTTTTCGTGCAAAGTCGAGCTATACTTCCAGATCCGGCCAGGAGGGCAAGCGAATGATCGACGTCAACCAGTCAATGATCTAATGACGATGTCGAGGGGACCATCCACCACGAATTGAATTTGGGGAGCAGACGAGGTAGACAAGGTTTTGGAAACAGAGTGAAGTAACAGTAATCTGGGATCTTCTTTGACCGCTGGTCATATACTAGTCATCTGCGATGGGGTCGGGGTGGTTGGTGGTGCTAGTAGTGTGCTGAGGCTTTGTTGCTTCAAGGTGGTCGGACAAATCGCTTGACGGAGGGGAAGGGCCCTTTTTTAGTCTTCTTTGGATTTGAATCGAGAAGCCGAAAAGGAAATAAGGAATTAATTTAATTTTTTTTTTTCTGATGAATTTCCTTTTCCAAGGCTGGCAGTTCGAGGGATTTTAAGGTCGAAACGTTCTCATACACTCTGGTCACAAACCCGTACGAGGCTTTCCAAGATTACGGGCACTACAGAACACGGGAGATGGACAGCCTAATCATAGGATACGGCTTACTTTCCCATACACATCGCATAATCCATGGAGACAGGCCCTCACGAATAGGATACCCGATCGGATCGAATCAGAATCTCTATACAGGACCCCACTTGAGGGAATCACAAGGTCCGGTTTTCTTTTTTATTTTTTTTTCCTTTCGTTTTTTGCTTTCCCTTTTTTCTCCTGATTACTCTATCGAAGTTCGGTGGGGCCTGGAAGACTCGGCATTTCGCTCTTCCCAGAGCGTTCGTTAGCTCGGAGGACGGAGCTTCCATCGGCCCTCGGAGACTTCTGAACGGCCCTGACGTATATCCGGCAGGACTGTACTTCCGGCCACTCGAGCCCATAGTGACCAGAGTTTTTTTTTTTTACCCTTTACAGAGCACTTGGCTCCATATTACTTCATCGGGAAGAATTCGAGACTAAAGCTCACTATTCTACTGTTTATCAACATGTTAAATCGTCCTTCATAAGGCCAGCTTGGCGAAATTCCGGGAAAGGTATCATCGTGATCGATCGGGCCATCGATGCAGGTGTGATGTGGCTGGTTTTCTCTTTCTTGTGCGGATTCTTATTGAAACGTTTGACCAAATCTTGCCATGCTGATCGCTAGCATAACATGTAACGATTTATACGGATCATCTCCAGTATAAATCATTAGTCAATCCACTATGAATGGGTTACGGACTAGAAATTCGTGCCTGGATTCTTGGCATAATGCATAGCAATTCGTTCATAAAGAGTGTATCACTCGGCAAGACCCTGCCGACTGGGGCAACGACCGCGAGGACCACGCATTATTCATTGTTTAGTGCGAATCACGAGAAGTATTCCGTGCTCTTTATACATTATGCATGGATTTTATTCCTTTGACATCATTTCCTTATTACTCACGTGCAATAATTTCTTTGTTAAACATACTAACTCGGCTTTGCAAATGGCGTATCCGGGCGCAGAATAGGACATAAAACTGGAAAGCACCAGGAGAACAAGGATCAAATAACAAAGCTTTTCGCCAATGATTGATCGACGTTGAACTCGGTCGGCGTCTCAGACTGGCCGATTAATCAGATGCTGACAACCTGACACAATTCCTCCGTAGTCCGTAGTCCGTCGCCCGTCCTCCGCATCTTACTAACGGCCGTAATCGCGTACGCCGTATCCGTATCGCCGTATTCCCGGCGTTAAGAGCTGCCTGCTTGGCCATCAATATGCCCGTTATCGTCGCTCTTGGCTAGATTTATGACTATAACCCCTATTCTGATCTTTTAATAACACCGAGAGTCATCGTGACAGTTGCCAAAAGTACCAAAGTCCAGTCCGTATTCAATTAGTTAACCGCTTTCAAGTAGATTACAAACACGTCGCATCCCCTCTCATAAGCAACTCACTACTGCACGTTTTCACCCTCTCCACCCTCGACGCACCCCAACATTATGAGCTTCTTGCCAATCCCCGAGTCTATGACTCAAGAATCAGAGGCCAGACCTCTTAACTTAGATGGTTCAAAAACTAACACTCCAACATGGATGGACTTGTCCATCTCCGCGCCGATCGTTTTCGTTTCGTTCCCAGTCTACATCAGATGAGCCCAGCAGATCACAAAAATCCTACTGGATGAAGAACCTACCTCTCGCTCATCCAATCCATTAGACGCCCCAGTGATTCATGACCGCCGACGGAGTCCAATAAACTTGGCGGAAGCGCTGCGTCCAGCGCAGTGGTGCAGTAATCGAAATCTCCCACACCCGTAACCTTACGAAAGTCCATGACGTAAGAAACTCTCGATCGGCCGCGGCTCGCCTTCGTTTTCGGGTTTCTCGCTTACAAGCTCGGATAATTAAGTTAGAGATTGTACAGAGATAATCTATATACTCTGAGTCGACTGTTATTGGGTATCAACTATTAGGTATTACTTACAGTTCAATGGCTTACAGTTGTATTCTCCAATACCATTAATGTTACGAGCCTCGTGGCGCAGAGGAAAGTCCCACTAAATTGATAAGCTTCTCCTGGTTACGCAGCCTACAGCTCATCCTAGCCCCGCGAGGCCACATTATCTGGTTTCAGTCAGGCAGGCAGGATTCGGATCTTTTTGAGGCACACTAGGTAAGATTCCGATTTTCCTGCGGCAAGGGAGTGGGTAATGCGGAAAAGACATGTATCTGATCCGCGGCAATCGGGATTGTCAAGCTGCGCCGATCTGCCGAGTTGAAGATGGAGATGGAGCTATCATTACTCGGAATCTATGATGATGATAGTATGTTGTATAAAACAATAACCAAGTTCTCGGTTCTCGAAGAGGGGCATGCACGTAGACCCTTTCGGGATAATGATCCATAATTGGGTCCTTCGTATTTGGATACTTTGTACCCGGATGGGATTCCGAAGCTGCAAGACGTGAGGTGTGTCGGGTTCGTTGCGGATTGCGAACTAAACCCGATCGCGTGGCAGTGCTTATTCCGAATTGAGGGTGTCACTTAAAGCTGCTGCTGATCACTCCTAATATATCGCGAGAATTAGGTTATAGCGCTAAATAGAGCATATACTACAAACGATACTACCGCCTGCTATCTTCTCAGCTAAGTCGTCTTGCTAGTATTTACTAATCTTATTCAGCCTTTTTTCCTTGGTAAGCAGCCATTAGTATGATGCTATTCGTAGAATACTATTACTCCATCGTGACCATCCCGTTAGCCCGATTCACAAATTGATGACCTCATCCCACTGATATCCACCCACTCTTTGTCCCAACTAGGCAGAACTGCCCGAACGGGTCGTTGCCGAATAATCGGGGCCCAGAACTATAGGCCAGGAAAGTACAGCAGCTAATGGATATCACAAAGTTAATGCTGTAGTTTGTAGAAGATCCAGACCTTTTAGAGTTTAAACCCTCGTCATTTTTGTTCTTATCTTGGTACTGACTGGATGGTGTTTACTTGGTGATCTGATCCATTCAGAGTCTCGCGAATGTTGCTTGCCGAATTCCGATGAGATTGCCCGGGCTAATGCTAAGGCTAAGGCTAATGTTATCCACCATGCCCTATCTGACTGGAACTGCATACAGTACTATCCGTCGAGGTCTTCGCTCGGGTGTTAACCGTCGTGCCTGAAACCCTGCCGTGTAACCGTGGACGCGGTCTTCCCCGATCCAGGTCACCATCTGGATTTAATACATTGTTGTTGAACTCGGCGTGTTATTCCGGGGCCATTGCTCTCCGCTCGAGAACCGTGTTTGTGTCGAGATCTAGAGTTGGACCGGATCTTGCCTCACGGGTCAATGTCGAGCTCGCCCGGGATGCCATGGAGCTAACAGTCTTTCATATATGCCACACAAATTGGAATAACTAGGGTATAAACACGGTTGAACGCGCTGAGCGAAACCAGAGGCCCAAACGAGAGTAACACAGGGTATATCAAGCAAAAGAAACAGTGTACGACGTATCTACAATCCCACGCGATCTCAACATCCCCGACAGCAGCAGCACATCTGTCTGAAAAAGCAGCCCTGTGGCTCAACATCCTCGTCCTTGTTTGACTCTTTCTCATTCATCCCTGCTTGCGAAGCCCGACGCTTGCACATCCCAATCGGACTCGCGGGTCCACTCAGTTTCCGGCTGATACGCAGACTAAAGAATCGACTGCGCCGGGAGCGAGTCTCGCGCGATCCTGTTACGATGGCATCGGTCGTCGTTGGCGGCAATGCCGTTGTATGCACTGATTGCCCCGCGCGCGAAGGTGGGCGTCGACTCGGCAATGTGCCCTGCTGATGGAGACGGCGTGCTTCGATCACACGACGGACAAGCACTAAAAGAGCCCATTAGCTCTGAGCTCAATCTCAACGGCTAAGGGTACCACGACATAGAAGATACATACGGGCAAAAGTCTCTTCGATGTTCACCATCTCCCTTGCACTCGTCTCCATGAACCCACAACCATGCTTGCGCGCGTACTCCAATCCCTCACGCGCTGGGACTGCACGCCCGTCCTTCAAGTCGCACTTGTTACCAGCTACGATCTTCACTGGCGGCGGCAGCCCGATCTGCTCTTTAATGTCTACACCCTTGTTCACCAACTCCTTGCGCAGCCGATCATTATCTTCCACGCGCTGCTCGGCTTCTAGGTTGATCATCTCCATGAAGTAGTCGAGCGTATGCAGGCTGGATGGATTCGTGATATCGTAGACGAGCAAGAATGCGTCTGATTTGACCGTCGATGCGGTCCATAACCCGCGGTATTCTTCTTGACCGGCGGTGTCGGTGATTGAAAGAAAGTATGGGAGTCCGTCGACAGTGCGGGTCACAGAGTATGAGTCCTCTGGAATGGTGCGTATATTAGAAAGGGGACTTAGATTGCGGTTGCAATTGAGATTACGATTGATGCGTTATCTTCGTAGTCGCAATCGCAATTGTGTTCAGGGAGGGTCAAGTACCGATTGTTGGATCATATCTGAAATGGCAATAGATGTCAGCGACCTAGCCGTCCACAGTATGATGGATAATGGATGGAGATAAGGGAAGTATTACTCATGAATCCATTGACTACGGACCAGCCGTAAGGTGATGGATGATTTGCCTAACATCCCGATCCCGTCAGATCTCGATCGCACGTTTCGCACACCGGCACCGAATCATATGCGAGTCATGATACCGGCATAGGACTGAAGGTTAGAGAAGGACGCAGGAACGTACCGCAGCCGCCGTCACCGCAGATGGTAATTGAGATCTTGTCTGCCATCGCGTGGCCGACCACGATGATGCGCGGTCGGCTGGGAAGGTGGTCGGCGAGAGAATTGTATATAGGTCACACAAGGAGAGACACGGGATGAACCCGGAAGTGTTGGAGATGTAAAGAGAAGAAAAGTACGAAAGTACCTAAAAAGGAGGGGAATCAAAAGCGGCCGATGACAGTCTGAGGAAAGAAAGAGGGAGAAGGGGAGGAAAGCTGAGGCTGCGAGAGAAGCTTCGGGTTCGCGCTACTCCCGCGCGAAAAGTCGCGTGTCCGTCCCATCAGGCTGTTCTTTCATCTTGAACTCTTCCTCCTTGTCTTAAGCTTTTCATCTCATCTCCTTTCAACCTGCTTAGCGGAAACAAAAAAAAACTTGCTCCCTTACTCTGAACGATTTCGACGGATTTAGAGGCTGACAGCATACTTTCTTACTGATCATCCCAGTTCCCACCAGACCTGTCAGTCTAGACCTCTGAACACGAATGCGAGAAATGCACCAATAGACGGTTCCCTCAGCCACGACCCATTGATCAATCATTTGTCATTTTGTGATGGATCCAGTTTCCCCCCCCGCGCCACCCTCTCGGGGCCATCCCACAGCTTCATACTATCGCAACGATACAATCCCTTTGATTGATGTTGGGAGAAAGGAACAAGGAACGTCGAGCGTGGAAGGTGCTTTCATGATTCATCAAGAAACCCCAACCAACAACCCTTTCTCGGTCAAATGGAGGTACGATCTGACCTTTGTCATCCCTTGAAGATTCCCACAGGAAATGGACTTCCCCAGGCCCGTCGACCCTCGGTTCATCGCCAGTTCATTGGCTCTCAGACGCCCAGCAGCGGGTCCACCATGACATCGGGGTCTGTCGTACTTTGAGCAAAGAGGAGGGAGAGAGAAAAACGGGGGGGGAGCCTGTGAGGCCCAGTATTTTCTTCCCCCTCAAACGTTTTCCCGGCAGCAGACAAAATAATACAGCAGTCTGCAGAGTCGAACTGGCCTCGCTTCGCTTCTCTCCTCCATCCTTCATACTCGACTGCCCGTTGAAAGCCTCCATCTGCGACAAAACTTGAAAATAGTGGAGTCGCCTTCGCCTACGATTACTGGATTCCATCCCGCTGGTCCCTCTTTCCCGAGGCTCTGGAACTCGCCTGGCTTAAACATTCTGGACCCCACGCAGGCCGAGGCCTGCTTTCTTCCTTGTAGCGTCATGGCAAACCATATGAACAGCTTCGACCTCGAATACACTGCCGCTGCCCGCGATGATGACTCTCAGGACGCCCGGGATCAGGTGCCGTCGCACCTGCAGTCGTCGCTATCCTCGCACGACCCCTCCCTGATGGGCTACCCGGACAGCCATGTCGCCAGCTACCCCTTCGCCGATATGCTACCTCAAGACTTCGACCCGACGCTTCAGTCGTTCGATCAGACCCCAAGAGCCCAAGGAGACTTGGAGGGTCGCCTCTCAAATGTGATGCTGGCCTACGACACGCCCACAACGGGCATGTCCATGACGATGGGCCTCGAGTCCGGCAGCGCGTTCGTCTACGATATCCCGACGACCTACCCGGCAACCACGATGAGCCTCGTTCCCTCGCTGGATGACTCGCAGCTTCAATCCACCTTTTCGTTTCCTCAGTCCTTATCTCAGCCAAGCCAATACCTGTCACAGCCCCAACGAGCGCCCCCGCCCCAAACATCCACACGGAGAGATCCATATAACGGCAATAACGCCACGACAACCACCAATTCTACCGAGACCTATGATGATTCAGACTTTTCACGGACGAGCGATCGTTCGCAGCAGTTCAGTCTCCAGTCCCAGCGGTTCCCGCCGTACGGACAGGCGCAGCAGACTACCCCGACCCCATACCGCCCATCACAGCCGGTAGCAATACAACCGAAGAAGCCTATTACCACAATTAAAGGTGAGTTACCATCTTGTAGTGTAGCCTGCTGCACGGTATGTGCCGATAGAAAAAAGAGCTGACGCCGCTCCACTCATCAGAGGACTTATCGCCAGGCCTGTCAACGCCCGATGCCGCCAGCACGGAGCATACGGGCATTTACTCCAGCAGCGGGTTCGATATACTAGGTGTTCTCGTAAGTGACATGCACTGTTTGTTCTCTAAATCGGGCCTAACGGTTGTCTAGAGCCGAGTCGCGATGAGACCTAATCCCAAAATCAATATTGGTGCAGTGGACTTGTCTTGTGCCTTTGTCCTGTGTGATATCACGCGGAACGATCACCCGATTGTGTACGTCTCCGATGCATTCGAACGATTGACTGGTTATACCAAAAACGAGATTGTCGGCCGTAATTGCCGGTTCCTGCAGGGCCCTGATGGCAAGATTATCCCGGGCGCGAAGCGTGCTTTTGTCGACGGACAGACTGTCCATCGTCTGCGATCCACGATTCACGACCGTAGTGAGATCCAGGCCAGTATCATCAACTACCGCAAGGGTGGACAGCCGTTCATGAACCTCATCACGATGATTCCCATCCAGTGGAATTCCGAGGATTATCGATTCTATGTCGGATTCCAGGTCGATCTTGTAGAGAAGCCTGACGCGGTCAAGGCAAGGAATCCAGGTATGTCGCTTCGCCTGCCCCGTACATATTAAGTCTTCCACTGACGCTTTCCTTAGATGGCACATATAGCATCAATTACCAGCGCGACCAACTACCACAATACGTGGTCCCGCCTGCTGAGGCGTACAGATTAAGACCGGACCTTGCTACACATTTCGGTCACGATGAGGTTACTGCTATCCTCAACGCTGCCGGTGTTCCAGGCTCTGGCGTATCCCGGCACTATCTGGATCGTATCTTGGTTGAAAATACCGACGACGTGATCCATGTTCTCTCATTTAACTGTGAATTCCTCTATGTTTCACCCTCTTGCAAGCGGATCCTTGAGTATGACCCGATCGAGCTCGTGGGCAAGACGCTATCAACCGTCTGCCATCCCAGTGATATCGGACCAGTGATTCGTGATTTGCGAGCCAGCACAACACCAGCCCCCGTGAGCGTCATTTATCGTATTCGACAGAAGTACAAGGGTTACATCTGGTTCGAGAGCCATGGTGCCTGGCATATTGATCCAGCATTGGGCCGGAAGTACATGGTTATGACCGGTCGTCCCCGACCCGTATATTCACTGGATCAGGTTGCCCAGCTCGGATCCAATGCCGCACTCGCTGAGAATGATATCTGGGCCAAGGTCTCCCTGTCCGGTGTGATTTTGTTCGTGACATCTAAAGTTAAGCCGGTCTTGGGCCGCTCCCCAGACGACCTGATCGGGAAGAGCATGCACGAGCTCATGGAGCCCGATAATGACCCCAACTCCATCTCCGATGCCCTCGACGCTGCAGCCAACGGCCAGGGCCAGGAAGACGGCAATAATAAAACCGGGGAACTTCCCTCCTTCCGCCACCAGATGCGCCATAAAAAGGGCCACTTACTTTCCGCCCACACCACTCTCTACTCCGGCGATACCCACAACGGTCGTCCTTCCTTCCTCGTCGCTCAAATTCGCTTCGCCCGTGCATTCCCCCCTTCGTCGGCCGCTGCCTCCGCCGCCGAAGATGAAGAACTCGCAAACGTCCCCGGCTCAGCCAAGACAACGACCCTCACCACCGCAGACCCTAATCCACCAAGCCAGTACGGTGCCCTCGGCCAACATATGCCATTCCTCTCCCCTCTCATCGGCCTCAACGGTCTACCCTCCGGTAACCGTGACATCTCCCCCTCGGACGCTCCCGCCACCTTCTTCACAGAGCTCAACCCAACTCGTGGCTCTAGTTGGCAGATTGAGCTGCGTGAGCTGGAGAAGCAAAACCGCGTGTTAGCGGATGAATTGCAGCGCCTTTTGGCGCGCCGCAAGAAGCGCAAGCGCAAGCAGAGTGCTGTCTCCATTGAGAAGGCTTGTGCTATGTGTAGTACGAAGAGTACCCCGGAGTGGCGTCGTGGTCCTAGTGGTAACCGGGATCTATGCAATAGTTGCGGTCTCCGCTGGGCAAAGCAAGTTCGGAATAAGGCGCAGGCTGCGGCTTCTAGGGGTGGAGATGCGTCTGCTCCTGCTGCTTCTAGTGCCATTGCCACCGCTACGACCCGGGGATAAAACCAGAGGCGGTGCTCATTTCAATGGTGATCATGGGAGTTGGCGTGGCGTTGTGTATCGATGTCATATTGACAAACAGTATTTACGAGGTGCATCTTGACTTCTTTGACCTTTGTGGTCAATGTTTGGTCAAGTTTCTTGATTTTGACTTTGGAATCTGACTTTGAGCGAGCGGGTCTGCTGGTTTGATATACCCTTTGTCTTGTCGTCGTTGGCGACCAAGGCAATCTTTTTGAAGCCGGGAAAACGGGGATGATTTGAGTGTGTTGACAAGCCTTTCCCCTTCTCACCTTTTCTTGTCTTTTTTGTTTCTTCTCTTCTTCTCCGGTTTGTCTGCTTTGAGCTTGGATATGGTCCCCACGTAATAGGGGGTTGGTTTCTTTTCGTTGCATATACTGTTCACCAGACTGCTTATCATGAAATACAAAGGTTGTGGTCCTTTTATGAGACGTATGACTTAGTGGTGATCAAACACAGTTCCCGGTCTCAACCGTTAGGCCACGAGCGCAGGGGTTGCTGATTCATAGTGGAGCCTCTTGATGATCCTTAATGTTGATGTTTATGGGTTATCACTTTATTTGGTAGTATACGTTTTCCCGGGATACGGATCGCTGCTACAGTATCAGGTCATATACAGTCTATATTGGTAGAATGCACGCTTGACGAACAGAGCTTTACACACTCGAACCAAGTTGAAGGGTGGTGGACGGGATGGAAGATATTCTATTCTAGTATTGTACATGAACCAACCTTTTCTCTCGCTGGTACACCTCAGCTCGATACTGTACAAACCAAGACAAGATCGTCTTGCTCGTCGTGGTTCTCCAATCTTAGTACACTCCAAAATGTGACCAAAAACTCCTCACTCAAATCCAAAACCCCTCTATTTTTAAACCTCTTTCGAGACCTTCCTCTCCTTCAACCACTTCTTCAACCACTCACGCTCGACAGCCTCGGCTTTGGCACCCGGCAGCATCGCCGACACATCACCCACACCGCGCTCTTCAACCGCAATGCGAACCTCCTCCGCACTCAACGCATCCACCCCAGCATCAATGATCATCCGATCATCGACATTGAGATAATGCAAGTGCCGCAGCAACCGAGGCCTGTACACAGGTCCTGCAAGCACTCCACCCAAGAACCGATCATGTTTCTTGACCAGTCCGAAAATCGCACACGCCTGCAACACCTTTTCCGCACTTGCCTGCCGAGCAGAAGCTATCGTTGCCAACTCCACGAGCTGCGCCCGCTCGGCCTCACTGCCAGTCGTGGGCATCGCCTCCCCAGTCGTCGCCGCCAAAGCCTGCTGTGCGAGAACCTTTCGCTTGGATCCCGCTTCGCGCTCCTTGGCTACTTGCCCGGGCACCCGGCACGTCGCCGGGGTAATCGCGTTACCAAAGATAGGCACAATCAGCGGCGTGAATTCGCCGCAGATAATCAGGATCAGCGTGAATGGAATCATCCGCTGTACGTCACGCGCAGATCGCCGAACGAGCTGGAACCGCCCGCGGCCCAGCTCGAGTTCGGGTGTGGAGAGGGTGGGCTCGGCGCGGAGAGCTTCGTTGAATTTGGTACTGCGCGGCGGCGAGACGGGGAGGTAAGCGGGGAGCCCGAGCTCGCGGCGTAGTGGGAGCGACGCGCGGTAATTGTGGTACACGTTCTTGAGACCGGTTTTGTAGAAGGTCAAGTAGGCGCGGCCGACGGCGACGAGGCGCTTTAGCTTTTCCGGGGTCGGCGCGGAGGTGGGTAGTGGGGAGGGGATGTCGAGGTTTGCGGGGAAGGTGCTTATAGGGGCATTGATGTGGTTCTGAGAGAGATCCTCTAGCGTTGGTGTTTGGGTGACTGGTGTGATTGATTTGGCTGCTTGGACTCGAGTTCGGGGTCGCTGTGTGGCGGCATGTGAGGCCGCGGAGGTTGAGAAGGGAGTGGTATGGTGACGCGCTAGGGCCGCGGGGCGCAACAGTGTATATGAATGGTGAGATGGCTTGAGGGGGATCCAAAGGGGGATTTGGCCCCGAGCTAGAGGTACCATGGCTTGAAATGAGGTGGTGAGGTGGATTGATGCAGGAGAAGGTCGTGTGTTTCTTCGGTGTCTCGGCGTCGGAGGCGAGCGAGTCCTCGGCACCTGGTTTCTCAGGCCGCCAGGCACATACATGGAGATTGTCAACCGCGGCACATTAGTTATCGTCTAGAGATTACCGTTCGTTTGAGATTTCTTGGCTACATCATTAAAGCTGTGTCAAATAATCAGTTCAAGGCTCCTGGTCAAGTGGCTTTAACTTTGAGACACCATCCTACGTGAAATTACCGCCACGGCATGCCTAATGGCATACAGCTTAAAATGCCTCATATTGAATAACCACTGCATTGGTCGTGGGTCTTTATCATTAGGCAGAAATGTTAGGTGTGGTAGGCTAGATGTCATAGGCTTTTAATATCAAATGACTTTTGAGTATGATATGTTTCCACAAGTTTAGTAGTCATTTGGTGTGTTTTCTGAAGGGAACTAGGCGGAGCTAAGCGGAGATAAGAGAAAGGGCAGTAGGTATATGTTCAACCCAGCCAATCACAAGCCTGGTCGAATGGGTTACAGCCATCTCGCAGACGATTTCCTAAAATGGACTATACGTGATGTTTCCTTTCAAACTGACGGCCTAAATTGTCCCATCGAGTTATTTAAAGTCGGTTCTGCCATCTAGATATCTCTATCTTGTTGATTGCTTATACCCCCAGGCCAGCTTTCTTTTATATCTCCATTATGACTTTTACCAACCGTGCTGCTTGGCTACAGGGCGAAAAGGTTCATCCTATGGTGGTAGAGGGTGGACCAACACCCGACCCGTCAGAAAACGAAGTGGTGATCAAGGTTGCCTATGCGGCAGTCAACCCATCCGATTGGAAGGTACGGTGCTAGTGACCCTTTAATCGCCTTGTCTGAAATCGGAAGTCTGACACTCCCTTCATTAAAGTGCCAGGACAGTGCCCTGCCACCACACATCAAGTATCCATTCATTCTTGGATTAGACGTTGCTGGAACGATTGCCCAATTGGGGTCTAATGTGACACGCTTCAAGATAGGGCAGAGAGTGATTGGGTATGTAAACGCTTACCTCAAATTGACAGCTTAACAATGTAGCCTCGCTAACTGTTCAGTCACTGCGATGGTCTTGGTACTGCTAAGGCCTCGAATATGGGGTTCCAACTCTACTCAACAACCCGAGAGATCTTTGTTTCGCCCATTCCGGACTCCCTGCCTCTGGAAAATGCTGCAGTCCTCCCCTGCTCGATCTCCACTGCAGCTACTGCCCTATTTGTGCATCTCAAAGTTCCATTTCCTTCGTTGAATCCAAAACCAGTTGGACAGAGAATCCTGATTTGGGGAGGTAGCTCATCGGTTGGATGTTCTATGATCCAACTTGCAGTTGCCGCTGGTCTCGAAGTTGTCACTACGGCCAGCGCTGCGAATCATGATCTCATGAGATCTCTTGGGGCATCTCACGTATTCGATTACCGTGATGCCGATGTCTCAGAGAGGATCTTGAAGACCCTTAGAACTGGAGATCTTGTCGTGGATTCTATCAGCACTGAAAAGACACAAACCCAATGCGGAGAGATACTTGGAAGACTGGGTGGCGGTAAGCTTCCAGTGATGCTACCTCCAGCCGGCAAATTCCCTGAGAATGTGAAGGTGGTATTTGGTAAGATACTTCATCAGCTGTGAAAGTAACGTCTACTAACTAGCCCGCAGTTATTTGCATTGATCCGGGCTTCACAGCGCTAGATGTGGGAAATGCCGTATGGCGAGAATATATCCCTGAAGCACTGGCTGCAGGCAAATTTCAAGCAAAGCCAGATTCCATCGTCATTGACGGGGGACTGGAGACAGTACAGGAGGGTATTGATCTTCTACGAAAGGGGGTTTCGGCCACAAAAATTGTGATCAACTTGTCCTAGAGTCGGGATTGTATATCATGGAGCTTATTCGTACTTAGCTTCATGGATGGTTAGAGTCTATTTGATCTAGATCCTGGGCAACAACTTGGGTTATTACAAATCAGCATTTGCGAACGATAAATTGTGGTATTCCGATATCTAGTATCCGTATGATCGAGCAATCAAGCAATGGGACAAAGCACAGAGCTTTATTGTGGCCATAAAGCCTTAAACTCCTAGTGCTGTGTGTTTTGGCAAGGCCAATTCACTCTTGTTCCTTTTCCTCAATCTCTCGCCCTTACGCACCGCTCATTCTCGTCTCCTATTCTATGCTCGTTATGGCCCGTGCATATGATCGATCAATTGTTTGGCTAGATCCGTTATCGCGTGAAGATGCCAAGAGCTTTGCTGGTAACGTCAATGCTTAATTTGGACAAGCTTCATGCGGTCGTCAGCCTTCGGGCGAATGGCGCCTCAGCCACGCACCAGTCTGAAATAGAGCCATAAATTCGCTTCTCGAGCACAAGGCGACGAGATAAATTGGAGATGGCATGAAGAAGGGGAAAAGAATAGAACAATCACTAAATGCTATGCTTGTTTCTTCCGGCATTTGATGGGGTGTATTGAGATTCATGGGAATCCTGCCGCGGTCCCTTTCCCCCAACGAGTCTCGTTGAGAACACGATGCGATGCAATACCGTGAAGATCATCGTTCTAGCCTGACAAACTATAATTTCATGACATCTCTTTTCAACTTGACAGATGTTGCTAATTGCGGGGTGGTGCTTGGGTATTGGCAACAGCACGTGATGTGATCGGCATTCGTAAGCTTCACCATCTACTGGCGGAAATTCTGTCCTCTAACGGACCTCTAACGGAATTATTAATGAGCCAGGGGCAGATGTCGTGTTTAAATCCAACGTAGCTCCATTATCGTTCGCGCTATAAGTAGATTCAGGTTTCGGAGTGGGGGAAATAATATAATCCATCGGAGTTATGACCCCGATTGGGCCTGAGCAAGGCTTGTTTGGGACAATCTGTTTGGACGACTCCCACATTGCTGTTAGAAAGAGATGAAGAGGGGGTCATAGTGGGCATGAAAAGGAAGATTGAGAGTATATATGAAGGAGTTGATGCTTGCTCAAAGATGGCTGAATTCTGCACAGATTTCTTCTCTCTCATTTACTACCATCTTTATCAACCACAGACATCATGAGATTAATCAATTTGGTGTCGTTTGCAGCCTCAGTGCTCGCAGCTAGCCGTACCACCGCTCCCTCTGGGTCAATTGTCGTGGCCAAGTCTGGTGGTGACTACTCCACTGTATAATACCTTCCACGGATTAAATGATCACAACGCTTGCTAACCAGTCTACAGATTAGCAAAGCCATCGCAGCCTTGAGCACCACCACTACCTCCACTCAGACTATCTTCATTGAGGCGGGTACCTACAATGAGCAGGTGTATATTCCCAAGCTCGCGGGCGAGCTGATCATCTACGGGCAGACTGAGGAGTACGTCCAAACCCTGATGCATCCGATTATGCTAGCTGACATTCCCTGATTAGTGATACCTCTTATTCCTCCAACACTGTCACCATCACCTACAACTTGAGTTTGGCATCCGTCAGTGATGATGACGAGACTGGTAAGAACCATTCCCGACTACCTGTCAGCCCAAGGAAGGATGGTCACTAACGGAAAAAACCACAGCGACGCTTCGAAACTACGCCGCCAACTCCCGCGTCTACAACATTAACGTGAAGAACACGTACGGCAAAGGCCACCAAGCTCTCGCCCTCAGTGCTTACAATACCGAGCAGGGTTATTATGGCTGCCAGTTCACCGGTTTCCAGGGTCCGTTATGCTCACTCCCCATATACGAGCACTGACTAACCGGCCACGCAGATACTGTCCTCGCCGAGACCGGCTACCAGGTCTACGGAAAGTGCTACATCGAGGGTGCCATTGACTTCATCTTCGGCCAGACCGGCAATGCTTGGTTTGACAGCTGTGACATCGGCGTCCTCGCCAATTCTGAGGGAACCATCACCGCGCAGGGACGCCCCTCAAGCTCCGACTCTGGATACTTCGTCATCAACGAGAGCACCGTTAGCGCCGCCTCTGGCGCGGACGTCACCGAGGGGACTTTTTATCTCGGCCGGCCCTGGACTGAGTATGCCCGCGTGGTTTTCCAGAAAACCACTCTTAGCGATGTCATCAACTCTGCCGGCTGGATTGAGTGGTCGAGCAGTGAACCCAATACTGACGATGTCCTCTTTGGCGAGTATGATAACTCTGGTGATGGTGCCTCGGGTACTCGGGCTAGCTTTGCGGAGAAGCTGTCTTCTGCTGTCTCCATTAGCAGTATCCTGGGCAGTGGATACACTTCCTGGGTGGACACTAGCTATCTCGCTTGAGCTAGTTTGAAGATAGTATCTATCGCACGGCTCAACACAGCTGATCAAGGTGGGATGCCGGAGATGCTTTATCAACACTGTTAAGCCTTAATGAAGCAATCCAGAGGCCTGATTGAATTTGAATTTTAACCTAACATCGATTAATTTGACCGTGAGGGGTATCGAGATGTCATAGTTCAGGATCCTGGCCTAGAAGGATTCTGCTTGTGGCACCACGCAAAACTTGCGAAGGCACTACTTGGTTTTGGAAGTGCAGATAATACTACCTTTTGATTAAGGATTCTGACTGCAGTTCGTAATTAATGTGACTCCATTATTAAGATGCAAATTGCGTATGGTAATCTACCATGTTTGCGTAGGTTGCAAACGTGTGATACCCAGCCCGTGAATACCGGCCTCTGCAGGGCTGTCTGCTAGATGGTCATCTTTGAGCTCATTCCTGTCTGAGTTTTCTGTCAAGCACGTAATACGATCAGAGATGATCTCGTAGAGCGGATGCTTTGATGAGAGCCTCCTCTCAGTAGCCGTTCTCGCAATCTGATAGGCATTGATTGCCTTAGCTTGCTCTTCTTTCTTCTCCCACAACTGTCCTAATTTCCACATTCCATGGGCAAAGCCGGGGTGATCCTCGCCTCGAGAAGCTTTGACCTTGCTGACGGTCTCAACGCTCAGTCTTTCTGCTTCATCTAGCCGGCCTTGGCGCGCGTAGGCCCGAGAGAGTTCGCCACAACCCACTAACACACCAAGATGATCCTCACCAAGGCTCCGTCTTCCTGCAGCGATTTCTTCAACCAGAGTTTCCTCGGCCTTATACAATTCACCCTGCTCAATATGTATCTTCGAGAGATAACATAGAGCCAAAATTGTGTAGGCGTGTTCCTTGCCCATCTGGGAACGATCCAAACAGCTGTCTCTGGTCCCCGCCAATACGCTTTATATTATCATGACAAGGGGAATACTGTCATCCAGGCACAAGTGGACAATCCACAGCCTAATTCTCAACCACAAATATATCAAAAGAGACGTATTTTTTCAGTTGGTTGAATACACCAGTCCTCATCATTCCTTCACTTGTGTACAGTTTACAGTCAAGTAGACCGCCAAAGACAGCCTATCTCTTTGCACGCTGTTGGGAACTTCGATGTTCCATATTCACTCAAGAAAGAATAAAGTCCACGGAGTATATGTTCACTTCCTGGTAGCACACTGAAACGACGTTTATGTACCGTATTTATATACAGCCAAGCTTGCATGTAGTGGGCTTGCTTAACGGGCACGTCCAGAATCAGGATGGCTCTGTCATCGCTTAGCTTCGAAAATGTAAGGTTATCAAGCTGTATGGAGAAGAGTGAGATCAACTAGATGATTTCTCGATTTATCTTGAATTGGCCGGTTGCAGCAGTGGTTCATATGAGTCTATTTATAGTAGTAAGAAAGCATTCATGAACTACACTATTCCTATGGTCACTATCCATTATATGCTCCAATATTGGGCCTCACAACTGATGACACCTTGTTATTCCAGAAGTCCCGACCGCCGTTATCAGCAATAAGGTTGCCTTGGTGCAGAGCAGGGCTCCCTGAGCGCAATTTATAGCCATTGACTGAGTTCAGACTGTCCTGGCCAGTACCCGGGTTGATAAATTGTGGATTTCCTGTGCTCCCGGCTGTATTCACCGGCATAAGCACCGTTTGGAAGAAATTCGCGTGCCACTCGATCGAGCCTCCGCTGGGCAATGTCGAGTTTGCCGTTCCAACCCAGATGTTATTGGACAAGTTGGTATGAGGCGGCACAGCGATCTCAAACTCCTTGTCAGGGCAGTAGATGACATTATTGTAAAAGTTCAATTGCACTCCATCTCCGTTGCTATACACACGGCAATCGTTCTGGAAGATGTTATATCGGACAATCTGCGTGGCACCACCGGGCGTTCCACAGCCATCACAATTCAGGAAAATGCCGCCTGCATTGTCATGACTGTAGTTGTATTCGACAGTGCAGGTGCCCTCGTTACCCCAGTCACAGTCAAATGCCTCACTATCAACGTCCGACATAAGTGAGTCATGGACGACGTTGAACCGCATAACAGCATCCAGGCACCCGAGCACCCAGATTCCTGCGAAGTTACCGCCCGTATATGGATACTTGCCGTGACCGAGGAATCCGCAGGTGTTTTTCTCGATGAACGGTGCTGCCCCGTAGGATACAACAATACCGTCACCTCCAGCGTAAGAGATATTGTTGCCCCAGATGTGTGCACCTTCTCCTCGGTTGGTCATCTGGCCAACACGGACTTTGATACCACCACCCCCACTGTCATGAACTGTGTTACCGTAGATTTGCACATCATCATACCGACTCACGTTCTCTGTACCGTTCACAAGAATACCGGCAGAGGCGATGAATGCGCTAGAATGGGTTGCCTTGTTTGTTTCACCGGCGACATTGTAAACCGTGACGTCGTGAATATAAAGACCGCGGTGAACAGTGCCATCATCGGCAGTCGCTGCAATGCCGCGCCGCCGGCCTATTGCCGGAGCAGGATTGATAACTGCAATGCTGGATATGTCCCAATAATCCTGCTTGACCAGCTTAACAGCTTCCGCGGCTCCAGAACCATTGATGATGGGCAGAGGACCGTGTCCATAGCTGGTCAGGATGATGGGGTGGCCCTGCGTACCACTGCCCTGCGGTGATAGAGTTCCTGTGCATGTCGTTCCAGCTTTAATGTTTAAGGAGTTTCCGGCGTGTAAGACGAATCCGTTGACCTGCTCCAAGGAGTTGAACGGGCTGGACTTAGTGCCGTCACCGCTTGCAATCGAGCTGCAATCGAGGTAAACGTCGCTCCCGAGAGAGAGCTGGATCAGGCCAGACAGAATCGCAGTGGCAGTGCCATACCGAAGAGCTCGAAGTGCCATTGTGACCAGATTCGTCTCTAGAGTATTGTGAGGTGTATCAATAGAGATTATGAACCTACTTCGCAGCGATACTCCCCAATAAATATACACTCTGGTCCGCGGCCGGGGAATTTTACCCTATTGTAGAACACAATAATTCACTAGAGATCGCAGAAACCTATGATGCTAGTCCCAACGGTTGGTTGCACCGAAAAGTGCTGACGGGTCGGTCTGTTCCTTGTGCCGATTTACTCGAGTTACTGTGGCCGGTCGAATCCTTCCCCCGCAACCCCGAACTTTCCCTGGAGTCGATTATTTGTGGACAAAGTTGTACGCAGGGTTGTATAGTGCTGACACGCATGAGTTTTGACACCATGCACTTTGAAGCACATTTCTTAGAAACCGAAATTTAAGCAGAAGTTGTGAAAAACAATTCTCCCGTCCGGATATCTCATCATGCTTTCTTAAGGTTTTTCTGTTAATCGAGCATCATATCCCGGCTCTATCAAATAGCTATGCTGGCCTCAAACAAATTCACTCGTATTCTGACAGGTACAAGAGAAAAAGACACTTAGCAACAGCCTATCTATCCCACTGTATTAAACCAAACCCATCTCCAGCAGGCGATTTCCGAGTTCTAAAAAGTAGTAATCCGCATACACCAGACCATGATCCCAGTCTCGATCCGGATGGTTCTCGTTGAAGTTTGCGGTCGATCTTTCCAAAATCGCATCAAACCGACGACCATTGGTTCCCTGCAAAGGATCAACTCTGATCTTCCCGCTCTCCTCATCGAATCTCAATCGCATTTCATCGCGGTTATAGGCCAGTGCAATCGTGTCCTTTGCAATAGCCATTGCAAGGTCCAAATAACGACAGGCAGACTCGTATTCCCCAATCCCCATGAGCTGTCCATACAGAACAACCATTCCATTGGCAGCAACCATCCCAGCGGAGACATCTCTCAATGGAGCTTGTGCGCCATTGACGGTAGTGTACGTGATCGGTGCGTCAAAGTCCCACAGAGGCACGTATTGCCCATAACCTCCTGCCTCAACCACGTTGGCGGAGGATTCCATACGGTAAATAAAGTATTCTGATAGACCTATCGCAGCATCTAGGAATTTCCGCTCCTTCGTCCAGGAATATGTTTGGGCGTAGCCTAGAATTTCCCACGCTTGTCCCCGGGCCCATGTTGAGCTGTCGGAGTAACCCTGAGCAGTAAGCTTTCTTTTAATGGCCCCGTTATTGGTTGGGGAGAAATTTGCTGCGTGGTAGGTTGAATAGCATTTGCCTTTACTTGGTACGCTTTCCTGGCGAAGATGTGTGGAAAGAAGGGTAGTAGCGTGGGTGGAAGCGATAGAAATGAGGCGGGATGATCGCGTGTAGTTGCCGGCATAGAAGAGAAGATCAAGGTCTGACATTGCAAATTAGTCCGAATATTGGTAGTATAGCCCCCATAGAGATAGTTATCACTTACTACACAAGCTGTCGATGATCACAAGGAAGTCATCTTCCATGCTGGTAATGTTATGGTGTGCATTTGTGAAGCTGTCCCAGCTGCGGATGGCTCCAACACGCTCATCATACCTGCTGGCAAGACTTTCAGCGGCAGCAGGTAGGGAGTTCAAGCTATCCTGCCGGCCAAAGAGCTCCCAGTCTCTTCGAACAGCAGGCTGAACAATGAATCCAAGATCATGGGTATCCTTCCGAGCGGACATAGGGTGTAAGGGTGCCGACCATTTGTGACAAAGACTTGCAAGATGGGAAAGAAGATGCTCATGGAACTCCTCAGGTACTGGCGAGTCCGAGGAGACCCCAAGCAAGCATGGTCTGGGGTACTTTCTCAGTCTTTCTAGAAGGCAGTAAAGACTGCCTGGGAAGAACCCACACGTCCAGAACTCAGCATCCCTGCATTCAAATATTCCCTCGTTTGGACCAGACTGAGGTACTGTTTCGGGGAAATGAGTGGGAGGGTTCTGAGAAAACACACATCAGATGGCACCAAAGAAAAGCCATAGAGTGCTACATACATTGTTCTCAAGATATGCTTCGGCAACGCCTATGAGTTTTGCAATGCTATTCCCCTGGAATAAAGGCACAAGACTCGATCGTGTTAAAGTCGTACTGCTTGCGTCAAGCGAAGTCAACGACTTGATAGCAACTTCTTTAACAAGTTTCTTGTCGGTCGGAGGCGACACGCCTAGGATTTCAGGTGCCATGTTAGGAAGTGAGACAGGAATATAAGCGAGCGTCACAGATGAAGAACTGAAAGCAGTACATTTAACTTAATCTTCCCCTGGAAAATGGGGTTTTAAACCCAAGAAAGCTTTAGTCCCAGAGGGAAGGCGGGCAATAGTGCCTGTCGTTAAGCTGGCCCTCGGGTGGATCACTAGCCCGATGTCCGAGAAGGCAACAAAACATATCATGAGAATGTGACTGTGTCTAGAGTCAATCTCATAACAACTACGTAGCAAGGCTACAACCAGGCCTAGAGATCCAACATATCTCTACATATCTAAAGGATGGTTCTTCGTTGGCACAGTTAAAAAGGGACGATTGGAGACCACACGCAAAGACTTTGCTTGCGTAGAATATCTATCATCGCATAAAAGAGTCCTGGAAACTGATAATCCGGTCCATATCCATATATTGCGGGTCCAAAAGAACACGAGACAATTGGGCAAAGCTATCCAGATTATCCGTCAGGTGCGGAGCAGTATGGTTGGGTGGGAACAAGTCGTTGAATACCATATCCGCACCTCCGTGTGTATGAGGAGCGGACAGGCCTCCTGGAGATGGTATTGAGGGATGAAGTTCACCTCGTACTCTAGCGTTCTGCAGAGATCCCGAGGACGGCGTGTGGAGCCTATATATCAAAGTTAGCGGGTGAAGGTGTCAAAAGAATGACTGGCTTACGGATGGCTGATCGGACTTGATTGATTGGATTCACGTCTCAGTCGACTGGTGCTGATATAATGCGACTGTCTCTCGGTTACTGGTATTATGCTATGCCGTTGTTGGGCGCGACGCTCCTCAATCCACTGGCTTTCGGAACTGGAAACCGGCGCTTGGATTTCAAGAGCACAATTCACCTCTGCAACATAACCTAACGCCGCTATGTTAAAAGATGAAGATCCACATCTCTCTTGAAGAGCCTGAAGCTGTGAAAGAAGACCTTCCGAGAAATTGGTTGACCCAGGGTTCAATTGGAATCCGGGGCTCATCGAGATCCAACGATCCGACATTTGCTGGAGGCTGGATAAGAGGATTTTATAGGAGTCGGGGATGGGGGTATGATGGATGTGTGAATGTACTGACAACTCAAAGGTCAGTTAAGCTAACGGAATCGCGAACTAAAGCTCACCAATCATGACACGGGCGCTAATAAATGCACAAAAGGCAAACTGTGCGTTAACTAAGCCGACAAATGGTGTATATTGTAAATATTTTTGAACAATGTTGGCAGTCTCCGATGCAGCGAGTTGGCAGGTTTCCGCACTCCCAGAGCTTGCTGACTTCAATTTAGCGAGAATTTTGACATGTGGATATGCGATACTTTGATGTAAGAGGATCATGGAGGTGTTATGAGTGATATGGGCAAGGGTCAGATTGGGGTCCATATGCACAAACGCGGGCTCCTTGGATATATTGGAGTCTTTCCATCTCCGCGGGAGAAACATTTTCCAGCTGGGGCATCATCATGATTAGTTGACCGATGATAAGGGGTTCATACTCGCTTATTGTAGGACGTACTGAATAAGCTGAAGATCCAACTCCTTGAACCGTGTCAGCCAAGAACTGAATTGCTGTTTACTTTCAAATTTAACAGGTCGTTGAAGGAAGAATTTGACGACCCGGTTGAGGGACTCGGTGGCTTCAATGCAGTATGCAAATGAGCCTATGGTGGAAACATCCACTGTGGGCCCTTTAGATGCCTGGGCAACTGGGGAGACACGTTCAGAGGCCGGGGCTGTAGCAGCAGCTTCTCTATCTAGGTCTGCGAGAGAGGAGAAGTGGCTGGGAAGGAAAGAAACAGACTTTCCTATCTTCGCCATAGAAGAATCCCATATATTGAAAAATGGGGTAGTCACTGGCTCTTCTTTAGTCCAGTATAAGCCGTCGCTAGGTAGTCGAACTTGGACATCTTCGCTTGACAAGTTGACGTTCCAGCTAATGTCACACAAGTCCAATTTCAGTGTGTGTCTCAAACGTTCTAGCAGACCTGACGTACCCTGTAATGGTTGAGCAGAATCTAGCTGCGGTGAGTGTTGGAACTTTTCATTTAATTGAGAGGAGCTTCATACCTATCGAGGAGGAAAACGTTCCAAAACACTCGTCGCCGTTCTTCCGCTTCTGTCCACACTCGGGGTTGTGGTAGATGACACAACGGCTTGAGGCAAAGTTCTCCCTGGTAATCTTCGTCTGATTCCTTGTGCAGGCCTAGGTAGACAACGGCTCGAGAGAGGGTTCCTATAATCGGCCATGCCTTGTTGGCGTTTCCATCACCGACATGCACAAAGGCCACCATGATCAGAGCCTGGAAATTCTCCACGGAAAGATCATCCATTCCTGCTAGAAGGACATAATCCCGAGATTTTTGCAGAGCATCCGGGTAGGATCCGAGCCATTCTCCCGCAAGCCGCTCATGTGCAACGTACCGTAAGGCGCAGACCATCATTGCATGGAGCACAATGATGAGCTTCGGTCTCTCAGTTGGATCTCGTAGACGAGATCGGAAGAGCGGTTCATGAATGACTGGAATGAATGGATGAACCACAGAGAAATAAGCATCAATGATGGCGTTGATCAGATCATCTAGGGGCAGCTGAGCTGACGATGCGCTGAAATCTCGACCTCTGGGCTCCGGGAATCTTCTCTTGTGGGGTGGTTGGTGATCTGGCGTGGTCACGACAGGATCCCTTGGTTGGGGGCTATCGGCCACCACTATAGCATCATCTATAGTCTGCTGGTGACGCTGATCAGGGAGTGGATGGCTATCGCGCCACTCCTCCATAAAGGAAGAGACCAGGTCTCTAATTGCGTTTGCATCGTAGCCCAAGTTTGATGGGGTTGAAACGCTGCCCGTGAGCTGGTGCTGGTCCCTTACAGCCTCTAATTGAGCTTCTAGTGTTTCTGTCACACGGCCCGTATTAGCTCCATCCCACATAGTACTAAGGTCCAGGATACTAATGGTTACATACCAACCCGCTGGTTCAGGGCCTGGATTATGCCCACTTTCACCCCTGGTTTGTTCCAGGTATAGTCATAGCGGCAGTCGATTCCTGGAACAGTCGTAGTGTTTGGGTATCATCGCTAAGGCGAAGAAAGTGGGGATCACCAAGACGCGTGCAGCGATTGCAAGACGGGACCTCCCTTGAGCAGCGCAGCTTTCGGCTTCGACATGACTGGCAAGCGGGTGTTTCTGGATCGGCGTGCTGTGTCGTGCCCTCTCGGGCGTCGGAGGGTTCCATGTTGCGAAAGACTGTGCAGATTACGGGTGTCGGGGGAATGCAGGTTTATGAGAAGACGACGAGAGCCCAATAAAAGGACCCTTGGCTCAGACGCCACAGTTTTGTGGAGCACGATACCTTTGCGATCATGCAAAGGGTCCCAGATCTAAACAAATTGCGGGGAACACGATGCTACTCTGCCAATGCCCTCGGGGTAAGCAATGCCCCGAGCCTAGGCTTTATCCCTCTCATTTTTATCTCGCTAAGAGCTCGAGCGTATGGGCTTTCTGGGTCTAGGGTCATCCGGAAAGCAATAATTTGGCTTGGCATACAATTGGGATCGCAATGAAAGTATAGCTACTCCCGAGTCAAAGTTATTCGAGACTCAAACTCCCAGCGTTGGTCATCTAAGTTCGAAGACCAGCACACTATCCAATCACTGAAGAATGCCACCTCTTCGTGGATTTTCAGACAACAAATTTCAGGATCGGGACGATGCCCTGACTGCGACCAAAGCCCTCATCCGGGCGCTTGTGCCTTACTTCTCTCCGGGGAAAGCCCGCGTCCAACTGCCCGTCTACTCAGGTGCCCATTTTGACGAAACTGCAGCGCAACTTGAAGGCTTCGCACGGCCAATCTGGGCGGTAGCTACTGCGGTGGCCGAACCATCTGATACTATCGATCCAGAAGTCACCCACTATGTTCAGCAGTTGGTGGAAGGCCTTGCCAATGGGCTCAATCCGGCTCATCCTGAGTACTGGGGCGCTATAGGAGATTGGGACCAACGCATGGTTGAAGCGGAGCCAATCTCATTTGCGCTCTTGATAGCACCCAAATCTTTCTATGAGCCGCTCTCGAAAGAGAGTCGCACACACCTAGTCCAATGGTTATCTGGTCTCAATGGCAAAGTCATGCCTGAAAATAATTGGCGCTGGTTCCGCGTCTTTTCCAATCTTGCTCTCAGTCGCGTATGTGGGGTTCCACAGGAAGATGTCAAGGACTATATCGAGACCGACTTTGCCATGCTGGATCGATTCGATATAGGGCATGGATGGTCCGCGGATGGGATCTGGAGAAACGACACGGGGGAGGGACAGGAGAGGTACGGTCGCCAGGCAGATTATTACTCAGGAAGCTTTGCAATCCAATTCAGCCAGTTGCTGTATTGTATTATCGCGGAAAAGTCCGACCCTGGTCGAGTCGCACGCTATAGAGACCGGGCGAGAGATTTTGCCGGTCAATTTTGGAGGTTCTTCGACGAGGATGGTGCCTCTATTCCCTTTGGGAGATCATTGACCTACCGATTTGCCATGGGTGCATTCTACTCAGTCTTTGCTCTTGCCAAATGCTATGATGATACAAACCGCTACACATCTGCCGGGTTTGTGAAAGGCATGCTCTTTCGGCATCTCAGGTGGTGGGCAAAGAATTCGTCGCACATGTTTGCGGTTGACGGGACCTTGACAATCGGGTATCTGTACCCGAATATGTTCATGTGCGAGGATTACAACTCTCCGCAGTCACCTTACTGGGCAATGAAGCGTTGGTCATTCTGGCACTAGAGGAACACGATGATTTCTGGACTGCGGCTGAAATCCCCCACCCGTTGTCCTCGACCTTCTTTGGCAGCGAGCCCGTCTCCGGAGTAGAGGTTCTGCATGCGCCATCTCAGATCCTGTGTGACCATCCGAAAGGTCAGCATCACTTCATGCTCTCTGGTGGCCAATTCTGCTTGTGGCCCTTGAAAGCCACACAGGCAAAGTATAGCAAGTTTGCCTACTCATCGGCGTTTGGGTTCAGTGTGCCTAAGGGCGGTCTATTGACCCAGCTTGCCCCTGAAAATACCCTTGCTATTAGCCGGGACGATGGCAATACATGGGCCACAAGATGGGAGACTATTGGCGGTCCCCATGTGCTACCGAAGACCTTCGGTGATACGACAGCACCATCTCTCCAGTGCACTTGGAAGCCTTGGAAAATTGAAGAAACGGAAATCGAGACAACGCTCATACCACCATGTGACAGATGGCCTGACTGGCACGTCCGAATCCACCGCATTACGAGTCCACGCAAAGATTCTTCTGTTCCAGAAAAGTTCACTATTGTTGAAGGAGGCTTTGCAATTCAAGCGAAAGAACCGCGACTGATGGGCCGGTTGGATCAAGACTGGGGAGGGGCCTCGAGTCATGGAGGGACTTTGGAAACCGAAAGTGGCTCATTAGTCCTCAGCAGCGCTGGTGTGAGTGGTCTAAAGAGTAATCTTGCCACAGATACGGTAGCGGAAGGCAAGGTGTTAAAGTCGGATCCAAACACGAATCTAATGGAACCCAAAGCATTGATCCCGACAATCCAGCATAAGGTCGAGATACAACCAGGAGAAAAGGTGATAATAGCTACATCCGTCTTTGCTATCGCAAACGGAAAGAAACATCTCACCCGCGAGGAAATGTTACAAAGATGGTGCCAGCAGCCTCGTTTGAGAGAAATGTTGAGTGAGATAACTAGCGATAGCTTTTGACAGAAGTAAAGAACTCCGTATTTTTCAGGCGAAGAAACCACCCATAATCTTAGCTATTGAATATACACTGATTGTTCCCTATATTTCTGGTAGGATTGCGCATATGGAGATCTATACTACTCTACTACTCTATAGTATAAAGATGTTAGCGTAGCACCCCTTCAAGTTCAATGCAAGCTACGTTGATTCAAATATAAACAAAGTTTGGCTAAGTAGTTTGGTTCGAACTCAATCGACGAGAAAATCTTGCCCAAAGCAGTAAATTCTGAACGAACGAGGTTCCTCTCGTGTGGGGAGACGTCGGGGGGATCTTTCGCCCGAGCAGCGGAGCATTCCCCGCCCCGTGGCTTCGAGTTGAGAAATTTGTAGAGAAACGTGGTTAGCGGCCCCTTGATGGGCCGCGCTAAAGACTCATGCGGGTTCCCCGGATTGATTATCAGCATGGTCGACCGAATGGAATAAATAGGTGCTGCATGGGGCTTGCTGCACGAGTCGGAGATTCCCAGCGAGTCACAGGATCAGTCGACCCCTTGTTCCTGAATTGTTATCCTCAAGCACCACGATGGGTTCCTTGCAATCCCCAGATGAAGAGATCAAGCTCTCAAAGGAGCCATTGGAAAAGATCGCGAGCCATGATGAAGGGCTTCCCACCCGACAAGCCCTACTCGAAGCCCTCAAGGCAGAGAGACCCTCTCCTTGGTCGCCAAACCTGAGGAAACTCTATGTCTTCTGCCTAATCGCGTTTCTTTGCTCATTAATGAATGGTGCGTATATGACGGCTCGGCACAAAGAGATTATCAACTGACACTTCGTCAGGATACGACGGGTCTATCTTTGGATCTCTTCCTGCGCTGGACTCCTTCAGGAAACAGTTTGGAGTTCAGAAGAATGGTTCTAAAATAGGTTACATCTCGGCAATGTACACGGTTGGGGCAATCTGCTCATTGCCATTCAGCGGACCAGCCTGTGATATCCGTGGCAGGAAATGGGGCACCTTCATCGGTTGTATTATTGTCGTCGCTTGCACTTTTGTCTCCGCCACGGCCCGCGGCGTACCGCAATTTGTTGCCGGTCGATTCTTACTGGGCTTCGGAGTCAACATTGTGCGTTCGACAAGTTCTATTTGGTGTGCAGAGGTCTGCCCACCTGCTTATCGTGGAATCATCATGGCGTTTTATAACTGCACGTACGCTGTCGGCTCCCTCATCGCTGCTGGCGTGACCAGAGGATCGGCTGGGTATGAAGGCAACAAGTCGTGGCAAATTCCGTTGTAGTGGCCAAATGATATGTCCGGGGATTGTCCTTTTGACGGTTCTTTTCTTCCCCGAAACCCTCGATGGCTATTCTCACACGGCAAGGAGGAAAAGGCATGGGAATTCTTGGCTTACTACCATGGGGAAGGCAACCGTGATCATCCGCTGGTGCAATTGCAGCTCCAAGAGTATCGAGAATTCATCTCGCTTTCCGGCTCGGATAAGCGCTGGTGCGACTTTAGTGACTTTTACAAAACGAAGGCAGGCAGGTGGCGATTCATCAATGCGCTCATCACGGGAATATGGGGACAATGCTCGGGAAATGCGGTCGTCAATTCCAGCCATGCTCCTCACCACCAGCATCACTCAGTCCGAGCAAGTGTTGAACGTCAATCTCGGCTACACCGTGGTATCCACCGTGGCTTCATACTTGGGTGCGACCCAGATTGAGAGAATGGGCCGCCGCCCAACCATCATCTGGACAGCAGTCGCCTGTTCGATATGCATCGCGTGTATTACGATCGGCTCGAGGCTGTACGCTCATACTCATGCCCCGCCAGCGGCTTCCGCTGGGATTGCATTTATCTTCATCTTCGGATTCTGCTACAACTTTGGCATGACACCGCTGCAAGCGTTATACCCAGTCGAAGCCCTGTCCTACGAGACTCGCGGCAAGGGCGTTGGTCTCACATTCTCCATCGCCCATCTATTCACTCTTCTCAACCAGTTCTGCTTCCCTGTGGCCCTTCAAAAGATTGGTTGGTATACTTACATCGTCTTCATTGCTTGGGATCTCTTTGAAGCAACCGTGAGCTACTTTGTTTCAGTCGAAACTAAAAATCACACCTTGGAGGAATTGACCGAGATTTTTGAGAGCCCGAATCCTGTAAAGGCTTCCCTGCAAAAGCCGCTCCGCTGAGTCGGCAAGTTGCTCATTTTGACTTTGAAGTAAAGCGCAAGAAAGCCTTGGAGAAAGAACTGTATTCGTCCCGTCTCATATGAATAACTCCTACTATTCTCCGATGCTATGTCTGAGAAGTTGCTACAATATGTCTTCTTTTCTAGGTGCAACATACCATCAAAATAGGTGCGAACATGGCTATGAATAGGGTAAAATTAACAGCACTCAAAGATTGTATCGGGCCGATACTAGTACTGTAGCTAGAATCGTTACGGATGAAAGGATAGCTATAGGGGAACAGGGTTAACACTCTCGGCAGATACCTTTACGTATAAAGCAATTATCTAGTCGACTCTCAAGCTATTGATCAAGAAAACGAAAGAAAGTAGATTGCGAACTAGATTGCATCCTTCTATAGTTCTATACCATCCACGTGACTCTTCCGATTCGACCCGAAATTCCCCCCGCGCGGGGAGAAAGAAGAATCCCGCCGATCTCCCCCACCTCCGATTAGCACGGCACTTTTCCTTCAATCTTTCTATACACCTCAATCCAGTACACTATCTCACAATGGCCGCTTCTCACGGCGACTTGCGCCACCTGCTGCCAATCAATTATAAACGCCAGATCACGGACTGGCTCGAGGAGGACTGCCCCAGCCTCGACTATGGCGGTTTCGTCGTCGGCGAGTCGGAAGGCGAGGCCCGATTGCTGGGTAAGAGCCAGGTGAGTCAACTAACAACGGAGTGTCGCAACGATACACTCCACTACACTACACTACCAGATAAGCCCGTACTCATGAAATGATATATACTAACGCAATGCACCAGGGTATCCTTGCTGGTGTCCCCTTCTTCGACGAGGTCTTTTCCCAACTCGGTTGCTCGTACGTCCATTTCCCCCCTCTCTCCATCAACCCTTCACCGGCAACCCACTAACTAACAACCGCCCTTTCTCCCAGAATTGAATGGCACATCCAAGAAGGCACTGCCATCCCCGCAAACACGATAACCCACTGCGCAACCGTCCGCGGTCCCGTCCGCAAAATCCTCCTCGGCGAACGCGTAGCCCTAAACATCCTCGCCCGCTGTTCCGGCATCGCCTCCAAGGCCGCTTCGATGCTCGCCGCCCTCCGCGCCCAAGGCTGGGCCGGTACACTAGCCGGAACCCGTAAAACAACGCCTGGTTTCCGTGTTGTCGAGAAATACGGTATCCTAGTCGGAGGCGCGGACCCGCACCGTCACGATTTGAGTCATATGACCATGTTGAAGGATAATCATGTCTGGGCTTGTGCGAATAATGGGGCTGCGGCCGGAGGAAAGACGAATCCCGAGAGTATTGCGGCGGCAATTCCGAAGGCCGTTGCTGCTGCGAAGGCGGCGGGTGGGTTTGCGACAAAGGTCGAGGTTGAAGTTCGGAGTCTGGAGGAGGCGGATGCTGCTATTGGGGCTGGGGCGGATGTGGTGATGTTGGATAACTTTACGCCGGAGGGTGTTAGGGTGGCGGCGAAGACGTTGAAGGAGAGTTGGGCTGGGAAGGGGAGGTCTTTCTTAATTGAGGTTAGTGGTGGGTTGACCGAGGAGAATGCTGCGGCGTATGCTTGCCCGGATGTGGATATTTTGTCCACCAGCTCGATTCACCAGGGAACGGGCATTGTGGACTTTTCGCTCAAGGTCTCTCTGCGGTAGAATGGTGATTCTCGATCAAATAGGAGGGTAAACCAGATGTATCAATAGTCATATTTTTGGACAGCATTACAGTACTTCCTTGGGCCGGGATACAACACATGACATGGATCAAAAAAACGTCAAATGGTGTTTTTGAATAAGATACAAGAGAATCGAAGAAAAGTAATAAGAAACGCCATCGTAACCATCGTGACTCGCGCAAAGATGAAGGACGGGGTATATAGTAGTACACAGTACAAGAAAAAGCCAAGAACCACCATTCAGACTCACACCTCAATGTCCACCGTGATCCCTTCCCCTTCACTCGAGCTAGTAGGCCCTTCGTCCGAGGTAGGCACTCGACTACGGCTACTATCCGTAATAGTACCGGAGGGACCTCGTCGAACTCGCTCTCGCTGAAGTTGATCCCGCAACCGCTGGTTCTCGGCATCGCGCTCCTCCAGACGCTTGCGGGCACCACTGCGATCTAGAAGACGGCCTTCTCGCTCAGCCTTGAGCCGTTTCTCCAACTCGTGCAGTCGGTGAATCCACTTGTCATCGCTGCCTTCCCATCCACCGGCTCCACCGCGTGAGCGAGGCAGAATAGCACCAGCGTTATTGGTGAGTGTGCTATTGGATGAGGTGTGTGATGGCTGGGGGAGACCAGTGGAACTGCGCGTGAGACCTCTCTCGGAGCGCGGCTTCTCACCGGTACCGGGTGTAGAGTTATGCCGTGTCAAAGAGGAGCGCTCAGGGTCTACTGTAGACGCAAGCGATGGTGACCGCGGACCGGAAGCCATCACGGCCGCAGCGGCAGCAGATGCAGATCCATGAGTGCGGGTGTTGGACTGGAGTAGGTTGATCTCAGCCTTTAACAGACGGTTCTCACCACGGAGCTTGGACACTTCAGATGACGAGCTGGAAAATCCCCGTCCATTCCGCAGGTTTTTGACAGCCTCCTCGACACGTTCGAGTCGACGGACTCGTTGACCGAAAGAGCTCTCCAGGTTCTGGTACTGCTTCGTAAAGTCATGCTCAATACTCCTAATGCGAGTTTTGAAGCCCGAAATCACACCTTCAACGGTCCTAACGGCAAGCAACAAGTTTCGGCTAAACCCAGGCCAGAAGAGGATGTTGCCAATAACCTCTTGACTCGGCAGGTTACCGTTGATTAGGCTGTTCGAGTGTGCCCAATCAGGACCGCAAATCGACGAGAGTCTCTTCCAGATTGTAAGGAATAAAGCATTGCGCTCGCTGAGTTGGTCTCGGAACTGCTGCTCAAGCGAGGTAAACCGCTTCCGATCCGAATTGCGAGCATTCTCCAGATCCGTAATCCGCGAGTTGCTCTGGGTAATAGTTCGCGACGCCTGCTGGTGGTTCTTAAGGGCTTGCTCGAAGGACTGCTTATCTGCCCGACGAGCTTGTCGCTCACGCTCAAGAAGCTCAGAGAGCTTGCGAGACTCTAGACCGTGACTCTCCAAAAGGGCGTCGCGATTCCGAAGTAGCGACTCCTTCTCATCCAGTTGTTGCCGAACACTCTCCAATTCTAGCGCAGTCGACTCGAGTTCTTTTTGCAGCTTCATGATATTGGTGATCAGGCTAGACCGGCTGCCACTCAGATCTCCCAGGGTCTCGCGAAGGTTGTTCTCAAGGTCCATGAGACGCTCACGCCAGGTAGCAGTCTCAATTTCCTGGGTAGAAAGGCTCTTCTTCAATCGCCGGGCCTCCTCCTTGGCCGCCGACGCTTCTCGGTTGAGTTCGTTCATGATCCGCTGGACCTCTTGCTTCTCTTTGCTTCCGACTACCTCACGCTGGTGCCGCTCATCCGCCAGCCGCTGCTCCAACTCCCGAGTCTTCTCCTTTTCGCTATACAGGCTCATTTGGTAAGTCTTGAGCTCGGACTCTAGGTCGCCGATACGGATCTTGTCGCCATCTTGCTCTTCCCGGAGGAAGGCAATCTCGTTCTGGCTCGACTCGATCTGCACCGTCAGCCGCTGCACCTTGGCGTTGGCTTCGAAGAGGCTCTTTTCGAGACTCTCCATCTCACGATTCGTTTCTTCCAGCTCCAGCTGCACAGCCTTGTACCGCTCCAGATTGTTCTGAGCGTCTTCCTCGAGTCGAATGATACCCTCGCTGGCCGAGCGCATCTCGGCCTGTAGTACCCTCAGACTCTCGTCCTGGTTTCGTAGATCCTCGCCCATGCGCTGACACTCGACGATCTTCTGATCAAGCTCCTCACCAAGGGTATCAAGCTCCTCTTGTGCCTCGGCACGCAGATCTTGGAAGGCAGCGTCCCGCTCGTCGGCCATCTGAATGGCCTGGTCTCGCTCATGCTGTAGGTTGGCCATTTCTTCCTCGGCTTGGTCAACGTCGGCCTGATAAGCTTTGTCAAGCGCCTCCAGTTCACGAATGTAGTCTTCCAGTTGGTCACGAATAGCTTGATTCTCCAGCTTAAGCGTCGACACTTGGTCACGAAGCTGGCCGTTTCGAGCTTCGAGCTCCTCGCGATCCAGATTATCCCGAGATCCGGTGCCATCACTGACCTCTGACCCGGTGCGCATCTGAGCACGAGACGCCGAGCGGTCGAAAATGCTATCTCCGGCCACGGATCGGCTACCATCACGCCGCTGGCCGAGCTTGAGCTCCTCAATCTCTTGGTAAAGGCGCTCTTTCTCGCGGTTACGAGATGTAAGCATCGATGTTTGTGCGCTGACTTCCTTCCTCAGCTCGGCGTTCTCCTGCTTCAGGAGCTCGAGCTCAACCATAAGAGTGCTGCTGGAGGTGCTCATCAAACCGCCACGGTGGCCATCTCTTTCCGATGCGGACGCATACGAGACATTAGACCCGCCGCGCTCCCGCTGCCCCGGCTTCAAAGAGCTAGTAGTTGTGTAAAGTTCACTCTTGAGGCGAATCGACTCATCCCGGAGCCTACGGTTCTCTTCCTCGGCTTGTTCACGAGCAGCGGTCTCTGCCTCCAGCATGTCTTTCCACATGTCCTGTAAGTAAAACATTTAGCACCCGTAAAGCCAATTTTACCCAGGAAAGAAAATCACATACCCTCTCTTCTCGAGCCCCCGCCTCTGACCCTGTAGTACGGTTCTCGCTAAGAGACTTGACCATCTCAGCCAAACGACGCTTCTCGCCCTCGCGGGCAATATTCTCAGACCGCATCCGCTCAATTTCAAGCTCATAAGTCTCAACTCGCTCCCGTAAGAAGATAAGCTCCTCATCCTGAGCAGAGTCGCGATCGTCTTCCGATGCTTCAGGGTCATGGTTGACCATGGAGTCCTTGTCGGATTGCTGATCCTTCAACTGCTTCTCCAAATCCCGAACCTTGCGCTTCAGACCCTGGTTGTCTTTTTGCAGTTTCAACTTATCCGATTTGAGCTCCACGTTCTCTGATATCATCTCCTTAATTCCTTCCTCGGATCGCTTGTTCAAAGCCTCGTTGAGAAAGTGAATGCGCATTTTGAGGTCAAAGTTCTCCTTTGAGAGTCGGTCGATCGTGCTACTTTGTTCCTTCAGGGTCATCGTGCGGCCACTTCGTCCAAATGCAGGGGTCGAAGCTCCAGGGCGTTTCGCGGGTGATGGTCCAGTGTGACCAAAATCATCTCGGAATCTTTGGACAAAGGCTGTAGGAACCTGAATTCCCTTAACGCGTTCTGTGATGGCTGTATCAGTCGGGATAGTGTCTCGAGGCTTGGCTTTTGGTGTCATTGGCGCCGTGGCATCATCAAAGGCCGCTGCTTGGCGTGATGACTGCGGTGAGCTTTCTTCTTCCAGGGTATGCAGACCCCCGTCAATCGGGGCGCCGACGGTGCGTCTGTCCAGTGAGTTCTCTTCACTATAGCCTGAAACGCCAGAAGCCATACTACCCAGACTAGTTGTCCGAATCATATGAGAGCGCGGACCAGCGTTGAGACCACCCCATTGCTCAGAGGCCGCGCCTCCTGATTGAAGCGCAAAGTCAGCACCCAGAGTCGCATCGCTGTGAGTTGTTTCGGTCGTGTTGCTAGCAATGGAAGAGTGCGAGAGACGCTGGGCCGATTGACGACTGGTCAAATACTTCGGTCGGCTACCACTTCTTCGGCTCCCACCAATGCTGCCACTCTGATCACTGAATATCCTAGACTGGCCTGGAGAAAGGCTACGAGACGAATGTCGGAGCTTGGAGGGAGTGAGCTGGGATTCGCTTTCTGCAATGGAGAGTTGGGATCTGAAAGGTCGTTCATCTTGGGATAGCAGGCTATGTTCACTGGGATTTTCGGATTGCTGGTCACGCCGCAGACTCCGGAGCATGGCCGCAGCCGAAGGTGACGAGGTGAGCGAGTCAAGCATAGTGTCATTCGCGGTGTGCTGTATGTGCGTCGCGCTGGTCATATTCTCCGTCCCTTCCGCACCTCCATCGTGGTCTCCTTCGGTGTCCTGGTAGCTCTCGGATGGCGGAATAAACGAAAAAGTAGAAGACTGGGTCATGTCGGGATCGTAGCCTCCGACTCCAACCAAGTAGGTATCGTCTGCGCCCGCAGCGCGGCCAGTCGTAGCGACGTCGATGGTCGAGGGTTCCGGTAGAAAGCTCGACTCCACATCCATCAATTTACGGCGCATTTCATGCTCCTCGATCAGAGTCTGGTTGTTCACGCGTTCGCGATCGCCAATTTCACTCGACAAGAATAGACTGCTGTCATCGCGATCGGCCAAGGGAGGCAGAAGACTAATGTCTTCCTCATCGTGCAATTGAGCCGTCGCAGCGGGTGGTTCATCCTGCTCCTCCTTCTCATTCTCATTGTGCACCGTGGTGGCGTTGGTCGTCTCCGTCGTTGGTGCGGCTTGTGTTGTGGTGTCCGTTGGGGTAGAATCTTGCGCGCCGCTCGGGTTCCCATGCGTTATTGAGTTGTCGGTGCTGGTACTCCGGGGGTCAGCGCCCCGCGCGTCCTCGGCCATGAAGTAGTCTGAGGCGCTATAATCGGCATCCAGGGGGGAAAGGTCTTTGGGTGTGTGATATGGTCCAGACTCATGAGAAGAGGAGGGGATTTGCGCCGAGAGCGGGCCTGGGATGACGATCGGAGGTGTTGTAGCTGGGGCCCTGGTCGACATGGTGACGGCGTCTAGGCGTGTTTTGGGTACCCACCTGCACTGTGGTGTACCCACCACGATTGGCGAATTAGCGTTCGCTTGGTGCAGATGTCCTTGATAGCTCTCATTGGAGTTGCAGGAGATTTCGAGAGACGGTGTGAAATTAGATATGATCTATCGAGGTCTATGGCAGGAACCACGGGACCTGCGAACCAACAAACGAGTGTCAGGTGTACCACGGGTTGACTGTCGGGAGTATCGACACGGCCAGGCACGAGGTCTGATTGTTATTGCCAATCCTGCAACGGCTGGAATAAGTAAATGCCACGCATGGTTTACTCAACGACCACGGTTGTCTACTTTCTATACTCCCACAATTTTGGTATACTCCAGAGAAGAGGCGGTTGTTCACATTAACATTGCATTAAGAATATAAACAATCATGGTATCCATAGCGTCTTTCGTATCATAGCCCGAAGCATAAAACAAAACAATCAAGCCCACGTCCCGACAAAAATAAGATACCAAGAACAAGAGAAAGTGAAATAGTCATGGAAAACAGGATCAAGAGATATACAGGAAATAAAAGGGGAGAAAATTAGAAAGAAAAAAAAAAGAAAGAAAAGAAGAGAAGGAAGCCGTCAGTCATTTTTGGGCAGTATGTATACCACAGTCCCCCAACCTGGGGGGGAGGAATTTACAACGGTCTGCAATGGGAGGTGAATCGTCAAGGGAGAAGGGAAAGAAGGAGAAGGGGAGAAAAGGATGGAAAAGAAAAAGGCTAAAGAGACCGCGCCCGGGATTACGCGGTCGTGGAAGCAGTCGAAGGAGGAGCATCTTGCTGCTGCTCTTGCTGCTCCGTGTCCACATCTTCCCCATTCGCAGGAGAATTGTAGTAATTATTGGTCGAAGCATAGATCTCCCCCTTCTTGCTAATCGCATTGCGAAGCGAATCAATGTACGTCCGAAACTTGACAATTTCGCGCAACAGATACGATGACTTCCGCTCCCAATTGGCCATCGCCTTTGCAGAATTCGGATGCCGTGGGGAAAAGGCCAGGTTCATGGCCGGTCGAAGTTCGTTGTGCCGCTGGAGATCATCTTCGACGTTCTGCACATATGTCTGCAGAGCCTTAAGCTGGTCTTCCTCAGACTGGTGTGAGGCAACCATACTCTGCTGTGGTGGGCTCCAGTCGCTAATGTGCACCCGATCGGCGGGCAACTTGGGACGCACGACTCCTTGGTGGTCCAAGGAACTACGGATAGAGCTTTGGATGCTGGGCCGAGGGGCGCCGGAGGATGGGGGTGGGGAGCGGCTCTCAGCATTGACTAAAGCGCTGTTGATGACGGCGTCACTCCATCCATACTCGATGTTACTGATACCTCCCACCAGGGGCTCTTTGGAGAGTCGTGCGCTCCAATAGTTGGCTGTCGAGACAAATTCTCGCACGATCTCCGGCGTGCCAGCCTGGAAGAGGTGGACGGCGCCAGTGGGTAGGCTGAGAGCCCATACGTGAGGGCGAGACTTGGAGTAGCCCGGTGGTGGAAGGGCACTGGCAATAGTCTGACGGAGCATGAACTTCCAAATCTCTTCAGCGTTCTCGGTCCAGTTACCACCTCCGACCACAACGCCACCACGTTGCTTGGTTTTCTGTCGCATGGATTTAGACGCATTGTTGAACGAGAAGAGCCGCATCCAGCCCTGCTGGATGACAGCAAAACACTCATTCCAATTGCGGTCTTTAGCGCGCTTGTCTACCGCGTCCAAATGGTGCTTGTGCTTGACACTGCCTTCTTTGGCCCAAGGCGCACCGGCCAAGGCCAAAGTCTCATCTTCCAAAAGAGGAGCGGTCGGCTCCTCGTAGCTGTAGACGGATGTGGCAGAATCTTCACGGATGATAGCCTGGCTCAGAGCATTGGCGAAACCAATGGACTGCTGGTACTCGCCACGAGGATACTCGGAGCCAAAGGAGTCCACCGAGGCCGATGTGAATTTGCCCAAGGAATATTTGCTCCAAGTACTCGACGCAGTCGGACTCCAGACGGAGGACTGGTCGTCCAAACTGGTCCGACTGGAGCCCATCATGGATGGAGGGTAGAGTCGTGCTCCCCGCGAGCGGGGCTTGGATGACCATCTCGCGGCACCATGGCGGGAATCTGCTGAACGGCCACGGGGGAAAATATCCGAGCCACTCTTGCTGATGGTGCTGGGACTCCGGCGAAGAGTACCCGATGACGGAGTTAAGAAATTGCTCGAGGCCATACGAGTGATCTCCTTCTCTGGAGGAGCACCGTGGAGAGGAAGCCTCTCCTTCTGGATGGAGGAATAGAAATCTTTCAGAACCGTCTCCACCTGCTGCTCCCATGCTCGCACGGTTCCCGTAAAGGGGGTATTGACCAACGGACCAGCATCGACGTCAGTGACATTGCGGTTGGTTTTATCATCCAAGGAGCCACGGGTCACATCTGGGGGGAAGGTTGGCGAGCGCGCAGAGGTGGGTGCTGAGTGTGCAGACTCGGCGGTAGGCACAGTCTTGGCCTTTTGAGGCCGCAAAGTCTCGAAGCCCTCTGGCGCTGCATCCATGGCCACGCGATGGATCGTGGGCATGGTATTGCGAACGAATTGAGGTTTGGTCATCTTCTGCTCAATGTCCGCCAAGTGCAAATCGGTATTCAGCAGCAACAAGGAATAACAGATAGTATGGACAACATCTAGAGATCGTCAGCAAGAGTCTTTCTTGAAACCAGCATATCAGCACTTACCAGTAGCCTTGAAGCCATGACTCGGGTTGCAGTCACACCATCTGCATGAAAAAGCATCCAACACTCTGTCAACTTGTTGAGTCTCTCCTTTGAGAATCAAGCGCTGACAAAGACTCCGGAGAGCTGCAAGAATGTTCATATTCGACCAATTGTAGAGTCGCATGTAGGCCTCGCGAACCATCGCCCGGTCAGGCTCTCCAAGCCAAGCAGCCGCTGGCACGTTACCGACCATCTGGTCTTGACTATCGAAGAGTTTCTGCGCTTGCTCGCGATCAGAGGCGGTAGGACCATCCTCGACAGCATCGCCAGGTCCATTGGTCGTGTCTTCCTTCTCATCATCGCCAACAATGGGCTTGGGTTCCTCCGATTCAATGACTGGCGTATTCGACGCGGTCAGATACTGCGACGCCTCCGAGGCAGCAGGCGACTCGGGAACATTGCTATCCGACGGCAGAGTCAACTTGCTCGGGCCTGTCGCGTTGTCACAAGCAGAATCCGTCGGCGGTGCCATTGTTGTTGACACCCTGATGGCGCGGGAGAAATCCTCTGCGACAGGTGACAGCGAGGTAGAGGGGTTGACATTAGAGTTCTTTTCCTGCAAGGGGGACTCTGCGGATGAAATAGACTCCACATCACTTGGTTGCTGGGTGGAGTTATTGGTGCCGCGACTATCTGCTAATGGCAAACGAGAGTCCTGCTGGCCGCGAGACGTGGTGGGAGGCTGGATGGTCTGCTTCGGTTTCGAGCCACCACCAGGAGCCGAGACACTTTCCCTTGGCTTTTGCGCCTGTAGCAAGGTTGACTCGATAGGCCGATGTTCCTCTCGGCGGTTCTCTTTGCGATCCACGTTTGCAGGTGCGCCGGGCTCGTCCAGATATTGATTCATAAACTGGCGCAAACTGCTCACGGGACTAGCTTGGGGTTTCGTCACATCCAGATTGTGGGGGGAGAGCTCTTGAGGTAGTTTGATCGGAGGTGGGGCGTGTTCGGCCACGGACTTCTTACGCCGGCGGAAGAAGGAGGACTTTTGTTTCACCACTTGAGGAGGCCCTCTGCGGGCAGCAGGCGTAGGCGTGGCAGCTACCGTACTCTTTGGAGGTTGCTGCTGCTGGGGTTGTTGTACCTGTTGCGGTTCCCGACTTTTGAGGGTGGGGTTCGCACCCGTGGAATCCTTAGTCTCATTCTCATGGAAGTTAGAGATGTCGCCCAAATGAGAATTGGGGGATTCCGAGGGAGACGAGGCCTTTGATACTCCGCCAAACACTCGGCGGAAGAAACCCGGACGTGCTGTGTTAGGGGTATTGATTGGGGCAGCAGAGGCGCTCATGTTAGCCGTAATCGTGGTTGTCGTGCTCGTGACTGTCGGTTCCGGTTGAGGGAAAGCTGGCTTATTGTATGATATCGTTGGACTGGGGGCAGGCGGGTCCAATGTTGCCGGCATGGCCGGCGGAAGATCAAGGTCCGTATCACCGAGGAAGTCGTTATCGCGGGTCTTGAGGGCCCCTGTACCAATATTTTCTGGACGATTCTTTCGGACCTGAGGCGCATTGGACGATTTCACACTGTTTCGACGTGATGCCACGGGCGTTCGGGACACAGTTGTGTTGGGGGTTCTGTAGTCGTAATGTTTGCGCGGGCCGGCAGGTACGCTGGGGGTTGGAGCGGCATCATCATCATATAATAGAGACTCCTGGCCCAAGCCTTGGTCCGCATAGGGACTGTAAGCCTTCTTCGGTCCGCAGTCAAAGCTCTCCGAGCGCCGGCCTCGGCCATCCGAGTCCGCGCGACCTCGGGGCATGGTATATGAATAATCTGCGTTGGACGCGCTTCCCTTGCTTCCTTTGCGAACATCATTGGCTCTCGGTAGGGTACCTCCCCTGGATCCCATTGCATCTCGGCCACGGGCGCTACTCATTCTCCTCGGGGCTGTCTGATGGTTTGAACCGCTGTTGCTCCGTCGACCATTGGCGGTGATGGTCGCATAGCGACTGCCACTGCCGTCGTCGTAGCCAAAGTCCGCTTCGGAAGACATCGAGGAGGAGAACGTGTGACCGCGATATCGGCCTTGTAGATCGGGTTCAAATGCAGAGTTGAAGAGTCGATAATCGTCCAACACCGATCCGGGTCCATCAAATTGATCGAGCGAGAGGAGCATATTGTCTACGATGGAGGTACGGGCCGCATGCTTGGGCGACAAAGACAAGTCATGAGGGTCGCGCTCGTCGCCCGACTCGCTGGCTCGGGGCGCATTGTCGGCGTCGGGGAAGGCATCACGGATCGATGGACGGGCAGCGTAGCCACGCTTGGGCCGATAAGTTGCGGTCTGAGAGGGCGGAGTGCGAGGTGGAGAATTGGAAGCGTAGACGCCGCGCTGTTGGGACATTGTCACTCTGGCGACAGGCAGGTTAGTCTCGGACTCGTCGTCGAGGTACGGGTCGACCAATTGTGTTTGATTTAGGGTTCAGGAGAGCCAGACTCGAAGCGGACTGGGGACATCGGGGGGGAAAGGGGAGAAGGAAAAAAAATAACAGATATTGTATTTGGTAGGCACGTACCAGTAATGCCCAAAGGCTTGAATGAAGCAGAGCGTTCGTTGCCCGAAAGGCCGGCTAGTGTGATGTGCCGGTCAACGAGCAAGAATGTCGTTGCTCGTTCGTTTGGATTGAAGCGCGGGAGGGAGGTGTTCAGTCGGTCATGGCATGTCCAGGGCCAGTCAAGAGGGTACAATTGCAGCGCGGCTGCATACAGCGAGAAAAGCGCGAGGCCGGTGATTGGCAATCGGGCTAGCAGTCGGTGGTGGTGGAAGACACAAGGTCCAGAGAAGCGCAGTTGGACGAGAGATCTCAGAAGAACCCGGGGGCGGGACGAACTCCTGAACGGGGCTCGGACTGGTGAGTGGAACGGTGGAACTCGACTACCGAACTTTCAATCCTTTTGTCTTTCGGAGAGTGGACGGTCAATCAAAGTTGTAGGAAGGAGTGTTCCAGTATGGATTAATGAATTAGGGAAAGGGACAGAGTGGGTGGACTGAGCAATCGGGCCAACGTGAAGCAGATGCGAAACAGGGGGCATTTATGGATTACTAGACTAGACTATTCATCCCTGATCTGCCAGGACGAGACTGTTACTTGTTCCGAACAGTTGATCCCTGACAGGGTTCTCCAAAAAAAAATATGTATTACTTTTTTAATTTAATTCCCTGGTATATGTACCCTTCTACTCTCGCATCATACATTTTCAGGGGCTACAGGATGCGCTGGCGGCATTCTCAGGAACGTTTTCGAGAAACGTTGATTCCGTAGACCAACCAGGTCCGACATTCATCCAAGGTATCTTATACTTTTCTCTTTTGAAAAGACGGTGAGGGTCGACTTCATCAATACGGGGAGTAACATGGTCAACTTTGCCACAATCGTGGTTCTTCTGACCTCTCTCCTCTTGATTCTTGCTGGTCGATCCGGTTGGTAAGACCCTCGGTGGATCCTCCAAGTGGAGAACCGCCACTTAGTCCGTGGTCGTTGCTGGTCAATGCCGGGCATAATCAGTGGTTTATCTATCTGCCGACCCATGCCAGGCTTCTTACACTTTCTTTCCATCATCATTCTCGTCCCATGCAACGTTGCGAGTTTGAGTTTTGTGTGTACTGAATCCCGCAGTGCAATCCTTATGCAGGTCAAGCGATGTGATGCATCGGGTTGCAGACCTAGGCGATCGGCGTGGTTGCCTCAGCTCTGTTTTCTCCGCAAATTTGGTAGATCGATCATATAATTCCTTCGGGGTAGACTTGTTCTAGAGCAACTATCAAGTACATATCCGTGCCCTGGCGGTCGCACCCAAGACCATCCGCTCTTGGGTGCACCCACCACACATGCCCGTCATGTACTTTTTGTACAGCCTCACCATACAAAAGATAGTTGCCTCATAAAACCAGTCTTTCTTGAATATCCTAGTATATTACACTAGATAGTTAATTTCTATATGATAATATGTTATTTAAAGGTAGATTATATCTAGTACTCTAGTAATTCATAAGTCTTGCCTCTGGTAAGTATTATAAGATATCTTTGAAACTCTCCCACAGTAAATCTTTTTAGAGAAATAATAGATAGGTATTTACACTATCCTTCTTAATCTATTTATCTTCTTAAATAGTATAAATAGCTAAAAGAGATAGGTGATTATACTTAGAGAGGTAGTTAAGAAACATAATATAAGTTCTTAAATAGTTTTATATAAAAACGGTTTTAGCTGATCATGTACTTTTTGTATAGCCTCAATGACGGGGATTATGTTATTGACGGGGATGTGTGGTGCACCCAAACGGGAAGCGATTTGGGTGGGCAGCAAGGCACGAATACCTCGCTATCTTCCCATGCTCTCGTGCCAAAAGGGGAATTCCCGCGGTGAATTTTATACTTCCGACCAATCCTACAGTTGAAGCCCTGCATCTCCCATTGCTTCCGCTGCTGGATCTATCCTACCATTCTATCTCCCGCTTCCCTTAACTGGAAAGTCTATGCGGACAGATGCCGTAGATGCAAGCCAGAGTGAGATTCATCGATCGAGTGGGCGCTCAACCGTGATGATCGATAGTAAACGGGGTTCTTGGTGCACACAGGCCGATAGATAGTGATTATGGATTGCGACCAGATCGGAAGCATGATAAGGGGATGAAACTAGAAGGAGATGCCCTGACAGAAATCTTTGTATCCAAGCCAATCTGTCAAGGAGGCTTTCCATACTCTCATCAACTAGTCCCGGTTTAGTCCCAACTGGGGACGAAGCTTGGCTTGTAACCTTCCCCTTGCTGCCTCAGGTGTCTTTCTACTCCACGTCTCCACGTGATCTCAACGATGACATAACCGACCGACACGTCGACGAGTACCTCCGTACGCCGTCCCCGTGCAAGCTCCATGAACCCCCGACTTCGACCAGTCTGACCAGTTCAGATCTCGGGTTGTGAAGAAAACAAATCCCCCAAAAATGAACCCACACATCTCCGTCCCCCGCCAACATGCCGGTCCGGCCAATTTTGGGTCTACGCCCAGTCGCGGGTCCAACGTTCGCATGCCGCGCTTCTTCAAGAGGTAATCCGATACACCCTCGAGCCCGAAGGTGGAGATGACTATTGTCCCCCCGCCAGAGCGGGGCACCGGAGGATATTGGGGATGAATATGAGCTGATTAATCGTGCGATGCATAGACTCTTCAAGTTCCCGCAGATGGACTTTGAAATGGCGATTTGGGAAATGACCTCCTTGTTGATTGCGCCGAAGAAGGTCTTCAAATCCATATACTACCATGTAAGGCGACCCTGGTGAAATGGGCCGGAGCCGGTCGATCTGCTCCTATTGTCCGATATGAACGAGGAATATGCTAATGACACTTTCTCACATTGACAGAAACGTGAGTTGTCCCGCATTTCACAAATCACAACTGCTCAAACCCTCGAGGAGGTGGACGGCATTACCTCGCTATTGTTCCCTCCGCCATCCAATTGCAACCCCACGCCCTCGATATCCCAATGCCTCTTACTAACCTCCTCCAGAAACGAAAAACACATGGCACCGTCCCGACCCGTCCTTCACATACCTCCTCTCCTTCTTCCTCCTTCTTACCGCATTCGCCTGGGGCCTAGCATACACCCACTCCTTCGGTTCCATAATCCGCCTCTCCTTCCTCTTCATTTTCGTCCACTTCATCGGCTCCTCCCTCTTGATATCTACAATCGGCTACTTTGCCATCGGCCGACTCTTCGGTCCCAACGGCGCCGCCGCCTCCCTGACCGGTCTCCGCGGCTCACGCGCCCGTCGTCGCGGCGCAGCACAAGGCCTGTTCGCGCAACCGGGTGAAAAGGAGCAACTCGAATTCGGATACTGCTTCGACGTCTCGAACCGAGCATTCTTCCCGCTATACTTGCATCTCTACGTCGTGCAGTTCTTGCTCCTCCCGTTGTTGACCCGCTCGCCGAGTGATTTCCTGGCGACTTTCTTGGGGAATTCGTTGTATCTGTCCGCTTTCATCTATTACACGTATATCACCTTTTTGGGATATAATGCATTGCCCTTCTTGCATAACACGGAGCTTTTGTTGGTGCCCATTCTGGTTTTTGCGGTGCTGTGGTTGGTCACCTTGATTGCCGGGTGGGGGGTCGTGATGCAGGGCCACGGTGTCGAGGGGTTGTTCTGGGGTGTTCCCGATACGAAAGGGTGAACCCTTTCGTCTAGTCGGTTGGTGCCGTCTTGACCTGGGGGGTTTGCTTGGTACGTTTCTCTGGCCGACCCCCCGTGTATGAATTTTTTTCTTTTCTTTTTCATTTCCAGCTGTTCTCTTGGCTATGCATTTGAAAAATGTTCGCATCTGTTTGTTTTTCGAGGGAAGGGCGTCTGTACATGATCTTCTTGTTTCTCCCATTGCCCCCATCTATAAGACCGGGCATCTTGTCTTCTTGGCGTGTGATATAGACCCAAATATCAGATTTCCATCTTTGCAAAAGTTAATACAATTTCACATCAGTTTTGAAGAATGTAGTACTTTTCTCGAGTGCCGGAGCTGAGCAGCCTAATCTGATAAGATCTATCTATATTTCGAGTCGAGTAGATCAGGATTCGTCCTGGCTTCTCCAAGCACCCACCAACGAGACCAACACCAAAAGTCATCCAATTGTATATCATTCATCATGTATTGGTAAATCTTCAAGATCCCTACAAACACCATATACCCCAAACCCAACCACCCATAGTCCCTAGATAAGAATCACCTCTCCTCTCTCCTTTCTCCCTCTTCACTTCTCACTTCTCACTTCTTCTTCGGCGGCCCCTTCTTCCCCCTCCCCATCGCAGCAGCCCTCAACTTCTCCTCCCTCTCCTTCACCAGCGCAGCCTTCTCCCTCGCCACCTCATCCTTCTCCTCCTTCTCCGCCAACTTCCTCAACCTCTCCGCCTCCCGCTGCTCCCGGATAATAGCCAACCGAGCCAAATCAGCCCGCGCCTCGTCCGTCTTGCCCTCCGCATGAAGCTTCAAATACCGCTCCCGCGCTTGCTGCGCTTCGAGCGCCTCCCGCTCTCGCCGGGACAGCTGCGACACGTCCTTGACGGCTGCTTTCTTGCCCGCACCCGCACCCCCTTGCCGGCTCGGTTGCGCGTCATCGTCGGGCTTGGAGAGCTGGGACCGCGACTTCGCGCTGTGGTTCGGGTTCGCGGGGAGGTCGGCGTCGTCGGCTTCGGAGGAGGATGTCTCGCTGTCCGAGGGGAGGTCGCCCGGTTGGGCGGGGCCGCGGTCGCGTCTGGCGATTGCGGCGGCCTTTTTGGCCTTTGCGGCGGCGCGCCGGGCTTCGCGGGTTAGGTCGTTGGGGGCGCCCGGTTGGGTGCTAGGCCCGCCGGTGGTGCTGGTGGTGGTGGTTGGTTCGTCGTCGGAGCTTTCTTCTTGGGAGTCTTCCGAGGAAGATTCTTCTTCGCTTGAGGAGGGGATTTCATCTTCTTTGTCCTGTGGGTATGGGAAAGGGGAGTGTTAGTGATGTGTGGGTCAAAAATTGAATTTGAGATTGAGGTTTTAAGTAAGATCTGAATCTTCGGGGAGAGACGTACGCGCCAGAGACCGACTTGGTTGCCGTCTTTGTCCGTGCCTTGGAGATCACGACTGAACTTCTTGCCTCCTATAAATCGATTCGTGAGCTTTCTCGTCCTCAAAGTGCTGTGATACGACGATGTGCACGCGACCATACCTCCTCGTGTGGGCTTGGAGAACTTTCCTCCACGACCGCGGGGTGCCATATTGGAGATTGTGTGTGTGTGTGTGTGTGTGTGTGTGTGTGTGTGTAGTCGGAGAAAATAAAAATTTGTGTAGTAGAGGTGCGTATCAGCCGTGGAAGAGCAATTCGCTGAACAGAAGGATGCTGTGGTTTCCAAGTCAGAAGCTGCCTTTTGAGTCACGGTAGGAGAGGCATACACCGCAGAAATAGAGGGGCAAAGTGGGGGGGAATCTCGAGGGGTGATGTAGAAGGGCGATTGGATGGATGTGTGGACAATTGAGCTGAGAAGCCTCTATTATAAGGAGGGAATTGAGGAGGGCGTTCAAGGCAGAGTGAATATGGGCATTGATAAAAGTCACTTACTTTTCTCGTCTAGAAGGTACTCACTATAGGCTCGCGGTGGAAGTAGAGGAGGTGGGCTCCGTAATTGAGCAAAAGGGCGAGTCACCGCGTTCGTATTAATCAGGTCCATCGAGGATCCAGTTTAGGGCTGTATTGGTAATACCAGGGCTATGGGGGATATTGGCTAGCACGAGTTGGAAGAACCTATCCGATTAGTAGTTAAAAGTAATAGTTTCTGTCCTAATGTGGAGCTATTTGGATATATCTCCACGATGAGACATGAGTGTCCTTTGAAGGACTAATACTAAAGCAACTGCTGAACTGTTCCGTCCATCGAGGTTGAGATTTGAATCTACTGTACTATTGATAAGATATTTACAATACCTTACAATACACATACTAAATGTGCCTTGAGCAACTTCAAACCTCTACCTCGCTGGACTTCATCACTAACCTATTTACCTCTTCATCAATACTAGATTCCCTCTCTACTGATCAAAATACAGCCACTTTATGATAGTATATCCGTTCATTAACATTAAACTCCCCAGTGACACTATTTACAAAATACATGCCCGGGATATGATATCCTTTCCGTTCCTCCCTCCCTCCGCTCTCCTCCCCCCTCCTACACCCTGGCAAGCCCCATACCAACTTTAGTTATTCTCGCCGCAATCAAAGTCGACGTGCCCGCAATAATCGCACTCCCCATAAACATCTGCGCATATAAATACCCCCCATCATCCCGTTCAATCAACGCCCCAGCAATAGGCGACCCGATCAACGCAGCCACGGCCACAACGCTCAGCACCATCCCCATCCGCACACCAATCTTCTTCAAATCCGTCGTCAGCGTACTCAACGTCGCCGGGAACAACGACTGAATGCCCGCTGCGAACAGACCATACAGTGCAGCAAACACCCACAGACCAGACAGATCCTTGACGGGCGCCCAGCAGTACGCAACAATGGCGGTGGCTCCGCTGAACGGAATCAGCAGATTGAGCGGGCCCGTGAACTGATCCGCCAGCAAGTTCGGAACTAAGCGGCCGACGAGTCCGACCCCGTTCATGACGAGGAGCAGATCGATCGAGACGGTCTCCGATACACCGATGACGTTGCGGCTGAAACTGCCCACGTAGAAAAACCCGACATAAAGGCCCCAGAAATTCAGGAACATGCCCACTGCGAACAGCAGGTAGGGCAGTTCCTTGAACGCGGCTAGCTCGAGCAACGGCCCGCTCCTGCGGGGCGGCAGGCGCTGCTTGAAGAAGATCAGACACGGGATCAGCGTGACGAGTGAGATCAGTCCCAGCGTGCGCATGGTCCATCCGTACCCGACGCGCGGTAACAGGCGCATCACGACGGCGGGAAAGACGAGGCCACCCGTCGCCGAGCCGGAGGCAACGATTCCAATCGCGATGCCGCGCCGTTTCACAAAGTATGTTGATATCAGCGCCAACGTCGGACAGAACATTAGTCCACACCCGATTCCCTGGCCCAGTCCCTGCGCCAGAAAGAGTTGCCAGTACTCCGTGCAGAGCGAAGTCATGAAAATGCAGAATACTTCCAGCGTCGCTCCGATCGTCAATGTGAACCGGAAGTATCCCGCGTCCGTGGCTCGTCCCGAGAACGTCCCGATGAAGAAGAGGAGGAAAATCTGGATACTGCCGACCCAGGATATATCGGAGGGTGAACGGCCCAGCGTCGAGGTGTAGTATGTCTGGAAGACGCCGAAACTGTTGATATACCCCCACGTATTGAAGATGATCATATGGCCGAGTGCGACTTGCAGCCAGGCTTGGAAACCGCCGTCCGGTGGGGGGCCGAGATCTTTTCCGGACTCGCGTGTTCGTACGGCGGAGAGTGTGCGGGCGATTGCGCTTGCGTTGGTGGGCACTTGGGTGAGGGCATTGTGGGTGTGGTCGTGATGGTCGTGGTGGAGGTCCAGAGAGGATTCCTCGTCGGAGGATGGGGTGCGTGGGGGGTAATTTGCTTCGAGCGACCCCGGCTCGACGTATTGGTGGTCTTTTTCGTCCACCATTGCTATGCTTGCAGGTTGGTTCTTCTCGGAGGAGGAGGAGGATATGAAGTTTGCCATTGAATGTCGGCCTCGGAGATCGGCTATGACAATGCCGTGTGAATAAAGTTGAGCTCTCTTCTTTTTTTTTTTTAGGAGGTCGTAGTCTCGTTACTCATATCTCCTTGTGTAAACCAGGAAATCAAATATCATGCAGTTATGGGGGTGGGGAGTATAACTGGTTAGTATAGACAATTGTCATTGGAGTTGAAAAGTATCACCAGGAAGACGAACAAGATCAAGAACAAGGACAGGAAAGAAGAATTTTAGAAAAAAAAGGATTAATACCAGAACCGGATAAACTGATAAACTCATAGCTTGGACCCCGAGAGCGACCCCAAAATGAATATCGCCCTGACTCATAAATGCTAGTTAACTACAAGGCTCCATAGACCGGGACACAACCCGCTCCAAGAAATTTTTTAAAAAATCCGGGCAACGACTGCGAGCCGAGGGGGAACTAGCTGACTCGAATTCATGGACTGTAACAGGTGCAATTCAACATGTCATTAGTCATTTTCAACCGCGTGCCACTTCAAGTTCCAACGGGATTCGTGCCGAACCCAGAAACGGTCGGTTATTCGCACAGATTGCCGAAAAATCCAACACGCCCTCCGATGACAATCGCCGGGGGATCCACCTGGAACCAGCAGAAGACTTTGAGTACGGAGGTCACCGTTCTCGGACGCATTGCTAGTTACAAGCTGGATAGTACAGTATTCTACTCTAAAAAGGTATTGTAGAGTATAGAGAGTATAGGAAGGGTTTTCCCCACGGGGAAGAGCTTTGCAATCCCGCGCGTTGCCGATTCCCGTCTCGGCGTTGGAAATCGAGAACCCTGGATGATCGGGTATTGCGGGCCGCGGCATCATAGGCAAGCCCTTACAGTAACTATTCTACGGAAGTTTACTTGATGAAATGAAATATACAAACTGATCCAATCTAAAAGTCAAAGCCATCGGGAATACGCCTCCGACAGATTTACTGTAATTCCATTTGGTCTAACGCTCTCTTTACAATTCAAAAGGCTGGAATGCATCTATGCCCGAATCAGAACAGAAAGGATGCCACCTCGGGGGAAGAAAGAAAAAGAGAAAAAAAGAAGCGAGACAAAGATCCGACTGCGCCAAGCTTCCTCTGCATTTCAAAAAACGGTAACGATTAAAAAAAAAAGGGGCAATTGGGGCTGGACGAGGGAATTGGATGAAGACCGTCTTTTGTTCCGGCTTGTATGAATTCGTGTACGTGCATGATGCGATGTAGTGTAGGGCCACTAATCAGGAAGCAGAAACGCAAGCTAAATGGAAAAGCAGAACGGAGCGAAACTAGACCAGCATCGGGTGGGCTTGGGCCGCTTCGAGGACGCAAGAAAGATCGGGCGGTCAGCCTTCAATTAATGATCCTGGTGGGAATTGCTGTTGAGCATGTGCAGAGCACTGATGACGTCTGCCGGTTCGAGCAAGTGCCAACTAGCTTCGGTCTGCTTCGAGCTGGCACCGACGGTGACCGAGTACACATGGTCCGGGGGTAGGTTGGATTTCTTGAGAGCACGGAACATATCTATTCAAACAAAAAAAACATGTTAGCAAATCTGATCCTGAGGATAAGAATGGCGGTGGGTCATTGCATACCTTCGTCGGTAAAGTCATCGCCCAGACACAGGACAAACTCTGGTGCCTTGCCAGGCTCCGTGCCGTATTCGTTGACCAACCGGGTCGCGATGAATCCCTTGTTGACGAACGTCGGCCGCACTTCAAGATTGGCTTTGCCCGCCATAACCTCCACATCCCAGCGCTTGGCAACGGTATTCTCCAGGGCCTTGCGGCATTCACGTGCCTGGAAGGCGCCATATTCCGGGTCGGCCCGGCGGTAGTGCCAGGTCAGTGCCACACGTTTGCGCTCAATGAATGACCCTTGCGTGCGTTCAGTGTAATGCTGGAACACCTCGATCACTTCCTTCTGCCAGCCCATATTAGTGCTCTCGGCCAGGTTCTCCCAGTCATCTGACCGGGGCTTGCGGATGAAGCACCCATGCTCGGCACTGAGACCGAGTTCGGGGAGGTGGCCCATCCATTCGTCCAAAAACGCTTGGTCTCGTCCGCTGATGATCCAGACGGCATTGCGCGGGTCGGCAGACAGGCTCTTCAAGGTGCGCAGGACACGATCGGACGGGATGGCCGCCTGCGGGTCCTTGACAATGGGCGTGAGTGTACCGTCGTAGTCGAACATGAACAGTCGTCTGCGTGCTTTGCGGTACTGCTTCAACAGTTTCCCCCGATCCAAGGCGGGCGTGGCGACGGACTGGTCAAAGGAGGAAAGGTTGGTGAGGAGACGGTGGAGGAACAGCCGGGACCAGGTGCTGACGGTGTTGGTGATGACGTGCTTGTACAGCTTGAGATGCTGGTCCTTGCGTTGGTCGGCGGGCATCTTGAGAGCTTTGTCGATAGCGCCGGCGACACCCACCAAGTCCCAGGGGTTGATATGAATGGCACTGGGCAGGGTGCCCGCAGTGCCCGAGAATTCCGAAAGGATGAGGGGACTGTGGTTTGTCTGTTGACAGATAATGTATTCCAAACTCGTAGTGTTCATGCCGTCGCGCACGGTGGTGATCAGTCCTACGTCAGCGACACGAAGAAGAGCAAAGTATTCTCGCTGGGACAGATACTGTGGGTAGTACTGAACCGGAGAGAAGCTGAGTGAACCGAAGCGACCATTGATCGTGGAAACGAGATTGGCAATCTGACCAGCAATCTTGTTCTCGGGATCTTCCTTCTCCTCCTCCACACTGGTCGGGCTCGTCACTTGAATGAGAACCACCTTGTCTCGCCACTCGGGGTACCGCTCCAAGAAGATCTCGAAAGCTTGCAGCTTCTGGGCCACACCCCGAACGCTGTCCAGACGGTCACGGCCGACAATGATCTTCTTTCCAGCATACAATTTGCGAATGCCTTGCACGGTCTTTTCAAGATCTGGTGAACCAAAAGCTGCCTGTTGTATCGCACGAGCGTCGATTCCTATCGGGAAGACATCCACGGCGACGTGCGCTCCATAAGCGTCAACGCCGGCCGAATTGGACTCGAATCCCAGGACACGAGTGCAGCATGAAGAAAAGTGGCGCGAATAAGAAAAGGTCTGGAAACCGATCATGTTGGCGCCGAGGACCCCAGTCAAGACTTCCTTGCGCTTGGCGAGACATCGAACAAATTCGCTGCTGGGGAACGGCGAGTGCAAGAAGAAGCCGATGTAGATATTTGGGATGCGCTGTCGTAGCAGGCTGGGAAGCAAGAAAAGATGATAATCGTGAATCCAGACAACGTCTCCTTCCTGGTAGTCCGCCGCAATGCGGTCGGCAAAGAGTTGATTCAGGCGGGTATAATCAGCCCACCACCGCTGCTCAGAACGACCGTCGGTGGGACCATGCTGCTTGTAGTGCAACAGAGGATAAAGTTCTCTCTCTGCATACCGGCGCCACCTTCCTTGATCTTTGAGCGTGATGGTATCTTCCGGTTCCTCTGACTCATCCGATAGCCAGACTGGCAAGATCCGGCCATAACGTCCTGTGGACATCTGTTTGTCCAGTCTTTCCCGGTCCGCTTTCTCAACACTGATTCCATCAATCAGAGGATGCGGGGGTGCTTTTTGGCTCGCATTTACCGGGACCGGCGCGGCAGCCTTGTTGAGTGGGTGTGTGCCAGCAGCGCTAGCACTGGCCGGTAGTTGAGTCGCCGCATTCACTGGGATTTGCTGGAGAGGAAGCTTCGTATCGGACGTAGGCTCGACCTCTCCCGTCCATCCAACAAGAGTATGGGACCATTGGGTCTCGTTCGAAGCTAGATGAGCGAAGGAATCGAAAAGGGCCGAAGTTCCAGATCGTGGCTTGAGCTCCTGCAGAGAGATAAAAAGCATTAGTATCGACATCTTCACCAACGCCTTGGAAAGCTTTCACAATGATCACCACATACCCAGTCTGAGCCAGCTTGATGATAGAGCTTAAAAGGGATACAAAAGGCCACGCTTATCAGTCGACCACTCAACTTCAGCCCCGGATGTTGTGAGCGAGGGTCGACCTCGGGCGACATGGGCGATACTTCCCCAGTAAGACTCAGCCGGCGCAGGAGATCTTTTCCTGAAGACATCCTCCTTCTACCTGAGGGCGAACCCCCATCTCCATCCGAGGAGCCCAATTCTCCGGTATTCACACCCGAGATGTTGGCAAAGTACGAAGGCGCATCACTATCTGTCGGGTGGTTCTTATCGGCGGCCAAGCTCGGCGTGGCATTAGTCGCGTCTTTGTACGCTTCATCCCTCAGGGCTGTTAGGCCCGGTCCAACGAGGACTGGGTCTGGTTGTTCGTCAGGGACCTTCGCGGGGCTCCCTTGATCAGACATGATGATGTGTGTGGGGTTTGATTAATTGGGGACGAGGACGATGCGTCACACCGGGCAATTAAACTGTAGAAAAGCCTTAGTAACTAGCACTGCTCGGTTGTCACATGCACAGTCTCTGATCTTTATGGGCCACACAATTGGCTCTGACGGTGGGTGAACTGAAGTAACGAGGCCTTGGATTGCATACCTCGGAGGAAGACGGGCGTCGAGGGGGGGGGTAGATCGACACGAGAGCGGAACTATGGGCGCAAGCAAGCCATGGATGACGAAAGAGGTGACACGCCACGAGATTGGCAACAGATAAAGAGTCTCGGGTTAAAAAAGACACGTTCGAAGGAGAAGAGTTAGAATGTCAATAGAGAGAGGCAGTTCGAAAGGGGGAGATCGATGTGGTGGTTGGTGGTTGGAGGGGCAAGCGGTGAATGAAGCCACCGACCGAAACAGGACCTCTTTCGCTTCAGGGCAGTTCGGTGAATTATGTCTTCACGGCTACGTCATATGGACTATTGGTCAGGAGAGAGAGTAAAGCCGAGGAACAAGGCCCTGGTTTTGATGGAGTAAAGAGCCTGGGCTGGATCTCGAAGATTCCAAGGAACCTATTGTGATCAAACTTGTTCTCTAGTAGATTCGTATAGTTCATGGGTATCTTTGCACTCTGAAGCCGGACATTCCCCTAGGGGCCATTGGTCGATTCGATACAGTCAGGACAGTATCATGTACGTAAGTTACTGGTAATGATTGGCGGAAACGTCCATTTCAATCCTCACCGCCTACTAGAAGAAGCTTATCATCGCGGTAAATACAATAACACACCAGAGATCTGACACAGGACAGTCTGAATATGTAGTCAACAGCATGTTCAATGATTTAAGAATAACACAACTGGTTCGTGCAACGATAACAAGTCTGATGATGCAATTATGTGATCTAGGATTACACCCTCAATTTCATCGAGTTAGGGTTATCGAACGACCCCCTTTGGTAGTCACACGACTCATCCACATATTGTACAAATCCTGCCTGAGGCCTCGTTCTCCTACAACTTTCCTTCCTTAAATCCTCCTCCATCAATCTCCTCCACAACATGCCGCCTCGGTGATCGCCCGGCGATGCGACTGTCCGGCATCCAACTCTCTCGTCTCTCCCAATTCCCCCGGCGAGCCCGCACCATCCAACCCTCCCAGGATGACGACGTCTTCGCCAACAGCCTGCGCAAAACCCTAGAGGCGCACCGCGCCTCCAACCGCGCTCGTCTCATCCGCAAAACCTACCCCCGTGCTCCATCCCCGGGCCTCTTTAGACCCTATATTCCGCCAGAAAATCGTGCCGGATACCAGCCACCACTGCCGCCATCGCTGCAACTGACGCCACCGGTCATTGGCCCCGAGAAGGCGGCGAGTGCTAAAAAGCGCTCACACAGACGGACCCCGGAACCGAGCACCTCTTCGACGGATGCTCGACCCGAGACGAATGCGATCCAGTCTGTGGGCGATGTGGGCTTTGGTCGGCTGGGTCAGACTCCGTGGTTAAGCTATCTAGAAAACCAGGGCGCCCCTGGTGATGCCTCTGCGTACTTGGATGCGGAGATTCAAGCGTTGCACCGCTACCTAGCTCCGAGCGCTGATGAACAAAATCAAGTCACTCAGTTGGGGGTGGAGGTCTCTGCACTGCTAGAATCAACCGTCCCGCATACACCGACTCTCATCGGATCTCGCCGTACAGGTCTTGCGCTGGCGCATTCAGACTTAGACTTCCTCCTCCCCTTTGAAGATCTCCCCCGTTCTCTGGACAGGACTCGCAGGCCGAGTCCAACTCGACCTCAGATCCGAGATGCGCATCTGGCTCTGCTCCGGCAAGTTGAAAGGACATTGCAGAACGTCCCAGCTTTCAGTGATGGTGTCAGGTTATCTGGGAAACGCAGTCTAGTTTTAGAAGCTCGACACCGTCCCACTGGCTTGCTGCTGCAATTTTACTGCGGCGAACGAGTGCCAGCATTCACGGAGTATCTACAGGATTACTTGGTGGAGTATCCGTCTCTGCGACCATTGCACGCAACAACGAGGGCTCTGCTCGAAGCGGGCGGTCTCTTTGGATCTTCGCAAGCGGGTATAAGCCCCGACGCGTTGGCCATGCTATTGGTCACCTTCTTGAAGATGAACCATGGCCGCTTTCCTGGTATGCACCGTCTCGGTGACCAGTTGCTTGCATTCCTTCAGCTCTACGGTAGAGAGGTTGACCTGCAGTCCGTCGGCGTTGCAGTAGACCCCCCGGGCTTTTTTGACGCGGGCAATCTGCGTACGAACGATGGGGCTGAGGACTCTGCGTATCTACGTGGTCAACGCTCCCTCATTGCTGCTAAGCGTACTGCTGCTGCAAGAGGGAATCTGCCTGCTAGTCGCCGCTTATGTGTGCAGGATCCGACTCATTACATGAATGACCTGGGTCGGTCGTGTACACGTACCCCCGAGCTACAGAGTGTTTTTGCCGCTGCGCATGAGCGGCTCCGTTCAGCTTGTGACAATTGGGAGGGATCTGCGGAGAAAACCTCGATTTTGACGAATGCCCTGCGGGCAAGGTTTGACGGGCTGGAGAAGATGCGGAAGCAAATAGTGCATCCACAGTCCTCATGAGCTGGGTCCGGATGGATCTTAGATGAATAGTACGATACCCTGTATATAAACACGTCTCATCTCTTGCTCTGCAATCGATCAATTAAGTTTTCTAGCACTTGACTAATTATCACACGAAAAACATGCCCGCCTAGTCAATAGGCTCGTAGCAACAAAATGTTTCAAGGAATCATGCCCCGCTTTTATAAGGGATGATGGTCTAATAAACCCGATCAAAGGAGATGGATGCATCGAACGAAGCAAGCAAAAACAGTAGCGCTCAAGTACACACGAGAAAGAGAAAGAGAGGACAAGAGCGGACGAGAGGAATGAGTGATAAGCAAGTTTCTTACGCCGTCCAGTGCAAGTTGATAACAAGAAATTAATTACTAGAATGGCAAGTTAGTAAAGAATGTCGGTTGTGACGATAGGGCAAGCAGAAAAGAAACTTACTAAATTTCCAGAGGCGAGATCTGGTCCAAGGCATACAACCAGTTTCCGCCTTGCTCTTCCTTTTCAAGCCTAGAGGACCATAAGTTAGTATAGATGTTGGTTAATAATCGAGAGATCGGAGAAGGCTCGAATCATACCAGTCATATGGCCAGAGAATCAGATGGCCCTGGACCTTATTGAGAAGGTCTTCGGCGCGCTGTTTGTCCAGTACTTCGTCCGTTCCATGGATACCGCTCTTAGATCCGATGGTGGTAGCCCGTTTTCTCCGTCTGCGAGATTGCGATGTCGACGCTGCATTCAGATTCACAGCCTCGGAGTAATCGACGTGGACTGATGCCGGGCGTTGCTTCTCTGCGTCCTCGACGGCAAGATTATCCTCTTTGTTTTGCACGGTGCTCAGCAAGTGAGGGTCTGATGCGGTTTTCAGCGCTGCCTTTTCGTCAATGGACGAGAGGGTTTCCTGTTTTGCCAGGTCGGACTGCGGTCGTTCAAGTTCGTTCTTAGCCCCGTTCGCATCGGTTTTTGCAAGCGCGGCCTTTTCATCGATAGTTTGAGGAGCCTTCATGTCGCCAGGTAATCCTTCGGATCGGGGACTGCCGAGGGATGTAGGGGAAGCAAGTCCACTGGCACTAGCTCCAGGACTGAAGGGGCCCGTTAACTTCTGGTTCGAAGATGGGGCCGGTTTGCCGGCCTGCTGATTCTGCATCTCCGCAAAGCGCTCGCCATATGCCGCGTACTCTTTGTATTCCTTCCAGTTCTTAACCTCGCTGTCTGGCATGCAGCGGAAGACAGAGCGATAGATCTTTGTGTTCTTTTCCGCAAGGGCTTGCCACGTATCCAGGTAGAAGGCATCGTTGACGGGGTCCTTCATGCAGTCCTTGTCGACAAAAATACGCTTCAAATCGGGAATGAGCGGGTTACCGTATGTGGAGTTGTCTTGAGTCTCCTTGGACACGTATAAGCCGCCGCTACCAACCCCGGACTCGCGGCTCGATGATCCAGAGGCGGCATGCCCGTGCGACGGGGTGTCCGAGTTGGTGTTGGTCTCCGAGTCACGGGCATTATCAGCCGACGAATTTTGTTGCCCGTCTTGGCATGCCGATGTGGTCCGAGAGGATTTTCGCTCGGAGAGATGCTTGGGTTGCTTGATAGTACCCTTTCCTTCGGAAGCAATTGGCGAGACGAGAGCCTCTCGTCCATTTGGCAACAATTGCGAATCACGACCGACTCCAAGACCGGCCTTCTCGGCATCGATCATGTGATCGAAACCGTCGCCATCGACGTCTCTCTTGTGATCAGGGTTGTCTGTTACACGTGGATCGGCAGTAAGACGACGATTACTCTTCAGGTTGGGGTTCTTGCCCTGCTCCCAGTCAACGTCATGGTTGAAGCTGTGCATGTGTTCCGAGCGGGACAGGAACTCGTCTTGAACTTGATGACGGCGCTCCATCATCTCACGCTCATCCTGTCGTTCGATCATAGAAGACTCCGATTCCCGGCGGTCTCGACCATTAGTCGGCTGGGTGCCTTCTTCGACGACCTGAATCTTGCGGAGTTCCTCTTCAGTTGAGAAATCGTGCTCCAAAAGCTCATCGACGTCAATGCCAAGATGCTCTCGCATCAAACGCATGCGAAGAGTGTGCGGGAATCGACCAACAAGGAAAGGCTTGCCAGCCATGGTGGACGAGATCATGTCAGTATCGCGGACAATTGCAGCGACCTCGGAATCGCGCGATCCCAGCATAGATCGCTCGTTGATGTTGGCCGATCCAATGATGGCGGCACGGTCATCGACGACCATGCACTTTGCATGGATGTAAAGTTGCTCGGTCACCAACTGTTTCTGCGGACCAATCTTGCCCCAGGCTCGCAAGCTGAAGAATTGGATGTAGTCTTCAGGCTCGATACCAAGCGCCCGAAGACGCCCGAAGATGGATGTCTCGCCACGGCAGATACTGCGGTATTGACACTGCATGATGAGACGCACACTGGTACCACCCTCGCTATCCACGGTGTTTTGGAAGCCGGGGATCAGGGGGATCACGATCACCGCACGCCAGGCCTCCTCGTTCTTGGCAGCTCGGACAATTCTCTCGACCAAAGCATCGCCAATCAGGTTCTCAATCTTCCTGCCATCGATTTCACAGGTACTGATGAAGAACTGGTTCTCGATGTAAACAAAGTGCTCGGACTCTTCAATCATCTTGACATAGGCATTCATGATACTGTGCTCAGTGACATCCGGTGTGCCAGTGGACCACATGCTGCTGGACCGCAGGATTTGCACCTCGCAAGTTCCATCCAGACCCAAAGCCTCCAAGTCGGCAGGGTTGAAGTCAGGAGGAGGCAACAGGAAAGGAGTTGGCCGTGTTGGCTTGCGCTGACGGAGAATATAATTCCAGCGCTGGACGAAGTGGCGAGTCAAATCTCGTGCAGGCTGGCCGACGACGTGCATCGAAATATCGTGCCAGGGCATACGGGGCACGACAGAGCGATCATACATTTCTTCATAGGGTTTATCCAGGTCGTAGAAATCCTGGATTCGAGGGTTTGAGTAATCTTTTCCAGGCCAGAGCTGGCAGTGGTCTGCATCCTTAGGCATGTCTGTAGTTTCAAACCCAGTGGGCTTATCATCGGTGAGCAAATGCTGTGGGGTATCCCAGCGACCAAAGCACAGATCGATTCCCCCCACGAAAGCCAGCGTGTGATCGATCAGACAAAGTTTCTCATGATGGGCCCAGAAGAAAGTGTTCTGGCGGAATTGATTAGGGGATCTCTGGACGAAGATGTTTGGGTGGAGCTCAAGAAGAGAGAACTTGGAGTATTCTGAATCAATGGGGATTGCAGAGTTGATGTTCCGGTACATGATCACAAAGACCTTGACACCTTCACGAGCCTTCTTCTGCAAGAGACGATCCAGTCGCCACTTTTGGCTGATGGCAGCCGGACGTCTCATATACAGTTCCGGACTGAGCCACCAATCATGGATGTAGATAACATCCTTTGCCTGGTTGATGGCTCTGGATACAACCCACATGTGGTCTCGGCCATCAACTAGCCACTGCGCAAAGCACTTTTGACGCACCGGCGCGAAACTATCGAACCGGTTTGGCTGCATCCACGGAGTGTTTTCGGCCATGAAGCGAATCGACTCTTCAAACTGCAGAAGCTGACGTTCGTTACGTGCCAACAACTTCAGCTTGCGCTCAGAGTTTTCAAGTCGAAGAGTGTGGTGCTGAGGGTGTCTAGCCGAATCCTTTGCTGATTTAGCCAAGTCCTTTGCCTTTTGATTGCGAAGGCTCATCTTTTGAGTCTGCATCTTGAAGGAGGAGTCGATCAAGAAGACATCGTAAATGTTCATCTCTTCGGGCGAGTCCACACAAACCACGTAGCTGTGGCGAACAAGGAACCACTTGGGCCAATGCCGCTTCTTGATCAGCGAAGGCGTCAGAGCTCGACGGAAATCAAGACCCTTTGAAGACTGAATAATTAGGAAGCCCTCCTTGCCATGGTAGCTCCCTTCCGCGGCGAGACGTACACCAAGAGCAGACAGCTCGAGGAACTTGCAGAGGCGGTTGCTGTCCGCTCGGAAGATCAAGAACCGGATCATCTTCTGCAGGTAGAGCTCCAGTTTCTTGCGTTGTCTTTCAGGGTATGTCTCTCGTCTACCACCAGCCCCTTCGTGGGTTGATGAAGGTCCAGCAGCAGACTCCCCTTCCTGATTATTGATGCTAGACTTCCTGCGAGCAATACCCTGGGAAGGTCTGCGTTGATTTGGCGGGTTCTTGCCCTTTTTCTTTGCTGCCTTTTCCGTGCCGCTCATGGCTTCGGGGCCAGTCTCGTATCCGCCGTCATCTTCTTCATCTTCAAACTCGCTTTCCAGTCCGCGAACACCACGCATATAAGGGAAGGCACTCCTGGGGAAACGGGGCAGACTAGGGCTGTTCTCGCTCGTTCGCAGCTGAATGTACTTTTGTGTGCCAAGGTGCAGCTTGTACTTTAGGTGCAAATTGGCGAAATCCCTCAAAGTCCGGAAGATAATCCACTTCATTCGTGTCATGCCACTTCCGTACTCCAATTCAATGCGGAACACCAGGTGACGATCACCAGAATGCGAGTCGATGCGGCTGTCGGTAACACGGACCTTCAATTGCTCCAAGAGAATTGGGATTCGCTTGCTTCCGTGTTCATCTCGTTGGAACGCACTGGCTAGGATCAACGCAGCGGGCACGGCAGAGGACAATTCAGCGAGCAGCTCTGCGGATTTCTTGGTATCTACCGCGTTTTCTGGCCGGCGGCGTTGACCGATCAGCTTGAGACCAGCTTTGATCTGCCTCCAGCGCTGTGCACTAGCACTGGTGCCGCGCTCGTTTCGATGGCGTCTCCAGGTCGCCGCAAGGCTCTCGTTATTTTCGGATGGGCCTCCAATGCCGGTAAGACGTCTTAGCTGACTAGGACGCCGGGGTTCATCCTGATCACCATCCTGCTGGTGCCTCCCAATATACGAGAAGCCGCGAGTGCTCAATGCACTTCGCTTGCGCCTGCTTAACTGAGCACGACCCTCGTCCTCGGATACGCCCTCCCGAGGCTGAGGCGTGAAGTCGGTCGTGCTGGCTCTCCGGGGGAAGAGATTGGTCCGGTAATTCTCGAACGGAGCAAATGAGGACGCAAATTGGAAAGACGGGCGGCGTGTAGTCTTGGGGGTTGTGGGAGCAGTGCGGCTTCCAAGGTCTTCGTCCGTCTGTCGTCGACGTCGCAAGATTCTCTTCCTTTTCGGAAGTTCGGCTTGCTGTTCGCCTCCGCTCTCTTCTGCATCAGCATCTATATCACTGCCTTCCTCAGTCAGGGGTTCAGGAAAGCGGAACTCGCCACGCTCAGAGCCTGGCGTCATGTCGGCCGGGGCTGGACGGAAGTCACCAAGCGTGGCTCCACTCGCAGACCTTGAATGGGATGCAAAGGGCGGAGATGCAGCCAGAGACTTCAATCTAGTCATGAAAGACCTTCCCCTCGGTTGTTCTCCATCTTCCCCGTACACGGATGAGGGCCGGGATGGCCCCCGGGATGCGGGCGCATCAGGGGCTTCGTTGTCTGTATCGCGAAACTGGACACTTGGCGTACGGGATGCAGGGGATACGCCGGGGATCGAGGATTGGTGTCTGTGACGATTCGCTGAGGAGGCCCTGTCGTTGTTTTGCAGCCGAGTCCCCGGGGAGGGATGCTCCTTTGGAGAGCCACGTTGTGTCGAGGAGGCACGCAAATTCTCCTTATTCAAGGCGGCTGATCCGCTCACTTTGAGTGGTTCTTTCGTTTCCGGTGCCTTCTCGTTTTCTGCAGCGTCTGTTGCCGGCGGTTGTCTCAGGGAGGCGGGTCGGTTTGTGGCGGTGGGTGACGGAAAGGGTGAAGCCAGTTTTGTGCCATTCGAGACGGCGATTAGATCGTGTTTCTCAATTGTGTTATTCTCCAGGCTCTGATCAGCCTCCCTCTGAGAAGGGGCCAACTGAGTGTCGGCCATTCTGTGGTTGCGAAATAATCTTCAGTTGCAGCTCGTGGGGAAGTTGGCAGGTCGGAAACAAGGCAGCATACATGCGGGATCAATCGAGATCCTGTCGTAAATGATTCGAATATTTCGCTAACATTCTAGAATTGCATCTTTTCAAAGGGTCGAGGCGGAGAATAATTGCGAGCAAGCAGCATGTCGCACGCAAATGTTGGCATTAAAGGAGCGTTGGTCGTTTGAATTAGTTCACGACAACGGTGGAGCAGCTCCGCCCCATCAATCACTCCGACTGGAGAAGACGCGCCAAGGCTTCAAGCTAGCCAAGAAGTGGGCGGTCAGTTCCTGAAACCAGAAAAATTCCAGGGGATATCCAGGGGCACGTTCGATAAGGAGAAGACCGTAAATCCAGATTCAATCTCTGGCACATCTATGAAGATCAAACGCAGGGCCCAAGGATACCATTTCGTAACCTCCCAGTTTGTCTTTTCCCATTTTTGTATTGTCTTGGCCTCAGGCATGTAGTCACGTGGCAGCACATATTGAGAGCGATAGCATCACAGTATAAACATGCAACCAACTATTTACGACGAGGGGCTTCTACGTATGACTGGACCACTGCAGAGGGGGTGACTGAGAGTTTGAAGTGGAGGTAGGATATTGAGATGGTGTTTAAAAGCCGATATATTTCGATGGTAACTAGCATTCGAGCGAAGTATATAATACCCACAACCTCCATCAGATGACGCTTAAAAAGCTACTACACTTGGGTCATGAGACAAGAATTACAATCAGTGATTATAGCAAGCTTGAGAATTATCGACGCGTCTAGGTCAGGGCTTTTGTGATTCACAATATTGATGTTCTCTCCGTCTCGAGAGCACTGTCCACACTTGTTACCCGCTCATCTGATCCAAGCCCCTCTACCATGATGCCCTTCCAGTAGAAGCCTAAGCTGCTCAAGTGTGATAACTTCAAACCCATTACCAAAAGTGTGGTAATAAATTCCGAGGATACTGAATTTCAAACTAGCGTATAGTCTGTGGCAGTGTCGCACGTGTAGGTCTCCAGAGATACCAGAGACACATGACACGGCAGATTCAGGGTTTGTGGTAAGCTTATTACAGAGTGAGAGGCCAGAGGACATCGGTAATGACAACTTAGACGTGGATGATAGCATCAAGAATGCAAGTCCATTTACCCTTACCGCTCCATTTGGTCAGGTCAAAGAGGAAGGAATAGGAATTTTACAGTTTGATACCCTGCAGTTCGTGAGGAAGATGAATGAGGTAATTCCAATTTAATTGTTCACACAAGAACTAACAAATAATGCTAGTCTATCTGCATCTCAGTAGTGCATCTTGGATTCAGGGAATAAGCTTAACTCTGCGGGTGACGCTGTGCCCTGGGGTTAATCGCTAGGCGCCTCGGCTCCTTCGCGATATACCCGAGTCGGCACGGTACTTCCCCGCCATTCCAGCAATTATTTCGGGGAACATCCCACCCCAACTAACCTAGCTCCTAACACATTTTTGCACTCTCCCCCCAGACTGCTAACGCAAGCAACCAATTTGCCCGATCATCTCCAAGTCCCTCCCACAATGACCGACCCATTGAAATCCTACGACTCCTCCGGCCGCCCCAAGCCCGGCGCAGTCTCGCAAAACGTCTACAACATCGCCGGTATCTCCGTAACAGTCTACGGCCTCGATGAACTCCGCTCCCAAGCTACAAATGTCGCATGCCTATGGCTTCTTCACCCGCGTCTTGCGACACAGGAGCGTATGACTGGTATCGCGGAGGCGACTATCAATGACTGGAATGGAAAGACTCGGGCTACGCCGTCGGCGAAGGGACTGATTGCGGTTTCTTTTGACCAGCGGAATCATGGGGCGAGGATGGTCGACCCGCTTGCCAATGAGGCTTGGAGGCAGGGGAATCCTCGGCATGCGCAGGATATGTTTTCTATTTTCCGTGAGTGCTGTCTACGTATTGCTACGAGAAGTCATGAGGTGAATCTTGCAGACAGGTTTAAAAGGAACTAATACGTTATTGTAGAGGGTACCGCGCGCGATACCTCACTGCTGATGGACTATCTTGCGGCATTCGTCTTTCCTAATGGCGAGCACAGGATCTCGGAGAACCTGGTGCTAGGCGTGTCACTGGGTGGACATGCCGCGTGGAGCTGCTTGTTGCACGAGCCTCGCATCAGCGCCGGTGTCGTCATCATCGGCTGTCCGGATTACCTCAATCTCATGGTTGACCGTGCTCGTCTCTCCAAATTACCTTCCTGGACAAAAAGCAACCCCCCCGGCGCAGAGATTCTCGGCTCGGAGGCTTTCCCGACGTCCTTTGTGGATATCGTGAAGCAGTATGACCCCGCCAGTCTGATGCTGGGCTATATGGATACTGGCTCGGCCAGCCTGCAACGTGATGGACCCCTGCCCGAGCCGACGGAGCAACAGAAGCATGAACTGCGTCCGTTGCTGACGCGGTTATTAGCCGGCAAGCGGATTCTGAACTTGTCCGGTGGGATTGATAAGTTGGTTCCGTATGACCGCGGAGAAGCGTTTTTGGATTGGTTCAAGAGCGCGGTTGGATCGAATGGCTGGTTCGGTGATGGCGGCATTACCTTTGAGGATATCATTGACCGGTCTGCGGGCCATGAGGTGACGCCTAAGATGGTTGACGAGGCTGTTCGGTTCGTGAGTGAGACGCTGGCGTTGGGTACGGATAAGACGGGCCGGAGAGGCTCGGTGCGGGAGTCGAAGATCTGAGTGGTGTCATGATAGATAGACTACGATGTGGTGGAGCTTTGTAAATAGCATCGAACGTATCACCTTGGAAGAAAGTATGATATACGGATAGACCTTACAAAGAGAGTCGAGTACTGTATCGCCTTGCTCACACGGCTGATGTAGCAGTTTCGGCATAGCATCATGGACCGCAAAGTATATATGAGGATTAGACTCATGTAGGTTTCGGCGCAGCAGATGAACTGCGAAACCAAGCCCGGATATTGAATACGATACCTCGGGGCACACATACAATCGAAGAAACGGAGAGCCAGAGTAAGTTTGAGAAAATCCTCCTTGTGGTATTTGTTTAACACAATGTGAAATCGTAAGGGCATTCGGAGGCCATGCTATGCTGATTTGCATACACAAAAACCCTTTTTCTTTTGGAACGCCCCCGAACCAAACCATCTCGGCTCGTGGCGGCCTTTTTTCGAGTTTTCCGATCGTCCTCCTCCGACAGGATAAGACAGTTGAAAAGATTTCCTCCACAAGACCGAACGCAGACCCCACAGTAATCCAGTGGGCTACGCTTGCCCCGATTCACCCGCCTTCTCCCGGGCAAAAAACACCAATATTCAACGCTTATGCGACCAGCTCAACGACACCACCGGCCTCCTTGATCTTCTGCTCGGCATCACGGCTGAAGTAGCGGGCACGGACGACGAGGGGGATCTGGGGGAGACGGCCCTTGCCGAGGACCTTGGAGTAGCCGAGGGGCAGGAGGTCGATGACGGGGGCGGTGTCGGTCTTCTGGCCGCTCAGGTAGGCATCACGCTTCTCGGCGGGGACGAGAGTCCACAGCTGTAAAGAGAGAAGATGACAGTCAGTGGGACTGTTCGATAGTATACACAGTTTTCACGATGCCGGTCCATTTTGCTTTTTTTTTCCCTTCCCCATTGTCTTTTGCAGCCACCTTCGCACGTTCTTGTCGCAGTTGTCGTTCTCCAAAGCATACACAGCGTGTATCCAGACAGTTTCTCCCTCTCATGCGCCTTTCCCATGCTTTTTCTTCTCCCTTTCCCTCAAAAATGGACCGGCTCGTTCGTATTCACGATTTCACGTACCTTGTCGAGGTTGATGGTGGGCTTCCAGAACTTCTGCTGGGTCTTGTGGAAGTAACGCATACCAACCTTACCGAAGTAACCGGGATGGTACTTGTCAATGTTGGTACGGTGGTGGTGCTGACCACCGGCCATACCACGACCACCAGGGGACTTGCGGTGCTTGCCGACACGACCGTAACCGGCGGAAACGTGGCCGCGGCTGTGAAGAAGAAGAGAGGTTAGTATTGTGGTCGTAAAGATGTGCGATTCCGAAGGTGTATGTCGAGCGTCGTGCGATATGTAAAAAAAAAGGCGCCAGCGATATCGAAATGTTGCGCCGATCACGAATGAAATTCGAGGAGGGTGGAAAGGGTCGACTCACTGCTTGCGGGTCTTCGACAAACGGGTAGGCATCTTGTCGGGTGGTGTGTGGACGACAAGACCGGTCTGAGAATTGGGCGTTGAAAGGGGGAAGCGTCGTGATGCTGCCGGCTCAGATGTTGAAATCCACGCCCGCAAAGCTAGACTGTGCGCTAAGCAATTCGCTTGTCCCGTGATAGGGTCAAACCCTGCCCTGGGGTTGCCATCGGTCACGTGGTGGCCCAGTCTCCGTTCTGCCACCGCCTAGACTTTAGGTTGTGGGTCTTGGGTATAGTAAAGAACGTTAAACGACATCATACCTCCTCCAAACCATCGTTGTTTCAATTAGAGTCCAAGTGTACAACGTTTATTGAAGAATTTGATATGATGTACTTCTTTGCAGCAACATCAGTTGGAGCCACAGAAGGCGCAGTTCAATCATATGAAAGCGTCTTCATATTCTATGATGACGGTGGTTGTCTATGTACTGGATACACTTCACGTCAGTCGTTGAAGAACTTATACATCTCTTGATCATGTTTTTTTCATGAGACTAGCATTCCTAGACTCTCGGCTCTGCTTCTTTATCTCTATTATCATCATAGCTCCCTTCTCACCCCGCCTTCTCGGCGAAAAACTTCGTCAACCGCTGAACCGTAGTCTGCGCCGGCCTCACACCCGAACTCGCAACCAAGCTCCCCCTAATCCATCCAGGCAACTTAGCCTGAATCCTCGGCGTCTCATACCGCCGATCAATCATTAAGATAGCCGCATAATCATTAACATGTCGAATTGCCCGCCCAATACACTGGTTGACAGCTCTCATGCACGCATTCTCGTAAAAGTCCCGCCCAGCCGCAGCCGCACTGGCTTTCTTTTCTGCCTCAGTACCCGAGTGCTGCTTGTGCGTCTTTTCCTCTATGTACTTGATCTTAGCTTGCCAGACTGCGCTGCGGATGTTGGGAAATGGTAGTCCGATGATGAGGACGCCGCGTCCCAGTTCGTCGGAGAAGTTGATTCCTTCGGAGAGCTTGCCGCCTACCACGGAGAGGAGGAGGGCACCTTGGCCGGTTGAGACGGCTGACGTGTATTCTTGGAGGAGAGTGTCTGTCGATGTGGTCGAGTCACGGGATTCGTAGAGGATTTTCTTTTTGTTGGACATCAGGCTCAAGATTGTTGAGCCGTTGCCGTTGGGTATGGGCTTTTGCCATACGCCGACTACTTGGCTTAGGTAGTCGTAACTGGGGAAGAATGCGACAACACCGTCTGGGATGACCTGGCAGAGCGTTGCTATCGTTCTTCCAAGGTCGGTTATCTAGTAACTTGCGATTAGCGTGAAAATAAACACCAGGACCTTGGCGGAAGGGATGGCCTACCATCTTCTCGGAGTTACGGGCTTCGTATGTAAAATCAAAATCTGAGCCCATAAGTCCCTTGGTGAGAGATTGTGCTACCAGGTTAGTATGAGGAATGACGTGGCCATAACTGAATGTATCAAGTCGCTCGGGCGGGACGTAGGAGAATAGATGGTTCATGTAATCGGACATCTGGTCGACGATATTAGGATTGTACATAATGCTGGGCTCAAACCGTTCTCGTTATTCCAAGACTCACGGGCGACATAGTACCACCTGCCAGGATCACAGCTCGAGCATCCTCGACAATCTCACGGAAGTGATTGGTCGGATCGAGAAGCATGTATTTCAGTTGTACGTCATTCTTATCCTTCTGGAAAAAGAGCCTGCCTTCCTCTGACGGATTCATCAGAGGCAACAGGAAGCCCTGAATGTGGAAGAGAACGGGCACTGTCGACCTATCCCTGGACCGAGAGCCTTGCGGCTCCTGGGATGATTCGACAAACCCGTCGACTTTCCGGGCTAGCTTGCTCTCTTGTAGGTACCGAGATAGCTTGTACGGATTGATCTGATCCACGCCTTTGCCAGCCATGAGATCGGATGGCTGGATAGAGCCCTCGGCGGGCCCCTTCTGCTGTGAAATGTCGTGGAGGTGACGGGCAATCGAACTCACTAGTCTTATCACTTGAGCGACGTAATTTCTATTCTTGCCTTTGAGACGGTTCTTGAACTTGCGAGCATACGTTGTTAATTGGGTGATTGCCGTTTGCAGTTGAGATAGTGACACGGTCACTGAGTGAATACCAGCAATGGCATCCATCAGATTGTGCGCTTCGTCGATGATGACTACATGGTTCTTGACGGACAAGTTGAGGGCCTCGCGGGCTGACCGCTGGAGAAGTAATGGATATGGAAGAGTTACGATCTATCAAACAACAATCAGCATCATACCGTGTCAAGTAAATCGAGTTCGCATGTTCACTGACCTCGCTGTGTTTGATGACGGAGCGGGATGCATAGTAGGGGCAGATTCCAATCTCCTTTCCCACTTTCCCAATATCCTCAATGTCCTTCACCGTAGCCAAGGCATGGTCTCGAAATTGAAGAAGTAAAGCGTCGTCATCCTTGGAAGGAAGAAAAGAACATTTCTTGTCGGCAGCGACGCCTGATTGTTGCAAATCTAAGCACCGCTCGTTAATCGCCGTGCTGTTCTCCAAAGCTCGGACCTTGGGGTTTATGCAAAGATTCTTTCTGGAGCCCAGTGAAAGGTGTTTCACGGCTTCCTCCAGCTTCCATAGATCGTCTTCATTGTCATCTTTCTCCGGGTCGAGGGGAATGCTGGATGGAAACGTGACTCGACGCAGTTCACCTGCAAACTGAACGAGCTGGGAGTGGGTTCGTGAACAGTAAAATATCTTTACCGTGTCATCTTCCTCATCCTCGTCCTTTTTCTGGGTTGAAAAGTTTCCCTTGAACTTTTCTAAAAGAGCGAGAGTGCTAGCAGACAGGCCATCAACGCCTCCTGACTCACTTGGGTTTTTTTGGGCTTCCGACTCGCTGTCATAGTCATCCAGGACGAATTGCTCCTCGTCATCGTGACTTGTCTGCGAATCCGGTTCATCTACTCGCTAAATCCAAGATTGTCAGCACGGGACTTGATCAAGGACGTTTCAGACCGGGACGTGCATACCTGTTTCTTGCGGGGCCGGTCTTGCGTCACCGATGCCTGCTTCACTCGCTCTTCCTCCCTTTTAATCTTGGCTAATCGGGCCTCAAACTCTTGCCTTTTCTCGGCAATGGCACGGCGCGAATTCTTGATGGCGAATTCCACCATCCAATCGGGCTCGTCATTGTCACCTAGTCCAAAGATGAGACAGAGTGAGATGAGATATGACGCAAGACAAGGCGCTATAGGGTGGGACACATACATGCTGCCTGATCCAAGGTCTCCTGAAAAGCCTTGCGCTTGTGATCCCGTAGCCATGTGAGAGAGCCGCAGATCAAGCTCAGCGATTTACCCTGAAAGGAAAGAAAGCCTTAGTATGGGCCCCGGGTAAGGACGCTCTCCTCACATAGGGTGGCATCCGATTCATCAGACTAGTGGAGACAAGCGACTTACGGTGCCTATGGCCGTCAGATCGGAAGACACGGAGTAAACAGGGGGGGCCTGCTCGGGGAAGAGGGGCCTAGCGCGTACCGGTGGGGGATTCAAAGACGGCTACTTTTCCGTCTTCAAGGCAGCCGTATAGGGCCTGCATAAACTGGAGCTGAATGTCGTACGGGGTAAACGGATGGTGGAAATCCTGCGGCGCCACTGTGGTCGCCATGTTGGCGGCCGTGGAGGCAGTGGCCAGAATACACAGCACGAAGTTCGTCTTTGGGAGACACCAAATGGTGTATTACCCAGATGGCGACACTCAAACGATCAGCATTAAACGGGTAGGGTTTTTTTCTGGAAAGTCGCGGCTGATAAAAATAACACCCGAGCCCGTTGGTGGAGCCCCCGAGAAAGTCCAGGAGAGACATGCTCCAGTCGTGTCGCTGACTCGCTGCAACATCCAGGGGAACGAAATTGTGGGCGGGTCCGTTGGTTCGTATCTGACTCGGCGATGAGCCCGATGGCTGTAGTGACAACGTTGCTTTTTCTTTTGTAATACCCAATGTGATATTTATATAGAGGATAAGCAGAAAAGATGTTGAATATTGACTATGGACTAAGAAGAACAAACTCATCTACTATTCTTTCCAAGAGAAGGATGACACCCTGCCCGGACAATGCTAATATTCCCGACCAAATGTGGGGGAATCTGTATAGTCTGTACCAATACGTTACATTCCCTGTTTGTTTACTCCGTACAGTATCACCGAAAGCTTTTGATTGTCCTCCGTCGTTGATCAGTTTTCATCATGACAATTAAGAGAAATTTCCACTTCAGTTACTTGAACTTGTTTACTTGTTCATAAGCATCAGTCTAGTCATCATTGTCAGACCTTTGAATTTATTTTTGACTCCCGCTGCCACGTTCGATTTACCAAGACTATTAATATCCGCACCAGCCTCAGCTGACTGTGGCAGGACAGGGTGTCGCAGTCCAGTGATTAGCTCGATTGGTATCATGCTTGACGAACCCGCTGATCATGACTATGAATTGCAGTCCATTGCCTCCAATCCGTCATGGCCTCGTTAGGGTAAGCTATACGGGCGCATGTATTATACGGAGAGTATGTACATATGTAGCCTGCTTGTAGCACAGATTGTACTCCGCACTATAAACTAGTATACTAAAATGCCTTATTATTCCATACTGGAATCAACCCTAGCGTTGTTCTCAAAGTGATACAGTAGACATCATGTTTTGTTTTTTCAAAATTCCAGGAATCCAGTCCATCGGGTCCCTAGTTATGTATGTATTCCACTTTACACTGGGTCCTTGACTCCTCCACTATGTACTTAAACCCCTAATTAGGCCCTGAGTTGCGCTAAAGTGGGCTGTGGCTCGGTCTGTTCGGTACGTGGGACATGTACATCCTTGATTTGGTAGTTGTTATTACAATCGCTCGAAATTCGAGTATTCAGTGTACTGTAATTTTTTATACATGGATCCGTAGCCCGTTATAATTACACTGCCATAGTGTTCCACGGGGGCTCTATTAAGCTAGACCTAAGACCCAGATAATCTCCGGGACGCTTCTTTCTGCTCGTTCCATCGCCTTCCTTTAGCTCCTCTCTAGTCCCCCCCAAGGGCCGGTTCGGCGTCTTCCTCCCCCAAGATTTTTCTGTCTGGACGCCCCTCCTACTACGCCGACCTTCCCTTCCCCTCTTCCTCCCCCTCCACCCCTCTTCGCTTTTCACTCCAAACACTTATCCGTGGAGAGTCTTTGCGGATGCTGCCCCGCGACTGAGGGTATCCGGTACTTACTCTGCAGCCCCCGACAAATTACCTCCTCCAATTTACCATAATATACACGAGATGAATTATCCTCCGCAACAGGGTCAGGGTCGTGGTCAGCCACGCCTGGGGGCGACCTGGTATCCAGGGGGGCAGGATGACTTTTACATGCCAGAGGTCATCTCCCCCTCCCCTCAAAGGTGCGATCTCCTTCTCCACTCCATTTTCTGCCGTTGCATCTGTCAATTAGTGTCCCTATACGATGCCGCGGGTTCGTGTGCTAATCCATCCGCGCAGGGTCATGCCCGAGGTCCCCGAGAATATGCAAGACAACATCGCGCAGATGGAACACCGCGCCTATGACCCCCGCCGCGCCCAGCCACAGTCGCCCGCGCAATACGCTCCCCGGACCCAGTTTCCAGAGCGCACCTCTTCTGCGGTTCAGAGCCAACCCCAGCAAGCCCAGGCTCACGATCACGGCGCCTACGCGCAGTCCGCGACTTATGATAGCATGGACCATCCTAATTTCTCCCCGTTCCCCGTTTTGCGGAACCCTCCGCCCAATGTCCCGCCCACCGATGAGCAGCGCGAAGCGAATCTTGAACGCGCCCGCATGGCCGTTCTGTCTACCACCGACCCGGAGATGCAATTGGCATGGGCACAGGATGCGCTCGCCTTTGTCGAGGTCGCTGCGCAGAACGAGGCTCGTTTGTCGACCACCCAACCCCCGCGCCCTCACACGCCCCAGGTGGAGCGTCAGCTGCGCACGGATGCGATGAATATAGTCAATTTTTTGGCCGGGCAGCAGCACCCCAAAGCCGAGTTTATCAAGGGAATGTGGCTGGAGTTTGGCAAGTTTGGGTATCGCGTCGACCGGAAGGAAGCATTCCGCTCTTATACGCGGGCGGCGGAGAAGGGATATGCGCGCGCCGAGTATCGCATTGGTATGCAGTTTGAAAGCTCTGGAGAGCCGGAGAAGGCCATTCGACACTATGAGCGCGGTGTTTCAATGTCGGATTCTGCCTCGTACTACGTATGTTTTGTTCCGGGGGAAGGGAAGATACGCGAAGATTCGGGTCTAGATCTCTAACTGCGTCTTCTAGCGTCTGGGGATGATGATTCTCCTCGGACAGCATGGCCAGCGTCAGGACTATCGGAGAGGGTTGGAGTATATAAGATTGGCCGCGCAATCCTGCGACCAGAACGCGCCACAGGGTGCCTATGTGAGTGATCGACTCCGGTGGATGGGTGGTTTTTTTTTATATTCTTCTGGCGAATTCTAATTTAACTGAACTACAGGTCTACGGTATGCTCTTGGCCGGTGAGCTGCCTCAAGTTAGCGTTCCCGAGCCTTACCTCACTCCCGATCTTAACATTGCCCGTGTCAACATCGAAAAAGCTGCATACCATGGATTCGCCAAGGCCCAGGTCAAAATGGGTGCTGCATACGAGCTTTGTCAGCTGCAATGTGATTTCAACCCCGCGCTGTCCTTGCATTACAATGCGCTCGCCGCCCGCCAGGGCGAACCGGAAGCTGAGATGGCCATTAGCAAATGGTTCCTTTGTGGACACGAGGGTGTCTTTGAGAAGAATGACGAGCTGGCATTCACGTATGCTCAACGGGCAGCACAAAGTGGTCTCCCCACCGCCGAATTCGCCTTGGGCTACTTCTATGAGGTCGGTATCTTTGTTCCCGTTGATATTAGGGAAGCTCGGAGCTGGTATGCCAAATCCGCTGCTAGCGGCAACAAAGATGCGTCCTCGCGCATTGATAGCATCTCGCGATCAAAGACTTTGTCCAGGAAAGATCACGAAAAGGTTGCCATTTCTCGTATAAAGTCGACCCGTTATGCCCACCAGCGTGGTAATTCGTTGGAATCAACTCCCGAGAACATTGAGATGCCCGACCCTTCACGCATGAGCCTCAACGACCAACCCCCCGCCGCCGCTCCCTACCCTGATCGAGTGGGCTCTGCTCGTCCTCGCCCCCCCGGCCAGCAGAACTACCAAATGCCTGATCCCCGCCCAAGCTCCGCATTCGGTGTCAACCCGAATCTTCGCCAAAATGGTCCTCCGGGTCCCGGATATGGTGGGCCACCAGGACAGCCGGGAGGTCGCAGCCCGACCTACGGCCCTGGTGGGCCCGGTGGTCCTCCTGGTGGTCCTCCTGGCGGTCCTCCTGGCGGTGCTCCTGGCATGAATTACCGCCAGCATAGCCCGGGTGGTCTCAGTGGCCCAACCAGCCCCCAGTCCGTGAACATGATGAGCCCCAGCGGCACGCCTCGATTGGACATCGGGTACTCTGCCCCTGTTCCACCTCCAGGTGCGGACCGTCGTCGTCCTGCACGTCTCGACTCTGCTCCGCCAGACCGCAAGCCCGTGCGAACTCCCGTCTCTGGCCATGGCCCTGGTCCTGGCCCTCTGCCCTCGCCTCGTCACCCTACATCGCCTAGGCCAATCGGTTCCCCTCAATCTGCCAACTTCCCTCCGCGCAACGAGTCGCGCCAGCCATCTAGAAGCTCGGCTTCGTCAACGCCACAGCCACCGGTGGGCCCACTACCTGCACAGCAGCCGCCCCAGCAGCAGCAGCCTAAGCCTGCTGCGCCACCATCCAAGGGCCCCAAGACGTTTGAGGAAATGGGTGTCCCCAGTGCGAAGAACGACAGCGATTGCGTACGTATTCCCTTTTCATCTCGGGTCGTTTGCCTTGATTCAGTTTGATCTGTTCGTAATCAATGAGCTAACCATATTCTTTACAGATAATAATGTAATTGATACCCCGGACGCTGTTCGTTCTCGACTGAAACCACTTTCCCTCCTTGGCCATCCCATACATATCTGTGGGCGTACCCATTTTGCCATATTTTGGTCTTTTTACTTTCCAACATTACCTCTTCATTTCTTTGCCGTTTTTTTTTTTTTTTTTTTTTTTTTTTTTTTTTTTTTTTTTTTTTTTTCTTTCCTTCGTTTTCTTATACCTTCTTGTAATCCGGGGGCCTTCTCAAAATTACATCTGTTGACTGGGGGGTGAATCGGTCCTACTGATTTTGCGTTTTCCCCCGAATCTCTTTCCCACATATTTGCATTTACGCTCCGGATATCTTGGCTGCCCTGGGCCCTTTGGACATATGGTTATTAGGCTGTTTTGATTTTTTAGAGATGAGATGTAGTCTTTCATGAGAAGCGTTCAAAATGCATTCGTCTAGTTGTGCTGTGTATTCTTATTTTCATCGATATGAATCGTGTGTAGAGGATTCGCTTCTGGCGTGGTGTGTCTTCTTTTGGACACCTCCCCTCATCTTCTTCAATTTCCGTCCCAACTCTCACCTCCAATCCGAGGCCACTCGACTAGGCCTTTGCCAAAATCACCACCAGCATGGCACCTCGCAAGGAAAAGGGCGACAAAGTGGCTCGGACTGATGGTGTGTTTGTGGAGCTTGACTAGCGTTGCGAGGATTGAATACTAACGAGGTGTTAAGATGCCACTCTGATTCTGGATTACCTACGTGAGTTCTTCCGGTGCCCTTGTATCTGCTTGATCATTAGAATCTTAATGCGGTTGCAGGTGAACAAAAGTCTGTCATCCTGACCCTTTCCGTGTGAAGTATTAACGCTGACTCGCCGATTGGTACGGCACAGTCGTCCCTACTCGGTATGTACTCTGGTCCCAACATATTTCGAGTCAGAAATAGCTGAGTTCGTTGACTGTAGGCGATTGATGTCTCTGCAAATCTACACAACAAGATCACGAAAAGTAAGTACAACTCTAATCAATCGCGACGGGAGATACATCTTTGTGCTGTGCTGATCGCGTGATCTCAGCCCAAGCCGCAAAGGTACTAAAGGAATTGCACCAAAATGGCGAGATCGCAGGTCGAGCTGCAGGTATGTGGATCCTCGACCCCGCATGCGCCGTCCGAGACCATCTACTGATTGAATGGGTTTATCTACAGGGAAACAGACAGTCTATCATGCCCTCCAGGAATCATCGGAGAGCGCGAGCCCCGCCATCATCGCAGCTCTCAGTCAGCAGATTGTGACACTTCAAGAAGAACTCACAACCATCAAGGCAAACGAGAAAAAGGCCCGAGCTGCCTTGGCTGCCCTCGAAGCTAAACCCCGACTGTTCACTCTGCGAGAGGAAATTCGCCAGCTACAGGAGGAACTAGACGCCGCCCAAGTACGTCTAGGCAAACTCTATGGCGACCATCAACTTCAAATCCCCCCCGAGGCGCGTGCTCAGCTGGAACGCGACTGGAAGCAATGGCAACGACATACCACCGTCCGCCGTCGCATCTGTCGCGAGTTGTGGGGGCGATGCTCTGAAGTATTGCCGGAGAATACGACTGCGCCAGAGTTATGGGTAAGCCACACATACACACACTACTGTACCACTCATTGCCACTGCCACACTTGAGATGTTGAGAAGTGGTGCACGGTACTGACCGGGCGACCAGGACTCTCTGGGGCTTGAAGGGACGCTCCAATGAGAGGTGGTCGGGTACGGACGCTTGATCTGCTCGTTCTCCACTCGGTCACATCATTCGACAAGCGTGATTTGCGGCTCGGCCTGAGCGGAGCCCTGGAGCTCTCTGATACGGGAGAATACTGCAACACTGAATAGTGAGCACGGGGCAACCAGGGCGTGACTGGGATGATTCGTCACGCTTTGATAGGTGACTTAATCGGAACCATTTCAGGGCGAGAGATTTCGGAGATATGCGAGCGGATCGTGCGGAATGGAGGCAACCCGAGGGGGGCGACTATTATTTCCCAGGCACATCAGATGAACAGCGCAGATGGCCAGTTAGGCGGATGGAGGGGGAACCAACGAGAATCGGTGGAGAAGGACTTTCACTTCGACAAAAGAGCCCATCATCATCATCTGCACCCTCTCCGCAGTTATCACTAGGAGGTAGTCATCCTGCGTAGTCTTATCCTTCTTCTTCTTATTTTTCTCTCTTCTTGATACTCCTCTTTTATCCTCGTGAGTCTATCTCTATACTACTATAGGACTATACTCCGGGCGGGATTATCGTACTAGAAAGAAAAAAAAAGTACTTTTAAACTTCCAGAACTTCACCGCCCGCCACCCGCCGACTCATTCCCCTCTCACCCACTCCGATAACACCCCTCCAGCCTCTTTTCCCCCTCACCATCCAATTCCTACTCGGCGATGCTCTCGGCCTCTCGCCCTCCTGCCCGTCCCAATCGTCCTGAAATGAGAGGTCGTGCACCTCTGCCGGTGCCCTCGGGCCTTCAAAACGGCCATTCCCGCAATCCCTCCAGCCTCGACATGGCTCGTAGCCCGCCCAACCCGAGCAATAAAAGTACGTCTCCATGCAACCTCGCCCACGATCCACCGGCACTCCAATCCACTTCTTGATCTGTCGCTGTCCGTGGGATCACAAGCTAATTACTCCGTCTCCGATTACTCCGCAGACACTAAGCATGTTCCCTGCAAATTCTTCCGTCAGGGCGCTTGTCAGGCCGGCCCCGCTTGTCCGTTCCTGCACTCGACCGATGCCGCAATCGACTATGCACCCTGCAAATACTTCACCAAGGTATGAGTCGACCTGGGCCTTCCAGTCCGTTTCTCAATGCGCTACATCATTCCCATTCGATCGGGCGGCTGACCGTGGTGGCACTTTTGTGCCTTTCACGTTGGTTTAGGGCAACTGCAAGTTTGGCGCCAAATGCGCCCTCGCGCATATTCTTCCCGATGGCCGTCGTGTGAATCGAGCTGGTGGTGGTGGTGGCGGCGGCGGTGGTATGGGTATCGGCGGTGGTAGTAACTTGAATTTGGGCGGGCGAGTCAACCCGCAGGCATACGTGAATCAGGACTCTGCCTTGACGAACTCGGTCCTCTCGCAGCAACGTCTGAATGGTCACGAGCCAAGATACTCCCAGCAGCTTCCCTCGCAAGATGAGTCCGGCTTCGTGCAGGCTCAGCAGCAGCAGACACCTTATGATGCGATCCCCACAATCGATACCGGACTCGCCTCTGATGCCGGCTCCAAGTACGGCTCCCCCGTCGATGATGTGCGCTTCCCCATGTCGCCTAGTGCCCGCCATCTGACGGCTCTGGATGCTCCGCTTCCCGCATCGTTCGATAGCCAGGGAATCTCTCATGCGGCTCGTTACGGCCCCGTCGCTGCTTCGGTGCCCTCCAAATTCGGCCTGGGGGAACTGTCCTCCCCTCCGGCTCAGCGAATGGGCCCCTCGGATCCTTTCCGCAACATTCGTGATGTCGGCTACGACATGCGGAAACCTTCGTCGAATATTGGATCTTCTCCCCCGGCCCCTGAAGATTCCGTTGGTCCCCGGTTTTTGCACTCTTCTCGCTCGGTCAAGCCCCGCATACTATCTGCGAGTGTTCCTCGCCCCGCTTTGCTTGATGATTGGGATGAGAACTTCCCCATGGAGGAGGACTATCTGCCTATGAATCTGCACGATGATGTTCTCACGCCACAGGAGAAGCTCCGCCGTCTTTCCCGAACGGACCACGACCTGAGCTCCAGTCACCGCGAGATCGGCAGCCTGGGTATGACGAGCACCAGCTTCTCGAAGAATGGCTCGCCGCTCGCGTCTAGTCCATCTCGATTCGGTGCCCTTTTTGCCAAGCAACGACAGAAGAAGGAAGAGGATTCCATCGGCTCATCCTTCACCCACATCGGCTCTCCACTTCGCGAATCGTCATTGAACCCCATCGGTAGTCCAAGCCTGGGTCCCATTGGCAGTCGTACCTCGTACGATAACTCGCCATTTGTCTCCAGCCCTGGGCGCCAGTCCTCCATGTCCATGATTTCTGAACAGCTGAGCGGTCTGTCCCTCCACCCCGGCTCGGCCCGCCACTCTTCCGCCGGGCCCGGCCGCCTCGATCGCACCCTTTCTTCGACAACCAACAAGATCGAGGAGGAGGAACAGAGTGACTTGGTCTTCTCCATGGAGGAGGAGGAGGGAAACAAGCGCAACAGTTCCTCCTGGAACTCTGAGAGCAAGGAGAGCTCGAATGACTCTTAATCTTTGTTCTGTACATGCAAGCAATCCTTGCAATCTGCATTGCTGCACATTGTAATCATTCGCTACGATCACGACGATACGGGCCAAGCGCCGTCCACAGCTATGGACATACTCATTTTCCCCAAAAAGAGGCCATTGGAGTTTGTTTTTCCCCTTCTTTCTTAACTTTGTTTTCCCGTCTCGAGGGCACATTCAGCATCACGGAGCGTCAAAATATCTCGGAATCTAAAAGTGCACCACCTCCTTTCACTGATCTTCTCCCTCGGCTTCCTATGTGAATTGGATTGAATCCATCCATTGCGTGCCCCTGGTCCTTTCTACTCGGGACTTGTGAGTTGCAGCCCTTCCGTCACCGAGGCATACCAAGACTCATCGACACACTCTGCTCGTCATAGACTGACTTTGCCGCTTTTCTTCTGCCGTTTTTCTTTTCTTGGAGCTTGACTATGGGACAGACTTTTGTGGTTTCCTTTTTCCGTGTCCCCTTTTCTTTTTTATTTACTTTATCTCCTCCTGGATCATTTAGAGACCCGTCGCATTGTCCTCTCGTTTTCTAGTTCCTCCCTCTTTTCCTTCCCATCCCTCTCGAGACTGGGCTTCTTCTTGTCTTTCAAAATCCGAATCTGGGCACTTGCTCTGCTCCTGTATTAATGCTCTTTCCCTTTTCATCTTTGTGATCTTACGTGGTTGGGGAATGAAATCGAGAGGATAACAAGCTTGAGCCGTGTGGTCTGTGGCAGTTTTTCAGCTGCCTGCCTTGATCTAGCTTGCCTTTTCTCTATGAGTCAAACGATTCGCATTCCCTCTCCTTCTACCACTACTACCTCTTCCTTCTCTACTCTCCCCCCGTCTTTGTCTTTGCAAAAGATTTTGGTGTTTTCCCCTACTTGAGGTGCTTTTTACAAGATTCTCTTCTTTCGTCATTGCAGTCCAGTCTCGCCTGGCCTGGCCTGCCCGCGCTGTACAATTGTCAATTGATAAATGGGAGATGTGCAAATATACTACTGGTTCATCAATTGATTCTTATAGACCGCTTACTGTTTCTATAAAATCGTACAACGCTGTAGGTAGCCAGTATTAGCCTTGTATCTTGAAGTATACTTGTTGGCTGTGTAGGGCAATCAATTATCAACTTCTAGTTTGAGTTCGAATCCAAGTTCGGTCTGATTCTCTGCTCTACTCATCGTTATTCAATACACTTTCTCGCAAAACGCCCTTACCTTCAATAAGTGTTTCCCACCCAAAATCATCGATTTCAAGACGCCGAACCATGAACTGATGATCAGTATTTCCCTTGTTACTGTTTCTCACTCTCCAATACCCTCAATTATCACCGAGATACATAGCACTCCCCTTCAGACTAACAAAGCCCTCATCCCTGGTCTGCGCCTGAATCTGTGCAATCAATTGGCTCTTTGCGCGATCAGCCTGGGCTCGACTTGCCCGTGCCTTTTCATCTGCGACACGCACGCTCTCTGCTTGATCGTCGTAGACAGCCTTGTACAATTCATCCGTGCCCGACACGACTTGTTGCACCAGGCTTTCGATCGCTTTCGGAGTCAACGTCGCGATTTGCTCGGCCAGGGCGTTTTCCTCGTCGGCACGCTTGCGTTTAGCTGCCTCTTGGCGCTCTCGCTGTTCCTCGGCCCGCTTTCGTTTGTGCTCGGCGACCTTTTTCGCTCGTTCTTCTTTCGTGGCGAGGTACTTTAGTGAGTGGCCGAGTTTTTGTTCTGATGGCGGGATCAGGTCGAGTGGGGGCACGGAGAAGAAAAGGACGTGACCCTGGGCGTCGCAGTGGAATTGAGAGCGGATATCGGCGGGGATTGCGCTGTTGGCGGCGTCGTTGAGGTGGTATACTTCGATTGGACGGGGTGCGTTGGGGTTGTAGACCGGTGCTGCGGTTGATGGAGCCCGATTTTGGGGGTAGGTGCCGTATGGTGATGGTGGTGCTGCTGAGTATGCCGGTGCTGCTGGCGATGCCTGGTAGGCTGCGGTCGGGGTCTGTGGCACGAAATTGCTTGGGCGCCGCTGGCTCGGGCCTTGGTACATTTGCGGGTTCATTTGAGCCTGGTATGGGGCTTGATGAACGGGGACTGGCGATGTCTGCGCCACGGGCACGGCGGATGATGGAGCTTGGAGCTGGGGAGTTGCCATAGCTCCCGTCGGCACTAGATTGGCATTTGGAATTGGTTGGCTCATTGATTGACGGGGAGTGACTGCTGGCATGGCTTGTGGAGGGAGAGCTGGTGGCTGAGGAGGTGGAGAGGGTGTTGGCTCTGGAGGAGGAGATTCCTGCGGAGGAGCATGTTAATTGGGAGTTATTCTTGGATTTCGGGGGGTGATAACTTACATTCTCATCTCGAGGGCGACGGTGCACCGCACCCACCACTGGCGGCGCATTATCAGCACCCCAGGTCGGTCGAGGAAGATCATCAGTTTCCTTTGCATCGCTCTTCAACAAATGCTTGATCGGACTCGGAACCTTTTTGATCTTGCGCGGCACATCAAATAGATCCATTTCATAGTCCTTCTCGCGCACCTCATCTGGCAAGCAGCTAGCCCATGTCTTGATCTTGTTGAGCTTGTGTTTCTCCTCATTGTATCGAGCCTCACACACGTAGATCTCTTTGTCTGGCGGGAGATCGCGGGGGCGGCCTCGGCTGTAGCGAGTGAAGAACATAACGAAACAACGGTCGACAATCTCCTCGACCCGATGGTCACGGTACTGGCCAGTCTTCACCACTTCGTTGGGGTAGAAATGCTTCTCGAAGTGATGAACGGTCTGCTCCGGCCGGTAGTACCAGCAGGCGTTGATCCATTTTTGGTCCTCCGAGTCCTGCCATGTCCGGTAAATCTGGGCGACAATTGGCTTGGAGACATCGTTGGGATTCTGAATGTGGACCCAGTCACCGACCTTCCACAGCTCGTTGCGGTAGAGAATACCATCGGGTAAGGGGAAGCGCCCGTCTTCCATTAGGTACTCGCTGTCAGGCTTCTTCTTCTCCTGTTCTGCCAATTTGCGCGCCTCGCCTTGTAAATCGACCGCATCCTTGTAGATCTGGCTTTCTGATTGGTTGTAGGCCTTGGCATTGTTGAACATGAGATCTAGATCCCGCATGAAGTGATCGACCGAATTGTACTTCTTGCGCTTCGCTTTGCGCTTGATAATATCAATGGCAATCGGCTCCTTGATCTCCATGTAGTAATCTGGATAGGCGATCTTGTCCGGGAGGCGTTCGAAATGGGAAATTTTCAATTGGCCACCCGGGCCCTTGTGTTTGCGAATTCCCTTGAGAATGGTCTTGATCCGGGTTTCCATCGGAGTGTCCACACGTGGGGGCCTCCCACGTTTCTTGCGGGTATCAGGCTCTTGCTTGTGGCCTCCACGCTTGGAACCTGGCTTCGGGCCTGGCTTCTTCTTCCGACGCTCGTCGTCGCTGTCCTCCTCGTCGTCCTCGTCCTCATCTTCATCTTCCTCATCGTCATCGGGCAAAGGGTCTGCCTCTGGAATTTCGCCCAGATCCGGCAACTCAGCTTCTTCAGCGCTGAGGAGATCCTTCTCGACCAGCTTCTTCAACTCCGAGACGATAACATCCTAGACGTGCAGCAGTGTCAGTCGCGTTGCTTGTCTTCTTGTCGGCACTGGTCAACCCAGCTTTCGCCTTCATACCTTGATGACTAGCGCATCCTCGTACGCCTGCGACTTGGGTCGATTGTAGGTTTGCGCATTGTGAGGGATCTGGGACACAAGGGATAGTTAGTCAACCGTAAGGAGGCCAGTGGGATGCGGAATTGTTGCCTACCAAGGCAAAATCGCGCACGAAATCAGCAATTTGCTTATATTCACGCTTGTTGATTCTTTGCTTGATGATACTGAGTGCCATTGGCTCCTTAATAATATCGTAGTAGTCCGGGACGATGCGTTTGTTGACACTGCGATGGAACAATCGCGAGGGGTCATGACCACTACAACAGCGCAGTTAGCTAGTTGATCCCGATACGCGATTCATAGACAACACAATGCCGGCACTTACTCCTGCTCACGATAGTCGTAGATTGCCATAAGCATATCCCCCATGCCTTGCCACTGGTCTTCCGAAATGGCGCCGTCATCCTCGATGGAGGTCACGGGCTCCTCGGGCTGAGGCGCAGACTGCTCACGCTCCGGCGACTCCATGCTGCTCATTGTCACCAGGGTGCGCGTGGTGCGTCAGGAGTAGGAGATGAAGAAGTCGAGACAGCTTTGGAGAGAAGCTGGTTGCGTTCTCGTGTAGGGGAACGGTGTTTTGCGCTGCGCTGAGTCAGCGGTATTATTACGCCTCAAATACGTCCGTATTGTCAAGTGTCGGTCTCATTTACTAGGCCACCGGAGCCCGGGGCAAAGTTCGGATGGCTACGAAGGCACAAACAACTCTGGAATGATTCGGATATTATGCAAATATCTTGAGTTGACTATCAATCACCTCGAAAGGTGGCCATTCACCTCGGCCGGAGGTTGGCATCGTAATGTCCAAACACGGTCATGTGTGGGGGGAATCCACGTTGATCTCCGCATTGTCCCCCTCGACTTGAAATCAACAGATCGGAGAAAAAGGTCCAAAAAGATATTTCTGACTTTCTTTTCTTTGGAAAATCTTTGAATGTCTCTTTTGAAAGTATACACAGTCATCTATATTAATTGCTCGTGCATCGTCCCTTGATCTATTGTCCAAGCGGTGACCGCTGAGATAATTGGAATGGCTGTCGGGGTTGATTCAATAAGCCTTAGGGGGTAAACCTATTTTGAATTTACTTCTGCTAACTGCTTTCTTGAAGTCAAGGTGCTAATCTTGATCAGCGTCCTTGTAATATTAGGTTTCTCATTGTTCCTGATCGGTCTCCAATTTGAGGAAGACGAGCTCCAAATGCTCCGATTACCCCACACCGGACCCTCCAGCGTCATAGCTCCCTCACTTATCGGGCGGGACCACCTAATGCGTGTCTGTGCCTGTGACACGGTGTACCTGCCAACATCCGTCGCTCTCAGTGTCAACATCCGTGGACAAACGTGAAGAGACCTGCATACCATCCAGTCGATCACCTCCTATGCGTTTGAGAGTGCGTGGGCCTTCGGGCCAGTCAACGATCACGTTGGACGATTCGGCCACCGTCCAGGACCTTCGGGCACAGATCGCGGACAAGACAGGCCTCACCTCCGGCTTCTTCGATGTCAAATATGGATATCCAGATCTCAAGCCTCTGGATCTTGACCGTTTCCAACCAAACCAACCACTTGCCGACATGGGTGTCAACCTAAACGGGGAGCAGCTTATCGTCGCACCACGAGACTCTGGCGCGTCAACTATCGAGACCACCACCCTTAACCAGCCCAGTGGTTCTATCTCCCAAGAACCGCCACAACTTCCCCCACAGCCTTCGTCTTCGATATCGCAACATCCAGAGAAAACCGCCGACGATCCACCGGAGATTGCATCCCCCGAACACGGCGGCACCTTCGTGTTGCGTGTAATGCCTGATGACAACTCCTGTCTCTTCCGTGCGGTCGGGGCCGCGGTCATGGGCGATATGGATATGATGGTGGAGCTACGATCAATCGTCGCAGGCGCAATTCAATCAAATCCGACGGAATACACGGCCGCTATTCTGGGGAAGAAGCCGGACGAGTATTGCCAGTGGATTCAGAACGAGGATTCATGGGGCGGAGCCATCGAACTGAAGATTTTAAGCGAGTATTTCAACATTGAGATCTGCTCCATCGATGTGCAAACGCTTCATATGTTCCAGTTCAATGAAGGAGCCCCGACTCGGTGTATAGTCGTGTATTCGGGCATTCATTATGATGTGCTTGCGCTCTGCCCTTCCGATCCACCCCATACACATGCCAACCTGTTTGCGCCGAACGACACCAAGATCTTTGATGCGGCTGATCCGGTTGTCTTGGAGAAAGCCAAAGAGATGTGTCGTGTCTTGCAAAGCAAGCACTATTATACGGATACTGCGGGGTTTTTGGTGCGCTGTAATACTTGCGGCGGAACCTTCACTGGAGAGAAGGGGGCTACTAAACATGCGGCGGAGACGGGCCACTACGATTTTGGAGAAGCGGCTTAGTCAATATAACTCAGTATATCGAGAGTAGATCAGAGATCGCATTGTTCATATGGTATCGGGAGCGGGGACCTCGGCGCGGGATATTGAACCCTCTCGGCGTGACATTAGCAAGGGGGGCTTTACGCTTTACCCGGGTACAATTGAATCATCAAATCCCACAACATTTCAAACATTCGGTAGAGTCAGCACTGCATCATATATCGTACAAATCTTGGATCTCATAGCATGGCGACCTCATCGGCGTCGTCTTCGCCCGCCTCGTCCTCCTCCTCCGAATCAACACTTCCTTCCTCCGGGTGGCCACCCCATTCCACATCGTGGAGGACGGGGTCCGTAAAAAATTCATGGTTCAGAGCCTCATCGGCACTCAGGCGCTTGGATGGATCGAGCTCCATCAACCCTGCCAGCAGACGCGTCGCTTGAGACTCGCTTTCCGTCAAATCTTCAACGCAGCTGGACCATTTGACCAGCTTCTCCCAGCTGTATCCCTTTTCTCCAATGGTGGGCAGGTTGGTCTCAAAGATCTGCCCATGCATGGCAGCGGCCGTCTTCATTCTCCGAGTGCCAAAGATGCTTGACATTTCAATCATAGCATCGATGTCATCTGCCGAGTTGAAGAAAGGAAAGCGGCGTCCAAGCAAGGTGAGAAGAATTACGCCGACGGACCACATGTCAATCTTGGTGGTCTGTGACGTGCATTTAAACAGAACCTCTGGTGCTCGGAATCCTCGTGTACCGGCCCGGTTGGCGCGTCTTGACGGCCGAGAATCAGCCTTGGGGTAACCACTGGAGAGACCGTTGGCTGGCGGGTTTTTGGAAAAGTAGCTAGAAAGTATCCGGCTGCGGCGAACATAGTTCTGGTGGGAGCAGAGGCATGGGCTGCTATATTCAGAGCCCTGACGCTGTAATGGTATAATACGTTAGTCGAATGCTCAAGCCCATTGAAGCGAGAGAATAATTGCACTGTACCTCTGCTAGGCCAAAGTCAACAAGGACACCTTCTTTCAAGTCAGGGTTGTAGAGAAAATTCCTGCGAGACACTTGTCAGTATGAGAGAACCTTGGGAACGTCAGTCATCCATACGTTGGCTTGATGTCTCGGTGCAGAATTTCATGTTCATGGACCGACTTTAATGCCGTTATGAGTGACCTCAGATAGTGGCGCATGTCTGCCACCATGAAGGTGCGATATTGAATGCGAAAGTCGGTATGCGGGAAGTAGGGCAGAACTGCTACAACCTGATCCTGATAACGGAAGGCTGTAATCAACGGGCATACGGATTTGCATCCTCGAAGATCATGGAGAAGCTCCAACTCGTTCTGGATACGAATTGGGCTACTTGTGACATAGATCTTCTTCAGCGCCACGAAGCGCGCCTTCTTGCGTCCTCCAGAGGCCCCCTCCACTCTGCGGCGCTTGGATGGAGGGTTATCCCATTCTTCTTGTTCTTGTTCTTGCGCCTGGCCGAAAATGTCCCAGTCGTTGTGGTAATGGTTGTAAAGCAGATCCTCGGCCTTGTACACGGTAGAGAAAGTCCCTTGATTCAAGGCAACTGTCAGTCATCACATCCACAAATCACCTACACGGTGAGATAGCAAAACATACCTTCTCCAATCCGATTAATTAGTCGGAATCGTTCAGAGATACCTGGAAAGGTGTCTTCCAGTTTATTCATGTCTTCCCGCACTGTCTCGTCCACCTCCTCGTCTTCCTCAAATTCGCTCGCTTCTTGTGGCAGGTCCCCATTGGATGTCCTCCTATCATCTTCTTCGGGCGCGTATCGTTCTTTGTCCACTTGGAGGCCTTGACCGGAGCTGCTGCGCTTGAGCTCAAAGACTCCCGCGGGGGCCCCGCGCAGGGTGGACATGGCAAGCACAGGCTCGTTCCGAGTACAGAGGTGAGAATCAAGGTATACAAAGCGCCAATCGAGGGACTCAGTCGCAAAGTTGGGCAAAGACAGGGCGTAAGATGTACCGAGGATGTCGAAGGGGGAGAAAGTGAGGGCAGCGCAAACCAAACAAATGCCAACCAAAAGAAGCTCCGTTGTTTTTCTCCGAAAGCAACAGGGCAATACGCCGTGGTGACAATACGGTCCCGCGGTGTTGGCGGGCGGGGAACGTCTAGCAACGTAATTTACGCGCGGTTACCTAAGAAGCGGCCCAAAAGGGCAAAAGCCAAACACCCGCTTATCAACACTCCCGCCCACTCCTCCCCTCCTCATCCTATCCACCACACACACCACACTCGCCGCCATGGAGGATAGAATACAGTTCGACATCAACGAGTCGCTCAAGTATTACTTGAGCGATCCAGCTTCCATTCCGACCCCAGAGGCTGATCCGGAGCTGCTGGACTGCGAGTCCGACCCGAATCAGCTGTCGACAGCGCTTGTCGACAATGTCTTGAACCCGATCGTCGATGCGGTGGCGGAAAATCCAGAAGGATTGACGAGAGCATCATTCTTTGAATCGCTGCAATTCCTACTCAAGTGCGCTCCTATCCATTCCCAAGTCCCCCATAGCGCCTTCAGTTTGCTTGGGCCCGATTCTGACCGTTTGAACCCTCAAAGATATACTACTTTTCTCCCCTCGAAATCCCTGAGCAAAGTCCTTGACTTGATCGTCTCCGGGCTATCAGTCGAAGCCGATATTATCCATAGCGACCTGGAATCTGACGAACAAGATGCGATTCAACACCACAAACAACTCTTGGAGATGTACGGTTTTCTTCTGCAGTGGGCTTTGTCTGCCGTGGAGGTGAAAGCGGCAGAGAAGCCTGCAGAGTCTGCTCCTGCCCGTCGGGGCGGTCCCAAGTCTAGGTCAAAGTCTACGAAGGATGGACAGTGGGACTGGACACCCCAGATCCAGATCTCTATGGAGACTATGTGCAAGGTGATGAAACTCAAGCTTGGCCGTATCTTTATGACTACCTCGGACCGCGACACATTCATTAATCTGTTCACGCGCACCATCTACTTGATTCTTGAGAGCGAGCAACGAGTCAAGAGCATGGCTATTCGCATGCATGCCTTCAAGGTCCTCTGTATTGCGGTTAAGCACCATGGTCATGCTTTCGGTAGGCGTCGCGATATCCATCTTTGCGCATTGCCATCTTTCTGACTAGACCAATAGGTGCGCAAACTTCGATTGTGCAGAGCTTGACATACTTTGAGCATCTGTCAGAGCCTATGGCCGAGTTCCTTCACATTCTCTCGGAGCAGTATGATTACCCGCAGCTCTCGGATGAGATTTTGAAGTATGTTTACGTAGCTCGAATCCCGCAACAGAAACTCTGGCTGACGTACGACCAGGGAGCTCGGAAACAAGGAGTTCAATTCAAATGATACCCGTGGACCGAAATCTGTTTCTGCTTTTATCATCAAGTTGTCTGAGCTTGCGCCGAGATTGATCATTAAGCAAATGACTCTTCTGGCCAAACAACTTGATAGCGAGGTAGGGGAAGTTCCACTTCATTCCACTTTACCAGAATTGACAAGTCTACTCAGGCCTACACCCTTCGATGCGCCGTCATTGAAGTCTGCGGCAACCTCATCTCCGACTTGAGCCGACAAGAAGAGCCGAGCGAAAATTCCAAGACGCAAATCAATGCATTCTTCGATGTATTGGAAGAGCGCTTCCTGGACATCAACCCATATTGCCGTTGCCGAGCAATCCAAGTTCTGATGCGGATCTGCGACTTGGAACAAAAGTTCCCCAAGAGGCGACAGGCTGCTGCGCAATTGGCTGCGAGAAGTCTTGAAGACAAGAGCAGCAACGTTCGGCGAAATGCAATCAAGCTGCTGTCTAAGCTAGTCGCCACCCACCCATTCAGTGTTATGCACGGTGGTCAGCTCTCTCACAAGGAGTGGGCTGAGAGACTAGATGGTGTGGACCAGGAGCTGAACTCACTACGACCTGCAGAGACTCCTGGATTTGACGGAGATGCCGAAAACGTCGACCCTGAATTACTGGATGATGCGACTCAATTGCCCGACGAATCTCCTTCGAAGGCGCCCCGAATGACGGAGGAGGAAAAGGCAAAGGCCATGCAAAAGGCAGCTGAGGAAGCCGCCACCTCTGAATTGTTGACCCGGCTGCAGCTTACGAGAAAGTACTACAATGAGGCCATCCGTTTCATTGAGGTTCTCCATTCGGCATCTGCGATTGTTATCCAGCTCCTGTCATCTCGCAACAAGAGCGAGGTCATCGAGGCCATGGACTTCTTCGTGATGCTTGATGCCTACAAGGTAGAGACGGCTCGCAGTGGTATCCGGCGCATGCTTCGTCTGATCTGGACTAAGGGCAATAGCGATGAAGGCAAGGGTGTCCAGACTCACTTGATTGATTGTTACAAGGGTCTCTTCTTCGACGCACCTGACTCTTTCAGCTCGAATGATGCGGCAAACTACGTTGCACGGAATATGATCAGTTTGACGTTTGGAGCAACACCGGCCGAACTCACCTGTCTCGAGCAGCTACTCAGCACAATGATGAAGGCTGGTCACATTCCAGAGGCAGTGATTACGAAGTTGTGGCAGGTCTACAGCGTTCAGAGGAAGGAGATCTCGAAGACTCAGCGTCGTGGTTCTATCATTGTACTCGGGATGATAGCGCTGGCTGATCCCGATGTGGTCGTGAAGGAAATTGAGGCGATGCTGCGCATTGGTCTGGGCGGTCTAGGACGATCTGACCTTGTGCTCGCAAAATACACTTGTATTGCACTGCGACGCATGGTCCCCGGCCGCCAGGCCAAGTCCAAGGATGTCGTCACCGTTCCTAAATTGGCCAATGATCACTCCGTTCTGATCAAGCTCGCTGCTATCTTGGAGATCGTCTCTGGGAGCAAGGAATGGTACGGCGTGGCTGAGCAGGCAATCAGTGCCATTTACGCTCTCTCCAAGCATCCCGACGTTCTCTGCTCGGACATCCTTCGACGCAAGACACGATTTGTTTTCCAACCGCAGCATGAGCGCCCATCTTCTTCTCACACCACCGCTAGCGGCGAGGATCAAAGGCCGGGAACCGCTTCTACCGAGGAGCAGAATGCAAAGCCCAAACCCTCCTCGGCTGCTCTCTCGCAACTCTTGTACGTTGTTGGTCACATTGCCATCAAACAAATCGTGCACCTTGAGTTGTGCGAGTTGGACTTTAAGCGACGCAAGGCTGAGCAGGAGAAAGCCAAGACGGCAGAGGCTACTGCTTCAAAGGAGGGCGAAGCTGCGGATGCCGATGAGCTAGATCTTATCGGAGGAACTACGGAGGATGATTTCCAAGACGCCATGGCCCACATCCGAGAGCGTGAGCTTCTGTATGGAGAAAACTCACTACTTGCCAAGTTCGGCCCATTGGTAGCCGAGATCTGTGCCAACAACAATTCCTATCCAGATCGTGACCTCCAGGCGTCCGCGACTTTGTGTATGGCGAAGCTCATGTGCGTGTCTGCCGAGTATTGTGAGAAGAATCTTCCCCTTCTGATCACAATCATGGAGCGCTCTGAAGACCCGATCGTGCGCAGCAATGCCGTGATCGCGCTCGGTGATATGGCTGTCTGCTTCAATCATCTCATTGACGAGAACACTGACTTCCTGTACCGACGTCTCAATGATGACGAAGCCTCCGTCAAGCGGACCTGTCTTATGACCCTAACTTTCCTCATCCTTGCGGGTCAGGTCAAGGTCAAGGGTCAGCTTGGAGAGATGGCCAAGTGCTTGGAGGACGACGACAAGAAGATTGCCGATTTGGCTCGTATGTTCTTCACGGAGTTGGCCACCAAGGACAATGCTGTTTACAACCACTTTGTTGACATGTTCAGTCTGCTCAGCGCGGAGCGAAACTTGGAGGAGGCTTCCCTGCGTCGCATTGTCAAGTTCCTCATCGGCTTTGTTGAAAAGGTAAGCCGTCTCATTTTCTATAATTTGCGTCGTTCGATTAGCTCACCTTTCTCTACTAGGAAAAACATGCACGTCAGCTCTCCGACAAGCTGGCTGCTCGTCTGCCACGTTGCGAGACCGAGCGCCAGTGGAATGACGTTGCCTACGCGCTGTCCTTGCTCCCGCATAAGAACGAGGAAATCACCAAGGTTGTCACCGCTGGGTTCAACAAGGTGGCCAGCGGGTCGACCTCGGCCCCTGCCAGCGCCCCAGCAGCCACACCCGCCAGCACGGCGCCGGTCAGCGCATCAGCGTAGTCGTCTTGCTCTTCCGGTCGAGGCTGATGATGTCTTAATGTTTTCTATGACTGTAATTTTTTCCCCGCTTATATTTTCACGTCTGGGTGCTTGGCTGAGGGGTGTTGGTGGTTTGGTTGGAGCATTATCGTCATTCGTGGAGTTTAAATCGTACCCGAACCTTGATCTTCGTCCGATAATTCTATTGCATATAGTAAAGTACAGCGTACCTATTTGGATGTTCATTATATTCGCTCGTGGGGACATTCAGCAATCACAATATATGTCTCACATATTTCGTGAGCTACCACCCATTTCAACCTTCCACCAGAATATACCAACCCTACGCAAGACACTACGACAATGCCATCACTACCAAACCACTAAAGCATGATGAGAGGTCTATATTCATTCTGATCGCATGGGGAGCCGTGTCTGGAACTCCCACGAACAAAATCATCATTCGCTTGCACAGAAATTATCCACAAGAATTGGGTGTTCGGGAGAATGTGAAAAAAACGAGACGTACATCTCCCCAATATGAAATCTAAGTATGAGGGTGGAGAGAAAGATAGAGAAACATCAAAAGCCAGAACCCAGCAACGACGAACAGATGGATGGAGGAAAGGAAGCAATAGATGGAAGACGCCGTGTTGAATGGTCGCATGCCAGATACGCCATAATAAGGGGGTTATTTGTTGGAATCCGAAAGAGCCGACACAATTAGTTTATGGGGGTTCCCTTCTATGCGCCCTTCTCTGTACTTTCCTCCAGCACGTACTGCCCGCTTCGGATACCTTCCAGAGCTTTCTGGCCTTCCTCAGTTAGCTCGGGCTTGCCTAGAGGCGTCACGGCGCCGGTGAAGAAGCGAGGCTTCCATTCCTCCTGTTTCTCTTTGCGCTCGGCGGCTTTCTGACGCTGGCGTTCTTCGATCTCCTGCTTGATCCGCGTGGCTTCCGTGAATTGCTTGTCCAAGATGGCGTCCGTGACGTGTCCCCAGAACTTGAGAGACTCGTTTGACAACTGCTGCTCGGCAGGAGGGAGAATCTTTTCCACCGGGTGCAGAGGCGTGATGTCGATGAGCAGACGAGGCTCCTTGGACCCCGTGGGAGTGTAGTAGATCTTGCCATGCCAGGACCCGCTGATTCGGGCAAGAACGTCGCTCTCGGCTACATCTTTCAGCCTTGTGATGGTATCGTTGTCGGGGTCGTAGCGGAAAATTACGCCTTCGAGCTTATGTTGAGACCGGCCGATCCATCCTTCCTCCACGTACTGCAAGATCGCCTTGATCCGTGTCTTGCGGCATATCATGAAGCAGGCATCCGAGACGGTTATGGCCAGAGCACCGCGCAGCAGTCCTCCGAGGTGAGCATGAGGGTGGGTCAACTGATACTCCTCGTTGTCCCGCTTCTCGATGTTGACAAAGATACCCAGGTTGTGCTGACCGGGGCTGACACGAATGCTTGTGCCGGTGAATTTGGCGCTGATCTGGTCGAAGCCGCGCGCAGACACTCCGCGCTCGGGGCAGTCAATGTAAAAGGCTGAGACTGGCGGGTGGTGGGAAGTCTGCTCGGTTAGATAGCAGACCTTGACTTTCTCGTCGCCATCGTGGACGGTAGTGCCGTTCGTGGCGGCATCGACTCCGGGGAGATTGGCCTCTTCCGGGACGAAGTCTTGCACCTCCCAGCTGCACTGTCAACGTGGAGGAAATATGATCAGTCCAATGTCGTGAAGATGGTCTGTCAACAAACATACCCGGAAGAACTCGCCCAAAGTCGAATTATAAGGCTTGCATGGTTTTCCCTTGATGTATTTCTGTCGGAAGGTCAGCACGTCTTTCCATTCCATGGCATCTGCAAGTCAAAATATACCAAGTCCTTGGTGAACCAGAACCTCAACACCTCCAGCATCCGTCCCAATTCATCGTCGGATTTTCCAATGCTGTTAAGTCTGGGTCAGCACATGGCGGGTGTCGTAAGTGGGCCGTGGGCTTGAAGTTGCTGACCTAGCAAAGGTCTCCGGTCGATCCAAGTAGTTCCAGTATTCTATCCAGTCACTTGTATTAGCCGTTGGTTTCTTTGTCTGGACACCCCCTGGCCCGAGCGAAATTCTCGGTCACAGTGCACATACCCAGATTCGGGCGAGGTTCCAAAAGTTGAGCCGGCAACGAGAAGCGAACCGATGCGATATCCGTCACACCCACGAACCTAGTAGTTCGGAGACCGATTGTTAGTATTTCCGAGTACGTTGTTTTCGCGTTCTCAGATATGTTATTTTGGGCGCATCAGCGAGACATACTTTCGTAAGATCGAGAGGAACGTCTTCAGCTTGGAGGAGTCATCGGGAGTTTTCTCAGGCACAGCGGTGGCTGACATTGTCTCGAGTGGCGCGGGGGAGAAACCGGGAAGCTTTGAACTCCGAGGGGAATATGTAGAGTGGCAAGCAGATGTCGAGAGTAGGAAGGCGGTACTGGAGTAGGAGGTTGGCGCTGTGAAAAGAAGAAATGCCACGGGGTCCCAAAGTAGACCACCCAACGAAATCCAAAAACAAAAAAATGAAACGAAGCAGAAGAAGAGAAAGTGAGAGGGGCGAGGTTGAATAGGCCAAGAGTTTCTGTTGGTCTTTCGTTGGAGAAACGGGGGGGAACAAGCAGGCGGTGACGTGGGAACTTCTTTTTGCCGAGTGGGGAATCGTTTGGGTCCCGACGACTTGGCGGGTACTTTAATGTTTCTTTAGTCCGTTGCTTTATTTGAGAGCATCTCGTTGGTTGAAATTGACGAAAGATAGCGGAGACGAGTGGAATGGGTGGGAAGGGGGGAAAATCAATCGGTGAGGGAGTCTTGTCTCACATTACTGTGATATGGATTGGAAGAATTAGGGAAACTTCAATAGGAAACCAAAGTACCTCGCAGGTACCGAGTACTTTCAAGCCAGCCTCGAAAGGTCCCGATACTTTGAAGGTCGTGCATTCTTTTCGGGTCTATAAAACCAGCCCCAAAAAACCGGCTCCCGGCCAATCGCTGCCCCACGAGGGTCTCGACCACCCTCGCTATTGAATCAACTCCGCCAGCACCTGCTTGCGCGCCAGGAATCGTAACCACGTTCGGACGGCAGGCCCGTAGTCATACCGCCGCCCGGTCGCATAGTCGTCGTCTGCACGTTGCGACTGTTGCTCTTCCCGGACTCGGGACCGGAGCTCCTCCTGCGCCTGGCTAAGCCTTTGCCAATGCTCTTGCAGCTGACTTGGAGAACAGCTTTGGTATTCCTGCAAAGTCGCCTCCGGTATCACGGCCGCATCGATCACCGCGCGGGTCAACGCAAGGGATAGCTCCGGGCCGATCGCCGTTCCCTCGAAGCCGGCCATGGTGGTGGCTGCCGCGGTGGTGTCACCGTCCGATTTGAGGCGCTCGTGGACCATCTCCAAGCTTTTTACATTAACGGCGAGCTGCTCAATGAGGTCCGATAGGGGATCTTTAACGAGTCCCAGGATAGAAAACTCGATCTGATCTTCCTCGTAAGCCGCCATCCGATCCAGGAGGTTTGGCCGGACTAGATCTAGCCAGTCGTCTTCGGAACATTGACCTTGGTTTTCAATTAGCACCGGCTCAGTTTAGTATCATACAATTATGTGTCCTCACCGATTAATTGAGGCTGTCGCTCCAGACCGTCAAACTTCCAAACCTGGCCCATGACCGGCATGAACGCAATGAAATGGAACGACGAGTCGGAATCGTCGTCACCCTGACTCTGGGAGGACTTTTTCCGTGTTTTTGATTCCACCTGGAGTTGGAGATCAGAGTTGAGAATGTCCATCTTGCTACAGAATCAAAGAAAAGGAAACGAGTCAGCAAGAAACGCAGATCACGCGGGGATCGATGAGGAAGACGGGCATACCGGGCGAAAGAGTTGTGTACCCGCTTCACGAACTCGAAATTATTGATGGCATCTCCCCGCAAAGCCGGTGTAAATGGCATCGTGAACTCTTTAAAGTGACGGAGATTCTCTCCGAGGTCAATGCCAGGGATATTGTTCACAATGTTTAGTAAAGCCACACTAGCACAGGCATTGCTGGCAGTCTGAGTCCGGATTAGTAGCGGCTCAAGGCAGAGATACTGGAGACGTACCTGGTTTGCAAACCATATTCCATCTGGGCAGGTCGCTTCCTGGTTGTTGGCATCATCCTCCCGCCAGCGGAAGAGAAAGATCAAGCCGTAGATAGGTTTGCTGTGCCAGTATTCGTTAGTCCTTGGATCGAGGGAACGGGGAGGAGGATTAGGAGGAGGGATCAAAGGCTCATACTCTAGGAAAGCCATCATTTCTTCGTCCAAGGAGACAACCTCCTGAACCTTAACTCCCTTGACTCCGAATTCGCGGAGCATCACATTGAACAAAGCCTAACGGAAATAGTTAATATCGGTCTTTCCACTGGAGCTGAAGTCAACATACCGGCTCTGACTCGATCTCACAGAATCCGTTCCAGCTGTTCTTTTCCAGTAGAGTCGCTGGCTTGTAGATATCAGAGTCACTGAGCTCCTCTGAAGGGTCGGTCAGACGCCGCCGCTTGTTGCGAGGACCCATAGTGGCAAGTGAAAGCGATTTTTTGTGAAATTCAAGGGTCGATTTTCAGGGTCTAAGCTCCAAGCCACAGGAAGGTTGAAGAGGATAGGTATTGATCTCGCTCAGTAGCGGGGAAGAAAAAGTCCCTGGTTCTAAAAGTAGAACAATGGCAAACGTCCAGGCAATATCTTGGCAAGCTATAGACTTTCTAAAATAGGGCCCCACAGCCAAAGACGAAGCTGATGTAGTAGGTGAAGTGAACGAGAGTAGTGAGTTGTGGAGCAGTCAAGAGGAGTAGAATGTATAGCGGCATGTTCGGCGGTGGACCGAGCTTCGACGCGCTTCCCGCGTCTCTCGGCTGCCTCCAACTTTTCTCTCTCTTCCCATCTGCTTGTCTTTGGCCTCACCATCATCTCGCCCATTGGCTCTTGCAGTCTGTACGACCCTCCTCGCCCATACACGAGCTCTGCGCTCACCTACGGGCCCCCCTCCTCGCCTTCGCCCCTTCTCCCCCACCCACCCATTCGTGGACTAATTACCTTGTTTCACGAAACTCTGGCGACCACAGCATGCCATGAACGGCACTCCCCGCCTTCCGTCTGCCTTTCCCCAGACGCCCACAACGATTCCAAGGAGAAGAAAGCTCTTTGAGACCCCCTCTCGCTCGCAACCTCGCGATGTGCGCGCTCCAAAGTCGCCTAGCAGATCCCCCGCCAAGGCACCCAAGCCGCTCTCCAATACAAACGCGCCGCTCGTCCCTACGGACGTGATCGATGCGCCCTCGCAACGTCTCTATGTGGTGGCCTTCTATTTTGCGCTCAATGCGTACCGGATATACGAATCCTGGAATGCCTCCGACGAGCTGGACTCAACGTGGTTGTTTTTGAAATGGGTGTCTCTCGATGGCATTTTCTTATTTGGGCTGCAAGCTCTGCGCATACCTTGGCTAGAGTGGGCTTTCCCAACCACCTTGGCTCTGTTCTTGTTGCACGTCGTGGGCAATGTCTTCCTCATGTTCCGCATCCCGGTGAGCTTCTTTGCCTCGAAACTTTGGAGGACGAGCCTCCCGCTGACCTTCAGATAGATCCCCTTAGGCGCCTGGCTCGCGGGCTTGGTCAAGGTAGCTTACGATCGTGAATTGTCCATCTCCGAGCGTAAGGTGAAGCCTGGAGATATCATTCACAATGCATCATTGATTTTGGGAAAGCAAATTGTGCATATCCTACCAGAAGGGTTAGTCGTTAGCTCCGATTCCCAAGGTCGCAAGCGCTTGACCTTACTAACTCTTATAGCTCTGCTGTTCTCAACCCTGAACGTGAGCCACTCTGTCTCGATGCTCAGAAAAACACCGTGTTCCTCCCCATCCGAGTGAATCAGACCGATCCGATCCTCATTGAAGTGCTACGCCTCGATCTACACACTGGCGAAAACGAGACCCTGACAATTCCGGCCAAACAGCTGAAGCAGCTGAAACGTCAATCCGAGAAGAGACATGCCACTTTGGACCCTGTCCCACACCGGGATCTGTTTTTCCCCGTACGCAAGACTGGTATCTATCGCCTTCAGCGTGTGGTGGATGAGTCCCAGCTAGATGTGCGCACGCGCACCTCTGATGCGTTGGTGGTCACTTGCCCTCGCGCGCTGATCAAGAACTCCTACACGAACAAGTGCAGAGGAGAGCTTTCCAACGTGCTTCTCGAGGTCGAAGGTACACCCCCCTTGAAAATCAAGTATAGCCGGGAAGTCAACTTCCACGATCGCGGGGTCTCTTTTCAGAACGTTCAACCAGACAACTTGCGCACTCCATTGTTGAATCAGAAACCAACGGGTGCGCTCTTCAGTATCAACCAGCCGGACATCTCTTGGGCCCGAAGCCAGAAGATCGATGTTCCCTTGAACGAATCCTTGAATGTGAATGGTGAATGGTTCTACGCCATTGAAGAAGTTCATGATGCCCTCGGTAATGTCGCCAACTATTCTTCCATCTTCGAGGATGGGGAACGGCCATCTCCCAAGTCATCGTCTCAATGGCATCAGTTGATGATCCATGAGCGTCCCAAGGTGTCCTTATCTGGCTGCAATGAGCAGCGTCCGCTGGAGGTCGCTCGCGGCGATAGCGTCAACTTGCCGATCAACTTCCAACAGACCACCAAGCCATACGATCGCGACGGCCCCTTCACTGTCACATATTCTTACAGCGCCAGCGGAGCCGAGCAGAAGGAAGGGGATGCCAAGGATAGCATGACTGTCGTCCTGAAAACTCTGAATCAACAATCTCCCATCAAAGAGCCAGGCTGGTACTCTTTGACATCGGTGTCCAGCCAGTACTGCCCTGGTGAAGTTCTGGAGCCTTCGTCTTGCTATCTGCGCAATCCTCCCGAACCTGAGTTGTCCATCAAGTCTGAGAAGGTCTTTGACCGATGCGCTAACAATGCCGTTGGTCTTCTTGTTGATCTGGACCTCACTGGATCCCCTCCATTCCGTATTCGGTACAGCACCGAAGGCCCGAAGGGGGTGCAGACGCAGACTAAGATTGTCGATGGCCTGCGATCCCAGCTGGATTTCACACCGACCGAGGCTGGTTCCTACCGCTACCGTTTCCTGGATATTGAAGATTCCGTGTACTCTCCTCGGTCTCTCAAGGACAAGGTCCCAGTCCTCGAGCAAGATGTGAAGCCCCCGGCGTCAGCTCACTTCCTCGGCCCCAGGGACACACGGAAGGCCTGCTTCGGCGAGTCTGTGTCCGTTGACCTGGCTTTCCTGGGAGAGGCTCCTTGGACACTCCAGTATGAGCTTGTCCACAATGGCAAGCGAACGAAACACACTCTGGAGTCCGACACTGAAGTTGCTACTATCACCACGGACAAGCTGGTCAGCGGCGGCGAGTACAGACTTGCACTGACCAGTATCAAAGACAAGTCCAACTGCAAACGGAACTTGAAGGACAGCATCAAGATTGATGCTCGATCTAAGCCACCGCATGTCTCGTTCGGTCAAATTGACAAGAAGCGAACCGTCTCTGCTTTGGCGGGATCTAGGATCGAGATTCCTTTGCGATTGAGCGGCGAGAAGCCGTGGACTATCAAGTACAAGAACGTGGATGTGAATACTTCGCCTTTGACTAAGACTTTCTGGGATGAGAACAGCCGTTTGGCCGTGGATCGTGAAGGCCTCTACGAGCTCCTCGAAGTGTATGATAAGTCCTGCTCAGGATTTGTGGATCAATCTGCCAAGGAGTTTGAAGTATCTTGGATTCCCCGGCCCCAGATCACCGCTGTGGACGGTTCTCCCGTGGTGAAGGGCGAATATGCCAAGCCTGAGGTCTGCCAGGGTGACGATGATAGCCTTGAGCTCCGTCTGTCTGGCAGTCCTCCGTTCAGCCTTCAATACGAACAACGCCGGAAGTCAGACCGTGGACAGGCCTCTGCCCGCTCGAAGAACATTAGAACCGCCCTCAACTCGGCCTCCATGGAAATGGATACTTCCGAGCCGGGTCAATACACCTACAAGTTCACTGAAGTGGGTGACAACCTCTATGACTATGACCCGAAGAGCAGTGGTCTCGTGGTAACGCAAAAGGTCAATTCGCTTCCATCTGCCAAGTTCGACTCCCCAGGACACATCTATGGCTTCTGCAAAGAGGATGCCACCGGCGAGGAAACTATCCCAATCACCTTGGAAGGCGTTCCTCCGTTCTCGCTGGAGATTGTCATTAAGCACCACTCCAATGCTAAGCCAGAAATTGTCACCATTCCCAAGATCAACTCCAATCATCACAACTTGCCCCTTCCTCGTCGCCACCTCGATCTGGGCCAGCATCTGGTCAGTATCCACAAGGTTCGTGACTCTCGTGGCTGCCAGAGAACCACCGAGTTCGATGCTTCGTCTGTACGGGTCGCTGTTTCGGATGTCCCTACGATCATCCCTCTCGAGTCCAAGGTTGACTACTGTGTCGGAGAACGCCTATCGTTCTCTCTGTCCGGACACGCTCCATTCGACGTTTTCTACACGTTCAACGGTGTGCAACGGAAGGCCACGTCTCCAAACACCAACTTCCGTCGTATCGCCGAGCGTCCTGGCGAGTTTACCATCACCGCAGTCGGTGATGGAGCTAGCGGCAAATGCAAGGCCCACAAGGATATCACCAAGATTATCCACGAGATGCCTAGTGTTCGCATCAGCCAAGGCCAGGTGTCCGTGGTCGACATCCACGAGGGTGGAGAAGCTGAGTTGAGCTTTGAGTTCTGGGGCACGCCGCCGTTTGAATTCACGTAAGTCACTAGTCCCTCTTTCATGTCTCATTTGGTGTTCATATTTACTAATACGTCCTCGTACAGTTACATTCGCAGCACCAATGTCCGCAAGGGTAAGAAATCGGAGGTTCTTGATATCAAGCATGACATCTCCTACGAACACAGGAAGACGATCAAGACTTCGGATGAAGGTACCTACGAGGTCGTCGCCATCAAGGACAAATTCTGTTCCTTTTCCTCTCAGGTACCGACGGGCAAGTCGGACCGGAGCAGTTCATGAATGTAAAATGACGTGATATCATGCGCCTTGATATGCTGATGCTGGCGCTGGCTTTTTTTTTTACTTTTTTCGTCGTTCCTTTTTTATCTACGATATTCTGTTCGTCTGTTTATGTGTTGATTTGTTTATTTGTGAGACAGTTTGCATTGCAGCGGCGCTAGCAGGTAATGTACATTTCGCCAATAGGATAAAAAATTTTTAATTCTGAAATATAAACATCTCTCGTCGTTCTTCCGCGCTTATTATTTGCTACCCGATGTCTCGATCGTCTCGATGAGCCCCTCGCCAAGTCGAGCGATCTCGTTCAGAATCGCAGGCTTGTTGATTACCACGGTATCTGGCTTCTCTGCAGAAGCGGCTGGTGCTGTCGAATACGCCGTCTTCAAGTTCCAGGATCGAGGCTTCAGCATCTGGGGGTTCCAAAGACCTGCAATGACGCCCGAGCGCTCGTCACCGTGGAAGAGAAGAATGCTCTGGTTGTAGCATGC